TATTTCTGGTACCAACGACCGGTCACGAATCGAAGATATGTTTTGTTTACGCCCGAAGCGTTGCGAAAAAGGAGCATGTGCTTGACGTTCGTTGACAGTCGAACGATGGGGGAAAAATCTATTCGATACGGCTTCGCGAATGACTTACTTTGAATGGATTACCGTAGCTACATCCGGCAAGAATTACGGGAATAAAATTTAATTCGATTATTTATCTTTACGTCGCATCGTGCCACTCTACACATTAATCCTTTTACGTAATGTAACCAAAAAAATTCAAAATGAGCCTCCAGTAACACTGTTGCAACAATGTGAACGGTTATCGGTATGTTTATCGATCGATCGTTCGACTGACAGAATCGAAGTACACTCGATTCGATCGACACTTGACGCGACACTTTCCGTTTTCGAATCTCACTTAATATCGCCCTCGAGTCGATATTTTTGTACACGTACAGAAAATGTCACGAGAAACGGTTCCTACGAGTGTAAACACCGACAAGTTTCGTCTCATAAAATGATCGGTAACGGTGTCGCGTAGCGCGGCTTCGATGCGCACACGAGGACGGTCGAACTAATACTGATAGCTGGCTGGCAATGCTCTCGCCAATGTATACGACTGTGTGCCACCGAGATACGAACTTATTCGCCTCTCTTCTTTCTAGTGTCTTCCCTTTATATACAATCGCAGCTTTTATGAGGGGATAACACGCGGAGATGCAATTCAAACTATTTAATAAAAAAAAAAAAGAAATATTGAAGAATAATTTACAGTAATTATACAATGTGCCCGACCCTTCTTTCTTGATAAGTGTAGGGTAGAGATGGGTTAACTTAATTTTTTTTTTTTTTTAATCCGAAATTCACATTAATTAAAAATATAAGATAAGTTTCGTAAGAATCGCTACATTTTTCTGTTGATTGTTTTCCTTGCATTCTCATGAATTTCATGGAAACCTTGCAAGTTAGCTTCCCATAAATTTATATAACAACGGAATTTTTTTTCTATCGATTATACTTTTAATATCTGCGAGTTTTAAGTTTCCTAGTTTTGCCAAGAATTTCGCTTACACAAAATTTCGTCTGTTTCCACGACGCATAATAATAAGTATCAGAATGATTGCAAGTCATACGGAGAAAAATATACGAAAAAAATTGCACAACGCAAAATGTGACAGAGACGATTCATAAATACGACCGAATCTCTTCCATATTCTTAACTGAAAATATTTAGATTGCTGTGAGAAAATATAAATAAATGACGAAACAGCGGTCATAAATCAACATTTGATAAGTGAATGTTTTGACTGCTGAGTTATTAATACAGCAATTTGTCAGGAATATGGGTATACATAAATTTATTTGTCTAGATAAAAATTAGTGACCTCAATGAAAACGTAGTCTTAATTGGAATTTAATATTTTTAATTATCTAAAGATTTTGAGGATGGTCAATGTGTACAGCATCGAGCATGGTAGACCTCCCCCTTCCTGAGCTACCATCCGTCCCAGCCGGCGGACCCAAGGAAACTGATAACGTGTGAGTGGAGGCCCCCTATATATAGGCCAATGGCGGACCGCCATTTGGATACAAACGTTCGCGCGCGAAAATTTGAATTGACATTTACTCTGTTACCGAAAAATCTACTCTGCTCGATACTGTACATACAGTATTTCATTCGTATTATGAAATACGACCTCTAAAATTCGAGAAACAAGAGAATGACGTGATATTTATTGACGTTGAAATCTGGCTGAATACGAAATGAGTCTGTGCAAAATACGATGTCTTCGCTTTTAGCGGAGATTTTCTTGCGACTCCAACTTTCTCGCAAGTGATTCCTCATGCAAAGTGTCAAACTAATTTCTCACGAAACTTGACACAAACGACTTGTTTATCGGTGAAACTTACTGCCATCATCGACCGAGTATCGTATTGCAGAAAACTTAAAAACGATCACGTGAATTTCTAATCTCTGTTCTAACATAAAAAATAATTATCTTTAAAAGACTTATCAATTAATATTTCCTAATCAAACAACGATAACCTCTTCTATAAATTTTCATTTCAAGGAAAAACTCGTTTATCATTGTTTAATCTAAATCTATCGAAGCTCGTTAAATATAATTACAATAAAAAGGAACAATGATTCTAATAGTGTAGGACACATATAGTGTTGATAAAAGGTTAAAAGCACGATAAGATAACTCGTGGCAGCGAACTTTACTAAACATTCCTCAATTTCCTTTAACTATATACTTTTATCTCTGATATGCACACAAAACGTCAGATATTTATAATCGACGCAACTGATATTTCGTGTGCATATTGAACGAACAATTTCGTGTTAATGTGTACCAAACTATAAATAAGGATTTTCAACGCTAGATTAATTTTCACCCAATGCGTCAAATCTGTTTTATAAAAATCTAAACAAGAATTCATAGGAAATTAATTACTATAGGAAGCTGTATCATTAAATATGTAAAGTGACTCTAATAACAAAATTCCGTTTCAAAATAAGTTCCATCGGTAAATAATTAGACCGTGGCTAAGAGAGAATGTTAGAAACCTTTAAAATGACTCTTCTTTGTCGGGAAAGACATGAAGATCCCTCAAGAAGCCTGCATTGCGGACCTCCGCATCACACGGGGCATGTTACACCCACAATTTTTCATCAAAGAATAAAAAACCCTACGTTCTAACAATTATTTTGCAAAAATTGTTGCGTTCATCACCCCAGACACGTTGTAATTAAAAGAAATATAGTTTTTAATAAATTAACCTTCAACGAACACCTGGTGTTTGTATACCTCGTAATGAAAAAATTAATTTAGTAAATGTATATACAAGCAATGCGATACAAACTTCGACTACATTTTCGCATTTGATTTAGTAAATGGATGCATCGATAAATGTGCATCAATTTAAATGAATACTTTTGCCAGCAGGTGTGCGCACCAACCACATAACCTATAAATTTGATGCGCCACTTTTGTCTCGACTTTAACTTGAATTTATAATATCAAAATAAATAGATTAATCATTTTCATTACGAAGTGTATACATTTATTAAATTATATATATTTACTACAATATACGTATACAAAGACATTATTCAGTACATTGACCTTTAAAACATACTTGCGTATAATAAGATCACTGAAATCCGTTAGGTGTACCCTATTCTACATAAGTATCATTTCTTTGAGAATTAAATAATGATCGTCCTTCGTATAGTCATAAAAAAGCGTTGTCGCTAATAAGCATGTTTCAATTTGTACAATTTTGTCACCTCCCACGTGACACACTGACTTATATGGTGAATTACGATGCCACTTCAAAGGTGACTTTACGGCCGATAAGGGTTAACAGCTTAATTGTTTCAAATTAAGTTTTCAGCTGTATAATGGGTTATTATAGTAAAAATTCTCTGTTCGTTTATGAAACGAGTAATGTAAGTCAGTATTAATAATCACATACTGTATCAAATACATATTTATAATAAACTTTTTCTTAAGTTATTTTGAGAATTTATATTTAATTATCGATTGAAATTCTTATGTTATATTAATATATTTCATCGATTATTTCACCGTATAATCATACTAAATACGAGATATAAATATAACGCGTCTAAACTTAACAAGAAGCTGCTAAATGTCATGAACTAACCACCACAATAACATGACTATTTATTTCTAGCGTCGAAACCGTACTAAATGCCCGATATTCACATTAATGTAAAAATAGAATAAAAATCATCCGTAACCAACTCGACTCTCTCTGGTTACTGAATGAGATACTAAGCATGTGTAACATGTGTATGGTATTCTGGAAATTACAGGGGCATTAATCTGTCATATTTAGACAGTATAATAAATTTCACTTGAAATAATCAAAGTATAACAAATGTAAACAAAATAAGCAACGGTGGATCAGCTGATCGTGTTACCATAACCGCAATGGTTGCTATTGATTTCGCGAGCAAGCTCTTTCGCACGCGCGTGTTGCGTTAAAACCCCTTCTACCTATTTCTACGCACGCGATTAAACCTTCTTCGACGTCTGTTCGTTAATAAATCGTGGATAGAAATATTTGTTACAAACACTTACCAAAAGTCGACCCACCGATCTGAAGCGAATGCTAAAAAACTGTGATGCACTGCATGGTACGCGCGGGAAACAATAATTTACAAGAAATTAATAAGACAACCTAATAACACGCGAACAGTTTAACTAGGGTTAAACAAATGATCGGTATATAAAGCGATCAGATAGACGACAGAATCACCGGCACTTAGAGTATGATTGATCAAACACTTAAACGTAAAATCGAAGACATCAAGAAGCCACGAAACAGAGTAATAACGCAACAAGGAGACGAATGCGTGTTTTGACCGTGTCTCGAGTCTCAGGGTGAACTGTGTTTACTGCGCATGTGTATCGACGCAACCCTTCTTTCGACGGTTTTCATTGGTCGTTAGACAGGAACGACATAATTTAGGGCGCAGAATATGGCTAATTAAAAAATACAAAATTTATTTATGCACCGTACTATAGTTTTTAAAAGAAATCTTCTTTTAAAAAATAATTATTTAACAATCACATGAATACATAATGTGGCATTATAAATCAAATGAAAGTGTAAAACTTTAATTTTATTTAAAGTCAATTAGAGCAATTACTAATAGTTTTTGGAAAACAATTCTATTTTCTTTTTTAACTTGTTAACAATTGTTAAAAACATATTTTTCTGCTATGTATTATACTTGTACTAAATTCATGTATTAAACTTGTAACTTGTATAATCATATCCACTATATTTTAAAACAAATGAAATTTGGTGATTTATAATTAATAATATTATTTTATTTAAAGATATTGTAATAATAAAATATCAACTCGTTGATAAGGGAATCGTACTAGCGGCATCTATCACATTACTGTTCTATTATGGTAAATAAACGTATGAGATCTGTCGACACTGGATAAAAACAATGTTAAAGATATTAATTTTGTTTAATTAAAGGGTGTAATTAAAATGTCCGACGAATCGGAATATGACGTGGAACCAGAAGAGTTTGACATTTATAAACGAAAGTACCAATTGTTACTCGATAGATGTGAAGTTTTACAACAGGTTTATATGCATATTAACACTATATCCTATATAATATTTTGATAATTTTTACTGGTGATGCATTATTTGTAATTATAGGAAAATGAAAGATTAGTGTATCGAATTCAACGAGTAAGAAAACTTCTAAAACGTACAAGGAAGGAAAAAAAGTTAGTTCAATTTCTAGGTTATGTATTGAATATTGTTACAATATTATGTACCACTAATCTGTTTCTTATAGATTTTTAATTGATCGTTTGGATCAACATGGTGATCGTTGGCGGGAGGCACCCATGGGAGTTCTTGAAGAAAATAGTACGTTTCAAGTAACATCTAAACCAGAGAAAACACCAAAAGCTACTGGACATAATTCTAAAGAGGAGAAAACAAAGAAAGTAACAAAAAGAAAGGGTACAAAAGCTGATCCTAATGCACCAAAACGACCAGCAAATCCATTTTTTCAATTTTGTCAAGAACAAAGACCTCGTGTTATGGAACGCTTGGCTGGAGAACCAGAACCAAGCAAGCAAGAGCTCACCAGACAACTCGCAACTACTTGGAAATCTCTTAGTTCAGAAGACAAAAAAGTTTGTATCAAAAAGAAAGTTATATACACCATTCTGTTATTTGAATTACACATTTATCATGAATGTTTTTTTTCAGGTATATTATGATATGTACGAACGATCCAAAGAAAAGTATGTTGCTGAAATGCAAATTTATAATAAAAAATCGGAAGACACACCGAACCAAATGTCTTTAAATATAACATAGTATTAATATATAAAATAAATATTTGTAAATACGTAATTTATAATCACATATTTGCACATATGTTAATATTTGTGTATAATAAATGAAAATAAAGTTTTGTAAACAAGATTAACAAAATTCTTTTCTAAAAAAAATCATGATTTCAAACTTATGATTTGAAATTATCCTTTTCTCGTCTGAGAAATGCCATAGTTTGAATTGGATCCTTTTGTTCGGTATGATCCATAACAGATTTTTCATGAACTCGCATAAACGGGTTCGTCAATTTTTCTTCCTGAATAGTACTTGGCACGGTAGGATGATTCTTTTCGCGCTGTATACGAACCCATTCCATTTTTCTATGAATAGCGCTATTTTCTGGCTCCACAAACTTACCAAATTTCAAATTGTTTCCTGTGTACTCATGACCACAGTACACTTTCTGTAAAATATTTATAATAGTTTTCCCCCCCTGTTTATGATGTTTATTAAATATGAAAAATATAATTATATAATTACAGTTTCATCAGGCAATGATCCCAAGATCTTTATAAGTGCTGTATACATTTGTTCTGCAGTGCCCTCAAAAAATCTTCCACAGCCACCAGCAAAAAGTGTGTCTCCTGTTTGATAACTCTCATTAGTTATTACTAAATTCAAGCAGTTATGTAATTCATCGGTTACCTGAAAAAAGTGCTGGGGGATTTTGATCTCCTACAACATAATAACAGATATGTCCAGTGGTATGGCATGGTGTTGCAAGACATTTAACTTGTAATCTTCCAATATTGAAAGTGTCATTGTGCTTTACTTTATGGGTGAGTGCGTCTATTCTATCATCACCACCATATACTTGTAATTTATTGAATTTCTTACATAACTTTGCATTTCCTCCGGCGTGATCCCAATGGTGATGAGTAGTTAAAACTTTTGTCAAATTTAGATTATTTTGTAGAACAACAGACAAAATGCTGTCAGGATCAACAGGATCAACAACAGCTGCTTCTTGTGATGCTTCGTCGATGATCTTTCAATATTATAAAATATAATTTGATTCAGATAACATACTGTATTATTTGAATATTGTAAACCATAAAATACTCACAAGATACATATAATTATCTTGAAGTGCAGGTAATATTTGAACCTTCATGTTTGGTTGTTTTATTAAAGTACTCAGACTATGTGTTGCATAAAAACCATTCGTTGAGAAACTTCTTGCTATAAAGTAAATATATTACATTTATACTTTATCACATATGTATGTTCTTATCTTAAATATACGTAATATTAATGATAAGATTTCCACTTAAGACTTCCAAATAAAGTTTTCTTTGCACATGCATAATTTAATATCCATATAATCAGAATTTATTATAAAAATTCTAATCGAAATCACGAAAGCATTGAAATTTTAAAATGTGCAAGCAATCAAGTAAACATTGTTAAATATAGAAACAATTTAGTAAGAAAAGGAAATACCCTTAAAATACAAGGATGTGAATGTATTTTCAACCCACGTAGGACACGCACGAAACATCGCATTTATCATTGTTGTTAATATATTTAATTTCAAACAATTAATTATCAAACACTAAGCAAAATGTTACTTGCCTGATAGCTACGCAGTAACGGCAGAAAACAGCTGATCCGTACGATGTAATAGCGGTGTTAAGCGCTATATAGGTTATGTCGACGCCGTGTGAATTACTAAATACAAATATATGAATGCAGATATTTTATGCCATAATTCAACTAATACATAGTCTTATTTATTTATTTATTAATATAAGTATAAAGTAGCTTATACTACCACTGTTTTATGTAAACAGTGTTACAGTTTATTTATAATGTCTGCAAGCAATTCGAAAGATGTAATAATATTGGATGATGAAAACCAAGGTTTGTTATGATAATAATATTGTAGCACTGAAAACAAAATTGATGAAAATAACGTATGTTTCTCTATAATATATTTTAAATTTTATATTTTCAATCTTTTGTTAAGGATCATATTCATGTAATTATTTTTTTAGCTACTGAAGAAAGTGAAATTGCTGCAATTGATTATGAGCTAAAACAAATTGACAGTGAGATACAGAAACTTGAAGATCGTAAGAAGGTCTTAGTTCAACGTAAGGAAAAATTAAGGGATGATGCACTTTTGAAGAAGAGTTTATATGTATCAAAGAAAGATTGGGGTAAAGAAGATTTTAGTTGGTCCAAGGACCTGAGGAATGCTCTGAAAGATGTTTTCAAAATTAAGAAATTAAGAGACTTACAGCTGCCAACTATGAATGCAATTATGTCTAATGAAGATGTTATTCTAATTATGCCTACTGGTGGTGGTAAAAGTTTATGTTATCAGTTACCTGCTGTTATTAGCAAAGGTATAACAATAGTAGTCTCACCTTTAGTAGCACTAATGGAGGATCAATTACATGGGTTGCACAAAAATAATGTAAAAGCTATGATGTTAAGTGCAAAAGGAAACAAAGAAGATGTGAAAATTATAATGAATGCCCTTGTAGACAAGAAATCTGATCTTAAACTAATATACGTTACACCAGAGTATATGGCAAAATCGAACCGTTTCATGAGCAAATTACAAAAAGCCTTTGAAATGAAACGGTTAGATCGCTTTGCGATTGACGAAGTTCATTGTTGTAGTCAATGGGGTCACGATTTTAGACCTGATTACAAGTTCCTAGGAATTCTGAAATCCATGTTCCCTGGTGTACCAATTTTAGGATTAACTGCAACTGCTCCAGCAAAGATTATTGTGGATGTTCAAAAAATGCTTGATATTCAAGGTTGTTTAGTCTTAAGAGCCACTTTCAATAGACCAAATTTGTTTTACGAAGTTCGTCGTAAACCAGCAGATAAAAGCACGTGTCTAGCAATGATAGAAAATTTATTAAAAACTAGGTTCAAAGATAAATCTGGAATAATCTATACAACTACTATCAAGGATGCAGAACAACTAACAACTGATTTAAGATCGTTAGATCTAAAAGTTGGATGTTATCATGCAATGTTAGAGCCTCAGTATAGGTCAGAAGTATATTCTAAATGGATATCTGGAAATTACCAAGCTGTAGTTGCCACTATTGCTTTTGGATTGGGTATCGACAAGCCCGATGTAAGATTTGTCATTCATCATTGTATTTCAAAATCAATGGAAAATTTTTATCAAGAGAGTGGACGAGCGGGTAGAGATGGAAGGAAATCAGCATGTATAGTATTGTACAGATTACCAGATGTGTTCAAATTAAGCACAATGGTATTTCAGGATAAAGTTGGCCTTCAAAATTTGTACAAGATGTTAGCATATTGTTTAGATCTAACATCGTGTAGACGTAGTTTAATCGCAACTCACTTTGAAGAAACTTGGACTGAAAGTGATTGTGCAGAGATGTGTGATCATTGTAGAAAACGTAAGGAAAAGAAAGAAGTAAATATAGCTCCATATTGTAGACAGTTGTATGAAATAATGACCAAAGCAGTACAAAGTGAAACAAGATTGACTGCCCTAAAACTTACAGATGCTTGGTATGGTAAGGGGGCGACGACGTTAAGGGTACATTCTATACCAGTACCAAAATTTACAAGAGAATCTGGAGAGGCTATAGTAGGGCATTTACTAGTGAACGGATATTTGCAGGAAGACTTTCATTTCTCTGCATATTCTACAATATCATATTTAAAACGTGGACCCAAAGCAGTATTAGTACTTGATAAGGATCATAAGATACCATTTAATTATGAATTACACTAATATATGTTATTACATTACAGTCTGTGATATAGCAATACTTTTCATAATTATGATTATAATAATATAAGTGTATAATATCAAATGGTATTATATGTACAATAAACCATGACTTAGGATTTATACCAAAGAATCTGTTAGCTCCCATGAAGAAGTCCATTCTCAAAAATCAATAAATATTTTTATACATAAATGCACCCTTTGTATTTTTAAATACTGCTTTAGATACTTGCATAAATAATTATATTTTCTTTCGTTAATAAAATTATTTAGTGCAAATTGAATTAAGGGAGGAATATAATTTGCAATACATGCTTTTCTTTTTAAATTGTTCTATAAATAAGAAACAAGGAGTATCTATATAAAATCGGGTAAAGAATGATTCAAATTTAACGGAAAAAGAAAAATCAATAAAAACAGCATATATAAGACTGGACAACGGTATGTCGGTGGATCGGGTAGTAAGCGAACCACCAGGTTCACGATCAGATGGAAATATTGATCTTGGATAAGGGGTATCTGTGTTCTGTCTGTTGGCAAACACGTTTTACTACATCATCGTTGAGCAGTGAATTTTAGCGATGGGAAGATCTAATTTATTAATTGTTAAAAGTTAAACAACGAACGCTACGTGATACCAGTGAATCTTGAACACATTATATTCTTTATTGAAAATTTAATTACGTTCGCAACGAATAGTAACGTGCCAATAATACTTGTTTCATTCATGAATTCGTTCGAGTAAAATTTAATCCCTGTGAAGTTTCATAAAAATTTGAAAAACGTAATGGAATCTTGACAGTCCCTGATTCTCTAACATCGAAGAAAACTTCCGGCAACGCGTTACACTCCCGTACCATAAGGGTAACATTGAAAAGGTAGAAAATGCATGCTTCTTCGTACGTACACATCCATTATCAGCTTTATGTATGTATCAAGGCTAATTGGTTTGATAAGATGCTTGCATACTTAAACAAGCATACGATTACAGGAAACATCGGAGGACGAAAAATCAGTACATTGTAGCGTTTCTATGACCAATCTGTTCGCACGCTTCCACGTAACAAAATTTGAATTTTCCAGCTTTCATGTTCCATAAAAAACATTTACTAAAAGAATCAAGAAAAAAAAAAGAAAGAAAGCAGTGAACTGGGATTTTACATCTTCGCACGAATATTATATATGTTCTCCAGTGTAAGCCGAGACTAAATTCCTATGGATTCGTTCATTGACAATTGTGCACGATGGTTTTCTAATTAATTAACGATCATCAACGACTGGGGGAAATGACCGCATCGAAACGAAAATATCGCACAACTCTTTGATGAAATTAACTAGATGACTTGGATCGGCCAATTCCCCGCTGACGAAGATGCCTTTGCCAAATATTCTCCGAAAGGCGAGCAGTTACATTTTAGGCGATTGCAATCAAGACAATCGTCGTACAATGTACCAGGACGGGGAGGCGTTATTCTGTAAAAACAACGTATGCGTTCATCCGCCAACATTGATGAGACAGAACTCTGACGTGGTACATCATCCCGGCTACATGGCCATAACCTGTAGATTCAACAAAAATTCCAATGTACCAACTTTACATCTCAGCTGGATTCCTAACAGTACTCTACGGAAACACCCGACGACTTTAGAAAATTTAAGCGCAAAAAAGGTTGACTGTATCGTTCATCGGGATGCTGATAGAAGTTCGCATCACTCTCAGATATCGGAAGAAAGCTACGACTTGAAATCTGACTACGAGAATACCAGCGAGAAAGTTGACGTCTGTTTAGAAGTGAAGGAACCAGTGAATTGCGGGGATTGCGAACGCGTTTGTTCGGGTGGATTTCCACGGAATGCGCGCGACGAGGTACGCGACGCAAATTTGAAAAATGATGCCAGAGATAATTCAAGCGAAGATCAAAATGTATCGGAAACCAAGGAAAGAGACGCTAACGTCAATCGTCGAGTGGATTATTATCAGTCTGATAATTCATCGGTTACTATACACGAAGATAATGATCATAGTATTAGTTTAAATAGACTGCGTTCAGAATCTTTAGACTGCAAACATGGAGAGAATCAAAAGGATCAAAAGATTGAAAGCCAGGATGTTGATAGAAAGAGTACGGATGAAGAGCTTAGATATCCTTATTGCGATGATGTTAGCTTTAAAAGTCGTAGTATGTCGTTAACCTCAACGTGCAGTTTATCTGTTGGTGTATCATCAGAAGGTACTTAACTAACTTTATGTCTGTTGATAATTTTCATTAATGTATCCGCTGTGTTTTAGCTGAAGAGATTCCATCATGGATGAGATCACCTGAACTTCTGGCTTTGCAACATAACCTTACATTTCCTGAAAGTGCAACTGCTTCCCCTGTGACTTTGCGCAGAGCACACAGATGTAGAAGGTTTTCGGTGGATCTCAGTGAAATGAGATCCCTGAGATTATTTTTCGCCGATCCAGCCTGTACCTCTGGTCAATTAGTAGTTGCGAGTAGAGAGAGTCAATATAAAATTTTGCATTTTCATCACGGTGGATTAGATAGATTGGCTGCAACTTTGCATCAATGGCATCAGTTGCTTTATCCACGGTTAGATACAGATACAGAGGAATCCCTTCCGTACAGGTAATGTTGGATGGTTAACGTAACCATTGGTTGGTTTGTTAAATACTTAAAATCTCTTCTATAATTCAGGCATTTTATGGTATGCCGACCAGAAGTGAGCAGGGATGAATTGCATCCGGAAGAAGGACAAGTGCCAATGATTACATCCTTGGCTTGGAAGGATTTGTTAAATGAAAGGGGTCAAGTAGAAGATGATCTTGCTCTTAGAAAAGGAATATTTTTTGGTGGATTAGAACCAGCGCTAAGAAAAATTGTTTGGCCTTTCCTTCTTCATTGTTATTCCTATCAAAGCACTTATGATGATAGAGAACAAATCGATGCCATTCGTAGGCAGGAATACGAAGAGATACAAAAACGTAGATTGGGCATGAGTCCAGAACAAGCAGAATACTTCTGGCGAAATGTAGTGTGTATTGTAGAAAAGGACGTTGTTCGTACTGACAGAGGAAATCCTTATTATGCCGGGGAAGATAATCCGAATATCGAAGTAATGAAGTATGTTTACAGAAGAATAATAATAATTCATAGTTGCGTATCTTTGTCATTGATAATATCGTATCTTTCTTTGCAGAAATATTTTATTAAACTATGCAGTTTATAACTCTCGGTTGGGATATACCCAGGGTATGTCTGATTTGTTGGCTCCGTTATTAGCTGAACTTAATTCTGAAATCGAAGCATTCTGGTGTTTTGCTGGTTTGATGCAAAGATCCGTAGCCGTATGTACACCTACCGATGTGGATATGGACAGAAATCTATGTTATTTAAGAGAATTAGTTAGAATAATGGTACCCGATTTTTATGCACATCTTCAGAAACATACAGATGCCTTAGAACTATTATTCTGTCATAGATGGATACTTCTGTAAGTATTAAATTATAAATATTCTTATAATTTAATTATGTATAAGCTTGTTTCTAAATATATGGGTATTTCAGGTGTTTAAAACGAGAATTCCCTACCGAAGTGGCATTGGTAATGTGGGAAGCTTGTTGGGTAAATTATTTAACAGATCATTTTCATCTATTTCTTTGCCTTGCTATAATGTGCGTTTACGCAGACGACGTGATAGCGCAAGATCTTAGAACAGATGAAATGCTGTTGCATTTCAGTTCTTTAGCTATGTACATGGATGGAAACCTGATATTGAGAAAAGCTAGAGGCCTACTTCATCATTTTCGTCAACTGGTTCGTTTACCGTGCACATTAGCCGGACTTTGCCGTCAATGTGGTCCAGGAATGTGGGATAGCACTCATGACCCTGTTATAGAATGCGTGGGTCACGACGATGCACCCTGTCCGTACTTAAACAATTACGAATAACGACCTAATCTAATGAAAGTGAGAAAAATATTCTGCTGTTAAAGGTTTTTAAATTATTTTTACCTTTGAATAAGTAAATTAAATGCATGTAAAATACATAAGTTATATAAATTGCAGTTGACTAAATGTTGGAAATATTAATGAAAGTAATATAACTCGTATAACATTTTTATGAAGAAATTCTTAATTAAATTGAAAGCCAAAATAACATATATGAAAATCTTATTTGCCATAATTTTATAAGTTTTAAATACCGATCTAGAAGTAACTGGGAAATGAAATTTGATAACGCGTAAGACACTAAAAAGACATATCCTAAAATTCAATGTTCAATGAAGCTTATCATTTAACGTAACGTCGACAAATTTTAAAAATAATACCGCACCTACAATATCCAGTAAAACAAAAATATTCTATATTAACTAGGTAGAACTCGAATGATCATTAAAAGAGTTCTAACCGAAAACGTAGTACAATTAAAGACTGATGACCAAAGAAAAAGAAAACGGAGTAGTACAAGCATTCTAACTTTAAAATATCCAGGCAGATAAAAAGCTCTTTCACTGCATAATCATTATATCATTTATTTATTACACTTTAAAGATGTACCATTCTTCAGTTTGGTACAACTTTCATGAATTGAGTGATCAGAGAATCTAATGTAGTATCAATAAAAGAAATCAAATGTAACTCGATGTAAGCATCATAAATATTTATTACAAGTCCGTTCAAATTTCTTGGTCAATTAATGTGTTCACTTTGGGATATTCACTTACGTGGTATTTTCACTATCTTTTCTACAAGATTTTATTGTTTATTATACGTATGTGTTACACGTAACGTGCCACTTTTTATTGTGCAGTACATTTAATTTTGTACTAATATTGTAATAATAATTTACATAGATGGTGTGTATATCTTGTTCAACATTTGTTTCTATTATTTCGACTATACCCAAAGTGCGTTTATGCTAGTCCATTTGCTCAGAAAAAAAAATATATATATATATAAAATAGATGAAATAATCTCTTTATATAAATTCTTCAATTCTTTTGGTAAAAGTGATGTTCCATTATAATGAATGTATACAATTATATTATTTGTATGATTCCTTACAGCATAGGAAAATTAATTCTAGTAACAACTGTTAATAATGAAGAGAATTGTAAGGAATTCATAGAAATAATATAAAGCTTTTACTGTGCCACCTTGTGTTGTTAGGCAATTACAGAGAGATCTATTCGTGTTAAAAATTTGTTCTGCTAAGTCTAATTAAGTATGGACATATAAATACATAAAATTATGTATGTATATACCGAAATAAATCAAAATAAGCTTATATAATCACTTCTTTATTTTTATTCATTTACCTTTAGAAAATATATGTATACATATTTTACTTATTGTATATTACACTTACACAGGTACATGGTATGAGAGGCATACTTTGAATACTTTGTTGGCAGTTGTGTATGGTATATAAAAATATGTTTTCAGATATATAAATTAAATTTTATCTAATTAACAATATTCGTTTAATCTGTACAGTATTTTCTTGTGAATACTTTAAATAAAATGTGCTAAAATATTGCTGAACTGAATCTGCTTAAGAAGCACTAAATAGGCATTCAAATATTAAATCGATTTATTAGTTATGTAACTTCATAGTTTGAAATATACCTTCATACCATTTAATAGTGGGCAAAACATTACTAGTTGGCCACCAAATATCACCTACTTGAAAGACATTTCATGTACAGTAGAAACTGTACCAACAGATATCTACTAAATAAAAATATGTATACAAAATATGAAGGATATATCATACAAAAGTTTAAAACTTAAATTAAGATTATTCATTTGGCTTGTACAAGATTATTCCTGACTTGTGCCAGCATATTGTCAGTTTTAATGTGACGCATTCTGTCACAAAGTACAGCCGGGCCCCAGTATCCGCGGGTATTACATTCTAATGCCTAATCGTTATTATTCGTTCAACGAAAGAACATACCTGTTTCGCGCAGCTCAGGAAGGCCCTCTACTCCTACTTCTGGCATTTCGCGGCACTTTTTGGTTAGATACACGGTGAACAAAAATATATGAACAGAGAAAGCAAATGACACCGTCGAAGGTCGAAGAGAATACTGAATATAAGAGCGCCAAATATGCTGCGCAGATACTACGCGCATGCGCAGATGAAGCATGCTTGAGCCAATCAGAATTAACATGCGCAGAACGAACGAAATAGACGTGAACCTCGAATAATACCGAACTTAGAAATTAAATTTGTCCAGTAGCAACATTAAATAAAATAATAATAAAATGTACTGCATAATACATTGTACTTATACTTATAGTATACTTTGTTTCTTTTTCTCTTGGATTTTACAACTCCAAGAGGATATCACACACGTCCATAGATACTGAATCCGCGGATATAGGAACTCGACTGCAATATTATTAATATTATTACCCTCACTATTACATTCTTTTAATAATGGTGCCAAGAGTATTAAAAATCAAATAAAAATACCCTACCATTAACATTAATTGTTTATCTATAGTATACTCTATAACTATAGTAATTACAAATATAATTTTAGATCTTTTTACTCGTTGGTAACTTTTGACTAAAGTTAGTGTTAAAAATTTTAAATATTTTTTACGTTTGTATTGAAATTATTAATATAATAATTAATATCCTGCTGAAAATTCAGTCCCGGCGAATGATATTTTATACATGCTAGATTTAAATAATTTTGAAAAGAGACTAATTAATAGTGCAACATTAAATTCTTTGTTTCTCTTTCTTGTTGCAATATTTTTGATTGTAAATTTTATAACTTTAAACCTGTAGATTGTAAATGTATCTGTATGAAATTGACTGATACTAAAACCATGCACGTAATGGCCCAAGCTATAACAAATACGAGCCAGCAATTATTAGAAAATGGACTCGCGAATTTATTAACAACACCAAGACCTATAACTTTATTTGTCTTTTGTCTAGCGTAATACACCAACACTGTTGGAATCAAATACTGTATTCCTGCACCAGCGTACGACCCCGTAATCCCTACTAATATTGATAAATCTTTAGTACTCATGGCGATCATATACGGAGGCAGTATCGCCAATATTGGGAAGACAAGTTTGTAAAGACACGAATAGGATGTGTCCTCGTGAAGGAACAACGATTGTAAATTATTTCTAAGAGTAATAGCTATAATTGGGAAACTGGTACTCAATGTGAATACTGGAAAAAGTGCCAGAAAATACTCTATAAGAACGATAAAAATATTATTACTTTTGGAACAATCACCGGAGCCACGGGGGCTAAAATCTAAAGTGTAAAGATCATCCAAATGCTCAAAAGCAAATGCTCCGGTTAATGCTAATAAAAGATAAAAAAATGCTATTAAGAAATAATCCAATGCCATAAATCGATTTAAAGTAGACTTATTTGCTATTGGGGCTACCAAAGCAGGTAGAGAATGATGACACATAAAAGAATAGATACAAGCACCAAATAAACTAGGTATACCTGAAATATATATAAGTAAATACGATCCCCTCGGTTATTCAAATACTAAACAAATATATATTTTTTAATTATGTGAACAAACTTACCCATGATATTTGCTGTTGGAGGATTTCCTTGTGCCCCATGAATGATTAAATTTTTTACAGCATACACAATCATTATTGTAAATGCAAGCCATCTCATTCCTGATGTTAAAAATTGAAGATACTTGGTTCTTTGAATATTGAAAAATACAAAAGGTCCCAATAAGAATACGAACATACTCTGAAAATAATATTTATCATTATAGTATGAAAAAGAAAGTAAAATAAATATGAAAATTTATGTTTAGACATACAAGGAATATCCTATATGCATCTTGCCGATTTACAGAATACTCTTCCCAACAGAGCTCAGTATCTGGTATGGTATCATTACAAGTAAAATTTAGTGGTTGATAAGTACAAGCAACATCGGCTAAAGTTTTTGCAACAGCTGCTCCATAAATGCTCAAATCTCCATAAAGGTATACAGCAAAACATATATAAAACAGAGTTATACCAAACTTATTAAAAAAAATTGATGCCATCTGTCCCATTTCTATTTTATCGCGAATTACATAATATCGATATGTCATATCTGCACGATCAGGGCTACTGGAGAATGGTGTAACAAGAGGAGTGTCTTCTGAGTCAGAATTTGAAGGACCAGATTCTCCCAATGTCTGAAGCATCTGCAATTGCAAAATAACCAATGAAATATATGCTCACTTAAGGACAAGTGTAAATGATTAGCTAGGGAAATGAATACATCTTGCTCTATTCGAGATGCTATGTTAAATAAGATACACACAAAGAGCAAGATATAGAAAAAATCTAAAAACCTCAGATTCTGATTCGTTGAAAGACGAATCTTGAGTGAAACATACACGTTTTCGATGCTGAATATGTCGCCAAGTTACAATAGCATTGGCAGATGCCATCACCTCGATGACAAATGTAACTGTGATAAAGCTGTAAATATGAGATAATACATGATTAAACCTTGAATTAAATTTTCTCAGATTTACTGATTTCAATTGTATACCTTATAAACGCTAATATTAAAATAACGCTCAATCCGAGAGCCCATCCTGCTTTACTGAAAACAGCGGGTAATGTTAAAGCTCCTGTGCCAACAATTAAATTGAAAATATATATGAGTCCGACCTACAAAACATATTAGTAGATTAAAATGCCTGTATAAAGAAAAAGGCAATTATACAACACTAGTAAATTATTTGGCTGATTATCATGGAAAGGATTGTTTACGGTCGAAGGTTATGTGATATCGTGTTTACGAAATTCATTACGAGATTATTGACTTACCCATGAAGAATATTGGTCGTTTGAATTTTGCTCGGGCATTTTGATTCAAGTTACTAATTAAAATGAATCAGACTTCTCGAGCAACTTAGTAATGCTGTCACATATGTCATTGACCTAACTATCGGTGCGTAGTTTTCCAACGATAACACAAAGCAACTGTAAGATCGCCCTATGTTGGATCATACGAAACATCTATTTACGCAGCACTGCTTAGTTTAATCCAGAAATTTTCCTATTTATAGCTCAGTTCCTAAAATATAATTTTATCAGAAATTTAATTTTTCTAAAATTACACGTTTATCATGTTAAAAAAAATGCATTAATTGAAATTCAAATTTAAATTAGTATCAAATATTTTCTTCCGTTCGACTGTACGCGCTGATGTCGATTTTGTAATCAAAATGGAGAGTGCTGCCACCTAATCAAAATGCAATGCAATTTAAATGCAGTTACTAACCAACAAAGATAATTCAAGGACTGTTGTTAAATATTAAATATATGCATTCATATACACCCACAAAATAATAAATACAAGATAACAATTTATCCATAATTAGCGATCAAAAAAATATATCTGATAATTTTAAGTTTACATATGTTCTTATTTATTAAAACAATTGCCAAATGATAGATGTAACTTAAAATATAAATAAGTAAAAAGAACAAAAGATAGATTCCTTTGAATACTGATTACTGCTTAATAAAGTAATACTAAAGTATACAATTGAATATATTTAATTGTCCTAATGAATAAATTTAGAAATTCATAAGCAATGGCATTATGGAGAGATGAACAGGTATCGTTTGATTGAAAATAACTTTTATTAGACTGAAAATATAAACCTAATTCTTAGAGTAATATAAATTTTTACCACAAATCTTACGTTACAATAATGAATAACACCAAACGGTACAAAAGCTACATCGTGTATAAAAACTACGTGAATTCATGCTAAATGAAAGAACTGATGATTATTTTTTTTTATTTTTATCTAGCACGCGTAACTATTTTGTATTGGATTGGAGATCAAGGACAAGATATCCAATAAAGGGTATTGGAGAACTTGTAATTTTAAAAAACACAAGAAGTCAAAGTAATAATGTTTTTAAGAGTTTTATTTTATAATCCCATAAGTCTAAAGTAGTCTTTAAGATGTGTACGTGAATGGTCTTGCACAATACAATGGGAATAAATTATAATACTTTGGCTACGCTTGCGGGGTCGAAACCGTGTCTTTTTCATTCGTTTGAGCGAGCGTTTGTGGGATACTTTTCTGGGTCAGCGGTCTCCCCCATTATTAATTAAAAAAAAAAAAAAAAAAAAAAATTAAGGAAAGAGCCATCTTTTTCCCTCAACGATTGGTAACAGTAAAAAAGAAAGAAAATTAGTGATTAATAAATTGAAGAACCTATCTCCGCAAGGAATGAATTCTTAAAAGACCGACAGAAAAGTCTTAAATATCGCGGAGCAAAGAAGGTAGCGGAATGCATTTAATCGGAGGACAGAAAAAATTAATTGTGAACCTTCCGTGCATTTAGGATATTCGATAAGAGATATCCATTTATGCATCGAACGATATTCCAAGGTTAAATATGTTTTTCAGCTCAAATTCATGAAATGTTGAAATTGACAAATATATTTGACACAACAAATTACTTTCGAACGTAGAATGAAATATCGTAATAAGAAAGATGTTCATCTTCGTGAGGGTGGTTAGCTAAGATGCTACCGTAGGCAAATGTTATTTGAATATATAATACAAAGGATTTGATAGGAATAGGAAAGGGGGGTTTTGTTTAGGAATTCGGAGAGTACCTTTAAGATACAGCAGTGTCTTAATTATATGATGAAAAATGAATGGATGTAAGGCATTACTGTATCTTAAATTACAATCAAAAGACAATTATTCGCGGAAGTTGATGTTACGTCCGCCTGTAAAAAGAGACAGAGGCCGCTCTCGGGATTCAGGGAATGATAGTATGCAAGAGGAATATCAAAGATAGTGCTTAGAAGCACTTCCTGTGAACGATGGATGGTCCTGATTCGTCGTATTCTTGTTTAGAGATCCACATTTGCTGGAAGGTAGACAAAGATGCAAGAATAGATCCACCGATCCATACAGAGTATTTCCTCTCAGGCGGTGCGATGATCTTGATTTTCATAGTTGATGGTGCTAGGGAAGTAATTTCTTTCTGCATTCTGTCTGCAATTCCAGGATACATGGTGGTACCACCGGATAGTACGGTATTGGCGTAGAGATCTTTACGGATGTCCACGTCGCACTTCATGATTGAGTTGTACGTAGTTTCGTGGATACCGCAGGCTTCCATACCCAAGAAGGATGGTTGGAAGAGAGCTTCGGGACAACGGAATCTCTCGTTACCAATTGTAATTACTTGACCGTCAGGAAGTTCGTAGCTCTTTTCCAAGCTAGAGGAGGATGCGGCGGTGGCCATTTCCTGTTCAAAGTCCAATGCAACGTAGCATAGCTTCTCCTTGATGTCACGGACGATTTCACGTTCGGCCGTGGTGGTGAAGGAGTATCCTCTCTCGGTAAGGATCTTCATGAGGTAGTCGGTCAAATCACGTCCAGCCAAATCCAAACGTAGGATAGCATGAGGCAAGGCGTATCCTTCGTAGATTGGTACAGTGTGCGATACACCGTCACCAGAGTCCAATACGATACCAGTGGTACGACCGGAAGCGTACAGCGAAAGTACGGCCTGAATAGCGACGTACATAGCAGGAGTGTTGAATGTTTCGAACATAATTTGTGTCATCTTTTCACGGTTAGCTTTAGGGTTAAGAGGAGCCTCGGTAAGAAGTACCGGGTGCTCTTCTGGTGCCACTCGCAGCTCGTTGTAGAACGTGTGATGCCAGATCTTCTCCATGTCATCCCAGTTGGTGACAATTCCGTGTTCAATTGGGTATTTCAGGGTAAGAATACCTCTCTTTGATTGAGCCTCGTCACCGACGTAGGAATCCTTCTGTCCCATACCAACCATGACACCCTGGTGGCGTGGTCTACCAACGATGGATGGAAAAACGGCGCGGGGCGCATCGTCACCGGCGAAACCGGCTTTGCACATACCGGAGCCATTATCAACTACGAGTGCGGCAACTTCTTCGTCACACATGTTTAGTTTGTTGATTTATCTGCAAAAAACAACGCAAGTATTAGTCATATTATCATTTTTCCTCGGACGATATGCAAAATTTAATTGCAACTTTTTCAATATTTACGACGGTAAGCTGAACTTAAAATACATTTATACTTTATTTTAAAAAAAATTTAATATTTGAGCGTGTATATTTATACTTAATGTTTCCATAGTTCTTAGAATTCTCTGATTAAATGTTTCAGTTTTGGAGCTACAAATTTTGACTAGCTCCATTTTATAAAGTACATGAAAATTTAATTAAATACTAAATCGCTGTTATTTGCGAGTATATTATAATTAAATTGGCAAAGGAAAGAATACCATGTGTTGTGAAACATTTTAAATATTTTCAAGATGGCGTCGTAAGACACGTAGCACTCTACCATTCAGGTAAGAAAAATTGAATATATAAAACAAAGATTTTAATGACTACCGAGTTAAATATGCTCTATACTAGTATTTCTGAACGTGAAAAAAAGAAACTTCGGAAGAAATAACGATCGAAAGAGTTTCTAGGTGTTCCATAAATTGCCGTTAACTACAACCGCACCCTGCCCCGCCCTACCCCGGCATAAACGGTCAATATCCGACATGTTTTCAAAGAATGTATTCGTTAACTGCTACGGGCTTAAAATTTAATATCTATTTAAATCAAGAATGAAGCTCAACGAAAATATCATTTTTTACTTTAGCGAAATATACTGTTAGAAAATATTAAAAAAATACTTGATATTACGAAAACCAGTACTTTTCCTTGAAAGATTCTTTGCTCACATATAAAGCATCACTGAAGCAAATTTTCTACCATATTTTACAGGGACCCAACACTATTGTATTGTAATTTAAAAACGCGACACAAAACACACTAAATATGGCACAAGCATATTTTTAAGCCTAACAACACCCACTTCTCGATTTGGAAATCCACGTTCGGATGTACGAACGATCAACTATATATCGCCCACACACTATCCCTAATTAATTGCACTGCGAATAAATTTTTCTTTAAACCGGCCCTGTCGTATTCAGAATTATCTATCACTGAACTGAAATTTCGATAACTTACGTTTTTTATTTCTTTTCGTATAAAAAAAGTTATGTACAAGGAGTTCGGGTATTTGGAAGTGACACTGTCGCACGACCGCCCGATCTAGCACCAAACACAGAATGTAGCTGACAGCCGGCTTGCAGTGTATTATATGAACAGAGTCGTTGTTCGGTACCCCCACTCCTAACCGATCGACCAATAAGGGCAGGACACCCTCAGCCAATCCTGGCTTTCTTTACCATATATGGAAGTGCTCTACCACGGAGGGGTTTGTCCCCTCCCCTCTCGCGCCCTCCTCCACAGGCCGAAGTGTGTCTCACCACCCTTCGTGAATGCATCCGCCAAATTGAACGAACCGCACATCTCTGATCTTGCCAATGCTTTCCCCCCTCGCTATATCGTAAGCTCTGTTTGGATCATATTCAATGTCAGCAAGATTTTTGTTTTATTCATCCGAGTACTAAATAATTGTTTCCGCTATAGAGAGACTCACAGTTTTCCTTTTACATTCATTGGGAACTAACGTATATCCAAATCGGCTTACCTATCGCAACTCCGATATTCTTCTTTAAAAAATTTACACAAAAATTTTTATTAACTCCAATATTAATATTTAAAACATTTATAGTAGCTACATGTATTTATCATTTCTAGAAGTTTAAATTGTTTTCACTTTATACCGAAATACCAAATATAAAAATTCAATTTTTTGAAAGTAACAAAGTATAAGTTTCGCGACTACAGGATAAGTGCAAGGATTCAATTCTAAAATACTATGGTATTAAATTGTACGCTTGTTAGCGTTCTCATTTTCGGACCAAAAATAGAATTACACTCGCATTTCGTAGTACGGCCAAGCATAATCCTAGGTTAGTGCTGTAACGCAGCATCTACAGGGTACAGCTATTAATAAACGACCGTGTCGCGACCACCTGTCTTGCAGTGCGTGTACGTCAGGAACCACTTGCGACGACAACCTGTCGGATCGTTCCGGTATATTCCCCTTTTTCGAAATGATAATAGCAAAAAAGAACTTTTCAAACTACAACATGCTATGTCGAGAAGACTTAGAGACAAAGATAGGAACGTCCTATCCGTTATGGCTGGTCGTGCACCGGCGTTTGTGCTCGATTTTTCCAACGTTACAATTATGACAGATAAACGTGAAACGTTTTATATTAATATTACACTAATATATCAAGCTGTATAGGTACTCACCTTTTAGAACAGAAAGTAACCAACGTAATACGTGATCGTTGCTCGGCAAAAGGATACCGCAAGAATACTATCGACACGAGCGAGACTCGAGAGCTGCGAGTTGCGAGTACTGTGAGCGAGATCGTGGCCGGTACCGTGTCATGTAGACTCGCCCAAAGGTGTGGTCGGCATACACGTTGCTAATGCTTCAAATTATGTTGGATATTTCCTACATTTTCCATATGTTTTTTAATCATATTCGTAAAATATGATTCATCCGATGATGAAAAATTCGAGGAACAAGACATTTGATTATCATTTGTTTTAGTTAAAATCATATTTCATAATATCATTCAACACGGACACCCCTCTCTTGGAATGAACTCGTCCGCCGGCTTCCCCCACTACTCGGATTCACAGCTCTTGCCATATATGGGCATAAAACGAAAGCGGCTCGTTGATTGGTCCGTTGGTCGGCTGCCGGCTAGATTCTCCAAATGCCGCTTCAAACTGTACGATACGGGGAGCATAATGCCTTCTGGAAGCGTACACTAGCGTAAGGGCTGTCCTGACTAACCGTCAGAGCTCTATATGCTAGTGTGCGTATGAATATATGCGAAGATTACTGTTCTTTGTGTATGTATGCTTGCGAACTAATACCGGCAGTAGGTATGACTCAGAAAAAGTTTTGTTACATACTTTGGAATGGTCAACATTTTCTTTTACTTAATGGAAACCGAAGCACCTTCTATTAAGATGTTCCGGTCATGTAGTCATACATGCTTTCAAAAGAAAATATTTCCTGTTACTAAAAATTCCTTTTTTCATATACAAAGAACTTCCTTATATAATGTAACCTCTTATTGTTTCTATTACGTATTGATAACAAAGTTAAAATATCGCACAAATGACTTAAAAATGATTATCGTTTCCAAATTAGTAGCTTTAGAAAACCAATGCATCAGATGCAACTACTGTACATATACATATTCATCGATCAAACTTTTATATTAATACCAATACTGTTATTCCTTAAAAATGGGTAAATTAACGCGTGTTTGATAATCAAACAAAGCCGGCAATTGTCCTATCGCTTATTGTACAGTATATGTCATCTCAGTCGACTTTTTCATGAAACAGAAGCTAAAAATAGACTCAAGGGCGCAGATAAGGGTGCACTGGACTACCACATATATGTATGTATATACGATATCATACAAGCCCTACGCTACGGCCCTATTGTTGTGTGATCGTATTTATCCGACGGAAGACGCTATAGTGTATGCGAGTGCAGTGTCTGCTTCAAAATCGATAGGCGTGTTCGTGCAGTCACTACGTTAGGTCATACTTGGTGAACGAAAAACCACGTGGTATCGAAAACGTCAAAGTACTGATAGTCAAATCGCGTATCGCTTTTTCGTAATACATCATTTATATCTGGATAACATTTTTCACTTCAAAATTATCGTGCTATTATCTGATAAAGAAAAAATAGAAAGTCATGTAGATTTATAAGTTAAACTATAATATAAGAATTCTTTGCAAGCACATGCAAATTATCCTTCAATTAATATTTTACATAGATTATACGTATACTAATTGTTGTTTAAGATCGGTATTGCGCCATGGACGTTTTAAAAAAACAGGACAGTTTTATAAATACATCCGTCACGCTCGTTTAATAAAACTGTGCTCCTATGACACAATCAATGAATCATTTGAGCCTAATAAGAAATCGTGTTAGGTTATGCACCCGTTTTCAACGGGTGCATGCCAAATTCTATTCTTGGTTTTATGTTTATTACATAAAATTTATACATTGCTCTATATTATTTGCGCCTATTAAAGGCAATCTTTCTACTTAATGCCCGTGTGAAATTTAAATACACGTCACTGATATATCACATGGGCGGATGGACTACTTCAAACTCTAACCTAACCTCGCAGCTGTCACATGTGTATACCTTAACTAAATACACATACAATTTCTTAATCTATCATTAATTATCAAAATAAATTATCCACAGAAGAGAATGTAGGAGATACCTTATTCTCTTGAATACAAAGTAAAATCCAGAAGCGCGTATCTGCTAATTACATTAATATATCGACGTTGCTTATATCATCGCGTTAAAAATAATGCTTTTCTAAATACTCGCAGACGTCAAAGGAAATTTTTTAGATAATCAGCTCGAAACTGAAAGTAAGCAAGAAAAAAAGAAAAGCAATAAAGGTAGGTTTATAAAAATAAAAGGAAACAGTTTGTAAAGGGCAACACGTGTTGCTATCTTATTTCAGCCGGTACCGTCCAACTGGTACCTATTTACTTTTGACGAAGAACTGAATTATCGCGACAAGTCCGCAATAGGAAGAATTAAATCCACGTAAGGCGAAGTATATTGTGGGCGGCCTGAAAACCCAATGGTCTGCAAAGCCTCGACCTTGCTTACCAAATAAGGTCCCATTCAAGGTCTTCGAGGCCTTGCGTAAGGCTCTGGCTGTGCCATCGGCATAACGATTAACCGATTATGTCTACGTTTTAGTCATCGCTCGTTTTTAAGTGAAAATGGTGCAGCCACCATCGAGAGCACACCGTCATTTTATATATTTAGCCTTCTCCCGATCGTTCGATTAGATTAACTTCGAAAATTTCGTATTGGGCGTGTCTGCCCTACGCGGACACGTGCCCCGTAGGTAACGTCTGGCTCCAGTCGCGCAGTGCCACCGAAATCAATACGGAATGCGACGGTAAGTTCAACGCACCCACCCAGAAGAGTGCTTAAAGTTCTTTCTCATCGGACTACTCGGCTGCATTCGGTCCGGGCATTGAAACTATCCTTAATCGCCTAAACGAGGTCAACGATCTACGCTATTTTTCCATTTTTCAACTGATAAAAAAGATTGAACAGTTGATCCATAAAATTATTATTGTTAAATGAGGACAATAGGCATTACAGGTACTCAAATGGTACTCTAATTTCCTTTGATCCGTATATTACACGTACCTTCTTTACTTTCCCTTGGTGAGAACAAAAGAGAGTCCCTCAAAGGTACTCCTGGCTCTCCTCAAGGTACATTCAACCAAGTGGCTGTTCATGCATGCTACTTGAATTCTTCGCCAAGAGGGAGGTAAACTATTTCCCATAAGTAGTCTTATCTCCGTTCTTTAACTCCTTCTAAGGTAAACCATATAGAAGAACGAATATGAAATTCCTATTATTCTTGTAAATTTATAATAAATACGTTTCGTTAACCTAATTGGATCCAACCGACCCCTTTCGTTAATATCATTCATATTTTATGATCAGCAATTACTCTTAGCCGATAGGTAACTTTCCACGATTCATTTCCAGTCATGATCATCGTTGACGAGTGGAAAGCATGCATGGAATCCGGCCAGAGTGGAATACGCGATCACTATATTTAGTGTTGACTTATGGCTCGTCAGATCGAGAAACTGTGACGTCCTCCTCAGCAGCTGACGATAAAGAGAACGACGATAGCCAGCGCGCAGACTGTGGACTTGTTGTTTCTATCGAAATAAAATTCTCACTGAGAATTCGTTGATGATTCAAGGTACCAGCATACTCTTGGAAAACATCCAACGGTTCATCAAAATACGTTATTCATTCACTGGTTACTCATTAAACCGTACGTACAAAAAGTTCTGGGTACTGATAATTGCCTACTCATACGTATGACAAATTCGTTTGATTAGGCGCGTGTGCTCATTTCATATTCAGACTGTAATTTATCATCTGTTTTTCATTCTTCTGATATCAATTGGCGAAATAAAATTCCTTCTCGTTAACGCGTTGAATGCCATGGGGGTCCCCGGTGACCGGCGCCATAAATTACACATGCTTAAATAATTAAAAGAAAACAATAGAAAGATATTATTTTAAACGATATTGCTATTGTACAATTATTGAAATTTGAAAATTAACTATTCCTTCTGTTAATTCCAATTAATTCTTAATGATTAGAGCTTCAAAATAATTATAATTATTTTATAATCCATAAAAATTTGTATAAATCTCATTGAACCAGGTCTCGATACCTTTTATGGTAAAATAGCAGCAGAGTAGGAAATAATCAGAAAATACCTACGTCTGCAGAAGTGGTACGTAACAAATTCCTTGTCTAGCGATATTATCAGATGATATCGATAAGATAATTCTTAAGTACCGCACGATTGAGGCGCTACAGTTTTTAACAATTTAATTCCTACTTATCAAATGAAATTTATTACAAAATGATAAATCTTTTCTGCTTGGAGTATTATAATAAAAAAGATTCTCCTGTAGTTGTTGAAGTGATTCAACGAATCGGAGGTAAAAATGACGAGTATTCCATCGACAAGATTCGCGGTCTTCAGCTCTGACGAATGACGCTGGAAATTCTTCGGATTTGACCTTGCACACGCAACTGACCCAGAACAGGTAGACAACCGGTAAAACTACGTGTTCGTACACGTAGCCGGTTACTTGTGTTCTTGACTCCGTTTTCTTCCACGGTTATGTGTTGCGTTCACAGGAAATCAAGGATTTGGAACACGGCCATGGATCGTTAGGATTACCAAAAACGATCATTTCGTCCTTCCGCTTATTCAAATAGCCACGCGAGCTGCTTACAAGACTTCAATGCATAAAACGATAAATAACAGTAATGTCCGATTCCTTCTGATTCTATTTATCTGAATGATTTCAGAAATTGTTCCAAGAAATTTCGAAATAACAGATTATTAGTATTCGAAATGAATGATTTCAAGTGAACTATGTACTTATTAGATTCATAACTTCTTTGTGCGTGGATTAAGAAGATAAGATTGTATCGTGTCATAATTATAAAGGAAAATTTTCCTAATAGTAATCGTCGCATAAAACGTAATATCATTAACCACTTGATGGCTGATCGTCAGCGATAACGTTATTTTTCATTATTATCATTCGTTTCTTGTATTTATCATTTTCAATTAAAATTATATTCACAGATTGCAATGGTACTTTTTTTTCATTCAAAGTTCATTTACTCTGTGCCACGTTGAATTTATTCCAGCTCTTCCTCCGTACTATTGGTGTCGAGTTTTGCGGTGAAACGATGGTCGACTTCTGATCTCAATTTCTTTCCTTTTGAGAAACGTATACGCTCGGCTATGACGTGAGAAATAACCAGTCTGCAAACTTCCGAGCTAGTAACTCTTTTTACCAGAGCTAACTCGTGGTTTCCATCGGGCACGTTGAATTATCAATCTGTAGAAAATATTCTGCAACTCCATGTACCACCGGTTTGGGAATTGGAAAAATAACTTGGTACTTTTCTAGGAAATACATTAGAAGAAGAAAAAATTGGAATAATATTATTTAGTTTGTGCAGATATGAATCTCTTGAGAGGCACTGCTCTCTAAATAAAAGGCCTAACTCTGTCACCAAAGTCGATGGGTCTTTAGAGGCCCGGGACCGTTATTTTTCTTTTCTGAAAATTGGCACCAATTTTCCTCCATGCATTTTCAGAAGGATTCATTCAAATATTTCAAAAGAATTGGCTGTTTTTTTTTTTAAATATAATCCCATATTCCATTAGTATCGTTCTGGATTTCCGTTCTCACAATCGCATTGTCCTCCTATCGGAGTGATTCGCGTGGAAGTGCAATCCTTCGGAAGAAAGCTACCAATGGAAAGAAACTATCCGATGAATTTACATTTGCCATAGTTTTCACATCTGCGAGTGTTGGTTACACACGAGGCACTTACGTTTTAGGCCAAGTGCACCGTTCTCGTTGCATATGAAAGTGGAACAGCTGTACTGGCTAGAACGGTATGTTGTCTACATGGTAAGACGACCGGTGTCCTTGTTCAGGAAAGCAAGGTCTTGCCTTATCTGTGTAGCTGGATGAGATCCCTCCGACTGATCGTTTACCATTCACGGAAATATTAAATGCCTCGATGCGACGACCTACAATTTCGTATAGACGTTGAAGGTTCATTTTTCTGAATGTAGCTAAACGCTATTTCATTTGAAACTCGAATCGTCATTGCGAAAATAGATATAGAATCTTCAAGACTGTCCATTTTCATCATATTATTTGTTATGTATGTCACTCCCAGGATGTTCAATTTAATCGGAAGAGCGGTTAGGCGCTTCCACGCGTTACACTTGATTACAATTAACTCACCCTAAACATTCGAGAGTTCTTTATTAGCGTAACCACTTGTTGGTAACATGTAGGTCGGTTCCTTCCACTCAAAAGTGTTTTTATTAAAAAATTGAATTATTTTTAAGCCTCCGGTATTTTCTATCATTTTTAATTTCCTAAACACAAATGTTAATTAAATTAGCATTAACATGAATAGGAATGGAAAGGTACAGGCATCGTGAATGCCAGGCATTTCCATCTGGCCCTTTTTACAAAGTGTATAAGAATTCAAGAAGCATTCGTGGTTATAAATAGCCGTTTCCGCTTCGTCAGGTAGACAGAACCGATTGACTCTTCAGCTTCGTCGAAGGACAAGATACCTCGAGGACCTTCTCGTCTTTTATGCATTTTGATTCACACAGGAAGAACGTTAGAGTTTTATATATTCAACAAGATAAAATCAAAAAATAATAGTATTTTTATATAAAATACTTAACTTGTTAAATAAATAGCGTTTCAGATCAGAAAATTATTTAAGCGCTGTTTTGTAATATTTTTATAAAATATTAGATTTTCTATATTTCAAAATCAGTTGTTTGATAATTTCGTTTGAAGTGTGGTACACACTCGGTGCATCTTTCATTCATCCTAAATGGTCTCGTAATTCGAACGATTGTCGTTGAAGCAAAAACTTGGGTTGAATGAAACTGGAACGGAGTGGTAGGTTCGTTAAGTCGACAGGCAAAAACTACCGGCTGAATGGCTGGATACTGCACAGGGCCATAATCCTTCTCCAGTGGGACGAGGGAGTCGCAGACAGAGAAGAAAGGGAGTAGGATCGTATCTGGAAATTTTAAGACCCTTTACCATAAACAGATTATTAAACAATATTACTCAAATTCCTTGAAATTCCGTTTTTATTATTATTGAGAAATTATATTCCTTTCAGCGGGACACACCTACTTCAATCAAGCCCTGCATTCAGGGGATAAAATAAAATGATTGAAGTTGGCTACAGTTCAAAACTTCCCATTGAATGGCTTATCTTAGAACATCATGATAAATATACCTTGCAATTACACGTGTAGACACGTTTCGAAGCTCCTCCTTTGAACAAAGATGCAAACTACTCGTATACGTTAATTAGGAATGACACATAATCATTAAGAAACACATTTTTTTCTTTTTATATAAAACACGCGCAGTTAGATGGCTGTTTGTAAGGTGCGAGTTACGAGAATAGAAACTCGAGTTCGATATACGATCCGCAATACGGTCCTTGTCGATAGCTCGCCCCACATATCGAACGCAGCAGATGCGAGGGGTCGATATACTTACGGTAGAACGCATATACGGTACACTATGAATCATTAGCTGCAACGAAGGGTAGAACTGCATCACGTCGCTGCAAAAAATTAATTACACTATCTGGCCACTATTTAGAGCAAACATGAGAATGAAAAGGCTCTGAATATTGGAATAGGTAAAAGTACCTTGCATTGTGTGATAAAAAAGTACGAATGGAAAGTAATAGCCGAGTAGATATAATTAGATTGCTGGTTAATTAAGTTTAACTGCTTTAAATATTTGGAAATCTAAAATTAGTCGAATAGTTTTCCCTATGTTACTCCGGATGTAGCCGTATACGAATGTATGCATTTAGCTCTATTTTTTTTTCAAGTTCAAGTCCATTTAGAGGTTATGCTTGAGAGAGCCCTGAAAAGAAGGTAGAAGAAATCGTATGGGAACATACTCGAGCCTTTCCGTATCCCATGGTGTGAGAAGGGATGTATATATCATAATTAATCACTTGCGATTCTGTGTAACGTCCCTGTCGGTAAAATTAATTTCTCACAGTTTAGAATCTCAAATGTAATTATATGTCGGAAGTGGCTTTTCAAAAGATTACATTTTTTTTTAACGCATTACCTTTTTAAATTATATTATTAGTCTATCAACGGTATTATTTAAAAACTTTTTATTAGAGTATAAAGATGAAATTAAATTACTAATTTAATGCGTCGTAACAGTTGTGCAATGTACCGGAATTAGGTAGAATTTATATGAATCTAGAAATTTCGAACTTATAACAGTACTATTGGCCAACTGTAGATTCTGTAGGTTGGATATATTGTCTGTGACGATTCGTTTAATAAAACAAAACGACAGAAATTTTACACCCACTCAATAATGTAGTGTTAAATTTTGGTTAATTTTAGTTAGTATTCTCGTATAAACTTTCTGTGTTCCTGAAGTATGCGCGTATCTCCGACACTCGAATTATCGGGTACATTGCACTTCTGCGCGGAATGGGACCCCGTGTATCGCTTGGGGCTACGTTGAGGGAGCACGGAAACGGGTCTTGAGGGACAGCATCCAGGGACGTACCACAAAATGAACCTTTCTTTCGCATCCTATCTAACCTCCGGCATTTAAGACAAAAAAATATAAAATAATTGCCTCAGATTGAATAAATAAATTATTAAAATATGGGTTTGTTACTTCATTTACATTATATAATATGAAACATCAATTGACACATTTTCATAAAAGAAAAAAAACGTTAACCCAGTTCTTCTTAAGTTCTCTTAATCAGATCATTCTATAAATATAAATAATGTCATCTCTTATCTCTTATCTTTTATATGAAAAAAATTTATCTTCTGTAGAACGATTCTGATATTATTAATGCTTCTGAAAATTTTGTTAAAGTAAAGTTTAAGAAGATTTCGTATACTGTTCGAGGTCCTAGATACATTCGATGGTTGAAATCTGTCGATGAATTACAAATACAGTGCTGATTTAAAAGAGGACTGTGCGTGAATCGGTAAAAGAGAACCTGCTTTCTTCACGACACCTGTCGACCCGTTATTTATACCGGCACTCGAATACCCAGATTCCTCACAAATCTGTTGGTCTATTTTTAAAAGAATTACATTTGCATTACAGTGAATCAACCTGTAATTTTAGAAATGTAAAGCCTAACTAACCTAAAAGGACATCGTTCAAAGAGAATAAATATTATTTGATTTAACTCTGTCTGCAAAGGATTAAGGATAGGTTATAGAAAATTAATGAGACTGTAGAATATACAACTGGTCATGTAGAAGGAATTCTTGACGAAGTCCCCTATGAATCATCCTCGTCCTTTGCAGGGGATACTCAAATGTGAAACTGTATATATGTACATAATGTGTTCAGAAGATTTCTTCGAGAGTGTTCGTTGAATGATAACCGCTGCAACTTGCATTCCTAAGTCACATTAGCTTATTTATATTGCAACACTTGTATTAGTTGTCCAAGGAACTACACATTTCTTCGCAGCAGAATATTTTAGAAATTTACCATCGACAATTTCCGTTATATTCTAACTTTTTTGTTTAATGGAATTTTTCGCATTATGTTAGCATGATTTGCAATATTGCATTTTACATATTTTGATTAGAAATACATATAACCTCCAAGGTGTGTTGAACCTAACTTACATATGTTCCTACATAAGGAAATGCGTGTGATTCATTTTAAGATTACTTCGAACAGATAATACTCGTACCATATCTCCGCCATTACGTTTATCACTTCCTGGATATTGAACGATATTTTATTTATTTCAATACAGCTATTTCCGTATACCAATCATTAATCCTTCATTGCATAATTTTGTTTAATTTTGTAAAGTACAGCTTGTAAGGGCAGAAAATATTCTTCTATTTCAGAAATTGAACTACTTTGAACTAAGTTTTCTTTGAGTTGATTTTATTGGGAAGCATTTTTAGGACATGCAAGTATCTTGTTACAGGAGGCCCCTACTGTTATGAGGACCACCTTGGCGAGTTGTTTGGTCCTATGGTGTTTCATGGCCATGGGAGAGATCGATTAGGAACCTCTGCAGCGGCCACCACGCCCAGACAGGGAGGGAGCTGGTATGAGTCACCCCATAGAGAGAACCCATAAGACGGGCGGGGACACCACCGTCGCGCTGCAACGTGGCATTGAAAGTGACGAGAACACCGTGCATATTCACCCTCGCCTTTTTCCTTCATAGTTCGACGAACGTGTGTCACGCGAGTCTAGGGAACACCATGGATCACGTGCGTCGACCTAACTCAACAACTTACTTAGTGCAATTTAAGCCTAGGGATGCCATTGATTTTCATCCATTGGACAATGCGAGGAGAGGGCTTAACGATTACTCATCCTGCACCCACAACCACTTGCCATTCTATATATCCAATAAAACTGTTACCTTTACTGTTTAATTATTTTGTATCTCAAGTTTAATAATAAAATTTCTTATTAATTTAATCTCTTATCTTATGAAATATTGTATTTATTGATGATAAATCCTATTCATATTTCGATCACGTTTTATTACACGGCCAAGCTTACGTTGCAACAACATGATAAACTTAAAAATGTCCAATTCCTTATATGGATATGTGTACAAATGAAAACGATTGCTCAGCACGTGAGTAAGATTTCAGATTATTTGGCATATTTATTCGTTAAACTCCAGACTAAACGTCAACAAGATACGAGGAAATTGAGCCCCTCCCAGGGTAAATAGAGAATGCCATTTTCAACATTTAATATTATAACAATTAGGATAAATGGAAGGTTGAAAAAACTTTTTCGAGCTCCCTATACCTCGCACTATCGAAGAGAAATTGGCCGTGCACACAAAGTCAATGACTTCGTGGCTTGGTTTAATTGACCCGACGACGGGATCTTTTCACGGCCTTAGGAATCAAGGCCATCGTGTATACATATTCGATGCAGTTTCACGCGTGTGTGTGTGCGTTGAACATCTTTTCGCAGACATATCACACGTGTATACGTATATATCGAATGTTACAAGATTTATATTAATAGATGTATGCCGTTAAGATGACGATAATAACAGAAAGTAGGCTATATCTACCGTCGTTAAAATCATACAAACATTAATGATTAATCATGCCAAGAGGAAGTTTGGCTAAGTCTAAATATCAATTTGGAATGTTCATCAACCATCCTTTTTTAGAAAGTGTGTTCTGATCGATCGATGACTAAGAAATTTTGGAAATCGTTTCCATACATAATTTTAAGATTCCTATATGTGAGAAAGTATCAAGAATCAGCTAGAATTATTGGGCCATCGCTTATAGCACGTTTTAATACTGATTAAGAGGAAAATAATTATAGATTAATAATATATTAATTGCCATGACTCTCAACATATTTATAACCGAGTAACTAGTATTTTAATATGTATCTTATTAGAAATATTAATTTCCATGGTGAAAGCATATAGAATAAAATTTTTCTGATTGAACAAACAGGAAAAAATGACAAGGCAAACGTTTCCCTTTCCTGTGGTAAAGACATTCGTTATCCCACGGATGCCAGCATCCTATTATAGATAAACGGTTTTCAGACAACTAATGTTCAGGTTATGTTGAAGAGAACACGTGAAGGGACGAATATCATGGCAGTGAAATTTTTTTGATAAAAAAGCAGACAGCTTATGTTCGTCGTTTCCCAATAATAGTATACCATTTTATAATTCCTTTCCTCTAAACACGGATTGGAAAATCTATTGAAATTAATTATGCTCATCAACGTGCGTATCACGGTGCAATTGGAGCGACTCATTCAGAGTAATAACCTGACACTACATGCTCGTTAAAATTATCAGGATAAAGACGAATATAATAATCTGAAGAATATAATAATCTGTGGGGCGTGTCAATAAGTTTGGGTGTCGCAGAGGCAAGAATTTACAACTGGTTTACAAAATAAAACGTTAATTACGATTTAATTGCAAAAATTAAATTGTCTATAAAAGTAGACCTAAAATCGACCGTGGCGCCATCTATACAAAAGTGGCGGAAACTACTCGCCGAATAGTTTCCGCAGTTTCCCGATAGATGGCGCTAGTGTCGCTCTGCAGCCGCGGGTAATACCATTTCTCTAGAGTATTACCGACCGCAGCCGGGGCGGCGGTGGCGCCATCTAGCGGGAAACGGCGGAAACTATTCGGCGAGTAGTTTCCGCCACTTTTGTATAGATGGCGCCACGGTCGATCTGTAGGTCTACTTTTACTGAATACACATGCGCGTGAAATAAAAAGATAAAAATTCTTATCCTAAAATGCCAATATTAAAATAAGAAAATATGAAAAATCAAATCTTCAATGATTTTTATTAATAATGAATACTAACACTTAATGAGTAAATATCTCAAGTACTTATACATAGTACATAAAGCTATTGTTTCTTTACGAAAAACGTAAACGTATTTTATAGTCATATTCTTTGGGTTGGTCTATTCTTATATGTCAGACTTTTATAGACGATTTAATTGCAAAGTTAACGTTTTCACTTTATTAACTTCATTATTTTACAAAAACTCTTGTTTTTAACACAAATTAAAACATTACAACACTTTAATTTACAATCTAAACTTTAAAAAAAGGAGACAATATCATTACCGATGCGGATTTATTGTAAAAGAGCGGCGATTTACAAATTTGAAGCATTAAATAAATAAATAAACTACAAAGAAATTCTTCAATTTACAATCACAGATGTTTAAAATATTTATGAAAGAGACTGAATTGCCACTTATAGTCATTGTTTACTGTAATTGGCATTCAGCCATTTTTTATTGAGAATATTAACGAAGCGCATACATAATTATCTTCATTAAGGTTTAAACTTTAAATTGATATACAATAAGTGCCAGTTTACGGTACTTTTAAGTCATAAAATCATGCGAAAAGATCCCATTTTTTTAAAAAATTGATAACAGAAGAAAAAATCATTAGTAACTTCTTTTTGACGACCAATTTATATACATATATATAAATATATTATTACCGTCGAGGAATGGGTACTTATTAATTATCGCCAAACTTATTAAGTTTCTTTTAAAAATCCAACGAAAATAATAAAATTAACATGTAATAATGCTGGTAATAGCGTTGGCAAAAAAATAAATGTATCGCAATTGTAACAAGAAAATTTAAATCATTTAACACATAATTCAAAAATCATTATTTCCTAATTTGAATGAAGCATAAAATGTTACAAGAAATAGTGTTTTTTTTCGAATGTCTTACATATCCGCTTCTTTTAAATGCAGTGCAGGTTTTCTATTGTGATCATACCGTTGCGCATTGCGAAGCGAAATCGTACCGAACACTACAGTATTAATCCAGATTAAAGAGTCAATCATTTATTACAATATATATCGTAATGTTTTTTATGACATTTAAAAGTTTACTTAATTACGTGTCATCAAAGAATGTATTTTTATAAAACGACTAGTTGGTTATTCGGAAGATCTAGAATTTGTGTAGCAGCTGATGTGTAAAGATGGCCAAGCTTAATACAAACAAACAGTGACCAACGATATATTAATTTGATAGCCTTCCCTGTATGTAACAAGTATGTATATTTAATTCTTGAATATAATATTATTGAACGATTTTTTTTTTTTTATTTAAAATAATATATTATAAGATAATTTCAAGGCATATTTTATAATAAACTGATACCTCTCTTGATTTAATTAATAAAATTTTTCATTTGCGTCGAATTTGTACTACTTTCTTGTTCAAATTTCTCAGAATTAACCTTCACAATTGTATTTATAGGTATTTTATTATTTTTTTAATATCTGTTTAAGAAATAGGAAAGAATAAAATATTTTATTTCAGCCCTTTTACACAAAAGATGGATTACTTTTTTCTAATTTCAATTATTGTAAATTGTTACTTATACTATATTCTAATGGTTACAGGTAACTGCTAAGAAAGATTGTTGCTATCAGAAATGGCATATGATCCACGTAATGTAAAATATTCATCGGAGATGCATAGCCATCAACATGACCAGCCTAACATGACCGGATATACATATTCTGGGCACTCTGCACAACATGTTCAACAAACAGATGAAAATAGAAACGAGAACAATTATGGAAATAAAGAAACTTGCACGCAAATATCTCATCAGTCCTCTGGTACACAGACTATTCAAAAAGTAGATGCAGCAACCATGACTGATCCTCTTCAAATAGACTTTAGACTTACCTCAGAGTATTTAGCACGATGTTCTAGTACATTGGGGTTACCTTATGTATCCAAGTACGAAGAAAATATTACTAATTCAACTCACAAGTATCAAGAGATTCGGCCTAAGATTGAATTTGAGGTTGAACCGCAACATATCAATGGTAAAATATATAAATACTATTTATTAATAATTTGTCGAATGTACTTGCCTGTCTTAAAGCAGTTATTATAAATGTTTAAGGATTGTTAATTTATCAGTGCCCAGAATGTGCGTACAGATTTGAAGATCAAGAAGCGTTACACGAACATGTCGAGGATCACAGGCAACGGCCTCACATCTGTGATATTTGTGGTGCGAGTTTAAAACGGAAAGAACATTTAGATCGTCACAAACAGGGACACAATAAGAACAGACCTTATCAGTGTAACATGTGTTGTAAAGCATTTAAACGAAACGAACATCTCGCTCGTCATATGATTATTCATTCAGGTAGCAAAAATCAAGTTTGTACAGAATGTGGGAAAGCATTTTATAGGAAAGATCACTTAAAGAAACATTTGCAAAGTCACAACAGTAGTAGAAGTAAAATTCAGAGCAGTTCACAGAGCACCAGTCAGAATAACGGTGAAGAAGGATTGAGTAATTTTGCGATGATAATGAGGCAAACCGGACCACCTCCGTTTTCTATTTTGCGAACTTAATATAATTTTACTTTAATCGTAAAGCAAAGTTGTTTTATAATTTAGACAATTTAAGCGATCGATGCAGCGAGCGTTATTGAAAAACACTTTCACGATTATAAATAGAGTAGTTGTTAACAGTTCTAAATTTCCTAGTTATCTATTATTAATCTAAAGATACTACTTTCAGATATATTCAAAGATCGGCCCTAAAATATTTCCGTACATTCTGTTTTTTTTTTTTTTCATTGTAACATGCTTGAAATATGCACAATATTCTTAAAATAAGAATACCTGTTAAGTACAGTTCTTTGAAAATATTAAATATATAAAAATTTTGAACGGTTTTATTTTAAAAGTATTTATATAAATTATTCGTGCTTTTATATAAATTATAGTTAAGTGTAAGCCTAGTACTGTTGAATTTTTTTCTCTAGGCTTTACATTGTGGAAGATATATATAATGTATGGAAATTATGAAGTAATTATTGTTTTTAAATTCCATCAGTATCTTGATTAGGTATGTAAATCTATAGATATTCTAAATTAAACTAGTCCTTTGAAGAAGACTAATTTTGAGATATTTTCTCTTGTCAGATAAATGTGATATAAATACTTTAACGTGCAGTGCACAACTAATTTCTGTTATGCTCAAAATATTTAAATGCGTATTTATTACATACGATAGGTGAAAGAAAGTGAGTAAACATGATTTTGCTTTCTGTTCAGATAACAGTGTCAACCCCTTGGATGATGTGCCTAAAATAACACTATAACGTATTTACATTTTCATGTAATTGTGAAAGAAATAATACAAAACTAACGCTAAATATAGTTTGTAACCAGTGAGATACGCGTCTTAGTTTTAATAAAAGAAAGGAACATTGCAAACTCACAAGATTATAAAACTTAAAAAGGATTATAAAAATCTAAACGTTGTGTATTATTTAATGTATGTGTTATTTATTACTTTTTTTTGTTATTTAATTACTTTCTTATTAATATTAAAATTATACGTACATAATTCTAAACAAGACTTATAAAACTTGGTCCAATTTGAAAGATAAAGTTCCTTTAAATAAGATAGTTCCTTTGACTAATCTTTGCAGTGTTCCTCGAAAATTATGTTAACTAATAATTTAACAATTATAGTTTATATTGTGCATATGCCAGTGTACGTATACGTGTTATTGCTTGTACGTACCTCATAGATAAATGTAAATGCACGTGTAACGAATATTATACATTGTTGTAAATGTACATACAAATTGTTTCAACAAGATTGTACATACAGTTTGAAAACTACCGATTCTTCGTGGTAAAAGAAATCAGAGAACTTACCATAAAGAATTCGTTGTTTTAATGATGTATCTTTTTGAGATACTTGATACAGATAAATATTCCATTACACGTGTATTTACATTTGAAACGTTGTTAAGTCGGATACATCATTTATATTTATTAAGGACAACCGAAAATGTATTGGCTTTATTACATAATGCTTCCAAAGTGTATATAATTGTACACAAATATAAAATATGGTTAAAGAAAAATAACGACTCGATATTTTTTTTATTATCAATTGTACCAATTAATGAATCTGCATTACACGAAGCTACAAATTATTTCAAATAAAACTGTAGTGTATCATTGTTGAATACGACGAGGGATGGTAGGAAGACGCGATAAATAATGAAAGTCAAAAAAATAATTTTCTCAGATGACTTTTCATACAAGTTTTATATATAGAGTATTACATAAAGCAGCACTGGGAAATGTTCGAAAAAATGTTTACAAACTTTAAACTTCTATTCTTGCAACCTAAATTCGTCTGTCTGTATTTATACCTACATTTCTCTTTTATACGTTTCTTGTTTCTCAACTACCACTGTGTAAGTCTTGCTCTTTTCTTTTTTTTCAAACCGTATTAATTTCCTCGTCTTACGTTCTCGAAGATTACACGTTTCATGCACTCTATACAAAAATAAAACGCTGAGATCATCAAAGGGTTCGCATAATTATCCACAATTTCTCATATTACTTTTTTCTTTTCTCTCTCTCTCTCTCTTGTTTCATCTTAATTTTCTTCTCATCCCCTTTCTTCTCGTCTGTTTTCTCTTTTGATTTACATACGACAAACAAATGGTATATTTTATTCTTTTCTTTTGTACCCTGGAAGACTGTGGTACAAACGTTTCCATGAGGGAGCAAACGAAACGAAAGAGTTAACCATGAATCAAAGACTCGTCTCCTGTACGCTGAGTAACATGCGTCTGCAAATGACTATTATTCCATTGTTTCTCTCCCTTTTATTATCTATCGGATGTCCGGAAAATCCACAACCAGGAATGCTTAGATTCTAACCGTTCTCTTATCGTACTATTTTATGGTAAGGGAAGTATATATTGTTTCATCAAACTCTGTAAAATAATTTCCATTTATCGCTTCGACTGCAGTTGCGGCAGCGTCTGTTCGTTCAAATTCAAAAGCAACGTTTTTCAAGGACACCGCTACCGAAGTCGCCAATAATTTTCTAAAACAATTTCTATTCAAAGCGTTCTGCAGTTTTTATATAAAATATTTATCCATTCAAAGTTTGACTAGTCTATTAAAAAAGTACCGTCATTCGATCAGGTTCTATGTAACTACGTCGCGAGCCCGCGCTATTTTGAATTAGTCTATAAAACGTCAGCCTTTTGCAGTTTCATAAAAAACTGTCTTAAAAATTGTTAAGTAGTATTGCGTTCCTAAAAAATCCCTTAGACCTGCCTTCTGTTAGTACTATTTTGAACTTGACCCGACAAAAATCTGACCGCAACATTTTAAATAGTTGTCACGATCCGTGTATCCCCCGTCTATTACAAGCTTTATTTTTTCCGAATGAAATTTGTCGTTTACGTCGCGGACTCTCCGGCTACTCGGTAGATACCTATTTTTTTACGCTTTAATGACTTATTTTGTATGCGTACTTATTATATCCCTAGGCTATTGGAAAAAGAGGAGTTTAAATGCTTTGTACTATGTCGAGGAATTTGTATATCTTTCCATATTTTCCTTTTCCGTCATTGCCCGCCTCCTGTTCTACCGACGACGTCTCTGTTTGAAAAACCGGTAATCACATTTACGCGCACGCGCACAGAGGACGCATGCAAGAAACTTAGCACGCACACACCATGCCGACTGGACAAGCCGAGAAACTGAACCACGGCAGCTGGATTCTCCGATAAAATATACACATAAGAAACAGCGTCTGTTGGTTCATGCAAAACATTTTTCACGATCTTAGAATCCTTTACGGCCTGTGTCGTCCATTAATTAATTTTACCTTCTATCAAGCGTTTTTATTCTTCCCTTTCAATATTTTAGCAGCCGGCAAATATAATATACTTAAATAAAGAAATAATTTTAGGTATACTCGAGGGACAAAGTTCGACCGCAAAGGATTGACACACTCGTGTGACTTATGTCTATAATTTACTCAAAAAGAAAGGGCTAGTCGGTGAATTCTATAAAAAATCAGCTTTACCACCAAGTGATGTATTTTCACTTGGGTGTTCGCTCTTAAGTCTATCTATTTCTTTTTTTTTCTATATAGTAACGCGGGTTCTAACATTTTATTGTACTCTTTTTTTCCCATTCTCTTTTATCTTCCTTAATTTTTGCATGAACCAACTGAAATCTGTAGCTCGTACGCGAAGTAACATTCGCACTTCACGTGGAAGCCCTTAATCGAATTCGCTCTTCGGTATTACGATTAAGAGTTTCGACACCTGCGTAGAAAAATATGGTTCTCATTGTCATCCTCGTAATCTATCAGAGAATCGCGTTTGATTTACAACAAAGTGTTATTTTTAATCTTTTAGGTTTTTTTTTTTTTTTTCATCCCTGATCGAGCAACTACCTTACGTCTGATCGCTCATTGAAACAGTCAGTTTTCACAATCGCTACCCACTGTTGATTCAGACGAATCAATGCTCGAAATTTTGTGCATTTCAAAGAAAATTCGGGGCTCGTTTGAAAATTTCATTTCAGATTTTCGTGAAAGGATTATGAAATAACTTTTGTGACGAATTTATTTCGAGCAATGATTACCTTAGAACTTACTAGGTGTACAATCGTATCGCTGTAAATGATATAAAAAAAAGTAATAATAACGATGTTTCGTGTAATTAATCCTCTACAGCGTAAAATATATTTCTTTAATAATTTCAGATTTTACAAAAATGTTACTGCGAATCTTTTCTGGTTTTTCAAAGTCTTTGAAAAAAATTCACCAGATATAACCAATAGAGGATTAAATGGCGCGAAACATTCGTTTCGACACGGAATAACTTGCAAAACGAGATCTACGCAAATTCAATCTTTTGTTATCTTTTTCACACTTTCATTCGCAATCGTTCTATCTCTTACTCTCCTTAGTTCGTACAACTTAGGCAATAAAGGCCTATCCCTTACGACTACTTACGCTGTATAAAACGCGATACTTATTATTAATTAGTCGCTATAGATTACACAAACGAAAGAAGGTTTCTGGTCAGCACTAAAAATAGAATGAAAATTAAATGACACAACTATTAAGCTACTTTTTGCTTCTTTCGATTCATGATACCAGAATAATCATAATAATTGCATTTTCAAATAAGTACAAATAAAAATGTTACCAGATGATTAATTTTTCATTAAAATTACCAGCAATGAAAAATTGAAGACGTTGAAATGAAAATTTATTTCCTCGTTCTGTCAACTGTCACCTGTTCCCGACAGCATACGTCTTTTCTCTCTTCTCTCAATCATTTTCGCATTTATTAAAAAATATCTCATTTTCATTCCTCTCTCCATCGCCCGTTAAGCATCCTTTTTGTTCGTCGTTTAACTTGTTCGCGGAACAAAAAGAGTCGGATGGCGAAAAAACGATGAAAAAGTTTCGAACGGGAGACGAAAGAGGAAAGGAGCGTTCACAGGGTGTCCCGAAAAGAGCTACGCACGAGGCCATTCCATGGACTTTTTTTTTTCTTTTTTGTTTGACTTACAAGGTGGAAAAAAGTATGCAGATGCGGAAAAGTCCAGCGCTATACAAAGGCACCGGAGAATTGTTTTTTTTTTCTTTCTTTCTTTCTTTCATTAGAGACGCGTTAATTATTTATTTTATTCCCTTCATTTTCATCATTTTCTCTTTCTCTCTCTAGGAACACCAACTACGCCTATACCTCGACGAAGTGGTCGGTTTCTAAGGAAGTTAAACTGTCCGCCTCGTCGAGAGTGGAAATATCAGGTTCTTTTTGGCTACCCTTCAAAATAGACCGCTTCTTGAGCCTCTTATTTCTTTTTTTTTTTAATCTCTCTCAAAAAATCGTACTCCAACACCTTTGAAAAATCTTTTTGTTTCTCTCTTTCTTCATCTATCTCTCCACCCTCCCTTCCTCATCTTTTATCTTTCTTATAAATTGTAAAGCTATTTTGTTTATTATTTTCATCGCGTAGTTCATCGTCTTCTGTTTCGACAAAAATTTGATATCTTTCTTTCGCGGTAATATATAATATATATATAATATATATTTATTTATAACTACGCACGTGTCAACGTTCCTTTTCTTCTTCCCTTTTTTTTCTTTTTGTATGTAGTCTCTCACAGGCTCTCTCTCTCTCTCTCTCTCTCTCTCTTTAGATTATATACTCACTCATACATTCACATTTTTTGATGTATTCTATTTCGCTCTTATGCTTCTCTCTTCATCTTCAACTTATATTGTAGTAATCTTATTTTTTCTTCTTCTTCTTCTTCTTGTATACAAACTTACATCGCTAAACGTATAATCTAAGATGTACTCTCTGTTCTTTTTCTTTTTTATGATTACAAATACATGGCGGTAGAGTATTTTTAATACAGCTCATTCTTTCATATATATATATATATATATATATATATGGCTTTTAATATTTATATAATATACTTGAGGTCTGACGAATCCTGAATTTTTCATATTACCTGCTACAACGTACAGTGTTAGAAACATGATGCGAAAGAATCAGTGAGAATCAATTGGAAGAAGATTAGAAATCAATTTAATTCTTTGCGGTCCTAGACAACATTTGACACATTTATAAATAATTACAGCTGATATATTGAATCAGATTCAACGTGGTACCACCTTAAGAAAAATTCACTTAAGAAGATTAATTAAAATACATCAACAGGTGATTGAACCTAACCTGTATCTGAAATTCTTTATAAAATATTGTCACTTATTTCATGAGAAACAATAATGAAGGATATTCTTCTCCCAATAAATACAACAGATCACGCATCATATTTCTAATTATGTTCACACGTTTTGCTTCTTCGCTTCTTTTTTTTTCTCTTTTTATTTCACATCACGTAAACGTATTTAATATTGTTGCGCGTAATACTTTTAGTTTGCGCGGTATATTTGAAAACCGATAAGAAATAAGAAAAGAATGGCAATAGTTTAATCCTTGTGACAAGGAAAGAGGCATGAAGTAATGGCACACTGAATAATACTACAAAAAAAAAATAGAACGAAACAAAATTCAGACAAGTTAAACAAATCGGAACAAGTGCAATTTGTCCGAAACGATCACAGTTCGCGAGAATAACTTTTACGAGGCGGATAAAAAAAAAAAAAAATATATAAACTTGCATTCAGCGACGATTATTTTGAACATTATCGCAATATATAATTATAATTATAATAATAATAATAATAATAATATTAATAATAATAAACAAGGAAAAATCAAAAGTACATTACACGTTCAACGAAAAATCTTCCTAACACGATCAGTACTCAACGAAAGTTAGAGATTTAACGAAAAATATATATAAAAACAATGTAAAAACGATATAAAAAAGCGATGTAAACTCGCGAAGAACTTACATTACAAACAAAAAGATTTTAGTACGATTTTGAAAAATCGTAAAAATATGTATATGTATGTATAAATATATATATATAAAGGTGTATATATATATGGAAGTAAAAAATTTGGAACTACGTTCTAAAAACATAAAATACTGGCAGCTTTGTATATAAAAGAAATGAAGTTAAAATAAATTTTCTTATTATTTTTACCAACTAAAGTATTGCCACATTTTTTTTTTTAGCTACCTCTTCGCAAATGTTTAATTAAAACAACAAAGGGAACATTCGATAAAATCTAGTGGAGAAAAATTGCGATTGTACTTGATTCATTTCAACCAAGATAATAAAGAAAATGTGACTAATATTTTAAAAATATTTAAAATTGAAAGACACTACGTGTTAATCGGTGGGATGACTCGTTCGCATCCTTTGCAATATATGTCTGCATTCGCGTGATTTATAAAATGCTATAAAATAAATTTATAAAAAGATTCAACGAAAGCAAATAATCGATTTGAACGAAGAAAATTATATCCTCTATCATAATATATTTCGCTTACTAAGAAGCTTCATCGTGTAATTAGCTTCTTTCACACCAAGCCTTCATAAAAATATGTTTCGTTTTTCATACATACAGTATGGCAAGACTCTCATCAGGCTCTAATCTAACGTTTCTGGTGAAAATTCTGGTTTCCTTTATCTGTGCGTGCATGGAAACACTCTCTATGCCTTTCTCTATTTTTTCATTGTACATATGTATATTATATGGCACACTTTTGAAGATAACATACTACTCGTACAAATCTTAAAATAATACCTGAAGTGCGGATAATAAAGACTGTGCATAGTGTTCGCAAACTTACATAACCGTCACAGCTTTTGCGCTATTGTACTAGGACATAGAGAGCCAACTGAATCATTGAACGAACGAATGTTTTAGTTACAGCAAAACTTGCTAGAATTCTTTTCGCAGAAATGATGAAAAGTACTTGAAAACTTACTGTTTTAGAAGTTCTTGTATAATTTATCAATTTTATCACCTCTTAGTCGAGGTCTTCCCCTGCTCTCAGAAATCTTTAGCGTGTCCCAAAAAACTGAGGTCGTGGGTTTGATAATGGCTGGACGTAGCAAGTGGCGTGACACTAGACTGATGCGCCACATTGACCGCTGTTAAATGATGATGATGCAACGAATGGTGAGAAGTGTGCGAATGAAGGATATTGTTTGGATGGGGAACTTGGAAGTTCCCTGGTGGCGGGGCTCAGGACAGGAGAGGACCTGGATGTCCACCAGAGAGAACAGACGATGCTGTAACAGCTGTTGTTTGCATATTTGAAACATTGTTTTGCTGTTGATTCTGCTGTGTACCTGAAAATGAAAAAATATCACTGTAACAAAGATATTTTACTTTTCATTTATGCAACAATATATTTATCTTACCCGCATTTTGACTGAGCTCAGCTTTTACCCTCCTTGCAATATGACTTCTAGTATGTTTCCTTAAATGATCTTTACGATAGAAACCTTTTCCACACTCTGTACATACGTGCCGTTTCTCACCAGAATGTATAACAAAATGTAATGTCAACTGTTCTTTTCTTTTGAAAGCTTTCAAACAAACGGTACAAACGTACGGCCGTTCTGGATTGTGGCTCTGTTTGTGACGCGTAAGATGATCCTTTCTTTTCAAACCGGCGCCGCAAATGTCGCAAACGAATCTCCGTTCCAAAGTATGACCCAAGAGATGCTGTTCCAATAATTCACGTTCCGGGTATGCCATATGACACTCCGGACAGCAATACAATGTAGAACCGTCCAATGCTGTGGTTAAGCGAATTTCACCGGGTTTCGGACGTGGTTTCTTCTCCTTCGGTGGCTTCTTCTTTTTCTTCTTCTTATTATTCGGAGACATCATTATATTGGGCGTTGTCGTAGTCGCAACAGCTACCGAGGTAGTTTGCGCCATTTCTGATTCTTTTTTAATACTTTCAGCGGAATACTTTAAGAAATGATGTAAACTTAACGGTAAAGTACTAGCTGGTAGGTGACTGAGATAATCGGCCACTGTAGATCCAGGTGTGGCTAAAGATTGCCAAGTGGCAGGCATCGTAGCAGGAGTTTGAGTATGAGCATGCTGCTGATGATGCTGATGCATGCTGTACTCTTGCTGATTACCATTAGTGGTAGTTTCTCCATTACGCTGTTGTTCATCTTTCTTGTCCTTACTTTTATCTTTGTCCTGTAGGAGATTGCAAACATCTTGTTGATTTATAGTTTCCGTTGCTTGCTGCAAAATGCCATTTGATCATAAAATATTATCGTGTTCAGAATCTTATGGTGACGTTAGAAAACAGCTGACTTACCTGATGGTATGAACGCTTTTCTGGCATTCCAGGTGAATTTGAGGGTCGCTGTTGAACTGGCTGGGCTTGGGAATATGGCACATTTGGATAATGATGAACATTGCTGTTGGGATAGCTTGCTTTATTGTTCATCATCACTTGTGATTGAGCTGATTGCACGCCGTTGCTTTCAGGACGGTACTTTCCCATAACCGGCACTCCGATTGGAGGCTGGTTGGGAAAATGATTGGCGTAACGCCCGCCCGCACCGCCGGAGCCGTCGGTTGCGAACTGGTGGATACTCGGAATGGTACCGGGAAAATGGCCTCCGAACGGCGGGAAATTCATTGCAAAGCGTCAATCAAATATCTGAAAAACAGAAAAACTATTATCAATATAATCACACACACATATTTATAAATATTATCTATTGCAAGTTATAGGACAATTTTATGATACGTTTGTCAACCAACATTTTCAAACATTTCCACAATTTGCAACCACGATGCGTTTATCGTTAATATACTAATATAAATTGTAGATGAAAATCAGTGACATGTGCTCGTAGAGTACATTGCTACCGTCTAGATAGAAATCGTGCCATTATCCATGGAAAGAGGTGGAAAATTGGACGATTATTTTTCGGCGTCATCGACGGTAGAACGGAATGAAATTGTACTCTCGGTTATACACAATAGGCCGCGCAAAGATACCTGGCGCGTCCAACTCGAACGACGCCCGAGTATTTACTCACAGCGACGTCCCTCTCCCCATGTTTCTTCGTCGTGGAATCGAATCCTTTCCTCGGAGGGGGATCCCCGAGATCTGAGAGCGAGTGTAGGGGCAAATTTTTACAATACGAGAGACACACGAGAAGCAAGAACACCACGCCGCCGCTGCTGCTGCGTCAGCCGTTCTGTCACGATGAAGTATACACGGGAAACGGTCGCGTTTTCCCCCTTTCTTAATCGCGGCACGACTGTTACAGAACGCAGAAATTATTCACGAAAAATAAACCACCGAACGACTAGTCACCTTCGTAGAACGAGGATTACGAACGGTTTACTGACTGTAGAAAAGGGTAGAACACGGAAAAAGGACGTTAAAAAGCGAACATTGTACGCGGCCAGGATCGTCGCGATGCGGGGGGAAGGGTAGCCCGTAGAGGGACGGCAACGCGGAGAACGGGAATCAGAGGACGAGAAGAATGAAGGAGAACGGGGGAGGACGCAGGGGGGATGATCAAACGAAAGGGATGGGTAGCATGCGCGCAGTGGGATGGAGCGTGAGGGGAGAGACCGAGGAGTTTCCCCTCTCGGCACCTAGTCGATACGCGGGGGCCGAATTCGCACGAAATTCAGCATAAAATGGCCGTATTAAACGCGAAACATCACGAACGTAACTTTGGTTATTCGAAATGTTCGTTAGATAAACAGCTTACCATTTAGTACTTATCAGCTGGTGCTCGTCTAGTCAAGATTTTTCAGCAACTCGAGTATCACCGAAAAAGATCCCCCGCTCTTATGTGTGTGCCGTTGACACCTGTCCTTCAAGTCGACGCCCCCACCCCATCCGTCCGCCCTCTACTGTGCCAGCCTCTTAACTATTTTTTCTCTCCCGGTCCTCTTCGCAGCCGCGCTGGCGAAAATGCCCGAATCCATCGGGATTTTAACTTCGAATTGCTCCCGGCCATTGTTTTCTCTCTCTCTTGCCACGGTAGATATACGCAACACCGCCAATCAGAGGAAGAAGAGTACATATAAAATAAAAGCTTAATTAGTAATATTACCACTCTGATATTGTACTTCTGTAATTAACATGAAACAAGCTTACATTAATTAAAATGAAATATACAATCAGGTTTAATATGAAAATGCTCAATATGTATGTAATTACATAATATATTTTTTGTAAATTAGTAAGAAAATATATGTACTAATAAAATTCAAATTTAATGTAACATAAAGAAAATATAAAATCCTTACACGTTAATTAAAATTATCCATATAAGTACATATAGATTAATCAGTTTTCCTCTGTACATATTGCCACTTGATAGTCCATTTATTTAAAATATATATATTTTTAGTTAACAAATATATTTATGAGTAATAATAGACAAAACTAAAAGATATGCGAATAAATACAAAAGTTGTATAAATTGGTTAATTAATAAAAGATTGTTTATATTAAATGTATGTTTTATTTTAGCTTTTTTCTCCAATATTTATGTAAGTAACAATGAAAATGACTTATAGACTATTCATACTGATTATGATAATAGCTATAATAATATAATAAAATAATAATTATATTTCTTGTACAGCTATACCCACTGCCTTTAATAATGATACTTACAATAAAAGTATTTTTTTTTTTTTCTGTATACATACATCTTTTACTCAAATCATTTTTGAGTGTATCGTGATTGATTGGTAAATCATATGGTTCATTCCCAACAATTATCTGTTGTATTTTTTTTGTCGTGCACATTATGATAATATATAAATGATTATTTCACGTATGATCAACACAAAAAAAGAGAAGAGAAGGGAAAGGACCTCATAAAAATGATCGGTTCAGTAAATAAACGAATTAAATACTATACAAAATAAGTTACATTAACTTATTAGAAATAAAGAAGAAGATGCTTCCCTTCAAATTTAAATACACAACTTTTATGGGCCGTATTTTATCATAATCATTATAAAATAATTCGGAAAATAATGACGTACTTATATCAAAATATTATTCTTTTTAAAACTTTTGCAATTACACTTACGATTCATTGGATCAATTCGTATCGACAAAGCCAAAAAAAAAAAAAAAAAAAAAATATATTTATACCTACCTAACGAAAGCGAATATTAAGTAATCAAATAAACGTATGCAGAAATGTAAAATTTTACATTTTATTTCGCAAAACGAAGCATTTCTTTGCAATTTGTATTTAAATTGAACAGTTTAACGATACACTCTCTTTCTGTGTTTCGATCGTGTAGGTCAAATAGAATAAATAAACAGATTTACTTCGTATTTGCACGACAGTCTTTTTTTTCCTTCCTTGTGCACGGTAAACTGGTTGTATTTACAGCCCTGCGATATTTTTTTTACTTTTATTTCTTACCTTCCGCATTACGTATTTTTTTTTTTTTTTTAATTCCCTCATTACACATTTATCATCAAAGAAAATTAACGTCAGCCGAATACTCGATTGCCTTCTGTCCGGCGAATCCAGTTCGCGCTTTCAAAAATATATTTTTATATTTATATATCTATACATATATCTGTCATATATATGTATAAATATATGTATATATAAACGTCTTTGTGTTTAATTCTAACTCGCGTAATGGAACTGGATTAGCGACAAAAACATTTCTTTCAATTAAACGAGCAGGAAATTTCTATTTTCTTTCTTTCTTTCCACACACGTACGCTATAACGTGTACGCAAAATGAACGTCGTACGTACGAACTTTGTTCGTTCCAGTTAGCTCCAGTGCGTTTTGCAGAATAATTATACTCGTACATTCAATCTGGCCTACGACTTCCATAAGAAGCTGATGGTATTATCAATTTTGAAAATGCGACCGCTCGTCGGATGAAGTATCTTTCTTAATTTCAGATACGGTAATCAAATTGTTTGCAACACCACTACTAGGCAACGATTAACCACCATCAACGAATTATTATTTTTTTTCTTTTTTTTATCTTTACACGATACCAATTTAACTATAAGATTATAGAATTCAATCGGCAAGAATTCCTTGCCTTGCACGACCTCTTGCTTGTTGATGATTAAATCGGAAGTACCGCCCAGGTTGATTCGGGGCGGTATGCTGCTGCTAATGCTGCGGCTGTTGTTGTTGTTGTTGTTGCTGTTGCTGCTGTTGTTGTTGTTGCTGTTGCTGTTGCTGCTGTTGATGATGTAGCATAGCCATTGCTCCAGTTTCCGCAGCAGTTGGAAGAACAACCGTGGACTGTTCGGTAACAGCTATCTGATGTATCTGCGCCTGAGAACCTTGTCCTACTTGTATTTGTATCTGTTGCAATTCGGACACCGACGATTGTTGCTGCAACTGATCAGCTTGTTGCTGCAACTGTTCAGCCTGTTGCTGCAACTGTTCGGCCTGTTGCTGCAACTGTTCAGCCTGTTGCTGCTGTTGATCCGTTTGCTGTTGAGCATTTTGGGAAGCATCGACGTTATTTAAAGGCTCCTCTTTGATACGTTTAGCCAAGTGAGATCTCGCGTGTTTTCTCAAGTGATCTTTGCGATAAAATGCTTTACCGCATTCGGTGCAAACCTCGGTTTTCTGTCCAGAATGTATAACAAAATGAAGATTCAGGTGTTCCTTTCGCTTAAAACCTTTCATGCATACCGAACATATGAACGGCCTGTCTGGATTGTGGCCGAGTTTGTGTCTTTCTAAATGTTCTTTGCGTTTCAAACCTGCACCACAAATGTCACAGATGAACCTCCTTTCGATTTTATGACCGATAAGATGCTGCTCCAACAGTTCTTTCTCAGGGTACGCCATGTTACATTGGGGACAACAGAACAATGTTGTACCATCGAGAGCAGTTACGATGCTTACTTGTCCGGGTTTCGGTTTCTTCGGTTTCGGTGGTTTCTTCTTGTATTTCTTCTTTCTTTTCGGTTTAGCCCCGGGTTCTTGTTCGTCGACAACGTCGGGGATAATAGCGGTCTCGCCGCCTGCTACCGTGATCTGTACAGCTTGTTCACCGGACACGACGCTTCCGGACGCGTCTAAACCGTCTGCCCCTAAAGGGCTCGACTCGATGGTGGCCTCTCGCTTTATTGTCTCAGCTGAAAATTTCAAGAAATGCTGTAAACTAAGGGGCAAGGTACTGGCAGGTAACCTGGACAGATAATCAGCGACAGTCGATCCCGGTGTGGCAAGACTTTGCCAACTAGCAGGCATAGAGGTGATGAACTCCTCCCCGCTCGGATTCCCTTGATTCTTTATGTTGCCCCTTTTTATAAGGGCAACCGGTGTTGTACCCTCTTTCACGTCTTCTTTCGACTCTTCCATACCTTCGCGTAAAATTAAATCCTGCGGAATCTGTGCGACTACGGTTAACCCTTCCGGCGTCCCCGGAAGTTGTACCGTTTGTTGAATAGTTTGCTGGGACGTCGTGGTGACCGCGGTGGACGTACTTTGAGTCGTTTGGTCGGACCTATGGATAAAAGAAGGATCGTTAATAAAGTATAAACGACACGTACGATTATTCGATAAATCAATTCCATTACGTTTGCGTCGTGGCCACGGTGTTTTGCGGTTGGACTTGTATCTGTACCCCATCGGCACCCTGTTGACTGTACGCAACGGTGAGCACAGTTGCTGCACCCTGGGGGAATTGTCCCAACGATATCGGTGCCAAATGGTACTTCGGTTGATCACCGCTGTTCCCGCTTTGGGACACGCTCGGATTGACCACCTGAATTTGAACGGTTTGCTGCTGCTGCGTGCCATCCTTTCCAGGTACGGTGATCGGCAGCGTGATGATTTGCTGCTGTTGATTGTTACCACCTTGAGCCACGGCGAAACCGTTCGGATCGACCGGCCTCAGATAATGTACACCACCTTCGCCACCGGATAAAACGCCGACCACCTGACCTCCGGTTGGCAGGTTTTGCGCAAACTTGGCGGTTGCAAATTGATGCACCGTGCCCGTCGGTAGCGAGCCTGTCGTAAAGCCGGGAAAAGGTGTGAAATTCATCTTTCACGATAATTATATCTGAAAATGAAAAGAAAAAAGGAAAGTAAATTAATTACATCGATTATTTACAAATTACAAACGTAAATTAGTATTTTTATCTGAAATCTGAAAGGCAAACCGTTAGAGAAACGTATCTCCCCGATCCGGGAAACGTGTTAATAACAGGAAATAAATAAAATTAAGAGTACCAAACGGTTGATAAGCGATTCCACTCACTTTGACGCATGAGTATCGCCGTCGAAGTGCATCGACCTTCGTTATTTCGGTAGGAAAACAGATTTCCTTCATTCAGAAAACTCACATACACATTCTCTGATCCGTCAACGTTCCTTCGCACAGAATTCCTAAGTAAACGATCATGATGCTATATATCAGAAAGAAATTGGGAATCAGTTATCATCTATGTTAACCGTTTAATCTGAATTCTATTTAAGGAATATACTTAATTATAGAATACTGTGCGCAACTCGTCGATACAGATAACCGACTGCTATTTCGTTACCCCGTCTGTATCCTTATTACTCTTCTATCCGTTTCCTATGTTCTACAGGTGGTTGGGAAACGTGTGTACACAACTGCTGATAAAAAGTTGTATGCGCTGTATGGATACACCTAGTCTCTATCAAAGAATCTCTCATAAATTTATCGACCGTCTATTTATTCTAAAGGAAGTACGGATGTTAGTTCCCCCAGGGTTATCCATGTTTTCTCCCTTCGTTAAAGCGACAAAGTCAAACATCTCTGTCGTCGAAATCTTAAGTTGGAACCTCTTGACCGTGGTATCGGTACGTAGGGGGGGGGGGGGGGGAGGGGGGAAGGGTGAAAGATACCCCCCCACTTCACCCCCTCCCGATGGCAGAAAGGGATCCGGGAGCAGGGAGGATAGTCGTCGAAGTGGCCCAGGATTGCACCCCACTCCACAATGACGGGTGCCCCCACGGGGGTAGGGGGTAGGAAGAAGGGTAGGGGGGAACCCATAGGTGGGAAAACGGGAACCCACCGCGAAATAGAGCCCGATGCCCGAGAGAACTCGCTCTCTTTCTCCGGGTCACACTAACAAACGGAATATCGTAAGAATAGGACGGGAAGGAAGGATAGGTCAGTTGTGTAGGTGCGTAAGCGTGTGCCGCAAGCTCGATGCTCGGGTAGGGGTATGTCAAGAAAGAAGGGAGACGAACCTCGACATACCGGGAACTCCCCGGGGAAGGGGAACGCGAAATATCGGGAGAGAACATACGAAGCAGACATCGCGGCAGACGAAGTGGGACACACCGATGACTCTCGCCCTTGATCCAACCCGTTGGCTAGAGAAGGTACGAAGAAAACAGGGGGAGTGAGATAGAGAGAGAAAGAGAGAGAGAGAGGTTAGGTTACCCGTGCACCTCTCCTACTTTCGACACACCGAGGAGGGTGCCGTGTCGAACGGACGATTACTCCGTGCCAGCCAGCCAGCAAGTCGTTTGCGGGTGGTGCACAGAGGTTTTTAGTAGAAAAAAAAAAAAAAGAAACTAGCGTAACGCGAACACGCGTTTAACCAACCACGCCACTTCCGATTTCGGTTTTTCCGACTTTCCGCGGAATGGCGTGCGCGACTGACCGGTCAGCCTCGCCGACGACGTACCGTTGTTGGACGGTTTTGCAAGACGCGCATGTCGTAATGGCGCCCGATTCTCTTAAGGTTCCCAACCGTGTCTTTCTCACTCTATACGACTGTCTCTGTTCCGTACACACATCGAAGAGAGCATGTCTGAACATTCGCGGTTTCTAGAGGAATTCTAGTGTTTCGTAAAACTGGCGCGCCAGCTGGCTTTGATATCGCGGGGCGGCGGTACGTTCGACGGAATAGCTCCGGGACATTGTGCAGTAGTCGGTTATTCTTTTCTTTTTTCTTTTTTTTTTTACACGCATCCAGGACAAAAAAAGACGTTTCTCGGAGGCGTAACGAGATACGTATGTAGGATATAACGAAGTAGGAAAATTCTATGAACGTTATATATCTCGAAGGGGTTGATTCGGTGAGCGGATCGATGGGTATTAAGCTTGAGAGAAGATAAGGTTTGTGGCGGACGGACGAACGAACGAACGGTTACGTAGACGGATGACTAAGGTTACCACGTCGACATATTCGATGGATAGAATCGCGGCCATGATGGAATTGAATACGATGATAAAGTGAGAAAATAGCATAGGTCCGCCGATGCCGAATGCTTTGTTCTCTTGTGTTCTCGATGCTCTTATTCCCTCTCTTTCCCTTTCGCCCTGTCCTGGCGTTCCCTCTCCCTCCCTTCGGTGCTCTTTCGATCGCGCATCGGGAGACGTTACGTGGAGAGGAAGTAGGAAAAAGATCAGGCGAGTTGGCAGAGGCAAGAGCAGGGCAGAGGCGAAACGGAGGACAGAGTAGAGCCAACAGAGGCACAGGCAGGGCTGTTGTTTACACCCCCACCTCGACGGGTTAGAGGCAGCGAGATGCCACGGAGGGGCCTCCGAGACCTCGGCGGGCATCCACCACCACGCAATTTCCAACCCCACCAGCCTCTCAACCACTGTCCGCACCTCCAACCACCCCACCAAAGCCAGCCCGAGCCAAGCCGTGAGCCACGACGAGGGCCCCGCGACGATTTTAGTGTCTTGGGGTGGGTGCTCTGTAGCCACCGTTTCGCGGTTTCTCGTGCACGGTTTCGCGTTAGGAGTAAAACGTGGAAAGATTCGTCGGGGCGGCATCCGGTATACGGGCGGCGTTAATTCCGTACAGGCCGCCTCCAGTTGACGGGTTCACGCGAGAATTAGGTGCCACCGCGAGTTTCCTTCCTACGCGCAAGAGAATCATCCACGGGGATATGCGTGTCCTACTTACCCACGAAACAGTTGGCGGCTCCCTTGTGCACTCCTTTCGGGCTACTGCTACTACTGTCGCTGCGTCGGAACCTTCGCGTAGTACGGAGACCGTCCGCCTGGCTTGCTCGCCTGCGTCGTTCTCAATCTTCACCGCGGCGGCAGCAACTTTCTCATTTCTACGTATACACGTTCGCGGTGCTACAGCTCTACTACGCTAGCCACAGCTACTGCTTACGGTGCATACGTCATAAAAGACGTACATCCGAATGAACGTGTCTGTCTCTTTGATTTTTGACCGATCGACGAGTCCGTGACTCGTGATAAATTACGCGCACTACTGCCAGTCTTTCTGCGGTAACGACAAGCCACGACGCGCACTCATTTCCGGGTTTACGACAGTCGAGTTCGATCGAGTATGGCCCCGGTTGGTAGGTAAGCGTGGGTCTTGGGCTGGCCAACGGGGAATGAATTCGAGCTAACGGTACATAGCCACCCGACGGTGGTCACACGTTAACTCGGAGCGCCGCGATATGCCAGGCCACTCTCCTGAAAACCACGAGCTGTGAAAGTAGACACCTTCTTCCTTCCTATGGGATCCAAACTTTAACTCGAACGGTCTCGCCTTACCGTCCTCAACGAACGCATTCCTATTTTTTTTCCAATCAATCAATAAAAATACGTTTAACCGCGAAAACTTAACGCCGCTATTAATATTCTATCGGAGAAATATCAACTATGGCGGCGGTTACGCGCGGAGTATATTGTGAGAGCGAGGGGAAAGCAGCGCGTGCGCGCTTCTCGATTAAACAGCCAACTCTTATGGTACCGTTCCAATTACAGGTACTTTAAGAATTTTTTTTATACTTTCAAGAGTATCACAAACTTTACAGATAAATTAATAACAGCGCAAACAACACCTGTCCGTCGCTCTGTCCTACTCTCTTAGTCACTTCGTTTCCTCTACCACTACAGAGCGACACTAACTCGGTGCGCACCTAGCGGGGACTGAAGTGAGGTTAGGTCGAGAATCGATATTTCGAGGATGTTTCGATAGACGCCATATCTTCGTATTATTGCGCGCTTCATATGAATTTCTTTTAAGTACATTATACTCCCCTCTATACATGCATCTCTTCCATCCTTTCATTCCTTTTTTTTTTATTAATAAATTGTAATATAAAATAATGATAATAAAAACAAATAAAACAAATCCACAGTTTGTTTTCTTTCTTTTTTTTTATAACCTTTTTCTTTTATTATAAATATCAATTATACCATATTTTCACAGTCTCAAAATACTTGCAATTTAATAAATGTTTGTAATAAAAATATAATTGATTTACGACAAATTACCTAGAAATAAAAATTTAATATATTGGTATGTTATAATATCATGTGTACCGATGAAGTATATAAATTATTAATAATCTTTTATCATAAAATTCGTTAATCATAATTACACAATTTTAATTCTATGTCTTTCTAGTTTGCGTTAATATTTGACATAAAATTTTTAATATGTATTTTCTTTTGTTGTATGTACAACAGAATTATAAATTAACGTTATAATAATAAATAGGTACATTCTTGCTATTATTTGTAATTTACTTTTTACTTTCCCAGATCTTAAATGATATAATAAAAATGTATTATAAAGGAATGAAAAAATGACATGCAAGAAATGCTTAATTAACTAGAAACCATAATCTGATAATAAGGATATCAAAATGAGTCAGATGTTCTTTGTACACGTTCCATATACAAAGAAAATAACAACTTATTACTTTCATAATAAAAAGGATTTTCACTAGCATCCAGATCAGGTTTGTATTCAGTTGTGTAACTACTTTGGCTAGAACTACACCCATCGTATAATGGTGATCCTTGAGAAAGCTCAGAGTAGTTTGGTGATGGCATAAAGCTTCTACCGCTACAGTCTGTATCCATGTTTTCACTCATACACTCCTGCATGCCTGATAAACTGTTAATATGAAGATTGTTGATTCTTTTACTTAATGGCATAAATTCACTAGATTCTTCCTCTGCATCGCGCCCTCGCTTTCTAAACGTCATGAATAAATATAAATTAACAAAATATAATACACCTCGTATAAAACTTGTATAGATTAAATGACAATCAAGTTTCATGACAAATACATTGATAAAAACTAACCTGTTAGATCGAGTCATTCTTGAATTAACCTGACCTTTCAGTAGAAGGTTTTAATCTGAATATATCTTTGACCACTGCATATTATGATATATATAATTTCTTCTTGCTAGAATAATGAATCTCCTATTTTATTCAATTTATGTATACGTCATACGCGTTCGTCAAGAAAACAAAGCTTGATTACACAAATCAGTAGAATACTTCAATATTCTTGTGTGAGCGCAGTTCAACTTTCAACAGTTAGAGAGCGTAAGTGACACGTTTTAAATTTATTATTTTACATGATAATAAACAATGCAATCTTATAATATAAGGGTTCGATGTCATAATGATTATCTTAAAAGAAGAACATGAAATTCGATTTAATTTATTCGCGTTAAATTGCCGCTTTATTATAATTAAACTGTACCTTTAATTACATCGTCTTCCTTTTTAAAGTATACATTCTTAATCAAGATATTATAACTATTTACTTCGTATAATTGTGAGGGAGAACATCGCGTTCTTGTAAAGTAATTAATTTAATAAGTCGAAAATATTATGTTAGCGTAGTATTTTCTTGTTTTCTAATTCTGTATCAATGCGCGCGTCGAAAATAGTATCGCCAGCATAATCTGACGGCGATCGAAGGAATTATCCCACCCGCAACTTATATTTTTTGAATCGTATTTCGTGAACTGAAAAACTCTTTCTATCATTTTAACACTTTAAGCAAACTGTGATATCATTAATTAAGATTTATTAAAACTGTAATTTGTTTCAATAAAGCTTAACATCTGCTTATTAATAAAAAAAAGAGAAGAAAAATTCAATTTAATTTTCGGGTGTAATAGTTTCTCCAATCGTCGATAGATGATGCTACTACTATTTTTAAAGTGCACATTTATAATGATATTTTCAGCTTAATAAATTAATTATTTTACAATAACTTATTCTCTTTTGTAAAAATTAAATAGTTGTAGTATTTTAATTAATAATATAGACTATTATACACGATTATCAAAATATTAAAAAGACAGGGGATTTATTGCGGTTATGTTACTGTATGAATCAGCATATGAACTGTAGTTTATTCGAAAGTCGAATTAACACTGACAAGTAACCGTAAAACTTATAGAAGAACGGTATATTCGCATAAATTTTCTTGTAACATGTTACGAAAGAAGATAAAATTATTATAAATAATAGAAAGTTTAGAAATGTACATAAATTTGTACGAAGATAATATTGTTTAAATTGGTGGACGAGTAGGTTAAATTACCTGTCAAATTTGAAGAAATAATCCCCGTATGATTGTTGGACAGCATAACAATGTCCTTTCTACGCGGCTCAGCGAATTTTGTCTGGTGTACAACCAGTGTTCTTGGTAAAGGTGCGACTGGTGCAGTTTTTCAAGGCGTAAATAAAAACAATGGAGAACCTGTGGCTGTTAAAACGTTCAATCAACTAAGTCATATGCGTCCACATGACGTGCAAATGCGAGAATTTGAAGTTCTTAAAAAAGTAAATCATGAAAATATTGTTCAGCTGTTGGCTATTGAAGAAGAGCAAGATGGTCGTGGTATGGTCATTGTTATGGAACTTTGCACCGGTGGTAGCCTTTTTAATATATTGGATGATCCAGAGAACACTTATGGATTAGCTGAAAGTGAATTTTTGTTAGTATTGGAACATTTAACAGCTGGAATGAAACATTTGCGTGATAATAACTTGGTACATAGAGACTTAAAACCAGGTGAAGAATGATATAATACAAAAGCACAAATATTAAATCATTTTTATAATGTATTTCATTATTTCCTTCTAGGTAATATAATGAAATTCATTGCGGATGATGGCAGTACAATTTATAAACTAACTGACTTTGGTGCTGCCAGAGAATTACAGGAAGACCAGCAGTTTGTGTCTCTCTATGGTACAGAGGAATACTTACACCCAGATATATACGAAAGAGCAGTTTTACGTAAACCAGTTGGAAAAACATTTGGAGCAACTGTAGATTTATGGTCTATAGGTGTAACATTTTATCATGTGGCTACAGGAAATTTACCATTTAGGCCATTTGGTGGACGTAGAAATAAAGAGACAATGTTTTACATCACTACAAAGAAAGCTTCTGGTGTTATATCTGGAGTGCAAACCTCAGAAAATGGACCAATTGAATGGAGCAGGGAATTACCACAGAATTGTCAGCTGAGTGTTGGCTTAAAAAAAATTGTTACTCCATTACTAGCTGGCTTATTAGAAGTTGATCCTCAAAAAATATGGAGCTTCGAACGATTTTTCACAGAAGTCACTGATACTCTTTCTAGAAAAAGAATACACATATTCAATATACATAAGGGCAGTTTAATAAAAGTTTTCTTGCATCCTGATGAAAAACTGACAACCCTTCAAGTACACATACAAGATCAAACTGATATTGCACCGCATGCTCAGATTCTTCTTTTTGGAGATACATTTTTAACAAACATTGTTGAAGAATCTACCCCTGGAAAAGGTTACCCAAATACATCTGAAAATAAACCATTAATGCTATTTTCTAAAGAGAACAATAACGTAAATTTACCTATGGATGCAGAATTGCCTAAATTTCCTGTATTTTCTAGTTTGGTATCTGTAGAAAATGATGCTAATCAAGCAAAGATTGCTTGTTCGGTTGGTTATGTATGTAAAAGAAGAATCGAAAAGCTAGTATTATGCAGTAAATTGTCACAGGATGCGATAGAAGCTTTCAGTGGGCATGTTTTAAAAGAACTCGCAAGATTATTGGAAAAATGTCAGCGTTCTAAAGAATTCACTAAAGCTATAGAAGATACAACAACAGTAGTGGAAAGATGTGAAAATCTTGCTCGACAAATTTCACGAAAACTTGGAAGTCAAAATAATTTAGAAATAATGAATTGGAAAAAAGAGTTAGATTTACAGAGTAAAGAGCTCCTAACTGAATTAGCTCCTGCAGTAACGCAACTTCATCAAAGGTAATTAATTATTATATCTCGTTAAATTTAATTTACTAAAATAATTTCAAATGCAGGTACGTGAAGGAGGGTAGCTTACGTAGCGAATGGGAAAATATTATTCGTGGATTATGGTGTCCATGGGTCAATAAAGCAAGTCAAAAGGCAACAACTTTGGTTGATCGTTTACGAGATGGCTGGCAACATTTATTACGAGACAGAGCTACTCGTAATCTCACCTACAATGACGAACAATTTCATGTATTAGAACGAGTAAAGGTAGCTTTATCAACATAAATGTTTTGCACAATGGCTGTAAGAAAATATATTCATTTAATGTGTTTCCAGGTTACAGAAACGGGTCAAAGATTGAAAAACCTTCTTGAAACGTTTTGCGTACCTTCCATGGTGAGTCGGTCCGAATGTGTTGCTGATTGGTATAAAATGGCACAAACGGTCTTCCTACAAACTCAGATTTTAGATAAAGATGTAGATAATTATGAGCATGTGTTAGAAACATATTCTTACCGTTTGTCTCAAGAAAGTAAGGAACGTTATGAAAGTTTCTTACATTTAGTAGACAGACTTCCAGGAAAGCTAAAAACTGTTGAAAAAACCAATTTACCTGCTCAAGAAAATACAAAAAAGTGGAAAAATATTTGTATTATGCAAGAACGAATTTCAATGATTCTATATAGAAACGGTCTACTTGTAGATCAAATTGATCGTTTATCAGCACTTGATGGTGTTGAGAATACAAATGATTCTGAATATACATCGCTTTAACAAACCGTTTCTTAATTTTTATTGTAAGAATGATGAGAATAAGACTGACAGTATGTATAATAAGTATAGAAAACGAGTAATATAAAAAATGTACAGCGTACTTAATACCATAATTATACGATTTCTATTATGATTTATATGTTTCAATAAAATGACCGTTACTGTTTTTCCAGTCACAATTTCACAGGGAAAAAATTTAATTGAATAAATCACAAAAGTAGGATATACAAGTATCATTCTTCTGTTCTATAAAGTATGTGTTATAAGTTTTATTAAGATATTATGTATAGTGGTATATCTACGCTGTTTTTATGTATTTGTAATGTATATAAAAGTAAATAAATATTTATTGTAAAATTAAAATGTACAAATATTTAGTTCATGGATTTAGTGATATTCACTAATTATTAAATGTGATTAAAAAATAATTTATTTTACATTACAAACTTTGGTAATAATTATATATTTATTATATATTTTGCGATACGCAATAATTTTGCAATATAAATGGTATTAAATGCGTGGATTTTTTATGTAAGTACGTTCATATGATAAAAAGTATAATAATAGAAAACTCAATTTACCTTCGTATAAATTAATATTTATGTTTGTAACAATTTTTATTTATATATCTCCATTATTTTTTTCTATTAAATTTGTTAATCGTTGCTTACGTTTTTGTTCTTTATGCTGTTCTTGAATAGTGTGGAAGTGTTTCAACAGTTCTGGGAAGTCAAGTCTATCTTTAAAAGATTTCGAACTTGATTCTGATTTTGGTATTGGTTTTGTTGTCGGCGGAATTGCTGCTAAACGTCTTTGTAAGGTTGCATATGCTTCACTTTGAGGAAGAATCATAAGCAAACCATACAGTGCATACACTAAGGCATCTTCTCTTTGTAAAAGTTGTAATCTCAAATCTAAAATACATTATATTTATGTAAATATCAATCAGGTACAATAATAATTCATTATACTTACACGTAAATATCGGAGATTCAATCAATTGTACAAGTTTATCTATTTCAGTGAGAAATTCCACAGTAACTTCTATGTTTTCACTATATTTGGAGTTAAGTAGTAATAAAAATTTAATGGTAAAAAAAATGATACTGTATATTGAATAAAGAAAAGGATACAATGATCTAATGATATCATAAGCATGACCGTAAATCTGAGATAAAAAACATAATGCTACAGTTGCAACAGGATTGTGGCACCATGATACATACAAGCATTTAAATAATTTACAGCTTTCCTGTAAACGTAGATACATCATTTAAACGATAATTAAAAATGTTAAAAGTATAAAGAATAATAATACATACCAATGAATCTAAATCTTTAAGTTTATTTCGCAAATCAAATAACTCTGAGCTTGTTAACAATATGACACTTAAAGTTTGAATCATTGTACACGCAAAACTTAAATTTGGTTCATCTAACAATATCTTTGCTAATGTCTTATAAATATCTTCGGCACTTAATAGTACACATAATTCTCGGATGATAAAAGCTCCCCTTTCCTCTAACAAGTGTCTGTCAGTTGAGAATAGCCTTAACAAATTTACAATAAATTTCGTGAAATATTTATTCTGCATTTCTGCATTTGAATCAGTGGTAGCTGCCTTGGGAGACTTCGAACTAATTATTTCGGCCATTACGACCAACGTTTGTTGCACCACTTCGTCAGAATTATCGCTTAATGACTTCATTAGAATTGGAAATAAATTTTCAATGTGATTAAACATTTTATGAGGAATGTTTATGAATAAGTGATGAATCCATTTTAAAACGGCAACTTTTGTTTGCACTGACATGTACATCAAGTGTTTTGTTAGTACTTCAACAACACTAGACAAATCTAAACTTTCAGCTAAGGAACGATTTTGACTAGAATCTAAAGAAAGAAAATTTAGAAATGTTATTGACACAGCGATTTTTCTTTTAACAATTCACACAAGTATAACATTACCTTTTTGGGTTTGAACATCATTTTCACTGGCATTATTTACAACTTGCGTGTTTTCCATTGTTACAAGCTTCATTAAGTTTGCATTTACTTGTGTTGCAGTTTCCTTAATACATTTTCTTGTATCTCCATCATATGCTAAACAAGGTAATACTGCTATAAGAATACCAGACATGTAAGGAAGCATAAGAGGTCCTGATAATTGTACAAACTCCTTAATCCACGTTATCGCTGTTAACTGTAATAACTCATCGGTACTTTGTGCATGTGTAATTAAGATGTTTATCATACCAGGAAAATCTACTCTTCCTGGATTAGCCTTAATACTACGCAAAAATTCACCAAGAACCGTATCTGTTACTTTCTTAATTTCTGGCGTCGGGTCCTCTAATATTTTAAACAAACCGTCAAGAATTTCAGGCAAAAAAATAATAAAGTCCATATTAGGGACAGCATCTAAAACTGATACCCATGCTATTACAAATTGCCTACCAAATGCATTTTTGGTATAAATACGTTCTCGTAGTAATGGCATGAATCCAACTAAATCAAACAGCCCACTCTCTGTTACTATATCCTGAAAGTATATTTAAAAGAAATAAGTCTTTGTATTATTAAATTTTAATCTTACTGTACAAAGTTTGATTACCTTCATAAGTCTGTCCAGTAGCTCTGTAGCATTTTTTACATTTTGTTCAGAATCGCATGCTAATTTACTAAGTGCTGCAAAAATATCTGTGAACTGTGGTAATACAGCACCTCGTGCTACTTTTACTACATTATATAAACTTTCACAAGCATAATATCTTACACGTAAATCAGAATCACAGAAACAAGCTAGAATAGGATGAATTAAATCTTCTATGTATTGACCAGTATCTTTTCCCAAGCCAACTGCTATTGCTGCTAAACCTATCAAACCACCTTTTCTTGTATGTGGATTCTGCGAGGTAGCAAAGTCTTGACCAAGCACTTTTAAAAGTCGTTTGATTTGAACAGTATTATTATGTGCAGAAAATTCTTTTACCATTCTGAAATAATGTACAAATGATGAAGAATAACAAAAATTATATTACAGATAAGCATGATTAAAAATACCATTACATAACCTTACTTTTCTATTTCCAAAGCAGCTGGTTTTCTTTTTTCATAAAGTTTGTCATTAAGGGAACGTACACAAGCAGTACTGAGGGGTGCATAATCTCTTTCTGACATCATTTTCACGTGTCACGTTTTAAATTAAAAAAAGAATCATTAAAAATATTCAACAAAGTGACAGCTGATATTGTGTTGTCACAAACTCAAATTATCATCTGATATTGAAACTTATTACGCATGTGCAAATATAGGCACGTACTTCCCCATCCGCTAGATGACGCCGACAAAATTTAAAAAAAAGATGTATTTGCCAGCGTAATACAAGCGTACAAAAAATGGTACTGAATAACTATCATATTTTTAATAATTAAAACTTTTAAAGAAAATTAATCATCGAATTATAAACTTTTATTTAATAATTTGTTAGGCTTGTTCTTTAAATAATTGACTGTACATGTTCCGTTGTAGACAACTCTTTATTTTTTCTTTGGAAAGGTATAAAATAAAATTAATTTCATTCGGCCTTACAATTTTTAATTTTAAATACGAGTTTAAAAAATTTAGAAAACATTAAAAATCGTTATAATTTATTCGAAAATGCCGAGTACATAAATTATTAAAAGCTTTTCCTTTTTAAACAGTGCAATGTGGGAGTTGTAAGTTGGATGAATTATGAAGTAATAAAATATAATTGTTGAATTACATTTTCAATATCAGCCAATATAAATTTTAAACTATGAATGATATTTTAAATATTCTTCGTTAATTTATTCTTACGAGAAGAAAATTGATGATTTCATACGTAATAAATGATCCACTGCATCATAATATATTGTCTACAAGTGTTTGAAAATAGTTGTATACTGTTTCTATAAAGGCAACATTATAAGGCTCCAAGTTTCAAAACTCGGATAATATAAAAACTCGTAATAGTTCTCTATTTCGATTTCATGCGTGTTTATCTTTCTCTCTCTCTCTTACTGTAATCTTTTAATCTGTTCACTGCCTTTAATATAAACATTTATAATTAAAGTAATCACAATGGCAGTGAAAATTTTTCATTCAAAGATCATAACAATTTACTAAAATTTTAAGTTCGCAATGGACGGAAATTTCTTTCCTAGTATTTGCATACAGTTACAATAAAACTGCTTATATTAGCCTATAAGTAAGAGCTCCGACAAAGAAGTGTAATGTACAATTGCCTTAAACGATTAATATTAAATTTACGAAATAGTTCAGTGAGATTGTTTCACTTCTAACAACTGAGGATAATTCTCAACTATATTTAATAAGATTCCATCGATGTACGCCCTTAATTGTGTATTAACCTCTTGTTGTTCCTTTAAAGCTTGCCTCATCTGTAATAAATCAAAATAATAATAATATAAAAAATAATCTATATCAATATAATTCGTATTCGTAATTTAAGACATACTTCAGATATACTACAAGGTTCATCATTATCTCCAGGAATTTGCCCATCCATCTATAGTAAAATTGAATTGGTAAGGAAAGACCAAAATTACAAAATAATTTTTATAGATTAAGAATCGCAATTTTTATAACGATAACAAACATACTTGGTCTTGATTCATGCCAGCTAATAATTCTACAGCAAGACTAGGTCCTTTTTCAGTAGCATTATTGCAAGGATTTAACATTAATAGTTCACGGCCTGCCTGCAGAGCCGCTGCAGCTTGTAGTTCATCCCTTGCTTCTTCAAGGCCTTAAAAAAGATATCAATTCTAACAATTTTCTTACAAATTACTTCAACCATTTACATAAATTAAAAACACACTTTTATTATGAGCCCGAAGTTGTGCAACCTGTTGCATTAATTCCTCTATCCTTTGTTGATCCTCGATTTTCATCGAAAGTTCTTCTCTAGCAGCTTCAAGCTGATAGTGAGCTTCGTTAGCTCGACTTATCGCCTGTCGCTCGCTTTCGCGTGCCGTGTCTATTTCTCTTCTAACATCTTCAAGATCATTTTCTAGTCTACCCTTCTCTGTCTTTAATTTGTCGACCTGTTCGCGTAACCTTACTATTTCATCCCTTAAATTAGTACCTTCTAATTCTATCGCTTGTAATTTAATGGCATAATTTTCTAATTGTAACTGTCGTTCCCGCTCTAAACGACTCGCCCATTCTCTATGCCTTCGTTGCTCTGCCTAAAATAAACATATTATTAAAGATTAGAAAATTCTGCCGAGTATTAATATTATTTTAATATTATTTACTAATATTAATTTTACTATTCCGAGTAAAAAATTACCTGGAGCCTTTCCTCAGCTCTAGCTTCGGCGTCTTTGGCAGATTCTTCTAGCATTAATATTCTCGCCTGCAACGTAGCATTTTCCTGTTTCGCCCTAGCGTACCGCTCCTCCCCGACCGATTGAGTATCCACCAAGGCATGCATTTGTTCCTGAATCATTTGAACCTAGAAATACATAAAACACAGTTTTTAAATATTCCCTTGCATTTAAAATTTAGCGGAACAATTATTTCTTTTTATTTTTCAATTCTTTAATACAACCATAATTTTCAAATCCTAATGGAAATATATAAAATGTATTAGAGAACGCATAGACGATAAGTCCCGTTTAAAAACTCGCGCACGTCCCACTTTACATTCTAGATAAGCTCTTGTAATGCAGTGACTCTCAACCACCGGACGTGGAGTCCAGTTGAGTCATTTCTATGTAAATATTATACTTATTTTTATATATAAACCTTGAAATCTAAGCGAAGTTACAGTTACTTCATTTTATTTCCAATACATTTTCTAACAGGCTATAATTAGCTCATACCATATGTTTAATAAACACCACGACTTCTAACGGTGAAATATCAAACGTGAAGGTATTTTGTAATGCGCATTTATTCCGTCGCGAAACTTACGTTTACGAGTAACGCGATGCACGTTACATATTATTTCTTGTTAAGCAAAAAATACAATAGTTAGATCTATGAATTAAAATTACGTAATTGCTACCCTTATTTGCGTATAAATTTATCTGCCCTAGTGTTATCAAATAAATCGATATATCGATAGCAGCGATAACCGGTTTCGTGATTTATGATACCATACAATGTATTAAAAATAGTATTACAAAAAGTCAGGTTACAGATGATACGATAAAAAACAAATTTATACGATTTAATGGTCTCCTAGGTATACGGTCTCAGTATACTGTTCCTTACTTGTTCAGTAAGCCGAGGAGCACGGCGACGAGGTAGTCGACTACCGCGAGAAAACGGTTGTCCAACAAATTGAAATTGTCCCTCCCACAAATCATATTCAAGGCCGGCACCGGGCCCCGGTGACAGCCCTTCCCCGGAAGTTATTCGATTGTCGCGATCGTAACGTTCGATCGAACTTAAATCTGTCTGTTCATCGTAACTATTCGAATCCATCCTGAATCGTGATCTCTCACGTTACGCCTGTGTCAGGTGGACTCGTCATCCTCTTTGACTAATCCAATACAGAGGATTATTCCGTTAAAACGACGCGCAGGCATGCCGGTTCTCTATCCATCCTCCTACGCGGCAGCCTGTCACTAAACCTAACCTCGAAATTTCGTGCGTCCACGTACGAATCGTGAATTCCAACGATAAACGTGCGTATAATCTAAGATGCACTGAGAGAGGCACAACACTACGCGCACATCCGTTTCTTTCAGCGTACTTCGAATATAATCGTTCGTCTCAATCGCCCACTGTAAGCTGGGAGTAGCCGAGAGGCTATTTGTGTACGCCATACTCTGTATCGACTAACTTCGTTAATTCACGCACATATATTGTGTGTGTGCGCGTTATATCGAACGGAGCTTCAGCTACCCCCAGGGAAATACTTTAAAATCTAATTAAACCGCGCGAAAGTAATTTCTCTTTCTTTATGCTTTACAAAAGTAATTAAAATATTTCAGTTTTAATAAATACTTACTTTTATCTAAGGCGAGATAATATAAAAAGTATTTAATTGTAATAAAACAATACATACTGTTTCCATTACACACCATATTTGAATCATGAAACAAACGTACACAATTGAACTTTCTCGATGAATAATGGATGATTATTATTAATGAATCACATAATACGATAGTCTGATAAATGCGCCGTGATAATATACGCCTCTGATCAATTTACACTGTATGATTTATGTCACACCCAAGTGTAGTGGATGTAAACATTTCAAAGGGGCATACGCGTAATTCTATTTTAGGTTATTATCAAAAAGAACCGATAAAATAGAATGTGTAAATAAATGTAATCAAACGTATTAAAATACCTGCTTCAACAGTCAAATATTATTCTCGTTCCAAAATTGTTTTACGATCAATCGTCATCGACAGCGGATCCAACGTTTTACGCCGAAGTTTTGCGACTAGAAGAGGTGGCTTGCTAATGGCCTGCTGCTTTCCATTTCTGGTACACAATGTAACCAAGATAACCAATCACACCAAGAACCATCAAGAAATTAAGAAAAGGCCAACCTCTCCATCCAATGGAACTAGAATTCGTTTTACGACATGTCATACTTTATATTTTTCAATCAGAATACTTATTAATTTTAATTGTTCTACATATAAATAATTTTGCTTGTCAAAATTTATATCGTGACTGATTAATTTAATGCTGTCAAACGTTTGCATTTGTTTTTCTTCTAATGAAAAAAAATATATTATGTGTCTATATTGTTTTATTTTATTTATGTTAAGTTACATAAGAATCAATGAACATTGATAATTCAATGTTTCAATTGTAATGCAGGTGTGAATAAACCTGTAATAAATATAACACACGATGAAGCGTACAATTTAAAAGCTTTGCATCTTAATAAAAGCTGTTACCTTTTTATTACGTAATTCATTCAACGATTCGTAAACGTGCAATTTCTTTCATGAGTAGTCGTAATTAATTCCACCGCGTTTTAAATTTATAATATCTTGAATGTATAAATAAACGTCCATCGAATAAGATTGTTCTAAGAAGCGGTGGATCGAGTAGCTTCGTTCATTGCTGTACCAGATATATCGGTAGCAACGCTAACTTTGTTCTCCGAGGAAAATTCAATGATACCTTCCTTTTTACTTCCATCGCGTTCGCACAACGAGTATTTTCCATATTTCGTGCCGTTGTCCGGTGTGAAACGATAATCGTCACATCCGTCACAGAACACGTAATTTCTATCGGTCGGAGCAGTTACGTCAGAATAGAGAATAAATTCAGCTGGATAATTTTGTTTCGCATCCCTTTTTCTCCTCGTGGTCTACAGGTTCAGAAAGATCACCTTTTTTTAGCGGCTGCGTGGTCAGCAACACGCGAATATGGTTTAAAGAACTCTCTCCCCACGATTATAATCCTGGATGTGAGAAACGTTTGTGCTCTCTATTTATTACTAATCATTTGAAAAAATGAATCATCGAAACGGTTGTAAGCCGTTTTAATAAATTTTAGACTAAACTATAGAATAACAATTAATTTTTTCGTGGATTTGCACTTCTAAATGGTATCGGTAATCGATCGATTTGAAACTTGGCGCAATTTATGAATTCAAATTCTCCCGCGTAAACGCTTACGGTGGAGGCCGCAGGCCTATATATATGGGACCATCTTCCATGAATCGGCATTCTCCCCGGAGCCACCGATAGGTTAGGACCGGAAAGGGGATGTGTACCATGCCCGTTTCTATACAATTGGTCAAAATAACTCTGCATTAAAATATAAAGATTAACGCAATACCCAATAGTATCGAAAATCTCTTATACCAACATATCTCTTGAACGTATAAAGCTGAAATTTCATACTTCAGTTCCGCCCTCCTACCATACCCACCAAGTTTCATCTCCGCTGGTACCATTTAGAAAAAACATCCTCCGTATTATATTTTTCTCTTTCAATCTTGCGAATGATGTAACCTGAGTCTATTTATGACGCGGTATGAAAGAAGAGAGAAGATCCTAATGCTGTATCGCTAATTGAATCGCATACCATTTCCGAAATAAACACGTCATTATTTGTTCAGACTCTCGATCAATGTTTTTGAAATTTAAAACCGTTTCAACGAATCATTAGCAGCTTTTTTTTTTAATCTATCCGTCGGCGTTTCTCGTCAGTGGGGAAGATTGAAATAAAAATATGTAATCTGATGATAGATTTACCTGTGCTGGCTGTATTAAGGTGGGCAATCCAGCGTTTATTCTTCGTCGAGTATCACGGGATAGATAAAATACAACGCTAACGATGCCCAACAGCAGAAAAATGATTAAGAATATACTGATCCAGGATAAACCCTTTGATTCTTGTGTTACATCGTTACAGTAGGGTGACGAGTAAAATGCCCCTGGGTGATAAGGTGCGTAAGGATTGTATGGATGGTAAGGTGGAGGGTAATACACATAAGGGGGAGGAGGAGGAGGTTGCGGTGGTTGCTGTTGAGGGAACCTATAGTCCGGGTTGCCTTTACTAGGGGATCCAGATCGCGGTGGTGATCGACATGGTGAATTCGCAGCGCACATTTAACGAACCTTCTTTCTTTTACCGAACATTAAATTTAAAATACCCTGTCTGTTGCAGAGATTGCAATTTTCTCTTGTAATATACCAAAACATCAGGTTAAGTGGTCTCTCACTTACATACAAATTTTAACACCGCATTGAAGTTGTTAATCTAACTTCAGCCGCGTTAAATAATCAAGGTACGTTTTCACGGTGACGTTAGAAACATAGCTTTCGCTGTCTAACTAGAAATCAGCTGATCATTTTTTTGCTGTCGTATGGCAAAATGATTGCTTGTTACATGTCTAGGAAATTCCATTATTTCTTTTAAAGAACAGTGACGATGCACTTTTCATCGGGTATCTAAAATGACACTGAAAAAATAAAAGATCACATGATTCCTTGATATTAAACTCACGACTCCCAGTTATGACAACGAACGTTACGCGGAAACGTACCTTGGATAATGTTTTTAAATGACGGTACTCACTCTGTGATTGAGATCAATGACATCATCTTCAAGGGAAACATCGCTGTACATATCGTCCGTGGGATCACAGTTGGAGCCTCTGCCAGAGCTGTTAAAACTGCCGCTTCGGTAAAGTTGACTAGAAAAAGAACAACGGTAATTAATTATCGTTATCTCTGGTAGAAAATACAAATGAGCTTTTGTAAATATTTGTATTTCTATTTTAAATGAAATTTCTCAAATGTAAAGGAAAATGATAGCTAAGTCTAGTATAGGTTCGAATAATTACATAAAGGCAATTATAAAATAAGATATATACTCGAAGCGTTTATATGAAGCATAGAAGGAAACAGGATGTGGAAGTGCGTGTCCATGTAGCGGTGCCCACGCTTTAGAAAGTCCGTCGTTTTGCGTTTCGTGAAAGGAAGGACTCGAAAAATTGTCAGCCAAGTAAGAACACCCTACGGTTCATCCTATGAAATATAAATTCTTCGGCGATGAGTTACGTTGCTATTGTTATCTCGTGACGTCAACTCACCGAATTGCAAAGCAACTATTTTTTCCTTTTTTTTTTTGTTTACTTTTTACCTTGTTCCATTGAACGTGATTTATTCATGAACACAGAGAAAATATTTCAATTCTTCTTTTAACGTAGCATACGACCGTTTTCACGGTACAGTTGAAGAAAAAATAACAGCTTACGTAACGCGCTCTGCATTATTCACGTTACTATTTTTGTTACAAAATTAAACAACTGATAAATCGTTCTTACCTTGCTAACGCATTGGAACTGAGTCTCTTCCTTCCGGAACTGAAAATGAAAATGAATAACGTGACCGTGGAAAATACGCCAAGATATTCTTGTCTGAGAAAATATGTTGTTAAGTAACCGCTTTTAACGAACCGAACTTAAAATATAATTTTAAAGTTGCTCGATAGCTATGTTTTATTTTATCATAGTACGATTAAACAGAGAACCGTGTAAAACATTGGACAATGTACTTTGGCAGTAAAGAAATTTCAATGTTCACAAGGCGGATCAAATGGAAGAGTAAAATTCGATGCGAATCGGATACAAAGCCAAGAAAAGACAATCTATAAATAATCGTGGAAGGATAATTAAATGACTCTACCTTTGGCAAGCGTACAATGTGCGCTTTAAATGGTACACAATCTAACATGTATCTATGTATCAAGATTCTTATTTAAAATTTTCAATAACAATAACTGTACGACAAACTTTCCATTCATGAGAGCGTTTTCATTCTCTCATGATGTTCCATTGTTCCTTCTAACAACCGCTCAAATCATCCAAAACCATCTATGACTTTATGAGATTGTAAAATTTGAATGATTTGATGACATGAAGATATTTACATTATTTGATTATACAATCAAATAAAATGTTTATGTTGTCATAAATGTTATTTTACAGTCCTCCGTTTGACGTATAACGACCTAATAAAAATGCTCTACAGTTAGTTACGGAGAGTTAACTAATTGTTCCCGTGTATTGAATGTTATCCATTAAATTCTTATGAGCTAATCGTCGATAATAGAATAGGAAGCATTGTGTACGTTATCTGGTAATGTTCTTCGCACACTCTAGGTGTAACGACTTCCTTTTTACATTGAACAGATAGCCTCTTACATTTCCCTGAAGAAATTTAACGAATTTCTTGTGAACAACTTTGGATACCTTTCTTCAGAGATTAAACGAGTTTCTTATCTGCTTTGTTCTATTAACACAACTAGACAGCGGCGATTTATCAAGCCGTTTCACAGGAGCAATATTTTCACACGGCGGCCTCGTCATTGTTCCGTCTTCCAGATCAGCGGAAATTAAAACCGCGCGACGAATTCAATCTAAAGCTCGACGATTATAACGCAACGCAGGCGTAAATCTTGTTTTCACGTGACAAATAATTTTTTCATCATCGCATCGTGTCAGCAGTGGTTTTAATTTTCACCTGGCAAGGTAAATTCGACGAATTTTATTAAAGCGTTCAACTTTTCTTGTAGGAAACACTCAAAAACCCTTTAATAAATCTGGAAAAAGAGATTTCACGTAAAGATAACATTCAATATACGAGATAATAATTATCATTAAAAAATTCGCAATCTACTTCTAAAAAAGAAATAAAAAAGTTAGAAAATTGTTATGTTATTAAATGTATAAATTACCAGGGTGGAGTTCGCCTAAGGGATGTTCTTAACCAAGAATGCCTTCCTATAGTTGAATTAGGGCTCCTTGGGTTTCTATTTAAAACAAAACCAATAAGAAAATATTAATGACATGTATATTATTCTCTGATATAAATGTAAATTATTCTCTTTTTATTTAATTAGTTTTATTACCTTAATTCATCTTCATATAATACAGAATGAAAGGAAGCAATTGCAAAGTATACTTAAGTATACTATAATTACAAAACACGTACATTTTGAAAGTTGAAAGATAATTGCGTGTAGCAGGAAGGAAAAAAATACCCGGTACATTTGCTACGATAATGTAAAAAGATTGTATTAATAATTCCACGAACTTTTGTAAGTACAAAAGATACACGCTTCTATTTTCTCTTTTCGCGTGAAAGTTTTTCTACGCATCGGATCAACCTAGCGAAGCATTAATTTAATCGTGGGAATAGATCATAAATCATACCAAATGTGAGAAAACTCTATTAAACATCGAGGTGTAAAATGCAATGTCTACATAATTTCGTAAGACAAACATGTCCCGAAATAAACATTAAAACCAATGGAACATTCCGTTACAGTACCTTCAGAAGCACGATAACAAAATCAATAAAGATCCTAATAATTTATAAACATGTACTTCAAATCTATATTTAAATTTCATTAAGAAGTTTTCCATTAAACAATACTCTATGTATTTAGGATAAAATGAAATTTATAATTGGAATATTTTTATATATAAATAAATAAAATTATTTTACTAATTCGTACTTACGCATTTTTAACGATCGAAGCACCCTCTACTGTTCGTAATCAGAAACCTAACCTATGAAATTTGAATGCGTTCGCGCGCAAAATTCCAATTCCTTCGATGCTGTAGTATCGATATCTTTCGCTTTGGAAACGATCTATAAAATGGTGGATATATATAGAGAAGGCAACGAACTTACCTCAGTGAATTGGTGCCGGTGGGCGAGGGTGCAGAACTGCTACCTCCCGGTGAATCGACCCCGTCATCGGCGTCGCCTTCGACCGAACCGAATGCTTCGTAGCTCTCTTCTTCGTCGTTATTTCGAACAGTTCCAACGTTACAAGATGACGCGGCAGCATCGGTGTGCTCGGGGCTGGCTGAATAATGTCCAGAATCTTGGAGGTTCGGATTGACCAAATTATGCAGCTCGACCGACATAGAAAGCGAGGGCGGACCGCTTTCGCTCCATTCGACACCGGCCGGACTTCCGTTCACGCGACCACCCTCGTTCTCCGCGCGATATGATTGGCGGCCGCTCGGTAAGATGGCGTCACCATCACGAGCTACGTCACTGTCGGACACGACGACACGCGATGTAGCCACGCTGTTAGCGGGTGAGACACTTACGCCAGTCGAACGGGAGCTTACCATTCTTCGTTATCGGCCAGATTGGAGCCGAAGCTCGATGAGCAAGAAAACTGAGGGATGACCGAGAGAGAGAGAGAGGGAGCTCCTTCGATTCGCACACGCGAGCCGCACCGGTAGAACCGGTCACTACTGAAAAATGTTCTAATGAGTCACAGCTCAAAACGAAAAAAGAAAAAAAAAAGAGTAAGATGAATAAGATGAGGAATTCAACACGAGATCTTCGTGTTTTATCTCTTTGACATTCTTAACGGTGAATGATTTTTACTCGTAACGCCTATTCCTACCGTGAACGTATTATTAATCTATGGTAATGCGATTTAATAAATATGCAACATTACGTAGCCAGAGTTCGAGAAAAGCGTGAGAATCAAGAACAGGAGTCATGGTACACTGACTCATGACTTCAACAACGACATGAGAAAAGTCGAAGGAAGTTACTTTGTTACACCTTGTGTCTACATCGCTCAAAGTTCAGAGATATGATTTTCATTTCCTTTTGTTCTTGTTTTCCAAGAAAAGAAAAACTATATGAAATAAAAAAAGGAAGAACTGTTTTCCTTTTTTTTTTCTTTCAAAATAAATATATGTCAGATACTATCTATGCAAAAGTACTAATTGAGGACAGTAAAAAAGATAACCATACGTTAATCACTGAGTCATCTATACGAAGAATTTTTAAAATTCAAAAATATCAAATTATTATTATATTCTATATAGATAATAACACGTATAAGACACTTACAATACTTAATCGTATGCTATTAATTCAATCGATGTTCGTACTCGTGTAAAATGCACTTGACAAGTTCATACATAGTAAGCGAAGCCATAATAATTAAGATAGTCAACGAGATAATCGTTAAAAGCGCATTAAACAATCGTGTTATTATATTCGAAGCATAGGGAACATTTCTTTTTTTCTGTAAATAGCATCCTAATTTTGAAACACGTATTTCTGATAAAAATGAGAATATTTTTTTCACTAGTAAAAAAACATCAACTTCCGGTGTTCTATATTTATTTCAAATACATTTGTAAAATTGAAACGATTTGTGTATTGCGAAACATATATACTACTTGAGTGACATAATAATATGGTCAATAATCCTACCCTACCCTATAGACATTTTGTACCAATTCATTTTTTACCGTTGTCACGTTGGTAATGAAGATTTTAAACGCGCATGCTGCGAGCGACAGATACATCGAATATCCTTATGCCTTTTATTTAGTTGCTTTGGTACATAAATAAATAGATAGAATTTTAGTTTAGATAAAAAATTTATATTGACATTATATCGCGACTAGGTACGAAAATTACCCATAAGATAATTAACGTTTTCGTTTCCAGGTACTTGTCACTCGGAACGGAATGCGTAGATGCGTTTCGAATCGCAGGGAGATTCCAGGACGCTATTTAGAGCAAGCTCGAAAGTGTAGACGATGTATATTTTAGCGCTGAACGGCGTATAATACCTTAACCTTAATGGAATGAGAATGTCATTAACTTTTGTCGTTGAACAAATTCTAACAATGATTCGCTACATTGTACACTTAGAGAATACTATTTACTATTAAAAAAGCTAAATATTTCCTTGCTGATCAATCGATCGCTATTAAATTTATTTTAAGTTAATTATCGATCATTGTCAGCAACTCGATACCGTTTGTTAAAAGAAAATAATAATGACAATAAACTTAGCACGCGCTATAGTTTCGTATGTTAATTATAGGATGAAGTTTGAGAAAAGAGTAGCAAGACGTTCCTTACATTATTGGTCGAACGTTGACTCACCTTGAACCTAACAATAGGTGATCCCAAAGAAATTCGGAGGATTTACGTTCAGGTATCGGAACCGAGATCTTCGGTTTCAAATAATCAGTTACAACTGAGCGAACGAGTCAATTACGAGCCGCTTGAACGCGGAAGGTATAGAGCAGGGAGGAAAAAAGACAAAATCCGAGGCAGATGCACCTTCCTAACTGTCACCTAAGGTAAACACCTGTACACACCGAGCCAACGATTTAGTAGACGCGTATGAGGAGAAAAAACCAGTCACAATAAATAGTGTCTTTGTTGCGATAGACGGGTGTAGCCGTCAAAACACGATTGTTAAATAAACAATCGAATTTGAAACGACAAACGAACCACAAAACGATCTCGTGACAACCGCGGTCGAACTAAACGAAAGCACGACTGAACCATAACGCGAAAACGATCAGCCGAGAGCAGCCACGGCAGGTACGCATGCGCAACGAAACAGGAATGTTCATGAATACACGAATACAATCTACTACACCTATACACACCACACTAAACATCACGGTCGTACCTACAGGTACGAGAAAGCACCAGTGTCTCTCAATCTGTGGAGCATTGACTTACTTATGACTGTTACATTTTTCATGTTTCTGTTTTTTTTTTTTTTTCTTAAACCTATTCATCGTTCGGTTAATTTTCGTAGATGAAAATTAATAAACTTTAACTAGTTTCGTGAAACACTCATCTTATATCTTCGTTATAAAATATTCGTTTGAATGTTCGTTTCTTTTAGGGTGTAGCAACGTCATCCGAATTTTTCTTGTAAACCTCCTTGTAAACTAACTCTTGCATTTGCATTCTGAGCAACATCCTTCTGTCGGCAGGCAATGCTCTTATGTGAGGTAAAAGACTCATAAGGAAATAATAATTATCATCGAAACGGTTCCCTTCTAAGGGATCTACCGGGAGACCGATGTTAGTGTCACTGTCGCCTATTAACACTTGTTCAGGAGAGATATTTTGTAACATCATCTCATTTTCAGTTAAGTTATCGGAAACACTTTGAAACTCGAGGTTGTCGAAATTTTCTTCAGGTTCTTGTTTCACGTCTATGTGATTGACATTGTCAATCTTTAGTCCATTATCGCTATTTATCGACAGAAGATGATTCGCAATTGTATTACGATCGTCGGAATTCCTATTCGTTACCGACGAACCTTTTAACATCAGTCCATCGCCTTCACCTTCGCTTGGTACACGATCGTCGTCTTGACAAGGATTACTTCGTTCCCAAATCGGTGGACGGGGTAACATTTGTTCCTTTAAAAACTGTAAGCTTTTGAAATGTATCCATACTGGCCTATTTCGATGAAATTTACTTTTACGATATACTTGATCCTTTTTTAACTCCGCCCGAAAAGTGTCTCGTAAACCTTTCCACTTTGCTTTTAATACCGGTTCTGAAAAGATTTGAAAATAATCAATCTGTTCATTTACAATGATATAATTTATATGTTTTACTTAATTAAAAATGTTTATAGACAGTAAATTATAATATCAATAACGTTAGAAGTAAGAAAAGTCATTCATAAATGTGATAGAATTTATTGACTATGCTAGCGCGCATGCGCGTGTAGGTAAATAGCTCGTACTTGCAATTTAAATCTTCTGGTGCGATAATACTGTAAATAGCAGCAAATTGTAAGTTATTGATAATTTATAGATTAAAATATTATACGACTATAAATTTCTTACGTTAAATTAAATATACAAATTGATTAAAATTACAATATGTTCAAAAACATGATATCTACGAAAAAGTGAGGTTAACTGAATCATTACCCATGATTACGCGAGTACAGCGTAAAATGTTATGCTACTTAAAAAACAGGTAATACCTAAGTTCTTAAAATGTATATACACTTTTTTCATGTAGAATTCAAGAAAAATCATAATAATGATAATATTTAGAATACATTGTCGTCTGCTAAGAAGATAAAAATTGTGCCAGATAAAAGGAAACGCGGAAAATGCGCGCGCGAATAACAAACACGATAAACGATTTCGTCAGTGCACCTACTGGGCAATTTGAATATCGATGCGATCTCCATCCAAACGCGGTTCGTCACTTCGCGATTGTGATAAGAGATATGCCTTTGGTTCCAAAGCGCTGGCCGCTTATATACTTCGGCGATTAGCCGATTCGCATCCATTTTCACTTCATCTCTCATATTTACCAATTAAAGAAATAAAGGAAAAGCAATTCTTTGTAATTTTTGACAAGACAAAAAAAAAAAACACAGCATTAGCTTGTCAACCCGATAGGAACAAAGTGCGGGCGAATACTAGCCGCTGGGATAGCGATTAGCGCGCAGGACGCTCTCGGGTAACGATCGATTCGCGTTTCGCCCTCATCTTGCCCTTGCTAGCGCGAGTAACTTCATCTTTCACTTTTCGTAGGGTGGTAACTTTCCATTTTCTCGCCGTATTATCCATTAATAATGCAATTATCAATGTGATAATAATATATAAAATAAATGATTTTTATACGTTCCAGATGTTGAACAATATGAAAGGCTTTGAGTTAATAGCACAAGGCGCTGAAGCTCGCGTGTACAAAGGTATCTACTTAGGAAAGCCAACGTTAATTAAAGAAAGATTTGAGAAGAAGTACAGGCATGCCGATTTAGATATTCGTCTTACTAAAGATCGAATAAAAGCTGAATGTCGCGCTATAGTCCGAGCTAAAGCTGCGGGTAATATAAAACAATACAATAATACCGTTTTCTTTTAATTTAACGTAATTACATTTATTTTTCTTTTAAGGAGTAGCAACGCCAGCTATATACTTAGTAAGTTTAGAACGACGATCCATTTACATGGAATATATAGATAATGCAGTGATATTAAAAGATTTTATTTATAAAAATATATCAAAGAAATCGGATGTTGATAATTTATTAAATTTCGTAACTCAAGGACTTGGAATGGTTATTGCTCAGTTACATTCAAAAAATATCATTCATGGAGATTTAACTACTTCAAATGTACTTGTTAAAAATGTTGAAGATATAAACGTTGAAAACTGTGATGGTATGTCATTCTTGTAATTCGGATATTATAGGTAGTAATATATTAATAGTTGATATTACTTCTTTCTTTTAGTTGTAAATAATTTCGTTATGATAGATTTTGGATTAGCTCGTGTGGAATCAAGCGTGGAAGATAAAGCAGTTGACTTGTATGTTCTTGAACGATCATTGAATAGCGCACACTCGGAAATACCTGAGTTATTTCCAAAAATATATAAGACTTATCAAAAGTATTATACAAATAAAAATCAATGTAAAGAAATTATTTCTAAATATAACGAAGTGCAGGCCCGGGGACGAAAGCGATTAATGATTGGATGACTCCAATCTGTTTTATACGAATTTATTGAACACATTTCATTATTTATGATAATTCATCAATGTAAAAGCCTGAATAAATAAATTGTCTTACATAAAACTGATGAAGTATCATTTCATAGCTTGTTTAGAAGCTTAAATACTTCTTTTCTCTTCATTATTTTTATTGTATACTAATTGTCTTATACATGTAACAACTTTCTTATAATTAAAAATTTTTTATAAACAATTATCATTGAAACATAACAAAAAGTTACATTAATATCTAGGATCTACTTTGTACATAATTATCTTATATTAGTTAAGAAAGTAGCTATAGCTATCAATTTTTAAGCTTAGAACATTTAAATAGTGAATAAAATGTCAGGTATAAAAATTGTATGAATAATATATAAAGTATTAAACATAACTAAATATTGAGCGATATGGTTATTCAAATTTTTATTTATATTAATTACCTGTATATGTATACAATTTGATTTGGCATTTGCAATGTGTATATTTTTATAGCAACAATTTGTGGCACTTATTGCAAAAAATAAGATGTTTAAGGTTTTATGTACATAAAAAACTTTTAAATGTATAAGTATTTAATTGGATGAGGCAAATTATAGAGGTAAACATATGACATTTTACAAATAAAAAGTTCTATTGTACATTTATTAAGTGCTCTGAAAGATGAATGTCCAAATAACTTATATGAAATGTGAAAATATTTCCTAAAATGTTTCAAATAAATTGCATGAACATGTGAAGCACTTGATTCTTTTTAAATATTGTACATGTTCTTTTCAGTCAAGTGACCACTGACATGATCAATTATTAATCAAAATGTAATCCTGAATATATAATGATCCATGTAACCTATATATAATACTTTTGTTATAAAAATTACAGGTTAAAGATTTAAAGTAGATATTAAAAAAAAAAATTAAATTACCAAAAAGCCAGCAAACGATGTCATGAAACCTTCTTTAGTTAGTTCCCATACACCACCAAATTCCTCCTCGTCAATTTGTTGAAAATTACTAAAATACAGGTATGTAATACCAGCATTGACTAGTACAAATCTGAAATATCAAATTTCCGGATATAATTAAATCTAGGTAGCATTACTCAGCATATGTCAAAATGAAGATACAACTTACAGTAATAAAGCTATGAAACCTTTCAAAGGTATAAGGCCCCATGCTATCCCAACTATAATTCCAATTACTTGTCTAGCCCAATATATAACATCAAGAAATTCTTCCTATAACGATAAGATATATACAATGGTGAATACAAATAAGAAATTGTTTAATTAAAGTGTGGTTATGTTTACTTTATCTGGCCATTCGGAATTCGCTGTTATTGCACGTGTCCAAACACTTAATTCACACTTGCCACCGTTTCCTATCCTTTCAGATTTTGAACGCGACATTTCTACACCCTCTCAGCTTAATAAAATGAAATATATAATAGAACTTCTTAGCATTTCCTAACTAAAGATACAATACACACTTTATTCCTACAAACGTTCTCCTTTCAGTGTTACACCTGTAACTCTTGAATTAATAGAAATATGCTGGATTTTGGACGTACAATTTTTCACGCACGCGCATTAAAATAATATTTAATTTAAAAAGAGGTTAATGGTAAAAATATATTCATAAGGGTACGTGTCTGCTTGAGAGTAAAGCTCATGCTAGAAGCTATCGAGAGCGTTTTCCGAAAGCTGAAATTGTGCTGGGAGTCAATTTTGGCAAGAAATACTCTCGACAGCTCTCAGGCGAGTAACCTAACCTAACCTAACCTAATCCAACCAAAAAATATAATGCGCATGCGTCTAAGTATGATCATACTCATTAGCGTTCATGATCCATGGATCAATCATCAGGATCAATAATCTTGATCAGGTTTCGTTTTGATACTATATTTTGTTTCTGTAATAACAGAAATTTGAAATACTTAATATATGAAACTTTTTAAAGTATTTATACATAATAATATACTTATTGTAATATGTAACATTATCAGAATATGTATTTAAAGAAAAAGGTAGTATATATATGATAGGAGTCTTTATTTATTACTATATTATATTGTATGATTAATAAGCTCAGTATCAAAATCTGCTATTGTATGACATTAACTTACACTTATGTTTAATAATATGAAATAATACACATGTATCAAAATCAATAGCAGATTTTAAGATGTGCTTAATTATACAATATATGTATACATAAGTGTAAATACAGGAATAATGAATAAAAATTAATATATATGTATATACAATTATTGCATGTACTGATTAATACAATACATACATGTTTCAATTGCATTTAACATATTTACATGCTATAATATTGTCTATTACAGGTGACCTTTTTTAATATACAGAATAATAATTAATAAAACTTATAAATGAACTATGTATATTCTATTATTCAAAGTATTGTATGAATGCTTTAAATTGAATTTTAATTTTTCTTTTTATATGTAAGAAATAATATTATTTTTGGCACAATAGTTTAAATTTTACTTCTTACATTATCTATAATTTGATACAATAATATTATCTATAAACATATATAACTGATCTCTGTAATTTCAAAAACCACCTGCAATATAATATGCTTACAGATTATTACTTGTATGAAACAAGTACATACATGTTTACAAGTACTATTTTATCACCAAAGTGATTCAATTACAAATTTATAACCATTTAGCATACAATTATTAAATAATTTTATACTTAGCTATCTTGTACGATATCAATTTCCAGTATACCAAGATTTGTTATATTGATTTAATGAAGTATACGATTCAATGATTACTTTATTAATTTAATTTGCACCTACTTGTTTAGAATGACTATTTAAGGAAACTTTTATTTAGTCAAGTTGTTATTAAACTCAAGTCATTATTAATATTCAATCTATATAACACCCACAATTTTAGAATAATCACGTTTTTCATAATAATCCTTTTAACTACATTAGGAAAGGAATATTTTCAATGACATGCAATATAATTATGGAGCATGTGTTTCTAAATATTTGTATACAAAAGGGCATGTATGTTCTTTTAATTATGATTATTACCGAAGTAGAAAAGAAATGTTAAATAGATATTCAAATATTTATTTGTCTATACGAATTGTAATTATAATCATGGCTAATTTCTTTATCAGCAACTTTTTATACATATATATTTACATAGGTCTTTTGCTATCAAAAAACTAGTTCTTAAGATACTTATATAAATTGAATCGTATTATATTCATATTTTTTAATATATTTTTATATGATACAAAAAAACTGTTTATAAAAAAAGCTGCTCCCTTATAAAAGGACATACATAGCAGAAGGACTGTAGTAAATTATTTTTAATTACGATATATTTCTAACAAGATATAAAATAGCAAATACAATATACAAATGTTGCAAAAAGAATTTTTAAACGTAGTAATAGTCATCTTTATCTTTTTTTTATACTTCTTCTAATTACGTTAATCAAAGAACTTCATTTTCATTTATATCACACACGTGATTTATGTATTACATCAAGTTTACATATTTTATCAGTAAACTTGTATAAATCAATGATAAAATTACACTCTTTCTATAAAACTTTATTTAAATTTGTTCTTATCATATGGAAAATAAAGCATGTTATTTTGTGATGTTACATGGCACACAGCATACATTTTATATTCCTTCAAGTTTCGTTTTGTGCATTTATCAATTCCAATTGTCCATATGATTGCCTCAAAAATAATATTTGACATCATATTGGAAAAGTATATCATCATTTAATTAAAAACTGTTTCATATTTTAGGAAACAAACATAATTCCTGTTACAGTACAATTTCAAATGAAAGTTTCCATTCTTTAATGATCACAGGTCTGTTAAAAATGAAATGAACAATTATGTAATAAAATTAACAGATTTGTTTTGTCGTAAAAAGAAAATTATTATGCTGTTCTTTTCATACAAGAATAGTAGTCAAATATTTAAAATAATACAAATGATGTAATTAATAATGTATTTTAAGGATAGTGATTTATATGTACCGACAAACAATATATAAATATTTAAATGTTAAAACAAATAATAACGAAATTTATCGAGTAAATAATATCACTGTAAATATTAAAAATTTAAAGGAATGTAGAAGCACAAAAATTAGTTTTCTAAAGAAACATAAGTCTTCTAACTTATTATAACATTAAATGATCTTTTGTACATTAAATACAGATATTTACTGCTAAAATAAGATAAACTGCATCAGCAATGCAGTATTATAAAAAACTATAATAAGATTTTTAATGCCACCTTAACAATACATAGGTACTTTCTATAGAAACCTTCAGTACCCTGCCTCTAATATTGTGTTAGTACATATCTTGTATTTGATTTCGTATGGCACAAATATAAACGTGTCATATTGCATCTTTTTGTGCCTAATATATATTATTCTGATAAAAGATAATAAAGTAATCAAGTCGGCGGCATTGATTTTCAAATTATTACTGCAATCAATGCACGATCAAACGTCAACTACATCATTATTATAGTTGAAATTTGAATCACGTAGAAATGAAGTACGTCTAAGTTTAAAATTTATATGATCTTCTTCAACCGTTTTCGGCACTTCCGTTACCTGAAAATATAATGTGGAATGATATTTTATACAGAACATCGTTATTCACAAGCACTTCTAAAATATCTTAACGTCCTTATGTGTCATGTTAAAATTATTAATTCATGTTAATGAATCTCAAGCGCAAAATAACAGTTTTTTTTCTAAGCTTTTATAAAAGGTTCTAGGAGTAAAACTGTATATGCTGCAATATGGTCCATACTTTTATTAATTAATAAAAGAAAAGAAAAAAAAAAAAAAAGAGAAACAAAAACGAACATCACGTAAAGTACCTTGACATCAGGTTGCCTGATAGAACGTTGAAGCACCGACCTCCATGCTGCAGGTGCGGTATGCTCTAAAATAATATGTACAGCAAAGCTTCTTAATTTAAGGGCTTAACATGCACGTTTGCAATAATCTTGGAATCAAAAGGATTTTGTATTCGATTGAAAAAAATTAATGTGTGATTCACGTTATGTATACAATATTACTATATACATTGAACATGCACTATAAAAAGCAACATATCATTGACTTACCATTTTCCTTTTTTTCTGGTTTACTCTTGTTTAAACTAGCTGCCAATTCCCTGACCGATCGTTTTTCAACGCTAGTATTGCTTAAAGAACTAGCAGTGCTACTTGCTGATAGCGTTGGCGGTAACGAAGCTGGACCACTCACACCGCTATCAGTTGATTCATCAAGAGCATCTCCAGAATCAGGTGTATTTCCAGCTGAAGTATTTGGACTAGAACCGTCGCTTAATAAATTAAATTCACCTGTAAAATTAAGTGACGGATTTAATATGGTAAATAAGCAACGATTACAAAATATTGTATACCTTATTAAACTCACCAGATTTTCTATCCGTGGCCATACTCCATGGTCTTGGTTTTGGCGCTGTCGCAGGTGGAGCTGGTTTAGTCTTTAAAATAGCACCATTATTTTTTCCATCGCTAACAGAACTATTTCCTTTGGTTAAAGGTTTCAATACCGGAGATTTAGATGAATCTGAATTATTTTTTGTATTGCTACCATTCGTTGGACTACGAAGATCAAAACCCGTCGACCTTAATTTAAGAGAAGGTAAAGGTTGATTTACAGTCTTATCTATATCCATCGTTGATTTTTTCGGTAAACTTCTTCTATTCTCGTGATCTCTGGGAAGAGATGTCACATCTTTATCCGAAGAATTTCCGCTCGTTAATTTACTATTTTCATCGGAATCTCGTGAATTGCGGGAACTTGTACCAGATCCGATAATTGGTAACGTACTACGTTTAGATACATCAGCAGAATTGCTAATGCTGTTATTACATATATTACTGCATGTATCTTTATTGCTCTCAGATTTTGAAGCTATTCTTTCATGATTTTGAGCATTGTCGGTTGTGTTCCGTCGTGCTAAGGGAGATGCGGTTAATGGCGAATCTCCTTGAGATCTTCTACCAACAAGGGGAGAAAATTTTTCCAAATTATCACTGGATCGTGATCGTGGTGTAGGTTCAAGTAACGTTTTCAACATTGGAGAATTACAACCAGGCTTCTTATCCAGATCAGGTGGAGTACTTTTGTGACTTGTGAGCGATAAGTTTGGACTACCGTCGGTCGGGAATGTATGTAAAGAGCTGTAATTTAATTTAAAAAGAATGAATAAGCTTCAATTTACACTAAAAAATTCATAATTACATTTTTAAATGCAATACCTATCGTCACTTGTAGGAGATATGAGAGGTGTAGTTGGTGTAGTTGGTCGAAAGAACACGTCAAGACCTTCTCCAAGTGCGAGACCATCTATTGGTTGATCAGATCGAAGCATTGGTCTTGTAGGCGCTCTAGTTTTTGTTCTACGGGGTCTAGATTTAACTAAATGTTGCAATTGTTGTCCTACCGTATTAGGTAACTCAGAAACAGAATCTAACGACTCTGTCAAAGAATGTTCTGTTTCTGAAATAGCTGAAAAAAAGTTCATTAATACAAGAAATTATAAATCTCTTAGAAGCGTAGTAAAAAAAATATCAACCTTCAGCTTGACTTTTTGGCAGTGATGGGAGTAAATCTGGGATATCGTCGGCAGAAAGTCCTTCGACAGAATCAACTACAGATTTCGGTCGCAACTTTCTTCCATGTAAACTTTTACGTTTATTCGACAAATGTGGTGTTGCCTAAGATGAAAATAATCATTGATATTATAAATACACATGTTATTTTACACAGTTACTACATCATAATTATAGAAATTATACAATGTCAAGACAATAAATTTTATCGTTATACCTAATTACTTACAAGATTTAAATAATCCAATTTCTGGATAGGCATGAAAGTATAACATTATAATTATTGTACCTATAACTTACACAGAGCAAATTCTCATATATAATAAATTAGAGACTTACCATTGGAGACTGGTCGTTAGAACATTGACCAATAGAATTAACAAGCGAATAAGGCTCTTGTTGACAGTCTTCTTCTGATGCAATACTAGTTCTGCCAACAGGTAGTGCGGTGCTTGTAACGGTGCTTGTAACTCCTATCACACTTCCACTGCTCATTGAACCAGCGCTAGGCCTTAATACATCGGGTGTACTGCTCCTTGTTCTATTATCACAATCTCCGATCTGAGTAAACCAATAATTATTTATAAATTAGAGACTTTAAACATTAAATTCCTCATACAATTTTGTCATACACACCAGATTTTTATAGCTTCTTGATAATGATTCAATTACTTCATCTGTTATTCTATCAGACACATGTGCAGCAACGGCTAAGTTTAATTCACTAAAAAAAATAGTGACAAATTATTATAGTATTAAATATATATATTTTTATAGTTGACTCTATCTAGTTCATACTTGACTCTATTGACTATATCTGCTCCAGCTTGTTCTGTAATAGTAGCATGAATAAATTCACTACTAATTTGATTTTTCTCCTTGCAACTCATACGCAAATCATCTTCTATTGCGATCGATTCACTCTCGTCTCCTCTAATTACTGTTTGCGAAATTATTGTAGGACATTGTTCACTTGCACATTTTATCATAGCATCTAAAGAATCCTGTATTCAAATGAAATAAGTTTAAACTGGTAGTGTATTAGAAATAATAATATAAAAGTTTTAATTATAAAATACCTTTAAATATAATGTTACAATCTTATGAAGTTCATTTGCCATCTCGTGTAGTTTTGATTCAATCGGATTACTTTCATCCCGACGTTGAAGAACCTCATGTAACCTTGGCAGAAGCTAAAAGACATTATTTTTATATAGTTTTCTTTGAAATTTACTTAACATTCAATCTTTTTATACCTGTTTCGAATTATCCGCATCTTGTATAAGTCCAGTTGCATAGTTAATATCGTTGTTAGCATCGCAGCTTTCTGCAGCAATGGCTTTAATGGTATCCTGAGTTTGTACAACAAGTCTATCAACCATTTGTTGCGTAGAGCTTAATAAAAATCCCTGTTGTAATCTAAACGCTTGTCCATGACTATATTTACAAGGTGTAACATTTCTTTGTAATAAATCTTGTATTTTTTTTGCCAGCTGCTCAGTTTTTTCAGCAGAAGTTTTCATACAAGGTTGCAAGTCATAAATTGGAAAAGGCATATGTCTGACGCTACAATTCCTATGATAAAATATTATTTATGAAAAAAAAACAACACGTGACACGTTATGCATCGTTAATATGGAAAATAAACATACTTTTCTAAAGCATGAACAATATCAGCATAACCTTGAAGCGTGATATTATTTTTATCATAAATAATGGTTCTTAAATGATTGTTGATTTGTAGCGCTTTTGCCAATAATCTTGCACCAGGATCACCAATCTGATTTCCACTAATATCTAAAGTATGAAGACACGTGTTACTACCAAGAGCATTAATGAGATTGTAGAGATCAGATTTTAATCGAGAATCTGGCAAATGCAATGCTTGCAAAACGCAGTCATCTTCTTGAAGCATTTGCACAAGGGCATCCATTACAACGGCAATATGTTTGCTCTTCATACTAACAGTATTCCGACCCATATATAATTGTTTGATAGATTTGTTCTTTCCGATAGCGGTTATTACTTGTGCTAAATCAACATCCATATCTGCGAAAAGGGCATAAAAACATTCAAATATTTCATTGATTATTAATTTTATAATAAAATATACGTACTACTGTCTGAAATATCCAGCGATGCTATACAACGTACTCCATGGATACATGACTCTAACACATGAGCACCCATGGAACCTAAGTTATTTCCACTCATGTCGAGTTCTAAACCAACTGTACTTTCGTTGCATGCCAAACCAAGTAGTAAGTGTTTTAATGCTTCTAGTGGCAATTTGCAGGAAGATATATTTAAGTACTTCAATGAAAGTGTGGCTGTAAAAAATTGCTTAAAACTGGGAGGTATTTCTTTGGTCTTTTTGCTTGAAAAAGAGTTACGAGCAACATTTAAATGGACTAGATTAGTTGCACAACCTCGTAGTAGAGCACCAAACAGCTGCATAAGATAAATACGGAATATAAAGTACTTTCTTTGTTTCGTTCAAATTCTATGTATATAAAGCTACAATACTTACACATTCTAAAGTAGTATCTGTACCACTTAGATCTAAATGAGTTAGGCTGTTAGGTTGTGCCAAAAAATTGCACAGATTCTGCAATCAGATAAGAAGTATGTTATGTATATTTTATTCAAATTTAATACCAGCAATTAGTTAACACATGAAATTTTGTTCTGTGCGCAAAAACTTACATTGATATCATCTTTTAAGGAGTTCTCTGAAAGATTTAAATATTGCAAACTAGTTGGCATGCTTCTATTTAAACTCAGTGCATGTGCAATTTGACTTATTCCTTTTCCCGTTAATCCACAATGTGCTAAATTTAATTTTTGTAAACCTTTAGGTAATTTACCAATAGGTCCGCTTAAATGTGCACCTCCTTAAAAACAGTATTATCATAAATATTATATTATTAAATAAAAGATGTATTTGTTACTTTTAATCATTCATCTAGTAATTAGTACTAGCATAGTATGCATTATTAGTCCGCTAAATGCATTTCTCTACATTTTATACAACTAAATGTACAATGTATCAATAATTATTTAACTCGGCGAAATAAATAGAATAATTAAAAATTAAGGATCATATTTTTAATTATTAAGGGATAAGGAACAATTTAAATAAAAAGCTCTAATAATAATAATTGGAAACATTAATGGTTATTTGCACACCTTGCATTAGCTTGGCAATTATCCCACACAAGCTAGAGGCTCCTACAAAAACAAAAATAAAAATTGTACAGGGACATTATTAAAAAGTTTCAAAAACGGGTCAAACTATGCAAAAATTAAAAATAAACAGATCTACTAAGAAGAAGCACTGTGTACAAAATATCTTCGTACTTAATACTTACCTTTATCTTCAATAGTATTATGCGATAAATCAATGGTTTGTAATATTGTATTTGCATTAGAAATTAGAGCTAGCGATAATTTATGTGCAAAATCCCTAAAAAGAAATGCTTTTTCAATTTTTATATTAAAATTAATTTTACATTTTCTATATATAGTTTTGTTACTTTTACCATTTAATCCCAAGATTATCTAAATAAAGTTCTTGAATGGAAAGAGATCTGCGCATAACGTGTAACAATCGTTCTAAAGGTTCATGACTTAACTTAAGATGAGATGCCCTTAATTTTGTAAACCAAGTGTTATATTCCAAGGCAGAAATGATTGGCACCAAATCTTTTTGATCTAAATGATCAAAATCCCTCAAATTTAATTCCCTTGTATCATGGGAAAGATATATTGTATCAACATCCTATAAAGGGAATCGTGTTAAATAAAATTAAGTGGCAACAACGAATATTGGTTTTATCTTGTTTTATGATATTACCCAAGCAACTTCTTCCCTATATGGCACACCATGTAAATCGCACATGCATGCATATTGGGTTGAAAATCCACCGCAAGGCCCTGTATGTCTTGTAGCTTCTGTACTCCTAGCTAATTCACTACCTCTAATGCTTTGTAATCTACTAGCTGGTATTACCTCTATTTTTCTTATAATATAACTGCAACAGAAATAGTAACAATAATAATATTAATGTTAATTATTTCAATCCTAGAAGAAACATTACATCATAAAGTAAATACATACTTTAATGGTACAGTGGGAAAGATATTTCGAATTGCAGTATGTAAGGCCTCAATCATTGCATCTACTTCAGTAGTATCTGCACCTGCTCCTGTAGTAGTAAAATTGTAATATCTTTCTCCGACGCTTAAAGATAATTGGTTTGCTCTTTTGGATTCTACAGATGTTATCTCTAGATAATGAAAATGGCAGTCGATCTGTAAGTATATAATAAGCAGTAATATAATGATTAAACATGGTATTATCTATAATTATAAAATAATTGCATAATCTTACTCTTGTGGGTACTTTGGCTGTTAAAAGAAAGAGACGACATGGTGAAAAAACCTAAAATTATAACAATTTTATCTATTAAAATACCATTTCTACTCGATTATAACATATTGATATTTTAACTATCACTCACCAAAACACGATTTTCTTGTTTATCCTGTTTTGTTTCCAATTTTACAACGTTTTTCAGTAATATCTTCACATGCTTGCCAAGTAATGCTTTTACCGATTCTACAAAGAATGAATAATTTATGAAAGAATGTAACACAGCACATTAGGAAGCACGAAAAACTAATTTAAATATTTATTAAAATTATGTCATAATCTAGTTTGCATACTTGCAACATAAAAGGAAAACAATCGGAGTCTTTATAAACTTTATTAAATAACGATTATTTGAAAGAATAAATATATTTTCTCGATGTATGACAGTTCGATGATACGAACGTAAACATTCAGATCAAGACAAACCATTTAAATCTTTCGTAAGTTGCGACCTGGTTGACATTTTGCTACTTGACTTATTTTTCAAACATAACCGGGTCCATTCAAGACATTCTTTTTTCTGTTATACGATAATCGAGCTTTTACAACTTGCTTAAAAAAATGTTGATAAAGGGCGATGTCACGAAACTATAAAGCAGAATAGCCGCCATATTAGCACCTGCCCGTGATTCATTTTGTTCCATTCCGGTCCGTTCCACTCTTGCAAGTGTATTATTTTAAATAATTCGTGAATACCACTGTTTTTTACTTTCTTGATTGTGTAATAAGATAATCTAATAAGACTATACGTAAAATTAATAACGACACTTGTAGACAACATTTCTAGTTATTTGATGATAATGCAAATTTGTTTATCAATATAATCTTACAGCAACAGATGGTATATTATATCTTTTACAATTATTTCACTTATAATTAATACTTCAGATTAAAAAACAATACTGTTAAAGTAGCAGAAACTATGTAGAGTATTTTACTTTAATTATATGATGTAAAGAAAATTGTTCTACTTACAATAAATACAAAATACTAACTGCTATGTATTTTTTTCTTAGTTTGATAACAGAATTAAACTGCTAAAACATGTTTGCAGTAAGAAGAATTTCCAAGGGTATAAAAATACCCTTACATGCAACTTATTCAACAAACTCTAAACTTATTGAAGTTACACATGACAATCAAACAGGTAACTTAATTATTAACATCATTATATTTATATTTTGGTTAATAATTTTATGCATTAGGTATAGCTACAATATCAATGGCAAATCCACCTGTAAATAGTTTAAATAAAGACTTATTAAGTGCCTTAAAAACATCTTTAATGGATGTACAACAAAAACAGTGCAAAGGTGTTATATTGACATCCTCATTACCAATGGTATTCTCAGCAGGACTTGATATAATGGAAATGTATAATCGAAATGAAAAGCAACTAACTGAATTTTGGCAAACATTGCAAGATACATGGTTAACTTTGTATGGTTTGGAAATACCAGTAGCTGCTGCTATTAATGTATTATTTTATTTGCTATTAACAAAATAATTAGGATTATTTTATAAGTGATTTTTAAAAAGTATATGTATGTTTATAGTATATATTTTTATAAAGGGTGCCAGTCCTGCTGGAGGATGTTTATTAGCACTTTCTACTGAATATAGAGTTATTGTCGAAGGAAAGCATACCATAGGACTGAATGAAACACAGCTAGGAATTGTGGCTCCAACATGGTTTAGAAGTCTGTATATTGAAACATTAGGATATAGAACAGCTGAAATAGCACTTTTACGGTAATTTATTACTGATCTGTATGTATAAACTTTTATTACTAACACTTGTTACTAATTAAAAAGTATTGATCTAGAGGAACATTATTTAATGTCAAAAAGGCATTAGAAATTGGACTTGTGGATGAAATAGTTCCAGATAAAACAAGTGCAATCAGCAAGTGCCAAGATTATATAGCAAGTTTTAAAAATATACCTTGTAAGTCTATTGATTGTTTAAATATTTAAAAGATAGATAAAATGTTGTAACTTTTTCAAATATTTTAAAGCTAAAGGTCGAGCAAAAACAAAATTGGACTTAAGACAACATAATTTGGACTGGTTAAAAGAAAATCGAGAATTGGATCTTAATACTTTTTTGACACTTATTCAATTACCAAAAGTGCAAGCTGGTCTTAAACTGTATATTGAATCTCTAAAACAAAAGTAAGACAACTTGTTAAAATGTTACACTGAAAATATAACTTTTTTTATACTATTTTTATAACAAATGATGTAGATAAATATATTTATATATTAATATTTCATTAGTTAGTAAATGCATTCGTTAAAATACTTACTGTTATATTATTTCCTCATATTATATTGTTTCCTCAAGCTTTAACTTTCAAGAGCTAAAATAACTTCAGAGTCATCCACATTCAAATTTAATTGTTGCAACAATTGAACAAATTCTTGTTGTTGAGAATCCGCAAAATGTGATATTTCTAATATTTGTTGATTATTTCTTTCATTTTCATATCTATTTAATCAGAGTAGGTTACTTGTAAGTCCTCAAAAAGTATAAAAACAAATAACTTACTTTACTAAATTCTCGGTATATTCTTCAAGCCAATTTTTTAAGCGCTTTAACATATTATCTTCTCGAGCGTCTAATACCTAAAGAATGAATTATTTTAGCAACCAACAATATATATGTATATACATATGTATGTAAATATCTATTCTTACTTGTAGATGTTTCTCATGAGAATTAGTAAGATTCTGATTTAAAGTGTCTTTATCTTCGCATAAATTTAACAAATGACTTGGTACTTTTGTATCATCTTCCAAACCACTGAGGTAATATAAAATTACTCCATTAATAGTATCACTATATTCGGCTTCAGAATTTCGTAATTGTGAAAAGTATCCACGTGCAATTGTTAGAAATGAATCCATCATGTCAGTCATATTAATTCTGAACATTTCATTTATGTCCTTTATCAAATAAGTTACTTCTTAGTACTTGTATCAAATAATTATTTCATATAATTTCATACCTCTATCTGTTCGTGTAGTTCTACTTCAATGGACATTAATTTTTTCCAGGCATCAATTACTATTTCATTAAACTCTTCAGAAAATTGTTGTGCTTTTTGAGTTACTTCCTCAAGTGTAGCAGTATCTACCTCACCGGCTATTCTTTTTAACAACTGCTTAACATCTGATAAAATTTTAGTCTTCTTCTCCAATACTTCATTCACTATTCTATTATTATAAATGATTATTATTATTATGGTTTTCATTTTATACTAACTGCATATTATATTACTTACATTCTGCCTTGATTCTGTGATATAGTTTTCCCTTTATTCACGCAACTTGTAAAATGATTTATTTCATTATTTCTTTCATCTTGCTCTTTCAAACCTAACTCACAAAGTTCTTGACTAATTGCAACAAAGTTTGCCTTGTATTCTTCATGAGCATTCTGTGTATCTTCATTTACCATACTCAGTTCTTTGCCCTCTAAGTATAATAAAGATGAAATAATCTTTCATTTTTATTTGTTATATTTCTCAAATTGTTATATACGTAAATAAGTATACAAACCTTTATCATTTATAAACATTTGGTGAAAGAGTTCATCGCTATCAAGATATTCTACAAATGCATTAGTATGATAAGCCAACCTTTTCTCATATTCTTCTTGTGCCTGTAATTCTTCATCTTCTTTCATTTCTGTTTCTTGTAAAGTACGTAACACTCTGCTAAATTTTAAGATGAAGAAAAAATATTTTTAAAAATTCTTCAGCTACTTTTGGTAAATCATTTGTACTTTTATAATTACTAATGCTTTTCTGCTGCTACTTCTCGTTGTTCATCAGTTATCATCTTGTACTGATAATAAATTAATTGAGGGATAAATGCAATTACATATTCCAAATAATCATCTTTTTCAGTGCAAGGATTTCCATTCATATTTAAACTGCGTAACTTTTTAAATTTCCTTAAATACAATACCTGAAACAATGAATTTGCAAATTGAGAAATATACATATAAATATGAGACAGTTTATTATGTTCATTACATACATGTTTCCAATCTGTTATAGCATTATTACCAATGCTAAAAATTGTAAGATTGCATAAATTATCTATGCCTTCTACATTACTAATTTCATTATTGAATAGAAGCAATATTTCCAGTTTTATTAGATTATGCAGATTTTCTATTATTCTGATATGATTGAAGGAAAGATCTAATTCTTTTAAATTAATAAGAACATCTAAATTTTCTATTTTCTCAATTATATTATTAGACAATTTTAATTTTACAAGATTTGGTGTTATCCAAAGATTATCAATTTTTAAGATATCTGGAAAAAGAAAAACATAGACAAATGCATGGAATCTGAATGTAAAGATTCAAAAGACCTACTAAGAAATTCAATTCGAATTTCTGTTACTTCATTCAACTTGATTCCATCTTCGTAAAACAGTTTTCCGGCTTCTCCTTTTGGTCCTTGATCAATTACCAAATCCATAAGCATATCTTGGTTTATTACGCGCGGCTGTACAAATTCCTGAAGTATAGTAGGAACATCCTGATCAATCATTTTCTTATAACAGAATATTTTATATGAATTTTATGAATGCTGGGTGAAGATTTTTATAGTTTCAAGTTGGTTGCCGCGCAACAAGCAAATATTTTTGCTTAACAGCGTTCTCTACCGTTTAATAATGGAAGTAAAATATCAATCGAGGATCTGTACTTGTATTTTAAAAAGACCGCCTTGAATTAAAATTTAAAAAATTCTTGGGGCACTAGCGCCATCTATGAACAAACAGCGGAAACTACTCGTCGAATAGTTTCTGCAGTTTCCCGATAGGTGGCGCCAGCGTTCCAGTGGCCGGGTCGGTAAGTTGTTCAGCAGTTTCCACCGTTTTTGTATAGATGGCGCTAGCGTTCCCAGAATTTTTTAAATTTTAATTCAAGGCGGTCTTTTTAAAATACCACTTTACGAATGAGGTTTGTCGAACATCTTCAATTGGGGGTGTCTGGGACCCCATTGATCTTTTCAAGAACAGAGGCATGTTCAGTGTTGTTGGATCTGTAGTCACTGACATATTTATGTAAATAAATACGAAGCTTTTAACCTAAATGAACGTGAATAAATTTCGTACTTTTATAAACAATATGTAAAAGAATCATTATTAATCACATGTGTACAATATAACAAACGAATACTAATGAATTAATGACATTTTTGAAATGTTAATGAACGTGAAAAATAAAATAGTATAATGTATTTCTTACATGAAATTGTAAATAAAACAAGGAAGGAGGAGAAATGCAAATATAAATAGAGAATACAAATATTTCATAATTGTTGTGTTTTATAAGTAAAAGTTATTTGATAGTTTAAAATGTCAGTGCATCGATAGCTTTTAATTTCAATTAACAAAATGTTATTTTTCAATAAATTTATCAGTATTTTGCACTGTAAATCTCTTTAACAACAATGCTTAGTATGTGGCATCAACAGGTATTTGCTCTTGATGCTAAATACAATGCACAGCGAGTAAATAAATTGCCCACTTTAGGTATGTGTATATTTTATAATTCGATACATTGTAATGTACTATACTGAAATATCAAAATAATTTAATTACAGGAATGCTGTATATTCGTCGCAGAAATCAATTATTAAAAGAAAAATTCAGTAAGGATCCAACAATTAGAGAAAATTATTTAAAACTTAGATCAAAGTTATTATTTTTAAGATACGGAGAAAATTTGGAACAAAATAGTCTTAGCAGTCACACAACAGAGGAAGAAAAGTCAGAGATTAAAATAAAATTGCACAATGTACAAAGAAAATCAACAGCAGAAAGTTTTGCTTTTGAAGGAGTACATCATGTTTTTGATCAACATAATGCACCTGTAACAATGCTTAAGTTTGCAAATAATGATAGGTCTAAATTATGTTGCGCGTCATTGGATGGATCGCTATCAATATGCGATGCTATCGGTACACCTCCAAAAGTAATAGCTTTATTGGAAGGTCATAAAAAAGGTGTTACTGCGTTTGACTGGAGTATCAGTAATGATCTCATAGTGTCGTCTTCTTTGGATTGTACAATAAGACTTTGGAATGTTTCAAACCCAGAAACTGGTCCGAATTGTTTAAGAACAGTTAACGATCAACAAAGAGCAGAAGTTCTATGCTGCGGATTTATACCCATAAATAATAATTTAGTCGTTGCGGGTAATTCGCAAGGACTAGTACAGATCTTAAATATATCTACTGGTATATACACTCGTGGTGGTACTTGTAAAATTGGAGGCAAAGTTAGTTCCCATTATTAAGCTATTACCATCTTATTCATAACTTCAGAAGTTTAAATATTTCTCTGCTTTAGATTTTGTCATTAACTTGTGAAGGTAGTGGCGGTCTAGTGATATGGGCTGGAAATGATAGAGGAATTATTATGTCGTTTCAATTGGAACCAGGGATGGGACGATTAACGAAGTTACGGAGAGTACAAGAAATCGGTGGAATGATAACTAGTCTTTCCTGGCGTTCATGGCTTTCAAAGGATAATCCATGGCCAGCACTTTTAGTGAGCAGCGCCTGTAATGTAGTACTGCTCTATCACATTATTGATAACCATGGTTCTTTATCTCTTTGGACAAAGTACCCGATAAAACATAAGTAATATACACTTTGGTTACTATTACAGATATTTACAAAATAGTTTATAAATAAAAAAATATATATATATATTTATATATTTTTATATCTTTTACAGACAGCGCTTTGTGAGATCTACTTTCTGTCCACAAATGGAAACATGTTTGATAGCTACAGGTTCTGAAGATGGTACAATACATTTATTAGATTCTGCAAGAGAAGGCATGGCAGCAAAGATTAATAGACTTCAAGGTCATGCAACATCAACGCTTGCTCTGTCTTTTAATTATGACGAATCTCTTCTTGCATCTGCGGACTATCAAGGACTTATTATTTTATGGCGTAATCGTGAACGTCATATATAAAAGAAATAAAGTAATATAGAAAATAGTTTTATAAAAATAATTGTTCTAAATTTTAAATAAATTAATTACTCTTAAATTGATCTTGATTATTTAAAAAAAATGGTTTTATATAAACATGTGATGTTTACAATGAACAAGTAGTAATGGTATAGGAAATAATAATAATGGAACATGTTTTGCACAAATCGGCATCTGTTTTATATAACAATATATTAATTGTTCTCTATTAATATCCTATGTGTTATAATGAGCATAAAGTTAGCATTATTAATAATAGTAATCATGATGATAACAGTAATAATAATAATCGCAATGGTAGTAAAATCGTATAATAACTGCAATGCTATTAATAATATTCATAGGATACATGTTTTTAATTTTGAACATATAATGAAATTATGTATCAGTACAAGTGTTAAATATGTTATTATTTATTTTTTGTCTTTTATTAGTCTAATCTATTCCGTTGTTATGCTATGAGTTAGTTTTATTGTAGCAATATTGAAAACATTGAAAGATTTTTTTGTTGTGAAAGTTGCATACCATTAATCATAATAATTAACTTATCATTGGTATTTGTTGTTCTAATAATCAAATAAATACTTACATATTGTGAATTCAATATTTAATACCATGTTTATAATAAACAACATTTCTTTTTATCTGCACTTGTATCTCTTCCTAAAATTTACTAAATTTTGTTCTCCCATAAAAATTGAACATTAAAAATTATTGAAAAACTATGTAATCTGCTTATAAAATATTTAAAAATAATATGCGGTGAAGTACAGTAGCATTTTTGATGCTACTTTTATTTGAAAATTTACTATTCTTGATTTACCAATCGACAGAAATAAAAGTGCACAAATTGTGCCAATCACAGTTCTAGTAAAAATAACAAATAATACATTTATAAAATCATCTGTGCATCAATTATTATACACTTCTTTTAAACTAAACCTTGAGACCTGATTCTAGTACTGTCTCTTGATACTATAATACTTTTAGAGTAGAGAGCTGGGTTTCTACTAATACAATTTTAGTATAATATCGAGAAAATATCATATTTAAAGGTAACGATAAACGAGAAACAATATGAATTAGTTACCATACATTATTGATCAAATAATAATTACATTAACTTATGCGAACGATACTTCTTTGACCGTAATTGAACGATGTTTGATAAATATTTACACGTGAAATGAAATTACTCGTTAATTTTAATGTAGCTTTTGCAAATCGATTGTCTGCTATTAACGATTAATATTTATATGATATTTTTTATATCGTTACGAAGCTATTTGTATAAAAAATTATGTCATTATTAGCTCTATATATACGAATGCATTTCTATGTGACAAATAAAAATTATACAGTTTAATGCTATAGACAATCGATCGAATCTCAGCCACAATAAAAATTTGCTACATCTTATTTACAATAATTTGAGATTCATTTAATAATGATCTCACTGAATAGAGTAATTACTATACCTTTGCAACGAAATTATTTCGGACGGATTTCAGCTAAATTATCTCTTAAAATTTTACTATCGATTTTAAAACGTGTTAGTCATGAGTCAAAACACTGTACTTGTAGGCTCGATTTTTTCTTGACTATCACACTCGGCACTTTTTCCGGTAATCGGATCGAAACTTTTTTCTTGTTGAAGATCGTCGGGAGGCACCATTGGTAAAGTATTATGATTTAAGGAGTTCGACAAAATGTGTTGGTCGTGTGTAAAATTAATAGTTTGCGACGTCGAGTCTAATTCCATTCCTTTGTCGCCCAACTGTTCCGTATCCCCTTCTTTCAATTGTTTTATGGTAACAAATGGTGCGCCATTTGTAGATAAATTTAATTTTAAACGATTTCTAGTATGTCTTAATTCTCCTAATTGATGTTGTTGGCCATAATTACAATCGTTTAGTAATTCTAATTTATTTTCTTGTACTTCTAGTCGATTACCGTCTACTTCATCTTGTTCTTCGCTCATCGATGTAGAAGCACCAGGAAAGAATTGACTAACATATTTACTGTCGCTAGCTTGAAATTGAAATGGACGATTTGAACTGCTTACAAAAAATTCTTCGTTTCCTGAAACCGAAATAAGTTAGTATTATAAATTCAAATCTCTTATTAAACTTTATTCGAAAACCAATAAGATATTAAAAGCGTACCAGTCTGATTAACATCATCATAATCTAAGGGGTATAGATCTAATCTTGGTTCATCTATCATTTCTTCCCAATCTAAAATAGAAAGAAATAATTAGATCAGTTAGATTGTTTAATTTTTAAACAAATACTATCAATTATATATAAAATATTGTAATTCTCTAAAATATTTAAATTATACCACTATATGAAGTTGGCTCCCATGTAGTAGTTGTCTCTCCTTGATTTTCTGCACTCAATGTCTCCTTTGGATATTCATATACACAGTGATAGCGTTGTTTCTTAAACCATACACTTTTCTTTTGATCCTGAACAAATTATACATTATCAGTTCGATGAAAATTATTAAATTATATTTACATTGTATTCAAATAAATAAATAAATATTTTATATGTAGATAACACACCTACCAAGTCATCCTAGCAGCAAGAATGACAACGAATTAGACATACTTATATTACATTAAAAAAAAAAAAAAAAAAAAAAAAAGAAAAATGATGAATATCAAATTATTATAAATCTTACATTAGTTTTTAACGTTTTATCAGGGGATCTTAATGCCGAACGATGAGGAGCTAACGTTGCATTCCAAGCAGATGGTGTAAACTCTTCTTCTTCCTCTTCCTCTTCCTCTTCCGCATCTGCTTCTCTTTTTTTCCCTTCTTTTTCTACTTCTTCATCCATCTCCTCTTCAATATCATTCACCACTGCTTCTTCGTTATCACTTAAACTCTTTCGAACTTGTTCAATGTGTGGTTCACTATATCGCTAAAGAATAATGTAAAATGATTATTATATAATAAATACAATTTGTGTAAAATATATACCTTCCAAATAAATTCTCCAGAACTAGAACTATTATCTTCCCCCTCTTCCTCCTCCTCCTCATCATCATCCTGACTACCCCACTCATGCTCAGTTCCAAAACTCGTAGACATTAGATTATCCTCTAACGGCAAAGGCAGTGGCAATGGAAAGGACTGTTGCCATTTAGATTCTTCTTCAGGACTTGGTAAAGGTGCTCCTCCGCTTGGAATCATGATATGCGATTTATCATCCCTAGAACGAACTATGGAACAATTATAATCCAAATTCTCGTCGTCGGAAAGATCCTCGTTGGTTGTGTCTCTGTCATCATCCTGCAATTTCTCGTCTGAACCGTCAAATAAAATCATTTTATTTGTTCGGGTATCGATTAATAATATATCGTCTGATCCAACGGATTCTTTCGACGCGATTGACACGTCTCTTGAATTCGATATTAATGATTCTGAAGTAAGAGTACTTTCTCGTTCCTCTTGGATTGGACTGAGTGGAGTACCATACACGTTATACCTGCATTTTAAATAAATAAATTAATCAGTGCCACAATAGAAAAAGTTATTGCTAGAAATTGAAAGTTACCTTATTGAAATACCCACTCCTCCACTGCCTTGATTAGAAGAATCCTCATTATCATCATCGTCATCCCATTTATTCTCTATGTCGTTAGACATAGGATGATCATCATCGTGCGTTTCTAAAGGTTCCACAACAGACATTTGAGCACATGGTAATTTCTCTCTAAGTTCATTTCGAATAGCCGTCACAAATTCTTCTTCTATTTCAAACGATACATAAGAATTATCGCTCCTTAAACTCATCGTAGAACTATCTTCGTCATCCTCGTGTATGCTTTCCTTTTCATGTATCCTCTCGCTTTTACTTTCATTTTCATTCTCATATTCACTCTCATTTTCATTTTCACATTCACTCTCATTTCTATTTTCACATTCATTATCATTTTCATCTTCATGTTCTAATTCTTGATTGAAATAGTTTGTCTTCAACGATGAATTACTCTGCATTTGTTGAACAACAGACTTAGAATTATCTTCTTCCACCGATTCATTGATTCCTTCTAAATCGACATTAAAACTAGAACATTCATTATTTTCTGTTTCAGATTTCTCTTCGTTCGTACGAATTATTTTACTATCTTCTACGTGATTAATCGAAGATAAGCTTTCTTCTATGGTTCTTTCAGATCCTTGTAATGTTGAATAATACTCAGCATCAAGAATAGTATCAAGTTCAAATAAAATCTGTAGCTGTTCTTCTTCCGTACACGTAGGTACATTTACAACAGAATCGGCAGAAGTTGATGGGACCGAAGGACAAACGTTCTCTTCTTCTTCACAGGATTCTTTATCTCTGAATCCAGAATCAGAGCTTTGCTCGTCGTCGGGTGTAGACAACTGCTTCCTTTCTTCTTCAGCATCATTTGGCAAACATTTTCGTTCGACATCCACATCATTTACATTATACGAAGTACATTTTGTAAACTCTGATGTATCTGGCGTAGATACACTGGTTACCATCAATTCTGGCGTACCGTTATTTTGCTTTTTAGACGATGACTCTGGGCATTCGTTAAATTCACCTTCGTTCAAGAAACCAGGTACTTTCTTTTCTAAAGCAGAATCCAACGCATGATTCCAGAGTACTACATCGACTAAATTACTTTCGTTGCTTTCAAAATTAACCGAAAAATTATCAGAAAAACACGTATTGTTGTTATTTTCATGTTTAGGTACATTGTTACATTCGGACTCGTTATTCTGTTTCAACTCTTCAAAGGATCTATCATCAGGTACATAACGAAGAAGAGGAAGATTAGGTTCCCCTTTTGATAAAAGTCTTAATACGTGTTTGTCATTACGTGTTTCTGTATTTACACTTGCGACAGATGGTGCATCGATGCTCGTGGTAGATTCTTTATCATCTAACGATAATCTTAAAATTGGCGTTTGACCATGATCCATAGTTAACGTTAATAATTTTGGCCTTTCTGAATTATCCAGTGTTTTGATTTTATTAGCATTATTTGGAAATGGATCCCGTAATTTTCTCAACGCTTCATCAAATTCATCCGTACGTGCGCTATGTCTAAGATCGCTATCGCTACCAGTAGCTGGTAACCTTTTCTTTCCATGTTTTTCTGATACTTGAGTTCCCATTGATATTTCGGCATCAGAATCGAAATCGATATGTACAAGTACCATTAAATCGGTGACAGATTTAGATTTCTGTTTCACTTTCTCTGTATAAACTCCTTGTTCAATTCTACCTTTCCAACTTTCCTCTTCGGTTTCCGAACCGGACTCGTGCTGAACGATATTTTTAACATTTGGTACGTTTTTCACTAATTCACCTGGTCCAAGACGGAACGACGATTGCCGTGGTGTGTCGTCAACGATGGTAGTCCAGTAATCTGAATCGATACTACCTCGAAGATCTTGTAAGCTTGCACTTCGTACATGTTTAGTCGTATTTATTCGCAAACTCTCCCATCTTTGTTCAAAGTCCAGATATTCTGTATGTTCATTCAAGAGGAATCGCTTCACCTCATCCAAATTCGGTCTTTTCTGTGGATTTAAATTCAAACATAAATGAATCGTTTGATATATGTTTGACGGACAGTTTTCTAGGTAGGTTTGCAACACTTGTATACCGTTTGATAAAAGATCAGTTCTTAGAGATAACAGCATCTGAATAACTTGTTCGTCGCTCTTATTGTGATACGGCCTGTTTCCCCATGTAACGATTTCCCAGAGAAAAATAGCGTAACTCCACATGTTTGCTTGAAACGTAATCTCTCTTGTTTCGATAGTGGTATCGGTACATTCAACGCTTTCTGGTGCTGACCATCTGATAGGTAACGCACGATCTCCAACCACATAATAATCTTCTGGATATTTCTCCACGCCAGTACCGTAATCCCCCAATTTCGCAGATAAATCCGATGCTACTAAACAATTTCTGGCAGATAGATCTGTATGTACAAATCCGTGACTGTGCATATGTTTTAAACCAGTAAGAATGTCCATCGCCAATCGAATTGGAATATTTTCTTTAACAAGTGCTTCTTGAGACTTTTTATCACGGTTCGATAATAGGAAACCTTTCAGATCGCCTGCCGGGCACGATTCAAATAGTAGTAGATACGGATCTGTTTCCAGGCAGAAACCTAGCAGAGTCAAGATATTTTGATGATGTAATTTTAAATACGGTGTAGCTTCACCAAGAAACCAAGCTTTCTCTTTCGTAGTAGCTTCTTCTGTAAGAATTCTGACAACAACACCACCATTTTTCGAAGTCCTTCTATGCCCTTCCAAATCTGCACGACCTTCTACAACTTTTCCAAACCAACCATGACCAATTTCTCTTAAATACTTTAATTTTTCTCTAGGTACGCATAACTCTTCCGTGTTAAACCATTCGTGACAATGTTCCGGGAGAGCGTTAGAATGAGAATCGTGTTTTTCAAAAAAAGACGTCGATAACGGCAATGGTTTAGGTTTTGAAGAATTTTTAGTGCCAGACATAATATGCTCTACGGGTAACGGTTCAAACTGCACTCTATCCGCAACAGCCAACATTCTTGGAACATCTAACTCTAAACCATCAACAGAGCTCTCGAATACTGACTCCTGTCCAATATTGTTTCCATCTTTGAATTCCTGAAATATGAAAATATGATTATGTCCACTGATCTTCCTTTTACAAAAACAGGAAACATAGACAGATAAAATGCTCTACATGATTATCATTATATATGTTTGTTAATCATACTTATTAATATTGCTTAGTAAATGAAATATGTTTTATTATTTGCAAATAATAAACATGCAACTACTTTGAAATATTCAAGAACAATATTAATTATTTCTATCATGATAAAAATATCTAGTATTTGATTGCATACTTGAAAATAACAAATAACTACCATAACTCTTTCCATATTCATAACAATCATTTAATAACTATATCTTTAAAAATCATGATATCTAAATTCTTATTTCAAAAATGCTCTCATACTTTGAATTATATTTCTACCATATTTTAAACATTAATAATAAAGCTACTTAATCTTTTAACAATTTTTCATAAAGTACTGTTTTTCAAGTTTTTAATGCACAACATTCATAGCTTTACAGTTACCTGGTTGCATTTTTCTGCTTTGTCCTATAATTAGAAACGTATAAATCACTGTTAAAATATTCATTGTCCAGAATAATAATTTTTACAGATAATATTACATCTGATAATGAATTACCTGAAAGCCTTTAGGTCGTCTAGGTCTTCGACAACACAAACATCCAACTAAAGTAAACGCTGTTGCAGTTACGCTCAATATACCAAGTGTGTATTGTATCCAGTATCGTTCCCATTTTGATGAAGCATAGATTGTTGACAAATCTATTACGAGTAAAATAACCTCTCATTTGCAACATGTTATTCCATTAAATGTCGAAATATACGACTAACATACCTGTTTTTATCGAAGACGATACAGGATAAGCTGTTAGAGTTGGTAGACCCGCCCAAAACAGCCAACATATCCAGCATAATATAATATTCAGCATTGCGCATTGAAACCTTTCAATGATGATCGTGATCTATTTAAGTCATTCTTATAAAATTTATGACACCTCGAAGCGTTGCATGATTGATAAAAACAGAGGATCTTTCAAATCGTAACAAGGTTCTAATTTTACGACACACGAATCACCGTTTTTCGTAATCTCATGTTTCTGATATCTACAATATATTGGAAACTAGCTTCGATTGTAAAAAATGCTGTTAAATGAGTATGTCACAGCAACGTTGAAATGTTGTAACAGTATGTAAAATAGAAATACACTTTTTTTAGGGAAACCACCTGGGCCAAGCATGATACGTATCGTGAAACGAATACAATACAATCGGCCACGGTCCGGTTAGAAGGTAGGTGTAAAATCACCACGCTTGCCAAACCCAGTTCTATTCTTGCGCCTCTATTCTCTCTGTTGCTCTCTTTCTACTTACAATATAATACTACTGTAAAATGTATATTCCGACTAGACGATAGCTCCAGGCAGTGACATTTTAATTAACGTACTACTATTCAAGAATATAATAAATTCAGAAAAAAAGAATAGACAATCTTTATTTCCTTTTACTATTGTTTTATAGTAGAGAGTTAATGCAACCAGTTCATTTTAATACCGATTGTGTTCTATAAAAATGACGATCTTTTTATCAAATTATTAAGTTAATAAATGTATAAATACATATATGTACATATAATAATCAGTGTTATTTATCTTAAAATAACCATTTTCAGTAATTATAACAGTTTAATAATTTTATGTTTCAAAATTAAAGTTATGCAGAGAAATGACAATAAGCGATTACAGCAGTAATATATTACATTTCTTAACAGCTGTTTTATAATCTAGATAATTAAATTAGATTAATATAATAAATAATTTTATAAAAATTAGTGTATCACATATATTCATATAAATATTATAATTATTAAATCGAAAACAAAGTAATAGAAAAAGTTTTACAAAAGGTCCCATGGTGTAATGGTTAGCACTCTGGACTTTGAATCCAGCGATCCGAGTTCAAATCTCGGTGGGACCTGTAAGAGAGATTGTTCTCATTTTTTTTTCTTCCTTTCAGACAATTACTTTTCTAATAAAAATGTATTATTAAAACTGATCAAAACTATAACAATTTTATAGTAATACCATTATTTATTATTATTTAAGATCTCAATTTGATACGACAAAAAATATTGCAATTATTTAGAGGGCAGCACTAGTTGATTTCAATTTCGAAAGCTAGTCAGATGATTTTTAACCTCTTGTTCGTGAAACTTGTAAAGAAGTAGTATTCTATGAATAAATTACATAAAGTTTTATTAAAACTGGTAAAAATTGCAGAAAATGTTACATTATGATAATTGTATACTGTATACAAAGCAAATACATTATTAGTAAAATAATTATTTAAATACAATGTATACACTATTTAAAAATGTTTCTAATTTTGTAAAATAAACGTAAATTTATTTTTTGTTCATTAAATTATTTTAAGAAGTGTGCAATCATGAGTGAAGGGTGTGATTCAGTAGTGGTAGTTAAAGCAAAACCAGTTCGCAAAGTATTTAAAGCTCCATTCAAGATAAATAAAATCCCTGAAGAAATCTTAAATGATCAGTTATTAAATGCAGCTATTGCTGCATTACCTTCTAATTATAATTTTGAAATACATAAATCAATATGGAGAATTAAAGAGGCAAAAGTAAAAAGAGTTGCATTACAAATGCCCGAAGGACTTTTAATGTATGCTACAACTATAGCTGATATAATAGAAGAGTTTACAGAAGCAGAAACAGTTATAATGGGAGATGTTACTTACGGTAAAAAATTATAATTTTGTTTGATGAATATATGTTTCTATGGACTTGATTTTTAATTAAATTAATAAAATATTTATAGGGGCATGCTGTATAGATGATTATACTGCAAAAGCATTAGATGCAGATTTTTTAATTCATTATGGACATTCATGTTTAATACCGATTGATCAGACAGTTGGTATTAAAGTACTTTATGTATTTGTCAATATCAAAATTGATACTTTACACTGTATCGAATGTTTACAAGCTACCTTACCAATTACAACTAAAATAGCACTTGTGAGTACCATACAGTTTGTAAATACATTACAAGCAGTCGCACTGGAAATGAGAAAAAATGGTTATGAAATATCTATACCACAAAGTAAACCATTAAGTCCTGGTGAGGTACGTATGCTTATGATTACTTTATAGAATATAGAGAATTATTAAATTGTACATTTCACAAGATTTATATTTTTATAAAGATTTTAGGTTGCACAGCACCACAAATTCGATGTGTTGATGCAGTTATTTATGTGGGAGATGGTCGATTTCATTTAGAAGCAGCAATGATTGCTAATCCAAAGTTACAAGCATTTCGATACGATCCTTACGAAAAAAAAATGACACAAGAATTTTACAATCATGAAGAAATGCTAAAAACTAGATTAACGGCGACCGAACATGCAAAAGAAAGTAGTAGATTTGGATTGATACTTGGAACTCTAGGAAGACAAGGAAATATTAATGTTCTGAGAAATATAGAAAATAAAATTAATTCACTAGGAAAAGAATACGTGATTATATTACTCTCAGAAATATTTCCAGATAAAATTAAATTATTTAAGGGTATCGATGCTTTTATACAGGTAATATTATTGTAAATTACACCTGCATAAATGCACGGATACAATTGTATTTGTAAACATATCATACATCATATGTTGTAGGTCGCGTGTCCACGGTTGAGTATAGATTGGGGTACAGCATTTGAGAAACCATTTCTTACACCATACGAAGGAGCTGTTGCTTTGAAAATGGTCAATCACAACGGTGAGAAACCATATCCTATGGATTTCTATGCTTCTATTAGTCTTGGTCCATGGACTCCTAACTATAAGGAATGTGATTTAGAGAAACAAATTGATACTTGTTGTGGTAAATGTAAAGATAAAACATAAATAATAAAAATTAATCTAATCTATTATTATGAACCAAATTGTTATTTAAAAATTCCTAAACCTTTTCTTATTCTATTTCAATGATTTTTAGGATGATTTTTTGCAAATAAATATTCATACATTTAATAATAAGTGTAGTAATTTATAATAAACATGTAGATGTATTGAAATACATTATATGCTTTCCCTGGTGATAGGGTGATTATACAAAGATACAAGGGTCCGCGTGGGCGAATTACGTCATACGCCCACCTGTAGCCGCGCACACGTATAAAGCTTTATATGTGGTCGCAGAGTAGATTAAAAAAACAATTATTACAAATCGTTAAATTTTGTTTGCATTTGAATTTACATATTAACAAACATATTTAACGTAAATATATTTTATACGTATCGTTATCGATTTAAATTTCTAAACTTTTAAATAAATTACAAATAATCAATGATAATTTTTCGCTGTATTATTTGATCAATATTGTTTTTCGATGAATTAATTTAAATATGTAATGTTTAAAAATCATTATTATAAAGTAATTACTATATAAATGGAATAATATGGAAGATAAAATGCTATGAAAATGTTATTATGAAAAGGTCACGGGGTAGATCGCATAGATCCCAGGGGTAGAAGGTTGTTTCGGCCGCACCCCGGCATCGCGACGTCAGTCGATGTTCCAACGTGGCTCAACAAGTACACGCGGTAGCGTGCAGTTAGTTCAAATATTTTAAAATGTTTCGCACAATATAAGTTGGTTATTCCTTTATTTTATTGAAAAATATATTGAAGAAAAGCACAACAAACAATTATTACTTCAGAAATATCAATATTGTTGTAGTTATTTGTTCACTGAACAAATAATAGTAAAACATTACATTAGCGAACTGTAAGTACATAAACATAATTTTGACAATATTTTTGTTGGTATCAAATAACTTGTCTTTTTATTTAATTAAGGATATTTGTTCATAGATTGATGTGAAATACTGTTTACTAAATCATTTCATCTATTATTTAAAATTCATTATGAATACTAATGAAGTTAAATTACTGATTATGTTTAAAAAAAAGAAAAGCAGAAGATACTATCGGTAATGTTAATTCATACAATAATAATTGTATTATTAATTTTGAAAGGAATATTTTTGAATGACATCCAAAATAATGAATGGGGATAAGTGGGAGGGAAAGTGGCCTAAACAGCAATCGCAGGCTAATAAAACAGTAAGAAGGAATATTAGGCGAAATGAAAAGTCTGGATTAAAATTAGCAAAATCCTCTAGAGGAACAACACCTAGAGAGAGAACTCTTAGAAGATTGGAGAGTAATGAAAGAGAAAGAATGAGAATGCACAGTTTGAATGATGCATTTCAGGTAAAAAAAAATATTTTCAATCATCTTTACATAGGATTATACATGATTTAAATTATTCCATTTTATAGTCATTGCGTGAAGTAATTCCACATGTAACTAAGGAACGACGATTATCCAAAATTGAAACATTAACTCTGGCAAAAAATTATATAGTTGCCCTGACAGATGTGATATGTGAAATGAGAAATGAAGAAAAAGCTACAGATCAGCGAATAGAAGTTTCAGAATCTCAGGAATCATCCAAAAATATGAATATTTGTCTAAATATGAATATTCCAATTCCTTCAAAATCTTGTAGTTAGGGAACTTTTAATTTTTATCAGAATCAAAGATTTATGAAAGAACACAATTCTAAGAATAATGCAGGCCTATAAAATGATGAAAATTATTTTTTAACGTTGAAGTTGGTTTCAATATTAAAACTACTTCAAGAGTACTCTGATTGAATTTGTCAAAGCTTTATATAATTTATATATTGAAAAAAAAAGAAGAAAGTAACTTATATAACTTATAAATTAATGCTTAATTTAAATCTTTCTTTTTTTCAATTTATTTATACCATTTTAGAAAGATTATATAAACTATTGTGCCAAAGAATAATGATATTTTCATATTATAAAATAGTATTATAGTATTGAAAAAGATTAATGTTAGTGGATGTGTATATGATATCAAAATATTTTCTGAAATTATTTTATAATTATGAAATGCATGGTATATTGTTCCAAAATATTAAATCAAATACTGTTTATGCAGGAAATGCCTATACTATGATACATATACATGTGCAGCTAAAATATAATTTTATTGATGTAAATTCTAGATTATTGATTTACATTTTCTACCATTTATGATATTATTTGACTTTTTATTCCAGTAAAACATCTGCATAAGCACTGCAGATCCACTGTATTTAGGAAAATAATGAAATTTATTACATTAATATATTGTTATTTAGATTGGAAATAAATATAAGAAAAGGAGGCAATCCACGAAGTCATACCGGCATACTGCAATGATTTTTCCGTTGTAGACATCACTTTGTGTTATGTTACATGTCATATCTACAAAAAACACTAAATATTAATTAAACATAGTAGTTTACAACTAACTGTAAGAAAAATGATAAAATCGAAAGTTGTATTCTTTTAAAATAATACACTAACCTCTGGATGATCCAGGAAGTATTGTATGTAGTTAAATATTTATGCCCGATACTGACATCAGTAGATCACTGTATATAAATCAGTAGCTGGTCACTATCGAAAATCCCGAAAAAATCTTGAAAAATTGTTAATTAATTCACTAAAAATGCAATCACTTCGTCCGGTAAAGAAACCATAACAAAAATTTTTAGGCAGTGACTACAGATACAAGAAGACTGGACATGCCTTTGTTTTCGAGGGGTCCCAGACACCCCAGAACATGCAGAGAGCACAGCCACGTGGGGAAATCTTGCATAAGATCCCCCACCGACCCCTGGGGGAGTGTCAGATTCCTACTGACTAAAACCCCATGGCGACCGAATTATCAAGCTTTTTACGATATAATGAAAATAATTGAATTACGAGCTTTTCAAGCTCGTCATGATCAATATTATACCCAGTATATAAAAAAAACTACTGTAAGATTTAACTTACTGTAAACATGAAGAAGGAGCAAGTAAATCCATTATATTTATAGAATAAATAATATATTTGCTATGTACAATTTCTGTTAATAATATATAAGAAACTTTCATTATTTCTTTTACAAACTCATCATTATATACTTCGTTCCCCGTTTGTAACAATACTTTAAGATATAGTAATTGAATGTATTAAATTAATTAATAGCAAAAGAAACAGGCCAAGATTTTAAATTCTCTAAATCAACTAACACAACTGTTTGTGTCTCAGAAAATTTTGGAATACATATCAACCTAACCATTTGTCCTTCCTCTGCTGTGGATATATGCTCTATATTATCAAGACTATTTTCTTATGACAATCTAAAAATAAAAAGCAAATAAAAATATTCTTACCTGTGAATAGTTTAGTATCATATTTATCCATGTTACCAGCAAAATATACATCAGGACACTCTGTCATAACAAATGGATCAACCTCATCACATGGATAAGTTGGAATAGTGTCTGGCCCAGTTGGTGCATAATGTTGCCAATCTAATGTACGTTTCAACCATGTTAATGGTGAAACATTAGCAATATCAGCTACTTTCATAATATCTGTAATAGGTTGACCACTAGATCCAGCTACAATACAAGAGTTGATACTACCAATCCATGGATTAGTTGCTCCATAGAAGCTTTTAAACCTAAATTATATAAATATAACAAATATTTTGTTGTTTTATGACACACAGATGTTATATTACCTAGCACATTGGGGCAAGATGCAAGGATGAAGTGGCTGCTGAGGTATTGTATGACATGTTGGATCAAACTCTCCAGGCATTAATATTACAGGGCAATTTTGCACTATAGGACAAAGAAAATTGTCAAGTTTATGAGTTGCCATTGCAGTTTTTTTGAACACACTTTCCTCATGTGTTTTATTTTCAAAATATCCTTTATGATTATGAATTTCCACAGATCCTCTTATGATATTTCCTAAGTTAATATGATCATTAATTACTTCAAATTGTTATTACACCTAATACAAACTAAATACCTGCTATAATAATACACACAATGGATGCCACTTCTTCTTGATTTCTCTTACAACCGATCATTCCAGTTATCCATTCAGACAAGAGACTTAAACTTAATGATTCTGTATTATTTACTAAATCTAATCCTGACATTATTAAAATTTTTCCTTTTCTTGATGATAACTGGTTACATGTTGATGGTTTTGGGCAACATCCTGGTAAACACCAATCTATCACCTGCAATTAGTATGCTTTATGTATCAGAGCTAAACAAATTATTTTAAATGTGTGGTAAAATAATATTAATATTTACTGAAAATGCACCATTTTCCAATTCCCGCCCCAATACAGCACAAATAACACCAGTAACTACATCTTTAACGTTCACGTGATTACCGTCCAATTTAATACGTAATACTTCATCCTCCAAATACAATATGTCTTTAGATGATGCATAATTTGTCCTAGCTGGTTGAGTTACTAATTGTAGTTCTTTGCCAAGTTCGCGTAATATTGACGGCTTCAATTCTTGATGTTTATATAATGTTCCTATTAAGATACAATTTTTACTTTCATTTCTTTCAGAAAGTTCGGCGAGCGTAACAATTTCGTGCTGGGCTGAAATAACATAAGTTAGAAAAATAACCTGAAATTTATAAACAACAGTAATCTCTGTAAATAAATTTACCCCATTTGAGTTTTGCTTTTTGTATAAGATGCTTTCTTAACGCTGCTAATCGTGCAATGTATGTGTTACAATATTGCTTTTTAAAATCCCTTGAAACGATTTTAAACTTTCCAAAATCTTGAAACTCGAATGATTTGCGACGATATACTAATGGCGGATCAACTTCCATTTCAAAAATTGACTTTCCTACAAATATAATATATTATGTCAATTGCAAAAAATTAACATTAATTGCAAAACATTGGAATATTAAAAACAAAACAAAAATATTTAATGCACATACATTCTTGACTGTGTGTATAAGTATACTCCACTTTTAAATATGACTCATATGAGTTTTATCTAAATAAAAAAATGTTTAAACTTGTAGATATAGGCGCTTGATTTGAAATACAATAAATATATATAGCATTCAACATTTATATGCAAAATAATTATTTACCTTTTTAAGACTGTAAGTTTTATTTTCAATTTTGAATTGATTCTATTCAAAATTAGTATATAAACATTGTATTTAAAATGGATTAAAAATTCAATTACTAACAATGCGTATGAAATAATTTATTTTACATTGATATCAATACTTGTCCTTATTTTCTGACTATATTGCAAATAAAAATAATGCACAACCTTGAATATATAAATATTGAAAGAACAAATTAAAAATACAAATAAGAGAATACACGTATATTAAATTAATTGTTACCAAATAATACTCTACAACACGTAAAACATTTTGGATTGATTACAAAGTTATGCTGGGTTTGGTGGCAATCCCATTGACCAAGCGTCTAATAATTTTTTATCATGAGGACCAGCACCTAAGCTAAGCATAAGTCCAGAAAGGTCTCCGCTATGCCCACGACCTCTCATCGCATGGACTACTTTTGCGATGCTATAATTAAACCAAAAATTATATTGATTTATGAATATGAAAGAGGAGATTAATGTTATAAATATTTCTGATCGCTATACTTTGCCCATTCTTCTTGCAGTGCAGCAAAATGTGCTTTAAGAGTAGAATTTCCAAGTTTTTCATTATCCAGTGATTTTTCAATCTTTGTTAATAACGTTGGGAGCTTTAATGGTAATGTACCTGTCCATCTGACAACATGTGAGCTAGAATTTTCAATTTTATGCTCACTAGATACGATATCTAATCTACACACATTCGCGCATGGTACAGGTACAGCCACTGAAGTATCCACACCTAAAATAAGTAAGATAATTCATATTCATATTTAATAGAAGATTTGAAATTAGTATTAAATTTGATATCCTAAATACAATGTAAGTACCAATAAAGTTACACTTATTAGGATCCATATATTCTGTTGCTTGAGTTTTAACTCTTCTACATGCACGTGGAATAAGAGAACTAAGTCCATATAAAGATTCCAATCTTTGAATGTTTGGACCTCTTACCAAAATTTGAACACCTGTTAAACTAGAATATAAAAGTTGTCTAAACTGCTCTTTTCCTAATACAATTCTTAAATCTCTAAGTATCACTGTAGTAGATTTTCCTGAGACTTCTAAGAATTCAGACGTTACTTCTTGTTCATTCGAATTTAAATTTAAATTTACAGGTAATTTGGCATTTACTAAAGTGAATCCATCTTCGGTTTCTAAAAAAATAATGTTTTCTTTTTTTTTAACAAAATAAATTTAAATCATAATTTCCTTTCAAATAGAATATCTTTAATAATACTGACCAATCTGATGCTCTAAATTGTAGTTTAATTCGTCATCTAATAAACTCATGGGAAAAATTTCCACAAAGTGTCTTGCTCCTGCACTAAGAATCCATACCAGCCACATGTGAATTCTAATTTAATTGTAACTTGTTAATATCACATGTCATAAACATTAAATATTTTATTTAAAAAGCATAAAACACACCTTATAAACACATGTTTTTCATTAGTGATACTGATCAAAGTTCTAGGCTGTTTATTTGAATTATTGTATGATCCTGATCCATTGTTAGCTGATAGACGAACAATTCTTTGTGGACATTTTGCTTCTTCAGCATTATACTTTTTTTCAGCAAAATCTTGTAATTCTCTAATTACTTCCTTTAAATTGTCGACTAAAAAAGGCCACATGTTTAGCAGAAATTGTTTATCCCTCATGAAAACAATAAAACTGCACCATTTGCGAAAACCTCTTGCCTAGAATGGAAGGAAAGATTTCTTTATATTGATGAAATTTTCTTCTATTACTTTCTAAGTATTAAGATTATAATTATTGACATGATTTGAATAATTTGTTGTAATAGCTACCAAACATGCTTTTTCGTTGCATAATTCACCTGGGCATCTTTTAATGTAAATGTATGACTTAAAACATGCCCCCTATATTCATCTCCAAAGTAGCAAACACCTTCTTTACCAGGATGTACTTCACAGCTTAAACTCCTTGAATGATTAAATTTAAAATATAATTTTTAGTTCTTAAACATATGTACAATACATATAATAATGAAATATTATATATTATACCTAAAACATGCGTGCTTCAATAGGCACCAAATATCTTGAGTTAACGATTGTTGAGCAGATAGGAATGATGTCCTGGTTTCATGTTCATTACTTAAATATTTCACATTACCAATACTTTGGCATCCTTCGCATTCATACTGTCCATCTTCAACAATATTTTGACTCCGTCTTAATATCTCTTTTGGTCCATAAAATTTTAATTTCTCTGTGCTTTGATTATCGTAATTACGATATGTTTGAGTTGTGAATATTACTTTAGGTCCATGTGATTCACAAAAAATACATAAAGCAATAACAGCATTCATTGTTAATATAACTTTCTTGTGCGAGTATTACAAATTTATTATTCTCTGTATACTTTCATTGCTTTATTATCCTTATTACGTTCGATACATATGTTTTGTAGATATAAACATATCAAGATTTTCGAAACTTAAACATAATGTCTAAATATTATACATGTCTAACAATTATAGGAATTCGAATTATAATTTAGAACATAACCTCTGGATTAAGTACCAGTCACAAAGTGTAGCTAACGAAAAAACACAACGAGAATATATTACTTGTCTACGTTTGGTTCACGTTTTAAAAACAATGAAATTGACTTTTTTCTGCTTTTTCACGTGATAAGCCAGAAACGAAGGCAAGCCAGGAGCACGTGACATTATGATAGTCTTTTATACATATCTGCACACACATTTATATCATTTATTGGATGAATTTACACATACACTTAAACTTTCAACGACCTCGTGCAAGTAAAAACAAAGCTATGTATATTTATATAGTGTAATAAATTGTTCATTATAAAATGTAATATGTAATAATATTAAACTAACAATCAATTACCATTTAAATATTAGGATGTTTGATTTTAATGATTTTTAACACAATCAAAAATCATAATGTATAATTACTATTATCAAGCTTGTATTATGAACTTTCATATTACATAGATTATTTAAAAATAAAGAATGCAATAAATTCATCTTTATTTTCTGTGATAATTTAATTTTAACTTAGTAACTTCATATGCAGCTCTCATCCATATACCTACTGCATGTGCTTGAGGATTAGGGTATTTCAATTCCTGTAACATATTTTAAATAAATTTGCATCTTTGTTTAATAAAGAGTATTAGAGTTTCATTTATATAAACAAAAAAGATTGTAATACTTTATATCTTTTTATATGAGAAGACTGTGTATGCACAGTATTTATAGCAAAGTTTTCAGCAGTTCTTACAACTATAGCAAATGCATCAAGAGGATTCATGTTTCTATTTAATGCATTTTCTAAATCATTTTCCACTTCTGTTAAAACATGTAACAGTGTTCCATCATTTATAGAAGTTATTTCAAGTTGTTCTATTATTTCCTTTGCTTTGCCTAAGGCATATAACCACATATCTGCTGTTAATTTCTTATCATTTTCACATTCTGAAAAAGTCTTAAAAAATATATTTTTATGATGCCAATTAATTTTATAATTATTCATATCTTACTTTAGCAATATTATGAAAGAATAAAGAGTATAGTCCTCCTTGTACACCACCCACTGTTCTTTCAATAATTTGACTAATTTGGGTAAATGTTACACACACATTTGTTCCCAATATTTTATTTTCCTGTAACATGTTATTCTATTTAGATTTTTTAATTATTATTATTATTATTATCTTTTTTATTAGATAATATAAAACCTGAATGGCATGTTGTATTGCATTAGCTCCACGTGCAAGACTTGTGCCACAATCCCCATTTCCAAATTGTTGATCCATTTTATTTAATTGATTTGTGCATGCTATTATTGCTTCACATGCCATTGATATGACTGATAAAAATAATTGAGCAGTTTCGTAACTAATTATTGGCCCTTGAATATTTATGTCAGATGTGTTGATACCCTGCATTAAGACCTCATTTTAATATTCAGTTTTATATAATATTATATACAAATGAATCAAGAAAGCTTAATTACCTTACAATACTTTTCTGATGTAATTAGTTGTGTTGTATCGTCCTAGAAATTAATTTTAATCTTAAATTATAGTTAAGTCAGAATATAAATTAGGCATATAAAATTATTACATTTTTAATGTTCATTGTTTCAAATGTTAACACTTTCGGCCATGCGGGTGCATATGTTGGAAAATCTAAATACTTAATCAATACTTTAGTAAATGAAAGGTTTAATAAACAAATGTGAAAACCACTGACATCAGTCATCAATGATTTTACATATATTCTTTTCGTTTTTAATCCATATGTTTCTACTTGTTTAACAAGTTCTAAGATAAAGGTATTTGTCTCTATTTGATTATGACCTAAAAAAATAAATAAGGATACAGACAATACTGATATGAGCAAATGAAATTTGTACATATTTGATTCATTTACAATACCAAAGTTATTTATTATAATTGCAATCTCATGACCAGTATGAAATGTTTTCATTTCACATATATTACTTTGACCTTCTGATCCTGAATTCAATATATTTATTACAGGTTCAAGTATTTGCTTAGCTAAATTTGAAAACATTTCTAATTCATACTCCTTACACATTTTCCTTTCATATTCTGGAAGGTATGTATTTTTTACATATTATGCCATTAAGTTAATATTAATTTTTAATAATCTCAATACCTGCTTTCAGAAGAGTCATTTCTCCATTGTTTGCAATAGAGTTGCAAACAGAATAGATTTCATTTATATTGTTTCCTTCTTCTGACATAGCTCCTGCTATTTTATAGATAAAAATTATTGGTGAAAAATCTTGCTCCTGAGTAGTACTTCCACAATAATGGGATGTACTTTTTATTGTAATTATTTTAACAATATATCCTTTTGCCTCAGCTTGTAATTTAGCAGCAGTAAAATTAATAATATATTCTGTATCATTTTGAATAATTAACAATATTCCTATACATAAATGTTATTTATAAATTATAAATTCTAATATGAAATGAAGATGATGTAATGATGTTTGCATTTCATTACCAGAAGAATGATCAAATCCAACTTCTTCAATAACTTTCAGGATATCATTAGCTGGAGGTGCACAAAAAGTATTTCCTAAAATTGCTGCTGTTAACATGCCAGGACCTACAAATCCTGTATATGTCAATTCATTTTCTACTTTGCCCCCAGATATTAACTTTACCTGCAATCAATATAACATACCACTTTATAATTAACATGTTTTCTCTTAAATATACAGAATGGCTTACCTTTCCAGTCATATTTGTATAATTTTTATGTAACACTGTATTACAATTTTCTAATACAATTAAACCATTATGTAGTTTTGTCATTCCCAAAAGGCTTTTACCAATTATTTCATTTGTATAATCATGTATTAATGTAGACATAATTCTCTGTAGAAATATTACATAAATAATGTGACTATATACACTGTTTATAGTATTCGAAATATATGGGCAAATGTTTTAGCAGTTTATTATGTATAAAATGAAAAGGTTAATCAAATAACTAACCTATACATTACAATTTACAAAATTTTCTTTCTAAAAGATATAAAAAAAAATAATTCAAATGAAACAACAAATCTAATACATAGTATTAAATTAGAAAACAGTAATAATTTAGAGATTAAGAATAAAATGATGCCGTATATAAAGATGCATTTATTTATAACTGCATAATTCAGCCTTAAAACGGCCAAATATTACACTACATTTCGACTACGTCTGCAAGCTTTGCTCTTTTAAAAATACCAAAAATTTCATTTAAAGATCTTCGTGGTTAATTTCTTAAGTGAAATTGAAGTTAAAACAATCTATTTCAGATCAATATAGGATAAAGATTTAGAATGCAAAGCCTGCAAATACATTGATGACAAAGTTCATTTTGTCTAGTATTCATATAACAATCTTAAACATTATCAGTCTACAAAGTTATACTAAAGGTTGTTTACATAAAAGTATTTAGATACAATTGTCGTAACGATATCAGCAATGTATCATGCATTCACACAACCAATGCATGTAATATGTACACCATTCTGAGATTAAAAATTCATTATTTTCACGCTGCATTCATACCACGCAGGGATCTTTATGTATACTTAACCCTATCTGGTATGTATTTATGAACTGTCTTCACCTGCACTATTTTAAAAATCTACAAACGAAAATGACGATTGTATTACATTATTTCGTTTATGATTTAATTTGAATTTTATATTATTTTTTACATTTAAAGAAAGTTTCTGTACACTTGTATACTCTTTAAAATTCAAGTAGCTTTAAAAAGCTGTAGTAACAATAAAAAAATTATATGATACTGTCAACAAAAATATATATAAAATCATAACAAATTAACATAAGTTTTTTAAAAACTTTTATAGAAACACTATTTCATGCAGGTTTTTATATAGTAATAGTAGAAATATATATGTGCTTGTGTACAAAACTTTCAATGAATAAATTTAAATTCAAAGCTTCAAGCCTCACATGTACTAAAAACCACATTTACAATTTCACAAAAAAATTCATATATAATTAATTGTAACAAATACATTATGTATGAATTATATAACCAGTTATGTTCACCAATTGCAGTTCTTTGGAATTTTGCAAATTAAGTTTATTTTTAAACTTTAAGTTTATATATTATTCACTGTTTTCATGTTATATTTAAAACATAAATCAGGCTAATTTTTAGCACTGTTTGCCATTCTATTCTACTTCAATTTATATCTTTATATCTTTTACAGATTTCTTTCTTTCTCAAAGTGATTTTGTGATATTATTAAATAATCGTTTACCCCACCATGATTCCAAATCAAATGGTTTAAAATCTGAAAAAGGTAAAATTAAATTATGTTCAAGGCATTAATGAATTTAATATGTAACTTTGAGACCAAAATTGAAAGGGAAACAATTATTTCATTGAACTTCACCTTAAAAGAAATATTTTATACCAAATATTCAGTAAACCATTAATAACATTTAATGTTTAATATAATTTATTCATATTTTTTTTTAAGGAAAACTGACTTACCCTGAAGAGTATCATTTGGTTCACCATCATTATAGTATACTATAGAGTTTGGACCTGGAATAAATGAAATATATAATCCGAATCTGTTTCAACATGTATTTCCATGTATTTAATTAACATAATATTAATTGAAACTTACTAGAAGGTTCTGAACAATCTGAACCATCGGAAGATTCACTTCTTTGCCGTGTATTAACTTGGTTCCATGCTAATAATGAAAAATTATGAGTACAATGTTATGAAATGACATTAATATATAATTCAACATGTATTTTATATGCGAATGTACTATTTTATATTTTATACAAATAAAATCTATACTATTTGTTGTGGATTTTTGGAATTTGTTGTGACTTGTTTAAAGTTTTCAACCTACATTCATAAACAAATTTAATAAGTTCCTCGTGTTGAGGTGTAATAACTTCCTGTATTTGATGCCTCTGTGAACTTAGTTTAGATTTTCCATTCATATGAAACACTGGTTTTGGTACGTGGCTGTGAAATAAATATTAATTTTATCGTCCATATTAACATAATTAAACATTCTACGCTAAACAATTTTTTTGAGATATATACTATTTCTGTATGACATTTTATGAATTATAATTTATGAGTTTTAAGAAGAATAACATACAGCTTACACATGCTTGTTTTTATGGAGAATTATGAATTGCGTAATACTGAAATGCTGAAAGTACAAAAAGAGAGAGAAGAAAGTAACGAACGTTGAATTAAGATGGGTTAAGGAACTACTTACCGGGTGCTCTCATGGTCATCGTCAGGATCTGCTTTTCTCGTTAAATCACGCAAAGTCTCTAACCTCTCGAGATTCTGACTTATTCCTGAAACAATGTAACGATTAGCGACTCTAATACTTATAAACATAATTAAATATTGTTCGGGTATTATAGTTACCTCTTCTTGTCTTAGCGACAATTTTGCTAGGTCCTTTTGATACAGTATACATGTTCTTTGTAAGAGCACAATAATAACTCCGTATTATATTTACGATACCAGATCATCCGAGGTTAATCTTAAATTCTTAGCTTAGAATCAACTAAATCACACACGATTCAAATCACTACCGAACAGATCAACCACACGGGTTGAAATGATCAGCATGAAATACACGATGAGTGAACCACGTGACCTTAGCTCGTGTATCGCAGTAGTGTTCATACATTAACAGTACATATGTATATATACACGGTGAAACCAATTTGAAAAATTTAAATCCGGGTATCTTCAATACCATTAATGACGGAAGCAGTTTACGTAATATTATTTTTTATGATCAACAATCATATTTGAAACTTTACCTATTGTAGCAAAATGAATTTACTCATATACTTATATTTCATCAATCATTTTCGGTAATAAACCACAACATTGATAATACATTACAAAAGCACGTGGTTCATAATAAAAATAGAATTTTCTCATTATAAATATTTTCTTTTTCTCCATATTATTTCTGTATTATAAGGAGAGAATTCTTTGAAGAAACACGAGTTCTTTAACGTAGTGGAATATTACAAATTATATATAAAATAAGACATATATAACATGTAACAAATTTATAATTTAAATTATATTCAGGAATTTATGAAAATAGAAAATAAGTGCAATTTTTCAAACATTCAATACTGATTCAAACGGTTATATTAGATAAAATAACAATTCCTTAAATTATTACATATTCAAAAATCAATTGGTACTCACAAATATGAATTATTAACATGATTTACATAAATAAGAAAATTTAACTTCTTCTGTATTTTAATTTATATATCTATATGAAAAATATGAACACATAAGAAAATATTTCATTTCTTCTTAAATAATAAAACCCAATATGTTCAATATTATCATTAGTTCCACTGTCTGTCAAAAGTAATACACTGTTAGTAAAAATATTTTTACTATTTGATATTAAAATAAAATGTTCATCAGTAGAAAGAATATAATACATAGTGGTTTTATAAAATCAAATATTTAAACAGAATTCTGTCGTTTCTATTATAAAGAATATCGGATTTTTTCATGATGTACAACTTATTTAACATACAGATCTTTTTTTTCAAACAAGAAGATGTTAACATCAGAAACAGAAAATTTACATAAAAAATCTACATTATCAGTAATATACCTATATTATTATTGTAAAATATATAATTGATTGGTAATATCAATAAGCAAATATAACAATACTAATAATAATGAATTTATATTACTCTATAATAATAGTAATACTTAATAGAAATCAAAATTACTATAAAAGTAAATATATATTATATTTATACAGAATGTCAAGTAATCGAGACAATTAAATGTAATACAGAGAAACACTTCCCATCTATAGCATAATCAAGTCAATTATTTGATGAAATATTCATTTTTTTGCATTTTAATCTGCAAATTTGAAGAATGTAATTACACAAATTAATTATTTTTATATCGCTCCAAGGCATAAGGCAACATATTGTAATATAAATGTTATTTTGAATACCATGTGTTCTTTTATATATAAATAATATAAATTAATATTCCTATTCTTTTATTTTTATTACATAACGTTTATATGTAACAATTATTTCAATTTTAAAATAAGTTAGTCGTTATTAGAAAATTTTTACAACATAATGAAATATTAATTTATGGTCATGTAGTATTAATTACATTCTTAAGTACATATAAGTGCAAAGCATTTTCTTTTTTCTTAGTTTTCTTTTACCTTTTTTCAATCGTTTTATTATAACTTCTAATACCAGAAGTGTGTTACTAGAAGCAGTGATTTACGAGAAAATTTAATTTTTTGAAGATTAAATTAGATCAAACTTAACTTCCTTAAATTTCTAAGAAATTAAAATTATATTTAAAGAGCAAATAAAGATTTATCTTGATCCTTATTAATTTGACGTTGAATGTTTGAATTTTCAGAGTTTGTTGTTCCAGTTGTAGCAGTGGTTGCAGGTAGAGTGGGTAAAGCTTCAGCTGCAGCAGCTCTTTCTGCTAAGAAACGTTCAAATTCTGACGAAGTTAAAGATTCCTGGTCACCGTGTGCTCCTGGCTAGAAAAAAAAGTAAAATCTTATTTTAATAATTATCCCATATATATAATAGTAAACATGATTTAGAGGTTTGTAGAAGAGCTGTAACAATTTCTATACATCGTTTCAAATTACATCACTGAACAAGTGAATATTAATTTTGATTTTATAAAAAAGAGTTAGAAAAGGATTAGTTTTTGTCTTACTATTTTATATAGGCTTACCGTATGATCTAACCAAGCTGCCATTTCATTAAATTCAGATTCCCGGTTCAGCTGAATATTAAAACAAAGAGCAAGAAATAAAAATAAACACATTCAACAAAATAACAAAATATATGAATATGTGTATGTACATACAAGGTGTCTAGGAGATGTTCAGGAATTGATTCAATGTTGAACGAATTTCTGAAGTGGGTCTCACATATTACAGAACACCTTGTATGGGTTTTATATGTATACATACATCAGGACTACCGAACATTTTCTAAACTCAATGCTGCAATATCCCCTCTAAATTAGTAGCTACATACTTTACTCTATTTTCTATATTTGCCTACACGTAATAGATATACAATTAGAACCAATAAATAGGCGGATAAAATGACCATGGAAAGGGTATTTTTTTCTTATAATTACATCTGGTTATTATGTCTTGAGGAGCAAGAACTGTGTGCCGCTTAGGAATCCTTAGTTCGACAGCCCTGTATATACACATACACAGGCAAAATAGAGGATAACAAAATGAAAAACTAATCAAACGTTTCATGCTCTAAAAAGCTATGCATTAAAGAAAAGTAACTTTTGAATAAAGCTTACTAAAGTAATCAAAATCTAATATTCAAATATTATAAAACCAAACAAATACAATGTTCTTACCTCTATTAGGATAGATAATTTTAAGCTCTTTGTATAAATTCATAACTGAATTATTTGTAAGTATATAATATAGTACTAGTAAAACATACGAAAATTTATATAAAATCTTTCAGTGCTTATAATAAACTTACTGTTTTTTTTTTTTTTAAACTAAATAAATAATCAATATTTGTATCAGTTAGTTAGTAATATTGGCTAAATGCTTTGCAATAATTAATATAGTGAGAGCAGAAGTTACGCACAGAAGTAGTAGCAGTAGTAGAAGCAACTGTAGAAGCAGTCTGTTGGGGATATTTAGGATTACTGCGGTTTAGAATCGCTGTACTGAGGCTTCCTCCGCTCACCTGCTCCAAATTGTCCTCATACTTGCTGCCACTGTAATTGAACCAAGTTAATATTACGTGACGTGTAATTATAAATAAGATTTAAATTTCACTGATGAATAGAAACCTGTTTTTTGTAGTTTCGTAGGTCGTGTTGCGTGACTGTGCAAACATATCAAATTCATCATTATCACCTTCTTTCTTTTCTTTTCGTTCTATCCTATTTTTATCGGCATTATCAGCTATATCTGTGATTTAACACAATACAATTTAAAATGTATTACTTTATTTATCAAAAATATAATACTTACCCATTCCTGTTACTTTTTTTTCTAAAGTATCAGTTTCATCTGATAAGTCTATAAGAGAATCAGGTTCTTCCTTTTTATTTGACGAAGCGGAATCCATGTTTTGTGGATGACCAATTGTTTGTGCCAAAATAGTACTTGCAGCTACAGCCTTATTTTTCGTGTAACGCGAATAACGCAAAAATAAATTATTCAGTTCATCATTAATCCGTAGTAATTCTGCTGTCATTTCATCGTGTGCCAGTTTTCCAATTAAATCAACAACTCGTTCTTGCATTGCTTTGCATGTAGAATGAAGTTCCTATAAATATCGAAATCATTAACGAATATTTTAACTTATTTATTTAGTAAAAACGCTTCTACTATGATATTAAATAAATATTTATATTCGTACAGTTAAAAGTTCAAAGTCAGCAGGATCTGGTTGTTGACTATTATTCTGATCAGAACTTGTAAAGAATGCCAACATTTCTGATAAGACACGCATGTTTCCTTGTACAACATCAAGTTCACTTTGTAATTTAGCCATTTGTTGCTCGTTTAACTGAATTAATTGTCCTGAAGATTGATTCGGTGGTTGTTGAACTTGTAATGTGGCAGGTGTTATTGATTGCTGTTCAGTTGTGGGGACATTTATAATGCTCTGCTCTGATTCAGGTACACTCTGCAATTTTATTAATAGTCATAAGAAATTTTTCGTAAAATTTGTCATAAAAAATATTTGTTATATTTTAATAATCTTACTCGTTCTGGGGTAATAATAGGAGCCATGGCGTCTAAATCAGTCATTGGAAATTGTATACCTTTCACTTTTAGTTCTTGATATACTTGTACAACTCCTTGAGTATGGGGTTGATGACGGAATGTATCTGCCCATGTTTGGATTAAACTTAGAACCTTTTCTTGCACCGCTGTTGGTGGTTCATTTTTTGGTCCAATTAACTTAACTAGTTCTTGTATAAACTCTCGCGAACAAGCGAGAGTATGAAAACGTTTTCCACAATTTTTCACGCATGTTTCTAGTACCTAATTTATCAATATTTATCAATTATCATGTTTGTAACAATTTTTTATAAGATAATAAGTTTCAACTAAAAGTCATGACTAATCGTGTAGATTAATTATAATTGAAATTTATATTAAAATATTTCGGAAAATTAATTAAATTGAGAAATAAATACCTTGTATCAATATTTAATTGTATAAAATAACTTTAACATATCTTGTCTAAAATATAAATATTACCAAATATTTAAGTACTAACAGTAAGAGTATACATGACTATAGTATAATTTTTTCCTGCAGCTTGATTGAGTCTACGCTTAATTGCTTTAATTGCATCTCTTGGCCCATCCTCTGTTTCATTTATAATATCACATATTTCCATGTTAAGCGTCCAGTTTTCACTTGGCAAACTACCATCCGTAGCTTGTTCTATAATACATAGATAATACATTGTTCCATTAGTTAATTTCATTTTAGTATCATTAATTACTTTTTTTTAAATACAAATGTTTAATATGTTATAATCTCAGAATTCTTTAGGTGATTTTACTTTGTGTATGTGCGTGTATGAGTACTCGCGCGCATGTATGTGCGACAAAGCATATACGCATATACAGAAAGAAATCCATAAGTATCTAAATACTTATCTCTATTAATATATAAACAACTGTTTTGAAAAAATGATCATTAAAACATATTAAAGTAATCGGCATGACGTTGTTTGCGAAGGTAAATAAGCAACTCACCTATCTTTTGGCCTACTGGTGTTGAGAATGGATTGACATTTACTCCAAAAAATGACATCGTTGTACGATATATAAAACTGTTTCAATACTGGATACTGTTAGTTTGGCTTACTTGTGCATATATAAGGCACGTAAGAAATTTTGACAGGAACGGTATTTGATAGTAGATTACAAATTTATTATTCCACTGAATGATAGTATCATATGACCCATACGATGATAAAGGCAGACGCAAAGTGTCAGGAAACTCTACCAATCAGACGCAGTACTTCGAGAATTGTATTATGATTGGTTCCAGCTTACATCTTTAACCTATATATAAATACATATAAAAATCATCAATTTAAAATAAATTTCTTAATAATTTTGTAATGTTAAAAAGAAAGTTAGTATTCGTGTATTCTCCATATTTGCAAAACACAATTATTGTCATTTTCTTCTCCCTTTTTTAATATTTCGAAACTAAATTTTTATTTGAGATTTTATGTAACTGAATAAATTACTTATACAGAGTTATGGTATATGAAATTTTGGTTTTACTTTTTCATTTATGTAGAATTAACATTAAGCTCATAAATTTAATTTTACGATCACTGTCAACCAGTCAAGATTTGTGTGTATTTAATCGCATAAACGCTAGGCTTCCCTCGGTTGAAAGTAGGAGAAAAAGTCTCCCACTCATCTGATTTATTATTTATTGTCGTGTTAGTAATGGCAGAGAAGGTGACTACAGATCCAACAACATTGAACATGCCTCTATTCTTGAAGGGTAAAGATTTTGGGAGTTTCAGACACCCCCAGACGAAGGCTGGTTCTATTTTTTTAGAAATCTGTCAAAATCAGTACATGACTGGACAATTATTAAAATAATCGTTTGACAGACTTCTATTCATAAATTTGTACTTTAAAAAGACCGCCATAAATTATTATATTTTAAAATCGACCGCTGCGCCATCTATACAGAAACAGCGTAAACTACTCAACAACTTATCGGCGGAATTTCGGGGAACACTAGCGCCATCTATCAGCAAACAGCGGAAACTACTTCTCGAATAGTTTCCGCTGTTTGCTGATAGATGGCGCTAGTGTTTCTAGCCATTCAGTCGATAAGTTGTTGAGTAGTTTACGCTGTTTCTGTATAGATGGCGCAGCGGACGATTTTTAAAAATCATTAATGGCGGTCTTTTTAAAATACAAGTTTGTCAAACAATTATTTTAACAATTGTTTTATATAGTCTGTTGTTGACTTTGACAGATTTTTCTAAAAACAAAGTAGAACCGAAAAGAGTCAAAATTAGGCCTTTACTGCTGTCAGTACGAGGTATAGTATAAGAGGAACTGGGAAAATAGGCACAACTGTTATATCAGGTGTGCGCTCTCTGCACGCAGATCTAACTTAACTTAGGGGTGTCTGGGATCCCTAAAATCATGCCCCCCTCGAGAACAAAGGCATATTCAATGTTTTTGTATCCGTATTCACTGTCTAACTTCAAAATAAAAAATTAATCACGATCCGCGCGTCACCTAGCGGAACCTACAATAGACAGTCTCACGCTTTCAGATTGAGAACGAACATCGCATATTTATGTGTTTTGAACAACAAACAAGTAAAGGTTTTCTAGTGTCGCACCGTTAATATCCACAAAGTTTCGTAGCGGACGTGTCGAACAAGATGCGTAGAAAAATTATATCTCCTAACATTGCATAATCATGTTATACCCTGACCGGTGTCCAAGAACCGAAATAATGCGAGGTGGGTACATATGTACGAAGTGCGATCAATAAATTATTGAGAAAGTTTTGTCAAAAATATGTTTCAAACATTTCAATGTTATATCAAGTTATAAAAGAATATTTTTATTCATTTATAACTTCTTTCAAATAAATACATTACGTTCAAGTGTACTAACTGGTGCGTTACTTTTAATATTTTAAAGTTAGTCGCACTTACGATACATCCAAAGATGTTTAAATTGACAATCAACAAGACGTGCTTAACTAGTGTTTTTAAAACGTCAGAAGAGCTTCATTTCTTTACGATGCTTCTATGTATATTATATTTTGCCTATCACCATATGAAATCATATTAATTAATTATTTAATCGGCATTCGATATGTTTTCGACAGCATAATTTTTCATTCAAATGGTGAATACCTGCGTTGAATTGTGCTAGAATTGCACAGATTTATTTTTCGCTTTTGTAATTTAATTCATTTTAATTTGTACGTTTTCATTCAAGATAGTTGTCTAATGTAATTTATTTATAAACCTATCCGCAAAATCGTGTATTTAAGGTTAAAAATAAAGCACTCATATTATTTACTTTCATTAAGTATTGCACATATTTAAAAATATTATGTAATAATATATAATTGAATATACAATTCTTTGGACTTTATAATGTGTTTAAGGATTGGTATAATGTAGTTATTGTTTATACACTTAAAGTACTATGAAAAGCTAAGTGATTACTATGCAAGAAGTATCAGTTGTGTTGACCTTGAAATTGTTATGTACTTTGTCAGCAATGCATATATTGAAGGAAGAATTGCTAGTGTCCTTTTTGCTTGAGTATTTCTTTTATTACATGCATCAAAACTTTTGTCAATTTTAAATGAAGCTTGAATTAATTATACATAAATGATAAAATTGAATAATTAGAAATTAATTAATAGGAAGTGTTAGGATATATAATTTTTATGTAATACGTAAATTTATCTGTCTACTTTTAATTTTATTTATATCTTTCTTTATATAATATTTAAGTTTAATGGATTAAAGGTGGACAAGTATGAAACATTAAACATGTCTCATGGCTGGAGGCAGGGGCAACAACAAGCAAAGTGGAAATTTAGACAGAATACATCAATGGCTCTATTGCCATCAGCTTTATGCTTCTGTCAAGCTTGAACTTCCTTTGAGTAAAATATTTAAAAAACATCAATGTAAAGAAGAGAGCCGGATCGTTACAAAAAGTCTTAGAGATCTACATGATAACATTTTGAGGTAAAATAATAGTAATAACAATAATTTCATATTATAAGATTCAAGGAATATTTATGAATAATAATCAGATTTACAATTGTATGAAAAAGTATACTTTTATAAGTCTCAGCATGATTTAATTAAAGATTTTGTTTTATTGTGTAATACTTGTTGCATCTGTTTACAGTTTGTATTTGTATCAAACAATTTATGTGTACAAAATGTAAATTTATAAATACATAAAACTGAATAGAACGTTTTATTGTAGCATATTTACGGATTCTTTGTATTGTGATTTTAATATAATATATGGACATAATATAATACGAACAAACCAGTGTATTATTAAAACAAGGGCTCCACATTTTTATAAGGTTCTCAAGCCTTATTTTATGCGCATTAACAATCATATTGATTGCATCATTGATAAGCTGGAAATTTTTCAACATATAGAAAGCTTTGTGAGGTACTGCCATATTTCTAATCATTTATCTAGAGCAGTATCTATGAGAACTATATATGTATAGAATTTATTACTCATATAATGCAGACTATCTCTGCATGAACTATTGTATAATTCAGAAACATCTGTGTAAATGTACATTTACTAAAAACTTTAAATATATTATTTTAAACACAGCAGAAATGTCCACAATGTTAACACAAATTTTTCTGAATTAACAGTTTAATGTATTCCTTATATCCAGAATGAAAAGATACTATTTGCATGCATTTATTTAAATTGTATATTAATGATAATTCTTTTAATAAAATAGTGTATGTTTTGTAATGTCATAAGAATCTGTATATCATCTACATTATATTTGCTACCTTTAATTTATATTTTTAAATAAAAATCTCTTTTTAATTATTTGAACTATGTTAATGATATTTCTCTGTTACTAAGTTTTTAAGGATTTTTAAATTGATCACTGGCTTGTTTTGTTATTTTTATGCACATAGAAGTTATTTTTATATAATTAAATTTGCATTTTTGTAATGAAACTTAAAGAGCACCGTAAATTGTAGTCATTAGTAAGTTATATCTATCATTTCATTGTAAATACTGTAAAATGTACATAGTATTCTTCCTAAATAATCTTTTTATATTTCCAGACTGTTATATACCAATTCAAATTTATCAAAAGCAGAACAATCGCTGGTAGAATATATTTTGAGCGACTCAAAACTTATCGATACATCCTCTGCCATTAAAATATCAGATGCTAATGAAAGGTTACAATTTATAATTATAATATTTTGAAATTTATTTTATCAAACGCTGCAGTATTTTTATCATTAATGCTTATAAATATTTATGTTAAAGATATGTGGACTACGCGTCAGCTGATCGTCCCTTAACAAGCATTAAAAGCACAAGAAATGTAAGAGAATATGCTCCAGCGGATGTAAGTCCCACTTTGTCCGATATGGCTGATTCTGGTTTAGAAACTGGTTCTGTAAGTCCACACGAAAATACGACATCTGAGAATTCGAGCACCGATTTTGAAGAATTGCAAGTCACGGAATACAATTCAACAAACGACGATATAGACAAGATACGTGCTAGACGTGTAAACAATAAAGATCAGAAATTAGTTATCGATAATGAGCATTACAATTCGTCTAATTATAACAGCACGTGTCATCTGAAGGATTTGGTAGAGTCAGGATTGATGGAATGCGCTTCTAACGATCATAGCGCGACATGCTCTTCTTTTGATGCGGAACAACCTCAATTAGATTCCTCTAGTTCATCCACAGAAAATGTTCCGAAAGCGAAACCGCATACGGACGAAATATTTCAGTATGAAAACCAAGTACTTAGCGATCCATTTTACGAATCGGACTGTGGCAGTGATGAAAATGAATCATTTGAATTTATTGATCTTGGCAATGCATCATCCCTGAGTACCGATGCAGAAAGAACGTCAGCGAAAGAAGATTCTACTGAAAAATTACAAGATGAAAATCTTTGTCAGTCCAATTACTCCCAAGCTGATAATGCACAGTCAGAAAATGTAAATGATGGAGCATCTAATGATACAACCAAGCAGAAAAGTTCCTCCAATACAAGCAATTATTATTTCATTGATGCATCGACGCTTAACGACGAAATAGAGGTTCCAGCATCGAACGTAGTTAAAAATCATTGTTTCGACGACAAACCGCAATCGTATACTTCTTACACCTTCAAATATGTTACAAGTAAATCAAACGATTTTGTTGACGAGCAGTGTTACAAATTCACACCCCTTAAAGCGACTAACCTACAAACTGGACATGAGAAAGTAGCAGAATTTCAGAGGGAGTTGAAGCTTACAGAATACCTGGAACCGCTCGCTGATACGCAAAAAGTAAAAAGAACCGATTCCATATCCGAGGATAAGATAAATTTAAATACGGAGACGAATAAAGAATCGTTGGTAGTAGAAATTAAGGAAGCTGACAGCGGTGAAAGTGCGCATCCTTCTCCTTGCCCTGACAATAATACAAATATAAACAACGACCGACATGTTGCATCGCGAACAAATAACCCTAGTGACTCGGTCGCGGTGTATACTGAAAAAGAAACAGACGAACAAACCAATAATAATAATAATAATAATAATAATTCAGTGGAAGATACTCGACGACCTTCTCTCATTAGAAGGAACACATTCGAGCTGGACTCGAATGACGAAAAACTGTCGGTATTGCGACAAGAATACGAACGACGCCAAGGTAATCTCGTTTTCCAGAATGCTATACCTCAGTATTCTGGACACCGAGTCGACGGCGATTCCTGTTTTATTCCTCCAGAAGAACCATCGATTCCAATGAACAGTAGTGTACTGAAGAAATTCACCATGGAGGTTCAAGTATCAAGCGATCCTCAATATCATCCGGTACCGTATCTGTCTTTAGATAATACAAAGTATGAGAGCGATCACACGCCACCAGATGCTGATTCCTTTTTGGAAAACAAACCCAATACGGTATATCCTGTAACAAAGAGCGCCAGTGATGAAATAGTTATCGATCACCATGCAGAGTTGGATAATGATTCTAGCAACTGCAGTAACAGCTTGCCTGTTACCTTAAGTTACGCTATAGAAAATGATAGAACGGATACGATGAAAAAAATAAAAAGTAAATGCGACGAGACAGCGCCAATTATTTCTGGAGGTGTCAGCACATCGGACTATTCAAAGCCTACCGATAGTCCCACTGTGCGACGAAAAACAGAATCCACCCCTATCGTTTCTGGAGGTTCCGTGATCATGAACGAACCTGATCTAAGAATAAAACCAACGAGAATGTCTTCCTCCATGACCGCATGGGTGGTTGACATGAGCGACTGCAATAAGAATGATCCTAAATCGAGCAACGTTCATACAGGAATGTCTCAAAGTTTCTCCACTTCTGAATGCATGAAGAGACCTGCGAGAAAGATAAGTAATCATGATAAACACGGTAGTCTAGGTTTCTTTGTTAATTTGAAAGACATGGATAAGAAACCAGCCGCAGAACAGAATCAACCGACAGAGAAGAAGGAACAAAACGGATGTAGTAAATCTTACTGTGAATTTTACGTTGACATGTCCAACGCTACTGAATCATTGAAACTTAAAAAACCAGAGATAGAAGAGCCTGCTGATAAATGCGAGAAATCCAACGAAGGTAACGATAAAAAGAATATTTTCTCTATGTTCATTGATTTAAGCGATCCGCCCAAGAATCCAGAAAGCAATGTGCAGCTTTCGCACAGGAGAAGTTTCTCTGCGTTCACCGATAAACAGACAGAAGCAAAGTCGGACGATTCTAATTCCAGTAAAAATAGCAGTATCACCGCGAGGGAAGATCAATCGTCGACGGAACAAAAGTGTGTCAGAGAGAAAGCGAAACCGAGCGTTTTCATGTATATAGAGTCTGATTCTCCGGTGGTGAGAAGGAGGACCTTGTCGACGTCTCGGCCAGCGTTTAAACGACATTCCTGGAACGTGGATAAGACGCAGAGTGTTAATAATAATGGTCAGGTTGCGAAGGAGTTGATGTTTAGAAAGGAGCACAAACGGGCGCACAGTCTATCCGTGGATCGGGGAGACTTGAAGAAATTCCAAGGGAAGCCTAATTCGTCGACGAACTCTCTGAGCGACCAAACGAAACCAGAATCTATCCCGCAGAAGAATCCGAAACTTCTTCAGGAAGGTAATAATGTGACCAACATGGATACATCTTCGGAGGATTGTTTCGAGTACGACGTAAGGGATACACCGCCGAATTCTCACGTTGAAATAATCAACGAAGAACTTCGTGTCAGTATAAAGGAACACGAGTATACCGAATTAAAAACTGAACGAACTACGGAGAGTCTGAACGTAGGTGATGTTAAAGCGTACGAGGACGAATATTCAGAAACTTCTGGATGGGAGAAGACTTGTACAGAAAGTACCGAGGGACAAACGCGGAAGAGCGAAACGTTTGATATAAGTAGCGGCAGCGGGCCGTCACCTGATAGCGATAATCATGATTACGAATTGTCTGAATTGTTGAACGGAGAAGTGCCAAACATGGATCGATCTCAGGTAGTTCCTGCTGTAGGTAGTAAAATATCGGAGACCCATAAATCTTTGAACGAAACTATTAAAAAGATTGAAAGCGAATTGAAGAATCCGGATTATGTACAAACAGAGGCGACGTATGATAATCATAACGCGATATCAAAGAAAAGCGAAAGGGTTGCAGGGAATAATTTGAAGACTACGTCTTCGAACTTCGTTCGATTGTCTGATTTGGATAAGACGCCTGTAGCATCTCACAGCGCAGACATTTTGTGTGTAAAAGAAGATAGAAGCACCTATCGAGTGCGCAACAATATTTCAGAGACTTCTTGGATTGAAAATAAATTACTGATTTCAAGGACCAATGGATCGGTAAGACCACCTCCCAGAAAATTTCCATCGATCATGAGTACCTCGTTACCGCCTAAGCAAAAATCTCCTCTGGAAGAGTTAACAGGGGAGTACGATGGGGAAGGAATTATATCAGAGTCTGATTTAAGCAGCATGCAAAGCAGCATGGGTCGTTCTGGTGCTGGTAAGTGCTTTGTTATATTAGAATAAAAAGAAAAAGGAATAGTGAAATTGATTGTGTACTTACTTTCAGAAGGAAGCACAGAAGAAACTGAAACATCCAGTTTAGCAGGGAGTAGACCATATAATAGATTAGGAGAAGACTTGCTAAGAATGTTTTTAGAGGAAATCAATCCGGATGTTACTATAGATGTAGCAGGTCGTCGTATAAGAGCTCATAAATGTATATTAAGTTCTCGTTGTCAATATTTTGCGGCGATTCTTAGCGGTGGATGGATCGAGAGTGCTGGAAATGTTATTTCTCTGCAAGGATACTCTTACGATGCTGTACATTTTGCCCTGTGCCACATCTATAGTGGGGAAAGTAACATACCAGATTCTATAAGTATAGTTGAACTTGCTACGTTAGCTGACATGTTATGCTTGGAGGGTCTGAAAGAAATTATTGGATATACGCTTAAAGTTAAATATTGTCACTTGTTTCACAAGGTATATAGGAATTTATATGTATAATTATTTAAGCTGGAAATTTCTTTATCAGAAGAATAACTTGTTACCTAAATTGTTTCACAGCCTTGCCAGATATGCGCCGTTGGTGTGTTAGAATGTATGCCTCTAGCAGCAGCTTACGGTCTTGACGAAGTTTACCGAAAATCTCTTCGATGGGTTACCAGACATTTTGTACGAATTTGGCCATGTAAAGCATTCGCGACGCTTCCAAAAGAACTCATGGCAAAGTGTTACCATCAACATATCGTGCATATGGTATGTTCAGTGCGTTATAATATATTTTTTAATTAAAACAATTTTCTATTTTTATTTTCACGAATAACAGTCTACGGACAACGTACTTCAAACGATGATGGATTGTGACAAACTGCTGGCGACCCTACCAAACGTGCGTTGGGCTGAACCGGTGTTCAGAATGGTTTCAAATTTATTGGAAACGTCGGTGAAATTTTTATCGGACAATTTCTCAGGAGTACTAGGAAACGAGAATTTCCAATCTCTTGGACGAGAATTAACGTGGAACATAAGTCGTTTAGAAGATAACTTTTTAGCAGCAGCTGAACGCTTGCCGCCTGATCAAGCTTGCAAAAGTTATTCAAAATTGCATAAAATGTTGGCCTCGGTGCAACAGGACGAAGCCCAAGAAAAATTTAAATGGGGCCCATTATTTATTGATTTTTTGAAAAAAATTCAGAGCCGAGTAGAAAAATGCTTGGTTAGAGACGCGGCACGAGCCGCAAGGACAACTACCTGGTTAAAAATGGACTTGGAACTTCGACGTAGGATACAGGAGTTGGCTTGCCTTGTAATTTTACCACGCGAGACCATAAAACGTCAACCAAAGAATCCTAACTTTATTAAAGTAAGTAGTGTTATTCAATGACAGTTTATCGAATATCGTTTCTTAATACATTTATCTGATACAGGAGCCAAGACCGACGTCCAGTCGTTCAATGACGAATAGAAGCTTAGATTTGAAACGGGTAAAAATGGTTATATCCGAGCATAATCACAAAACTTTGAAACAAATGGCAGTGGTCCAGCAGCAACAGACAAAGAAAGTTTTTAACAAACCAAAAAGCGATCCACTCGAACGTAAAATGCAAAATGATAAACAAATCACTACTACAGAAACAAATCGACCAAAATCGTGGCCCAATAAATTAGAGGTAATCATTATTCTCCATCGTTTCTTTTTCTAAAATTTACTTTTGATAGTTGCAAATAAATTTCAAATTATTTTTAAACAGTCAGAATTTTATCATGCGCTAATTTTTAGGTGAAATCAAGGTATCTGGAGCCTAGAAATAAATCTGTTCCTAAAGAAACTGTGCAACCCCCGCAACAAGAAAAGGTAATGGTACAACAACGACGGAAAATAATGATTTCATCTTCAGATTCATCTCGAACGTCTAGTCCAGCAATGAAACGTGCTACGGATAAGAAACCATTGGCCAAGATAAAATTGCCTATAAAGAAGGACGTGAAAGCTCTTTCCTCGGATAGTTTAACCGAATCGAATGCCACTAGAACAAACAATAATAAAAAAGATTCTATCAGTAAAAGTTGTGGCATTACGCGTCCAGAATCGCCGTCGTTCAAGCAAAAGAATACAGAAATAGGTTTATCTGTAGATTCGTTAGCAGAATCTAAAAATAAGCCTGCAGTTGTTAAGAAGAAAACCAACAAAATGGACACTTCGATGTCCACCGATAGTTTGATGACTGAAATGACAACAACACCGAAATCAAACACGTCAAATAAACTGTCACCGACTTTGGGGAAAGCAGCGAACAAAGCACAAGTTTTTGATAAAGGGGCAAAGAAAAGTTCACCGCCTACGCAACAAAGAAGTCCGTTAACGGCATTGAGGAGACCACGAAAGTCCTTGGAAAGTTCAACTGCAGCTAGTAGAAGTAGGGCAGCAGCGATAAGCGCTTATCATTTGCGAAGAAATCTTTTGGATGCTGCAAAGACCCCGGATGTACCGAGTAAGTCATTGAATAACGTGTCGTATAAAACTACAAGCACTCGGCCGGTTTCACAATCCACGGTTAATCACCCTAGCGTAACGAGAGAAAAGAAAGAATCGGTATTGAATCAACAGGGTTCCGAGAGCCCTAGTAAAAGATCTTCCCCTAAATCGTCTGGCACTAATAAAATAAGTAAACCTACCGTCGTTAATAAAAGAATAACTGGTAATAGTAAAGCATCTTGCGATGAGAAATCTAAAAATAAGTGCCATAACGGGGAGGTCCCGAAACAACCTACGGTAGGTTCTAGATCGGGAACCTTTTTGAAAGATGAGCCCACAATACTTAAGAAAGCGGATATTAAATCTTCTCAAATTAATACTTAAATACACAGACTGGTCGCTATGTGTGTTTTTCTTCATACATCGCGCCATTTAGCTTTACGAATTAAATATAAAGAAAAAGAAACTATCGTCTTTAACCGCAAAACGTGATAATTCAAACCGCGGACTCGTACTATGTGTAAAAATAGGATTATATATAATTTTAATTTAAAGCAGGTTGCAGTTGATATTATTAATAATCAAAAGAAAATATATTTGAAATGCATTTATTAGATTATAGAAGAAAAAAAAAAAAACGTGCTATGATTTTTGTTGTAACGTTAAAGGTAATTATGAAATATGGCACTAGGAGTATGCAAGTTTCAAATTAAAAGTCGTTTCTTTAGTTATATGATCCTTTCAATTATCTGGCAGAGTGGGAATCTTTAGAGACGTTTTAAGTATTGATTGCATTCAATTAAACTATTACACAGTTAGAATGTGTTTAAACAAATATCACAATCACAAACGCAGCTAGCTTAATATCCCACCCAATTCTCAACCAATGTGCGCATTAATGTCATAGTATTACATACTGCATATTTATAGATTGTAGATGTAACATGGCCAGTTATACAATACATTTAGATAGACAGACCTTTCTTTCTTCCACATTAAAGAGCCATATCATCTGTAATTGTCTTGTAGAATTATATACTAATTTGATTAATTGCAGTATATGTAAAGTAACTTTTTCTTACCATTTAATGTTGCCATCATACCAATTAATACTTGTAAGTAGAACTCTGTTTATCCTCCAGCGTTTCTTATTAATGAATTATATGTAGTTATTGTATTTATTTATTAAATTTATATCTCTATTTTGCAATGTACATTTTTATGCAATATTTGTATCTAGTCATTTATATTTTAAATATTTACTTTTATGTAATGTTAATAAATAATTCGATATAATGTTAAAAACGACTTGGATTTTTTAGAACTTACTTTTCAGAAATGCTTTTGTATACATTCATATTCAGATTAAATGTATGACAATAATATAATTAATTATACATCTAACAACGTGCCTCGAGGTCTTGCTCTTTTAGGATCTGCTTCAGGAGGAGGCATAGCTTTCCGTTTGTTCATTCCTTTCCTCTCTAATTGTTTCTCTATTATTCGAGCATTATTAGCATACGAGTCGGCAACTTCTCTCTGAAAATACGAAACAATTTTTAATGTAGTATTGTCCTTAATTAACGTAGATATTCTATTAGAATCAAATGTAGTTTTATTTTGTAGCATTTCATTCATTCATTTTTTTATCTTATTTGAATATTAGTTTAGGTTTGGAGATTAATGATCCAATATATAAATAAACATGTTACCGCTTCAATTTCATCTTCCTCTTCATCAATTGTAGAGACAGTAACAGAACTGAATTTTCCCATATTTTTAGTATGTTTTGTAACCATTATTTTCTTGGGTTTTTCGATAGCTACTTGATTATATATATCTGTCATTGGACCTTCTCCAGAACTTTTAATCACAGCACCTTTTACAATAAATACAACATTTGTTCCTTGATCATGTTTGTAATAGAGAAACAAGCCACATCTGTGGAGATACATGTACAAATTATAATTGATACATCTAAAAAATTGCAGAAACAACTTATAACGTACATACAGATAAGATTTTACTTTTCAGAACTTTTTAAAGTTTTTAAAAAATAATGTTAAGTAAAATAAAACATTCTCACTTTTTGCATTTTTGACGATATTGCTTTTCTATGCCTTCAGTACGTTTCAAATATACAACTTCATCTTGCTCGCAGGTCATTTTGTGAGCGTGTTTACTACCATCAATAACACGTGCACCATCTCTTTTTCTTAAAGGTAACTTTTCTATAGCACAATCTGTAAAAATGTGGAAAAATACATGTTAATATACGCCTCTACTTATAATTTATACTAAAATAAAATAATATGCATGATTGATCTAACCTAAAATTAATGTCATTTGCCCACATAAGCAATAATAAATGTGCAATGGTTTCTCTTCACTGTATTCTTCTTGATCTTTAGTATCCGAACATATTATACTTCTTGAGACTACTTTCGGCATTTTTACTTTTAATTATAAACATAAATACAATAACAATCAGCTGTCATTGATAGCTGGTGATAGCTACCAATTGTGTGATCAAATAAACCAGAGTTTTTCAAGTTTATCAAATGAAATAAAGTATCCCTTGAACATAAATGATGATAAAAGCTATTGATGCCTATAAATCATTGAGCAATAATTATATAAAATAAACATCTTTGAACAAGTTTCTGAATTCCAGGTTTAAATTTGTCCTGCCAAGATTAGAAAAATACTTCCCTAGAACGTATCAGTCGTAGCACGAAGATAACGAATGCAATTTATTGTCATTATAAATAGAAAATAATAAGATGAATGATGTCGAAGTCTACTTAAACTTGTTTTGTTTTCGAAATATCGTTTCTTTGTGTTTGAAATATTGGATACTTCGTATGTGAACAAAAAGATGTGAAGCAATAATGTAGAAAATGTCGTATTACATATGTATGTAAACATTACGCAATAAGCGGTTTCCAGGGGAAACGTATTCAAAGAGACCGCAAGAAATTGTAAATCAAGTTGCGATCGTGATTGTTTTTTAAAAAAGTGACACGATCTTATTACAAGTGCAACAGAGTTTTTAGTGTGGAAGCAGTAACCGTGTATTATCACGGCTCGAGTTTTTACTCGTGAAATGTCAAAATGGCGTCTTCACAGGACGCTTGGTATCTGTCGTTGTTAGGATTAGCAGAAAACTTTCGGACCTCGAATCCACCTAATATTAAATCGTGCATACAATGTTTGCAAGCGGTTTTTAATTTTAAACCGCCTCCAAGAGTTGAAGCGCGTACTCATCTTCAACTTGGTAACATCCTTCTTACGCATACCAAAAACATCGATTTGGCGCGATCTCATTTAGAACAAGCGGTCAGTTGAAACATTATTTGTATTGTAATTGGTTGGGTGTGCTGTTTCTTACTTTGGTCTTTCATCTTTATCCTGTATCTTCCGTATAACTTCATATTTCTTTTGATCCTGATTCTAACCTTTCTTTTTATTTTGGTACTGTCGGTAATATAACATACAAGGTGATTAAAGATCAATCAGTGTTAATGAACTCGATTAAGTAATTTTTGAGTGTATCTTAAATCGAAAACGTGTGATTTAATGATGATTTTATAATGTTAATATTGATTTTCAGTGGCGGTTAAGTCAGAATATAAACACTTTTGATGATGTCAAGTTTGAAGCTGCAAGTGTAGTTGCAGAACTGTATGAACAACAACAGCAACCAAATCTCAGTAAGCCAATATTAAGAAAAGCCATAGAATTATCACAGCACAATGTATATTGGCATTGTAGACTTATTTTTCAACTTGCAGTAAGTTATAAGCAATTTTAAGTAATTTCATTGTTTAAGTATTTATAAAGTAATTTTACCATGTACATATTACAGCAAATACATGCATCAGAAAAAGATTTTGTGGCAGCTAGTAGTTTACTTGCAGTGGGTGTTGATTATTCTCATATCAGCAATGCAAGTTATACCCGTGTTCTATTCTTATTGAGCAGGTGTATGCTTTTATTGATAGATAAAAAGTTTACTGAAGTTCACCCCCTTTTAAATTCAGCAGGACATCATGTTGAAAATTGGCAGGGTAGTCCTCACCAAAAAGAATATCTAAAAGTATATTTTTTGGTACTTCAAGTGTGTCATTACTTAATGGCAGGTCAGGTAAGTAAAAGATAATATCTTATTTAATTATTCAGTGTATCAATTCAAATGAATTCTTCTTAACATGTATGATTATTTAATAGGTGAAAAGTGTAAAGCCTTGTTTGAAACAGTTACAACAAAGTATACAAACCATAATGTCTCCTAGTTGGCCAGCAGATGAAGTAGTCACAGGTTCAAATATTGGAGACATGTTTATATGGATGCCAAAGGATCATTTGTATGTTTTGGTTTATTTAGTAACAGTTATGCATTCAATGCAAGCTGGTTATATGGACAAAGCTCAAAAGTATACAGACAAAGCATTGACTCAAATCGAAAAACTCAAAAGTAAGTATAATTCGATGCTTGCTTAGTGTCCTGCAATAATTTTATAGTTAAATAAATATTTATGTTATTTTGCAGTTGTTGACAACAAACCCATTCTTTCTGTTTTTCAACTGATGTTATTAGAGCACATAGTGATGTGTCGACTCGTGATGGGAAATAAAAGTGTAGCTCTTGCAGAAATTTCTCAAGCTTGTCAGCTTTGCAGAAGGCAGCCAAGGTTACTTCAAGGTCATAGACCGCAACTGCACGCTTTGTTAGGGTTGTATGCAATGTCGATGAATTGTATGGAAGCGGCGGAAGCACAATTTACGGCTGCCCTACGAGTAAGATGATACGGTTGTAAACATTCTAAATGATTGCTTCAGAATTTTGAAATACTTTCATCCGCAGACATCGCAGGAAAGGGAACTTTGGACTTTTGCGAATTTAAATTTGGCTATAGTGTACCTTAGAACAAAAAGGGAAGCGGAATTGGGCGCTTTGCTCGAACGGATAAATCCTGAGTCTTTACCATCTCATTCGCATTCTTTAAGAGCAGCGGCATATTACGTCCAAGGACTTCAAGCATTTTTTGGAGCTAGATACAACGAAGCAAAGTATGAATCTCTATTAATTCTAACGAAATATTATAAATAACTAAATATTTAAATGCGTTTGTAGGAGATACCTTCGAGAAACGTTGAAAATGGCCAATTCTGAAGATTTAAATAGACTTACTTCGTGTAGCCTTGTTCTTTTAGGACATATATTTCTTTCCTTAGGAAATAGTAGAGAATCTATGAATATGGTTACACCCGCTATGCAGTTAGCTTCTAAAATACCTGATGTTCATGTACAGTTATGGGCTACCGCTATATTGAAAGGTATACACGCATCTGGATCTGTGTAAAAAAAAAAAAAAATTACATTATTTTTAAACAAGTAATTTTCATTACAGATTTGTATAGAATTTGTGGAGATCCAAATCGTGAAAGCGAAGCGTATCAAATGCATTGTACTTTCTCGCAAACGCTTTTGAAAGATCATTTCCAAAGTACACAAATGGGCGAGCATTCTCTCATACAATGGACTGATGGGCCTGTGCCTGCATTACCAAGTAATCCACCACCATCCACGTCACAAGCCATTCTTTAATATCAGAAATGTTTATCTATTGAAAATGTGTAAAATATTTAGCGAAGCACAGAAGTACGTTAGGTTTGTACAATTTCGTTATTGGGTCATAAAATAAATAACATAAAGATGTCAGGTAATAGTCAAAAAGAAAAGCACAAAGTGTGCCGAACGAGGAAATGAAAGAGTAAATTAATTTTGATAAAAATCAGAAATAGTGAATTCAATTGTTTACTGTGGGTATCGACCAATATCCAAATCCGTCGTTTATTATTTGAATAGTTTCAGGTATTTAAGAATCGAATTCTTATTTCCGAAGTTTCATAAAGTTTATATATAGGTTTGTACAAACAATTATAGTCATTTTTTATGTCCGATATATATGCAAAAACTGAACATATGTATAAAATATTGATATATTTTATTATTTTGTAAATTGTAAATTATAAACGTCTTTTTTCCATAAGGGTGTTTCTGCACAGAGGGAAAGAATGGCAGTGCTATCACTTTGAATATTGAAATACTGTATGTTGAACAAAAATCGGGTGCATCTTTCAACATAAGTATTACCACTGCACAAAGGCTATTTTGAAGTTAACAAAACATTTAATTTATGTTATAGAAATAATAAATTTTGATATTATAAAAGTTAAGGATATGTTACTTGTATTTAAAGATACATCGAAATATCAAGATTTTATTTTTTACAAATAAGGGAAATGAATGTATTTTCTATTTAATTTGCTCTTATATCTCATTTACTATTTAACAAGAAATTTACGTGACATCTCAAATGTATAAGATAATGTTAATATTAATGTTACACGTCATACGTCGACTTTATTCATATGATTTATACATCTTTTTAGGTTTACATAGTACGTTGGTAATTAGGCTTGAAACTGAGACTGATAAAATTTGATATGATGTGGATAGAAACTACTACACATGTACGCACTTTAGAAACTAATAATTTATACATCAGAAAACAGATTCAAATGACGTTTAAAAAAGATTTTGTGAACAAATATGAATCAACGAGATGTTGAAGCAATTTTGTTATCAAAGTATTAATATTTCCAGCGTGCTATGCTTTTCAATGACCAAAGTAGACGTTTAAAATTCGGGCTGTGGACACAACAGAAATACAGTATGTTCATAAAAGTGTACCCTTGTATATGAGAAGATAAACTGATAGGTACAATAGATGACAGTATGTTAAAAAAAAAAATTATCGTACCTATCGTATGCGTGGTGCGTATCGGTTGATGTGTTTTTATTAAACAATGTATGTATGTAATGTATAATTAAAATAAACACACTCGCAAGTAGTATTAGATAGAGCAATATACGAAAATGAAAAAAATAAAGGGGCCTTAATATGTGGTAAGCTAATTAGCAAAGATGTTTTGATGTAACTCTTTGCTTTGTTTTTAAACTAAAATATTGTAAATATTTTAAATAGTAAAAATAATAAAGAATAAAACAGAGAAAACTATAACGAATTATATGCCTGTAAAGAGAACTATATTATGGAAATTAATATTATCACCTTTAAGTTTTTTATTTGTAGTATTTATATGTATCGTTTGGTGGCTGTACATACTGATAAAACCTTGAAAAATAAACAAATCTTAGAAAAAAAAAAAAATTGGTTGTATAATAAGTTACCCATTTTTAAAGAAGTTAATTTAATTCCTATTCATAATAGTTCATAAATTCATTTCCACTTTAATTACATTTAATCTTATAACATCAACATTTGTATATAAATTGCTACAATTATCAGGTATATTTAGATTACTTTCTATACCATGCTTGTACAGTTTGCATACGTTTGACTTTCTTCTGCAACTGAAGAATACCATACATCAGAGCCTCTGCAGTTGGGGGACATCCTAAAATATTTGCACATATATAAAAACAGTTCAATGAAAATATAAGAATATACACTAGATTGGTTTAATAAATATGGTATGAAATATTACCTGGCACGTATATGTCCACAGGTATAATTCTATCACAACCCCTAACAACAGAATAACTGTAATGATAATAACCACCACCATTGGCACAGCTTCCCATTGAAATGACCCATCGTGGTTCAGGCATTTGATCATATATCCTTCTCAATGCTGGAGCCATTTTATTTGTTAAAGTACCAGCAACTATAATAACATCAGCTTGCCTTGGAGATGCTCTGAATACAACTCCATATCTGTCCATATCGTATCTAGGAGCAGCAATGTGCATCATTTCTACAGCACAACATGCCAGACCAAATGTCAGTGGCCATATGGATCCTTTACGGCCCCAATTTAAGAGATCATCCAATCTTGCCACTGCATATTCTGCCATGTTACTGGTATTTTGAAAAGGGCTGTAAGGTTGTTTCTCAACCTTTCCTGGTACAGAAACTTGATTTTGTTGTGCTGCTACATCTGTGGTTATTTGTTTGGCTTGACATACTAAAGATCCAGGGGATCCAGACAAAGCTATGTTATTGCGTATCAGGGATGCAAGTCCCTGATTGATGGTGGCTAATGATAATAAAAAATTAATTATTCTATTAAATCTTGTCACAGGTAATACTATTACATTTATTTATACCTAGGAGATTCTTATAACAATTCATCCTGTATATTTACAAAAATTAAATAAATAAATGCACAATCTTCAAGTATTGTTGAAAATTTATCTTAACACGTGAGGTTATGAAACATCATGTAAACATAATATTAAATGACCCTCTATAGAACAATTCAGAGATAAATTAATTTTGTTCATGCAAATTGCCGGATCTTATGCAATACAAACTATGAGAATAGACTACAAAATAGATTAACAGTGAAGCATATAGAGAATGCACAGTGTATTTCAGAAAAAGTTTCATCGAATTGAAGGAATCGTTACATATGATTTTTATGTTTATTTCTTTAAGTAACATAAACAATGTAATATATTTAATGTATTTTAAGATTAACTGAAGAAAACTTACGTGAAAACATGATTGAACGAAACATTTTTCACTCTACAACACAACTCACGTCACGGAGTTGTCTGCTACACTGCGCTTCTGCGCGCTTAAGTATTGGAAGCTATTCAAAATACTTCGCAGCATTGTCTATATTAAAGCACAGTAATTTTGGCACTGAACGAAAAAGAAAAATTCTTTTACAACATTAACCTTCGTGTTTCTGCCCTTACTCATCCGCCCCCTAATAATCTACCTTCTTTTGTAAAAGGAAGACAGTTGCGAATCGAAACGAAACAGTTTCACTGTCCATGAAACACCATTTTGTTATTTTCGATTTTAACGTTTTCAGCATACTGTAATGCACTTATTCGAATTAAATTATAATTGTAGAACGTTTTATATGTGTCAATAAAGCACGAAAGATTTTTATTTAACGAAAAAAAGTAATTTTCAGTTTCATTAATTTTCCCGCTTACCGCTAGATGGCGCCACTGTTCCCGAAGCGCGCCACAATTTGAAATTTTGAATCTCATATAAAAATGGCGGCAACACAGTATCTTTTACTATCGAGTAAAAAAAGATAGTAAAATAAAAAGAGAAATTCAGGAACAAGCTGTTACTCCTTCGTAGAATGTTTTTATTGGCTCAGTTCCTGTTTTATACAAAACATCTAACAAACACAGATGCTTTTCGCTGACATTTTTTAAAACTTCGCCTCACGGAAGCGGCTAAATCTCTATCGACTTCGCAGTTTTTATTTCTAGTCTTGCGGTTCCCGAAGGGCACGCTAAAGTACAATGCGATACTGATTTAACTTCAACGGTGTGCTCGAAAAATGTTGACGCTTCTAATCATAATACTAGCTGTGGTTTTCTTTAAAAACTTCGAACGTAAGAAAGTGCGTCAGTGAACGACTTCGCTATAATCAGCAACGGACGGGGATGTTAAGCTAGGCCATGGAACGAAATTTCACTATCGCGTGGCTTTGTAAACGGTTCGCTATATACAAAAACGGTCCCTAAAATTTTCTTTTTCTTTTTTCGCTTATCAACCGAACTAACTTTCTTTTTCCTAAGCGTTCCGGTTTCTGCTTTATTTCACCTATCCCGATCGAGCGGTAAAATGAAATTGTATCTTCGGTGCTTCGTTGAACGAAAACTGCGATCAATTAATTCGTTAATGTAGGCGCATGTTAACTGTGTGCATCTGTACGTTAAAGATTTCATTATAGAGATCTCTTTTAGCAAAATTCTTTAACCCATAAGCGAAATAACAACTTATATGTCAGCAACAACAACGGGACCATTTCCCTTCTCGTTTCGCGTTAGACAATTATAAATAGCAGTCACATAAGTACTGTACAAATATCGTAACAGTATTCGTCCTATACACGTGACTTTCTTGAACTTATCAATGAAAACTAACAAAGAATAACGAAAAGAATCTTTAAGCGTTAAAAAGTTAAGAAGACGCGCATTAAAGTTACCTCGTTTTTAATTTAACAAAGAAAGAAATCACATTCATCGCAAGAAAGTAAAAAAGAACCGATCGTACGGTATCGTTGGCATTAAACCTGGAGCTTACAGCCTACAATTCTGAGGTATCAACTAATCTACGAAAAATTTCACCTTTAGGAATGATATTCTAAACTGTACTCTATAGAACATTGTCTAGAATTTGTGATGACTCAATTTACTTTGTGCGCCGTTGTTTGTTTTTGACAGTTTTATTCTCAAATCACAATCCCAGATGAAACCTCATGATCGTAGTCTCTTCCAACTTTCATTCAAGTGTTTTCAAAAATCCCTGTGAGCCTTTCGGTACGCGTACTTTACGTACGCGAATGGATACTCGCTCGAAAATTTGTCAATAAACGGACCGAACTTGGAAACAAGTCTTGCAAGAAGTTTAGGAAGCGAAACGTTTTGTTACTCGTGATCGAACGTGGTACCATAGTCGTCTTATAAAATTATAAACTGAGCAAGTTTTCGTCCAACTTTGATATTTCACTTGATATATAATAGTAATTGTCTCGATCATAGAGACGGATGAAAAGAGATCTTTTAAAAATAATTCGTGTGCGTTACCTTGATCGATAAAGAAAAAAAAAAGCAATTGACCAATATCCACGGTAACCCCTGTTATCTTTTACGTTCGTTATTGATATGATTTTCGAAGGTTTTTGCAAAATTCGAGACCGATCATCGCAATTTTTCTTTTTTCTTTATAGAGAGTATCACTGGCGCGGACGAACGTTTCTACGTAGCGTGTAAAACGAAGGTGAGACTCGAAGCGGCTAATGATTAAGTCTGCGTAATTCCATGGCTGCGATGTCATCCACGGATATAAGCTTTTCTATGGGAATGCAAGAGAGCTCGCCACCGACGCACGATTGAGGCTGTTGCCACCTAGCTTCTTTCTCTGCTTCTTTCGCCTTTAATTCGGCCTCCCTGGCTCTGCGTTCTTTTAATTTTAACGAGAATATCGCGACCGATCTGGCTCTCTTCATCAAGCTCTGTTTCACCCTGGTTTTCTTCGCTTCCCGATCCTCCTTGGTCGGTTTCTCTTCTTCTTGGCTAGAAATCGTTTTACTGGAATCCGAAAGAGCCCCTGACTCTTTCTCCTTTTCAGCCGCCTGTTGTTTGTGATCCTGGATATCTCGTTGATGCTGTTGATACTGTAATTTCTCTGCCCTCTCTCGTTCCCTCTCTCGCTCCGGGGAGAAACGGAACTTTTGATTTCTGTGAGCTACCGTCCACGGTGGAGCCGATCTTCGGAACGAACAAATTAAATTCGATACATTGAAAATAACAGAGACGATAATTAAACAAAGAACGATAGCGTACCGAAGTAGATCGCTGTCCGACGAAGAAGCAAGCTCTTTGGAGACGATACAATCGGTGGATCTGTGAAGAGTCAGTTCGTCTCCGCTTCCACTGACCGTCCCAGACCCACCGATTTCGGAATCGCTCGATTTTCGAGCACCAGGCTCGAGGCCCAATCTTCGAACCCAATCCACACCACCGTGAGGTCCGATCGTTAAATGATGGCTGTAATGATCGGATCCACCCGATGCTTCTGGCTCGGTTGCTAGCCATTCTCTCGAACGTCTCCCTAAGAATTCAGACGGGAAAACAGTGAAATGAAAATAAAGTCCAAGAAACGAAGAGGAAGAAGAATCGATCAAACCTCGTTCTCCACCAGGAATGGAACACCTAGGAGAATTGTGAAGATCCCGCACGCTGCCCATGCCGTTATCGGTCAAGAACGGTGACCCGATGTCGCTACTTCCCGCGCTACCCGGCGTCTGAGCCGCGGAGGGTGTCTCCGAGATTCTTGGCACGGACGCTGCGCTCGGTGTCGGAGGGCTGCTCGGCGTGTGGGTGGTCGACGCCAAAGTCGGTGTGTCTGGAAGACTGGAGGTGGTCGCATCTCCGGTACGGTCGGTAAGCAGTTGTTGTTCTTCGCTCTCTCCGTCTGCTGGACTCACCACGAATCTCCCTGAGTTCGAGTGAAATTAATAGATGTGGTAGGAGGGAGGACGAAGAGGGTAGTGTTTACCCGATCAGAGGACGAGCTCAAGCATAAGAATCAAGTGTTTGCTGCGATATCTTCTTCGAAGGAAATCAAATAGCGTTGATTAAATTAAAACAGGTGGGCAAAATTTCAAGGGGTGTTTCTAGGGATCAAAATAAGACGAAAATCGATAATAACGAAATAGCGTTTGCGGCTTTGTTTTCCAGTAATTAAAGTTTAAAAATTCGAGTAAATAGCGCCTGAAACCTGCAACCCGCCCAGCACCGACGACTGAACGTCAGGTCAGCAGGGGTCGGTACAGTCATAACCAAGAATCGTTGAATAGTAGAAACTTACCTCTCGTGCTATTCTGTTCCTCTGTACTGCAGCATTCGGCTTTCTCATCTTGGTTATGACTGTACCTTCCCCTGCTGACCTGACGTTCAGTCGTTGGTGCTGGGCGGGTTGCAGGTTTCAGGCGCTTTTTACTCGAATTTTTAAACGTTAATTACTCGAAAACAAAGCCGCAAACGCTATCTCGATATTCTTCATTTTCGTCTTATTTTGATCCCTAGAATCACCCCTTAAAATTTTGCCCACCTGTTGTCGAACACCCTGTATAATAGCTGGATGAAATGCGGGGTGGTATGGGGTGGCAGGAATCTGGTTAATGGAATTTGTTGCATTAAATATCACGAATCACCCACCTATCACCGTGGCCGGTTGTTGCTCAGGCGACGGAGTGGAGGAGAGCCTTCTAACGGCCTCCCTTCTCAGGAATTCAACTTTGGCCATTTCCGTCGCTACCCAGTGCGGAATGTCAGGAATCGCGCATATTATAATAAACCTTATTCCGAGCATAATGTGTTCCAGGGCAACTATTAGAAGGATCGTTTGGGTAGCAGACATTTCAGGGAACATTCGCTGCACTTGTCCGCTTAGACCGATCAATGCACAGTTTACTACGATAGCGACGAGCCCCATTGCTTCCATGGCGTTCTAACAATTTAAAGAACGTTATAGTGTATTATGTTTTGTAATACCGAACATTGACATCTCATTGGTAAAATTACTCACTTGCCAAGTACCGATGTTGGAAACCCTTCTACCAAAGGGTCGTTGTAGCACGAAACAAAGCTTGAAGGCATCGCCTCGTAGCTCGAGAAGATTTCCCAGTAGTGCTGCCATAGCAGCCAAAGGGAAAGCCGACGAGAAGAGGCAGACGTAACCGAGTTGCGACAGCATTTCCAGGTGTTCCGAAAACGCCCCATCGTACTGTGAATGGAACAGAATTTTTTAATCAGTTTCTTGTATACCTTATTTATAAAATCCTTATAAATTCTCATTTTTTAATATTTCATTTATTACGATAATAATTGGTTCATTAAAGACCACTGCGATTCGTTGCTGGTTTATTACTTTAAATAAGTATTTATTGATCATAATAAAACTGCAACAGAATCGGTGCTTACACAATTAATTAAAGGGACATTTAGCGGAACATTTTCTATCAGGTGAGACATTAGTGTTATCTAGCGTAGGTGGTGCCAGGGGTTTGCTACTCTCGTCAAATGAAAAGTAAAAAGCTAGCGCTTAATGTGAAATCAGCGTGGAAAGCTGGTGATACTTAAAATTCACCCTTTCAGTTACTCTTATCTAAATCTACATTATATCTACGTTATACTGTACCATTGAATTATCAGAACGTACAAGTGCATACGAAAGAAAGATGCATTATATTTTATACGAATAAATATAAGAATGACATTGATAAGTAATCGAAAGGGTCAAGTATTTAATTTGATAGGATGAACGATGATATTACCTTTTTTGTCGATACCTGCGCATCGTCGACGGGAACGTTGGAAAACGGGAAAAAAATCATTAAAATTTCTGGAAAAAGAACCGATCAGACAACACAGGGCAACGTTCGTCGGTTCTTAATCTCGTCCGCTTGTTAAACGGAGTTCTCAACGTCTCTTCTCTCGACTGTCGCACAAGGATTTCAGGGATAGTCCAACGAAACGGAACGAAAAGAAGATTATACTTGTACAGGCAAGCCAGGATCGTCAAAGTGATACCAGAAGAGGTGATCGATGGTACGATAAATGACAGAACCTGACAGCTTCAGCAATCTCGATTGATATTTTTACAATTTACTTTCGCCTAGTTTTATCCAACGTCTTCCATTCATTTTAATCGTTACAAGAATTATAGCAATTTCATTCGAGCTTAGACGATATTTAAAATTTTAAGGAGCTAAAAATTGTCTCTTTCAGGACGTTTCATTTTGAATTTTCATTTATCGAGTGCCAATGCGTTGCAGGTTCGCCGAGCAACGCAAGGTGCATCGTAAACGAAAGAAATTAGCTAAATCTAGACCAAACCTTGAACGTAACGTCACTAAGTAGAGAATTAGTGGGATGCCCTACTCTGTAGAGGGAACTTTCCAGCTCAGCCTGGCTGACGTTTCTCGGTTGCGTGCTCTTCCCGCTCTCGGATCGTTCGCTTTTGTCCTCGGCATCCTTCTGGTTCTCATCAGCGTTCTCCTCACCCGGGGGTGACCTAGCCTCGCTGGGGCTCAACGCGCCGAAAAGCTCGAAGCTCAAACGTGCCAACCTCAGCTGCTCGATCAGATATGGTACCGCGGATTCTTTCAGATTACCGATCACCTGACGGGCTATCAGCAGAGCGGCCAATTGCTGAAACGATAAAGGATAACGTAAGTACGAGTTTCATTCGGATTTGTTTTTTTTCATCGAAATACAATGGAACAATGAAACCTGAAAGTTGTTTTCATTTTCTAATAAATCTAGCTACCGGAAGAAAATCAATGAGTAATCTAATATTATTGGTAACAGTTACTAAGTTCATTCTCGACTGAAGAATCTTAAGATAATAAAGAATGAAAGAGGCGTAAACTGGGAATAAAGGGATCCTTACCTCTTTCAGCCTCTCTTGATCTTGTAGGTAGAAGGCGATGTAAAATAGCGATAGGAAGGAGTTTACAAACTGAAACTGAAATACATAGTCTTCTCTGTATACTTTCTATCTTTCCTGGTGAATTAAAACACACAACTATAATGATACTCGAGATAGAAAGAAACGTATCATTTTAATAAAGCGCAGGCAAGAGAATAATACTCGAGAGACAGTTCATTTTTCATGCAGCGACAGAGACAGCCAGAGCAGATTCGTTTCTTTTCTCTTTTACTTGATCAGTGAGAAACGAACAAGCGAGACAATTTTGATTTAATGCTATGCACATCTAAAGATCCACCTCTAAATTAGTGTACCATTCAATATTTTCAAGATTTCTTGCAAATTAAATTTCTTTCAGCTGTTCTAATTAAGCCTTCTGATAAAAATTTTAATAGATTTTCATAATTTTTATCAATCAAAGCTTTCAAAGTCGGATTAGAATGGTTAAAGCATATTCTAATTAGAGGAGGAGACGTGATAAATATCTAGCACGAAACACACACACAGAGAATCTATTCGATGAAAGTGGAGAGTTTCTTCTTATTACCAGTGCCACCTTGTAGATCAGATGATTCTCGTACTCGGTGTCTAGCCGATAGTTTTCTGCGTCCAACACACAAAAATCACAAATACTATCTACCGTAACATCACTGATCTCCAATATGTAAGAAATAAGAAAAGAAATAGGATAGAAGATAAGTGGGAGAAAAGTATCTAACAAGTATCTCTTGCTTAGGATACATTGTTCCTTATACAAGGAATACAAAGAAAGATTCGTTCAGTTACGTACTTCAATTAAGGACCAAAGTTCTTTAATTGAATCTCTAGAAGAAGCTAAGCCGTGAAAAGATTCGGAAAGTATATGCTAGTAGGCTGTTGGAAAAATTAAGTATCTAGACGTGCACAAGTGTCTCGTGAATACAATCGAGTTAATGTGAACCAAAAAAAAAAAGATTGCAAATATCGTCCATTCTTGTATCTCTTTAGATAACAAAGTTTATTACCGGATATAAACAAAGAATGCACGTAATTCTTTCTTTCTGTTCTTCTTCTTGTTTCGTTTCTTTTCTTTCGAATTTTCTATCACGTACCCATGTCGTTTAACCATACGGCGACTTTGAAGTAAGCTTCGTCCATTAATGCTATCACCACGGCGAGTAAAACTTTTGGCACGTAGCTCAGCCAAAAACCGTATCCCCTCGACTCTAGACGAGCATCCCACCAATCCTGCAATCAAATAAGATAAATAGTATTACGTGGCGATACAAGTAAATTTATTTTAGCGTTATTTCAATAACAGCTTTATAGCCAATTTAAAGGGTAACGGTGGTATCATTTATGTCAGAGTAAATCTTAATTGGTCGAGAAGTTCGAACGACGAAAATTCCAACTTAACTTCCCGAGCAATTGAATTTTATGGGTTACGCTTGGAAGTTTTGCCGAAATCGAAACTCGATCAAAGTTCGCTGGCTTAATGACAAATCGATCGGGCATCAGTTGGATTCCGTTCAACTAACTCGCATCGTCAAAAAACTTGACACTTTTTCCTACGAGAGTTCTCCCTTGTTGACGCAAAAACAACGTTCCAGCCTCGAGACTAAATCATCCTAGTTTCTCTGTTCTTCTGTGCAACCTTATAAGAAAGTTTCGCATATTCAACTCGAGGCACTTTGCCAAACTAAAAACTTTAACTCGAACAATTTTTTCTCCTGTCAATTCCCTTCAGTCGTTATTGAAAACTTGAAAATGTATTCGACCTGTATTTGAAAGCTGAGAATCATCACGATGAAAACGAAGAATAAACAGGCAGCGATGACGGGAACGCTGACGAAATACCGAAACATGTTTCTCTTCCACCTCGGATAAGTTGGCTCCAGTCTCCCTGTCACGTGCGAGATCTCCAACGTACCCTGTCGGGCAGATGAAATATTCCGTTTAACGAAACACCGCGGTGTCTAAAAATCGAGGGAAAGTGGGTAAAGGTAGAGTCAATAATCGGCTGGATGCTTACCGTGAACAAAGGTCTAGGCTCGACAAGTAGGTCGTCTCTTTGATCCAAGGTGCCCCACCTGTAGGCCAATTCGGCGCCTCTTCTCTTCCAGGTCTCCAGATAAACCGTGGCCCAGATTACGTTGAAGACGGAGAATAGAACGTACGCTACGTCTTCCACCGCTTGATTCCTGCCGATGATGCCGACCTGAATGCGAACGATCAAAAATACGAAGCTTAGATAAATATTGAAACAGAGTATCGCGCCCATATCCCGGTGTGCGTTTACCCAATATATGGCACCCACTGCTGCTGGAACGATTAAAGCGGTGGTGTAATGTCCGAGCCAGGCGAAATACATGGTAATCTTTACACCGAAGTATTTACAAATGTCGTCCAGGGGTTGGGGGCTGAGGAACGCGCGGACCCAAGTCCTTTGTAATTTCTCTAACGCAGGCAATTCGTGAAGAGGGAAGACCTGATTGAAAATCAAATTCCATTATACTGTGAGACACGTTTGAAATGAAATTTTTTTTTCCTCACCTGGGATATGATCCCGGCGGAAATGCACTTTGGAATAATTGCCTGTCCTTCGACCATCTTCAGACCTGACAGACTGTGAAGATCCTGAGGTCCAGCTCTGAGAGTATGCAGCAGGTGCAGGACCAACGATTGCCTTTCCTGAGTAGTGAAGAATCGTGCTTCGTCGTCGCTACCTTCGAAGCAACTCGATTCTGTACCAACAAACTCCTTCAGACCTCCTCCGAACTCCTGTCGCAGTGTCTTCGGTAAATGTACCTCCTCGGCTGCTTTCAACAATCTGTCGATCAGATGTTTGATTAGTTTTTAGAGGAAAAGAGGAGATGGATAGCTGTGGAATACGATATACTTACACGCTAAAAGGGGCTGTCAAGTAGAAGCTGTAGCTATCTGACGAGGCGTGGTGTCGCACGTGCACCACTAGGCCCGGTGTCCCAGCCCGAAGACGACCAAGAAGCCACATCAGAGTCTCGTCGCTGGCTCCGCTTGGAAACATCATCACCACGTCGCATTCCTGAATAGAAACAATAAATAACGCTTAATAGTGGTCGTAAATTCGAAATCCGACCCTTTACCTAGGAACGCTAAGTAATAAAATCGCTGCAAAGGGAAATGATATCACGTAAAGATATTAAATTAAGACCGCGTGGTTATTTAGCAGATGTGTTGTGCAACTCGAGCAAAGTTATTTCCCTGTAGGACTATCGGGTACCGGACTCGACGAATCCTGGCACAAGGAGCAAAGTCGTTTGCCCTGGCCGCCTTCCAAACGGTACTAGATTGCTCTCGCTATTGCCAATCCACGTGCAACGATACCCTGATGGTATTCCTGACCCAATACCACCGACCAAACACCACGACAACAGCCGTTTCGTGAAATTTATTCTTTTTTGTGAAATTATCTATCCCTAGTTCCACGAGGAATTTCATTAATATTTTAGATAACATCATAAATCAGTGCACTTAAGTTCCTGCCACTTTTTTTCTCTATAAATTAGCTTGACCTAGATTTACAAATTGTCCCTTTGTATCCTATCATTCATCGATCAATCAACATTTCTATACAACGATCATTAAACCTTCCGTTCTACAAAGCTTGTACAAAAAATGTTGATAAGTTCGAAATTGATCATTGCCCCTTTCGTCGTGAAACGTAACGGAAGAAGATGATGGAGTATCGAAATGGAACCAGGGGTATGGAAAAAGTGGTTGAACAAAGAAAAAGTGCGTGGGCAGGGTTCCATTGCGGTTGTCCTATCGAAAAGGTCAGCTCGTAATTGACAGATGCCAGGAGTGAACGACAATGTTGAAACGAAAAATCGAGAGATTTCATATTAATGTTAAATGATGCCCTTTGAACAGGTGTTCTGCTCGATGGCACCTGTTGCACCTGTTCCGTTTCGAACACCGATGGGATCAGATCCAATGTGCACTCGTGAACGTCAATCGATTCGAGTGTCTTAAGGATAAGTATAGTACAATGCTCCTTTGCTTTACGCGGGATTTTTTTCTACCCTTGGTTCCATTTGAGAAAAATGGCCCTGTTCGCGTGGTTTATCCGCGGTTAACAATACGGTGTGCTCGGTTCAAATATGTACAGCTTATTTTTTAAATGATTAGAGATACAGAAATTAGGTTTGTTCTACTTACAATTAATCGTCTGACCGCAAGTCGACCTATTCTACTTATCGCCGTTTCGACCACGCGTCGACCTATTCTACTTACTACTACAAATTCCGGGAATAAACATTTCTCATTATATTAACGACGCAATAACGATCGAATCGATTAATGATATTCATTGGTACGGTTAGAAACGATCACATGCACCAGATATCTATTATTCCAATCTGCTACACGATTCGCTTACTTTTGCAGTTTATACAAACGGTTCTGAAAACAGCCAGTCATTGTACACACGGTGCACGATGTATACTTCATGGATGCGACGTGAAATCGATAGCAAGAGGGTACTTAATAATAGAAACAAATCGGTTGGTCACGTTTGAAAAGGGGAGGCTACCGACAAAGGCTTCAAGTAATTATTATATAGGGTACGGTGCAACTGGTTGTACAAGAAGCTTTTTAAAAGAAGACAATTGAAAGATATCAAAGGGAAACTTTCTTCAAAAAAAAAAGAACAAAATGAATTTTAAAAATATCTTATCAGCGACGAAAGCTATGAATTTCAAGAAAAGAAATTTTTAAATGTCAGTTGTATAATATTAGACATGGCTATTTGCCATTTCTATATTGGATACTTGATACGAAATTGGCGTATGTAAGGAAAACAATCAACTTTCGCGTGACTGTATTTCGCGAGTGATGTATGGCATCATCAAATCGATCCGATCGGCGTAACTTTACTATTCATCTTGATAAATTATTCGCTGGAATGTTCTACACTTGTTACTATTGTTACGCATTCACCCCTTTATCCTTTCCTATTCGCTAGAACGTTGAACGGAGAACCCTGAATGAAATAGAAACGTTTCAAAAGTTACAGATAATTATTAACGGTGTTAATTGTTTGCAAACGTACCTGAGTTGGAACCTTTTGTATCCATAGGCGGCGGGGGGTCATCAAGTGGCCGGTGCATGGTATCTTCCGTCTGAGGAGACGGGAAGCTGTAAAAAGGAAGGTAAATATTGTTATTTAAACATCCATCACGGTTGCCTTGGTGTCCCCTTAACGAGACACGTCGTTAGCGCCGCAGGCAATTGATAATTCTTCCAAGGATCAATTTTCCGGCTATGCGGTTTCCTTAATAAACCGGTAAATTACGAGACTAATAGCTCGCGTAATTGATGGAAACGCGATAATCACGATAACGAGATGCAAGCCGTGCTGCCTTGATTATGCGGCGACATGGCTTCCTTTAACCCTTACGCTGCGTATCACCTATACGTAAATGCGTCCTCGAAAACTGATCATATTTTTTTTAACTCCTGATAGTATTAAGGTTTCTCGAGAGTTTCACGATAATTTTGCCTCATTTCTTTTGGAAGCAAAGATTTTATTAGACGTTGATTTTCATTTCGAATGAAATTGATATAAATAAGCGGTTCTACGGATCTGGTAGAATTTCTCAAGGAAGATAGGAGTCTTGATATCGACCGGCTGGAGAACAGGGGCAATCGAATTAAAGGATTAAATTCAATCCCACAGAAGACGGAGAAAGCTGGCTCGATACAATTTCTTGAACAATGAAGAAGCCTGAACTTAATAAACAATCAACGCTTGAAGGGAAACGAGAATGAGGACCATAGAGAAACTCATTTGATAAAATCGTTACCTTTGTTCTTTCTTGAATACCATAAAAATGGTGAAAATCAGTGTAGCGAAAGGGGAGCTTAATTCATGAAGAAAGGACCTTCGTCAAGGACACGGGGATACAACGTGCCGTCTAAATTTAATTTATCATCGAACAAAAGGAGTTCATTAAGGACATTCTGTGTAGTTGTCGTTTTTATCATATAACGACGTTGAAAACTACCCTATCGTACCTTTCCCCGTGATCTATGCTGAAGAACGAATCGTCGTTCGAGAGACACTTGTGTATTCCGTTAACGATCCTGGTTCACTTCGGGATTCGTTATAATCAAGGAACCTTCCCTTTTGATATTCCACGATGCTCTGTACTACTTTCTTTTCCGGTTAATTCATTCTTCCTGTACGTTTCTGAATTTTATATACACCTCCTTGTAAAGTTGTTTCCAGAAGAAACGAAGAAGCTTCAGACCTTGAAATTCATAAAGATGCAACTATGTAGGTCGTATTCTAATAAATTATATCAGGGTTTATTTAAACGAAACATTACCCCGAGTTATATCCCAATTTTACATCTCATTATCGAACATCTGATTATGCTGAAACTTGAAATTCAACCAGATATTTAAACTTAACGTTCACATTTCAAGGAGGAAGAATAAATTAATTTAGTTCCTTCGAATTTTAACAGAAACAAGGGAACTGTATCTCACCCAGGCTTCTAAACCGTTCAGCATTGTAATTATGCATAAACTTGAAAGGAATAAAGGGAAACTTTGCGAAGCTATGAGCGAATGCCGCGTTATCTGGCATGGCAGCAGATGCTCAACTTTTCCCATCTATAGTTCCACTCTATTAAGTCCATCGAGTTACGCGATGTTGTGCACATCAGTGTGAAAACAGTATCCTTCGAAAGGAGTACCATCGCTAAGAATACAACCCTCGAGAGTTTCCTTCCTCGTTTAATTCCTGGATCTTTAACGCGTCGATAGCCACGAGGGTCATCAGTGATTCCCATCATAAATTCAATCCTTAGATATTCACTCACTGAATTACTAGTCTTTTATTACAGAATTTGAGTTGGAATTTTTGATTGCCCATACTTCAAGGGTGAATTGAACAACTGCAAGAAGAATAATTAAAATTAAATTTCAAATATTGATATTATAGGAAGTTAGTATTTTTCAAGATTAGAAATAATTTCTTAGGGCAAGTTCAAGTTGAAATCGATGTTAAACCCGTGACATATGGAATTATCGATCCCTTCTGCTTTTCGATCGACATTCGTCATTGGCACGATAGGGGCACGTGGTTCAACAACTATAGTATCACCGTGCGTACGGCTTCATCATTCTTACCCCAACGTTTGACCTTCTCTGATTCTATCTACGATTATTCTCTTATTATCTCAAGTACATTAGCACCCTCTGCAAGAGACCTACAGTCATGCGATCTTTTAACAACAAGGAAATTTCAAAAATCATAAAATTCTTCAATCTGATAATAATCGATGATCAGAAGAGAGAAATCACTCGGTTATCTTCGAAGGGTTCCATTTCGCGTATCGACGACCGAGTCGTTCGCGAGACGACCTAACACGACTCATTTTCGAGGTAACAGAGGGGATGGAGAACCCTCTTACGTCATGCTGAAGTATATACAGACACTCTAGCTCCCTCGTTTCAACCCTAGAAACGTATATATTCGTCTGATAAACACCTAACTCGATGCATACCATACGATACCCAATCGAAATCTGGAATTTCACCGGTTCAACCCCTTTCCTACAAACGTTTCCGTTCCTTTTTTCAGTGGCTGCGTTACACATCGATCCATTATAATTCAAGGATTTTCTTCAACGTACCTTTCTTTACATTTTAACAGCCATGAACCAGTTTAACATGTGAGTGAAAAGATAGAGATTCGATGCTATTGAATATTTCAAGTGGAAAGAAAATTAATGAGAAATCGCAAGACCCGCGGCGACCGTGATTGACGGTACAAAGAATGTAATTTCACGGTTCGGATGATAAGTGCGAAGATGCACTTATTTTTTCGAGTCACGTAACGCGTACGCACGCGATCTCCACCCTTAAAATCAGCGAACATTTAAGCTCTTCACCTTTAATTTCCCTCGAACGCTTGTTATTAACGCGCCTCAAGTAAAAATAACACGTTGAAACAAACGAACCATGTTTCATGAACGAAAACGCTTAAAAATTTCTATAGAGCAATTCAACCCGATGAGTCTTCATTTAGAAAGAAACAGAAGTAGAGGCAGAGAATATAATTCTGGAATGAATTACCACACGTGACTACTATCGATAACTTTCATTAAATATCTCTGACGTTTGCGTCCAAAAATATGGATTTAATTTTGGAACAGAAACCATACAATAGTTCCACAAAATAGTATAATAAAGCCTGCCAAGATTGCCTCGTAAATCTTAAGTACCTCCGCGAAAAACACGAAAGAAACATTATAGCAAATAAAAAATTAAACAATGATCCGTTATTTAATTAATTTGTTATCAGTAGCCCGCTATCCGAGCGATATTGTGATTTAAAAGTCGATCAAAAGAAAAAACAACCCGAGTTTTAATTTACGGAACACGTTCTCTCATAAACTTAACATGGGTATCGTTTTCTCTGACCATTCCTCAAGGGCTGTGACCGGCTTGCAAAGAATGGTCAAAATTGATAATCTAGATTTTCATTTAAAAAGTCTCAAAAATCCCGATCAGTCGCTTAATAGCGGAGCTTCGTTCCAATAAGTATAACAAATTCGTGATTAACGAGGTAACTCGGTTATAATCCATTCATGCGTGCAGTGTCGTGCCACGAAAGGTCAAACTGCGACTGATTACATCACCGAGCAAGGGTGAAGAAACTCCAGTGGACGCGGTGTCTTCCAATCAGCCAAGACAAACCCCTACGAATTCCATTTCTACTACATTGGTATCGCTGTGAAAATACAATGCCCTTAAGGAATAATGTATCTCGCTGCACGCGATTACTAGCCCCTACCCTTCAACCCAGTTCCTACCCCACCGTCAGTCATCGTGGGGGAGCGAACAACAAAAGTCTCAGCGCGTGGAGATCCGATTGGCATTATAAAACAATATAGAAGAAAAAAAAAACACGAGTAACGCAGTGGTGTTAACTCGAGACGCAGGTACAATATTATAAGCTAGAGTCGGAGATGACGTTCACGAGTAAAGAAGAAGGGGATCAACGGTGGGCGTGCGAACACGAACGATTTTCGGCAGGTGAATCGATCCTGGACGAAAATAAGTAGTCCTAATTGTACGAGATAATCGTACGATGATCGTACCTTCGGAGGAGGGTACTGCTATTGCGCGAGCGTCCGTAACGACCCCAACGTTGACCAGCCCTACACGTATTTACAACGATGCTGAGAGAACGCGCGCATCAACGCCGACGGCAATTCTGGCTGCGCGCAAACACCGAACGAGAATCTAACTCTTCCTCCTTTTTTCTGACTGAAACGCACACTGCGATGCTGAAGAAAGGCAAAGGAAACCTTGTACTCTTTGTGTATGTAGACGCCGCTGGACGATGGAACTGATTCAACTGTACTCCATTCTTCTATTCCATGTTTATCACTGAAGATGTCTGTGAAATGGTCCTGCGTTGCCAAAGAAGCAACGACAGAACGATGGATCACGGATAGATGATACGTGAATGGAAAAGTGAGAGAAGAGAATGGGGAGAATGTTAGCCAAAGGACGTACCTTTGTCGAGGGTTTCTTTGGCCGCGTGTATGACCTTCCTCCGTCTGAGACCGTCGCCCCCGGAGACGGTTGTCATCGTGCTGGAAGCGGTGGCTGTCGTTCTCTCATCCTCGTCACTGTTCGCGCACTCGCCGGAAGTGGTCGATGTACGGTGGTCGAGGAGATTGATCGGGGACCCCTCGCCGCCTGGCATAGTGTCCCGATTAGCAGGACCGTCACGTCCTTAACCGAGGACCCTTGCGCCTGAACTGAACTCGCTCCCTCTATGCGACCGCTGGCTGCTCGTCTTGAGCCGAGGCGCCACCGTCGTGACGTGGCGCGGCGCATTTATATAGAATCATTTCTGAAAGAAATTCCGAATTCGTTAATTGTTGCGTAGGCGGTAAACGTAGAGAATAATTGAGTGTTGGTTGATGGTAGCTGATTGGATTTAACCTTGACAAGATAAACGTAGCTTCAGTTTTACCTTTTTTTTTTAACGATGGGAGAAAGTCGCCCGGTAGTGCGGGACTCTTAGATCTACCTAGTGTACCCATTAAAAACCCTACCTCGATTTCACCTATGGGTGCCAGGGTAACCTACCCCCTGGAACCGCTGTGAAGCATTACTTTCGGGGGTGGCACCTACAATCCTGGCCGACACTTCTCGGTGGGAGGGCCGCGGTGGGTGGGGAGGATTTATCACCATCCTCGCCCACCCCGCAGCCCCAGCTCCAGTTTTATCTAGGCGCAGAGATAGAATATGCGAATATAAGATATAATTTGTAAAGCTTGGGGATGAGAATTAATTTCTGTATAAAATTTACCTATGATGATGATGATTAAAATTCTTATAATTCCAGAACATTCATCTTTCAGGGGTTTATGTAATTTCCTAATTGTAATTCCTGATGTAATTGTAAATTGATGAGTGTAGCTGAGAAGAAAGTGGTAGCAGGCCTCGCAACGTTGACTTTCCACAATCTAAATGAAAGAAAAACATTTGTTATAAGAAATATCAATAAATAATATCCGAAGTTACCTCATCGACTTAAAGTTGAATACCACTTTTAGTTTCTGCCGCGCAAAAGTTGCGCGTACCTTCTCTGTCGACGCGTTGCTGATTTACTCGCGTATTTTCAGGAAACAGAAAGATTTTCCACGAGGTACTGCCATCTGTGGCGAACTTGGGATGCGAATCACGATCGATCCTCCACCACAGCCATTTCTCGCTCGACTAGGCTCCGATTTGTGTCACCTTTTTTTCTTCTCTTCCCTCTTCTCCTTGTCGTTTTCCACGCCATGTGACACAACCGGAAACATCTACTATTGCCGTATGATATGAAAATTGGGTTAAGGATTCGGTTGACATTCACGTCCGCCACGAAAACCTTTTTCCTTCTTGTATCCCAGTATTTTCAATTGGATTCAATAAATTCGAATTTTATATCCATCGACGAATTTTTATGTCACCTATAAAACAAACCAATAAAATTTATTGGAACATTTCTTTAATGCTTATTGAAAAACAGAGATTGGTCTTTTATATAAGGGGATCTATCGACGCTAGAGATTGTTGAAATGATCTATCCTAATTTGATAATCGGAAATAAAAGACTTACGTACCGATTTTTGCAGTATTTTTCGAAATGATCAAGATGGACAGACCTTTTAAAAGTGATGGATTAAACACGGCCGGTTCTGAGATTTCGGGGGTCCAAGGCGAGCTCCAAAAAATGGCCCCTACAGATAAAAAAAATTAGCTGAAATAAAATTGATTGTATAACTAATTTAAATGAATATTCAAGTAAACATTACTCTTCTTGCATTCTTAGACGCAAAATCATCTTACGAGGGCCCTGGGACTAAAGGTCCTTAACGAAGGAAATCGAGGGTGTCAAGGGCACGCTCCAAATTCACCCATCATTAGTCTATCTCGAGACAACGTCGAGTAGATTATTTCCTATTTCCGGAACCAAAGTGGCCATCAGTGTCGTTCTCGTGGCACAGATATCGAAGGGATTCGATGATTGAATTCAGCCAACCGATAGGACTGGAAAGCGTAGCTATTGGGAAATGATCGCAATGCGACTTCCGGTACGCTTTGATAATCTTCGACGCCTTTCACGGGATGCTCGTGCATCGATAAACAAACCGAAAGTTTCCAGAGGATATATCTAACGACCAACGAGCTGGGATTAAATTAACGAATCGATTTCATTTGAATTTTCGCTTCGTAGACAAATAAAAAAATGTAACGTTTGAAAAGATTCATCTAACTATACTTGATAAAATTTGTTGAATCTATTCGCTCCAGTTCCACGATCAATCTATGTCAAGCTAATTAAAAATTTATTTACTTTTCGTTTCTTTAACCCTTCTCTGTTGAAGGGTTAAAGATTAGAGAGATCATCTCGGATAAATTAAATCAGTAATTTGATCTCACGATCGTTGGGTCATAAGATAATTAATTAATTTCTAGAACGATCCTATTGTTGATAGATTTTTGGCAAGAACAACGCAGTGTTAATCAGATGAGATGCAACGGGGCTGACGAACTCCATTGAACTTCGATCTCGAGAGTTTGTTGGCTCAATTTAACACTAAAGGAGCCAGAGAACTTGTCTGTTTTCCTTCTCGAAAGCGGTGTAGCGAACGGGGTATCCTTTGAAATCGTAGAGAGGAAATGTCGGAGGTAGAATAAAGGGAATGTTATTCTTGGCACTGTTCTTCCTCCAATGATTTAATCCCTCCAGCTTTGATGCCTCGCAATTCTTACTTGACCTTTCCTTCCACTTTCCTTCTTACTTTCTGCACCTGAAACCGTCGTCAACTTCGTAATCATAGCTCTTAATTTTAATAAATATTAAATGAGAACTTATTTTCACTCAACCATAAACTTTCTTCAGGAAGAAATATATGTGGTCGTGGATTAAGAGAAAGAAGGTATGGCCAGGATCAAAGGTCACCTTGCTTTCTTCGTGTTTTTATTGAAAATACTTAAACGCTTAACTTACACGTATACCAACAGTACAGCAGCAGGTAATTAAGTTAAATAGACTTAGCCCTCTATCGTTTAAAGCGGCCTGGGCCGGGCCTACGTTTTCCGCTTCGAACCGAGCTGCCGCGACAACATTCGGCTACGTTTTCATAAACAGCCATGCCACGATCGATTTGCAGTCAATCATCTCTCATTAAATCGATTCGCTTCAACCTGCACAACGAGCGTATTAATTTCCGTAATTGACAGTCTCTAAATACGTTCATTGCCATGGTAGAAACATAAATTACAAAACATATTAGAAGAAAATATATTAAAGAATATGTACAATTCATTTTTCATTTAGCCACTTTAATTGACTGCTATTTAAATTTTGTATTATTCTTTCTCTTTCCATGGCAATCAACGCGTCAACGCTCATCTTCATCTTTTATATTCCACTAATTATACAATAATAAAACATGAAGGATTAATGAAATTACATTTGGTAGATCTCCAAGAAACTCACCCCTGCATCTCTCTAAAAAATCATACAATTACTCTGCAAACTCTCGAGTTAAAATTTCACTCTCATCACCGTTGTCTCTATATTCATCCTGGAAACTCTGATAGCCTTCCGTTCTATAAATAAAAAAATCACTCGGTTACGAAGGTGGCGAACAACGAGGCCCGTTCAGTCACGCGTCCATTCCAGCCGCGTTTTCGAATCGAACGATGAATCTCGATCAAGTTGAACTTCATCTCAGACGAACTTCTCTACTGGGCCTGGTCATCACGCACCGCCCTCTGTAACAAATTTCCGTCATGTGCGAGACCTTGGTGGTCGTCGAGGTTCTCAGGATCTTTCCAAGGATGGTCTCTGTCGAATTACTGGTCGACGGAGTGGTCCTTGGAGGAATGGTCGTAGGTAGATCCGTCGAATACTCGGATGACGAACTCGTGACGCTTTCCTGGCTCGTAGTAACCTTCCCCGAGGTCGTTGCGTTCTCCAGATCGATGTTAGTCGTCGGTTCTGTGCTCTCCACTTTGCCATTTACGTCCACGTTTCTCGTCGTCTGCTGCTCTTCGTCCAAGGTCGCTCGAGCGGTCGTTTTATCCTCGACGTCCTTCGTCGTTGTCCTTTCCTGACTTTCAACGAACTCGTTGTCGAACGGAGTCGGAAGAGTCGTGGATTCTTCTGGCCTTTCAGCCTCGGCGATAGTAGTTTCCTCTTCCGCGCTCTTCATCGTGTCGAAGATAGCCTGCACGTAATCGGAGAGCGTCTTCACGCTATTGTCTCCCTCCTGTTTGGTAATCAATCCAGGAATCGAAGAGGATTTTCCACCAGTTTTTCGTTCGTACTTCCAACCGGACGCTTGAGGATGGTCGAGGGAGGAAGGATACCTCACCTCGCTCCACTTTGCTCGATGATTCTTCGGATGATCATCGTTTTCCTCGTTCGATTCTTCATTTTCTACCGAGCTCTCTTTCTCTACTTTGTTTAATTTTTCATCGCGAGTTGCTTCGTTGGACCCGTCGCTTAATTTGTTAACGTCGTTCTCCTTCATCGCGTCCGCGATCGATCCGAGGTTCAAGGTCACTCGAACGCTTTTATCCCTCCAGTTATCCTTCTTCTTTTTCGGCTCGTCGCTGGTTTCCACGGTGTCGCTCGACTCGGTGAATCGAGAGACAAAATCCTCGTACGAGGATTGTGTAATTGTGGTATCTTCGGGCTGGTTTGTCGTTGGTAGAGTGGTGATCTGTTCCTCCGTTGTCGTTTCTTCGGTATCGTCAGGGATACTCATCGGAGTTGTTATTGCTGGAGGCATGGTCCACGCAGCTTCTGGTACCTCGGTGGACGTAGACTTCGCCGGATCGTTGTTCTTCAGGCTCTCGAAATCTTGTTGATCGAATTTATCTGAATTCGACGAGGCTGAATGCTTAGATTCACGGACTGAATTGTATTTGTATTGATCTCTGAATATACCGTTCAGAGCTGAATTGAAATGCTGAGACTCGGCTGTGACGAAGTCGTCCACGGCTGGTCTGACCCTTACGCGAACCCTTCTTCTTCGTGTACCCTGAAATGAAATATCTTTCATTGTATATCTACAAGATGCTCGAAACTTTCGTTGATTAAAATCTTCGAAACTTTCAGAATTGTTTAATTATCAAGTTATTCCACGCGGTCTACCTTTTTAACGACACCGCCATCGCCAATCCTCTTCTGACTTTTCTCGAAATCAATATCGCCACGTTGCTCCGTGGAACTTTCCACCCTGTCCATCAACCAGGACTGCGGATCTCTCTTCAATTCTCTTTCTCTCATTATAGTGCTGGGAGTCTCAGTCGTTGTATCGCTAGCGTTCATCCCTTCCGTGTGATCCTGCGTGTTCGTTTTCCTGCCGAATATCGTGGTGCCCATTAGCATCGACTCCTCCTCATCCTCCTCTGTCTCCTCGCTCTTCTTATCGTCCGAAGAAACCACAAGCGTGACGGACGAAACTTCCGGCGCGGCGGTGATTATGTCCGGAACGTTCGAATCTTTCGACGACTCGTGGAACCATTCACGATCATTTTTCGCCTCTCCGTGTACACGGTTCACTGCGAAACTCGGCTGGAACGAGGTCCTAGTCAATTTCGTGGACCACTGACTCTCGGCGCCATAAATATCCGCCGTCGTCGAACGTGAATCTTCCGAGGTCGTCTTTGCTCCAGTTGCTTGGCTGTATCTTCGTGGTAGCTCGCTGGCTAACTGTGTTTGGTCATATTCCTCGCGTTGCACCGGTTGGGACGGGTAGTTGCCAAAATTCAGGACGAACTCGGCAGGATACTGAAATGAAAATAATTGTTATGTGTTAAAAAGTAGCTGAAACAAAATTGATAAAATTAACATTGAAGCTTGTAAAAATAATTTAGATTAATATTCAAGTACACATTGCTCTTTTTGGATTCTCAAGATCTTTTGAGTGAATCACCATAAAAGGATACTCACATTCTCACTGGATGTTTCATAAAACTGTTGACTCTCTGGATTCCTCACTGGAGGGAACTGTGGACCGCCATCATAATTATCATCGTACAGATTTTGCTGATGTGCTTGTTCAGTACTGGTGGATTGAGGACGTATTCGAGGGTAATTTTCGTCCAATGGTAGCTCGTTATGTGCTTCCAACACCGATTCGGTAGTGGTACTGCTGCTGGACACGCGTTTTCTTCCGGGTCGTCGAACTCTACTCCTTATTCTGCTCTGTTTGGACTCGTCGGTTCTGGGCTTCGGTCTCTCTGTATATACACTGTCGTCGGGCAGCAGCGTGGCAACAGGTACTCTTTCGGTGCTCGCGATGGTTTCTATGGTCGTGGTCGGCGGTGGTAGGGTCGTGGCTTTTCCTGGTAAACGACGATTCGGCGCTGATTGATATTTTTGCCGAGTTTTCAGTAACTGTGTCTGCGGAGGACTCAATTCCATTGCGGTCTCGTCATTGGGTAACAGCGATTGGTGTGGCGCCTGTAGAAGATGCTAAAAATGCGGACGAAATATTTTATATATTTCCGTTGTAGATTTAAATTAATTTGATCTACAGAGATGTACATAACCATTTTGATGGTACTTTTGAGATAGCGTCGAACGACTCACCTCTGAAAGCTGGGGCCGGAACGTAACAGGTGCCTGAAATCTGTTATCCACCGGATGTACCGGTCGGAAACTCGGTGGCCTGATAAATCCGTAATCAATGTCCTCTTCCGTTGGGCGTACAGTGGTGGTGGTGGTAGTGGTGGTCGTGGTAGTCGTAGGCGGCAGAGGGGTCGTGGTGGCGACCTGCTTCTGCTGCTGAGCGACGTGGATCTTGATGTACTCGTTGCCATCGGTTTCAACTTGTGACCCATGATTTTGGGTACGCGATCTGGATCTACCTCGCTGTCGACTGGGAGACGTTCGAGTGGATTCTTGATTGACCACGTTGAAACGGACGTATTCGTCTTGGGAGCCTCTGTTTCGGGTTTGAACCGAGGACTCGTGGTGGACGCGAGATCCTACGCGTCCTCGAACTCGTTGACGGATTATCACGGGGGTTGTACTCGTCGTGGTAGCCTCTGTTGTGATCTGTAATCAAAATTAATGAAAATTTCATTTTCTTTTTGTACTTAACATCAAGCGATTAACTCACATCAGAGATCGGAGCCTCCGTAGATGAAACAGAGAGCTCGTAATCCTCTTGTTTGTTCTCTGGCAGTAGAATGAATACCGGGTTGTCGGGGTCAGCGGCGCCGGGTTGAATCTTTTCGTTCTCCAAACGATGTAAATTATTCTGCCCAGTCAAACCGTACTCCGCTTGGGTCTGTGGTACGTTCACCTCGTATACCGACGAATATCGTTGCTCTTCCTGGGCACCGAGCCGTGGACTCGCAGTGGTTGCCAACTCGATGTCGCTGTTCTCTGCTTTCCCATCTAATTGATAGTCCTTCGGTCGCTGGACAATTTCCTGCTCGAACGTGTCTCTACTTTGCGTTTGATAATTGAATCCGTTCACCGGAGCGGTTTCGAGGCCACTCTGTTCTAAAGCAGGCTGATCGTATCCTCCGCGGTAATGTGGATCCTGTGGAAGGTTCTGAGGATAATTCTGACTCCTCGAATAATCCTCGGAGATCAATGGCGATGCTTGATTCGCTGGCAGAGGAGAGGGGTAGTTCTCGGTGGTGCTGATCGCGTTGGATGGATAATTCTCCGGGGTGTTCGAGGATAAATCAGCTTGACGAAGATTGGAATCTGGAGCTGTCGGTTGGAGGAAGGTGTTTGACGTTGCAGGAGAAGCAGAGTCGCCGTGGGGGACGTTTTCGTATGATTCTTGAATGTTCTGATTTTGAAGGGCCTGTTAGGAAGAATAAGAACAAATGATTAGATTCTTTATTTTCATAATTCTAGTAGGATACTAACCTCAGCCTGTTGACTCGCTTTATCTCGACCCCTGTGTTTCTGTGTTCTGCTGGTCGGCCTTCTCTGCTCCGTGCTGTACCTCACTGTAGTTTCTGCTATTCTGGATTTAGTAGCCTCGTAAGTAGCAGATTCACGGTAGTCTTCCGTGGTGGTGGTGAATCTAGACCTGGATCTGTTATAAGGTCTTCGACTTCTGTCCACGTTCGTTCTCGTAGACGGTGTCTGAGTCGTTGTCCTTGGTCTCGTAGAAGCAACTCTGCTCCTGTAGATAATAAACTATTTATATTAATCGAAACTCTTAATATTATACTTCCTTCAGAAAACCTATGAAACGTACCTCTGTCTACTACGTGGCCTGTAAGTAGTCGTGGGAGTACGTTGAGTGGTAGTAGTGGTAGTAGTCGTAGTGGTGGTCGTGGTAGCCGGTGCGTTAGTCTTAAGTTTACCCTCGTTCTTATCCAACAGAGAATTGACTAAACCGGGCAGATGGGGAGAAATCGCGGGCAATTCAGCGGGCAAATTGTACTGGGTGGGTCCTATCGGACCTCTGACATCGTTGATATCACCAGAAGCGATTTCACCGTCGAAACTGTGACCCAGACCGGTCGTAGACTGAGAATTGTATCGATTGAATTGCCCTGCGGTATTGTACCTCTGTGTCTCTCTTTGTTGAGCGAGTTCCTGATTGATTAGAGCCAACTGAGCAGCTATATCTTGAGCTTTAGTCGAAGGATCCTGTGTAGGAATTGATTCGTCCTTGATCCTCGGTGTAGTGGAATAGGAAAGCTCCTCCTGTTGACTCACCGAGGTTTCCACTCTGGTGTTTATCAGAGGATTGTCAGTGGTTCTAACGTTATCCTCGTAATACTTGTACTTTCTCGTCGTAGGCCTCTGATCGTCGTAGTAAGAGGTGGTTACGACAGAGGCTGGCTTGCTGTCGCTATAGTACTGCCTAAACCTGAATCTGGAACCAGAGTATCCGGTCGGCGGGGCTGACGAGTACGTCTGTTCGTACTTAGGGGTGCTCGAGTGTTCCTGGGTGTAGCCAATGGTGGTCTGGGGCTCGTACAGAGGAGTCGTCGAATCGAAACCGCTATTCAGGCCATCCAGATAAGAGTTAGGTTCTATCAACGGGGTTGGACTCGGATTCGGGTTATCGCTGTCCTTTGGATCAGTGTTGTCCAGGGTGTTCACGACGACCGAACCGATGTGTGGTGCCGGGAAGGGAATCTTGGAGTATCCCGGCGGAGGATCGAAACTAAGAGGCGCCACGAAGAAAGGCAATTTGTCCACCTTCCTCTCTACTCTGTTGTGATCGATGGAGGACAGATAAGGAAGATCGAACTTGGCGTATCCCGTGGGAGGGTCGAGATTCGTTGGACCGACGAAAACCTGAGGTGTATCTGGACCGACGGTGTCCAGAACAGCGATCGTCTTTGCGTCTTTCAATATCTTCAATACGTCTGATACTTTCACGTTAGCTGTCTTCGAGCTGTGGCTTCCCATGTACACTGACAAAGGTGGTTGGTTAGGTGAGGGTGCAGGGGTAGTGGTGGTCTCCCGATAGTTCTGTTGATCCTGATGGTGAGGCCTTTGACGAGTCCTTCCTCTGATCCTGCTTTTCACTGGTTTCGACGTTTCAGTCAGGTGCTGACGATGAAACTGTTGTTGTTGATCCTTGATCAGAGGGAGAGCTTGCGCCGGAGGTTCCTGATTCTCATTTCTCAAACGACTAACTCTCGCTTCCTCTTCACGTTGCTTCTCCAGCAGCTGTTGCTGTTTCAGAGCCCGCTGCATCTCCTGTTCCTTCTTCCTCTCCAAGGCAGCTAATCTCTCAACTTCTCTTTGTCTAGCTGCTTCTTCAGCCTCTCTTTGTCTGGCTGCTTCTTCGATCTCTCTTTGTCTGGCTGCCTCCTCGGCTTCTCTTCTTCTAGCTGCCTCTTCAGCCTCTCTTCGCCTAGCCGCTTCTTCGGCTCTCCTCTTCTCCTCCTTCGCTCTAATCTCTGCTAATCTTCTTTGCTCCAGCTCCTCCAATCGTTGCTTCTCTCTGGCCTCGCGGATTCTTTCCAGTTCCCTTTGCTTCTCTATTTCCTCCAGCTCTTTCCTCTTCTTCTCCGCCTCCCGCTGTCTCTGCAACTCTTGTTCTCTTCGCATCGCTTCTTCCTGAAGACGAGCATTCCTTTCGAGCTCCCTTTGCTCCTCGTTCAATCTGGCAATCTCCTTCAATCTCTCTTCGTTGAAGAACTGCGCTTTTTCCTCGATTTGTATCTGCTGCAACAATTGGCGAGTGAAGGCGTCCTGGTCGGGCGCGATGGCGCTGGTATCGACACCTTGATTGTCGCGGTGGTGTTGCTGCTGTTGACGGTGCGGGTACTGCTTTCTTCCTCGTCCTCTTTTCGGCTGACCTCGTTGCGCCAAAGTATCAGCCGGCACGTACACCAGCTGTACCTAAGGGGAACAAAGTGGTTTATAGTAAGGATAATACTAACGGTAAAGTAAATCATTTCTTTTTATCAACATCGTTGAAATTAATCACCTCTTCTTCTTCATCTTGAGCATTCACACCTTGAGGTAGCGTTTCTCCCAGGTGTTTCGCTCCTTGCCTCTGATTCTCATCTATCTGCCCGACGTTTCCAAGGTTCTGACCTTGCGGCAACAGCTGACCGCTCTTGAATTCTTGTCCGGACAAATTGATAAATTCCTGAGGAAGATCTTGCTTCGACGGAGTGGGAGGAGGTCGGGGTCGTTGCTGGAAGAAGTTCTGCGCTGGAAACACCGGCGGCAACGCTTCGGATGCGGGAAGGGGCGGCACTAAATCCTCGGAAGCCACGTCTGGTAACGTTTGCGAGTTCGTTAATCCACTCTGGCGAAGCTGCTTGTCCTCTTCTTGGCTACTAAATCCGCTGGGTAGGAATGTCTGAGACTGAGAAAACAAAGGTCTTTGTCAATTGAAGATGCGGTTTCCAGAATTTCAAAGAATCATCTTGTATCACGGGATATCAAGAATCTTCACCTGTAGAAGTTGCTGCTGGGTTTTCAACTGTTGCTGCAACAGCAACAGTTTCTGGATGCTCTCTTGCGTCTTCTGCAGTTGCAGAAGTTGTTCCTGGTACTGTTGCTGAAGCGGAGGTGGCAGAGATAATTGTGGAACTTGTGGCACTTGAGCACTACCGCTTGCCAGCAGTCCGGTTGGATTATTTTGCTCTATCTGGGTCTGCGTGGCCCTGGGATTTGCCAATGGGATCCATTCGCTGTTCGACACCTGTCTCGACCATCGTTCACCTTCGATCGTGCCAAATTCAATCGACAGGATCAAGCAGATCGGTACTGCGAACGATAGACACCTCTGCACAATCTGAAATTGAAGAAGAAAAATAATTTGTTAATTATTTTGTGAAACTGATTGTACGAAGAGGTGCTTTTATGTAACCATGATACTCTACTTTAAGGAAGTGATATCCTAGTGTAAAGAAATACCCTACTTAGAGAAGGCACCTTACTACAAGATTGGAAAGAAGAAAGTTTCTGCAATTGTTTAATAAAAGAATATTAAACTACAGCCTAAATATATATTTATAATCACGGAAAGGAATTAATGGACGATTTTCTGCTCGAAAGGAAAGTTAGCGAAGAAGAATTCCAACCGCAATTCTTTACCGAAAGATGGACAGAAGAAATTCAAGCGTTCGTGACAGCCAGTTACCCACGATTCAATTGCCGTAGCTATTAATGAAGCCGGTGGTTTCATGGAACGATGAAACCGCGACAGACAGAGCATATTAATGATAAAGAGATTGAAAAAAAAAAAAAAAAGAACACCTCGATTCTCCCGACTTTTAATTCCGCAGAGAAATTCTTTTCATCTTCAAAAGAATGAGGACTTGTGAAATTTCTGAACATTTTATACCTGTAGCGTTTTATAAAAAAATTGTAGGTGAATTTTTAATTTCGAAGAAATCGACGTTTCTAGCAATTACAGATTACATAGAGCGTGTAACTTAGTCGCATTAAAGTTAAGGAGTGAATGTAGTCGTCCTTCTAACTACGAGCACGAAAACGCAGAAAGTACGGCCAGATTCTACGTCATACGCGTTCACCATCTCAAAACCATTCTCTATCGCAGTATAAAACGTGTCCAGTTTAAATGAAAATTAAAAAATTATTTTTGACATCGTTATATAGATAACATTTGAAATAAACTTTATCTTACATGAATATTTTTTGAGGTTTCGAGGCCACTTTTGTAATTTTACCATAATTAAGTTTGTAGCGACAATTATAGGTGTAATTACCCTCGATCTTACAATTCTAGTAATATTTTTGATATCCACCGTTTTCTCAACATTACTTTCCAATTAGTTTCATTATTAATCTCTTTCATAAAAATATTTTCAGTGAGATTACTGATTTTGATCTGCTAATTGACTGTTGCTAATTATTCGCACGTCAAAATAATTTAAAGAATGTTATCATTATCGTTGGTATTGCGTGTGCTCGAATGAAAGAGCCACGAGATATCTGGAGTGCAACCGTGGCTAACGAACTGTGAACGGCTTGAAACGATGATTTCTAATAAATACCAGCGCCTCTTCTTCAGATTCTTTCACGAGATCCGATATGAATAATTTTTTGGATATTCTCGAAACTTTTTCTAAACGATCCAGTTTATCTACGGATGAATAAGAACAAATAGGTATATTCAAGCTTATACAACAGAATTGAGAACGATATGAAACTCAATTATCTTAATTAATCCATGAATTTTCAAAATTTCCTTTAAAGAATCATCGAATCGAATTCAAATCCAAAACGATGCCGTACTACTGACATCATTCCGATTATATTACGGACAGTAAGCAATCCACGCGAATTTTCATAGCGGAAGATCGCGTGCAGGACACGGCTCATGGTTTTTCTGCTTTCTTCGTTGTTCTCCCCATAAGAAGCAACCCATCGACTGTGAAATAATCGCGTACACCTGTGAACTACATACACAGGTGGAATACTGGATTCACAATCGGTCGGGTTGCGTCACAATGTTGCGCGATACGTGATCCATCACGATTTCCTGATCAAAATTTCGGTCAGCGTGGATCGACGTCGTAGAATCCAACGATGCAGTCGGAATTACGCAAACGAGCCTTCAACCATTCCAGACACCGAGGCTCCTTTTATCAAATAGCTACTGAAACATTCTCTTCGATCCTTGCTACATTGACTCCGGGGTTTTCAAGAAGAAGATCAATCGGTCGACCGCGCCTTCGCAGAAGTTTGCTTCTTCTCTCGAGGAGAGAAAGGTGTCTCGACCTGGTTTCCGCCTGTGTCCGACATCCGTTCGCGGACCAATTGATTATAATCGGCCGCGTTAAAGCGATCAGTGTTAACACCTTCGCATTCTTCCCTACAAAATTTAGATATCAAAATTTAATAAAGCAAGCACTACTTGAGATAAATAAGTTTTTCCTATATTTACCTATGATAATTCATCGACCTCTCTGTAATAAGAAATTAACAGCTTAATTTATACTCTCAAGATCCCAGAACCGGGTACGATTTTCAGAGAAAGTTCAACCATTCGGTGGGATAGCGCATCGAGAAAAAAGAATCAGGAGAACGCCCAAACGTCGTCTCCGAAGAAGAATCGTTAACGGCTTTCTTCGATAGTGAAAGGGAGAGGAGTTTTTAGAGAGGGATCGATTTCTCGTCAGAGGGATCCGAACGCTTCGAAAGCGTACCACCTATTCTTCACAAGGGAAAGAGAGTAAGAAGTGGGCGGTACGAGGTATGTAGATCGTGAAAAGTTCATTGGAAACTCGTTAGAAATTGATACTTTACATCCCCGGGGATTGACGTTTTTCTGCGATTGCTCGAGTATTATCTTTTCTAAATTAGCTGGTAATTACAATTAAAAGGAGGCGCATGGTTAATGACCGATAAAAGGAAATATCTGGAACATTCGAATTTGGTATTAGTGAAAATAAAGTTCCATTTCTTTCTTTCAATTCTGGCATGACACCGCTATCAATGCGGTGCAATTAGTTTCACGATTATGTAACTTTACGTAAGTTTCTGTACTTTATATAACTTCGTTGTATTTGCTCGTTCTTTATAGGTGTAGAGATTTGTTTGATCGACAAAACCGATTAAATTACAAGGTGTAACGACTACCTGTCTAACGAGTGATAAAGCTTACTATACTCTAAGCAGGATATATCACCTATTGCTAAGTATACAATCTTCTACACTCTATACCAAGGGTGAATATAACTATCCATCGTTAATAATAAGCGTGCAACCTACTATCCTGGTATGAAAGTCACAATGACCAACTAGTCGACTTGATGATCGTTTTTATCTGTGTCGACTAAGGTGTCCGCACCTTCACGACTGCCTCCAGCTTTTTGTCTTTAGTTTCTCGAGAGGAATCATTCGCGAAGAAGTAGCTCGACGTGTCTCACGAAAACTCGTTCCTCTGCGTTCGAATACCGCCGAAAGCCATGTCACTGTTTACATCTGAATGGAGCCGGCTCGAGAAAGAGAAGGGTGCTTCGCTAACGATGGGAAAAGAATCGTCAAGAAACTGGAGGCAAGGTGGCCGTCTTTGAAAAGAAGAAAAAGAAGAATTATACAGCGACAGAAAGAGTTTACATTTTCTGCTGACGATCCTCGTGTACTCCAAAAGTTTCAATTTATATTTTGAAAAATTATTAAACGCTGCAGAGAAAGATAAGTTGATATGCCAGGTTCAGAGTTCAGTCAGAGCTTTCTCTGGCTGTGTAACAGGTTCTGGTAAAAGTATCCTACTTTTATCGTGTTTCAAAGTTCATCCAAGTGTTTTGGTGTTAACTAGAAGAAGAAACATATTTAGCTCTAATGCAAATACAGACTAATTGAGAGACTAACATAGATGGAAAATATTATGAAGCTTACTTATTATAATCAAGCTAATTTGGTATTACGTTAAGAACACGAAACAATGAGAAAGAATCTTACATTGCAAAGATTAGATTCATTTGATGGAGATCTATGAATCTTTAGAAACAATTTCATCATTTAATATAATAGTTAAAGAAATGTTTATGTCAAGATAAACACCAGAGACTAATGTAAGAAGAAATTGCAATTATTTTTTCAAATAACAGATTCGAAAGTAAATTACTGCTTGGAAAACAATGTATCCTTCCCATCGCACGATCCTATCAGTTATGTCATAATAAGCTCATCCATTATACCTCTGTAATTACGCAATCCTATAACTTCCAATATCACGAGATGGAGTACGAAATGATTTACTTCTGATATTTCGCATCGGTGGTAAAAGAAAAATTTCCTCTCTCACGTCCGAATTTGAAACGAGCCCAATTCTTGTGTCCTTCTCGGATGTATCGTCCGTTCTACTTAGCCTGTTCAATGACAGAACTTTCTTCGTACGATCTCGCGTATACTTTCGCCTTCGAACATTTTCGACACCAGCTGGACCACTTCTGATCTTACGCCCTCGATTTACGCCATCGTCTTATCTCGAAATTTCTGTAGAATTACAATTTTCAGCTTCAACTATTCCAACATTCATCCTCGACCAAGTATCACTGCTAATCCCTCAAACTAGGTCTTGGCTGCGGAGCAGACCACAGAAACCAACTGTATCGATATCCAATCACACGGAAATCCCGAATACCGTGGCTCTACGAATGTTTACCAAAGATCTATAAAAGAGTAAGAAGTTTCCTATCCCACGGTATAATGCGCGATTCTTTTCAAGAACGCCAACTCGCAGGCCAGAAAACGTTTTTCAAACGCATTCCAACCAGGCGAAAGGGTAACGAATTGCTCTAAAACACGTATTTCTTTCGCTAACGAATACTTTTAGGGTCAACTAGGGCGGTTTCGTTTGCACAATCGCTCATCGTAGACTCGGTCAATTTGGTTTCGTTGCGCCAACCATCGACCGTTTACGCGAAATCCAAGTGTAATTGAACGCTTTCTAAGGTCCAACAATATGGATATTGTAATAAGAACCGTAGCGTTGCGCAACCCGTGTAATTACCACGAATTCATCGGTAAAACTTTCAACAAAGGAGCCACGTGAAAACTGAAAAGGGATTCCTGCGGTTCCGCTTATCGCGAATCTTCATTGTCTATTAAGTCTGTTGCGCGCGGCCAACGATAGATTTCGATCTTCCTATTTCAGTAGCGAAGTTTTTTCCTTCTTACGGCTTCGTCTTTCCGTTTGCCAGGGCCAATCGCATAATAAGTGATCCAAAAGAGGCAAAAGTTATCGCTGATTTTCGTTCCGATCGAATTTTCCAAGAACAGTAGAAAAGATAGAAAGAAGAACGGCGAGACGATCGAAAGAGGAATACGTTCGGCGACCTCTTGAATCGCGGCATAAGGAGCGAAGCTGTTCACACACTGACCCCCATTTCCTATCCGCGGGGCGAATAGCAGAGCATCCAGCTTCGATTTTGCCTATTACTCGATCTCCTATCTCGAAACTGCCTTTTTCTGCATCCACGTTTACAAGGAAACTTGATTTCTTCGAATAGAACAACATTTCTTCTTGTTTCTGAAAGAGATTAGATTAGCGTTCATTGAACGATGCTGAATGAAGGAATTTCAAGTAGATACTAAGAAATTCGACCGAAATGTAGGACACGATTCTAATGCACCATCAGTTCCGTTAAACTTTTCCGATTAACGTAGGAGGATTAGCGAAATAAAAAGGAATGTTGCTTTCCACAGTTTCGTTCCCTTATTCGATGCACGCGTGGGCGTTAGTCAACGCACGATCCACTATTAAAGTTTCCCGATGGAAAGCGTACAAAACCGGAATCGATGAGCATCCGGGAAATCGAGAGACCAACAAAATTACCAGAGGATGAAACAATTGAAATTCATGGTACCCAGCCTTTGCTTCGTAGAAACGGACCGAGCCTGATTAAAAAATCATACCATTATTCACAACTTGCCCTGAATTCAATTGTGAGAGAACGTACCATATAACTTTGAGGATCTCCCTAAGGCTGTCTTTTAAAAAACTCATGTTTTATATTTTTATAATAAAAATATCTATTTATCTATCTATCTATCTATCTTAGATCTTCCAACCCAGTGCTGTTCAAAGTCTCACTCACCATGGTGCAGGGTATATCCGGTACCAGTGTACTGTTCAACCAATTCCCGCGTCTCTCCTTTCCAACTTCCGGTGAAAAAAGAAAAACCTCCGGACTCGGCTACGTTTCGCGCTTTACTGTTCTCTATTGCACTTTCTCACAACGCACCACCATCGAGCCATGCCCCTTTGCTCTCCTCTCTCTACGTCAGAAATCTTTTTTTCAATCTCTCCTATGCTATTCTTCCCTCGATAAGGAACTGGCAATCTTCTCCGAGAGGATCTCGTGGAGAGGACGCACCGGTTAATCACGAATCGATCTCGATAGATCTGCAATACGCGCACACGGGCATAGGATCGCAAACAGTTTGAAGGGGCTCGGCCGGAATGGACAGACTATATAGATATCCCCTCCAGATGTCGAGGAGACTCGGTGCGAAGGAACACCGACGGACCGTGATCCAGGAGAAAGCCTCTCCTTCGATTGGCCCCTTAGCGAACCGGTATGTGTCCAAGACAATTCCAGATATCTTTTTCCAGCTGATTCTCTCCATCAACCACGGGTACACCTCTCTTTGTCTTGCTGGTGTTTGTTGTCCTGAAAGTAACACACATTTTCGTTAGAGAAATTCAGAGCATCGTTGAGAGAAGAGACCCTCTCGGATTCCTGTAACCGAGAGTGATCTGATTCTCTATTTCATTGATTAGAACAGAAACTGAGGCTTGGAGCTCTGTTAGCTTTGATTGGTTGCCATTCTATGAAATTTGCTGTTCATTTTATGGAAGCATCAGGTGTTTGGTCTTCATTTACGATCAAATTAACTTCAGTGATATAGTCATGTTTCAGTCTTTCTAGAAAATAACATTTTCCCAGAAGTTGTTTACTGGCTCACCTTTGCGCAACACCAGACCTGTCCGGATTTGCAGAAGTTGAACACGTTTTGCGTACAACAAAGTTTCGTTTCACGAAGCGAGCTGAACGCGAAGCATCGATCAAACGATACTATTTCACCCTTTAGCTACCGTTTGCTATGAGAACTGTCTACTGTGCGCGACAGAATAATCTAGAGTCGACGATTAATATTACTTACTTTGGAAAATATTCTTGGTTTTCTTCTCTTGCCATATTGATAAATATTAATACACTTTCAGAAATAAATAATGGTCCTCCTTTTTATCTGCAACATGTAAGAAATATTAGTTTTCATATTTATTCTAATGTACTACTATAAAACTGCAGTATTACACTAAAAAGTACATAGGAAAAATGATGTTTTACAAGGAACGGGCTTCCGATTTCTATCGGTTGCATGTCGATCAGGAAGACGCGTGCAGCGTTTGTAATAGACATTAATTTGTCAATTCCAACGCGATGGAAAGCAAAGAACCATGGGTGACGTGGTGAAAGTGTCCACGCACTGTTAAATTCGGTTAATTAAATATACACCGAATCGCGAGGTGAAAATACAAGGAACTTATATTATTGAAAGTCAGCTAAATCCACGACAAGGAATATTATTTCTAACGTATTTTTATTCCAGAATGAAAGATTAACGTGCTTGACTGGACGTAAGGTCAAGTTGACTGTAAAAGTAGAAAGTACCGTGGAAATGTTGCAGAAACGTTTAAGGAACGTTTTCAACATCGTTGTTCGTTCGAGCAACGTTTACACCGTATAATTAGAAATTAATAAAATGTTCGCTGTAAAAGTGTTTCCATTACAGGCGCTCGATACCATCCAGTTACAGTCTCACCACTTTTAATAGTTTTCTTTTCTGCTCTAGAAGTTTGACCAACGTTTTCTACGTTTCATCTGAATTTTTCCTACTTGGTATTTAATAAAATCGTGTTTGCCATATTATTGCCACTTTTCCCTTGTGTGCAAATCTACAACGCTATAGCAAAATTCTAATTTACTAATAAAAAATAGATAAGTACAATAGTATACCCACATTCCATTTCTTCTGGTAGATCGTATCGTCACGGGCTGTTGAACGAATTTCAACCTCGGACTCGGTATAGGAGGTACGTGTTAGCCCGAACAAAATCAGCCCGGACAGCATCAAACGAAGTGAGAGGCGGTTGTAGTGTACGTTGCTCGGTTATGCAAGTTCTCAAAGGAATCGTGGGTCAGTCACTCGTTCGGCACATATGTAGATCCACGAGTATCTAAAAACAAACCGTACTGTCATTCCAACATTCAAACATACATTACTCTACATTTTAGATTAGGAAAGAAATGTATACGCGTTATAATTTCCTGACAGGAAGTTACAACCGTTGCACGACACCTTTATCGAACGCAGTCTCGATAACTACCATCTATACTACACCGAATTTAATGAATATCGATAGAGAAATTATATAACGGTATAATATTACTAGTTAAGCTATTACTATTACGGTTACAGTTTTGCTTCACGACCGACATTAAATGATTGTAAATGTAACTGTACAGAGAATCGTACAATTGTAATGATATGAAATTTTGCAGGTGATCCAGAAAATGCTTTGATGCGTGTATCGGACGCATAACAGAGGAATTCCTCTTGCGTTACGTCGGCGTGGATAGAGCGTAAGAAATCGAATGGCAATCAGTCGTTGTGGAACGACGACAAAAAAGTGAATTGAACGGTGATCGAGCCAGGCGCTCTATTGTCAGGAAATGCATCGGCGTAGCCGCACTTTACTATAGACGCCATTATCGGTTTTTCTTACTCTATATCACGCTGTGAAGGGAAGTGGCTTTCCCTGCCCTTGTTTCAAAACTGTCATATCCCTCGCTTTATTGCCTTTTTCGAGTAATAACGTTGGATTCATTATGTCATTATTAATACGTTTCTTCTGCAAATAAAACTGGATTATTATTCTTCGTACTGAAGCAGAACTCTAAAGATTCTAATCTTCCATCTTCCAATTAAAAAACAATTACCTTTACAGTAAAAGGTTCAAAGGCACTTCTTACTCTATTATTACCATGCAATAATTTCCTCCAAGTAAATTTCATTCGATGAAAAGAATTACTAGCCTGCTATCGAAACATCAATCTTCATCTCTTCAGAATCGATTACACATCCGATCGTTTTGTCGGGATTCGCACATTTTTTTCCCCGATGATTGGATTCGCTTGGTCCTGCCGGGTGATGTTGCGAAAGATCAGCGCGCTCGGAGGAGAAGTATGCACAATGAAGAGGATCCACGAAGGAGGGCGAGGAGAATCCTCGAATTCAATGCCCGGATACACGGCATGCTGATGATTACACCTGGGGCCTCCTCCTCTTCTCCCACGTACTTGAGCCGATGTTTGATGCGTTGAAAATCATCACCCTCCGTCCTCCTCGTGTGCTAAATAAGACACCGGAGAGATAATGCGTCGTCTTCCCCATTGTCTCGTGCGTTTTGTAATTCGTCAGGTGCATCGCGTTGCACCCATCTGACGAGAGAGAAGAATTCTTATGTTAATCTTTGAACTGGATGTTCGACAATTAGGAAACTGAATGCTAATTTAGCAAGCGTTTAATACCAACGAGCCTTGGCTGTAAATTACATTTCCAATATCTTTGAAGAAAGCTGCTCGGTTTCATTTGAATCCAGACGGTGAATAAACGTGGCGATGGTAAAGTTTAAAAGGAATCCTTCCTTTTTCTTATACGCTGTTGCTTCAAAGCAACGAAATGAGATTCGTTCCTTTCGTCTGGAAGATTTTGTCATTCTCGTTTATACAACCATGAACGTGCACACGTGACCATATTAAACCGACCAACGTGAACGTGTACACGTCGAAAAAGCGAACGCAAGTATACGTGCAGAGTTCTAGCGGATTTTTCTGCATGGTAGCAGTGAAAGGGAAAGATACTGGTAGCTCGACAGGCCTAGATAACCGAGATCAATGCGCACAGCTCCTTTACATTCAACAAAGTTCAAGACACTGTTGATTCATCTGAAATTATGTTCACTTTGTTCAACAGTATTGTAAGTATACGCGATACAGATACTCGATCATTACCATATTTTCTTCAACATCCTGTACGTTCGTTCCTGCCTCGAAAAGTCTGGATTATCCCATGATGGTTCAATGAAAATTGCGCAACCGTCAGACGAGTCTGGTGTCGTAAACCACGGAAAGGTCCTTCATCAATTGCCGCAATCCTTCCTGCTTGCTCGTTTCCGTTCGTGTCACGATGCACTTTATGAAACCTCGATTTTCTTTCTTTACCGGCGGCCATCGTCGAAACTGTAAGAAAGGGAAGACAATTTGCTAGTACTTTAGGTAGAAAACGTGAGAGGAGCAATGAAATTACGAAGGATTCTCGCTGGGAGGCGCGCGTCATCAGCAGAGAATTCTCAAAAGACCACTCCAATCTCCTCTTTCCTTTTAAAATACTTTTGCCTTGAGGTTGAAAGGGTACAACGCGAATTAATATCACGTACTCCTCTAAGTGTATAATTATATGGTTGCAGAGAGTAATTTCAACAGCAATCCTTACACCACAAGGCACGTTCTCTTTAGACTCAGACCTGAACCCCTCAAGAGCTGCACTTATCAACACCATTCTCTTTGTAATTGTTTGAGTTAATTTAAGTTAAATTCAATTAATGGTACACATACTATATCAGACATTGAATATTATTCAAAGACAAAACGATCGTGGCAAAGAAGAATGTTAATTCGCTCAATTATCATGGATTATGAAAGTGTCTCGTGCAATCAAATCATTGTTTTCTTGATCGTGTTACAGAGATTGCTCTTGACAATTACAAGAACAAAGATCACAAAGCCTATCTTCGCATTTAATAGATTCAGATTCGACGGAGATAATCGCGTTAAATGAAGCGCCTGATTTACAATCGCGTTACAACGAACGCGAGCAGCGTCGCTAATTTAGACTAATTATCGTTCGTGATGAGTTTTTAACAGGTGTTCGTAACGGTAATAACGAACACCTCCGCGTGAACGTTCTCTATTAAAATTCACTTCAATTCTAGGCACGTGACATTGTTCGATCCTTATTTATTGAAATATATAAAGTAAAATGTTTTTGATTAATGCCGCTCTTAAGTTTATGATTCACGGTTTTAGAATCAATGGCTGGTACTTATCAATTGATAAATTTCCTCGCTAAGAATGAACCCGAAGGAGCACAATGATTCACGGTGAAAGACGTGTACTTTCTAAAACTGATACTTCTCAATTACTATCCAAGGCTGCCTTCGCATCACGTTGCATTCGGCAATTCGATTCCCCGTGATATTCAGGCCTCCGAGGATGATTTACCAAAGGAACGATGATCGATGTTATTCTTACTCGTCTGTTTAGCTAAAGCGTAGGCGTCAAGATTCACAAGATGAAGTTGTGAATAGAGAGCAAGAGAAAGAATCAGGAAGAGCTTATGGTAGTCGTGCAAGGTAAGGCCAGCCTGCCGTGGATGAGCAATGAACTTGACCGGAAGTGGGTCAGGGTAAATCTTTCTCGATGAGCATCCTTCGCAGCGCCGTAATCTTTCGAGTATGACCAATAAACGGTTTAACGAGCAGGTGGCAAGCTATTTGACCGGTTCGGCTCGTTAAAATTTTATAAAAGATCCTCGCCTGAAAACGAAATTTCGTGACATTAGCGCTGGTAACAACTGTTTAATTATTGTCAAATACTTTGGATATTTTACTTCAGATACTAAGGCTTTGGTATAAAAAATAAATCTAAATTAGTTATACAAGCTTTAATGTTAATTTCATAAATTTTATTTCAGGTCGGACCCCCGAAATATCAGGGCCGGCCCTGCTCTACACTATCCACTCAGACACTCATCAAACGTAAAGTAGAGTAATAGAATGAATCAAATCTATTCGGTATCGTAAAAAGAATGATCCACTTTTCACGATACTTTTCTCCAGTTCGACACACGAAAGTCTCGAAACGTGAACTTTCATCCAATGTTTCTTGTACAATTACAGGAGCTGATTTCGCACACGCAAGAACGCCTCGACGCGTGATGGAAAGTAAGGAGGATCCTTGTTTGAATTGCGAGAAAAGTGTAACATATTCAAAATGTTGCTTACATGAAATTATCTTTAAGAGATTCTAGACGAGAGATCGCGTTCATCGGGAAAGCAATAAAACCGTGTTACATTTTACTGACGCGTTTAACTTGCTATCGTCAGCCAGCGTACGTATTATAAGTTAAATGAAATTTGCACGTACACCTGGAAGACAGTTCAGAGAGCAAATTATAAGGTCCCGTGGGAAACTCGGCTCGGGAAAAAGAACACGGGTCTCTGATAAAGGTCAACCGTACAACAATGCTATATCGCAGCTTTGCATCCGTATGCAATCGATCTACCCGCTGCGCCCTTTTTCCAGTAAAAGTTCACTGGCTGGCCAGCTGGTGGAAGGTAAATTTGTATGAAAAGTGGATCGCGTTACATGGAACCTACCACTTGGAATTTTAATTCAACTTGCATCACATACGTGTTACGCGTTCAGTTGATCAGCTACTTGGCTATTCATGGTATTATGGGATCAAAAGATCCAAAGTATTTGGTACCAGAGGATTCAAAATATTTAAATAATCAAGGCTAATAAATCTGAGCTATCCGAGTAGTCAATAGACCAAAGAGACCAAGTTGTTTGAATAGACATCATTTGATTTGATTAAATTGCCTCCTAAGTACCTTCCATTCTATATAAAGTTTCTTTCACATGAGTTTTCCGTCAAGATTCCAGTCACGGGACGATTACACTGCATTCAAAACATTATTCAATCCTCTCCAAACAGCCTAATACTTGTAAGCCACTGTTTGCATGTCGCTCACGTTCCATCGCTTTGAATGATGCTTGATTGTACAGTGTTGGATCCGCAAACGACTTGATCTGCATCATCGATTCTTTCAATTCTTCCAAAGTGTTATTCTTCAAAATTGCATGAATACTTGATTCCTGTAATTCAAACGTTTAATTAATAAACAGATTTGTCATTTTTATATTAGAAAAAGAGGTATTGTCTGGCGGTGCAAACGAGTTAAAACGAAAGTAATGGGAACTTTCTTCGACGTTCCCGGTAGCCCATCCTCGTTGATTGTAGCGAGAAGCCCCGCTAATGGGGCCGTTAATTCACCTTATCGAGCCTTTGCAGCACGTCATCGCCGAAACGTGGCTGGTATCGAGGTCACGGCCAATGGTGAAAGTTTTCTAATAGTTTCCGTGGCTCGGTCCTCGCCTGTTTGCCCGTTGGAACGTGTAAAAATCCCGAAACGGGTTCTCCAGTGTATACAAAGGTAAGTACAAGCTGGTGCAGTGGAATCTTACTTTCACGTTCGCGTTACAACTTTACGCTGGACCCTGCCCATTCGACCAGATCTCTTTCTATCTTTCTATGAATCTTGACGGAAATTGGAAAAACGAAACAATCAACCTGGCTAATGATAAGTCTCCGTTAATAGCAGATGAAGACAGCTCGATTTACCGCATAGAAAGAAAGTGAAATCTGATGCTGTGTAAGAGCCTCCTGATAGGATATCTTCAATTACTCCCGGTTGCAAAGTTGACTTACAGCTAAAGCCTCTTCAGAGATTTCATTTCTTAATCTTTGTCGAGCGATTGCAGGATTTCGCAATTTATTTCGAAGAACATTGTGGCATAGTTGCATTTGTCTTCGATAACTTCACCACTAATTGGATATAATCAGGAGCTCTGACGCAATCTGTCGATAAAGATACTTACAATTAGTGAAATGTTAAAAATGTTTCATCGGAGATGGTATAAAAATAAAATATAAATGTTTCAGCGAATACCGTGACTCGAAGCAATTAATTAAGGAGATGCCAGGAAAGAATGCGATCAGGCAGGACGGATTGCTCGCGGGAGAGCGAACAAATTAGAAAATCACGATTATGAGGTCAGGCGGTATCGGTGGAAAGGAATGGTGCCCGATTTGTCGCGACACGTCCCGGCTGAATCCGGATCCGTGGAATCATGAAAACTGGATCGACCGGCTGCGGTCAACGCTAGTTGCTCTCGTAACTTTCCATCGGTGTGGCTATACGAAAATTTCCGGCAAACAGGGCCAGAACCGTCCGGAAATAAAAATTTAGCCATTCTGGTTCTCCGAAATACGACACGAAATATTTCTTCCTCTCGTGAAAGTTCCATTCGATCCTCGAACTCTAGCTAGCTCGAAATACCTCTACAAAAAAAAAAAGAAAGAAACAAAAATGAAATATTCATGTACGTGCTGGTAAATTGAACGGAATATGCTTGGAAATGAAATATTCAGTGAAAGAGAAATTACGTAATTTTGTAGAAAATACCGGTTATTCTAATAGCGGTGATCTTTTTATTCTTAGATTCATTAGAAGCTTGTTCATAACTGATAAATAATTACCTAAGAGATATTCTTTAAATATCAGGAATATTTGAAATGATAACTGAGATGAAGAGATTGCTGGATGTTCGTTAAATGGTACCAAAATCTCAGAGTAGATCTCGACCTCGACTTTCACCCTCGTCCAAGGTCTAGGACACTCAAGTAAGTCGAATCATCTTCCTGTGAATGAAGAATCCTTCTGACATGAAGAAACTGGTTTGATAGGTCATTGGAGTTCTTTGACATCAGAGATGCTGAGATTTGACCCACTGCCATATTACTTTTGTAATATTTATTCACACGGACTTGAAGTTCAAGCCATTAAAAGCACATGGAAAAATTAATTTTTATGGAATATTCTAATTAGTTCTTATTATTGATGTATTTTAATATAATATTTAAATTTCTTGATTTAAATTTTTAGAATCTTGTAACTTCAACAGTTACCTTATTACTATTCAGTAATATCATTGAAATGCAGATGAAATGAAGTTGAAGAAATAAGGTAGAAGATGAACGAGAATGCATTACGTGAAAGTAAATCGTGATCGATTCACGATCATCAATCATTGCGTAAAGAAATCCATCACAGATCATTTACTTATTACATATCATTCTGATTTCTCTGCTTCCTGCTAACTGAAACGAGGTCCTTCGTCCAGCGTAACAACTTTTTCCGTTTTCTTTTTCTCGGCATTGACGAAAGACAGACGAATGGGGTCAAATCCTGTCGATTTTTTCTTACAACAAAGGAAATTGCGCTATATCGAACTCCGTGTGCGTCACAGCGTGTTAAAAGTATTAAAAAAATGAAAAATGGGATATAAATATGAATCAGCATCCCGTGGGTCTTGAATTCTGCATCGCGGTTTCACTTTCACCGTTTCAAACGGCATGCTGTAATTTCGACTCAGGATGCATGGTGTTTTCTCCTTTGTTTAAAAAAAACTCTTCTTCAACATGAAACCAGACGGAATGTGAAATTTCAATAATTGGAGAACGTTACAAACTTTTCATAATACCTGTAAAAAAAGGAACACAATAAATAAAAAAAAAAATCTAAGAGGAAATTACCATGAAATAATAATAATCCAATAAAGAAAAATTGTCATTCATTCATAAATTGAATAAAAAAAAGAATACCCTCCAAACTGCAAACTGTGTACAACCACTCTCTCACTCACTCCTTTTGTCTCTCCTTCTAGAAAAAGAAAAAATACAATGATAAATTAAAAGATTCTTACAGGAGAATGAATAAAAAGCATGTCGGATATTAAAAGCTTTCTTTATTTTTAATTTCATCCCTCTTTAAATATTATGAATAATAATAACGACTCATGTTACCCTTTTGTCATAAGTACATTTTCTTGAGAACATCGGCCAAGTCACATTCTACAACCATTCCACATTCGTTTCCTTTTTCTCACGCATTTTAATACAGTTGGAATCGATGATATGCAGGGTGTCTTTCAATGTATAATATTAGTAGAAGAACTGTGATTCTGTATGAAAAAATAAATCAAAGATATATAACAAATTTCTTTTACACGTGGCTTCATTTTCATGAAAACTTTCTTCTCTATGTTTTGACTTATTTTCTTAAACAAAATCACCACTTTTTAGTTTAAACAGAAGTATTGCAAGACACCTTGTATAATTTGGACTTGGCGCAGGTCTCCCATGCTTCACACACGGTCTCTCCCTTTTTCTTCATCAGCCGACCTCGAAGATTCTCCAAATCACAATTTGTTCTTCTTTTTCTCTATCTAAATCTTAAGTTTAATGCTCGTTTCTCCTATCGATTAGGAAGTAAACAGACGTGTGCGGAGCGTTCACGATCGTTGCTCGAACTGGATCAGTGTTCATCTATCATTTCATCAATTTCTTCTTCAATTTATACCTATAGAACATTTATAAATTATCTCGTTATAAGATCATTCTCTATCGGTTTATTAAATTTTTAAACGTTGCAATGCAAAATTAGCAAAATTAAACTAATTTAATTAGTTACACTTACCAATTCAATAAATTTTGAAATCCAAGGAAAAGTTACATTTCCACATTGTATTACAATTGTACTTGTAATATAAATTAAAGAAGAAACTTCTTTTTATGCAGATTAAAGAACACTGATCCAGACGACTGATACGACCATGGGAAAAATATATATATACATTATATGAATCCTTGTGATTTCGTGGAAATCGAAATTCCTCCTGGCTCTTTCTCGCTCTCTCCGCCCTTCCATTTTCTAACATTTCACGCTCTTAACGGTTAAAACACACCTTAATGAAGAATTCGTATAACACGAAGAAAATTGGAGCATGCAAACCGGAAAGTGAACGTTCGTGAAGGAACAATTTGTATGAATCTGTTGTGTGCCTTTGTTGTGTGTGTGTGTGTGTGTGTCCTTTATCCTGAAGCTAGCGTATTCCTGAAGAAAAGGAATTGAAAAAGGACGACCGATGATAGAAGCTTGAATGGATGAACCAGGAAAGTAATCCTTGAAGACTGAAGACACCTTACGCTCTTGCGGAAGTATAAAACTGGAAGAGTAGAAAAACGACACAATGAAATGTTAACAATTTGACACGAGGAGTCGATTGCTCTGTTGAAACTAGACACAATTAAAAAAAAAAGAGAAGAAACGTTTAGAAACAAGCAATCGACTCGTCAATTATTTAAATGCATGAAAGATAAAATTGTACAGGTATTCAATAAAACATGAAATATTATCAAGATGAAATGGGAAATTAAAAATTTAAATTCAATAATTTATAATTGGCAGTTAAGATGCTCAGAAAATAAGCTATTGAATTAATATCTCCAATTACTGAATTCATGTACCTGTACAATTTAAAAAGGAATGTCGCAAGGAATGATTATAATAAGAGAAAGGCTCACCTTGTTAGCTATATGATTTAAGATTGCCAAAATAAACAAACCATTGACTCGTATCACTGATTGTCTTTCGTTCATAAAGAAAAGAAAAGAACTATTCACGCAACTATCGAACCTTTAAATCGCACGCTTGACATACGTACATATGCCTAAAACCAAAGGAAATCGATTCGAAATATCACAAGTTTCTCCTTCATTAAGAAAAAAAAAAAAAAATTGTTCGTTGACTAGATGACAAAAGAATCGCCAAGCTTTCTCTTTTTTTCTCTTCTATCTCAATCTTTCGTTTCTTTTGTTCGCGTGCAAGTGTTGAATGAATTTTTTTCGTGTAGATGTATGCGAGTGTACATATGTGTTTGCCTTATGATTTAGGCCCGCAATCGGCGACGAAGAACAATGTGACTATATTCGACCCTCTTAATTACAAAATGAAAAGCTTTCGGTATCATTAATTTAAGCTTTCTTCAAATGATAGATTACAAATTATACAGATTTCAAACGTTATTTTGTATTACTTCCGAAAGTAATATACTGTATAATCATTTTTAAAATAGTAACTCGTATTCGTTGTATCGTTACGTTAAGAAATCAATTTTCCAGACAAGAAAAATGACAGACGTGTAAATGTTGAAGGGTCGAATATTTGTACAAATGTATCTCTACTGATGTACCTTCAACACAATCGACGATCGTAAAATACACGGATGAGGAAAGATCGATGACGATAGATTCGAAAAAGTGGCGTTTCGTATTAAAAAAGCGAAAAAATGGATCGGTGATAGATCTCCCCTTCCTATTTTCGGCTTTCCCATTGCGGCTGGCACGAAACCGTAAAATCCGCGGTTAGGAATAATTCATTGAATTCCGCGCGTTACGCCCCTCCTCGAGCACTTTTCTCCTCTATCAATCGTTAATATTTCACAATCGACTTATTAAATAATCTATTTTTCTATCTCGGAAAGACTTTGAAACCTCGCCTCGGAACGACTGCCTTTAATCATCCCCCTCTTCTTTCTTTCTTAAATAAAATACAGAGAAAGAGAAACGCGTTCCGAGGACATTTCGAAGAGTTTCTTGACATGTTTCATTTCTTTAAATCGCGACGCTGATGACAGTCCTTGATCTAGTTCCTGTTCGTATAAACACCGAGTTTAATGTCACTTTCGCAGGATCGTAACGATCCGGAACTGATAATAAAAAAAAATACGGAAGCAACGTGCTTCTCGTGGGAACAGTAGATTGTATAATGTCGACGGAAAAAAAAAGTGTCGCGCGAAACTCGCAGGAACTTAATAATATTCACAACGAAGAAAGTTATGGGACTGGCCCGGCGTGTTATCTAATCGCAGACCAAGCTTGAACCATCGTCGCTATTGTTATAAAAATATAATTCACGGGAGAAACTTTTACCTTTTACTACCGAGTCAATTTCTCCAGGCTGTCTTTAAGTTTCTTTGGTCGTTTCTTTCATTTGCATCGTTCAACGGATCAAACGATGCACGTGATACAATTTTAGAAATAAACTATGTTTTCATATCAGATTGATTACTTTTCTTTAAACGTGATATGTTTGTTGTATTTAACCATTTCAGTACTACAGCTCGTTGCAATCCGAGCTATGACATAAAAAAAGTACCTCAAATAAAATTTATAAAATTAATATTGAAGCTTGTATAACTGATTTAGATTTGCATTTACATCGATTAATATTCAAGTAAACGTTAGTTGCATTCTTAGACGCAAAATCGTCTTATATCGTCAACTAAAGACGACTATGGTCACCCGCCATTAATCGCTCATAAATAAAACTTTATAAAAACACTGCGGTACCAAAAGAGTTAAAACACTAAATTGTACTATTTCTTGTACATTTTAACTTAAAGACACTCTTTTAATACGTGCTCGAGGAGGTGGATTAACGCACGAAAATGTGCGTTGGAACGAATAAATCGATAATATTAAATACTATTAAAGAGAATAACGTCGAGACATCCCGAGACACCTCAACAATAAGACTAAATATTTTTTATTTTCAAGAACGATGAATAACGCTCTTGTAAGATTCTTTCATTAACGAGTGTACGGCACGAGGTGGTAGCAAGAAGTCAAATTAAAACTACTTCGAAATTACTTTTTTTTCCCTGAATAATAAGATTCAAGCGTATACGCGTTCATTGCATCGAGCTTATTCGTCGTTCTTGAAAGGAAAAAACAGCTCGTCAGCTCGACGGAACAACTATACTTGTCTTTTTTTCTGTTAAATTCTTTTTCATTAACGTTAAATTTTAATATCTCTTCTTCAATGATAACGATCTTTTGTAGCAGCTATATCTACGACACCGATGGACGAAAACGGATCGACGAGGATAACCGGAAAGTTGAAAGGCGAGAGTTTACTCTCACCTTTCTTTGAATATCTATGGTATCTCTTCTCCGTCGATATTGGCTATGCATTGCTAATCTAACGCACTTATCTCGCTCGCTTTCATACTCTTGTAACACGGTCTTCCCTTTCGAACGGGATACTTTCATTAACGTTTGTCGAATCACGGCATTCTTTTGACATTAATCGTCCAACTAAGAGGAAAGTCAAATCTAATCTCCTTCCTTTTCATTTCTTCTCGTTCTCTACTCTATTACATCTAAATCACAATCTAAAACTTGATTTTGCAACGTGTTATTCTAATAATCCGTTCTTTCCAGTACCTATTCTTTCCAACTACTTAATATTCATGACATGGATGACGTGGCAGTGAAATGTGTTAAAGAAATTTCATGAATTATTGTAGACAAACATCTGCACTCTGCTTATAAGACTCTTTCATCAATTATTGATTTCGATTTTCCTCTTGTTTGACGATCGCACACAGATTCACAATCAACCGAGCTGTTCGAGAAGACTACAATAGACGTTTTTTTTTTCTACCACACGTTTACGTTTCAAAAAAGACTAGCTAGGTGAAAAATACACCGTTTTATTCTCGATGTAATTATTGTAGACTTACTCGAATCTATCGAATGGAGAACTATCAACAATTTTGCGTGGTATGCCTCAGAAAAATTCGATAATCGTATTAACTCGATATCATTTCCTAAATTGTAATTAAGAATTTCAAAATATCACCTCGCTGGTAACTTTTGAACCATGATTAACGATCATTATAATTATTATATATATTCTCGTCTATAATCTCAAATATTTTTGGTACATCAACACTCGGGTCGGTTCTATTCTTACTATTAACGTTCCTGAACTTGTTCATAAGGCGATTGATCTTTCTCGTGAATGCTTTAACCCTTTGACTAAGGCTTATTATTAATCAAATATAAGATAACAATACGTCCAACGCCATGTTAGTTAAATAAAATAGAAACTGTGCTGAAATGAGAAAAAATTATATATCCCTTTACATAATAATGGTCGTGTGACAGCATATATACAGTGAGGGCTGTTCACCGTTTTAAAAAATTTCACTATTTTTTCACGATTTCAACAAATTGTAATTTTTTAAAACGATGAAAATACAAATATTTTAGTGAATTAATTTTTATAGTTTCTCAAAAAACCTCAAATTATTTACTCCAATTTTAACCGAGGTGTTCTATTTTGAACAGTTTCTACTTATTTTTGCCTCTCACTGTATATATATATACACACCTTTTGCAGTCAAAGGGTTAAATTAGCGCATAACGGACTGACTTCGAAGACATACCACACCAGATGTTCGTACGCGATCAGAAAGATTGTAAACTAGAAACACGTCATCCCCCTAGCTAAGACTACGAACGTGGAAACGAACGTTTCTCAGTCTATGTCGATCACATCCAGGTTCTCCGTTGATTCCTTACGTTGTCGCATTTTACGACGCAGCAGGACGGTCCTCAGGATGTTCGGTGATCGTAGACCCGCGACTTCTGGCCGCGGGGCATGCTGCTACGCGGCCTTTTGCCTCTTCCTTTGTTCTCTTCGAGTCAAATTCGAAGGACCCGGACTGCCTGAGGTACTAGCTTTCTCGCAATCGGCCGTCGGTAAAGGCTTTAACTCCCTGATAGATAAGAATTTCATTTTAATAATAATTTCAAGGATTATTGATTAAAAGAATTATTATTTGAATTTCTAATTTTCTGAAAGGATTGATAAGTAATCGCCAGATTTTGTAATTTCCCAAAAGGATTCACTGTAGTATGAAAAATCAGTAACCTGTAATTAAGAAGCTCCTCGTCGTCGGGTACTCTAGATATGAGATCAAGAACCTCGTTGTTCGGTACCGAGTGAGGCCGGAAGATCTTCCTGGAGAATTTATTGACGCCCCACACTAGGATCAGGTATCTAAGGGGAATGAAGTAGAGAACCGCAACCCCGAGAATCGTCAGAAGCATCGTTACGTAACTGAGATAAGGGACAGTAAAATTGAAGAGGTTCTTCACCCTCTCGCAGAGACTGGCTATGTAACCAATCGAATTCTGAACTGTCTGGGTCACTTCTTGGATCGCTTGCAGTCGTTCTTTCAAACTCTTCTTCTCTTCCTGGAAAAAAAGGATTGAAAATTCATTCATTCGATGCATAAAAATCTAATAATAACAGCTTCAGAGTATTATTGAGATTCTACTTGAGAATAAGAGATTGAATATTACGTATAACGAGAGTTAATTTTTAATACGGTGACCTCGTATCGGTTTGAATAGGTCGAAGGGTAAATCGAAGTAAACGACAAAAATACATACATCATCGTTGGTCTTGACACGTGTTCGAATCTAATATTCATTCGAAGAAACCTTTCAGCTATTGATGCTTAATAATTGATACTTGAATCATTTTCATAAACATTACAGCAAAATTTGGCAATTTTCAAGATAAGACAAAGATACATTTTTAATGGATACTTACTTTATCTTTATCATCATCGTCATCGTCGTCATCTCCTGGTGTAGTTGCCCCTTCATCGATTTCGTCATGGTAATGAGAGCTCGTGTGATGCGATAAGGGTGTGCCAGTTATCGCAGAGACCTGTCCGGAAATCCATTGATTCAGTCCACTTCCATCTCCGTAAAGCTGGCGAGTAGCAAGGATCGTGGACATGCATCAATGCAGGTAAAGGTCGTCAAAGCATTCGATTTACAGAATTAGCATTTACGTGTGGGTGTACTGGGGGGTAACCGGTCATTGGCTTCTATTATTCATAAGCAAGCTCAAGAATTGGCAATACTAAGAAATATGAAAGTATTAAAAGGAAGAAAATTATATCAGAGGGTGATTGTATGCAAATTCTTTAGTCTACATAATTAATGATTGCACTATTATTATGAGTGAAGCTACTATAATTGTACATAATTAAATTAACCAAATAAGAGAAGATTAGGAGAAAAAAGTGATTTACCTAAAAGGTAAGTGTACTAGAAGAACACCCTAAAAAGTTGGAATGCAAGAAATTGTTTATCTGATGAATATCTTAATTTCTTTACATACCAGATAATACCTCAGTAAAATTAGTAAAGCTGCTCCAGGGAACATGTAAGGCTCAAAGTAGTAGCAACCCAAAATGAAAAAAACCAACGCTACGATGCTCCTCATTTTACTTTCCCATTCCCAGCAGCTCCTAAAATCAAAATTCAATTATCCACGAGTAAAAATCAATTCTAACAGAAAGAAAAAGAAATTTTATTTCATTGATGTCTCTTTAGTCAAAGAATTAATCTACGTGTTATTGCTTTAATGACTACAAAAACAGTATTCCAAGAAATGCAGTTCAATCATGATTAATCATCGTCCTGACGTCCGTAGCGTGTTACAAACAACACGTAATATATGATCAAACGTGTAATTTATGTAATCCTTTCGATAGGTTGTCCCTTAAATACCATAAATATCTTTACACATCCAATGTAAACTTTATGAACATATTGACACGACCATTGAATTTAGCACCCTGACCTTTATCGTGACGCATTTAATTCTTTGACTACAGCTAAATTGGACAGCATACGGAGTGTATAAAAATAATGTACACCCATGAAATTCTTAAACAAAGAAACTACGTACTGCACGTATTTTCCGATGTCGATTACGATAACGATAATCGCTTTCAGCCTGAGAACATTACGTAGGAAAACTTGTCTCTTGAATTTGATCTCTGGCTCCATATATTTTTTTTCCTTAGGATTAAGCGTTTGTACGCAGCCTCTGACAACGTTCCAGACCACATTCATCTCGAGAAGTATCTGAGGGGAATTACCCTTTGCTCGACCCCTTAATTTTTTGTCCTTTAACGCGTACCATCGTTTCTCGCCGTTTCTTATCTTCAGAAGGGGTATGGCAACCTTGCCTAAAAACTCTACTTTATGATCCCTGTCCTCGTCGTACACCGTTACCTCTAGCACCGAATTAATATCCTTCACATTGCTGGAAAGCAATAATTGTTGAATGCTATTCGACGTTTCTACGGGTTTTAGTACGGTTTTACGAGCACTTACAACGTGAAGATTTTTTGCCAATTCGGAGCGAGGGTTTTGTACTCCGTTTGTGTTTGTAATCGGGCGTTCACGAGTTCCAGGACGCAGAAAGGATCGCTCTTTCCCCCTAGATCCGCCGCGGCCAGACCCTGAGCTCTGAACACCTATATTTCAATAATTTTTATGAAAATATGACTTCGAATATCGTAATGACAAATTGAAATTTAATTATAGATTCAAAAATAACAGAGACCTTAACTGTTAGATGACCAACGTCTCTTAGCCTCTGGAACGAGTTTCTCAACGAATATCTGTGGTATAATTGTTCTCTTTCACGCGGTGTTTCCTCGTGAGCAGCTAAATCGCTGATAGTTTCACTGGCTGTGGTACCACTAATGGTTAACAAGAGAAAAATGCTCCCAGAACCATCCTCGAGGTCTCGCCACAGGCGATGAGTGGTTTCTCGTTCGAGGGTCGCCAAATCGATCACCGTCCTTCCCATTAAATCGTCCTGATGGCTTTTATCACGGTCCCACACTGTTACCTCCAATTCCTGTCCTAAATAGGGATCCTCGTATAGATGAAGATCGAATTGCTCCAACCAAACTGGATTCAAAGTCTTGTGCACCACCTTCGACTTGTATTTCTCTGTACCCAGACTAAAAATTAATTGAAGAGATTAAGCTTAAGAAAAATTTTTTTGCAAGTAATACTACAATCGGATAATAAAAAATTTCTGTTCATTTGTTTCATTTTTATTAATCAGAAATAATTTCATACCGAAACTTGACGTATGGATCCGAGAGACCATCTATATCCATTGGTAGAAGATTTTTCGCTTCGACGAGGACAATTGTCACCACAGAGCTCCATATTTGTGACTTCAACCGTCTATTTACGTCTGCCAATCGATTGGTCCGTTGGAAGTACTGCAATAGAAAAATGACGACCCATGAAACGAGAAGCAACCAGTTCACAAGTGATAACTTTCAGATATCCTAAACAACATATATGTATATTCACTCTGAAACTCTCTCATTGAAAATCAATACCATAACACTGCCTCGACTATAGATGAATATTATAGCTCTTAAATTTATTTATCAGTCATGAATCAAATATTCTAACGATAAAAGAATTTCATATTTTTACTTTTATTTCTATCTAAATATTTTATTATCGCTTTTACTCGAAATAAATTTCTCAATTTTCTTCACTCTACCCTATGAATATCTTCCATCTTCTCTTTAACATTGTCCTTCAGCTTATCGAACAGATCATGGTGTTTCGGATCTTCCACCTTGACCTCTGACTTCTTCGTCTGCTCCAATCTGCTCTCTATTTTAGGCTCTTCATCCTCGTGTTCAGCCGCGACGTATTTAAATTCAAAACTTTCCTCTTCACTTTTTGATTTCTTTTCCTCTACCTTTGAATCGACGTCGATCGAATCCTGACGAACACCGTGGCTCACGGAATGCTTACAACGCTCAACGATCCAGCTCTCAATAGGCAACAACCATAAACGATTCTCCACGTTCCCTTCTATGATTTTCTCCATGTGATCCTCGAGCATCCTCTCCACGGAACCCATTTTCTTCTCCAGAGAGGATCTCAACAAGCCCATCGTCTTTTTCTCTTTAATTCTAACCGGTTTCTCGATGGACAAACCCTCTATTTTCGTCCCTGAAGATTTCTCACGAGCGTCGTCCATCTTTCCACGCAGATTCTCCAGAGAACTCCATCTTCTCGAGGATGGATCTCCCCGGATCTCCTGCGATCCCTTCTCTTCGTCTGTAAGTTCTACAAGAAAATTGCTCTCAGAAACGTCAAGAAGTCTCAAAGTATCTTTCTCCTTTTCTTCGTCTGTACCTCGAACAGTCTCGATCTCTTCTTCCGACTTTTTCTCCTCAATCGTGCCTGAATCATTTAATAAAATTTCCCGAAGCTTGTTCTCTTTAAACCGAGCATTAAATCCGTCTCTTCGGGAACACTGAGCTTCTTCTGAAAGAGTTTTATCTACAGAAGCTTCGTCAAGATCGATGTTCGAACCTCGACGATATTCTGATCTATCGGAACGCATACTCCTGATGGCTCTGCGAAATATTGCGTCCACTTCCGCTGTTACCTCGTCGAACGATCTCTTTGAGAGTTCTTCCTCAGCTTTGTGCTTGAACCTATCACGATGATGCTCCCAGAATTTCTTCCATTTATTTTCATGACTCTCCTCGGATATTTTGGTCAACTTCAAGGATTTTGTAGAGTGATCTGAATCAGTCGAGGTTTCCTCTGCAGCGATATCGCTTATCTTCTTCCAACTGCCACTACCGCTTCTTGGAATCATCAGACATTCTTGTTCTAACGATTTAACGTCGTCTTCCGTTGATGGATGATTGTCTGGCTCTTTTATTGGATCCTTATGATGTTCATTCGGTGTGCCAGAGGGTTTCTGGTGTCTCTGAGGTCTGCTAGGTTCAGCTTCGCTCTTCTTCATGATGCAAACGACGAAGGATAAAAACAGAATGAATCGTAGAGTTCCTTGAATTCCAGGCTCACCTCAACGACCGCCTTATGTAACTAATAAGTGCTCTCTTCCGGTATTCGCACGCGACCATCTGCTCCTGACTAATTGATACGCCTTTTTGCAACTTCCTCAATTCCTCCGTGCCTGTTGCTATTGTCGAGGCAATACTCATCGTCGGTTTCTTTCAATCTTTGGACAAAAATATCAGTGAGATTTTAGGGAACCCTGGTTGAATTTCAATGCTCTGTTTTGTCTTGAAATTAATGGAAATTAAATTGTGATTTATGCGTTGCGATTCAAATAGAAAATCTCAACAAAGATCACCCATATTGTTGATCTATTCTTAAATTATCTTCTGTTACCCGGGAAAAATAGGAGATCACAAAATATTCACTGAACAAATTAATTATTGAACGTTAACGATTGATCTGCCACCACTGTCCAACGATTCACGTGGAAAGGATTAAATCGATCGTCACGAAGGTTCCTCGTGGATCGCGTGACGAGGTCCACTGAACGTTTTCACCAGAAAATCGTTCTTCGTGCTTCTTCGTTAACGGCGACAATTCAAATCGAAATCAATGAGGCACCGTGCGTTGAAACTCGTCGAGAATCGACTGTTGGCACGCGGCCGATACGCAAAAGAAATCGCGTCGGCTTTTCGCGACCCGACACGAATTACACCAGACCACTTAGCATTTGTGAGTCATCGGGACGTCTGCGTTCACGTGCACACGTGGTTCTCGACTTTGCTCGTTATGCTCTGTTTCGTGTTTTTACCGACCACTTCCTACTCTGTTCTACAGGTTGTTTCAAAAAAGAAAAAGAAACATTAACTATTTCAATATTCTTTCCAATAAACGAAACGAAAATAAATTTATCTTTGAAAATTTTTGATGTTTCAAACCAAAGAGCACAGGTGGATGACCTTAGGGCTTTGGGAACTACAAGGATCCCGACTCAAACCCAACTCAAAACTATCCCAAACTTAATCAAACTTGTGAATATCTCAGAGCAAACAATGTCTGAAGACTATGTTGACTCTGAGTTTACATGAAGCTACAATTAACCACGTAATTAAAAATATACTAATTACCGGAGCTGAGAGATTTACTCTATATACGAGGAATTGTAAGATGCAAATATACTGAATCTCTCAATTGAAAATAAAGAGTTACAGGTGTTGAACAGATATTTTGTGGCCGACGATAAAGACACGCGAGGAACTGGAACGATAAGACAGTAGATCGTATATACTTGCACGACAGTTGGCCTGTAACTGGTTAACCGTGCGATTCAATTGAACGAGTGAGCTCCTTCTTCCCTCTCCATACGTGATAGGAGGTAAATATTACGATATCGCCTATGGAAGTTTAATGTGTGGGCAAATTGCTTTGCATTGGCGTAGACGGTGACTACGGATGTATATCTTCTTTTTCCACTTGGGTTTCCAATTGTTATATTTATTGGTATTTAACTATAAAAGAAAATGTTAAATAAAAATGTGAACTATGATGTGATGCCATAATTAAAAGTAATTAAAAATTTCTATTATCGTTTTGGTAATGACATATTTTTGAAACAGGTATTCCAAGAACTTAATTCTATGTTTTATCCGTCATCGATGGGGAGCGGCCCTTTCTTTACAGTCAATATTGATCATGACGCGAGATTGACACACAGAAACCATCTGAGGTCTGCGATTGTAATCACAGATTCGCAAAACATAACGATCACGGACGATCCGTGTGGATCGCGATGCAAGAGTTTGCATTATGCCACCTCGTGCAGCGAGAAATTAGACGGACTTACGCACTGGAACGGTATGGATTACAATAGAGCTTAGCAGGCGCGATGGTGACAATTATGGACAATAAGCGAGGTTTACAAGCGGGATTTTAACTTCTTAACGACGGTCTATTTGGTAGAGGAATTGATCTTGTTGACTGAATTGAAGCGGTGGACGATGTGTTAACATTTTAAATTTAACCAAGATCAACAGATAAGATTACAAATGGACCGAGGTGTACACACAGAAAGGCAGTATAAATATTAACGTTTTTCAAATACAAATCTCGATCGAATTCTGTCGGGCTAAAGAAAGTAAATATTGATCGAGAAACACTTTTTCCCATACGTGTACAGTCCAGCCGGATGCTTTTCAATAGGAAAAGTTGGGAGCCTTCAAAGTTCTGAGGATCTTTTCAACGCCAATGATATGACGGAATCAATATTGCACCAAGTTTGTTCGTGGTCCTGTTGTAACCCAGTTTCCACGTTCTTCGAGCGACATATGTCTGATATGGCAATTATTAAAACAGCGAGAAAGTTTATCTGGTTTGCAAGTACCTTGACAGAACGATAATAATTAGATGAAGAGATAATATAATATTAGTACAGAGAAATTATTGAATACCAAATAAAATGAACATCTATCCACGCTGGAAAAATGATAGCGAAACAAGCAATTTGTTGATAGAATTCATATTAAACACTTGGACAGTTTATACCCTATCAAAGTGGTTCAATTGTAACCTATCGAAGTTTACATTCGATGGACTTATCGTTTTTCGATACATTGCACGGATGATGTCCTTCTTGTTCAGCAGAACGAGAACGTTAGAATGCAACGTTTCATATGTGTTTCATCCGAGTCCGAGGTACTATCCAGTAAAAAAATTCAAATAATCGACTACGATGCGCCACTCGACCTGAAACTCTACCAATAAGTTCTAATTTTTATTCGCGATACTTTGTTCGATTTTCATTTCACATTTTCAACGAGTCATTGATTTTCTATAGTTTCTTTTCGAGCCTCGAACCACTGGGTTCGGTATTCATTTGCATGCAACTGTTGTAATGAGTTTAAATTCAGTTCACAGCTCGTGTGAGCTAGGTACAAGCAGCGTAACAATAAGTACCCCTATCAACACACTGATATGCAAATCCTTTGATAACAGCTTCGATTAAAGATGCAAAATTCGTGGCTGTTTAACTCTGATAACGTCAGGCAATTTTCGCGGTACGTAATCGTTCATTCCAATTAGAGTTTGCGCCTATTTTCAATTTTTTTATACTAAACAGAAAAGGAACTTCTGGAACCCTCTCAGATTCTCAGTAAAAGTACTTATGTGTATAAGAAAACAAAAATTAAGAAAAAAAGGTAAAGAAAAATAAATGAAGAAATATTGGAAATACCTGTTCTTTCTCCTGTTGATTTCTCGGCCACAGAGTGACGGACAAATAAATTTCTCCAAGGTGTTGCTTCGGCCTGGCGTGATCCTTCAGCTCCAACACGACATCCTGCGGCTGGCCAAGTTCGATCTGCGTCAAATCCAACTGTGCCTCCCCCATGAAATCATCCTGCAGACCCCAGTCGTAGTCGAAGACCTGTCGAAACGACCAAGGTCTTTTTCTAATCGAAAGAAAGAGCAACAAACAGCTGATGAAATTAGCGAGACTTTCTATACGAAGACGCTCTGGAGCAAAGGAACGCGATCAAAGAAGATTCGTTCCTTATCTCGACTAATCTAAAGTCGATACGATTCCCAAATTTTCAATTAAATTTTCAATTAAATTTTCTTCAATTTTACACGGGATCGATCGAATAATTACGGTGAATTTACCTTGAACGTGAGTGGCTGGAAAGGATCCTCTATAGGCAGGGTTACGCTTTCGTCCCAAACCGGATTTAGGTCGCGATGAACAGTTCGCGACTTGTGCAATAATCGACCCGCAGATTTCACTTTCACGTAAGGATCACTTGCACCTGGAACAGAGAATTGGTGCACTCCATTTCGATCTCTCTATCGAGAACAATTGTTTGATAACTGTTTCGAGGGATGAAAAGCTACGAGAATACTAAAGAGAATCAATCTGTGCACGATTTTTACCCTTTGACCTTTAATCAAAGTAACAAGGACCCAACAAGATAATTTTCCTGTTCAATTCTCAATTGTTTCAAAGTGGACTGCGTTGGAAAAATCAGCAGCTTTGTCTCACCGCATCTATCCATAGCAACGAGACTCGCCCCTCTTCTGATGTGCAAACGAAGCTGGAAAAAAGCATGCTGCCTCAATGCCAACTCTCGTCTCCTCGCGGTTTCCTCCAGTATAAACGCGCTATCGTCCTGGCTGATAGAACCTCGAGCCTCCTCGTGGGAGTCCCTGGACGCCTGGAAGCTCAAGGATCCTTTCGAACGGGTATCGCTGCATTTTCCAGGGCTATCCTCCGCCCTCGTCACGACGTTCGACCTTCCTCCGCGCACCAACGGTGATTCTGCACATAAAGAAAGAGGTTTTATAAAATACCCGTCTTAAATCGATGTCTTATCGTAAACGAGAGAATATCCTTAGAATGGATATTCTATATTCAGAAAGAAGGTATTCCGAAACGGACGAATGTAACTTGAATACATACGAGGATGAATCATAAAATGTACGTTTAGGAGGGTTTCATTTAACGTATGGAGATAATGGAATTCCGATACCATATAGGATAAGTTAATTTAGAGATAAGGTAGCATAAATTTATATAACTAGCCATATTTTGTAAGATACATTATAACACAAATTATTAAAGTTATTATGAATAGATTTTCTTTATCTGATCAATATCCAATATCAAAGTCGCTTAAAAGTAATGATGTTGTAATAATTAGAAACCAAGATCAATGTACTTGCACAAAAAGGTAATTGAACTGTTTAAACTGGGCAAACATCAAGAGCCCTAGGCAAACACAGGTACACGATGATAATTACTGATTATAGCTACACACGAAAGCTTTCAAGCTAATCGATGCAAGTACAATGATCGCTACGAACGGTCGTTGCATCAACGTTTCGGATCAATCAATATAATGCATCATGAACGGCCTACTCGTATCGATCCCTCGTATTAAACCTGACCTCCTGGTTTCAGGCATACAATTTTCTTTTCTTTTTTTATTTTCAAGCGACGCGAAAGAAAATACTCCCCTGCTGGGCAACAAATTTCAAAGTTAACGTCCATTAAGCCTCATTACTGTTCCGCTCGACGATGACTCTTGTGAAAACGATCCTGGGGCTCGTTTCATAGCTCTCCTTCTTTACTCTCTCTGTTGCTAGAATGCACAACTAATTGGAATTTAATTTCCACAGTGGACGGTGAAATACAGACTCGTTTGGAAGAGGGAAGTAGCAAGGTGTATCTTATCAATGATCAGGCAACATTAATCTACTTGTTGGAAAGTGGCTTTAGCATTTTGATGACCAGTATATTTTATAGTAATAGTATAGTAATAGTAATTAATGAAGATTAAAAAAAAAGAATACCTGGATGATTGAGACAATGCCTGGCCGGACTCTGAGTGGCTGATGAGCTTTTACTGTGTTCAGAGGAATAATCGGCGGCATAGTCGGATTCGACGCCACCAGATCTGTAAGGTACATCCTGAGAGAGAAGATTTCCAGCATCCTTCGACTTTTTACGTTCTTTGCTCCTGCTTCGTGTCCAGCGACTCTTCAAAGTCGCGAAAAATGTGTGCGTTCGTTGAGCCACCGAGGTGGCGTGACGATGATGCCGGTGGTGATGAACGACGCTCGATTCACCCTGTTCACCGCGTCGTGACGGCGAACTGTTGTCGTTGTTCCGGAGCTCCGTGGCGCTTTTCGAGAGCTGACGGCTCCCGTTCAGGTTCAGTCTGGATCTCTCCTCCACGCGGCTGTTATCTGAAATTTCATTGCCAGAAACGTTCAGTTATATTCGTAGAAACGATGCTGGTATCGTTTAAAGGGGATTAGGATACGATAACAGGTTTAAAACACATTTGAACTTCGTTAATGAACTGATCCGAGGTTCCCTGTCCTATTCTACTTGTCTGATCATTGTACTGGTTTAATTAATTCTGAACACTTTGAATAAAAATATACTAGTTAACATAACGGATCCTCTATATTGGCTTCATAAAATCTTATTCTACTTATCTAATCACCCTGAATTAAGAATGCCTGACTGTACGAAGTCTCACTCTACTTAACACTCTCAATACTACTTCCAATTGTATTGAATCTCTGCCCACATAGTAGCCTTATTCTACTTGCCTGACCTCTAGAAAAAATTAATCTCCTCAACTCTTCATTTCTATGACTCCACGTCTTTTTTAATTAGCATAAAAGGGATCTGCAGTTCCCAAATAAGAACTTGATTTTACATCGACACACGCAATATCGTTGACTATGTAATCAATTTCTAAGAGCAGGAGAAAACCAACTGTGCCTTTAATTCCTCCAACCAGGTCACAGCAATCTTGCTCACAAAGGAGCGTAATTACTATCAGTATAAGGACAACTTATACCAGCTTATTTTACGTGAGAACCAGTACTTAAATTAGGTCTTATTATATCCAACACTTGGAATGAATAAACACAATTAGCCTGTTATAAGATCGTCGTTAACCCTAGAAAGATTGAGGGAGGTGATGGTCGAGGCTACCAATTAGAAACACTGAGAGTATATCATTTCTCTCGTGTAAAAATAAATAGTAGAAGTCTTTTTAGGATTAATAAGAGCCCGTAGAGCATAGATTTAGAATATCTAGGATTACCATATTGATCCCGGATGATCTGGAAATATACGAAAGGTAGAAAGTTTCCTGGAAAGTAGGACATATGACAAAGCTGTTGCCCATGTATCCGGGACTTTTTATCTAACATAATATGTATATTCGGGAAATAGTTATGGAAATGTAGGTCTCAATTTATAAGTCCCTCTTATACGAGCCGATGTGGATAAACGATAGAGACCAATGAAATGGAAGCAACGCTTTGACACGTGTGTAATATAACATCAAAGAAACAATCTGTACGCAAATGGTTTCTCGTTAACAATTCATACACGTATACAGAAGAGTTTCCTAACGTTTGCGTTATTCAGGCACATGAATTTTCGGTGACGTTTCACAAATAAATTAAAATACACCGGTAACAATCGTGCAGATAACAATGCATTAACGAGTACCACGCTTGTCGGTTTCTAGCGTGTTAACCGGGTCGTTTTTCAAACAGAAAAGAGTTATCTCTCCTTTTCGCTAATGACGATGAATTCATTTGTCTGCTATGTGACCCGTGTTAATTTCCCTGATATGTATGACTAAAGTTTGGTTAATTTCTTCAGAAACCGAGAATCTACTCTTTGAAACAGAGTAATTCAATTAATTGTTACAGTATCGATTTTCGATAAATTATTATTAAATGCTGGAGTATTTTTAATCCCAGGCTATAGAAGCTCTAGATGAAATTTCATATTAAAGATTCTTACTTTTTATCTCTGATCAGGATCGAAATTGAGCATTACCGAGGTTCCAGTCAGATCCTTAATACATCAATTCACAGGGGAAAAATGAACGCGACACGCGATCCAGCCGGAAAAGGATATCGCTCTGATCTAATTGATACGGATAATTGAAAATAATTCTATTAAGAAACAAATAATCCATAGCGTTTCGAACGGGAACAGAACCAATGACAAAGCAAACGAACAAGCATGTGAAAACGTTAAAATAAAACTATCCGGTTCTACAAATTGAAATTTCATCGTCGCTGAATTTCAGACAATGAAGATCGTTAAATAGAATTGACCGTAATGAATTCGCGAAACGACTTGGAATTTCACGATTCGACTCGATTTTCATTCGAAACGATATCTGGCGTAGGAGTAAGTTATTTCGTATAATTTGAAGAACTCGTCTGACAGTTACGAGTAAACAAGATTCGAAGTTTACGTAATCGTATAAAAGCAGATTCAATGGCAATCATCAGCAATATAGGATGATTGAGCTTCGTTGACCGAGTCGACTCGAATCCAGATTTTATCTAATAGCGTTAAGTGATTCAACGAGGAAACGCGGAGGAAACGAGAGGCACGTGTTAGCTCGGGATGGGGTAAATTTGACACGGATACTCCATAGATTCTATCGAACCTTTCAGCTGAATCTACATAGGGTGTCCCGTTGTGAAACATTTACAGACCATTCGTGTAAGTTACGCTTTGACGAAAGTGTGTGTTCTTGGATCACTTAAATCGTTCCAATTGTAAAATTAACTGTCCAACAAATTTAAACTTTTTTTCTTCTGTTTTCCAATTGGGTGATCGTTGTATTAAATAGTATTAAAATCTATAAGGTCAGAAGGGATGAAAGTGTTCGTTGGGGGAGGGTTCAGCACACTCACCCACTGTTATCTGTTCACTGTCCTCCGACCCAGCGAGTAGCTCGACGCTCTTGCTCATCTTATCCACCGAATACGCGGTTTGTTTTTCGAAGCTCCAGCTCGCGAGCCTTTAATCTCTTCTTGAAGTGCGCCAGTCTGCCGCATGCCGATAGCATGATTTCGTCGGGAGATGAACGAACCTAAGGACCATCGACCAGCGGTCGCGTATCCTGAATTCCGCCCGCGGATCCTTCACCCGAACATCCTTGGATAACGTGTCAACGTTTCGTCAACTGGTCCATGCTTCTTTGCGTTTCGTGATTCGAGACGATGCGATCAGCTGTTGCGATACAGATGAAATTACAGTGAGAATGAGACATGATTTCTTATTCGAATATGTAGGTAAGTACGCAGACGTTAACGTCAAAGAAATAAAATTACAAAAGTCAAATGCACATATACTAGGAAAATAATGCAAAGTATAGAGGGAACATAATTGGTAAGTAGTTTCATAGTTGATGAGAGGATAATGCATCAGAAAGATGGTAACATGGGTGTACATGTGTCATTGATTGAACGATATAGTGTGGAGAACGTGTACGAGCTTAGGAAGATATAGTAACGTGACGTGTGTTGACAATGTAACTCCTAATGCTAATATACCCTACTGACATGCCATGGAATATTTACACTAAAACAACGAATTCTACGTTTCTTATAAATTACAGAATTTGTTAATGCACGTTTCTACAAATTTTAAGAAGTTAAGATGTTAATATCCTATAAGGTAAAGATCAAAGGGTAGAAGTATTTTAAAAAAATATTGATTTGACGTTTAACATTTGACCTCCGGCTTATTATAGAGATAGTTTAACGTTAAAGAGAAATTTGAGGGTCAACGGTAAAAATATCTACGGTAATGAAACAAGGATATGAGAATTTATGGAACACCGAAGATGGAACAATTATTTCTTAATTAAAATTTCAAACACCTTGATCGGTGAATCAGTTCGTGCAAAAAGTTCCATGGAAATTGAACTTCCCCCGCAAAATGAATCACGAGAGAATAAATTTGTTCTTCAAAGTTTCAATCCGTGATAATTTCAGTCTCGAAATATTAATCTAATATTACGGAACACGTAGAGTAAATAATCTAGGGTTCCCTACATCTAGAACTCTAAAGCTAATATTCTCTAGACTAATTCAACGATGCTAATTATTATAAAAATGTAATTAATGCCCTTAGGTATAATTCAACTTATCATACAAGACAAACAGAATTTGCATCAAAGTGATGAAACTTCTGAAATAAATTCGAAATTTCAGTGAGCTAGCATAAATATAAGAAATGAAAATTTTGACAGAAATACGAACGAATAAATAAATAACGAAAACGGTACAGCTGTCTAAAAATAGTTCTAAACGAATTAAAACGCGCATTTACACTCAAGTGTTATAATTTCTAATTGCTGGCTGATTTAATCAGAGTGGTTTTCGTTTGATTAATTGATCAATTAAAAAGTTAGTGGAGCAACGTTCAAGATGACTTGTAAACGATAAATAGAGTTTCTTGGAGATTTCTACAAGTATCATGCTCTAAATATACTTCTAAACAATAATTACATTTTCTACAGTGTATATCTAATATTATTTTTTAATAAAATAACAGTAAAAATCCCCCGTAAGAATTCTTATTAAATGTACTGGAACGAAAGAAAATTTATTGCCTTCGGTTTATCCATAATGGCTGACAGAACATTTCTAATATACGGTACGGCTTTTAAAAAATTGTCCTGCGATTAAACGATCAAAGGACACCTGGCCTAGATCCAACAAACTACGGCACTGTGTTCCGTTTCTAACAAACCAATTTTCTGAAACCTTCCTGACCCATACAATCTGGTCTTTGCATTGATAAATACATCTCAGAATACGAAGAGATGTACTGTAAAAGGGAAACAGATAAAAACATCATTAATTCCGATCGGTGAGTTTCAAGAGATTCTTCGACCGACACAATCCTTTCACCTTATTTCTCATTTCGTTGAAAAAGAAATCTGCATTTCACTAAAGCTCCCACAAAAGAATAAATAATGCAACACAATAAACAGTTCCAAGCTATCTCTAGCGAGGAATGGTTGAACGCTCCTCATCGACGGTCCAATCTATTCCGCTTTTAATTCGCTTCATTTCCAGAGCGACGGCTCTAATGAAAACGACGGCAAAGGGATGCGTATCGACTAATAAATCGCTTGACGGTCATTAAATCACCCAGGTAATCATCGAATATTTCCGATCCGACTTTCCGTTTCTCGGTGTTTTCGATTATCAATTGGCGTTAGAGAAACGAGGGATGAAAAGCAGGTGGAACCATTTCACTTTGGTAGCTATCTGTGTTGATAATTTTCGCTCCTACTTATTTAGGTATTTGCATACTTTCGTACTTATCAACATTGATACTTATCTACTTTAGTACCTACCCACGTTTATGCCTGTTTAATTTGATACTAACTACCTCGTTTGTAGTACATACTTTGCTATTTTTAGTCGCGGTTCTACGTCCTAATTTTCAATAGCGAGAGTATTATTATTCTGGAATAATAACAAAAGGTTATTAGTGTAAGCAATAGTGAATAACAAAGAAGCTAATTAAATGTTCTGTTTCATTCGACCCCGTGTATTAAATGAGCAACGTTCTATACAACCCTGAGCTTCTATTCATTCCCTCAAACCGTGCATGTAAAACGCAATGAAGTGGTTTGTATTCTTACACGTTGTAATGGTCGCTTGAAAACTGGAAAGAAGTTTCAAGTTGTTCCATGGTGTATACTAGCTTAATTATTTTGCTTTTTATATTATATCAATGACTCGATAAAAAGTAATTACATTAATTCTGCTTCCTATCCGTTTCATTACGTCCTCTAACGACATTCGCATCCGTCCCGTAATCTTCTTCCCGTCGATCCAACTTCCGTAAAGTAACGTCCCGTTGTTCGTTTTATCAAATAAACACGGTTCTTAATGAGATTCTCTACACAATACAGGGAGTCTTAAAGCCTCGACCGAATTTCCTGACGACTTTCTCGATCGATTGAAGAAATTTTCCGACAGAACCCAAAGAAAATCTGATCGTTCGACGAATGTCTTGATTATACGTAATTGCGATTCTTTTCCCTAACGATCAAGTATTCTTCCCATGTGTCATACACGATCAACGTACGTCGACGTAAATTGTTTTGAATGAGAAACTCATCCTATACGTTTATCTTTAAACTTTGACCTTTTCTGTTACCGAAATCTCTCGATTTTATTATCTCTCATCTCAGCATCTATCCAACCAATTGTGTCTGAAAGTGTACTATAATCGTATCACAAAAACAACGCTGTTTATCGTGTAGGTATTAACATGCAATCAATCCTACAACAGGAACCTAATTTTTGTTGTGCACAACTATAATAGCAACACGGTGTCGTGTGTGAAGACAATTAGTTCTATACAAATTCTGTTTAATGTTACATAAATAATAAGGCAATACTTATTTAATATAACGCTAATGACTATCACCGGCGACACCGTGTTACTTTTCAAGGATTAAATGTAAAACGAATTACCTTAGGATCGCATCGAAGAATAACACTTCGAATACACCACAACAGATCAAACAATGCGGTAACACTCGAACAAGCAATTGTTAAAGCCTCGTGAAATTGTATGAAAAAAAAACAAACGCCACGATTCACCAAGTCCACGCTTCCACGTCCGAGAGGCCACTGACAGAACTTGCGATTCCCCATTTTGCGTGGATACTCCTTCCTCCTCTACTGACCGCGCCGCTGTGGAAGGAGAACAGTCAGACAAGGATGGTAAATACAGAAGAGAACGAGAGGGAAAGAAAAGGAAAGAGGCTCTATCGACCCAACCGAACCACCGTCGTGCGAAAAGTGGAGATACAGTAGTAGCGATGGGTCTAACTAAACCCGTACTGCCCTATCGCGGGGGTGTTTTTTAATGGTAAATCACTTCGATTAGCTTCTAGTACGATATTATTAGAAATTACATTGAAGTTGTAGCATACTGTTAATTTTTTCAAGATCGTATCAATTATATAGTCAGGGCCGGCCCTGGGTCTAGGCAGACTAGGCGGCCGCCTAGGACCCCCATAAGACGATTTTGCATCTAATGCAGCTAATGTTTACTTGAATATTAATCGATGTAAATGCAAATCTAAATTAGTTATACAAGCTTTAATGTTAATTTTATAAATTTTATTTCAGATACTTTCTTTTATGTCATATATGTGAAGGGACTCTTTTTCGGACCCCCCGGAATCAATGTATTCTTAATTGCCGTTTATAATTGCAAATTAAAAGAAAAGGGTATTCATACAAATCCCACGGTTCTTTAATAAATTTCAATTAATTCTGAAGCTTGAAAAGTTTCTTTACATCGTAAAGAAAGTCTTCAGAGCTTTCGCTAAGCTAATCATCTAATTGACTCCCTAATCTGCTGAAAAGTCAACAAGATGATAAATACTCACAAAGTATCCGCAATTTTTCCTACGAGGACGCTAATGGGATGAGAAGATCAGTGCCATCGCTATGCACATGCACGTTTCCGTGAACGTCGTTGACGAACGAGAAAACGGCGCCAACTTGACCTCTGGAAGGGCAATGTCTTTCGAAATTTTGCCGTTTCCGCGAGCTCGTGGCGAAAAGAATCGAACAATCGTTGATAAGCATCGTGCAGGTGGGAGAACGGTTCGAGTGTCGTCCACTTTATCCGCATGTTTGAAGGTCGATTTTCTTGCAACGGGTCGAGTACCTGAAATTCATCGGGCTGCAGAAAATTTCATTCACTCCAGATGCGATTACAAATATTGGGAAACGAAGGACGTTTTCGAAATCTAGTTCATCGATCGTTTCGTGAAATTTAATTCGACGTACAAATCTTTTTGGTATTTAGCTGTACGAAATTTGGGGAAACTAGGTCACAGATTTCAGGAAGCAATACCTTTTTTTACGTTCGGCTGTAGGTGATCTAGCGGTTTTACGATTCTTTAACCCCCGCTCAGCCGATACCGGGTCACTTCTAACCCACATCTTAAAAAATATGTAGTATATACATATTTGTATTATTTTTATATTTACCTATTTGTTGATTTCAAAATGAATGCGCCTGAACAAGAAATGCACGATTTTTTCGTGAACTCGTGGAAGTAGAATTTTTCAAAGCACCTCAACCATGCAGAAAAAAGATAGTAATTAAAACCTCATAATACGTCATGCTAGGTTGAATACGGAAGAATCCTGCATATAAACTTATGTATTAATTAATGAAGGTACATTAAGTTGATTAGAAATATGAACCACGCCTGTAACAACGTTTGCACGCAATCCCCGTTGGTTTTCTCCTGTTCCAATTTTATTTTCTAAGGAAAAAAAGAAAATTAAAAAGAAATTACTTTTATATTACTGTTAAAGTACTTTTAGCAAGATATTACTTTTTAAGTTGTTCAGTTAACCATTATGAAGTGGTTTTTCTCGGGCGAAAGTTATCATCTGCCTCAAATTGTCTTATTTCCTTTTCTCTGCCACGGTGGTCTATTTCGAACACGCGAACGAAGAACGCGTTGAAAACTGAAATAATATTTCCTTTATGACGTCATACTGAAATGAAAAAAATCTTAAGTTAAAGAAAATCCTTGTTAGTCCAGTTCATACGTAAAAAAAAAAAACATTTCACGTTGAAAATAGAAATTTAAATTTATTTCATATCTACCGACCATTTTCCCATTGTCACAAAATGGAGAACGGTTGCAGATTACCAGTTGTCCTGTATAACGAGGAAACATGTTGCATATGATTGTACCTCGTTATTATTATCTACTTTGTCTCTTCTATTTTGTTTCTTGACAAAATACCAGTCACATAATCTCAAAATGGTGATAACCCTTCTACATGTCTCCACTTCCCTACAAACGAAATTCATTCCCTTTGACCGGACTTTTACAAGTTCAATATTTATTAAGAGTTATTTTTAACGAAAGAAGAAAAAAATTGAAAAAAGTTACCATGGCCAATGAAAGGATTATTGGAGTCGAAGAGTACAGGCTTCAACGGTTCGTTCGAAATTGAAAATAGTCAAGAGTCATCGAACTTTTTAACGGTTTCTCGAGACTTTTTCAAATGCATCGATACCTACGAAACTGAATTACCGACAAAGATCAGACCGGTGTAAGTCAGCGCACTCTGCCATGATCACGACGTAAGGTTACGTACTAAAAATGTAGGACTGATATGTTAGAAACTGAAAATATCCTTTCTATCATAAACAAAATCTATATGCAAATTAGTAATTAACAAGTTTACTACTGTATACTAAATTGTCAATATATTCACTCACGCGTTACTGCCTGTTCGATCACTAACCCTTAACATTGTGGCACGCGTCAGCCACTTTGTATTTTGACTTCGCGAACGAAAAACAAATATCTGTGATCATAAAAGACATATTACCTATATGCAACTCAGGATGTTGATTAAAACTACAATTGTAACCCTTCGTCGTGTACGTCTCTCTCTCTCTCTCTCAATATTTTAATTATAAACTGTCTAAAAAAGCTGAAGCAAAGTTCGCAACAATGTTCCTACCGTTGGCAGCTACATTTGGAAGCCAGCCATGCGGACGCACAGTCCAAATGGAAATCAATTATGATACAATAATGCTCGATTATCATTGTACACAATACAAAACGGTATATACGATTATCGCACTCGCACGATTTGTTTAATTACAAAATAATACACGCAATCACGAACGATACGAATAACCTATATCCGGTGAAAGGAATTGACCCTGAGAATTTCAAACGTTTAACTACAAAACTCTTCCTAAAGAGGGCGCTTGTCGGAGAACAAGGATGCGCCATTTTTGGCGCGAAGTAAAGGAGGGAACGCGTAAAATCCTTTCGTAATTTCCGTATTATAAAAGATCTGCAATAACATTTAAAACATCTATTTTAAAAAATTTCTGAAAAATAACAGAATGCAGGGGACAAGGAATTTCTGATGGTATTAATTGCAAGAGGTGTAAATCGGTCAAAATTTTTCAATAACTCTGACAGAGCAGCACGCGATACCGCGTGAATGGATACTTGGAAAGTTTTAAAATTAGTTACACGTTTTTGGCACTAATATTCGCTTGAGCATTGAGCCATATAGTAAGGCATAAAATCTGCATCCCTTTGCATTTAATCCCGTCAATTACATAACAGAGACCCGGCGACCGGAAGTGGTTGCCAGCCAAAGGGTCACAGGTATTCTCGTGAAGCCCTTAGGCTGAAGTGTTAACACCTTGTCATCGCAATATTATGATGTACTTCGTTTTATAACGAAACACAATCACACACGTGCCCCCTAACAATAAAATTGTACGAAAAGTCATTCATGTTTCTTTTTTTTTTTTTTCCCGTATTATTGTGCCTTAAGATAAAGACAATAACGATTATGATACAACTGCATGTACATATCATCGAAATTCGATTATTTCCTTCGCACATGTACATACATACAAATATAACATATAATATATACATTATATTTATATCGTTACAATGGTAACACTATACAAATTTGTAATTACAAAATGAGAAAAATCACAGAAGATCACGAGGAGATTCTTATACGTAGAAAAAATATATAAATCAGCATACACGGTATGCAGAAACGGTTTTCCTCTTGCGTTAACATATAAAAAAACTTATCGACGGTCTATTATAAAATAATGAAACAATATACCCTACTTCGCGGGAAGATTATCGTCCGGGATAATCGTGTCTGACTTATTAATAGAATCTCAGATCGATTGCCTCTACGCAATGTACCGGAAGTTCTAAAACGCCGCATTGAAAAACTATAAAAGAGTTTTCCATCTTCCTTTTCCCTCGTCGCGTATCCGCCTGCCGATTCGTTCGATAAAATCTTTTCCTGTTTATTTTTACCATTACACCCTTCGAACGAATAAAACTTGAACGTGTATTAAATGAAAATGAAAGATTTTCCTTTCTCCTTGATACTTTGACGGCCAGGTGCTGCGGGAATCCGGAAAATAAACGAATGGATCGCAGAACCATAGATCTCGTCGGCCGTCAAAGGGTTAAATAAGGGAACCATCGGCAGGAGGGGGGGTACGAGAGATCCGGAATCTGAAAGAACAACCGACGTAACGATGTGAAATTTGTTTCCACGGTTGAAGGCACTTTTCCATGCACGGTAGCTTGCACTTTTTTATCACGTACGATCGCACGATCGATCTCTGCACCGCTATATCCCGTATAGCAGCAGCCACATCCATCGCTCGACCGTCGACCCATAAATTTAAAACGTCCTCTCTGTTTCTCAGTATCGCGATAAAACCGCTTAAATGAAACTCGACCGGTGCAAGGGTGTACATAACGAACGCGTTAACTTCCTAGCATCTCGTTTCCATACTTCTCCCTTGCGCCGCATGAATCTCTATAAAAATTGAACAAATCAAAAATAAACTTAGGCATAGATATCAAAGACAGAAGATAGAAAAATATAACACTTGTGGTCTATCAATTTAAAGCTTAAAGCACGATGAAAATAACTGCATAAACGTTTCATTAATTTTCATAATGCAAAACGAATGATTATTAATTAAAGCGATTAATGACTGATTTTGAAAGATATAAAATTAATTATAAAAGAAATTAAAATCAGTGAGTATATTGTTCTGCAACTAAAAATTAACTGAAATGATAGAAAGAAAAAGAATTACAGTGGGTCCGAAAAGTATTTCTACACCATTTAAAACAGAATACCTCGATTAAAATTGGACCGAATGAATTGAGGTTTCTCGGGAAGCTATACTAAGATATCTGCTTTCGTTTTAAAGAATCACAATTTGTTGAAATCATGAAAAAAAATAATGAAGGGTAGGTTTTCAACTTTTTTATGTAAGCCTGTAATGAAAATTGCCTTTTACTATTTTTCTCCTGATTTCGACAAATTGTAATTTTTTAAAACGACGAAAGGCACATATCTTTCTATAGCTTCTCAAGAAACCTCAAGTTATTTGATCGAATTTTAAACGAGATACTCTGTTTTAAATAGTGTATAAATACTTTTTGGACCCACTGTACAAGAGGGTGTCATTGATCAGGGAAATCGAGGTTTGATGAATCTTTCACGAATCACATTCGAGTTTCGTTCAAACTGTTTTATCGCACAATGCTCGAGAAACAAATTGCACATTACCTGCTTATCATAATCCTTAAGAGAATATTTACAAGTTCGCTTGACAAAAATACCTGCAGCATTTCATGCTACGCTACTACGCAAGTTTTCTTTTTTCTTATGTTCCTTACTCGCCCAACTTTTCTCCCTTAGTGTAAAAGGGCTAACGACACTTAAATCACACACACACACACACACACATATAATATGTACAATGTATCGCGTGGCTTCGTCGCCAAAATCGATAAGAACGCACGCAGTTTCCCCGAATACGAGTACAGGCAATGAGTTCGCAACTGTGCGAACACCGTTTCAATAACAATCGTCGACTTACAGAAAGAATTGCTCGTTTGTTTCACAAACTATCGTTTTAAGCTCGATATAGCTGACTTTTGTACGCGTATTCTTTGAATTACAACCTTAGCACACCATTCTATAGCGTTCTCCGTTCATAGTAACGCTTCCAGGGAGATAACAACCCCTTGCGGTTCGATCCACGATCCATACGATCGATGATCCAAATTGACCTTAGAAAATATCCAAAATTAATGATCTTCATGCATTTGCGAAAATGTTCTGCATCGAAGAGAAATGATTTTCGATGATTTATTTGAACCGCAAAGGGTGGCCCTCAAAGTAATTCCATTTTCGCTCGATTTCAAGCAGAGACACATTTCCACGCGAGTATATTTTATTCAGTTTCCTTTGTTGTCGATCATATGATTACACAAAAAGAAAAGGGTCGTAGAAAGAAAGCACGAAGAGGGAGGAACTTAACAAGGAGTCGGTCTCTCCCTCGTGAAGAATATAAAAAAAAAAAGAGGAAAACGATAACGTTGAACACTGTACAATGCGTATTTATACATTCTACAAGCTCGCATTCGTGTTACAAATCAATCTGTGCCTGTAACGAAACGATCCACGCTCGACGCTCTTTGAGGTCCGCGCGACTTCGCCCTTTAAAGCATTCGGAAAATGAGACGATAGATGAAAATTCGAACGACGAACTTGTATCCCGTTGCCTGCAGCTTGAATTGCTCGTCGAATCGATAAATTTCATTCTCTTCTAACAGACTTCGTCTACGAGATAATTAATAATAAAGAAAGATGCTCGTTAACAACGTATTCCAGGTGATGGTGGTTGGTGAAGAAATCAATGAATCAAAAATTAAAGAAGAAAACGAACAAGCTTCCTTTGTATAAAGTCATTCGCACTTTGAAATAAGAAACTAAAATTCAATTTTAAAGATGTTTTCTTTCTCTTTTTTTTTTTTTTTTTAGCGAAAAAAACGCCATGGATCTATGGAAAGAAAGAAAACTTAGATCTCATTAAAAAGAAAAGCACAATGATAGAGATTTCTCAATCTTCCAGTAACGCTTTCTATCTTTGATTTCCTAAGAGAAAAGAAAAAATGAACACAGTCGTTGATGGAACAAAGTATTTATAGATGCACAAGATCATAGATAATCTAGGAGTCTAGAAATACTTCGAGTCTGCGAATAAAAAAACAAAATGCATCGAAATGGATTGACACGATATTGATTCGTGAAGTAATTAAAAAAACAAACAAAGAAAAAAAAAAAAAGAACATCGTACACAGGCGGAAAAGGATCTATGGATATCACAAAATGTTCCCATTTTATCCATAAATAAAATTCAAACAGACAACGAGGCTTCAGTTCCTCCGGGCGGAGAGGAAACGAAACCCTTGCGAGAGATCGGAATGCTTTAAAGGGTTGAAACAAATGGGTTTCAGAAAAGAAATATACAGTGTACAATCAAAAACGGGGTTTTTTCGAACGAGCGTTGGCAAGGGTCCTCGGTAGATTGCAATGTTTTATTAAACAATTAATTGTTTTCCAAGGATTTGTCTTGCTACACTTTAATTTCCTGTGCGCTTCGCTAATGTCCATTATCTACAATAAGTTATCTTGGCGACGATTCGTCTGCTCGCAGTGTTCGCTTAACAAGATTAAACGATTTTCTTTTCTTTTTTTTTTTCAAGCTAAAGTACCACTAGAAACTACTCGACGATCGAGGGTCGACGTCTATTTTGAAAAATCTTAAAGAACCGGGGGAATCGCGTTTACATTATTTTATAATGCGTCGAATTATGTACAGGTTTTACAATGTTCACGATACAGAAACGTTTGTGTATGTAAATGAAACGCACCGAGCGAAACGATAAAATGAAAAAGGAAATAGAAGAAAAAGGGAAAACGAGTTAACCGAGCAAACGCATCATCGCCAACGGAACTCTTTTACATTCGCCCTTCTTCTCTCGCAATGGAATAAAGAAAATGAAACTCTATGGAATCGTCGTACAAGGCTCTCTTGTCTATAGAATCATTATTTTTAATTGCTACTCCTTCGATTCGTTCGCCGATCTCGTTCAGAGAACTAAACGCCCGCGTGTGAATAACTATGAGCTTCGAATAACATAAAACATTGGGGGAAATGTACCAAGCGGACTATAACATAAACATTGCATTTTTATTACAATACACTTATCTCGAATGATTCGTTGACATGCCTGTTTATAATAAAGAGCCCCGGACGAGAAATGAAACAGGCAGTTATAGCGTATGTGTATATTAAACGTGTCAGAGGCAAGTGAACAAATTAGCGACCCGTGAAACGAATTCTGACGACCTTCGAGTTTACTCTCTTTCTCTTTCATCTTTTTACATGCTTTTCACCACCCCTGTAACGCGGTGTCTCAGATCATTGAACTCGCCGAAACGAATTACTTTCACAGGTCAACTCGGCTGACGATAAATAGTTTTCTTTCTTTTGCTTGTACTCGTTAAACGCATAAGTAAAACAGAAGTTTCATTGCCTTACAATAAAATCCTATAAGAGTAACGTGTGTTGATTAATTACCGAAGCGACAGCCGCGAAACGATACCTCTCGCTTCTGCTTTTACAATAGTTATTCAATGAGTAATTCTATCGATGATAGTTTTTAGGCGCCGCTTCAATAATACATCTAGATCTTAACAAACGTGTTACGGTGTGTTATATTGTGAAGTTAATTACCTCCAGAGATAGATAGAGAGAGAAAGAGATTGTATGTTCTTGTGTGTCTGTTTTTTACGTGTTATGTCCTTTATATATCTATATATTTATATATGTATATAGGCGAGTCAATCGCACAGAGACACGAACATCTTCGACAAGGAAGATCCCGCTATCAAGCGATCACTTTCTGCCCCTCTATCGTCGAGAGATGCACGCGGTATAATTGTCGGAACATGTTCGACGTTTAGTAAATACGTATTATAATATGTACAGGATACAAAAACGATCGTCAAAAGCGATGCAAATCTCTTTCTTTGTTGATAAAAATTTCCTTAGAGAGAACCAAAAAAACAGGTGAACCTCGTAAACCCTCTCTACCAACTGTTACCCCTTCCTCGACCACGAAAACCATTACCCCTGAATTGTCCACCGCGTTTCAATCCTCTCGGTATGAAATTGCCAAGGGACGGTCCACGAGGCCCTCTATCCATCCAAGGAGCTCTGGGTCCACCTCTGAAACCTCTACCCCGTGGTAGACCACCTCTCCATGGAGGGAATGGAACAGGACCACCGAGACGAGGTCGGAAATTCGGTCCGACAGGTGCGTCGAAATCGTACACGGCTGAGTGATCACCGGAAGCCTGTGGTATCGGTCCGTTCAATCCGGAATCGGATTCGGTTGCCGTCTGAGGACCGTTCGACATGGTCATTCGCTTTTTGCAGGAACTAACGTTGTCGTCCTCGTCGAAATTCCCGTTGGTCGACGTTCTCTTCAGATCGTTACTTGCCGCGGTACCAACGAGCTCGTCCAACTGATCCGTCGTATGGTGAGGCTGTTCGGTGAAGTTCATCTCCTGTCCAGGATCTTCGAGAGACTCGTTACCGTCGCAAGTCTTATCCGATATTACAGGTTCGGATTCTACTTGTTCCTCGTATTCCGCTACAGGAACGTACTGATTGCGTTGAGAATCTTTCGGATCCGTCAGCGCTGGTAAAATGTTTATTTGATTCGGTTGTTGTTCGTCCGGGTCCATGGACGGGGGCTCGGATTCGTGTTCGTGAACGAGATCCGATCCGCTCGAATAAACGGGCTGTTGTTGCTCGAGATCGCAAGAATTTGGCGTACCATGAGATAATTTACGAGCTTGCTGAGACATCGACTGACAATTGTCATCCTGCTCCGTATCCGTTGGATGCTCCAAGTTTGCTAAGATCTCCTTCTCGGTTGGAAGCCCGATCGGCATACCTTCTTCGTCGAGTATCACCACGGTGTCGGGTGCTTGCAGCAACAAAGGTCGACTGTTCGGCAAAATCTCTGGCGATGATCTGTGATGATCCTGCGATCGTGATTTACGATTATTCTGCATGTTCCTCTGCTTGTGATCGTCGGAGTATCTGTCCCGTCGGTTCCTAGGGAATCCTCGACCACCGCGACCTCCTCGGTCGTTCCGATGGAAGGGCATGTCACGGTGTTGATGCTCGGACGACTGCGAGTACCTGCCGCGCATTTGTGGCTCGCCGAGGAACTCTTGATTTGATCGCAGATTATGATTATCACGATACTCGAAGTCCTGTTGCGGAAAGTCAGGCTGATTTTGATGCATCTGATGGAACTCCTGAGGGCTGAAATCCTGCTGATTTTGTAGAAAATTAGGCGGTGGCCTGTTTTGATGGAAGTTCGACTGGGCTGGATGAAAGTCTGTCGAAGGATTGCGACGAAAGTCTGTCTGGTCTTGGTGAAAAGGTTGACCTGGGTGAAACTGTGGTGGCGGTGGTGGAGGTGGAGGGGGTCCTTGATGCATCATGTGTACGTCCTGCATCATCTGTCCGTGCGATCCTGGCAGTTGCCCGGTAGGTGGAAGCGGTATCATACGCATATCCATATCCATGTGCTGCGACGATGCTACCTGGTTATTAACTCTCATATCCCTATCCTGCGATCTCACGTCAACCAATACCCTTCCCTTTGGTTTACTGTCGGTCTCGTCGTCCGACATCTCCATATCTACGCTTTCCACGATATCGCCAGGTTGCATGTGTTGCCTAATTGCGCAGCGTAAAACATTTAAAGTTTGTAACTTGAACAGTTCTTTCCATTGTTTTAACACACCGATACGATATAATGAAAGATTCTATGATACGATGAAACGTATTTCAATATCTTACCTATAATCCTGATCCCCCGTTGACCATAAATTATTAGCGTTAGACAACACGTTCATAGAAGCGTCATTGACGTTATGATTCGCCGGACTTCCGGTCAAACTGATCAAATTACGATGATCGACGTCAGCTGCTTTCATCAAACGATACGGTAATTGATTTTCGATCGTCATCGGAATAGGTATCACTCTGAAAAATTATATATAATCGTGAATACGGCGCGTCTTTATGTTTCCATTTAGCTTTTCTTCTAAAAATCTTCACCTATGATCAACGTCCCCGGCAGTACTTAAAAGAGATTCTTGTGGTTGAGAGTCGTCGTACTCCACTGGATCTGTGAAGCCACTTTTTTCATAGATAGGCGGTGATTCTGGTGTTTCAGATAAAATCTCGTTTTTCCTTCTAACCGGTCCGACCCACGTAGAATCATTGTTAGAGTTCCATCTGTCCGGATCTCCGTCCATCCATACCTTTGGTTTTTCGTCGCATTCACCGGGCCAAGTTGGATTCATACTATTTTTCCCTGCAAACACACCAAGCCCTACTTTGTCACTTATTATTTCAGATTCAAATCATATAATTTTTTATTGAAAAATATAGTCGTACCCTTTTCTTCCCACTTGGCTGGTTCCTTGATGGGTTCACTTGGCGGTGTCCACGTAGGAAACTTGGGTGGCAATTTGTTATAACAATTTTCATCGTCGAGAAAAATAGGCGGAGGTAAGGGCGGAGGTGGTAAAGGATTAACGGTATTATTATTAGTAGGCCCATCGAAAGGTACGGTTATATTACTCTGACTGTTCTGACTGGAGTATGGTGACGGTGTATGCGATTCAGCAGACAAGTTCCGGACAGGTAAGGGAGTACTGTGACTTATCTGGCAATTAGGCACACCTATGGGCGCACTCTGATTACCCATCATTCTCGAGATCACCGGGGTTACAGGATGCTGTCCTAATACAGGTGAATGCCTGTAAGTTGAACGTTGCGGAGATTCCACTTGCGATTCGGGAATATCTAAACCAAGGCCAGGAATCCCGCCAGAATCTTGCGTTCCGTCGGAAGAGGGAAGAACAGTCTTTAAGAAACTAGAGATATTAAAGTCGACTCCGCTACTTTCGTTTTTCGAGGGCCTCATGTTGATTACCTCTATCGGTTTAGCCTAATAAAGCAGACGTAAAAGTAATTTTTTTTTTTTTTTTTTTTTTGCAAATATTTCAATAAATAACAAACGTGTATCTTAATTAAATATACCTCTATCGAATCGTTATACGGTTGTGACATTCCAGTAGGCGTCGACGACCTTTCATTGAATATGTTCCTCTGTAAAATACAAATAACAATTATAACAATATTTATTAAAATCAATATATTTTTCTTGATATAATATCTTACCATATTACCAAAATCCATATTTCCTCCCATAAAGGATGAGAAATTATTAGTAAAATCACCAGAATCATTGCCTTGACTTAATTCAGGGGCTGGTACAGGGACAGGATCGTATTCGTGTGAATATGAACCATACATAGACGGTGGTGCTACATCTATCATTCCTAACTGATTTTGAGTTTGATTTTCATCTCCTGGAAGTTCTATGTCACTGTCAGGACTTGGAGATGGGGCATTTATGTCTGGCGATGGAATTGGAGAAACTAACGTCGGTAGAAGTTCATCCAGCTTCTTCTTTAAATTCTTTACACGACTCCCGAAATTTCGATAAGCCTGTTTGGGAAGAATATCATGACTGATGCAGAATATCAACAATTGCAATGAATAATGTTTTACAGCACTTTTTTTATATACTTACGTTCGTAACTATTTTCACTTCACCTCTTTGAGTTTCATAAAACTGATCAGCCTGTTCCAGCAATTCAAGAACTTGTGTCCTTTCTCTGATTTCAGCTTCTAACGCACGAACGTAATTTTCAACATTTCTCACTGCCAAATCCACCTCTTTCTCTGCATCTTCTACCCTTCTTCTATCTTTTAAAGAAGCGCACAATTCTTCTGCATTCTCTATGTCTATATTACTTTCACGTAAATCTCTTAATCTGGCATCAGTTGCTTGTTCTAATGTAGCACATGATCTCATAGTAGAGATAAGTAAAGCAGCTTGAAATTCTTCTGGTGGAACCGATGGTTGAGGATCTAATTTCTTCTTTGGAGCTGCAGAAATTAGTCCTGACAGATCCGCCAGGAACTCCTCGTCGTATACTTGCCGTTGATCCCATATTTTAAAAATCCTTAATATACGGTGTTTCACTTTCTCATCTCTAACCATTGTTGTTGCTCTTTGTAAAGTTGTACCCCATGATTCCACGAATTCAAAATTTTTTCTCTTGGAATATTGGATCACATCATTTGCCAAATAAAAAAGTGTCAGGCGATGCTCAACTTTCACTATTATTTGAGAATTATTATTGTTATTAGCATAACAATAAAAGAAAACATTCGCTAATGCGATAATAACGATAAATCAATGATAATGTCAAGACAATGAAATAAAAGCAAACTTAAATATCAAATTAAACTTTTATTTACAGTTTATTTTAGTTACATAAACTGCCAATTGTGTTATTTCTTAGCTGACATAATAATAAAACAGATACAACATAAGATGTATACAAATGATTGAAACTTTCAAAAGTATATTATTTAATATTATAATTGTCATTGTAATTAAAACAAACTCACCCTTCTTTAGTACTTGCAACCAAGTAGCAACAATTTTCTTATGATGCTGTCGCCTTTCCAAGCACCAAGCTGAAAGACCTTGTATTGACTCCTGCGAATCCTTCAGTGTATGAAGTCTTCGCTCAAAGAGCTCCACATCAAAATCACTTGTAGCCATTATGGATTAAAATAATTCATTTAATATGCTTCTTAAGAACTTGATACAATATCACGTTTTAACGTGAACCACCGAGAGGAACACGTGGAACGTTGTTCGGATATCATAGGTATAATGTCTACCTAGTCAATCAACCTAACCAAGTACTGTTGCTAGTATGTCAATTCTTGGGGTATTGAACCACGTAAACATTCATCAGGGTGAAATCATTTTACTCTTTGAACCACAATGCAATCTTTTAGTTTCTCAGCCGGTGTTTCGCACAGAAAATAACAAAAATTTCAAAAAATCACTCGAACTGGAGTTCGTATAATCCGCACGCTGAAGACACCGCTTTTATGCACTTATGATGCTTAAAGAAACTGTTTAGATATTGAACATAAATCTATCGTATAATAATTTCACGCACTCAGCATTATTGTGTACACAACATGTCAACTTTCGCTGCGTATTTCAAAACTATCGCATTTCTATATGACCGAGCTTGAAAACAAGGGTCCGCCATCTTTTTGGAACCAAAACACGAGCGCGCAATGGCCGGCGCGATTTTCTTGCATATATCAGTGACTACAGATCCAAAAAGACTGGACATGCCTTTCCTCTCCAGAGATCGCGATCTTGGGGATCCCAGATACCCACAGTAGAGGTTAAATCTGCATATATGTAAAGACACAGTTTTGACTCTTTTTAATTCTATTTTCTACAAACAATCAAAATCAGCACAAGACTGAAAAGTTATTAAAATAATTGTTTCGCAAACTTGTATTTTAAAAAGACCGCCATAATCGAAACAAGGGAACACTATCGCCATCTATGAGAAAACCCCGGAAACTATTCAACTAGTAGGTTTCGTGGCTTACCGATAGAAGGCAATAGTGTTCCCCGGAAACCCAGCCGGTAAGCTGTTGAGTAGTTTGCGCCGTTTTCGTATAGATGGCGGTCTGTAGTTGGCGTGGATAAGGCTAGTTGGAAAGTAGCTTGGTCATTCAAGCTATGTATGTCATTTTTTACGATTAGATATTGGATGAGATTAAAGTTCACTTTCGTGCATAACATATTCACTAATAAGTCGAAGCTTCCTAGCGTATCCAGCTGTTATTGAGTATCAACGAAACTATTAACTACTCATATTACTTTGTACGAATTCTAGATTATTTACGTTCTACATATAAGGAAACAACAAAATATCACCGAAAATGAAAGTTTACGTTGTGGGTGTCGGTATGACAAAATTCGAAAAACCAGGCAAACGAGATGATTTCGATTATCCGGATATGGCAAAAGAAGCAGTTACAAAAGCTTTACAAGATGCACGTATTCCTTATGAATCTGTAAAAGCTGCCTGTGTTGGATATGTTTATGGAGATTCCACCTGTGGTCAGAGAGCGTTGTATCAAGTTGGTCTTACTGGTTGTCCTATATATAATGTAAATAATAATTGTTCAACTGGTTCAACTGCTTTATTAATGGGTAAACAAATTATTGAAAATGGTTCAGTTGATTGTGTAATAGCCCTTGGCTTTGAGAAAATGGAAAGGGGCTCTTTGATGTCAAAATATTTGGACCGTACAAATCCAATGGATAAGCATGTAGAACTTATGTCTGAAATTGCTGGTAAAATTATACTTGTCTGGATATTTATTCAGTTCTTTGGATACCTTATGTTATTATCATTTTCATTACTTTTATTTTTAGGTATGGATGATAGTCCAGTTACTGCACAACTGTTTGGAAATGCTGGGATTGAACATATGAAGAAATATGGCACAAAACCAGAACATTTTGCAAAGGTTGCTTACAAAAATCATTTACATTCCATAAACAATCCATACTCTCAATTCCAAGAAAAATATACTCTAGAGCAAATAATGAAGTCTCCAAAAGTATTTGGACCGCTCACTAAACTTCAATGTTGTCCAACATCAGACGGTTCAGCAGCTGTAGTTTTGGCCAATGAAGACTTTGTTCGCAAGCACAAGCTGGAATCACAAGCAGTAGAAATTGTAGGAATGGAAATGGTTACAGACACACCTTCTACATTTTCAGAAAAAAGTTGTATTAAACTTATTGGGTAAGAAAATTGATTATATTAGCCAAAATGTACAGTTTTGATTTGAAAAAGGAATGAAATTAATGTTACTATCTTTGTATATTACAGATATGATATGACAAAGATTGCTGCTGAAAAGCTGTTCACTCAAACTCCATACAAACCGAGCGATGTTAATGTTGTAGAATTGCACGATTGCTTTTCAACAAACGAACTTATCACTTATGAAGCGTTAGGTCTGTGTCCACCTGGTCAAGGTGGAAAATTAGTTGATGCCGGAGATAATACATATGGAGGAAAATATGTAATAAATCCGAGCGGTGGTTTAATCTCAAAGGGGCATCCTTTAGGAGCAACAGGATTAGCCCAATGTACTGAACTTTGTTGGCAACTTCGAGGTTTAGCTGGTAAAAGACAAGTGCCAAATGTAAAACTCGCGTTGCAACACAATATAGGCTTAGGCGGAGCAGTTGTAGTTGCCTTGTATCGTATGGGTTTCCCTGATTCGGCGCAATCGGCAACTAAAAAAGCTGTAAATGGAACTCCCGATCCGAATTCCTTTAAAGCGAACGCGTTATTCAAAGTATTGGAAGTTGCAATGCAAGACGATCAAGACAATTTAATTGAAAAAGTTCGTGGAGTATATGGAATTAAAATAACTAAGGGAGCAAATGGTGAAGAAGGTTTCTGGATAGTGGATGCTAAAACAGGAAAAGGGAAAGTAGAATACTTTGGAACCACGAAACCCGACGTTATAATTGCAATTAATGACAATGATATCGTCGATTTTATATCTGGAAAATTGAATCCACAAAAAGCATTTTTCCAGGGAAAAATCAAGATTCAAGGTAACATGGGAATGGCAATGAAATTGATTGATTTGCAGAAACGTGCCGCTAAAAAAATTGAACTTCTTCGTTCCAAGTTGTAAAGTACAAAGTTTATCTTTGTCTTGATAAAAATGACAAAAGCAATTATTTGCAAAGATAACACTTACACCAGTAAAATTTGAAAGGTTGTACGTTGCATATATGCAACAAATTAAAGTGTCTGAAGAACAGAAATCTAATATAATGATAAAAAATTAGAAAATTTTTATATGAAATATATTGACAGTTAATATTTTAATCGGAAATTCTATTTTTATAATATAATATATTGTTTCTCACGTCGGAAGTATAAAATATGAATAAGTGAGGATATAGTGCAATACATAAGATGCGAGAAATATGATACTAAGTATCTATTTTTTATTATTCTGTTAAGTTTTCTTGTATTCCAAATTGATTTCGTTCAGAACCAAGATTAACTTAATGAGTTCTTGAATTTTAAGCCAATTGGCTATTTGTATCAGTGTTACATGTATCTCCATTACAATTATACATATTACTAATAATTTTTTTAATGGAAAACTTTTGCTTTAAAAATCATGTATTATTTTATTTATATCTTTGTATTTTTTACAGTATAAAAATTCTCCACAAAAAAATTATTTTTGTTCTAAAAATAAGATATACAAAAGTTTTATATTGTATAAATGTTATAATATTCATTTATTCATTTTTCTTTTTTTATGATTAAATAATTCATCAAAAGCGGATTTATGTATATGCTTTTATACAATGTGTCTCTAGGATGCAACATATTGTGAGAATTTGTATTGTTGTATCATCTAAACCACAATACTTGGAAACAGGGTGTAATAAAAATGTTATTATACAATTTTTATACAAAGGGTGTTGGTGACTGTGCTCATTACCAAACTGTTTTTTTATTATTATAAAATAAACGAAATGCCTACATTAAAATGTGCTTATTTATATTGGACAAGCAGCATTACCTTTTTTTTTATTAAAATTATTTTGGGAAATCGGCGTTTTAATGATGTATAAAATGATAATGTAACGAACGTATGTTGCTGTTAATTTAAATAATAAAGTTAGTACTGATATCAGGTATCAGCAAAAATGAAAGATAGGAAGAAGTGACAGTAGAAATTAATGTACGTATAATGAACCAGATATTTATATATTTAAACTTATGTACAAGGAGACGTATTATGATAAAACAACGATTTGCTATATATGTATTTGCCTGTAACTTGTAACATCGGTATAATGTATCTGTTAATTGTGTGACTGCGCAGCCACGTTTAACAAAATTTACTAACTCGCTATTTTATTAAGAAGCAAAAAGGCAAAGGATACACAAACGTATGTATATCCATTTCGAAAGGTTGCTTCAAAATTCAAGAATTTCTTAAGTTTTATTATAAATTACAATCCAGAATTTTAATATTAATAAAGGGATGACTTATTTATAAATTAACAAATTATCAATTCGACACGATATGAAACGCAGTTAAAAAAAAAATGGCAATGAAATGCGTTCATTTTTATAAAAATGCATGTCACATTATTAAAAATACAATCTTTGCGGATAATTTGAGTCCTCGAATATTTTTGAATCATTGATTTAACAAGTAATTAACAATGAGTTAATCATCTGGGAGTGCATTTTTCATATTAATTACATGGTAAACAACTTCTGGAATATTTAGAGCGTATAACGACACGTTTGGAATGAATAAATTTCAATTAATTTGTCAATCTGTAACGCAGCAACTCTTACAAATTTACGAAATAGATAATACACATCTTAGGAAATACTTAGACGTTGAGCAAAAATGTTTAATTAAACCTCGTTTAAGATTAAACTACGAAACGATGACAGGAACATAATACCTCTAGTATAAATTGAACCAAGAGAAACTCTGTTGTAATTTTACAAAACGAAAAATCTTTGTTATTTCCTGCCTTATTTTTTTTTTTAAACCGCTCTGGAATCATTACTTCGCTGTACTTCAAACTTGTGGAAAAACTGCTATACACCTGGACGTTGTTACATTCTCAATATTTTTCTACATTTACGATACACTCAGGGTCGAAGATTATCAGCGATTATGCAAAACGTTCCCTCTAATTTTCATTTACTTTCTGCGCGGACCTGTTATGATTTTGAATGGTGCGCGGGCAAAATTTTAAATGCCCGGGAACTTTACGTCCGCGCAAGCGCGCAGCTTAGAGGATACATTCATTATGCGTGTGGATCATCTACATATGTGCAGCAATCTCGTTGTTAAACAAATAGCAAACAAATTTCTAAACTTATGTATAGGCATCCTTGAACGTTTCTCATGCCTAAGCATCAAAATTTCTAATTTTCTTCAGTCACGTCCTTAATCATAAAGATTTCTCCAAGAAACTTTTGAAAATGCGGCTAAGGTACATCACATTGTATAACAACAGAAATTATTCATCTATTATAAGTAATATTTTCAACACCTTATCTACCGATCGCGAATAACATAAATAGATATTAATAATTTTTTCATTGAGTTATAGATAAATCATTTAGGGCTTATTAGTTGGTTTTCAGTCAACGACCACTGCCATCAAGAACTACGAGGACTTCCGGTCGGTAAGGTGTTAAGCAATTTAAACAATCCATTCAATGATATTATTTTTAATCTTAATAAGCATAACTCCTGAATGTCTCTTTTCTTTTTCTTGAAGATACAAAGATCGTATGAAGAAATCTTCTAATGGAATTCCGTCTTTCAAAGGACGTTCTACGTGTTCAGTCTCTCAGAGAAATTTGTTTACCGAAAAATACATACATTTATGTATATTTGTATAATTATACATTGCTCGAGGTGCTTGTCGATTACACGAAGAGAAGTGAATTTACGCAACATATTTTTTTTTTTTACTAATTACTACAGGGAGTTTTCGACTTAAATTAACAAAGCATCATTCTTATTTTGTATCTCCCTCAATGCTGTAAATGTATGTATATTAAATACGTATATAAAAAGAAACCAGCGTCCTTTGTGCATAGTACACCGTATACAATTCGACTTCGTTACCGCGTCTCATGAAAGATTAATTACTTGAACATTCAATTATACATAGTTCAAGTACATTTTTTCATACGCTTAAGCATTCAGTAACAAAGACTGTTCGTCACAATTAGAATATAGTTGATGCAACAAGAAATCAATTCAAATTCTTTGGACGAGGCCTTTCTAAATCATCTGAATCAAGCGTGATTAGATCATTTGGTTTATTCCGATAAAGGTTCATTCTGGCACACATCTGTAATCGTCGCGCTTGATCCTATGCTTCTGTGATCAAGATGTATCTATACAAAGTGTCCCATACAACTGAAATAAGTTATAATGCTAAAACAATTAGAGATGGGAGAAAATTAAATAACGTCGAATGTGTCGAACTTAAGTTTAGAATATACATCATTCAAGAGCATTTAATTTTCTCCTATATCATTTCTTTACATCTTTGAACATTATAAAGATGAGGCTTATTTTAGTGATGTGGAACACCCTTGTATAGGCATTTGAAACTCTAACAATACCGATATACAATAATCATATTTATGAATAACATGTATATATAATACGATTTTACACTTACTTCTGTTCATTGGTAAATGATATATTGACAGCGCATAGTGTTTTATGATAATAGATGCTACGTTATAGACAATAGTAGTAATAGTAGTAGTAGTAGTAGTAATAATAGTAATAGTAATAGTAATAATGTCAATGATAGTGATATAACAATAGTAACACGATAATGGTCATAATAATTACGATGAAATAATATAGATAATAATATATACAGTATGGATAATACATCGTCGTTATGAAATTACGCGATACAACAGTAAAAGTAAAAATAAACGCGACCACCCATTGTGTTTGATTTCAATGATTCCATATGATGACGGCATCTTTGGGACAAACACGGGAGCTACGCTTTATCTGAACACGTTATTCTTTGGGACGTACTAAGACCGAAGGCTAAATTAGACATTCTTATGAACGTTATTATAACAGTTCACTTACTATTAACGTAACAATACCATCATTTGCTATTCGCAACATTCAATTTTATTCAGTCCTAATAAAATGATACGTGATAATATAATAAAGATAAACATACATTTTTCCATTTTTCTCTATTGCGTTTTAAGTTGAACAATAAATTTGAATTTTTACATTGAAAACATACTATGGAAACTTTTTTTCTTATACACAGAATTATTGCGTCGAAAAAGCATACTAGGGCACGTTAACAACAGTTCAATAATATTTATACGTCTTATGCCTTACGTGTTACTATGTAATTAACAATTTGTCTGGCTCAAAGTTTTCAGTCCAATGATACAGAGTCTTTCAACAAACACTGGTGAAGGCATATCAAATTCGAATACCATGCACAGGACATATAATTCTAGCATAGATGAAATTAAACAGAAAAATTACTCCATTGCTAGTCACAAATGTACAGATGTATGTTTAAAGTGTGTTTCACATAACGACACTGAGAACCTTCGTTTTGCTTGAATACGAATAATCATTTATATCACTATTCCTCTCATTTTGAACTCACGGAATATATGTATTCAACGTTTTATTGTCAATCCAATAATCTGCCATTATATTTTGCTTTTATACATACTAATTTACTGTTAGCGATAGCGTAGAACCAGCTACTATTATAATAAGTGTCATTGTTTTAGAATTCGATATTGCAAGGCAATAATTAATCTTTTCTTTCCTTCCTTTTTTCTTTCTTTCCATTTTACAAAAATCCATTGATTTCTGTAATAAATGACAATGCCAACAAAGGCGTTTCCGCATTCAAATAATTGTAATGCATTAATATTTTGTTAACATTCATCTCGTGTCAAGTGAAAAACGGAAAAATCACATTCAACACTGATTACATACACGGTAAAATGCTTCTTGATGATTAATGCATGCTTCTATGGATTCCTGGATATCTGTATGCTTCACTAATATCTGTTTTATTTTCTAAGTATCTTCGTTTCACAGCAATTATGATATGGTATATAATATTAAAAATAAGCATTGCGAATAATTATTGTATTTTACGTGAATATTTGTTGTAGCTTTCATTAGTGCGGATTTTTCAATTCTTCTAACCATTTACGATTATAGGAAGTTAACGTACCATATGCATTCAGGTTCTGGTTTCACTATCAAGATTTACAAAGTCGTTGTGCTTGAAAACATGTACGTTGATCACTTGGATGAATTATAGAGTAACTGCTTTACTTGATCAAGCTTACAATTTTCCAGACTTTTCTTGTTTGCTCAATTCAAGAGCTAAAGCTAATTCCGCTTCTTCTTGCTGTTTACGCCTACGTCTCTCTTCCTCGGTCTTTAAACTTTGTTGAGACGCCCAAACAAATTGCTCTTCTTCGGTTAACGATAATGGAGTATTGTTACCATTCCAAATTTTACCAGTCTCGTTTTTTGACTTTTTATCGTTAAAATTAGTTTTAGATTTATAATGCGTAAAGTCCTGTCCGTGTTTCTTAGACGACTTTTCACTCTTGGCAGAAAATGCTTCATCAATGTCCACCGTTTTTGCCTTGGTATTAGAAAATACGTCGGATTCGATAGTCTTTATATTTCTGTTATCATCGGAGAACGCTTTCATGAAGTCAGCATCGAATTTAGCGTTATCTTTATCAATCTTGTTTCTAGTTAATGGAAAGGTATTGGAGAAATCAGTGTCGAAACTCTTGGAGAAGGAATTATCACGAGGAGGTATCGAAGTTGTTCCGTAACCAAATGGATCCACTTTGCCAGTCTCTTTGCTCTTATTAGCGTTCAGGTCTTCTGCATCGTCAGCGAAAGGATCCGCTATGTTAAAGGGATCCTCGTATCGGTAATCTCTAAACGGGTCTTCCGTGAAGTCCGGCAACTTTGGATATACTGTATGCGCTCTGCTCGTTGGTCTGGGTGGCGCCGTTCGATTCAGTGTTGGTTCCGGCTGAAGCAGGGTTTTTTCAGTGGTCAATTTTCATTTACTGAAAAGGTAGAAAGAATAACGCGAAAACCGCTGGTTATCGTCAGGCTGCTGGACCATATATTGCTGCTGTTCAAATACTAGGAAATGTTAAGTTGCAAGCGCTTTAAAATATTCGAGTTCATTACCGTCAGTTTCATTATAATAAACTATTATAAGATTTTTGAGAAGTTAAACAGTCTTAATCGGTGTAACTCGAATATTTTAGTTGAATATGAAATAATCAAAAATTGCCATGCAACATCATAAAATGAAAGAATACGATATTGAAATAAAGAAAATAAATTAATTAATTTGTAGACAGCATGCTCCAGGAGCCAGTTGAATGAATAAACTGAAAATTGTGCAGCTTCTACCTAAATATAAAACAAAAGATATAATTAATTCTTTTATAAGTATATTTTACAAAATACAATTTTAATATACTGGAATGACATATTATGAAATTAAATATCTTTTACATTTCAACATGAGCACGCTAAATAATATATGTACATAATATTTTACTTTAGTCATACCAATATATTACGTTTTTTAGTTAAAAATAGCTACAAAATATATAGATAACGCATACAGTAACGAAAAATGTAACGTACTAGAAACTGATGAGACTGAGGAGGGATGGGATATGGCCAGACTGATATGGAGGAACACTTGAAAAGAAAGGAGGGAAGTAACTTATTATAATCAACAGTGGCTAAAAATATTGTACTAACTAATAAAATTAAAGCATTCTTTTGAACGATATTGTAATTTATATAAGAATTAAAGAGTGGTATACCTTAGAATCAAAATTTGCAAAATCGGCGAATCCAGTTGAGCTAGTGAAACTAGTACTGTTGTTGTTATCAATTACCCCTTGCTGAGCAGAGAAAGGATCAGTATTAGCGTTTGCGAAAGGATCAGGAGTGGGAGAAGGAGTAGGTGGTGCTGGTGCAGCTCGGAGAGGACCAGTAGGTCCTTGAGTAGGTCGTGGAGGTGCTGGTCGTGGGGGTGGTTGTTTTGCTTTCTTAGGAGGAAGAGCTGGGCTAGGACTTTCTGGACGAGTTGGTGCATGAAGATTTGCAAACGGATCATCTCCGAATGGATCTTTTGTCGTCTAAAAGAAAAAAAAATTTTAATTACAAATGTAACAAGATTATATTATTATTACTTTTTCTATTTAAAACAACTTACTGCTGTTCCAGTTACAGCTTTAGTGTCAGTTCTTTTACTATCTCCAAATGGATCAAAAGGATCCTGTTTTATGACATTACTATTATCAAATGCACTAAATGGATCAGATGTAAATCCTCCCTATGATTACAAACAATATTGTTAATGATGCAAATGTTATTAGCGATTATTTAACTTAAGAAAAACTTACAGTATTCTGAGATGGAAATGCACTTCCAAATGGATCTGGTGTTGTTGCTGTAAATGCTTCTTGAGCTTTGCTTGATGCAAAAGGATCCTGTTCAAATCCATCCAAAGTTGTTCCGTTTGCATTAGAAAATGAATCAGTTTTTTTCTCTTGTACTCCATCCTCTTTGTGTGTAGCTTTGTCATACCTATTTTATTATCATTAAATAAGGATAATAAAATTATACTTTTTTAATAAATATAATTAAAAAATTTATAAATCAAATACATACTCTAGGTCTTCAATTTCAGGATTAAATTGCAGACTAGTATCAGGTACAAGAGAGGCATCCCCTGCTGCAAGTGCAGAGTCGTAAAGTGCAATTGCATCGCTCATCTGTCGTTGTTGTTCTTGCAAATGAGTAATTTTCGCTTTTGCTTGACAAATTTGCAATTGAGTATCCTGCAAATTTTTCGTGAGTTCATTTAATTGGTCCCTGCTTTTATTTTGTTGTTGCTCTAACTGCTGCTCCTCTTGCTTCAAGCCTTCCAATTCTTGTCGTTTAGAATTTAATTCTTCCTCTTGAGCACGTAAAACTGATTCTTGCTCTTCTGCTTGTTGACGTAATTTATCAACCTATTATTAACAATAATAAAATGTTGCTTACAATAAATTATTTGTAATATTTTACATTATATATATTTTTCAGCGTATAACTTATACATGTATTAATTCACGAGTATTATCAATCATATAACGTTATTAATAAATAATGATGATTTTAGTAGATATAATCATTTTTTATATACATTATAAAAAATGTCATACATAATTGTGACATTTAAGACTCAAATCTAGTTAATTGAATTTAAATACATACAATATAAAAATATATTGTAAAATAAAATCATTGTTATAAATACCAGATCAGAGCCTGAAATGAAAAGTTGCAAGCAAATATAATTTTTCTGATGGCAACATATGCTACAGTTATTTTACCATGCATTGCAACAAAGCACTCTAGCATTACCTACGCAAGTGTAATAGAAATAAATGAAGCTTTCCATAAATTAACATAGTGTACTGATACTGAGTTATCTACTTAAAGATCTGTATACATACATACAACCTTCATAGCAGTTTTATTTTTTCCTACGTATAATTAGAATCAAATTAATATTTGAAGGCTATTTTGAATTTGTCTATTTCTAGTTTTATCTTACAACAAATAAATTTAAATTTATCATACCTTACTTAATGGTTACATATTACAGTTATATAACTATAATATTAAAAAAATAAAAAATAAAATCTGGGTATATTGTAACCATACCTGCCCTCTACTAAAAGTAGAACTTTTTTGATGTACCTTTTTTTGTTCTTCATGAATCTTCTGCTCGACTTCACTCAAATCTTTATCTACTTCTGCCTTCTACAAGCCAAACATAATAAAACTAAATCATAATAATGAATCTAAACATAGCATAAAATAAAGTAAGAAATAAATTAATAAATATTCAAATACTGCTACATACAAATTTAAATTATATAAAAAAAAGCAGATAATAAAAAACAAAGTCATGGATATATGATGCCTCGATAATATACGTACATACTTTTCTCTTTGTCAAAATCTGCATCATGCTATGTAATAAAGAATATACAATACGTATATGGATAATTATTAAAATGCTTTAAACATGCTATGTGACTTGTTACACATGATCAATGTTATAAATTTTAAATCAATAAAAATACAATAAGCACACATATTTTAGAATAAAACTTAATGAAATTATAGGTACAAGACCGAGTTACATTTTTCGATACATGTATACCCATTAAACAAATACCATATTTAGAATTAACTTGATATAATAAATGTTCACATAAAATTTATATGCTGTGGTACATTTAATTATTTACACTTTTTAACAAAAGCACTATATGTACACTTCATAAGTACTTACACGTTTTTATTTTATATACGTCGAAGCAAAGCTACACATTCAGCAAGCAGATTATTTAATTACACTAAATTAAAATTTGATTTACCTGAGCTTTTAAGTCATTCAATCGTTTTTGTGCTTCACCCTTCTGGTTCTCCAATTGTTTTAGGGTAGCTGCTAGAGTATCCAATTCACTTTGCAAACTTTTTATTTCACCGTTTTTTATCTTAATATCAGCTTCTTTTTGGGCTATGTCCTGCTCCATGGTTTGCCTTTCACGTACAAGTTCTGCTATATCTTTGCTTATCATGTCCAATTCTGGATTTGAATATCCAGATATATTATTATTTTCCTACACAGAAAAATATATTTTACACATAAAATGAATTATAATTTATAAATCATATCTTTTCTTACTACTATACAACAGAATGATCTTTATATTTTTGTATTACATTATTTTACACTGAATTAGTCAATAGCAATAAATGTAGTATCATTTAACATATTCATTATAAATTCTTGCATATATTCACGACGCGTTTTGTATTTAATTTTCCCAGAGCTATCCATCTCAAATAAAGATTTTAGTCTAGCTTCTTTTGCTTCTTTTTGTAGCTGTTTAACAAACATAATATTTTTTGCCCTCTCTGTTTGCAAAATATCTGCAGGAGATTTATAAGTTAACGACAAAGGTGTAACTTTCACGGAATCTTGAATATCTGAAGTACTATTTTTCTCTTTAAATGATGAATATACGTTTGATTTTGTATTTAAATTGTATTTACGATTATTTGACATGATATTTTAATATGAATGTAAAGATAAATGTTTAAAATAAATGAAGAACTCAAAAATGATATTTCAAGTTTTATAGAGATATGAGAACTTTATGAAACAAATAGCCAGACATTTAAAAACGATTTTATCTTAAATAATAACATTGCTCAATTTTGCAATAAAAATGAATTTATTAAAAACATATAGCGAACTTCGGAAGAAAATAAATAAAATATTGAATAAGCCTAAAGGTAAAATATCTTCTACTATTTTCTGACAACTATGTATAATAAAATTCTATCTGTTTCAAGAAAATGAACTTCTTCTTGATATCAATGAATTTGAATATCCAAGGGCAAATGAAACATATAGAGAGATACATAAACAATTATGGCAAGAATATTATAACTGTTTAAGGAAAGCATATACTAATATTGAATCAGGAAAGACAATGCATCCAGAAGCTCTTATAGCTATGGAAGGAACACTTGTCACGTATGATTAAAGAAATGTTATTTTAGTATATCATCTACAATTAAAATTATTAAGCAATTTATTTTAGGTTGCAATGTCAAATATGTATTTCTCCAATAGAAACATATGCAAATAATAATATAGAGTGGTACTTCAACAATAATGACAGTAATGAAACAAGTACAATAATAGAAGAATTAGATAACATTCTGATTTCACCAAATGAAAAGGAATTAATAATACATAATATTAAAGTATATATACATATACTTAATTGAAATATACAAATTAATTATTAATTTATGCATTAAAATAATATTTAAAAACTTCTACAGTCTGAACAAGCTGGGCAATACTGGTGCAAATTAGGAGATATGCTGTCAACATCTTATTATGTGTCTATCGATACTAACTCTGAAGAAATAAAAATTGTGTATCCTAATACTGCACCAAATAAGCCTCATGCAATACCAAAAAAGACAATAACGGAATATAATTTAAATGTTTATACAACATGGACTAAATGGTCACCATGTTCTAAATGCAATATAGTTGGTAAAAAAGTTCGATACGGTTACTGCACTATTTCTTCAAATGTAGTAACAAAAGAAACAAAGAGACAAAGTACATTCTTTTTCTACATTACCCTTTACCATTAAACGAGTATTAACGAAATTAAAATAGAAACATAATAATATTTAGTTACAAAAGATGAACAGAATGAAATGCCAGAAGATATAACTCAAAATGAAGTTCTTAATGAAGGTGTTAATGATAAAATCAGAACGATTTTACGTTTATTTAGAAACAAACTACCCTGTAAAAGTAAGCACGTGCCTAAAGAACTTTTGGATATTTCGGATATTAACGATAGAAAGACAGAAATGATGGTGCGATATTGCAAGGTACCTTTAATGTTTCATGTATAAAATAATATTAAGAATATTTTATGTATAATATGATGAAATGAAGTTGAATAACTTTGTAGATAAAGTGCTCACAAAATACAATATTTGAAGTGCGTGATAAACAAGGAAATGTAATCGAAAGTGCAAATAATAGTGCTGGTATTTATTCTATGATCCAAGGAATACCTGTTCCATCACCACCAGTTATACGCACAACTATTTATCAAAAATATGATAAGAAAGCAATACTTATATGCCCAGGGTAAAAACCATTAAAAAAAAATTAAATAATCATTATGACATTTTTACATACTTTTTCAGAAGCTTAAATACAAATATACCAATTACTTGGAATGTTAATAACAAATTCTTGAATCCAACGGTTATTCAAGATCAATCTCAAGGAAGAATTTATATTAATCCACAAATGCATATAATCTTCAAATCATTAAAATTCGAAGATACAAACGTCTATAGGTAAGACGATTGCTTAAGACCGAGTAATGATTTTTTAAATATAATTCATTTTGCTTCCAGTTGTTGGCAGAAAGATAAAATTATTGGCGTAATAAAATTAAATGTGACTGGAGAAATAGAGTTACAAACGAATTATAGTGTAATTATGGTTGGTGGAATTTTAATAATTATTGTATTTATGATGGTATTCTGGAGAGCATTCCAAGGTCGTAAACGCTTTACAGTACATTAATTACACCATATATTGTACTTTTTAAATAAAACACTATATCAATAAATGAGAGTTCGTTAAACAAAAGAAAATACCTACCACAATAGTATCAGAAGGTTTTCGCATAGAAGGTGGTATCATATCAGAAGTTAAAGATGCAGGTGGATCAATACCCCTAAGTTTTTGTTTAATAAGCCACATAGCCAGAGCAAATTGTTCTTTATTTAACTTTCCAGTTTGACATGTGTCACAAAGGCCCCTGGAACATAAGTAAAGATATGAATAAATGACGTACTTTATTTTTCGGTCATAATTAATAAACAAAAATATGTACCATATATCAGCCAATACAGTCTGTCGAAGTCCACTTTGAAGGAAGACATCTTTGATTTCGATACCTGAGACATATCCATCCATATCTAGATCAGCTTGCAAAAATAATTTTTCTGCTGCTATTTGATCCTCAGATGAAACTACCCATTGTACGTTTGTCTACATACATCACATTTATATTAAATTTATAACATATAAAAACTGCAACTATTATAGTTTTATAAGAATTTAAATACCCTTGCTGTATCCATGCTAGGCATACTCTTTACAGAGGATACATTTGGTAAAGGTGGAATAGGCGGCGGGGCGGTTGTTATTATTCCTAAAGCTGCAGGAGATTTTGATACAGGTATAGAGTCTTTTCTTTTACCAGGTGGCATTAATTCTGGTGGAAGTACACTTGGTATTGCATATTTTTCTAATGCTTTATATACTAAGTGCATAGCCTGTACAAGAAAGAAACAAAATTATAACTGTAACAACATTACACTGATACTCAAATAGGAATAATGGATAATGTTTATTACAAATGTAGTTGAATACTTACAACAACAAATTCGTGTCTATCCAGCATACCATCCTTATCCATGTCTGCAAGGTCCCAAATTGTTCCAAGAGTATCCAATGGAAGTTTACTATCTATAAGAACACCTTTTACTTTATTTCCTGGAATATACCCATTTGTAGGTTGCAAGCTATCAAAAAGCTGATCATATTTGGCCCTCTCTGATGGCTTAATAGACCAATCTCCGGTACTGACAGGTGTTATTACTGGCAAAGCATTTACTACATTCTTAGTGTATGTTATAGGAATATCACCCTAAAAATAAATGAAAATAATCAATAGAAAAATTTGCTTTATACGCTATATAATGGCTTACCATTTTTGGAGGAGGCAGTTCCATGCTTAAATTTGACATACTAATATCCCTTCCTGCCTGTGCCAATGCACAAAGCTTAAGAGCAACAAAAAGTCCAGACTTATCTAATAATCCACGCGATTGTGGATCTGCCATATCCCATATTTTACTTAATACATCATCGCTTAGCTGGGATTTCTTAAGAAATCTTGCAGCTTCCATTGCACCAATTTGTCCACATCCATTGGGATCAACCTTTAAATATAATTAACCCTCAAATATTGTGAAAAATAAAAATGATGAAATAATACCTTATATACTAAAAATCAATATAACATACATCCTGTATATTATATTTTTAAATCATGATATTTAAGAGTTAAATATTATTTCAAAATATGTAACATTATACCTGGTTATAATAGGCTTCATATATATCAGTATGGCTTCCAGCCACCTATAAACATAAATTTATTATATTCATTCACATTATATTATGAATTATAATACTTTATTGGGCATTTTAGTTCTACATATAGATAATTTGTATAAATTTTAATTGCCGGAAATGAGCGGTATATCACAACTGATATTTCCAATTGTATAAATGAACATGTTAAGGTCAAATTTATTTGTAATACAGTAAATTGTATATAGTATATGATAATTTCATTACAAAATTTATTATAAAATAGGTGAAAGAAGAAATACATTTTTCGTAAATATATTGAAAGATTATTTGTGCTGTCAAAGTTTAAGTAATCAGCAGTGTAAGTATCGGAAGATAGAAGAATATATATAACAAAAGATAATCCTATTCTTGTACTAAATAAAGATAAGGTTTAGAACAACCTATTTAGTAACAGTTACATTGTATCGAATATTATATCATGCTAGAAATATAAAAATTACAGTATACCTGCGTGGGTGATGGCAGGGCGGCCATACTTGCATTCAACACTGACTTAACCAATCAGGCTGTGAATCGATAGTATGTCCTATTAACTATTTTACTTAGCATTTTGTGGATAAATTTTTATCGCCAGATGCACTAACAAGAACACGTTATTGGTATATCGTCTGTCAAACTATTTACACGAACAAATACAGCTAAAGAAAATTACTAACAACGCGGAATACTTCTATCGCTCGCCGTGTTCGATTGTCGTCTTGCACTTTTACGTTTCACCTTCTTTTCATTAACCGATAATCATGCAAACTAGACTTCATGCGCACGACGCAGTTAAACTTCCATTTAGAAAAACTTTTATATTAAAATATTACAGTATTTTATAAGTTTGTAATTAGTAAAATATTTTTATACATTTAAAAAGAAATTGACAAGAAAATATCATAAATTCTAATTTTCTTTGAAATATAAACATCAATTAAATGATAAGCAATATCATATGGATAGTTTTAAAAAGTAACAGTTTTATCAAATTTCAATTTATTTATTAAAAAGAAAATACAAATACTTCAGTAACAATTACGGTATCGTTGAAAGTGGCGGAAAAGGATTTTGTTTAGAGATTACCAATTTCTTATGTTGATGGGATATGTACCCTTTAATTTTTCCTTCATATATTAAATTTGCAACAATGCATTCTACTTCATCCATATCCATATCATTAAGTTCATGCATTTGCAAGGCTGAGAGCAAATCTTGGATAGGAATTTGATGTATGTTTAATACTAAATACACCTTCTTAAACAAATTTCTGTATGCTATTATTTTTAATTTTTCCACAATCAAATATATTCCAGCTCCTATGAAAAAGGTTTCATGTTTCTCCATAACTTTTTCTAGATTACATAAATCTCCTTTTTTGACAGCTTCCATTAATTCCCCAAATTCCATTAAATTGTACTTTTCCAGCAAGCTGTGTTTTGGCATATAACCCAATAACATTTTCACTGGCACAAGATAAGTTAAAATCAGTCGCTTATTTTTTGTAGATTGTTTGTGACAGTGTTCAAATGCATAAGTGAGGTATTCATCAGCTGGAAAGTAATTAAATTTATTACAAAGATTTTCAAGTTATATTTGAACTGCTAAGTTTGTTAAAATAAATATGCATAATTACCAGCTTTGTAATCACTATCAAACATTGCTTTACGGCCAACAAAGAATTTATAAGTGATTTGTTGTGCTAATGCAAAATGTGCTTTGTAGGGAGAAGATTCTATTGCTCTTATCAAAGGTCTGCACAAATGCAACTTATTGATTCTAAAGTAAATTTTTAATAACTGATTAACTAAAGCTAGCATGCCCCATCGTTTTGTGTCGTCTTCTGAACTACGATTATCGCAAGCGCATACTCGAAAACAACCCATTAAGCAATCTGCACACTTTTCTAGAATTTCTCCTGGTTTCATATTTTTATTTGTTTTCATATTTTCAACACACACTGCTAATAATCTTAACTCTAAACACATCACATTCATAACAGGTAACATCCAATTTTCTTCTTTTTGCATTTGTAAGATCTTTGTTAAAGACTGAACTGCTGAACTTTGATAATTATACATAGCTAATCGATCATCCTTGTTCATTGCTGCTATAGTTCTAAAAACATAAGTATTACAACATTTTATTACACATTATTACAATAATAATTACAAATTTCTATTAAAGATATTTCAGTTACTTTAAATGGTAAAGTACCAAATCATCAAGAGGAGCAGATATATGTTCCATTGTTTTTGTCATTGCAGTTTCAGACCCAATTTGTGGAATTGAAATATGACCATGCCGTAAAGACAACATATCCTTTAAAAAAATATATATGTAATCTATCGTTCATATTTTTATACAATTTATTATTACAATATAAATAACTATTTGTTACCGCTAAAGGGTCACCATCCTGATTTAACCACATTCTCCTGACCTATAGTAAACATAACCGTAATTTGGAAACTACTTTCTTAGTATTAGTATTATTATTTTGTCTAATAAATTAATACGTTACCTGCATTAAATACGAATCCATTGTAATATCAATAAATAAGTTTATCAGTAATTATTTGAATACTTTGTGGTTTATTCTAAGTATACATTAACCACAATCATGACTTCAGCAGACTTCAGACCCTTCATCAAATGCCTTATTTTCAAGCAACTAAAAAAATATATATAATACAAATGGCAAAGTAATTTTGGTTTCTTGACATCTCTAATAAATAATATTAATAATTTAATAATATTAAAAAACTGATTAAAAGTACATAGTGTGAATAATTGGAAATTAGCCTGAAATTAGATTTGTTTTTTTATGAAAATCTAGAAAATTTGTAATTGTTTAGTTAACAACCTGAAATTTCTAGTATAAAATTGACTAGCCGTATGCAGCCTGATAAACCATAGAGGCGGTGCTGCCGTGTCAGGGAGGGGGGCCCGCGGTCACGTGACCGAGCTGCGTTTTGAGCGCACTAACCAGGTACGAACAAATTCGTTGTTTTTTTCGTGGTTTTTCGCGCGCCACGGCCGAAAAAGCCGAGGCGTCGTGAATTTCACTTGTTTCTGACTCTGGACGTGTTCTTCGAGTTCGCTAACAACGCTTATAATAACTGTGAGTTACTTGCAAATACTTTGACTTGATCGTCTTACGGAGATCTATCGATGCTCCACCGCGGCGATGGTTGACAAGCCTTCCTCGCAAAACCAGAAATGGCGTCTACCGTGCACATGGTCTGCAGAAAATATTCTACATCAACGTCGTAGTACCGATTCAGGAGTATAACAAACTCTACACGGCCAATTTCTTTATCATCCATTTGAAGAATTTTCACAACTCCCTTGCGAGCAACAACGAAACGGACAAGGTGTTTTTTGTGATGCGCCTGATAATCCTTCTTCGTCATATTCTCACCGCGCACGTCAAAATTTATCTTTTTTTTTTACATTGTCAGCTTTCGAAAGCTTTTGTGTTGTAAAATATTGATAAAACTTTCGGTAATCAAGGTGGACTTCTTCATTTATATCTGTGGCATGATCTAGGATGTCGCAAAAATTTATGAATAAGATTTAGATCATTCTACATATCACCCAAACGTTTAGTTATTCGTTCTTCTAGATAATCGTTTTAGGAGAAACGTACCTATTTTAAGAAATACTTACTAAATGATTTAATTTTCTATTTATCCTCATTAGAGGATCCTAACCTTTTCATCTTAACTCACAAACAGAACTAAAATTATGCCCCAGAAATATTTCTTTGTGATGTCGATTTTTTTTATTATAAATCTTCTTTTACACATTTTTGTGATCATAGTTTGATAGAATACTTAGTAAGTACATCACAATCATGCAAATACTTTCAAATATAAACTGCTTTTATTATCTAGGTTATTTTCAATACATAACTATGTTAGAAATCTTGAAAGTCTTAAGGACACAAGTATTTCTAAAATTTTTGGATTATATACTATATAATTCTTAATTATATTGTCACTTAAAATAATAATTTTATTAGAAATTATCATATGTGATAATAACTGTGATGTTTATCACATACAATTTTAATTGAATATAATGGATATTTTACATGTATTCGAAGCATTTATAAATTTTTTAAATATTGTTTTATCCAATTATGTATTTAATATATTTTTATGTATTCAAGCATGTACACAAATTCAGTGATTATGAATCATTTAGTAATACAATAATAATTGTTTTCTTTCATAATTATACATTTTTTTAAAATTCATTTATTTCATTATATTTCTTTAAAATAGGAAATTTTGATCTTTTATTATAATAATGTTAAATGTTGGTCATATTTATCATTTAAATACAGATTTTGGAATTAACATATGTAATTATGACTGTATTAAAATATTTTTAAATGGTTTAAGTATTTTTTAGTCAAATCAGTTTTGTTATTTATTTTGTAATTACTCATATACTGATTAATTAATAGTAAGAAATTGGTAATTAAGATTTATCATATACTTTGTAAAGGAAAAAATAGTTCCAATATTGTTAAAAGTTGTACATAGATTTCTAAAGTATGAAATCTCAATGTAATTTACACAGTTTAAATATAATTTAAGAAGCTAAACAACATACATGCTTCTGTATATATCTGTATTTGTAATAACAAAGTACAATAGTATATTTCACCTTTAATTTTGAAATAAATTAATTGAAATATATACAATAAATGTTTTTCTCACTTGTACAGTATTTTTGTTGAATATTTAATCATATTAAATATACACAGTTAATTATTTCTTTTGTTACAGACTGTAAATAGAGAGTGTATATAGTGTGATAGGTGAGTGATATAGGTGTGTGGGGTTTTAGTTGGCAATGAGTTCAAGCAACAAATCGGTGTCCTCCGGTGCGAGAGGCACCAATAAGAATAAATCACAACAACATGGGAAGTCAGATCATCAAACTAAATCATCGGATTCGTCAAAACATGAGAAAGCACAGGTTTGTATAATTTGCATTTGTAAAAACATCTTTGATTCTTACATAATTTTTATATAATTTAATAAAAACTTTTGGCACGGTAGCCAAACACTGTTCAGATGCGGCATGCACAAATTATCGACACTAGAATGGGCAGTGGAGAAGATCCTGTTTTGAAAGAACGTATCAAGCAGGTCATGGACATGACTAGACGGTCAGAAGATGAAGTGGTTATGGCTTTACACGACAGTGATGGGGATTTGGATCGTGCTGTTAATGATCTTTTGGAAGGAGTAAAAACAGAATGGGAAGTAAAAAAAAAGAAGCCTCGTCAACCGAGCGGTTCTAAACAAAACATGGATACTTCTGGTGGTCAGGATGAGAGCGGTGATTGGGATGAAAGACGTAATCAACGAGGAGGTGGTCCGCCGCGTATGCGAGGCCGTGCTAATCATGATAATCGTGGATGTAAGTATACTTATCAGCATTATTACAAATTATTGTAAATCTTGTAATTATAAACAAACCCTTATTCAGGGCGTGGTCGAGAAAACAAAGAAAATGAAAGAAACATGGAAGATGGGGTTCGCGATGGCAGCTACGGTGGCAACAGGAGAGGGAGAGGTGGTCCAGGAAGACCTGGACGAGGAGGACGAGGAGGAAGCAGAGGACTTGGACCACGGACGTTTGCTAATCGTAATGATCCATCATCTACTTCGTCTGCTCATAGTTTTAATCGACCAATTGATACATGGACAGGTAACGAAGAACAACAACAAGGTGTTCAAGAACCAAAGATGGGTAAGCTTTTTCATCACTTTTACCTATTGGTATTTCAAACCACTTTACATTCTTATGGGATGTATTAAAAATATGTGGTTAGATGCATGGAATAATTTGGATTCTACAGAAGACTGGGATAACGAGGAGTATACAGGTTCATTGGCCGATACGAAAGTTTTTACACCAAGTACATCGGTAGCGGAACCTCCACCTCCCATAGAAGAGCCGAAAACCCAGGATCTACAAACAGTGCAATCAAATCAAAATGTAAATTTATCATTATTACAACAAGAAGTACGTAATTACCAAATATTATTTAACGAATTATCATTTATCAATAACGTGTAACATAAAATATATATATATATATATATTTTTTTTTTAAGGAATTGCCAAAATTGTCGGAAATACCACCAATACAACAACAAACTTTAATTCAACAAACACAGCAGCAACAGTCTGTGTTAAGCTTACCAACGATGCAACTGTCACAGCAACCAAACGCTATAAGCGGTGGAGTGTTAACAGCCGCACAGACTCAGTATTTAACACAACTTACTCAACAAACAAGTGAAAGCTTAAAAGCTGCTGGTCAAACAACATTTTCTTCATCAATTACCAATCAGGTAATTTGAAAAATGATATATTTAACTATTTCTTATTTTATAAACTAATTTCAATTAATCGTTATTTAGCCTCAAAGACCGACAAAACAACGCCCACGAGTACCACCGCCATCAAAAATCCCATCCACTGCTGTAGAAATGCCAGGAGATGCAGTTAATAGCGGTATTGGATTTCTCGATGTCCAATTTGGTGCACTTGAGTTTGGTAGCGATTCGAGCTCTCTTGATGGTTCAGCAAATGAAAAATACAATTCAGCAAGTAGTACAATTCCTGGTGTGGACGTAACTTCTACTACAAATGCTGTAAACACTGCCAATACGAATAATTCTCTGGACATTGAAACCACACAATCATCGACAACATCTTTCAATACCACTTCTCAAATGGTAATTAATTTATTATTTCACCTACGTAATAGTATTAAAACTAATACTATTTTTATTTCGTTTTCAGTTATCAAACAGCGAGAACCTACCTGTATCAAGTGAACATTCGATAAACGCTCAAACTTTTACTGGTCGCGGTAATAGTACCGGACAAAGTTTAGACATAACTAAACAAGATTTCACCTCGCAAGTCTCGCCAGGAAACGCAGCAACCTATGGTACAACAACAACTTATCAATCCCAGAAATCATCGTTTCAAGCACCTACCGCGACGCCAAGCACTTACAATGCATACTCCACAAATGCTCAGTCTGCTCAGTCATCGTTTCAAACTGCATCGGGCACCAGCGCCAATAGTTACTCTGCAACGGCGACTGTTACACAAGCAAGTTACAACAGTTCGACGTCGTTTCCTCAATCCAATACGTCGAACTTTAGCCAAGCTTCCCCGTCTGCGTCTGCAACTTCTGGTTATAATCAACCAACAACTACGAATCAAGTAATTATTGTAATAATCATCTAAAACGGTTATTTGAAATAATCATTTATTATTATTATTATTATTATTATTATTATTATGTAGGTATATCAATCTGCTACTGGATACGTACCTGCTACAACATCACAGTATCAAGCTCAATCTGTAGCTACGAATACTGTATCGAATAGCAGCACAGGATATCAAACAAGTGGCTATCAGGGATCGTCATCGTTTCAATCGACGCCTCAAGCTTACCAACAATCCGGCACAACGTTTACTTCACCTATTACACAAACTTCTGCAGCGTACCAAAGTGCAGCACAATCCGTGAGTATTTTATTTAAACGATGGGTAGCTGTATCCGCGAGGGTGTGGTACCTCATCGCTGTTTTGTGTTCGATGAATTCACTGATGGGTGTACCTGAAATGAAGAATTGCATTTATAGGTGTATGGAACGTATGGTACGTATGCCAGTCAACCACAGACAGCGTCTCACAATCATAAATTGAACAATGCTACGACAAAAGATTCTCAGTACGACAGTAATACGACAACGTCGAATAGCTCCCTCGCGACGACTACTGCTCCTACATTAGGTCTTAGTTCTACCTCCGTAAATAGTTCACAAACTAAAGTAACTAATTCTAACGGTGAGTTGCGTTTATACATTGATAATTAAAATTATTCATACGATTGAATGAAAGTAATAAATTGTGACATGATTTTTAAATTAGCGGTACCTAAAAGTACATCGAGTGGTGTGGTAACGGGTAGTAGTGGAACTGGAAATATGACGGGTGGTGGTGCAGCGGGCAGCATGACACCGATGTTAAGTCATCAGTACATTATGGGTCAAGGTGTACCTTACGCATTTCAACAACCAATGTACAGTTACGAAGAATTGCAGCTTATGCAACAAAGAATACCGCACATGGTCAGTTATTATTTGATTGTTCTATTTATTTATGCAAATGATTCAAGTACAAATTATTCGTTTCTTAATTTGTACTTGATTTGATTAGGATGCTTCGTTAGAGTAATGTACACTTTAAAAAAAGTACATTGTTCTTTTTTACAGAATTTTATTCGAATTATAAATATTATGTTTCTTGAAAGAATAACTATAAAAAGGAAACATATTTCGGGTGTACTACTCTGGAACGTGCTATTTTATTTTATGTTATGATTATCTAGCAAGAAGAATGCTGAAGTAATTGTTTCTTTAATGCTTGGTAGCTGCTCGTTACTTCAATATTTCTTTTTCCTTCTTTATTTTTTTAAGGAATCATGGATTCTTATTCATACCCTTATGGCGATACAAGAGATTCGTTGTATTTATTTATAGTGAGATGTCGCATCAAATAAATTGAATAATTTTTAGTTTCTGATACACTATACAGTAGAAAAATCAAAATGTCTACAATCAACTTGAAGAAACTTTTATTGATAATATAGAAATGCCACTTTGATCGTAGACTTGCTATACACCTTTATTTCGTTCTTTATTATTAGTTTCATTTATTTTATATGATATATTTGAAACTGTACAGAATTATATAATGTTGTAATTTTTGAGTGGTTAAGTTGTACCTTGTTTTGTAGATTTTTAAGAGGGTATTAAAGAGACAGGTACAACGAAACCGCATGTTACCTGCCCTAAAACCTAGTACGCGTAGCCTTAGATATTAGTTAGCCTTCTTGTATTTGGAGTACACAGTGTATGCATGTAGTTTTGTGTTTGGCCTTCCTGACTAACCTGCAGCCAACTACTGGTTACTATGACGCGGCTTTGGGCTATCAGACAACCGGCCCTGCTACCAGTCTTGGTGGAGGACGAGGAGATGCACTTTCCGGTGTGCAAGGTGTTCAAGGAGTACAAGGTGTACAAGGAGCCTATACCAGTATTAGTGACGCCAGGTTCGCCAGAAACGACAGCAATGCATCACCGGTTCCATCTACGATGTCCCAACAGGTGAGATTTCTTTAATAGACTTGATGATCAGCTTTACAGTGTTTATTAAATTATTTGCAGACTGCTACCCAGCATCAGCAACCAATGATGAATCCTACGCTTCCTCCAACGTATGCATATTTTGCATATGGCGGTGGAATAATGCCAGGTGGCTTTCAGTATGGAACCCCTGCCATTTATCCTGTAAGTTTATTGAATTTTAATTAATCGTTTTTCTTTTAATATATCATGATGAAGATTTACATTTTATTTATCAAAACAATTTATTATAGCAGATAGCTACTGCTGGTAATGCGGGTACAAACAGTGGTGCATATAGTGCTAAGCCAGGGGGTTATGGATCTGGATACGGTGCTAATGCAAGCTACGATGCTTTAGCATCTGCTGGTCCCTCAGCTGAATACAAAGGTGCAGGGAACAATTATACCAGTACTCAAACTGGTAAAACAGGAACATCTACTGGAAATACTAATACTGGTGGATCGTCTGCGACCGATATAAGTGCCACTATGTATGCAAAGAGTCATGTAGCGCTTAGTAAAGTTAACGTAAGTATTTTCATTAACTTCTTTGTGATAAAAAGAATTTTTAGACTATCATATCTGAATCCAATAATATTCATATTTTTAATTTATTTATTTTAGTCTTATGACAAACAGACTTTTCATTCGGCAACCCCTCCACCATTTGGTCTTACTGGTAGTCAAAACGCCGGTTTACCTGGTGGATACGGCACACCGCATTTGTTTATCCCGACTATGCCCCATCAACTGCATCAGCCACTTCATCAAGATGGTGGAAGTAGTACAGGTCAAAGGTCTAATACAAGTTCCCAAAATAAAGCCCAAGCAAAACCTGGATATAGTCCTAGTTATTGGACTGGAAACAATTAAAAACTCTGGATTAGAGAAAGAAAAGAAAAGAAGCACCATTTTAGACAAACTACAACTTCGCCATTGTGATACACGGTGGTGTGAGATATGGACATAGACATAAATGACATAAGGAACACGAGACAATTTTTTTTCCTCTTTTTTTTTTTTTGTGAAACTAAATGATCCTAGTATGACACGAGTCAATGTAAAATGTATGATGAATTTTTAAACGTGGAAGGATTAAGCAATTTTTACTGGTTTTGTGTTTAAACGGGGTAAAAATATTTCTTTTCGCATAAATCTTAATGACGCGGTTAGTCAGAGAAGCATTATACTCTTTTTACTTAGTGGTATTGATTTTTTTTATTCTCATAATATTTCAAAATATGTTGTTGGATTATAAAAAGATCCTTTAACACGTTATCTTATTTACAATTCTTTAAATTCATTAGAAAGTTTTTTGGTGTGTATAATGCGGTATGTATGTTTATGTATAAATATATTTTTCTTAACGCGAAAGAACAGTCAAATGCAGCGCAACAAGAGTAAAAAAATAATAATAAAAAAAAAAATTGCATAGTTCTTCCAAATGTGAGGCGCACTCGTGCCAAATGAATTTATAGAATTTGTAACGTATAAAATCGTGAAACGTATAATTAATACGTATCTGTCAAGATGATGAAGATGAACAAAATTTATTGTGGTACGTTGAAACGCTACCAAAATCAAGGTTTTGTGAGTAGCATCATTCTCGTGTGAAATACTGGAAAGATGATCTAGAAAAGTAATTGACTGTTAAATTTACTCCCGATCTCCTATCTGTATACTACTGTGCAATTGCGAATATACTGCATCGACTGTAAAGGGTGATAGTTTTTTTGTATGATGTAGGCATCTCAGCTCACTAACATCTAAAGTGCTTCTTTACATGAAAATAAAGCACCCCATTCGTGATGAAACGTAAAACTATAATACTACTGTAAATTACAATTATTGTATGTATTTAACCATGAAACATCAGATATATAAAGTTATAATCGTCATAATGTTGTCACTTTTGGTATTTAAAAAAAAAAAAACGAATGTATAATCGCACTAGTTTTGCATTCTTGCGCGCACCCACATATACATATATATTTGATTTGGTCACTTTGCATTTCTTCTTCTAGTTACCAGAATTTATCAACAATTATATTTTATTAACAAAAAAAAGCTATTAAACCAAAAAATGAAAGCTATCGTCATATACCATATTTTCAAAGAATGTTGGATTCAAAATGAGAACGGTACTTATTTAATATATCTTATGTTTATGAGAACAGCGTTGCAGATTAAACCAGTGCCACAAATACTAAGAAAAATCAAGCAGAATTGAATAATAATTTTCTTGTGGTGCCTTGAATAAAATTCAAATAATAGAGTTCAAACATCTGCTTTATGCAGATTTTTCTTATATATCTTTTTACAGTCCTTTCGTACAGTAAGTTGTATTATCTAAAACGTACATTACCTTACTTTTATTCATATATTAACTTTTACTAATTAATCTATATCATTTACATAATTTATCTCTTAGAAAACAATAGTTGATGCTTTAGTTTAATAACAGTTTTAAAGTTTTTGTTTGCAGAGAGTATTGTTTGCCTCTTTTTCTTTTTTTAAATTTTTAGTCTTTACAAAAATTGAAACAATTTTTGAATCACAATTGTATTATTAAAAAACAGATAAATTATTCATTTGTCAATGAATAATTTATAATTATTATCAGATAATTACACCAGCTTTGAAATAACATTTTTCAAGTTTATTATGTAAGGAAGTTCTTCAATTATAGAAGAAAATTAAAACACGTACTATAACATTCTATTTGATGTTTACAAGATGTACAAGTCCAAATAATAATCTTATGTGGCTACGTCGTAAGTTCTTGAATTTCTTTTTTACTTTTTGCCGATTCGTACTCATTTTTAGAATCTGCTTTAAAAAATTGTAATATTTGTTAATACATAAATAAAAATGAATTTTAGTTGATCAAAGTGGGAGTATTGAATAAGTTCAATTATGGATTGCAGTTATGTCTGTAATCATATTAGTCTATACTATCTGAATTTTTAAGTGAATTCTAAGAACGAACAAAAAAGGAAATGTGAATGTTAGTATACTTCTAATAGGTATTCACAATAATTTGTATCATTTTAATTAGATTGTAATAAAGAAGAAAATGCAATTGTCGATTCCGTCTGATATAAAAGAATATCCATACATACAATTAGACCATTTATGCTGATTATAATTGTGCTGTACAGTCATAAAATGATCAGGATGCAAATCATTTTTTGAAAGTTTTTACTTTACATTATTGCATTGTGGATAGTGATCATTATCAGATATAACAGTTATATTATTAAGGCCATTATTAAGAAGTAAACGAGCAAAAAATATGAGTAAAGCGTTTCCATGAGGTGCTACTAAAATTTTTACAACTTAGCATGTGTATCATACTTGGGAATAAATTGTTTTACCATAAAACTACACCGCGTACCGTCGATATGAAGGAGAAGTAAATAATTGTAAGTAAACTCCTGTTAGTAATTGCATATAACGTATATATAAATGTATACAATACTGAAGCAACACGAATATTAATAAGATACGTTTGAAAATTGTGGAAGACCAAATGTAGAATAACTCTCTTAAAACAAAAAACAAACATGTAAATCTGTAATCATAAATTATCAAAAAGAAATAATCAATTTATCAGAACAATCCTTGGATATGGATTACTTGTTCAAATTAACTATAGGAAACTTTGAAATTTAGTGCATTGTATTAATAATTTAATGAACTTGAAATATTATTATTCTCTTTGAAGAGAATTAAAAGTATGTACATGACTTTTAATAATGATCTTATTATACATTACAAAATTAATTTTATTTTGTAGAATGCAATAAGTTGAATTCATGTTTTACTAAAAACATGATTCTATTACAGATTTATCGAGTTCGATTAACATTTAAAATATTTAATAAATATTTAAACGAAATGATCCGTTTTTATTTGAAGAAACTGAAATTTATAATATTTTGTTATTAATTTAACAATCAGAAATATATTTAGCGTGTTCTTGTTCATTAACGGTATGCATGTATGTATGTACACATAAATATATCCATACATACTACCCAAGAGATTGATAATAAGCAAATTATCCTTTTTTGTTTTGTATGAATACTATATTTTAGAGCATTTCGCATTTTATATTTATGCTCAAATAAATTTAGGGGCAGATACAATATTAAATGTAATGTATAATGGAAAATAGAAGAGGATGCAAAATATTCTAGAAGAAACAAATGTAAACGAAATGTAAAATTCAGAACAATTTGTTCTTACGATTGTACTAATTATTATACATTAATAATTTTTGTATTTTTGTCAAATATTAATCTATTCAATGCAAATGCAAAATGCATTGCGCCATTACTGCTATTACATACTTATTAAAAAAAATAGCTATTAGTGTGTATAAATATCAATATCTAAGAATAAATGTATTGAAAGGACCCTATCTCATACATATATATTATGCATAATACTTTGATTTAATAATAATTATTATAGAACTTTTTAATTATTACAGTTATTAATAACGTTATTAACAACATTTACAAGTCATGTAAAATTGTCATTAGATGCAAAATTTGTTTAATCGTCTTTGGATGTTAAAGAGGCAAGAGTATTTATTCTTACATGTAATAATTGATTAAAACGTTAATTATAATTTAATTAAAAATTTTCGCGACCTCACCGACGCCACCTGCCGGAGAATCGCTGAAACTATTCGACAAGTAGGTTTTTACCGACAATTTCCGGGAACACTTGCGCCATCTATTAACAAATGGCTGAACCTACTTGTCGAATAGTTTCCGCCGTTTCTGTATAGATGGCGCTACGATCGAACTTCAGAACCCTTTTTACCGACAATTTAATTTTACCGACGATTTTCGGGAGCACTTGCGCCATCTATTAACAAGTGGCTGCACCTACTTATCGAATAGTTTCCATCGTTTTTGTATAGATGGCGCTATTATCGAACTTCGGAACCCTTTTTACAGAAAATTTAATATTACCGACAATTTCCGGGAACACTTGCGCCATCTATTAACAAGCAGCTGAACCCACTTGTCGAGTAGTTTCCGCCGTTTTTGTATAGATGGCGCCACCGGTCAAGTTTCTAAACTATTTGATACAGTCTGGAGGACCTGGAGTTCTCGTTGACTGAAAACATGTTTACTTGATGAATAATAAAGATGAACACTCGGGAAAAAGAAAAATACATTGAAGAATTCGAATTCCCTCATTGCGACGAATCTTCGAAGTATGAAAAGGTCGCGAAAATTGGTCAGGGCACCTTTGGGTGAGTTTAATATAAATTCGTTATCACATTATAGGTTATAATGAAGTATAAGTTTTTGTTTTATTTTAATTATTAATCTTTTACAGGGAGGTGTTTAAGGCCCGAGACAAAAATTGTACTAAAAAATTCGTAGCTATGAAAAAAGTGTTGATGGATAATGAAAAGGAAGGGGTAGGTACACCGTCAAATATTCGATTGTTTAATACATCCCTTTTCATTTTTTGTCCACGTTGTCCGATTGCCATGCAAAACGTTTGTATATGAACAATAATGTGTTGTATTTGTTGTTTATTTAATAAGGAATACTTTATTTTCAAGATGTTGTTACCCAGTGATAAAGTATCTGGGAACAGAATATGTAGAACAGTATTGCTATTTGTTGCATTAGAGTATTATGTTAAATTAATAACTTCTTTTACAGTTTCCTATAACTGCTTTAAGAGAAATAAGGATATTACAATTACTGAAGCATGAAAATGTAGTGAATTTAATAGAAATATGTAGAACAAGAGGTAAGAATTTTATATCTTTGTATAGCAGCAATGTTTTGAAATAGTATCGGTTTGTTAATGATATCAAATTCTTTTTTTCAGCAACTCAATATAATCGTTATCGTTCTACATTCTATCTTGTATTTGATTTCTGTGAACATGACCTAGCTGGTCTATTGTCAAATGTAAATGTTAAATTCAGTTTAGGTGAAATTAAAAAAGTTATGCAACAATTATTAAATGGTCTCTATTATATCCATAGTAATAAGGTAGAAGTATATAAGTTGTATATGTAATAAAAAGTATCAGATCAATTAAATATAACTTACATAAATTTTTATAGATTTTACACAGAGATATGAAGGCTGCAAATGTTTTAATAACAAAAAATGGTATATTGAAACTGGCTGACTTTGGGTTAGCTCGCGCATTTAGTGCAAATAAAAATGGTCAACCAAACCGTTATACAAACAGAGTGGTCACTCTTTGGTACAGACCACCAGAACTCTTACTCGGGGATCGGAATTATGGTCCTCCTGTAGATTTATGGGGTGCAGGATGTATAATGGCTGAGATGTGGACCAGGTTAATACGTTAATGGTACTTTGAAGTTAGAATGTTTATCACAATCCAGACATTTCTTGTGATTGTTTGTTGTCACAGGTCACCTATAATGCAAGGAAATACAGAACAGCAACAGCTCATATTAATTTCTCAGTTATGCGGTTCTATAACAACAGAAGTCTGGCCTGGAGTAGAAAATTTAGAACTGTTTAATAAAATGGATTTACCTAAAGGTCAGAAAAGAAAGGTAACTATTATTTTTATTATAATGTGTCTGGCTTACATAATTAAGAAATATTTTTGTTCAAAGGTTAAAGACAGATTGAAACCATATCTGAAGGATCCTTATGCGTGTGATTTGTTAGATAAACTATTAATTCTCGATCCATCTAAAAGATATGATTCAGATTCTGCATTGAATCATGATTTTTTCTGGACCGATCCAATGCCCTGTGATCTTAGCAAAATGTTAGCGCAACATACTCAGAGTATGTTTGAATACTTGGCTCCACCAAGACGTCCTGGTCATATACGTCATCCTCATCATCAAGTACCTGGAGGATCGGCGAAACCTAGTTCTAGTATGGCTGACAGTGGTTACCAAGATCGTGTATTTTAATAGTTTACGTTTCCACAAATATATACTGCCCTTTACCGTTCATTATCTCTTCGTCTCTGTAAATTTTGATAAATCGTATAACTTTTAATTTCATTTCAATATCATGTCGAAGTATACGGTTTTAAGTTAAAATCAAGTATCTAATTTATATAAATTCCGAAAATTATCTGTAAGATTTTTTTATACATATATATATATATATTATTTATATATATATAAATTTTCTACAAAAAGCAACAGTCTCTTGATTTAAGCCTTCTATTTCCGAAATTGTATAATTTATATTTGATGAGTATATTACGTTTTATACAGTCTCTTATTTTTCTGAAACAAAAATGATATTAATTTATTATTTTTACATTAGTACAACACTCTTGATTATTATGGAACAGTAAAGAAATAACATTTTAGAAAGGTAATTTTTCCAACCACCTTATGTCAAAACAAAATTTATTTCAATGAACAAACTTCAACTTTACAATTATTTGCGAATCAATAGTGTTATACAATCGATAACTATAAAAGAAATCTTAAGACACGTACAAGCCTAAATTTACTAAATCTAAATTTAATAATTGTAGTACTCGTGCAACCAGAAATGAGATTGATCAGTAAATTCGATAAACTCATTTAGCAATTGTACGTACAATTTCACGTCTGCATTATCATAGCGTCATGAGAAAGCAGTCTCGTGCGTAGCACCTGAATAAAAAAAAACTTCAATATGTACATAATTGTATATGCCCGTAATACTTTGTTACTTTTATTCCTTACAGCTACAATATCGTTGTTACGATCAAAATAAACTATCGTACTATCAAGTTTTGTAAGGCACAGATAAATATGATTTATATTAAAAATAAATGACGCGACAGTGGTATTTATCACCGGCTATAAAAATATGAATAAATTTTCTTTTAACACAGCAACAGGTTTCATTTTTTTTTCAATATTCCTTTTTCTCTTGTTTAATGAATGGTCACTGCAATAATGTATCGATGAAATGACGAACACGCATTTATATCACATATATTCTTAATCATCATCGTTCTTCAAAAATTGATCCAAAGGATTTGGGCCCATTCTCTTCGGCTTAGTGGTTGACGCTTTCTCTGTACTCTCAGCTAAAATAATTATTTATAAATTTATAAATGATTATTTCTAATCGTTCAAGTCGTGCGTGTTTGAAATTCTAGGAAGCGTATACTTTAAGAAAATATATAATTACATGTTGTAGGGCGTTGAGCATTTAGACAACTGAGCCACTCTGTCATACTTATCCTTCTGTCATTGTTGATATCACAGTATCTAGGCAATCTTTTGCCACATCTTTGAAGCTGCCTATTATTTGCTACCATTGTGCGGAAACTTTTCCATTCTTTTCTCTCCAAAACCTGCAAATATAATACATATACATATATTGTTAATAAGAATTTATGTACAATGCAATTAAATATTTATATATTAAAAAAAATATATATCAGCATGCCTTATTCTTGTTTTTATCCAGCATAACAAAATGCCAGGTCGCTATTTGTTCCTCTTTCGAAGCTTGCCACTTGGCTGTCGTCTCGTCAGAATCCGTCCCGGACGCCTTCATTTTTTTCTGCATTAGGTCCATTAAATCTCGTAGAAACAGCTGTTTCTTTTGTTCTGGACAACCTGATGCATCACGAATACATATTTTAAAACATCTGATAGAAAATGATCGATAATAAGAGATATTTTAAGAAATGAAATCTTCATACCTTTCATGGGCCTGCTAGGAGTGGGTACAGGATTGCAATTTGGAGTACGATCTTTCGAGGATGTTCCAGGAATTGGTTTACCAGTGTCTTGATAGACACACCAACAGTAACCTGAATAACATTGCACTCGATGGTATCTGCCATCAGGTGTGCATTCAGGTACATAAAATTTCTCCTGGGAATGTTGCCTCTCGTCCTCCAGTACGGATCTTCTATCCGTTAAACAATCGTTTGCTGCAAATTTTACAGTTACAATAATTGTAAATAAAAGTATGCTAAATAAAAGTAACACTTGCCATCGCTATCTTCTTTAGTATCCATTGGGTCATCGTTGAACGCTGGTCGCGAATGTACTGGGGCAGGATTGCCTTTCAACACTGTGAAAAATGAAAAACCATCATTCCAACGAAATTTTTCAGAAAAACAGAACAACAATTCTCTCTCCTTTGATTATATGCAAAGAAAATGTTTATAGAAATTTTCTTTCCTCTGTACAGCTTGCACTGCTTTCGCACAGTTTGTTAATACAGCAGTTAATTTGCAAAAAAAAAAAAAATATATATATATATATATAGATTTTTATTTACACACACGACAAATAATTTTGAAAAACCGTCACCACCCGACAGACGATAAGTTCTTTCACTCTTTTCTCTTTGTACAAAACACATGCCTAAAGGAATCATAATGAAAAGCGTTTTATGAATGATCAAATATTCCTTTTACTTACAAGGGAAAATCTGAAGCAAGAAAAAAAATTCAAAAAAATCATGAAACTTTGTAAATGTACCTGCTATCAGAATTTTCCCTTATTAGCTCGATTTACACAATTTTCATTTTTCATGAAATCATGTTAATCGATTCGAATGGGTGGTGACGCATAAAAATCAAATTGATGAACGAAAGATCTCTATGTATCGTGATTCATTATAGAAGCACATGGTTTTAGAAAGAAGCATTGCCACGTTGATTCGATCGTTCCACGAAACGTGGACTAATTCTCCAAGAAATATAAAGATCATAGTACGTAATTAAAAATTCCAGAAAATAACAACGTACCCAGTGCTATATCACTAAAGATCCTTAAAGAATCCGTGAATAAATCCGAGTAAGAAAATAAATTTGAAAAACTAACGTGACATTGCTGCTGATTTGCTGAACTAGGACTCACCTTGGTCCGTGGCCCGGGTCCTCTGGGCCTCAGGGACCTCGGGGCGCTCGTCTGCGGGGTTCAGCGACAAGAACAAACGTACTAAATGATAACAATGATGTCACTCAGCCGACCGGCCTTACCTATATGTACAATGTTTTTTTGTCATTCGCGCATCGCAGGTTTTCTAGCAGAGCAGCGAGCGGTGGCGAACATTCAACAAGGATGTGTTCGTTTATTTATCAGGCAGCAGTTCTTTTCTTTCTTTCTGATTTTTTTTTTTTTTTCCTTATTTCACCCAAAGTATAACGCAACGTTTATGCTTCTTTATACGAATGCTATAATTCTCCCCTCTTTACCGATAGCGCGATTCATGCGGTCTCTTAGGCGCGTCATGCGAAATACGCGTGAAGAAGGGACGTGCAATTAAGGAACTGATAGAATTAAAGAGCTTTCGCTAATCTACAATCTCGTTTACGGTTAGTTTCACAAAATTCCCAACTCTTTCGATCGTCGAGGGTGCTACAGGAGGTACATGCTCCAGTGCCGCAACGAGGGCTTGCAAAATTTATCTTGTTACATTAAAATTTTTAATTTTTTTTGTCATTATTGGATTAATTGGGGAGGCGCAAGTTAGACACTTGCCACAGACGCTTCATATCCTCGTTACGGCATTGACATGCTCCTCGGGGTTAAATTCTCGCTAAACAAAAGAAACATCGATTTTTAATTAGAAGGTGAATAAGTAAAGAAGTTGATTGATTGCCTGAAGCTACGATACGATCCTCGGGTCAGCCGAGCGGAGGCTCGAAGAATGTTGCATCAAACACGATTGACTTAACATGCAATTGACCACAATTCTACGTATCGACCAATCTCTACTCGCACTTCTACTCTGCAACATTTATTTATGCTGATCGTTCTTCAGGATAGTTTGAAATAGCGTAGGCGGGGAGGGGGATTTACAAAGTCGACGAATTGCGAGGGCGGTGGTTCTCGCGGACCATCCGCGAGGTCAATTGCTTCAATTCTACGGTAGCCGGTCACAGTGTGGGCAAACTTCCGGCAGGATTCACGAATGTTAAGCTGGAACCGGCACCGTAAAGAGAGAGAAAGAGGAGCGCGAGACATCCTGTCCGGTTGTAATTTATACCGCGATTTAGACGCCGAGACGACGTTCTTCCGGTATTATCCTCAAACGACCCGCAATAAGCAAGACGTTTTCACAAATTTTTATTTATTGCCGGATCCGTCCACGCGTACGGTCGCTGGTCTAATCTGTTCTACAGTCTCGGAATTCGGAAATAAAATCGAGAAGAATACAGGAATGCGCGAAAGAAAAACATCATAACTCGAGGACCTACGAAGCAAGGGGAAAAAAAAAATATTTATGCAAATACACCGCGGCAGAGTGGAAATAAACTGTAGAATCGCCGCGGGACTCCTCCACGTTTTGCTTTAGATTTTTTTTTTTTTAAACACGTCTGTGTTACATGACCGAAAAGTGGTTCTATAGTTATCGTACGCGGTATTGAAATGTCAAACGATCGTCGAAAAGAAGAATGACAAATTAAGAGATTCGAAAAGTATGTCAAAGTGTGGTCTATGTTCGTGCCATCCAGAAGCGATCGAGAGGCACCCTTCACCCAAGAAACGAGAAAAGCAAAGTGCACAGTAATTTCTTCGTAGCCAATTGTTACTCGGATATACAAGATTAGCGCGTGTTAAGCGGCGTTAAATAAGAGCGTTAATCTCGATTTACGATCACCATTAAGTTGTACTTGTGAATTTACAATATTCGTTGAATATTCTATTTAACCCTAGGACGTCCGAGTCACCTTTCACCTGGCTTAGCCGTCCAAAAGTTAAAACACTATAAACTTAATCGTTATGTAGAATTCGCGACAATTTAAAAATAAATATGGATCGTACATCGAGCTTAACAAAATGGTATTCAATTTCTGCGCGAAAACGATCTTGGATCCTCTCTTTCGTCTTTCCTCGAATAATTATTATAAAGAAGAGACTGCACGGTAGGATTTGAAATTACATTTGCCAAAGAAATTTTGACAAAATTTCCGAGACGAGAAAAATGATGAAAAGATCGCCGATCGCGCAGTGGTCGTCCAAGAGGACCAACAAGTTTCTCCCTTATCGTTTGAAAAGCACGTGCACCACGTGTTAAACTTACGAGTGAAGTCGTTCGCAAGGCAGGCACCCCATTCTTGCCTGGAGAGTTTCAAATCTCGATTTAGGTCGCACGTGCGGGCGAACGTGCGAGCACATTTCTTCGGCCTTACCGCCTTCTTCGCTAGTCTCCTAAGCTCTTTGTACTCTGCCCTATCCAGATAGCCATCACCGTTTTTGTCAAGCGTCACGAATTTCCACGACAGCACGCGTTCCACGTTTTTGTCACCTGTTGGAAAAATCGATCCGTCAAACAATGATTTTAACGTTAAGTTTCCAATCCCTTTTCCCTAAATTCTCACCATCGGCAGAAATGTTAGTCCGTCTGTATTCTATTTTGAAGTTCTCGATCAGGTTCCCGTTGAACTTTGATTTCTCAGCTCGATCGCATGTATTCCTATGCTTGCTGCTGTACTGCCTTCGCTGTTTCCAGTTCGGCGAGCGCCTTCTTTGGCCGCTCCTGGTGGAAGCAGCAGATCTGGGACCAGGTTTCAAACATCTTGGTCTTTGGTGTCTTACCGAGGTGTCGGGCAACGGTCTGCCCTGCGGCGTCACGCACCAACAGTACCCGGTTTCCTCGTGACACTGGACCGGTGCGTAAGTGCCATCCGGACGACAGACTGGTCGTGCACCCGGCCTGGCGGTCAGTCTTGCGGAGAAGCACGCTGGTGTCTCTGGATGGACAGGTTGAATCGCATCGTTTCTCGTTAGACGTTATTTTACATTTACAGAAGAAGATGTGAATTTTTCAAGATACACTGATTTCAACGCTTGATTCGAATACTCGGTAACACGTGCAATTATAAGATATACAGTAGTAATTACTAACATCGTATGCGAGGAGAATGCATCATCCTACCTGGACAAGGGCCAGTGTGTTTGATAAGAATAGACATGCCTTGACACTGCTTCGAAATGACCTGACACTGACTCGAATACGTAACACCGTCGCTCCCACATACCGGTGTACTTGCACCGTCGCTCATCGTGCATTCGGCTATCCTTTTCCTGCACTCCTCCTAAAACACACAACATAAGTATGCATAGAATTACAAAAGCAATTACATTTTTATACATCAAACGGTGAATTTTAATAGGGCCTGCCCTGAGATTTCGGGGGTCCGTGGGGAGCTCTGAAAAAGAACCCCTTCGAATAAAAAGAAGTAGCTGAAATAAAATTTATAAAATTAACATTGAAGCTTGTATAACTAATTTAGATTAATATTTAAGTAAACAGTCTTATGGGGACCCTAGGCGGCCGGCCCTAAATTTTAATATACGGACAAATGTTACTTTTGTCAATGAAATCTTCTTAGACTTTCTACGCTTCGCAATACACTATTTGATATACAATCTTGATCCGATTAAGATAATGAAATGAAATCAATGAATGATTCATAGGGTAATTTCTTTTACAAGATATATTGCCCATTTCCGATGACTAACATTCATGAATCATTTTTCAAACTATCTTTCGCGTAACAAATGTGTTCGCATAACTGTGTCTCCATTTCACAGGGACACGATGGAAGGATACAAAGAAAGAATAAAAATTAAAACGTTTCGTTGTATGACTAATTCTTTCACGATTTTCCTTGAATCCATCGACATCGTTTGGTGTTCCAAGAAGATTGCTAACGCATTATGCTATCTTACGCACATCCGTGAAATGAATTTTCTCTTACGGCCATAATTGGTGACCAGAAACGACTCGTACACACTTTTGTCTGAAGATATAAAAAGAAAAAAAAAGAACGATGAATGTACAAATGTTAAAGATTAATAATTGTACAATATGTTGGATGGAAAGATTAAGATGAAAATTAATCAATCGAAAGCTACTTTACTCTATAAATGATTCATTCGGAATAGCATGGAACAGAAGCGTCTTTAAGCAGCAGTAGGCGCCTCTGTCAAGGAACGAAGGCGCCTCAAATCCATCAGAAGAGGCGCCTGTATCGTTACGTCATGCATTTGCATTGCACGGAATGTGAAAACCGATTTACAATCTTAAACGCACCACCGTGTCGGTAATTACCCTTGTTGAAATGATTTAATGTATCGCCGAGATATGCTAAGCTAATTATCGGTCATGAAATATCGCTATCTTCTCGATGCGATCACTGTTTTGCTCTTTCTACGCGCTATGCGCTGTTTACATTAAGAAGATTAATTGTTTTTCATTTAATTAGTTGTCTTCCGCGTGTTTCAAGTCAGACACACCAGATGCGTCAGGTAAAGTATAACGACAGAAAAATTCACACTGTCAAATTGCTTCCAGAAAAATAATGCAAAACGCTTCGTTCCTGAAGTTTCAACCTGTTCCCATCTAATTTACTTACTAACATATGCTAATGAACCATTTCTTTTGACCGTGCATCGTTGTCGATCGTAAAACGTTTCACCACGATTTACGAAGTAATTAATCGTCAACAAAAATCACGCTTAATTGTTCCAAACAGTTCGATCACCCTTGCATCGGTGTGTCTTGCGTACGCGGGTATGCAAGACGTAAAAAAAAAAGAAAATTGATAACATGATTTGATGCGGGGCGAAACGGGTTTTTCGGCGCGTAATCGCGCGAGCCGAGTCATTTCCTTCTGGCAGAGAATAAATTTCAAGCACAGCCTGCTTCGAGCCTTGTCCAGCCAACTGGAGAACTTGTACCAGCTCGATTTCTTCGATGTCGAGGAGAAAATATTACCTTCGTCCGTCTTTTCATACTTCAGATAATAATTACTAAAAAATAAAAAATAAAGAGCCATCAGATGTGTGTACAATGCGGATTGATTAATTTGAATTTAGAATGAATGCGAAGATACGTAAAGAAATTATAAGAATCGTATGTATTAAAATTCTTCTTCTGTTTCGAATTTTTTAGCTTTCAACAGCTAGTTTAAATAACGTGGCTACTCGAAGCTCGAAAGATTAATGGTCCTTTGTATTACGAAAGAAAATTCGTAGAACGAGGAAACGTGTTAAGTGATTCGCTTGTACCATGAATGGAAAATGTGCGAATCGTCCAAGTCCTCGCGAATTATACGTGTTAGCAAATGATCTTTTGCTATTCCAACGGTGTTCCTAACCGAGTGGAAGCGATAATCGGCTTCGAATATTTAAACAACCGGGAGAGCTCGCGCTTCTACGTTACGTCAGTTGCGTGCACAAAAATTCAGGTAACTGAATAAGAATTCACAATTAACACCATTACTTGTCGCCATTGAAGATGAGAAACTTTCTTCAACGCATCTTTCATTAACAAAAGCTTTACATGGTAATTCTCGTTAAACTTTAAGCTTGAAATTGGTATACCATGAGTGCCATTTAGTGACACTTTTATGTCATCAAATCTTGTCAGGCTCGAGTAGTAACCTGATATTAAGGAGCGCTAAGACCTTATTAATCTTACATAATTTCTAGTAGGAAACACGTAACTCGGAATCCAAGAATTTTTCTTTAAATTTGAATTCTATATTATGGTTAAAGACACGTTACGAGTATGTGTACGTGTGTCTAATGACGGGGTTCCAAAGAAGGTGTCGTTTCGACGACCAGAGAAACACAGTGATTTGTCCGTATCTCTGATTACAACCTCGCTTGTAGAGGTGCTTGAAAATAGTGATTAAACGAGTGGCCACTTACAAACCACCTCTGTATCGCTCATTATTCTTTATGGCACTGTATTTTAAGCTTTGATCAAGTTTCAACAATACGCCATTGAAAGGCTCATCTCTTACAGCTTATTCTAGCACTTTGCATAATCATAAATAAGTAGCTTCTCAAGAACCTGAAAATGAAACGAGATTAGAGAGCTGTTCGAATGATTAGACTCAAAGAGAACAGAGATATTCATAAGAAAAAAAGAAAGAAAAAAAAAAAGATTATACAAATCTCCATGCACAAGCTTCAAAGTCGTAAAACAATAAAAGAAGATGTAATTAAGAGTGACGAGAAGCGACCCTGAGCGACCAATTAATTTCAAGCAGACCACAGTGTCATTCCGTTTCACGCGGCTAATTAGAATTCGTAGAAAGAGAGTGAGCCGCGTGTGCCATGTACACGACGACACGTAAATGTAAATTTCTGCAAACGAGCCACGACCACCGCGATTACCTGTTGCACCTGTTATCGATCACCTATATGTACGTTCCCGGTACACTTATGGTTTCATATACGTTTCAAGTTTCGATGCAATCACGTGGACAACGTGATTCGCGTAAATTCAAATCGACCCTGTTCCAAGCCGGTTTATCGTTGAGAAAATGAAAGAAATAAAAAAATAATAATTCTAAGAACATTCATCATGCTCGTTTTGACCGTTTCTATTAATATCAGATCACTGCGGTTACAGCGGTTGAATTATGCAAAGCTTTCAAATACGTAAGTAAAAAGGAAAGTTGATTGATACGAACACGATAGATTTCTTCTTCGATGGTTTTGAAAATGAATTAGAATTTTTTTTCTTTTTGAATCTGTTCACAATATTAATCCTTTCCTAATTCAACACTAAACTAAATAAAAAAAAAAAAAAAGACTCGTCGTTTCGAATCGTTATAAATGATTATTAATTAGCGAAACTTGTCAGTCGAATTACCAGTAAACGAGCTATTCCTGTTAACGGAACGAGTGTTAATTACCGAGTCATATCTTGACGGCGCCGTCGTCATTGACACGCGCGCCAATTATTATCGGAGCACATTTTCCGCGGTAGTTACTATTAATTGTAGGCTCGAAGCAACCGTCACGAACCATAATGACCGCTACCGGCAACTGGAACGTGAAAAAAGAAAAAAAAAAAAAAATAGATTGGTGGTACACAGTGGGAGATGTAGAAAAATATGTATGTTCTCTTAGGCAAAAAGGAACAAGATGAAAAGAAAAAAAAAAAAAATAAATAAAAAGGAAGCGTATCAGTAGGTTGGCGCCATACGGCAATACTTGCCCCGCAGTTGACACCAACAGAATTGATTATAGAGTAGAGACAGTGGATTGATTTGAGCTGAGATAAAAACTTAATATTACCTAGCGATCAACGATCAAGGTCCTGGCCAGCCTCCGGTACCAGATTGAATATGAAATTGTATAATTTTCCTTATTGAATATTTCTGACGATATTGTCGTTTCATCTCATTCAGAAGGATCTATCGTCTCTGTATTTTTCGTGCCTCATAATCGATATCGAATACAATTGATAAAGATCAATTTTGTATAATTAATATTCATGATGTAGTAGCTTCAACTGGATCCCAAATGATCCATTTTCATCCAGGATCATTTTTCAATGATCAAACATTCAGGAACAGCATTCCATATCAAATAACTATTGTCTTATTGCGATTCTAAATGTACGATCAATTTAATTGCTTCTCGTTTACCGTCACGTTAATTGCTACTCGTAGGATCGGCATCTATGCGGCTGAGGTAGCTAAACGAACCGCTACGTGGTTTTTATTCAGAACTCGCTGAAAATTTCATCGATAATGATACGGGGATAGAGTGAAGCGAGAGGAAGCGAAAAGCTGGCAGGCTACGGTGAAATATATCACTTTTGTGTAACGCTGAGACAGTTGTGCAACCGTGACAGAGAGGCTGCTATTAACGTGAATAGCTTCGGAGAATCGAGGTACACGTGCACCTAATTCTCCATTCGCAAGGACGAGTAATTGTATCATGAGCTGTTAGGTTTTGGATTTATGTCGTTAACCCATCCACGCCGGATGTAAGGTCATTCTGACCCAACCGCAGAGTAAATGATTTATATCTGAAGATGCGCATCCCGGATTTAATCATATGCCTCTTGATAAAAATTGCATATCTTCTAACTTTTCAAGATTCCTTTTCGCAAACGTTAATCGCTTCTAATGGATCTTCAATCCTTTCTAATCGAACAATAATGAAGAAGCTTCCACGGTGGATGCAAAAGGCAGACCAAGACACAAAAGGTAAAAAGAGGACTATCTGCTAACACCTGAGCATTCGGGGTAAGCTCTGCGTGTCGCAATGCACACGAGAAGCTGCACACGTGTGTTCATCACGAGTAGCAAGAACAGGAGAAAGAGAAGAGGACCTCGTAAGATATTGGCTCTCCCCAAACAGGTTTCTTAGACACATTCTTTCTGGGCTTGATACTCGCCATTGGTGCAGCCAGCTTTTTATTAATTATTACCCATCTCCAAAGGATTGAGACACTAAAGTTACCACCATTGTCTATTTTAACTCTTGAGCATAGTTTCAATTAAATTTACCTGAAATGCAAATCAATAAACATAAGTGGATGCAATTGAATCACACTGTTAATATTCAAATAATGCTAATATCCTTGGGTATAGTATTACTACAATTTAATGATATCGTTAAGAGAAAGGGAGAGACTAGTGTTTCTAATGTTACAAGCGATCCTGGCTATCGTTGGGATGCTTGAAATCATTGCCTATTAGATTCTCAATATTATTAAGGCTATTTAACATACTAAATGATTATACTTGCTAATCAGACTATTGTATATTAATGTCTCTGATGTTTCTGTTTGGTTTAATGTATCAAATGTTTGTAGCGTTTCCGGTATTTCAATTGCTTTTTTAATTGGAACTAATTAATATCGTTTATTACTATTTTCCATCAACTGTAGCAGCCTAAAAGAATTCATTTCATATTATTAAAATTGCAATTACAAAATCATTTAAAAGAAAAAGAAGAAGAGAGAACAACTGTTGGGATTAGCATAAAAAATTCGGCAAGACCAGATGGAAAGTTCCCTGTCTGACATTCGAAATTTTAATCAGAAATATATATACATATATGTATTAACGACGAAGATGAAGGAATGCAGGATAGAAAAATGAACACTGGCCAGAATGGAATTCCCGAATGAATACCATTTCATTGTGTACAGACGAAATTTCAATTTGCATACCGAGCGACCTTTGCTGATTAATGACACGGTCGAATTGGATTTTGAAGGCCGATCAAAAGACGAAATGCGTTTAGAGAGAATAAAAAGAAGTGGGATGAGTTATTTATCGGCGCCAGCACCGTGATGAGAGCGTGTAAAGTCGAAATGGAGAGGTGAAAAAGAAAGAAAAGAAAAGAAAAAAAAAGAGACTGTCCGGATGCCGAGTGTGCCCACGTACGAATTCCATACGGTGGCGGATCTATGCCTACGTAAGTGGTCCCGAGATGTTGAGTATGGAAAAAAAAAGTTTGACACATTCCACAGGTGTGCTTTCTTCGAGGGGTATAAACACTTGCGTAGCGGTAAAAAATCCATACCATATGCGGTCACGTTATGGGATTTATTAGACTAAGAGTATTTGGAACGTCTGAGATGATTTGATGACACAAAAGTACCCTTCTACTTGCTCTATTTCTCAAAAGCATCAAAACTCTTCCTCAAAGTATTCGTTATTTCCTTAGCAATTTAAACGAAAGCAACCTTTCCTCGTCCTTCTGGGAGCCTATTAAAAATAGAATATCAAATGAAAATTAACATCAAAAAACAGGAAAGATTTGCAAGTAATTGTTATTCAAGATGGGTGAAAATTCTGCTATCGTGAAACCTCGCTCTCCCTACGTTGTAGGGAACTAGTTTACAAACAATACCGGAGGAAAGAACAACGTAGCTAGACACTCGTACGCTTTTATCGTAATTAATTCGATAACGAACCACCGAGAGCTGCATAAATAAGTAAGATTTTCTCTTTAGCGGCTGCTCCATGTTCGATTGCACCGTATCTCTGCGGTGAAATTGATTACACCCTTTCTCTTTCAAGGAAATATTGAATTTCTATCAAGTCTCAGGAAATAAGGAAGACCCTTGAAAATAAAGAAAAGAAAATGTTAAATCAGATTCAAACCAAAAGCACTTTAGAAACAAATGGGGAAGAAAATTATTATTGAAATATGATATAAAATGATGGAAAATGAAGAAGGTATGGAGTGTCGCGGAAGAATCGTTGTTTGGAAATGTTCTTAGAATACGAGCGAGGAATGCAATAAAATTTCGTAACAAGAAATCAAAATTATCTTGTACAAGTGTGAAAGCAGTGAGTTATCGGGTGCTCCACATAATTAAGTTAGCAACGAGCATGGTACACTGAAGCTTCTCGATTAATCATTAGCAATAAGAGAAAGAGAGAAATAGTGTGATACAGAGAGAAAGATATATCATCTATTTATAATTGTATTAAAGAAAAAAAAAAAAAAAAAAAGGAAGAAGAAACTGCACTGTCGGATCTTTAATCGAGCATCGTATTTACCTTTCTTCTTTGCCTTTTGCAAACAAAAGGGTATTTGTATCGAACGGCGGGACACATAAAAGGCCGAGGCTCGTAGTGCTAATAATTTTTTCTGTCAAGCAACCAGCGTAGAAAAACGTACCTTCAGTGTTGGTAGAAACACTGTTTCTCCTCGTACTTATCGTGCTGGCGAACTGTGTCTAATTAATAAACCACCAACCGCGTCCTATGAACACCTTCTAACTACACAACGAACAGTTTAACTGGCTAATACCTCTGGTAAACAGTTGCACTCCTGTATTAACACTGGTAAGATAAATGATCATATTACATGTATTCTCATGAATGTTTCTGAATTTAGCCCTTTTTCAGATTACAAGGACTGCAGTGGTAATCTGAAATTTTGCATGCTTTAATGTAAGATTACCTATGTTATCTTTCATTATTTGATTAAGTTTTTAAATATTGTAAGGCAAATTAATTTGCACTTGTCAGTTTGATAAAATTTAAACGCAGAATAATTCTAATTATTCCAATTATAAAAATAAAATGTGCAAAATGTGCAGATAAACAGAGAAAATCAAAACAATTTCAACCCTTTGAAGACAATAAACCCATATGCGTCTTGCTTTAACATTCTGATTTCTCCAAATGCGGATGACACACCTGAACAATCCAGTTTGCCGATGAAGGATCAATGGGCATGATCCTACCAGATCATGAATTACCTACATCTGTGATCCTCTGAAATTATACGGATATCCGATCACTCACCTTGGCCGTAGTGATGGTGTTCGCAGTGGCATCGAGGTGGACGAAGACGTAGAGGAGGATAGCAGTGCGTATCATCGGGATCATCATCATCGTGTCCTCGGCTGGTGGTACGTCCTCGAGGGTCGAAGGACCGAAGCCACGCACGTACACGCACGCCACTCACACGCACTCACTATTTCTGGCACATGGCATCCTTCTTTTCATGATCTTTTCTCTGCACGCTTCCTCCTTCTTCCTCTACCGATTCGTCAACTCTGTTTTGCCACTTTTTGTGTACCGGCTCGTTTCACCGTGAGCCTTGATTCTCGATTACGAACCACGACGAGGGTAGTTGCGTGGAAACGAAGACCTCGACGATAAAGGACGCAAATGTATGTCCAACCGTGGCAACTGCCGCCGAGCAACTGGCACTTGCTCGCCTGCTGGAGCAGCCTGTCTCGGCTCGGCGGCAGACTCCCCGTTGCACTCTACGCTACTCTTCTTCGCTATCAGGAAATTTCGATGGTTTGAAATCCGACGAAAACCGTGCTCCATCAATTTATCGCTTGTGGTTCGGTCACATTTAAATCTGACTATGAACTTAATCTCATTTTGCATCGTGTCTGGGAGTAACAATTGAAACGTGGTTTATATCCATGCTGTTAGGTACGAGTCACTATTGAACTATAATTAATTTTCACTCCCAATCTAATATTTTCTTTTGAAGATTAAGATCCTCCCTCGTCCAGGTTACAGAGACATGCATACCTAAAAATTTTGAATGTTAGTATATTACAAAGAAATGGAGTATTATGAAAAAGGGTAAAGAAAAATAGCACTCCAGGTACGTACGAGTGTTTTTAAAGTGCATAAAAATACTTTACAATGAAAGAAGGTGTGTCTGGAACATTATCATTTAATTTCTTTGTATTTGTTTTACGTGATCTTTTCGTTTGGTTCCTCTGAACGAGATAACGGAAGTATCGTCTTCTGTTGTAGGAACACACGGTGAGAAACATTTGTTCACAAATAGTACTGTTTTGAATAAACAAACTATGAAGTAAGTTTATTGCTGGTTAAACAGTTTAATGATGATAAAATAAATATTGAATAAATTACATTGTTATGAAATGATGCTTTTTAATTTAGAATTCTTTAGCAAAGTAATCCTTCAATTATTTTGTTAACGAGGTACAAAGTTATGAGCATACATTTGCATAGTTTTTTAGTCGAAGCGTTTACATAGTATTTTATACTTACACTCTTATTTGAAAAATGAGTAATATATTTCTTGCTATCTTGCCTCCTTATCGCGTCATAATCCTAATGGCAAGTTTTTGTGCTGCTGTATGATCTCAATGATGTTCTACCATTCTGCAAAGGTAATAAATGAAAACAGTCATGTTTCCTGATTTTAGGTGGCATTAGTTACAGAAAAATTCAATCTGAAAATTAATGACTACTCTAGATAGAATCTAAAAGAAAATAAAATAAAATTAATGATATATGATTAATGCAAATACATAACTGGGAATTTCAGACTTGTACATTAATGAAACTTACTGTCAACACAGTAATCAAAGTACTAATTAATGCAGCAATGACTTTCTGTTTTATGAAAGCAATTACTATAACACGATACATATACAATGAAAGGTATTTGAGTTTTAATCGAACCGAATAAAGCGATTTCGACGGAGATTTCGCTTTCTTCCTTGTGGGATACAGAGTTTCTAGGTAGTTCCGTGCGATCGAAGATTCATGAGTCATCGAGAATTCGAAACCGATTCAGAACTGGTTGTTTGGTCGATGGAATGTAGCTTTTAACAGCGAGCAGTCGAGCGCTGGCCGACAGAAGGGTGCGAGAGGGTGCAGGCTGATCGTATGCGTTTAGGAGCGGACGTACACCTGTGCTGGGTCCACGTTCCTCATTAAATTTCAATCGGTACCCTGATTTATTTCCTCGATACCTGTAGTTCGCGCTTCCATAGCATTCGGGTCGAACTGTCCTTCTGGAACCTGGCAAAAAATGGTTTGGAATCAGAAAGAAATGTCGTCGCATCTTGCGACTAGAATAACTTAAGATTCTTCCAATTTGTTTTATTATTAATTTCATAAATTCTAAGTTGAGCGCTTTTCAGTTTATTGAATACGGTAATCACTTCTTTGGTAACGAGAATAATACTTGTTCAATGAGTCACACTTCAAATTAAAGCTCTCAACGAACCAAGAAATCATTCATTAACAAGGTAAGTGGTAGTAGAAGCTAAAACTTTGCGATAGAAAACACTTTGACAGTCAAGTGTTTTATGGAACCACTTAAACTAATTTCAATCTAATGAAAGGGAGCTCAGAAACAAAATACGATCTTAATCTTCAAAAGCTATCATCAAAGAAAATGATATTAGATTGGGAGTGAAAATTAATTATAGTTCATTAAAACGCGTTAAATTCTTGGAATAATGACTCGTACCTAATAGCATGGAAATAAACCACGTTTCAATTTGTACTCCCAGACATGATGCAAAATGAGATTAAGTTCACAGTCAGATTTAAAAGTGACCGAACCACGGACTCGTTACATCAATAATTCCAAACGTTGTCGCGTGCAAGCAGTATCTGTCTTCGGGACACCTGTTCAGGACAAGCAAATACAATGTTGTTTAATCGTCCAGAACGATCGAACTCTTCGATTGAACTTGTTCCACTGGTAGCCGTTGCGATCGAGATAATAACTTGCTATTGCTTGGCTACCTACATACCCATGGCTGTAATTCCTTCCTGGGGTTTCCTGTTAAACGCCTCTAACAGTTTCATATCATCATCGATATTGATACAACGATATGTTATTAGCCATACCTGTAGGAAAAATGTATTCAAAAGTTATCGTGCATAATGATGGAAAAGAAATTGTAAATTTCAATAATTAGAAGAAGTAATTTAAATGCAATCATTAAATGTTTCATTCATCGGAAAATGTGAATACTGATTGCCAAGTACCATACTTCCTCGTAAACGACTGAACCAAAAAGTGGGAAAAAAGAGGATAACCAGTTGCTCGGTGAAGAAGTTTGAAGGCAGTTTGCCGGCACTCGAATGCACTCGGTCCAGCGGAGAAAGTGGCGACAATCGTGAGTGCAATTATATTGTGCTTTGTCTCGCGAAGCGACAAAAGTATTTCTCAGTATTTATAATCTGCTTCTGAAATATTGCTCCTCTGATTGTTTATGTAAATCGTTCCTGGTATTACACACTGACGATTGATTTTTGTTTTACCTATAAATAAACGGTGGTTTAAACAGAATGAGTTATAAGGTGTGAGAAAAATCTCGGTATATTTGAAGAAGCCAATGTAGAATACTAAAGTTTTGGCTATTTCAATATAAGCGTCGAAGTACCTCCTTTTTATATTTTTCTTGTGTTATGGGTTAACGATAAATTTCCTTAATCCATTTCAAAGTTGCAAAAATCTAAGATATATCCTTTCGGTAACAACCGATATTTTTTTAAACATGAATCATCGAGGCATATGATAAAGTAAGATAAAGTTCTAACTTCTATGAAACGTGTGTCAAAGTGTTAAAATTAGCCCGTATCCGTTTCTGAATCAGCCTGTATAACCAGCCCCTCAAGATCGAGCTTAAACTTCAGCCTTTGATGTTCATGGAATTTAACGATATCCGAGCTGAGAAACATTCGATTCGCGCAAAAGATTCGCCGCGCTGGTTTACGGTCCCTGAACAATTTCAGATTTTACTTTCCACGATGGAATTTCCAAGTGCGATCGCGAATTCTGAAATCGGCCAGTGATTGCGTCCCTGTTCTTCGTGTGCACGAAGGGACTTAACAGGCTGCTCGGACAGCAACTCACTCGTCGTCCACTCCGGCACACCTGTTCACTCAGGTATGCGATCTTCTCTCTCTCTTCGACTCCTTTACTCTCCTCCATCGTCTCATTGCCTTGCCTTTTGTCTCTTTCTCGCTTCTCGTCGCGACGCACCGACGGTGGTTTACCGTTGTCTCGCTGATCCTCGACTCTGGTTCCGCTCGCCGCCGTGTAAACCTGGCAAACGCAAACCACCCTACAATTTTCTGCTCTGTAATGATCCTGCTCGTTCGCCAGATAAACGTACATACCTCTTCGATGCTCCATTAATTAATTTCTCATTAACACGTTCCATCGGTGACTATTTTTAAGCAAGCTGATAAGAATACATACTACTTCTTCAAGGATCGCTGTAATTTTCTTTGATCAATCATTTGTTTAATGCAATGATTGATGATAAGAATATTCATTGCTTTGTAGTATAATTATAACTCTTTGAATCTGTGTATCTATTGAAAACTATTGATACTAGAATTTTTAGTAGAAGTCTGAAGAGTTGGTAAATGGAAAATCTCGCGTAAAAAAGGTGCAAAGAGTATCTATAGTTGGATCGTGTTCTTCTATTGTGCATTTTATGGGCGTATCGTTCAGATTCATCCTTTTTCCCCGTCGCTTCCCCGTTCACGGAGCTTACGGTGCCTTCAACTTTCCATTTATTACCGTGAAGAAGGCCACGGACTGGCTGTAGTCCTGACAGTTTCAGATTGTTTCGGACCGATTGGAACAAGTGGTCGGTTCAGTCTATGGGGGGTTCACCCAGGCTAAGCGGCTCTCGACCTGCTCGAGCAGAAGAACCAGACAATAGGACGCCAAAATCCCAACCACTGTTGTGTGCATTCATCTTTTTCAGTCACTGCTGTCTCTCGTTTGTTGTGGCGGTTCGGATGTTGCTGAAGATTACGTTGAAAAAATCATTCGTTGACTTTCCATTGATTCCTTTCTTCTTTGTAAACGTCTATTGTTTATGCACTCTTCAAACTTCCCTTCTTCTGTTCTTTGCAAAGAAAGAAAATGGTAACAGCTTTTATTAAATAGAAGTTTCTATGGAAATGAAATAATAGAAAACAAAGAAACAATTTGGGTACCATTGGTTGTAGACTTAAAACTGGACCCCCTTTCCAATGTTCTCGTAAAGAAAGGATTATACTGTTAGGGAAAGCGTGATGTGTCTATTAGACCGGATGATGTAAGTATCGAAGTTGATCTAATAGACGGGTTAATATGGGCTAGCGTGCTGTTGGCTATAGAACGCTTCCACTATGCAAATGTAATATCGTCGTTGAAGCGCTTCTCGTTCAATTCGCCGGAGGTATAAAGAAGTAAAACAGACGGTTGCCTGCAAGCGATCATGTTACTTCAACGTGTTTCAAGGGCATGATGTTAGATCTTTTGGCTATCCCATGAACGAAGACTTCTTTAGGAATTTAATTTAAGAAATTTCCTGTTCTCTTTATTGCTCATTAAATGCTCTGAAATATTATAAATATAAAAATATAATAGATTCTTCTTGCTTTCATGTAAATATAAATTCTTATGATATTATAATATAGTGTAATGGAATATGATTATTATAAAAATATGTATAGATAGAAAAATAATACTGCATTAAACGTGAAATATTCCTCTATCCCTGATACTTCTAGTAGTGATCCTTAATTAACAACTATGTACAATATTATCTAATGAATTAAATAATCCAGTCCTCTCTGTAATGAATCAAGCAAATCAAATTTAAAATGCTTATTTGAATCACTATTTATAAACATAAAATTGGTGTTTCTTGGATCATTATGATCTCAAATATAGATTCAATTCTCGCTAGGTTCATGGAGAATCTGTTTCAAGATCCTCGTTCCATCTTGCAGCCTACAATATCTATAGGATGGACACTTCTCAGTGGCCCCTTCGTTTGAGTACTTTTGTAATAGAATTGTCTTGCCCTCTTCGTCCTTTATGTTCCAAATGTTCCTGAAGTATATTGAATAGGTGCTAATATCATTCATCGCCGTGGACGACCATGCGCACACGTACACCTGCAGACATTTCACAGAAAATCTTTCCTGTAATTCCTTGAAAGTCTCCTCTGGTTCTTTACTTTTACTTACGCTGTTCTTCAGAATTCGTGAACAAGAATTCATCGTGTCGAGGATCAACGAACACATTCTGGAAATGTGCACATCTTGGGATACGTCGTTCTTTTGGTAATCGTTCGCATAAGCGTCGAAGTCGTCGATCAGGAGGACAGAAGGTAAAGTGACGAATGTGTGCAATTCCACAAGTCGTTCGATGAGAGCCTCATAGTTCTCTAGGTACCTGAAAAATTGATTTTTCCTTATTATTTTAAACAAATAAATCATTTCATCTATAGCAACGTAATGATTTCAGTCTTAAAATATCAGTGATTCTTCAATCTACCTACCCAGATGAATATTTATAAGATAAAATATTTCATTTTAATGCATACTTCAAAAAAAAAATGTTTTCCAACTGTGTTTTTCTGTGTTTTCTACTAAACCCGCCTTTACGTTAACTAAATCGTGACTATCGGAGAAAGAATTTGAAGAATTTCACTGAAATACTACGATCACGAAGTGTAAGCACCACAAAACATCTTCGGAATTTATGAAAAAAAAAAAAAAAAAAAAAAAAAAATGTTCAGTATCAGGAAAGAACAGTGGCTTAGAGGAAACAAACATACGAATTTTGTAAATAATAGATCTAAACGATCGTAACTAATGTGAAATAATGTTACATCGATTACTCCCGTGAAAATATTTATCATATTTAAAATATTAATTTCCTTCATTTCTTATTTTATTCCAATTTCTCTATAAAACTAGTAAAAGTAAGGTAAATCCAAAGGCAATTAATTGGTTGAAAAGGTAAACTTTCCTCTTTTACCAGAGGCCATGTTCAAATGAATCCTCCGCACGGACACAGAATTTCTGGTTGAAAAATAAACCTTAGAAGAAGGAAGCAGCAGATTTGCTACAATCTTCGTTCGATCGTTTATTTTACTCCAGCTTCAGCTGGTCTGATGAATCGCGCATAAAAATTGCGAACCTCGTTGTTTATACTGTGCTCCAGTGAAAAGAATAAACCTTCCCGAACTGATTGGTTATATTCATAAAGCATTATTCTTCAGTGGGTGGAATTAATTGAGAAAACAGAAGAATAAAGAATAGCTTATGATGTTTGAAATAATTCAATAGAGTGATTCAATAAAGCAACAATGATGATTATTTTTTTTTCTTGCTGCTTTAGCTTGCATAATCCTCTAAAATTAATACCCTTAATTTGAACTATCCTATATTTAAGATTTGTAAGGATAGTCTTGAGTAAATGTATTCAAGACTTTATTCAACGATGAATCAAAGTTCTTTGTGCGGTAATGTACTGCGTACTTCAGTGTAATCCTCTACTATTCCAGATGAATAATGTTCCTTGACGTGATCTATGTGCGTTTAACGTAGCATCTTCTGAAAATACGATCGCTCGTAAACAATGTGTATGTTTATGCACGCTGAATGTCAATATCTGTCGCGTGTGACGTGTAAAGTAACTAATGTTCCTTGATCGATTGCTTCCGGTATGTTAAACAATGTTTCTCGATTGAAAACCGTTCCTTCTAATATTATTCTATGGCGCAACATAATGGCGCCGCTTCGCAACGAATTGATCGATTCGTGGATACAAATGAACTGCGATTTATTACGCAATAATTTTCAACTGAAAGAAAAGGTGTCGTTAAAAATGATACCTGTGACAAATGATTAAAGAAACCATGAATTGTTTACATTTTATAACGATTGTACAAGATTCAAAACAAGCGATTTGATTTAACCGAATGGATATAAATCTGAGGCTCTTTTTAGAAATGAATCCTGAAGGCCGATGCACGTGCAGAAGCGGTACAAGAAAAGTGTTCCGCTTACATAAATCTCATCAGCTTGAAAGCCGCGGGTGCTGGATTACTTCTGTCGTGACAGGCCGCCGGCAGGCTTTCCAACGGGGCTGGTGTAATGTAAACGACGCGGCGTCCTTCTTCGGCCCAGTAAATTGCTGCCTACGAAGGAAAATCCAATTCCGGAAATGTTCAAATCGTTTCTAACAAAACAGACCCGTAACAAACGCTACTCCCCGCAATAAAATAACACGCTTAACGGAGAATTTATTCGAAAATAAAAGTTATCGCGTTACCGCGTTTCTTCGTATTACAAAGTACTTACGCGATTTATATATCGATGTTATATCGATGTTATATCGATGTTATATCGATAATGTACCACAATCGTTATTGCATTTTTTTACCCGCGAATTTTTAAACGATCATTTCGCTTATGACGTATTGTTTTTAGCAGATTTTAATTGTATACAAATTAATATTTTCGAATATAAACGCTATTGAATATTAAATTTACAAATGTAAATGATAGTTTAATTCTAAAAGGGATAGAAATTTTGTTGGATTACATTTAATTAAATAAATGAAGCAATGTATTAAATAACCTTCGTTATTTCAATAGCTAAATATAGAAATTTCTTGTTTATTTTGCACTATCATGTATCAAATATTAAAAGTTTTATTTCTTGTTAAATTTACCTCGAACATAAAAGATTTGCTTAATTCCTTAGGTCCACAAAGTAACGTTGGTTTCACGAGGTGTTTTGTCGAGAACATTGTATTCCAATTTTTTAAATCGCATATAGGTTATACAATAACTATGGCCAATAGTATAATTTCTTTCTCTTTTTCAATGATATTTTCTGTAATTAATGAAATAGATATTTATAAAGAAATAAATGAACATTGAAAAGTTTAAAGTATTGTTCTATTACTCCTTATTTTTTTCTTTTACGCAGCTGTTTAATAAACACTGACTAGCGGCAAAAATTTGAACGAAACAAACACTTCTGCAAACTACCTGCAGCGTCATCTTTGAATTTAGTTTTGATGCAATTTTGATAGTGGTGACATCTGACTCGATGCACACTAATAATCTCATTTTTTCAATTAGATGTAAATGCACCCAGGTTATGTAAACATAAACAGAATATAAAATATGTTTACAAATTTGTTTGATTATCCGTCAAATAGAAATTTCAGAAATAAACTATGAAACAAGAGAAAGTAGTTTTTGTTTTGACGTTTTAATTATTGATTTTTGTTCTACTGGAGCACAAAAGTATTGTATTAAAAAATGACTAGTGAAGCGCAAATCACTAACATTGTAAACGATATTTTAGTAAGTATACATTATTTCAATGTTATGTTAGAATTGAAAATTAAATTTTGAACATTTACTTCACATATAGTACTTGCTGCACCAAAGAATGCATTTTATGTATTATAATTGTATTAATCTATCTATTACAGAAAGTAGAAGCTATTGAAGAAGCATTCAGTTGTGTTTTGGTATATCATCCAAATAGTGAAAACGAAAAATTAGCAACATGGCAAACAGAGTTAACATCCGCTATGTCCAATTTACCCAAAGAACAGCAAGAAAGTGCTGTAAGGCAATTTTTATCAATGGCAGCAGCTATGACTAATCATAGGAGGTTGCAGCTATTATTATCCTTATTGGAAAATTTAGTTACATCTAATGTTTTACCAGCAAGGTAAATAATATGTTATGAATTAAATGAAATTATAAAATAATTGAATACATATTTATGTAATTTTAGACTTGTATGTGAGTGTATATTAACTTGTGACAAACTACAATATCAATTGGAAGACTTTTGGGTAGAATGTTTTGTCCTCATACGGCATATTATTGGAGGAGTTGATTACAAGGGTGTTAGAGAAATAATGAAAGTAGGTATTTTAGTTATTGAAGTTAGTCTAGAGCTACTAACATTAATTGATATTTCAGGGTTGTAAAGAAAAAGCTCAGACAATCCCAGCAAGATTAAATGCATCTATTCAACCACAATTAAAAGCTTTAGAGAATGTAATTGAGTACATTTTTGATAGAAATGCTTGCCTTTTACCAGGTTATTTTATAGTGAATGAAATTCAGAAAGCTTATCCTGATGGAAAAAATTGGCCACATTGGGTATGTTTTTCCAAAGGTAAAGATTATTACATTATACTAATAAAATTGTATTCAATTAATTTTTTGTCTTTAGAAACTAGCAAAACTACTTTCAAATTTTGTTGAAAGCTTTCGCAACACAGCACAAATGGTGTCCATAGTAGGACATTCAAAAATGTTACCAGTTGTGGAACACACTGGATATGCAGATTTGATTAATCCATGGGTACTGGATACAACTACATTAAAATTTTCATTGAAAGGAAATTTACCTTACGACGAAGATCTGCTTAAATCGCAAACTGGATTACTTAGATACGTATTGGAACAACCCTATAGTAGAGATATGGTGTGTTCAATGCTTGGTCTACAAAAGCAGGTATAGTTGTGCGACAGAATTATTGTTCTTGAAGATAAGCATTTCAGTGAAATATTTTATTTCACTTACGTTGTAGCAAAAGCAACGGTGCGTAGCTTTGGAAGAACAGTTAGTGGAACTTGTGATTCTCGCTATGGAACGTGCAGAAAATGAATCTTTGCCAGCAGAAGGAACAGATGGAACGGTTGCGAATCACTACGTATGGTTGCATCTTTCGTCGCAACTTATATATTTTGTACTTTTCTCGTACGCCTGTTTCCCAAGCATCGTAATGGCGATACACGATAAATTAACAGGCAGAGAGCTAAGAAAAGGAAGAGATCACTTGATGTGGGTCTTGTTGCAATTTATTTCTGGAAGCATTCAAAGAAACCCCCTATCAAACTTTTTACCAGTATTAAAATTATACGATCTTCTTTATCCGGAAAAGGAACCTCTACCTGTTCCGGATTATACTCAAGCGTTATGTACACATCAAATGGCTATCACCTGTATATGGATACATTTATTGAAGAAAGCTCAGTCTGAACATTCGAATATTCACAGACCGATACCGCATACATTGAAACTTCATCATGAATTTTTGCAACATTTAGTTATGCCAAATACCTCTCTTTGCATGGGATCAGATTATCGCATTGCCTTATTATGTAATGCGTATTCGACGAATCAAGAATATTTTGGGAGGCCAATGGCAGCCTTAGTTGATACGATACTCGGTACTCAAAAAGGTCAACAACAGCAACCGATGCAAACGTTGCAGAACAATGCAGCTCTCGCAAGCGGACCAACCACTCCACTGTCGATGTCGATCTTAGATTCGCTAACCGTTCATTCGAAGATGAGTTTGATTCATAGCATCGTTACTCATGTCATCAAACTAGCGCAATCTAAAAGTAACATGGCATTAGCTCCTGCATTGGTCGAGACTTACAGCAGATTACTGGTTTACACGGAGATCGAAAGTCTCGGTATCAAAGGCTTTATCAGTCAGTTACTTCCAACAGTTTTCAAATCCCACGCATGGGGAACGTTGTATACGCTTCTGGAAATGTTCAGTTACAGAATGCATCATATACAGCCGCATTACAGAGTTCAACTTCTCTCTCATTTACATAGTCTGGCGGCTGTGCCACAAACTAATCAGACGCAACTTCATCTCTGCGTAGAAAGCACTGCTCTTCGGCTGATCACTGGTTTAGGATCTGCCGAAGTGCAACCACAACTGTCTAGATTTTTGTCAGAACCGAAGACTCTTGTGTCCGCCGAATCCGAAGAGTTGAACAGAGCTTTAGTATTAACACTGGCACGGTCTATGCACGTGACAGGAACAGGATCGGACAGCCATAGCGGTACATGGTGCAAAGAATTGTTGAACACAATCATGCAGAATACACCGCATTCGTGGGCTAATCATACTCTGAAATGTTTCCCACCGGTACTGAGCGAATTCTTTCAACAAAACAGCGTACCGAAAGAGAACAAACAGCAGATCAAGAAAGCTGTTGAAGAAGAGTATCGAAATTGGGCATCGATGAGCAACGAGAATGATATAATAGCACACTTCTCTGTACCCGGTACACCCCCATTGTTTTTATGTCTCCTATGGAAGATGATCTTCGAGACTGATCGTATCAGTCCAATCGCATATAAAATTTTAGAGAGAATAGGAGCTCGAGCTCTGTCGGCTCATCTTCGAAAGTTTTGTGATTATCTTGTATTTGAATTCGCCAACAGCGTGGGCGGTCAACATGTAAATAAATGTGTAGATACGATCAACGATATGATATGGAAATATAATATAGTCACCATTGACAGACTGATCCTATGCCTAGTATTAAGAACTCACGAAGGAAGCGAGGCTCAAGTATGCTTTTTTATCATTCAGTTATTGTTACTTAAAGCTATCGAATTTCGCAACAGAGTGCAAGAATTTGTAAAGGAAAACTCACCGGAACACTGGAAGCAATCGAACTGGCACGAGAAACATCTTGCATTTCACAGAAAATTTCCGGAAAAGTTTGCCCCTGAAGGTATTATGGAACAAACAAGCGGAGGGCCTAGTCAATATCAAAGTTTACCAGTTTACTTTGGAAATGTGTGCTTAAGATTTTTACCAGTTTTCGATATCGTTGTACATAGGTATCTGGAAATTCCAGCTGTAGCGAAAAGCTTAGAAGCATTGTTGGAACATTTAGGATGTTTATACAAATTTCATGGTTGGTACATGGCTAATTTTCAATTTTCAACGTGATATTTAAATTTCTTTCATTTAATTTGATGTATTGAATTTCAGATCGACCTGTAACATATCTTTACAACACATTACACTATTATGAACGGAAATTAAGGGATAACCCGCCTCTTAAACGACGTTTAGTCTTCGCAGTTTTAGGATCTCTGAGAGAAATTAGAGCACCAGGATGGGCACTTTCAGAAGCTTACCAAATGTACATGACTCGATCTACCGACGATGTTGTCACTTGGATGCCGGAATTAGATTATTACATCCGTTTAGTGCAAAGAATTGTCGAAAGTAAGTAGTCCTCTTAGTACAAAATATTGGTCAAATGGTCAACTTTTCTTCTAACAAAATATGTACCAAAGCAATGTCAGGTATGGCTCATTTTCCCGCTACTGATTGGAGATTTAACGAATTTCCTAATCCTGCCGCCCATGCGTTGTATGTTACGTGTGTTGAGTTAATGGCTGTTCCTGTTGCTCCAAATTTAGTTGCTAATTCGTTATTAGATGTGGTTGCAAAAGGGTAAGCTAAAACATTTATGTATATTTAAATGTACTCATACTTGTTGATTATAACAATTTTTATATTTATTAGGTATACAGTAATACCGTCGGATGAAATTCATTTGTGGATTAATTGTGTGGGATTGTTATTAGCTGCTTTACCAGAATGTTATTGGTCGGCACTTCATGATCGTCTGGTAGAAACTATTAGCAGTCCAGGATTAGCTAACTGGCAATATAATAATTTAACTCCGTTTCAAATGTTCAATTTCAATAATACCCATAATAGTCTGTTAGAGAACAAATACAGTTATATGTTAGCATTGGCACATTCTGTTTGGCACCATGCTGGTGTTGGACAAATAACAACTATGCCTCAGTAAGTTAACAAAAAAATTAATGTAGTATGTTATATATACCTCGCAGTGATTTTAATATAATTTTATTTAGATTTATTAAGGAAAACCTTCAACCAGTTGTGAATAGCGAAGAGCAATTGATATATGCTTGTCATTTAATTGGACCCACGTTAGCAAGATTTAACGCTGAAAGACCAAATTGTGTCGTGGAATTAGCAGTTTGTTTATATGAGATGCTCGAACAAGTGGATCGTCTTCAGTCTCATCTAAAATACATGGATCCAGTTTGTGATTTACTGTATCCTTTTATTTATTGTCTTTCAAAGAATCGTTTAACGAAACGTGTATTTTCCTTAATATTAATTGCAACAGGTATCACATAAAATACATGTTTGTTGGTGACATGATGAAGAACGAAGTCGAATGCATTATACGAAGACTAAGGCCAGCTTTGCAAATGAGACTACGTTTTATTGCTCATATAAACATAGATGAAATTCAATCTTCCTGAGACAATCCCAGCATGTCCAATACGGAAGTAAATACATGCTAATATTGAGTATTGCACTTGTGTACACATCTGCTTTTTTGTGTATGTACTTTTTCATAAGCAACGTATTATAAATATGTCGAAATTTCTTATCAGAACTTCAAAGTATTTTACAATACATTTTCTACATTTTTCTTTATGTAAAATAAAAATATTTCAACGAATAACTACATACTAAAGTCCAAGTTGCTTTATCTAAACAGTATATTTGTCATAATAGAAGGCATGAGTTATAAAGCTCGTTTATATGTATTCATATAGTAACTGTTCCTATTTATAAGCAATACTGTTCGATATGTTTTAAACATTAACGAGAAATTCAATTAAACAATTACTGTAATACTGTAATTTATACCCCGTATGAATCATTTGAGAAACCTATATAAATCAAAAAATGTATTATCACATATTAAGGGATTTAAAGCTTATCGTAATCAAGCTTTCCCGCTCTCATATTCTCGATTGATTCGGCAAATTTTTCATGCGAACACTCATTTTCCTGTACAAATGGTTGTACTTTCATTTCCTGCATCCATTTCAGCTAAGAAAAATACATTTGAGAAATTATTGTATATTTTAATATGTAAGATTATTTGTATTAAAAAAGAAAAACTATTATACTTACTATATGCGGAAAATTTTCATGATCAAAATTCGTGGGTTCTTTATAAATTAGCGGTAAAGCTTTTCGGCGTTCAACCCATGGCCACATTAATATATCCAACATACCAGGCTGTGAGCCTAGAAAAAATGTGAAAGAATAGTGTCCACATCATTTTTGGCGATCATTATTTTTCTTTGATAACTAATACCTCCAAAGAAAGTAGTTCCACGAGCTTTAAGTTCTTCTTCAAATTCTACTAACAGAGATGATATTTCAGTTACAATTTCGCTAAGTGGTCTTTTATCCTTATCATGTATACAATTTGAAAAAACACCAACAATCTGAAATTAATAAATTATTGAAGAAACAAAGATTGATAAATGCATGAAATTTTAATGATCCCTGTTACCTTTGAATAATGATCTAATAATTCTAAATCACGGTCTTTTGCTTTTTCATTATATAAAGCAGGCTCAGGATATTTCTCATCCAAATAATTTGCTATTTTTAACGAATCAGTAACTACTTTTCCATCTGCATCAACAAATGTTGGTACTTTGCCTTCTGGATGAATCTATGAAAATTATAAAATACAGTAAAAATTTATATGAAAATGATACGGAATTATATCGCAAATTATAAAGCTGATATATACCTCAGAATACCATTCTGGTTTATTTTTTAAGTTGATATTAACAACATCATGAGGAATATTTTTATACGATAATATTAATCTAATGCGTTGTGAAAAAGGACAAAATTTCATGCTGTATAAACGTGCCTGTCCCTCTATTTTGGGTGGCTTTGGAGAATCTATAAAAAAAATCATTAAAAATAATTCTGCAAAATTAGCTAAAGAATGAATTATAAAATTTTCATACCATGCATTACACAATATATATATGTTACGGGCAATGTGTTCAACGTGGGCATTTTGTAAAATGACCGGGCATTGTGTAGAATGCCCGTTCGAATAGACATTGTGCAAAATGTCCGTAACAAGTTTCGGTCAATCAATAAAATGTTCGGGCATTATACAGAATACCTAGAGGGTGGTGGTCAATGAATTGAAACGCTCTTATTACGGTAAATGTGATTAATCCGGTGATTATATATAATTGCCGGTTATTATACATATATAATCACCACTAAATTTGGTAAATGTGATAAATTATTGACCTGCGAGTTTATATAATTCCCAACTCGTAGGTTAGGTTAGGCTATATATTTAGCTCTACGGCGGCCGGATTTAAATATATAGCCTAACCTAACCTATTACATCAATGAATGGTTTTAATAATAATAACAATAAATTTAATACCAACGAACCGTAGGCATTATATAAAATGTCCGGGCCATTTGTAAAATACCTGCCCATTATATACATTGCCCAAAAAATGGGCATTCTGCACAATGCCCGGTCATTTTACAAAATGTCCACGTTGAACACATTGCCCGTAACATATAAGTACATACCCGTTCCAAGATGTTTGTCACTCATAGTTTTTAATATTGTTTTAAGACAGAGGTAAGCAATTAAATAAAAGATATTCCCTGAAAACTTAAAAGATATGCGCACTTAAATGCTAATGGTAATTAATTAGAATTGAAACTGAAGACACGTGATTTATACTGACATATCACGTATGTCAGTTCTTTATGTATAACAGACAGATAGTTCTAGAAATCATTAAATTCTTTAATCGTTACTTTTTCTAATGGTACACATAAAATAAAACAACATACAATGGAAACGAGAACTGCTAATAATGACACTCAATGACACTGCAGACTAACGACCGGGCCGGCGCTATTTCTTTTTTTTTTTTCAAAGAAACTAGGTCATTATTGCGCATGATTGAAAGTCGATCATCGAATCAATTTCTCGATACAACTACTCGCAATATTTAAATTTGAAAGGATGAAGAGCTTTATTTTTTAAGATATTAATAAATAAAAACTATGAAGTAGGGCAAGTATAGGTATTGAATCAAAGAGAAAAAACATTTAATGTATGGTACAAAAATAATTGCTATAAACATTGAAGGCACTAAATACTGTAACTTAAAAAACAATAAATTAATCAATTTATGGCTCCATAAGATTGATTGAAGGAGGCCGAATATTTAACTGATATTCTGCAAAGGTCATAGCTGCTAACCATTTGTATTGTTCGTCTTTTAACGATCCTGCTAAAGTGTTTCCAAAAAATGGGCTTTCTTTACACCTGAAATAATTTCAAAATTATCTCGATCTTATTTCTTAAAGAAAATATAAAGATCATTTAACATTTCACTTAATCATTACCTAGTTGGTTTTGTATTTTTTGCTATAAACGTGATAGACCATCTGTAATAACAAATATACCCATAGCTTAACAAATTTTATAAAAAAGATGACTTACATACAATTTAAAAATAATATACCTACCCTGTCTGCGGATTTCGTTTTGGCTCATGACCTACATACCAAATAATATCTTCTATTTTCCATTCATACAATTTATTCGAACAGAATTTGTCTTTGTAACAGTAAAGCTTTGCGTGACTGAACTCAAAGAGGTAGTTTTTAAAATTCTTCGACTTTTTATCAGCGAACTTAAGTTCACCCGCTGTTGTCATGGGTGGTGTTACCTAAAAAAAAAAAAAATGTATGTAAATGCAAAAGAAAGTATATTTAACTGTCCTGTTATTTTGCGTCATATCAAATGAATCTAATTGTTGTTTTGAAGTGTAAGGGACATTATTAAAACGAATTAAAAACAAGGAGCACCATTAAGCTCAATAAAACCACATCCTGTTTTTGTGGCGAGCAAATATACAACTATCTTTCCTTTCTGAGTCACGCAATCTGATCCGTGCTGAGTAGTTCTCTATAAAAAACAGTTTCACTATGTCCCTGAACTCGTTTAAATTAAACAGTGTATATTTAAATTAGATTTTAATACAGATTTACAGTTCTGCAATATTAAGATAGTATGAAACGGATAGTACGTAAAACTGGGGAATAAACTGGAGAAAGAGAATTATTTAAGAATAATTTACGCTGATACAACGTTAGTTCCTTTACCAGAGGTGCTATATCCTTGTAGAGTTGATCTTTTTTAAGTATGAGGACGTTGTCCTTCCTATCTTCTGGATCCCAGTATCCCCACCTCGCCACTGTCTCGAGGACACGCTCACTGTGATGCAGTGGTCGTTCCAACGCGCCAGACAATGTATATTCTTCCAGACACAATTCATGAGCCGATAAATTAGTTTTCTCTGCAAGTTCTTGGCATACATCATACGCAGTTTTGTGTGGCCCAATCTGCAGAATAAATTATATTAATTATTATTAAATATTGAAACATACTATTAAATACTACAAGAAATCTCACAGTGACGTTCACACATTCGCCGTCCCTCGAGAAGATGTATATCCAAATCTTGAGATCTCCCGAGGGTGCGCCGCGTGGTCCATTATTAGAAACATGATGCTTTTCGAGAACCTCTAAAATCTTCGCCTCTTTCGCTAAATCAGCGGCGGTCAATTGATACAACTTCGGATAGAGTTTAATGAGGTCACCGATCACTCTGGTCTCTGCTCTGTTCCATTTTTCGGCGCTTTTCTCGCCTGCCCGCATCAACGTTGGTCCCCAGATCGCGGAAAGATTTTCACAGGTCATCAGGTTCCTGGAGCTTTGCTGACTCAAACAGTGAAGGTGAGCGAGAATCCTTCTGAGCGTTGCGGCAGGTACAGCACCCAGCATGGACAATAGTTTCCTATACGTCGAAACCTTTTCGTCCTCCTTATTATTTTCTGAAAATGAAAATACAATTTATTAATTTTAATTTAAGTAGAATTTGACAAATTAAAAGAGTCATATAATTTGAAGAATCAATTAAAAAAAATTAATTTTATTTATGGTGGAAAATACTATCAATTTTATTGTATTTTTCGTTCACTTTATCTTTAGTATATCGATTAACAACCACGTGCTGCCTTTAACAGAGATGCATGCGCGCATTGCTTTCACTAAGAAGTACGAAGGCTCGTTACGAAGGATCCATGATTCATCGCCGACTTCTGTATGATTCTCACGCGATCTTTCGTCGTGTATGTAGCAGACGTTGTTTCATCATTCTATTAAATATATAACTCCCCCATGAAGAATGGACAGGAAGGCACATAAACAGGAATCACCAATTATTGGCAACTAGCTGTTCTCTCTGATCTTTGCCAAGAGTCAAATTAATTTTGCATATGATTCAGGGATCGTTACTTATTTGAAAAATTAATTGCCTCAATTCCATACAACTTATTTTCTTTCTTCAATTCGTTGTTGAATTCGTAAGTGACGACGCCGGATATTCAGCTTTACGCTTCCGGATGAAACTAGCTACAGTGTGAGAAAATACGCGTGGGTGCGAACACGACCGAGCTTAACATTCTTCTTATAATTACGTATGCAAATGATGACTCGGGGCAAAGATCGAGATTTATTTGCACGTATCGCTGTTGGAGACCACGTTTCTCCTTTTTTCTTTTTGTTCAGGGAATTAAAATTCTGCATTCCTGCGATCAGGAATGCACAAATCATTCACGCGTGAACACTGCCAATTTATTATGAATTTAAGTGAAAATATCTAAAAGAAATTTTACAGAGAATAGCTTGGATACTTTCTTGGATATTTCAAAACGAGTGCTACATTCCCAGGAAGTAGAACACGTTATGAGATATTATTCACCCATTGTGTCTTCAACAAATTGTGTGTAAATGATCATTGAACAATTTTAATCACTTACACAATTCTCTTTCTCTGCATTTGATGATTCGAAAATTGCGATAACGAACAAGATTAAATCTGACGCGACACCGGTCGTCAAAGTACTAATATTTGCAGCATTTATTTAATGTTTCAATACAAAAATTGATCATATCTAAAGTAGGAACGATTTCACTGTCAAAGCGAGTTTGCAGATTAAATCCGACCACAGCCAGTCAAGGACAGTAAGTTCTCCTTACCTGAGGTGAAACAAAGCCGATCGTGAATGTCAGCAGGAAACAATGGATTCGGTAAATCACGGAGAAACCTTCTGAGAACCGTCGCGACGTCGTGCTCCGTATACGCTCCTCTTGTAATTTGCGTTACCCATGCGTCGCGACGAAAGGCTTCCAATAATTTGACAACGGCACTGTTCGATCCGCTTCGACGATAAATACCCTCTGTCATTATACCTTTAACATTTCGCATTGCATTTTGTTAATATAAATGAACCTGTATTAGGGTGTCTGATAAATTGAAAAATGGTGTTTACCATGAACGTAAATGAAATTGATACACTTGTCGAGAATCACAGGCACGTTGTCCTGTGTGAGTTGCTGTTGTTCCAAGGCAGGACCACAGTTGGTAGCTGCTTGATAAAGCGCGTGTCTCCATGCAGATCCTTCGTGAACTCCTGGTGCAGCCACGTGTAATGCACCGCTGCCACCTGCGTCCACAACTACCACTGGAATCGAACCCATTCCGGGATTTGGCCCTTCCTGTTCTCGTAGAACTGTAACGCAGCGTTTCATATATTTCAAACCCTTTTGTAAAATCCCTTGTACAGGTACATGTAAAAAATAAGTAACTCGAATAATTTTTACATAATAAAAGAAGTTTACCGATGCATCGTGCTTTTCGAAGATCCAACTTTCCAAAACTTACACCCATGGAGGGCTCCAGAGATTTTGTATAAATTAAAGTTCTCTGATGCAGCAGAACCCAGGCCGGAAACCATACGCCTGTTACGCCTTCCTAGAACACGCGTCAACTAGTATTATTTAATAAAATATAAATAAACGATTTTGATAGATCAGTACAGAAGAATCTACAGAGAACCAGATGTTAGATAGTTAGAAAGTTTACGTGAAATTTTATTTTCCATCTGCAGTCGAGTCATAGTAATTCAAGTAAAAGCATTTCTTTTACATTTTCTTATAAATATTGCAAGAAATCTGACGAACTAAGTTTCTTTACAATAGTGCACAATTTCACATTCCCTCAACGCGTATGAATGCACAATCAAGTATTGAAAGATGTACTTACATACCTTTACTTAATACTAGGTACATATTAGAATGCATGTGAACTTAACAAAAATCAGCATTAGATTAAAAAAATTAGATTTTATACGCATTGTTTTGTATTGTTCGTAATACCTTTAAGTAAGCCCATCCTGCTCTCCTTAAATCCTCTGCAGTGTATTTCGTGGGAAAGACTGTTGTGATGGCCTCCAATATCCTTTGTGCCCAAATTCTCCATTCAACGATGCCTTTCGCGTAGAATACATGAACACTTGGTCTTCCTTCGCCGCTAATTGCTATGCAATATACTGTTTCACCGTCGACCATCCTGAACATTTTAAATCGCCTTCGTTACTCTACTATTTACACCTTTGACCTCGTCGTATTTCACTTACACTTTCCTAGTAGTATGAAAGAGTATATGAACTTTAAATTACTATACAGGTATACATTGAATGATTTTTAACAGGCGCCAGCTTCAAAAGAAGAATATAATAATAAATCCAATTTTCCGTTTCATTATACATCAGACCGTACGCATCGTGCTAATGTTTCCTTTCTCCAGTATCATAATCCGAATACGCGTTCTTCTTATCCGACAAAAAAAGCGAACTTACTTAACGTCCTGCAGAAGATGAATGCTGTACACTGTGTCGAGTTGAATGACCTCCTTCAGAGTAGACATGCCCTTATCCGTATAAAACGAGAGCTTCTGGTCAGACAAGACTGCTAGCCTTGGCACCAGGTCCTTCGCTCTTTCGATACCAACACCATTTCTATAAACGGTTCCGCTATGCTTCGCAGGATTCTGGAGACCATCAACCTGTGGCCTTTCCAGTTTCAAATTAGCATTCGATACAGTTCCACTGTGGTCACGATTCCTGGATAGTAATTTACTCCCACTCTTCACGAAACTGATTACATTTGGTTTAATACCATGAGACGACGATTCGTGCCTTAGTTTTCTCAGTTTCTGTATCATACCCACTCGTCTAGGCTCTTCCGTTGTCTTTCCACTCGAAGAATTTGATGTTTCCTTGGTAATATTCGTCGATGTTACGCTCGTTGTAGTTGTAACTGTAATAAGAATATTTAAGTTTGTTAGATTCAATGAAATATGGGTTAATTCTTCTAACGGTGGGATGCTAGGTGGATTCAAGTAAGTAAGTAAGTAGGTAAATGATATTCCAGTCTCACACAATGTTAATCTTACAATTGCTCCAAACTGAAAGAGTTAGTACAATCCTTTAGAGAACTTCATACAGATTTATTCTTGGTAATATCATTCATATAATTCTTCATTCTAGATGTGTGTCCAGTATTATTGCCTGTGATAAATAAACAGATATACATTCTCAGTACTTTCAGCAATTCTTTTTATCTTAAGAAAAGGGTTAATCAAGAGAAGCCTGCTTTACACTCAAGTGTACAATCATTCCCAACAATTCAAAATACCCATTCAATAACTCTTAAAATCTCTAAAATATGTTCTACCTGGTGTGCTTCCATCATTGGTCGTCGAAGTCACGGTTTTAGACGCAGCAGAAGATGTATTATTAGAACGTTTTCCAGCCGACTTTCTTGGAGGTACAGCGGGTTGTTTTCTCGTCACCAGGTGGGCCAGTTTCGGTAGAAGAGCCGGATTTTTACCTGTGGTGCTCTTATCGGTCGATAGAGTCTCCGTTACCTCGTCGTACTCGTTCTTCGGTAATGAATCAAACCTTTTAGGCGGTTCCGGTGGTACAGGTAAGATTCTTGGATGCTCTGCTACATCCTCATTCTCCACCTCTTCTTGTTCTTCCTCGTTCTCTGTGACTTCTTGGGAATCCAAAATGCTTCCAGAACTACTCGGTGTATCGTTGCTAGATAACAGAGTCTCCAGTAACATCCGATCATTGTTCTCGTAATTACTGTACACGTTCTCTTCGGAGGTTCTAGCAAATGGATCAAATTCGAATAGCAAGGATTTACTGCTCTGCTGTCTGTTTTCCGTAACCGCAGGCATCGTTTCTTTCTCCTCTTGAACCTTTCTGTACGATAAATTTTCGTACAGAGAATTTTGAATGGACGCTTGACTCTCGTTTGACGCTGACGACGTTCTGTCGAGAATAGGAATCTCTTTGTCCAGGATATCTTCTTCCGCGCTGGATATCCTGTCCAACTCATCTACCCCTTCGGATTTACTGGCCGGTGCTGTGTCATAGAAAGTCCAGGAATCGGACCTTGATAACCTTTTGATGCTGTCGGACTTGTCGTAGGGTAGAGCCACGTTCACGTCGGACAGGTTCAAACTCTGATCGGAGTCGCTGGTCTGATAAGAAGGAAAAATTATTTATGATTGATATACAACTAGATGAAATTCTATACGAGGAATCAGAGAAATTCCTACCTGATTTAGTACTAAATTGAGAAGATCAAACGAGCCCGGGAAATCTCTCTCGACTTTGTCAGAGATAGTGTCGTATCGACTACTTCCAGACGTGACTGATTGCAATTCGTCGTAGATAGACTCATCAGGAAGCGGGGGAGGAGGATATACAGGAGGGGGTGGACTGTGTCGCATCCCGGAAAGATCCTCCTCGTTTCTGACGCTCCTCAGATTGCTGTTCAACGGGCTGTAAAAGGAGATGTTGCTGAAAATATCATCGGCAGGTAAAGACGCGCATCTGTCGTTTTCCACGGGGCTCTTCAGCTTCTTGCTGTCGGTTGAATTATCACGAAGAAGCTCGTCTTGGTTCAGAGTTGTCAATCTTCTCGTCAGGAGATTCTTCACCGATTTTTCCAATCTTATGCTGGCGTTTATCGTGCTGGATATCACCGCTCGACCCTTTATCGTCATCCTCTCCGAAATCTCGTCTTTCAGTTGACGAGAACTGGTGCTTAGATTACGAAAGAATTCGGTGTTCGTAGAGGAACGTGTATCCGGTATCGATTTCGAGTCGTCGCTTTTCTCTGACTGGCTCGATTCACTGTGAGTGTAGACTCTGGTCGCTGGTAAAGCCGGTGGTAACTTCCTCGGAGCTGGTACCGGTCTCTCGGATAACGTTGACCTAGGTTTTGGTATCGGCTTCACCTCCATCTCGACGGGATACTTTTCCAACTCGCTGCTAGTTTTCAACCGAATCGTCCAGGAACGTAGAAGTTGCGCCACATGATTCGTGTCCCTTAACAATATTTTTATTCCTTCAGTTTTCTATTTTTTATTAATGATTTATTCAATTCGTGCTTTAAATTTATGGATTCAGACTTTGGGGCTTAACCCTGATTTTAGTGAGATATTCTGAGATCTTTTTAATTGAAGATTACCAAGAATTATATTACTTGTCTATATGGGGTATTCCAAAACCCCAGCTAATCAGCAATCTTGGTTCCATTCTATACTAATTCAGTAATCAGTACACTATCAACTCTTATATAAACAAGCCAGGTCTTTATTTCAATTTCATTCATTCATTCGTTCGTTCATTCATCCAAAGAAAGGGTTAAACCACAATCTCGAGGTTCCATTAACATTGCAGCTACAATGATCAAGAGTCCTCAGCATATGCAGAAATTACATGCTCATTGACATAATCATGATACTGACCTAAATGGTAAAAAAAAATTGAATATAAATATAAATATAAATAAAAGATGGAAGAAATATGATACAATTCTTTTATAAGTTTACGCATATTTAAGAGTTTCACGGTCCTTTTTGGAGATTAATTCAACCGTGCCACGTTATAATTGCATCAATTATTCGAGTGTCATCGTAAACCTCTGCCTGAAGACTTGATACTATCGCGTCGAGTGCAACTCGAGACGTAAAACGAGACAGATGTGTGAAACAACATGTGGAATGGTGCACTGTTTTTAATGCAGTTGTCTTTTTAATTCACCATTCTACTTTCTACAACCATTCGACTTCGCATGGTAGCGTTGAAAACGACGTCTAATAAAATAATTTTTATGTAATCTAACGCTGCTACACTCCCTGTTTACTCATTTTTTATTGATATAAAAATCGTTATCCGATCAGTAGTTACATACGCACGAATAAGGATTGAAGTTACCTCATTGATAAGAAACGGTTATCAAGCAACAAAAAGCGTAAAGTGGATCGCTGTGCCAGCGATGAAGCAGTGAAAGTATTTATGCTAAACTTGTTGAGCAAAACCGAGCTCATTTCTGATCTTGCAACACACATGCGTGAACCTGTTGATATTTGTGTTCGTGTTGCATAATTGAAGGATAAATTAAAAAAATCTGCATTAATACTTTCTTTGTCCGTTCGTCCATGCGCGTTAATAATTAATTATTCAATCTTACTGATAAAAGAACAGAGTAAAGAACTGAACGAGTCGTATGATTCATAGAAATGCTTCAGCGATTCGCAAACGTTATTTCAGCTTTCTGATAAGTTACTAAGCAAATATTGTAAATGTAAAAGAGAAAAAAAAATAACGGTAATATCCAGTAGATCATACGTTGCAAAATTTGTAGACGGTTCCTCATTTTCGATGTCTCGTCGTAACGTTGAACACTTACTTCGACTAGCAATATTTGTTCTGTACATTCTACCAGAGATAGTTGGGAAATAAAGACAGCTCAGCGCGAAGCTCGCTTCTGTGCGGTTGAATCACCGCTTCCAAGTCACGTGATTAGTAATGAATAGTTGAAATAAATCATGTCTCAAACAATAATTTCGATCACAGTCAATTATCAGCTCTGGGTACGCTTCTTCTTCAATTCTGTAATTTTTCGTTTCATTCAATTTTGTATAATTTCCTCCGAAATTTCGTACACACATAACACGATATACATAAATCTGCAAAAGATAGACACATCTCGTAAAGCAAGCATACCATATTTCAAGGACATAGCTAAAAATATCAATTTATTTAACCCTTTGAAATCCACTTATAGTATCTATTAAGTTTAATTAATTAAGATACTTGTCGTTATTATCAAAGATTTAGGTTAGGAAGTCGCAGTTACCTTCTTATCTATAGGAACCTCATTTAACGCTAGAAATCTCAATGAATTAATATCTAAAATGAAAATAACCATTATAAGTAACTGAAAACTTACTTGCCATAATCCATCAACACTTATAATTACCAATAATTACTAGAAATTAACAGTTTCTGTTCCGCGGGAAAATGGGCCCATTCGAATGAGCGTAAACAAACCACGTGATCAACGATTAACCAATAGGAACGTAATAAAGAACCACGTGATCAACGATTAACCAATAAGAACATACTGAAGAAGCACGTGACACGTGTTTCAAGATCGTGAGTCATCGTTCCGAAATCCGATACCAATGCATCGAATTTCCGGTTTCGCACTAACCGACAACTACGTCACGTCGAAGTTTCCATGTTTTTTTCTGGGATTTTTGAACGAGAGATCGATGTACCGGAGCTAAATTCTCGTCGTTGAATAAAGGAGCGTCGTTCGTCGTTCCCTCTGCACAGTCAACAACAGTCAAGAACAGAACGTGAATCATGGTAAAGTTGCGCTAGCGGATCCATCAGAGTTTCTAAAATTAACTGATATCTCCGCTGCAAATGATAAGTATTCCTCGTTATTCTCTGCAAGTCCGGAACTTCCGTTTAGTGACGTTAATAAGCAAGGACTTTTGTTCTGTTAGCAAGTATAATCTACGAACGCGGTTACTTCCTTTGGACGATTTCAGAAAACGTTAATTTTTTTATTCTAAGACTCGCCTGCTCCACTTTCCCGCGGAGAAATCCTCGTTGTTATTCAAATGGCGAATGAAAAACGGCAGATTAAAGGTTAAACGCAGGAACATACGGTAAAAAGAAACGAGTTGCCAATAATTGCAACTTTACGTATCTTTTTTTCTTTTATTCAAATAATAAGACGCTGCTTTATACTAAATAAATATATATGTTATTTAATTTAGGTAGAAATCTTTTTACGACTGTATCGACAAGTAAAAATTGGACAATGCCAGCAGTTAGCAATAAAAGTGATCCAATTACTTCTATCAACAGAGTGGCACACTTGGCAGCTGTTCTTTCAAGAGAGAAATTGTTTGCCAAAACGTCAATGGGCTCCGGCATTTTGTGTACGTAAATATTTGCACGCACATCTTCGTTAAATCTGTTTTTAGTTCGTATTAAAAGTAGATAACTATTTTTAATTTGATAAAACTCTTTCTCATTCTTTTTCAGTGATCCAACGTAACTTCGAACGTGCAAACGCGAGCGCGTCTGCTTCTATTTCGCTAACGCGGTAAAACGATTAAGTATCTACTTATAAAATTTTTACGCAGCAAGGTTATCGTGTTATGTATGTATAACGAAATAACAAATTAACATCTTGTAGTGTCTATCGTGTTATCAAAGATTCCCGAGTGCACCGCGTCAATTGTTTTACACAGAAAGGCTGAAGCTACTTGTTGATTCACAGGTGTCACCAGACACGAGGAAACAACGGGAGAAAGAATAAAGGGAACACGTACATACCTTGAGACGGATCCAAGGCGAATCGGAGGAATGAATGTACGACGATTCGACCGCTTTTCACGGAAGGGACTCAAAATAATCCAGTGTACAACACTGTTGAACACTAGAACCTCTTTATCGTCCAGTGGGGTCAGAGACCCACCTGGCCGATGACCGCTGCCACTGTCATGATCTCTCTCTCCGCGTCTCTCCTCCTTTCCACGTTTGAAAAAAAAGTTCACTGCTGTGCCCACAGCGTACACGGACACCGACCGAATGTAGTTTAGACGCGCAACGTGAACGCGGACACTCACGCACAACGTGGCACACACACTGAGATCTCACATTTTACAATCGAGCTTCTCCTTTCTCCTCGCATTCTTTGACAGTTGCTCTCTGTCCACTATTCCCACTGGAATTTTCACGAGACCCGTCGAAGATGTACAATAATGCTTTCTCTGGATGTTTACACAACGATAGAATCAGCCACGATAAGATAAACCAAGGAGAACGGGTTCAGCTCCAATAGTTCGGCACTAGTTCATCCTTAACGACACTTCACCGTTCCTGTGCTGACGCGAGACGCGCGAGCTACTGCCGCACGATGTATCCCTTCTCTCGGTTTCTACCTTCCTCCACGCTATCCCCACTACTACAATTTGCAGCCTACACTTGCACGTGTGTGCATCAGCGATGGGATCAAGTTCATTTCAAAATTATTCACTCTGAATCAATTTCAGTATTTTAAGTTTCTTCATAGACTTCAGGTACCATTCTTAAGATACATATAAAATATTAATACCAAAGCACTTAATTGGTGCTTGATTCTTTATATTTTATTATATCTTGGAAAATATTCAGTCTATATAAATTTTTTTCAAATTTCAGAAAAAATTGTAACAATCGTATGGAGGAGCACTGAGTAATGAGGAGCACTTAGGACTGCATACTGCATTTTGTTTAAAGGTTCCATTTCAATATTTGTATAGAGCATATTGGCGTTTTATAAAACAGTTCTGCATACTCGGTATACAGGAAATTTGATCGCTGAAACAGCAGTTTAGGAAGACAAGAATATAAAACTTCAGCCAAGGCCATGCAGAAGAATGTTTAGTAGTTCTATTATGAATACTTTTGATGCCTCCTGTACTTCTCTACAATCCCTTATACGAAAGTTAAGGGAATAAACTTCATTGATCATCTGGGCCACGAATGAGTCATGCAATTGTCAGGCTCACTGACAGGGAGATAATTTTTATCAACTGTAACACAATTGAAAACGATCATATGCGTGACAGAAGATAAAGACGAGTTCTGTTTGGATTGCCGTTTCTCCATTCCTCTCTTAATTAACAGCCTCGACTTTGCAATTAATAACGTTCGATACGTTGATTACTATTCATTCTTATGTTAGTATCTCGACGAAACGGGGTTGCAAAAATTTATAATATCTTCTGAATATTGATTCCTCTAATCAACCGCTGTCCTTGTTCCAGCTATCTGAAAGAGCACACTGTTGATTAAAAGTTACCGCATTATCACCGTCCAAGTACTACAATCAATAATAATTATCAAGGCGTTCCCCTGTTGTTGGTAAAGACACGTACAGTGCCTTTATTCATAAAATCCGCTGGATACTAATTGAAAGGAATTACTGCGAATTCAGAATTGAGAAAGCAAGATTTTTAACACCTTACTAATCAGAAATCTGATATCAACGATTCAATTAATAAGCCTGGGATAAGGATTCTTTTATAACTGAACTGGAATTATAAAATTTAAATATGGTATGATTATTCATTTTTCTTTAATATAATCCCATTTTCATACAATATTAAATTAAATATAACGCTTACCTATTTCCAGAGTCCATAGTTTCTGAAACAGATTCAACGTTCAACGTAAACTAAACTGAGTGCGATCTGAATATTTTAATGAAACCTTTATTAAGACTTTATCACGCTAAAGCCAAATAGTGACTCCGGCAATACAAACAGGTGAACATTGGCCCGAGCTTTCTCGACGAGTAGATACACCATCGACGACATGTCTTTCCTTTTTTCTTTTTTCTACTAAAAAAAAAAAGAAGAAAAAAATACATAATTATTTGAAGAATATAAAACAATATTTATTAAACGTAAATACGAATTTACGTGCTACTATGATGATTCTATTTGAACGCAATGAGTTAATAGTGAACAATGATCCTAATCTAATCAATTAATCTATTTTAAATAAAAAATAAATAAGACTTGTTCGTCGATTAGGTCTGCACGTTGACCGATCAGCCACGGGTAAATTCCACTACCTTAAATCACAATGGCGACGACAAGTTTTATTCGTTTACTTTGTTGTTAATTAGATCCTTAAGAGCGATCGTTAGAGGGTGAGTTTGCAACACGCGCGTGCACGGCTTTACAGGTCCGTATACGTGAACGTGCATCGTTCCTGTTCTAGTGTTCATCTGCAATCTGCGATGAAAATGTCCTTTAATGTCAATAATAAAGTAAGTAAAGTCATTTCAACCCTTTAGCTATGGTTAAAACTTAATTAAGTTATATAATATTCCTCAGAATTCATGGTGCTGGTCAATGGTGTCTCAATTATGCCATTTGACATGTTAATTTTTTCAAAAGGAAAGTTTCAACGCGTTGCAAGAATTATTGTTGAGAAGCGTATCAACGATCATGGTTTCAATTTTATTAATCTAAAGTACGAACAGTCGACGATCTTTGGGACGGTGTTAAGAACGAACGTCGCGACGCTTCTCGACGAAATGAACGGACATTCACGATGCATCGAAAAAGCTGGCTATTTCAACGACAGGGTATCTCTTATTTGAAATTCACTTCTATACGGTTTAAAAATTATTTTTACATTCCTTGGCAAATTAAAATATTCGAAAGCTGATTAGAATATTACAGGACAACAGCAATTCAGTATAATAATAGAAGGAAAATGTATCTGTAACAAGTATTTCCATCATTTTATACAACCTTTGTATTATAATTTTTGTTGTCGTTGTTTATAAAAGCAGATGCACCATGCACGCACGCCGTTGCATCGCGACTGCATCTATCAAGAGGAACGATCGAACGATTGAATACAATATATATATTATAGGTACAACCGGAACACAGAGAGACAATTCTTAAACAACGTAATTGATCCTTAATTGACACTGACTTGTTTACATCTAGATACGTCGTTGCAATGATAAGAACGCGAAAATAGAAGAACCATGAGTCAATTAAATTGACAGTAATGAAATTTCAGTAAGTTATCAGTAGCCTTTGTTATGAAATACGTTGATTGAAATTACTAAATGAATAATACATTAATTTAAAAATTTAAGTTTTATCCAGGCTGTATCAAAGGTTGCATTAAACACAAGTTATAGAAAATCCTCTGTAACATAATATCGTCTCATCGATTAAGGATCAATCAGAGCAATCAACTCTCTTCTCGTTTCCTAAAGAGGAAAACAAAATGATCTACCAGGAACGTGAGACAGAGAGTGGAAGGCCAAAGAGACAAGGTAAATACAGAGTGAAAGAGAAGATAGTCCGAAGAGAAAATCTTTAGGCACACCCACACACATACACGTACATTTATGTATATATATATATAATATATATATATATGCGTAAGAGTCTTCTGTATTTTTTTTTTTTTTTTAAATTTTATACTTCGTAAAGCAAATTGTAAATCTGGACTTAAGATTTGCCGTGCGTACTATCGAACGCAAACGCGGACAAGGTAAAACGACTATTATCCTGTTTTTATCGAATTTTCAATTGATTCATCGACATGCTCGAACTAACGTACTACATTTAACCCTGTGCGGACGATACACTTAGCTAATGCTGAATGATGTATGGCACGCTGTGATTATAATTATTCAGCATAGTTGCATTTTTTAATTGAAACTTTTTACTCGCTAATAATAATATTAGAATATTAAAATTCTTTCAGTCATTCCATTATATCACATTTTTAGTGCCAATCATCAGTATCCATTTTTACAATATCTCCACTTACAATTTTCTATTATTCTCAAGAACATAATCTTCGCCGTCCTCAAAGGGTTAAAGTGTACACCGTACATTTACACACCTCTCGTCGCGTGATCGGTTTCGTTTCTCGCTTCCAATAATAAAAAATAAGTTATCCGAGTACTTTGTACTTGTCCAAGCCGATCGATGGTTACAGAAGTTGATCCTAATCCATTCATCAAATGAAAAATCGATTTCGTTGATCACCTTGCCGCAACCCGTCATTATTCACACGGAGATAGACGGACTTTCTTAAAATTGCTCGCAATTTCCCCGTACGATTCGCGCGCTATTAATCATTATAATATACATAATAATTACGTCGTAGTTCAATATAGCAAATATATTATATCACATTTAGATTGTATTAATGTATTAAAACGTATCTGGCCGGAGGTCCTTCGATAAATTCAAACACCTGTCCCTATCTAACTGGTTCGTATTTCCTTTTTTTTCCTCATTTTAATTCGATTCTTTACGGAATTTTACGACGACAAAGGGGGAAATTGATTCGTCGAAAGTGTTATATTGTAATTAGTTTGGCGTCAATTCCTCGAAGGCTTCCATAATCGATCAAGTAAAACGGTTCGCGTCGAAAACTCGTCAGTTGGTCGAGCCATTAATGAGATTAAAATTCCAATTTCATTCGAAATATATCAATTTCTTTGTAATTTCGAACGTTATTGCTTTCCAAGGGCTTACCCTAACCGATTGAATCTTCGACGAAAGCCAGCCCCGTGATCGCACGTAAATCTAAGAAACATTAATATAGAATATATTATCGTGTAGTTTATATAAGGTATACGTTAAGACACTTACCATCTACTGCAAAAATTCAACAATTAAAAGATTATAACAACTAGTTCGTGTGTGTTTTTCGTAATACGAGACCGTACAGCTCGATCGTTCCCATTCGATTTCGTTTACAAGATGTATCATTTATTTTATAAGAGAGAGAATAAAATGGAACGATCGAGCAGTTCGACTCGTCTCGCCCTATTCTTTCGTCTTCTTATAATCTTACTACTCACATTTCCTTCCTCTCGTTTGGCACGCGTTGTTCCTCGCTATTGGCACGACATTTACGAACAATGAGCTTTGCTAGAATTAATTAGAATAAATCTCGGACGCACCTGAGGATCGATCGTTCGGACGATACGATAATTAAAAATGACCTTCGTTATACACGTAGTAAAGTACAAGTTTAAAGTTCAATAAAACACAAAATACGTATGTTGAAAATTAAGCATTTTAAAGTTTTTTTTTTTACTAAAACACTCGTGTTATATTCATGGTAATTAGAATTTTGTTAAATTTTGTATAAAGAGGGCCCCCATAAAACGATTTTGCAAGAAGAGTAATATAATCGATGTAAATGCAAATATAAATTAGTTATACAAGCTTTAATGTTAATTTTATAAATTTTATTTGGGGTATTTTTTTCTATGTCATCCCCTGAGGATCAATATCTCCCTGAAGAGTGTTTAAAGTGTTAAGAGTACTTGTCAAGTTTTACCGATTAATATGCTGTCATTATACAAAGTATAATATTCTTGTACTTTACTACGTGTGTACATGCACCGTATACTAATAGAGAGAATGGCAATAAATTAATTTGGCTCGAGGAGGCTCTACATCCACTCGGTAAAGGCAATTCCATCAAGTGACCCTTAAATGTACGCCTTGTTTTTTTTTTTTTTTTTTACTTCGTCGTTCGAAATCATCTACGTCCGAGACGTTTCACCGTGGAAAATCGTCCTACATATATTATAATTGCAACGCGAATGGAAAAGGAAAGATCATCGCTTTGGGACACCTTAAAAGCTAGAAAATTATTCTAAAACGCGGCCGCCTGAACGATCCTTCTAAATGGAATAATCAATCGAGCAGTTATCAAAAATAGAATATCGTTATAAATATATCATAATACACAACGCATCGGTATACCAATGTTCAACAATCGTCGTTCCGCGATAATAATTACCTTTTAGCTCGCTATCGCGGCACAACCAACTACCAAAGATACTATATCACGTAGGTAGAGAGATAGAGATAGAGAGCATCGCATCAGCGAGTAATACGAAATATTGAGAAAAAAAAAAAAAAAACAATGAAAGAGACGACGCGGATCATCCTGGATCAGCTCCCTCGAGCTGCATTTTCTTAGGCGTGCGCATGTAAAATTATTTGTATAAAAATTCTCGCGAATTTACCGCGTAACGCCGTACAAATATAAAGTATCGTTTAAAGTACAATTAGTAGTATCGTGAAAACGAAGAATTTTTTTTTTTTTTTTTTCAAGAATTCCTGCTTCCCCTGTAACGCCATTTCCCTGGGGGGAGACTTTTGTTTCTTTTGACAATTCGATTAATTCTAACAATTTGTCCCGCGAAATTCGGTCAACTCGAATAGCGTGTTCCTCCTGAACGCGAATGCAGCCGTCTCGGACGAGAAAGAACGTAGCTTCTTTTTTTTTTTTTTTTTCTCTTTTTCTTTTACTAATTGCAGCCGTAACGTTTGCGCATCGAACAGCATAGATCCTCTTCCCGTGCCTTCTTATCTTTCCCTTAAAAACCGTTATCGACTAGAACGTAGTTATGATACATTAAAAATTGACACACATTTATGTTATATGTACTGGGCTTCGCCTCCCCGTTTCAGCGGAAACTCGTAGAACCGTTTACATTTTTTAGGGGACGGTGTTTGATCCTACATAGAGAAGAAACTTGTCACGTGAATTTCTGTTCGCGTTAAGTGAGGACAGAGTAAATGTATCCGCGATTAGACGATATTTGGCATTACAACTTACGGATTCGCACTTACAGATTACACGTGTATATAAAGTTACGATTCGTTGGAAAATCCTGCACTCTGTGCTTTGCACACCTGGGGATATAATTTTCTCTTTAATCGTTACGACTAATTATTTTAAAACAAAGATGTAGTTAATGAAATTGAATTAATAAGGCTAGCCATCGAATGACCACCGTGACAACCAACGCGTTAAGCGAACCAATATCATCGAACAAGAGACTTTTAACTATCTTATCCCGTTATCTCTATGAAATTCGATAAAATTCTCTCGACTACTCTTTCCTCAGTTAACGAACACGTTTCACACCATTAAATGGTAACGTATCGTTTGCACATCGTCGTTACATACGTTATATAGTAATAATGGCAATAATAATAATAGTAATAATAACAATGTATATCATTATCAATAATACTGTTAACAATCATAATTATAGCTGGAGAATCAATATAGTTGGAGTTAAATGCAGAAGGACACGACAGTAAAATTATCTCTGGAAAATAGCACCTTCCTCCATGGGTTAAAGATCTCGTGCTGTAGTTTAGTTTATAATATTTAATCATAGAAAAATGAATCTACTTCAAAAGAATATTCTATGTTGTTTCAATCACATTTTTCTGTATTTCAATTCTTCCATTGGGAAATAACTATTTATTTAACGATATCAATCTGGTCTGCGGGTAAATAATTAACAGCAAACATTGATTCGCAGCACGAGTATCTCTTAGACATCAGTGGAGAACAGCCAGTCTTAATAATCACTGATTCTTCTGTTCGAATCACGGTGATCGAGAAACGAAGGACGATGTCACACCGTGAAACATTCCTACTTTCAGTCTTCCTCTAATAATCCAGTCTACGATTCTAGCACCATTGCGCAGCTTCATTTTTTTTTTTTTTTTTCTTTCGTTCATCAACATCTGATCAACGAAGAGACTTCGATAATTAAATTGGCTAATAATAAAGATCTCGTTAGAATTTAAAGATGAGATTGAATTATCGACATTCGCATGCAATTCTCTACATATTTCCTAGTCGCTAATGGCAAGTTCTATCGTAATTAGTCAGAAGTTGCATTCTTTATTAATACTTTCTTCAATTACTTCTTTAATCACCTTGTTCGTATACTTTGCAGTCTATCGATAAAATTGTACGTATTATTTTATAACAGCGTTGACGATTTAAAAAAAAAATCATAAATACACAACTTCTGACTGTTTTAACCGTCGCTACTCCTGTTGCCTCAAACATACAATCATAGACACGCATCAGATAATTAATTTAGACAAATTTTTCCTGAATAATTCCTTCCTCTAGCCATAATTATTTCACTCGCTTGGGGCAATTGCAATGTTAGAGGCAGCTGAAAATAGCGACGATACGACGCGTTTTGCCAACGTAAAATTTCTACCGTCTAGTCGCGATATTGACAAAGTTAGGACGTGTAGAACGACGACGATTTGTCGCGAGATCCCTCGCGAGATCTTCCAGCGTTTTCACGAGTTGCGCCGCTAGTTTGCGGACTCCGAATTGGAGGACGGCGATGATTCTGGGCTCTGTACTACAGGACTGTCCCTTCCGATCGTAGGTGTCAACAGCATACCCCGTGGACTAAAGGTGTCGCAATAAAGATTCTCCTTTTTATGTACTCGTCTTACGTGGCTCCGCAGATTGTCGCGGCGTGCGCTTCTGTATGCACAGTGCGGGCAGAGATGTGGCTTCTCACCCGTGTGCATTCGTCGATGCTGGATCAGCTGGTTAACAAACAATGTTTGATTATAGAAATAGTAAAGCATGTAGACTTGGATGCAACGTATGCCTCCACTGGCTAAGTGTAGAAGAAAGAATTTCTTACATTTCAAAGTGAAATTATTACATTCACCGTTGGTCTACCTTGCTGTACAATAAAATAGTGTAATTTTATGCGAAAATTACTTATCGAAACAAAAGAGATATGCATATGCGCAGACTCTGATTCAGAGACAATGTAGAATAGCCGATTGTTCTACGAAATTCAATGGGTCGGTAGAATACCGCAGGATTTACTGAGGATTGCACCGTGGATTTCTATAAATGTTTTAAATATATTACCTTTTTCAACTGAACTGTGCGAAAGATGCAAATGTCACAGCAAAAGTATCGATCGTCGCGATGCCTTCTCATGTGTCTACTGAGATCGACCTCCGAGGATCTATCCGCGCCACAAACAGCGCAGCTCACCCTCGTTTCCGGTGCCGTGCCCTTCGCGTGAGCCCTTAAATGCCTTTGAAATGCCTTTTCGATAGTGCACGCGTACGAGCACAACGAGCACCGATACTCTTCTCTTTCGTATCTACGAATTAAACCGTACACAAGCAGTGAAAATTATTTTAATCAACCCTTTCGAAGCTGAGCGTTCTTGGTAAGAAATTACTGATCAGCGTTAAGTACCTATACCTGACACGTTGCAATGCCAGGGTACGTTTCTTTCCTGTGGGTGTCATTCCTTGTGCCACGTGTGCAGCCACGTGTGTCTCCATCTCGCACCTGCTGCTCGTTGTGAAATCACACCCCGACGACGGACAACTTTTCGTTTCCCCCGTTTCCGTGCTAGACACAGGCGGGTGACAGTCGACAATATGCTTTCGTAGGGCTGGCCTCGTGGGTGCAACCACGTCGCAGGAGCCACAGGAATAACCACGATGGGCATTGCTTACGTTTGGACTACTACCTCGTGATCTAAAAATTCCAATACAAAAGTATATAAATAACAAGTTAAAATAAGAAAAGAAAAAAAAAAAATATATATAAAGTATTTATGTATAAAAAGGAATAAAAAAGCAGTTTGATTTGAAACCATTTATCCAAATATCGTAACCGATTTCCACGAAGGGCTCGTAATTCTACCGCTGGCCAATATCCTTCAAAGTCGTTGATTTACGACGCCATTTATCTCGGATTTTTGAAATATCAGAAACGCGTTCACATTGTTGAACAGAGAAAAGAGGATTCGTTCTCAGAGTCCACTGATACATTGAATGTTTTATCGATTTTCTGGTACAGTAAGTAAAAGCCTGCCCTTTAAGTACTTTGCCGTGCTTCAACATTTCTTCAGTTATTCTAATATAGAATGACCCAGCCAGAATTTAAGTAACAATGATTGTTATTGGTACTTAAAGTATTGCACTGAAATAAAATAATAAAATAATTCGAGTGACGTATACTTTTCAGTGTATGACGAATGCTCGCTTTCAGAATCACTGTCGGAAGGAACATTTGGGATTTCCGTCGCCTCAAGAGCTGCGGTTGCTGCAGAAAGTCTGCCAAGCATGGCGGTATAGGCGCTGAGTACCCAGCCATTTAGAACCGGTGTAACTGCTCCCTCCTGTAAGAAAAACAAATTTTCTATTACTATTAAATTAACTTAGAATCTTAGGTGTATTGAAAAAGCTACAAATATAAGAGTTCTCTTCTTCTTTCAAAGTAATAAGCGCAATGAACCTTATCGAATGTGAGATAAGCCATCGGGTCGAGCAACTTGGTCGACAAATTATTGTTAGCCGACCGATGGGAACTGTTCGTGCTTCCGGTGTCGCTCTCCTCCCCCGCGTCCTCGTTGTCGTTGTTTTCCTTTGGTACAGAAGTCTGTAAGAGATGAATCAAACGTTTCAATAAAATACTAAATTCAACGGAAAGGGGTTCCTCGTTAAGAATAGAAATATTAATTCTCTTCAATTTCAAGTAAATAATAAAGAAAACACTCTTGAACATTTAATCCAAGAAACAGATTAAAGTTTCACTATAAACTTTCTATGTAGGTACTTTTGGAAAAGATTTCTGACTCCTTGCCAAGATTGCAGCTGACTTTATCTAGAAACACAGTGGTATCTTAGGAAGCGAACCGCAATGCCGATGAAACATTGGAATCTCTTCCAAAACCAACGAAAATCCAACAGTATTTCAACTAAAATTACATCCATCGATTATTAATCGAGGGATCAATTATCCGAGAGAATTAATCTACCTGATAATCATTTTCGTCTGGTTTTTCGATGTTTCCTTCGTTGTCCTCGTGTTTCTCCTCCTCGGCCTCGCTCTTCTCGGCGTCCCTATCCGCTGACGATTTCGCGACCAATTCCATCGGTCCGTACGGTTCCATGGGATCGGGGGTGGACGTGAGTGGTAACGGCAGCATGTCAGGTCGATGAAGACCGCTCAGGGCGAACGCAGCCCTCGGAAGCAACTGCGTCGCGCTGGCTGGTAGAATCGAGTGCCTTCGGGCGAGACGCGGGTCAGCCCAAAGTTCACCCGCGGCGTGAAGACTCCAGATTCCATATTCCATCTGAAAGAAGCAGGTGAAACGGTGGTCAGAGAACTGGTACGGTTTGAGCGTGGCTGAGTTCGCCAGGAGGAGCTCGTTCGAATCAGGAATCGAAGCCGGAGGAGAGTAATTCGTACGACTGATGGATGCGGTTCACGGGGATCCTTAAAATAGGGAGACGGTTAATGGAAAATACGATATTCGTTCTTTCCCTGGCGATCATATATGCCAGCTAGTCGAGTTTTCATGGATGAAAGATTGATAAGATCACGTGGGAGACGAGAATAGAGACGATCGTTAATAAATAATTGAACGTCTACAGGGGAGACACTTTCGGAGATACTTTGCGAATCGAAGGAACTGATTTCTATCGATCGTTTTAAACTAACGATAGTTTGATAAATAAGGAAAATTTTAAATTTTCAATAATTCTATGGTGAATTTTCCAAACTTTCAAAGGTACCATTGCAGAGGAGAGAATGAAAAACGAGAGAACAAAAAACAATTGATAGAAATGCTTCGATCCTGGACAATGGAATCGTAATTATCTCGTGCACATTAATACGTTTGCTTTCATGACGATACCTCCAATGCGGTATTCAATAAATTAATGAAGACAATTTTCATATAGCGAGAACGGGAGCTTTTCAATGCGCAATGGAGGGTTACAATAGAAATTTCGTAATGAGATACGCGAATGTGTGTACGTATACGATGGGGATCGAAGGTAAACGAGGAAAATCCTGTTAGTCTCTGTCGAGCAAGGATATTGAAAATCCTCGAATGAAAGGTAGAACACGTCGAATTTCGACGGGTATAAAATATTGTTGTTTCATTTAATTTATAACGAATCGTCGAACGAACGTGTACCGTAGGTTAATAAAAATTATTAATGTGTTTAGATAAAAAATGTTAATTTCTTTCCCATCCTAGATCTAACGTTAATGAAAAAAGGATACAAGTAAATTCAGTTCGCTAAATTCACGTTTCTACATAAACAGCGACAGGGAAACAAAAGAGAAACGATGTTGAATAGAGTTTTCGCAACAGCCAGAAGCACTGCTTAATTGCAGTGCATTTTGTAATGTTTAATAAATAGGTCCACGATGTGCAAGCTTTGAACTCATTATTTTCAAAACTTCGTCCGCCCTCGTTATTCGTAAAACTGTCGAGGAAACCGTAATCATTTTAATGATCGTTTACATTATAAAATAAAATTCCAAATGAACCGAAGTGCACTTTTTTAATTTAGAAGCTCGGAATACACTGGTTGCTCATCGATGCAGATTTCTTTAAAACTAGTGCAATCAATTGTTTTGCCATTAAAACACCGATTCGTATCCCTAAAAAAGAAATAAGGATACGAACCAGTATCAGAGAACAATTAATCAAAAGAAACTAAAGGAAAAACGTCGAAATGTCGAGTGTGAAGAGAATTTAATATATTAAATAATTTATCGAACGCTTGTACCAACGTCGAATTTATCCAATGAACAAAACAGCTCGACGAAATAAGGAAATGCATTATTCGTTGCTGCTGTTTTATCTCATAAATCAGGCAACAATAACGCAAACAAATATTCTAAATAGTTGAACAATTTCTATCAGGCTAACGTTCACTTTTGTTAGAACGTTTGAGAAAGGAAACTGGTAACGTTTGAACGCGTCTTTCAGACAATGAAAGATTATTTTGACAAATAATACAATCACTTATTAGCGACATTTAAACATTCTTTGGATATTTCGGGGTCCATTGTGATCCCCCTATTCCAAAGAAGGGATAAAATATCTACAGTTTCAAACTATTATTATGCTTTCGCAATAAATAAAGCTACACAATCGCGTTTAATTATTTTATAACGACAAATACACATACATAGAAGCAATAAAAAAAAAAAGAGATAGATACAGGCGTCTGTCGCGGAAAAACAACCCTCATTTGCTGTCTTCTCATTCACCCGCATTTAAATGCAACATAGTGATTGCATTTATTCTTGAATTATTTAACCAGAATTTTATTAACATAGCGTTAATAGTGATAAATTTCTTCTCAAATTATGTATGTTAAAGTATTCACAGCCTATAAATTTAACTCTTCATTAATAATAAATTAAGCATGCAGAGAAGCTTTAACAACAATGTTATTTAAAAAAGAAAAAAAAAAAAATGAAAAAAATATTCCAAGTCGATGGTGAGGAGCGATCTTAGCATCGTCAAGAAAAGCGCAATGATCGTAATGCTGTCCAATGAGTGAAAAGCCAGCAAACAAGCCGATTAACTTATCTAACGAAAAGCAACGAAATAACGTAACGAATAAGAGAGATTCCTCTTACGGATGACCGTCCGGTGGCCTACCGCGATTCAGGCCGATCGTCATTACGGTAAATCATCCCCCGGCCTACGGAGCATTCTTGCACAGCCGATCCTTCGTGGGTGATCGGGTTGACCGGAAGTGTTACGGAAGTTAGTAGCGGCGCTAACAACGTCGGAACAACGTGGCACGCGGAGTCTCACGAGGCACGCCACCGAGGATATACGTGTCCGGATACGTGCCGGTGCCGCAGAACGAACTCGCGAGATTCCTGACCATTGGACCAACCCTCGTGCATGCATACTTTAGCATAACGTTCTCTATACAATATCCAGAAAGAGGGACGAGGAGGAACGAGGGAAAAGAGAGGCGGCGGCGGCGGCGGCGGCGGCGGCGGCGGCGACCAACAGAGAGAAAGAGAGAGAAAGACGTACAACCCCCTATCTCTCGTCCCTCTCTTCATCGTCGTCCTACCTCGCTGCTGACCCCTTCCCATTGCCCTCGCGAATCGATTTGTTATTGTTTTTGTGTCTGCGGTCGTCGCGGCGAGCGGAGCAAGCGGGGGTATATATCGGTGGGTGGCAGCAGCCCGGAGACCAACGGGGTAGAAGAGGGCTGGTGGACGGCCGAGCGGGCGAATGGGTGAACGGGGGTGGTTGGTAGTCGCGCTCGGTGCTTCAAAGGCTCGGTTTTCGGGCCGACAGAGAGGCGACCAGGAAGGGCGAACGGGGTGGAAGCTTTTGCTACCACCCTGGTACAAGGGGGAAAGGGAAAGGGAAAGCCGCGGTAAGAGAGCACTTTCGAAGCTCGAAAGAGATGGACGAATATAGAGATACACGCGCTCTCCTGTCCACCCGGTTGTAGTAAACCGATATCGAATTTTTCATGGATTCCACTCGAGGCTGGACATTGTTTACACTAAATACGGATAATACATCGTCGTTCCTTTAACGATCATTCTTTTTCAGATGCTCGATTCGAATATACGAGTCTATCGGGTATACTGCCTTACGACTGTCATCCCTCGACGGGGATAGACACAAGGAGAGCCTGTTCCTTTTCCTGCTGAGGAGAAATCCTGCTGGCTACGCCACTGCTTTTACCAGCGGAAAAGAGTGAGAGAAAATCGGACTGGCAAGGATAGAAGCTGGCACAGTGATGAGAGAGCAAAGGGGAGGAAATGGGGTAGAAAGTGGGTGGACGGAAGAAACGACGACGAGGGTGAGAGGTGGGGTACTGCGAGGGTTAAGCTGAGAGAGGGGGTTAGTCGGTGGTACTCGGTGAGCAGAGGGAGGAAAATGGATCGGATTGCATGGTCGGCAAGAGAGTGACTAGTATGAGTGCAATGGTATAAAAGAGGGACCAAAAGTAAGAGAGCAAGAGATAGAAATGTAGTCAGGGGAAGTAAGTAGGAGGAGAAGAGACGAGACGGGTACAAGTATTACGTACATAGAGACAGAAATGGGGAGAAAGAGGGAGAGAGCATGAGAGAAATAAGAAAGGCAAGGGGGTGAGAGAGAAAATTGAGGTAAGACGAGGGATACGCTGGCTTGACAGGTGACGACCGATCGGACCACTGACGTCACAGATCACTCGCTCGGCCGTACGCTCGCACGCACAAACACGATTTACTGCTATCACACACACATACACATGTACGTAAGAGATCACGCGCGCGCGACCTGTCGTGCATCACGTCGTTACTTCCGTTTCGTGCACAGAGTACGTCATACGTAAGCTTTCCACGCCGCGAGAAAAAAAAAAAAAAGATATCGCGTGCGAATGAGAGAGACAAAGACAGGCATGGGACGTATGAGAGAGAGAGAGAGAGAGAGAGAAACGAGGGATATAGAAAAAACACCGAGGGTGAGATAAAGATAGGGGTGAAACAGGAGGAAAAGAAAGACGAAATTTTTCAGAGGAAGTAATAAGTATTTACGATGCTAACCGGCCGATAGCCCCGCGCGACGCCTCTATCTGGTTACCATTACACTCGGATGTATGAAATGCGCCAGCAGCATACACCATCCCCCCACAATAGCCCTATTTATGATTGGGCAAAATTGCTTTCCATGCGCAGAATAAAATCGCGCGCGGGCGAGGAAAAATCCGCGGGGGTTGGATGCACGCGAATACCGCGACCTGCGCCTCGCTGCTCCCATCGTGATATTCCGGGAAATATCAAACGCGATCGTCTCGCGTCGATGATTCAACTCCTCGAATTAATCGTCGGCTGGAAAACCTTTCTTCCTCCTTTGATTTTCTTTGCGGCGCCGGTTCGCAAAATTTGGGAAAAATTAAATATGGCGAGAGGTCGCAGTCATGCGTATACGCGTCTCCAACCCCGTCCTCTAGCCTCGCCAATCAGTACGTACACGTTGATTTCAAAGAAATTCCGTCGGCAGCGCTATCCTCGTGTAAAGGTACAACGCGTATTTCGCGAAATTTTTAAAAATATCCTTCGCTGTGTATTTTCGTTGCAAGTAAATTAATCTTTCTACTTTTCTGTGCCATTCAGTTACCTTTACTTTTCATATCTGATGTAGTAAATAGGCAGGATTCTGTAGCAGGATAAATTGGTGATTGTTAATTGAAATGCTTGCACTAATTTTCAAAATATGGCGACGTCTGCTCGAATTATCATACGTGGGATATTATTCATAGAAGTAGTTTTTGAGCCTAAACTAAAAATTTTTTATGTTAGTACACACAGACAATACATGAGCATATATTCAAATTGTAAATCAGTTTTTATTTTTATAGTATAATTATAATAATCTATAATACTTATTTTTATAAACAACAAATGTAAAAATAATGCAATAATTACCATATAACTTATGTAACAGCATGTTTAATTATCACTTTGTGCTAAGGACAAAGATGCACTTTTCAAAATAAGAGCTTCTAAATCAGAAATATCTTTCTCCAATCTAAAAAACATAATAATATCAGTTTACAAAATAATTATTAACGAATGATGCTGGAAATGTTATACCTTTTTGTATAATTTTCAATATTATTGAAGGTATTGATAAACTCTTTAATACCACTATTAACGTTTTGATAGGATTCCTTTTTTGTTCCAATTAAATCCATAATAGATTCTAAGGTAGCATTGCATGATTTAAAGTTTTTCATCATTTCTTCCCATTCTTCTGGTGTTTCAGGAAGAATTATATTATTACAACGAAGTTTGTCTAAAGGCTGCAAAAGGCTATATAACTTAGATAAAATATCGTTTAATTTTTTAGAATCTTCACTTTCTACAATTAATAAGAAAAATGAATTCTAAAATCACATAGTTAATCGTATGATATCACAGATACGTAATTCTGTCCAATACTTACTAATACAATTATTTATATCTGTAATTTGTTTATCAATATCATTTTGAATTTTAGTTAAATTTATTATGTCCCTTTCTCTGGTTTTCAATTCAAACAATTTTTCTTCGTTGTGTTCATATTCCTTTGCTATTGTTGCCAATTGTGATAAAAATAATTGTTTCCTTTCCTCTGCTTTCTTCTTTAAGATTATTTCTGTCATTGTGTTTTGTAAATATTCATCATAAAGAAGTTTCAGCTCAACATCATTGGATTCGCTATCTATTACGCTGTTTCCTTCTGAAAGTATCTGTGAAGGACCCATAACTGACCTATCCATTGTAAGTTTTCTCTTTGAAGAACCTACATTATTAAATCAATTAATATCTTCAATTATAAATGCGTTGTTTTACAAAAAAGTTAGATTCAATTTGGTTACTTTGTGGTAAGGCAAAATCTGCTGCAGACATAGTTGCCCTATGTTGAAAACGGATGTTTGTCATTGTACTATCCATTATATTCTTTTTTATTCGATCTGGAGTAGAAGCATTACGAGTCCTAAAAATATACACAAATTATTATATTAAACTAAAAAAAAAAAAGAAATCAAGGAACTTTTTATTCACCTTTTAATTCGATGGGTTTGCGATGGTTCAGGTTGTTCCTTCTGCATTTTTTCTTATTCTTATATTTATTACAAAAAACTTATTCTTATTATTAAATACAACCTGATACTATTATTAATTTTTAAACATATACTAATTCTAAGTAAATTCTAAGTTAGAATTTGCAAGGAAAATACTACGTTTTCGTCAAATTGTTCGTTAAAAACCGTTTGAATTATTTCGTCGCTTAGTGTCGCCCCCTACAAGTGTCAACATTTTTTATTACAAGTGTTGCCGATGGGTGATATTCTATATTATACAATGAAAAATTTGTATGAAGAACTGTTTAATCTAAATTAGCAGTTAACACCTTTTTTTAAAAGTTACATTATTAAATAATATTAGTACATGAAATAATTAATAATTTTATAGATTAGAAGATGTGTCCAGCACTTTTAGAAAATGAAGAACGTTGTTTTGGTGGAATGACATTCTTTGCCCAAAGTCATCCGGTTGAACTTTGTGGCAGTAATGGTTTGCCTCTTACACCAAATTCAATAACTATATATGGAAAATCTCAATTTTTAAAAACTATTCACCATCCATATTTATCTACTTACCTTGATATAATTAGAAGCAAACATGGTAAAAATTCTTATCTTTATAAGTATCTTATAAATATATGAACAGTTAAATAATTTGTACAAATTTTTTTGTAGAACGGATAGTAGTTGTTACAGAGTATAATGGAGACCCATTGAGCAGTAAAGAAAACTTAACTGTTGATGATATTATCAAAATAGCATTTCAATGTTTATTAGGTTTACAACATATGAATACGTTAGGTTTGGTACATAGACACTTAAGCCCTGAAAATATACTCATTAATACAAGTGGAAATGTACAATTATATAATTTTGGATTATACTATATGACAGACAGTGGAAAAAATGTATCTTTTCCTATTGGGTTTGTATTACTGTAACTAAGTATTTTAAATAATATACTTATTTGTAGATAATATTTATTTGTAGATACCCAAAATATACTGCACCTGAAATATTTTTAAGTTCAGGTGTTAGTAGCCCAAAAGTGGATTCTTGGTCTTTAGGAATGATTATAGCAGAATTGTTAATAGGAAAATTAATCTGGCCAAATGTGAAATTATCCCAATGTTTGCGAAAAGTTCTTAGTTTGATACATTGCGAAACTTCTGTGTTTGAACGTATTGCAAGAGAAAATAATTGTTATAATGTTTACAAGGTATGACCTTTTTAAGTATATATTACAGATTTTCATTAATATTTACACCACTGATAGTTTATTATTATATCAGGAATTACCTGATGAGGTAAAAGAATTTATAGACTCCTGCCTTCAAATTCATCCCTCAAAACGTAAAACACCAGAGGAGTTATTGAAACTTACAATATTTGACAATTTTTTACTGAAAAATGAAAAAGATAAAGAAGAAAATCTTTATAAAAATGTTATAGTTAGAAAAATGGATGAGTTGTATTATTTGTGGCAATTAGCAGGTGGAGATATTACTGGAGAGCTAAAAAAGCAAGGACTTATTAGATCAACACCACCTATCTTATCTATTCCAAAGTAATTCTAATTATTTTACTAATGTATTCTGTAAAAAGAGAGCATCACATATAATCTTTTTTTTCAGTTTGGTAATACTTTTAGGTCAAATGTTTGGTCAAAGAGACACAGCAAGCCTGCTTGATTTGCGCATAGTCAAAATTCCTCTTGAGACACTGCGTCAACGTCTATCTCACATTCCATATATAGCAAATTACCCCTGGTTAACAAGTCAGTAGGTATTAAATATTTAGTAAAAAACATTTACTTTTAATCTCGTACGAATTTTTCATTAATTTTTTCACAGAATGCATATTCAGTTACAAGAAGATTTAATAGATGCTGCTTCACAATTACCTTTAATTATCAGAGAAAGGGATACAGAATATCAATTTTATAGAGTTGTTTTGTATGATAGATTACTACAGGTAATCACGTTATATCAAATTTTATAAATTTTATTTTAGTATAAAAGGTTTGCTAAAAAAACTATTAAGTAAATGCAGTTAGATGTTTACAATAACTTTGTAATTCATAAAATTAATTTATAATGTATTTATATTGATTATAATTTAGGTTTATCCGATTACTCGAGAAGCGATCATTGAAGAAGCGCACAAAGATATACCTCCACCTGTTAGAGGGGCCGTTTGGGCAGCATTGCTTGGTATCACTGGTGATATTCAGAAACGTTATGATATGATTGATAAAGATACACCTACTCATACAGATAGACAAGTAATGTGTTAATGATCTTATTATATCGTTACAAATGTTCATGTTTTAGTTTATTAATAATTTGTTAGATAGAGGTAGATATACCAAGATGTCATCAGTACAGTGAATTATTATCCTCTGGTGCTGGCCACGAGAGGTTACAGAGATTGCTTAAAGCCTGGGTTAGAAATAATCCTCATTATGTTTATTGGCAAGGATTAGATTCGTTAACTGCTCCGTTTCTTTATCTGAATTTTAATAACGAAGGTATTGTATACTTTTTATCTTATTCATTTCTGAGTTTTGTTTATAACACATTTTATTTTAGCTAGAGCATTTGAATGTCTGTCCGCATTTATACCGAAATATCTTCATAAATTCTTTCTGAAAGATAATTCTGCCATCATACAAGAATATTTAGGAAAATTCTCACAAATAATAGCCTTTCATGATCCTCAATTGGCAAATCATCTTAGATCGATTAACTTTGTACCAGAATTGTTTGCTATACCCTGGTTTTTAACAATGTTTTCGCGTAAGTTATTTATCATAAATATCGTATTATCAAATACATTTCAGCTAAATTACGCGCGTTATTACGTATTGACTTTCAGACGTATTTCCACTTCACAAAATATTGCATTTGTGGGATAAACTATTATTGGGAGATTCATCATTTCCGCTTCTTGTTGGTTTAGCAATATTAAAACAATTACGTGATTCTCTTTTAACTTCTGGTTTTAATGAGTGTATTCTTCTATTTTCTGATCTCCCTGAAATTGACATAGAGCTATGCGTTAAAGATTCTATGACAATGTATCAAATGACACCACCTAGTATAACTTATAGAAAACATCAGTTTAACCAGCCTAAGGTATACAAATAAATTTGTACATATACTTAAATAATTTTATAAGTTTTCGGAAATACGGAATATTACGTTGTAGGATGTAAATTGGTCTGAACCAGAACCAGGAACTGAACAAATGCCGAGAATTAGCGTTGATGATTTTATGAATTTATTAGATAACGATCCCGAGAGATTAATATCAGTAGATATTCGTAATAATATGCAGTGAGTATACGGTTTATAAAAATAAAATAACAATTCAGTTTAAAAATAATTGATACCTATTAAAATTCCTCTTTAATAGATTTGAAAGAGGTGCTGTATTAGGAAGTATTAACATTCCATTTACTAGCGTACAACTTTCTCAAACTCATATTGAAACTCTTGGGCCACATGCTAAACCATTCGCTGAGAGTAAAAACAGTATTGTTGTAATTATTGGACCTCATGATCAAAATAATGCATTGGTAAATATATTATAACATTTACTTTTGATGAGTATTCAAATTAAAATATTTGATACAGTTTGCAGATTTTCTTGTGAAATGTGGAATTACTGGTGTATGTTCATTGCAAGGAGGAATTTATGCCTTACGAAAAAAATTTCCAAACATTATAATGGCTGCACGTTGATAATAACAGATAAATATACATGTAAATAAATTATTCTCGAACCAAAAAGTTCGTCCAGTTTTCAAGTGTTATAAACACATACATATTATATATACATACACATTATTTCAATTATAAAATATTTCAAATTTTATTTCGAACATTTCTAATTACAAATCATATAACAAATCATTCTAAATATGTGATTCAGGTATGTATAAAACATGTCTTATATAAAATTTATATAGAATATAAAGCTACATGTCTACATGTATACTTTCGTTGGTAGTCATAGAAACAAAGTCAAAACATTACAGTTACATGCTTTTAGTTTTAGTTACAGTTTGTATGATTGTGTAAATAATTTTGTATTATCTTTTAAGTATGGATAATAATATTTCTTCGAATCTTCAGAAGTGGATTAAAAAATGTTTAAGACATGAATTTGAAACTAAGGTACAAAAATCATTGAATGAACATGTGGACTATACCGATATAGCTAAAAAACTTATACATTCTAAAGAAATGTCTACCTTGTTGAATTCTATGAAAGCTACAGTTGCTGAACAATCAGCATCAAGATCTACGTCAACTGTAATTTCCGATTCTCGACCTCAGTCGTCTTTTTCTTGTATAAGTGATCAAACATGCGAAGACTGGAATTCTCCATTAAATAACGACGAATGTTACAATATTATTATTTATAAAATTAGTCAAGATAAACCTGCTCATGTTAGATTAGCTGGTTATGAAATTCTGTTAAAAAGTGACCTATCAAATTTAAATAGCAATCCAGTATGGGACTTGCTTCGAAAGGCTTTACTGGACGGTCTCACAGATGAGAGTAGATCTATTTTTGCAGCTAGTTTACAAGTACATGCAAAATTGTTAAGCTGTTTACAATCACACGATGTATACACAAATTTATTGGATGCCTTTAATGCTCAATACCATTCGCAGAAGACATTTGAAATATTACCTACTCTAATTGCTGGCATTAATTTTAAGTTTTTTTTACACGAAAGAGTATTCCGCATTATACATTTAATAATTCGTTACAACGAAGAAAAATTGAAAACCACAAGAAATCCCGACAAAAGTACAGAAGAATTAACGGAACAATTTATAACATTTTTAAGTACACACGAATTTGGAAGTTCAATGCAACCTAAACCATTAAATATACTTAACATCATTTCTGTACTAGAACCATGTGCTGATTGGAGTAAAAAATGGATGATTAATTTTATTACTCGAAAAATGTTTTTGAATGCTTTAGGAAAATCGCCAAGTTTATTGCAACAAATAATGCATTACACGCAAAAGGGATTGGAAGAGCCTCCTCATTCTATAACAATTTCTATCTATGATGATTCAATGGAAGTTATCATTAATGGAAATACTATAAAAACAGTAACTTATCTTCATTGTTTGTGCTTTATATCACAACTTTGTGCTTACGAAGCAGGTCGAAAAATCTTAGAAGAAAATGTATTTGATCCTCCCTTTTCAATTTCTGAATTTCTAACTGCTTGTTTAAAAGCCTTAAATAAATTAGCCATGGAAACATTAAATGGTGTATACGATGTTTCTTGTTATGCTTTACAAATTATATTAGATAAACCAACTATTTTATACAATTATGAATTTTATCATATCGCATTATGTCATTTGTCTTCTCTTTCTGAAAATAATATTAAGATATGGGTACATACGTTAAATATTATTTTACACATGTTGGACACAGCAGATGGTTCTTCGTTTCTAATTTCTGAATGCAAAGAACATACGGTAAATTTCGAGAATAGCGTATCAAAATGTCCAGCTATGTTTATTGTAATGATAGCATCTAATATGTTAAAGCAACCTTTTTCTATAATAAATATCGAATATCTTCTAAAATTGTTTAAAGTAATGGAAAAGTTATTTGATATATTTGATGTATATGAAATTATACAACATAAAATAGAAAAAGAATTTTATCCTGCTGTATCATATTTTTACCATAAGCTAAATAAATCTTATCTTGAAAATGAAATTAAAGCTCAACAAATGAATAGGTAATTTCTACTTATGGACTGCATACTTTATTAACAAAATAATACTTATTAAAAATTTATTTTCAGCGCAGTTAATACATTATTGCTTAAAATGGTATCTATACCATTAGGATTGAAAGTTCTTGTTCAGGAATCATCGGTATTCCAAGAATTAATTGAAGGATCTATTGCACCTTTGAGAATGTCCTGGACATCAATGGAAGTAGTTAATTTTATATCATCTGCTGCTTATTTTCAACTAGGACATGATGTAATTGCTACTCTTGCACCTCATGTTTTATCAAATTTGCTTTTGGAAACATGTAAAATATTAGAAGCTCCAGATTATTTTTATGATCCATGGGATCATGGAATTATTCAAAATTTTCTACATATCCTTACATTTTTTTCTCTTAATTTTAAATGTAAGTATAAAATTCTGTACTACTACACTTGAATCTAATATTAACCACTTTTATTGATACTGATTATTTATCTTCAATTTTATTAGGCTTTTCAGCATTTATGACAAATTTTAAAAAATCAGATAATAATGAAGAACTATACTATCCAGTTAATTTACTTCAACTTTTTCAGAGTTCGATAAATTCTGAATCAAATTATCACTATTTGGGACTTTTATCATTAAATACTGTAATCTGGAATTTAAATATTTGCTTATATTTGCTAGAATTATTGAATTTCCAGGTAATATATGAATGAATTTTAAAAACAAGCTGCTGCAATTTTCTTCTTACATTTTACATTAATGTCAATGTCTTGTAGAACATACTATTAGAGCTTCAAAATTTAAATACAGAAGGTGGAAATGAAGAATTTAGCTGTTCGTGTATCGACGAGTATGCTGTAATGCGACAGAAAATTATATCAAAAACATATTTTATTATAAGCAAAGATGAAGAAGAAGTTTTCAAATCAGAAACACAAGATCTGACAAAATTATCTCCTTGGGAATCAAATGAAAAAGACACATCTTTTTCAGAAACTGAGTATGATTCCGAATTGGAAAATTTGCTTCGAGAAAATAAACCTGGACTGTTAGATAGTAACTGGGTTCAACAGATTAGAGATGCATATAAAGTATCATCTGATCCACTAAAGGTCAACATATCTTTCAATTTTATTTGATATACATTAATGCTTAAATTTTACTATATACTTATTTCATTTTTATGAAACACTTTTTTCTTTATTAGGACACAGTACTGATTCAATTAGTAGATCAAATGCAGAAAGCAATTCCTACTGCAGATTGGGGAGAACATTTTCAGTGGCAAGAAAATATAACGTCAAGTACAGATTTTTGGTTTCCAGAAGAAATCCATGGAATTAACTTAGCTTTACATTATGCAGAACAAAATGAAATTTTAGAAAATACAGTAGAAATAAAGGAAAAATTACAAGAGTTTATTAATGCATGTTATAGATTTATAAATTATGAAAGGCCAAAAAAATTTGATGGATTCGATTGGTTTTTATCAACGGTATTTATTATTTGCAAAGGGGACATACAGAGGTATACTTTCATTTTTTCAGACTTTAGTTTTTTTATAACGTTATACTGCGTAATAATGTTATTTTTCAACACTTTGAGGCCACATATTTTATGTTCGTTTTTATACTAAAGAAGAGACTAAAGAGAAAATTGTGTCCAGGAATTTCTATAATATACATCACAAAATTACCAATTTTCAAATTGTAAAGTAAGAATAATGGCATAAAAAATGATAAATCTCAAAGTGAATGCGTTGTCAAAGCATTAATTTTTTATTATTTATATATATATTATACCTCATACAAATTGCCTCAGTTGACCGCGAATACACCCTTCACTGGCTATTTAAAACGTTTTACCAGAACAACTTTTATAAGTATTTACAAAAGTATTCTGATAAAAACATACAAATTGCCAGTATTTTATCAAAGAAAAAAGCATAAGGGTAACTCTAGCTAGTCAAAGTATCATCATTGGCAGGTCTCAGGTTGAAAACTTAGTCATCATTTTTAATGACAACGCGCATATAAGATAATTACTTATCATCATTGACCTACTAAAATAAAATGATACTATAAATCTGATGATTACAGGTGTAAAATATTTATCACACAATTAATCCAGTTTCCGGTAACCATATTTTTATGGCCTAATTTGGGAAAAGTTTTAGATAAATATATGAGAGAAGAATGTGCTACACAATTTAAGTTTATGCAAGTTTTAGAGAGCATTGTTAGCAATGAATTTCCACATATCAAATTTGCTCTTAAGGTAGATACATATACTATGATGTTCTATTTTTTTCCTTAGAAATTTGGACTCGATTAAAGGAAGTGCAACATGTAATTTGAGCGAAATAAAATAATGTTGCACGATTGCGTTTACCTTAATTGAATCCTTATTTCTAAACTCAAGATCATTTTAAAAGTTATAGTAAAATGGATCGTAACGTATCTTTTGTTCTGCAATTATTTCTATAATAATTTTGCTAATTTATTATGTAATACAGAATACTTCTGGAATGAATTGGTCCTTAATATGTAACTTAATGATATCTCAATGTTTTTGGGGCTTACTTTCTTGGCCTCAAATTATGAATTTCTTTGCTATTTGCATTTTATATTCATCTGACTATATAATATACTACTGTGTATCACTTTTGTACCACTGTCAGCATAAGATAATGGAAGATATAACAAATGGAAAATTGTGGCCTGAGCATATGGTATGTGTTTATATATAAAATTTATTTATATATACATAATAATTTTTATATTATTTGTAGGTATTAAATGAGTACCAGTGCCACGACTACATTAAATTTATGGATACATTAGACAAAAGATATGGAAATAGAATTTTACCAAAATTTACCATCAAAGGATTCAATTAAACGAAACTTTTAAAATATGAAAATCTATTTGTAAATTATAGAAACAAAACAATACCTTTTCTAATAATTTTTCATTCCATACAAAAAATTGCATATTTAAATTAATGCGTCAAAATATACATATTTGCTAAATTGTTAACAATTTTATATATATTGTGTGTATTTATAACGATATTGTTGAAGAAAATATTAAACTCTGATTAAATAATTAATAAAGCAGTTTTTCATTTATTTTCTAATAAAATTCACAGGTTGTAATGATCTAACAAACACGTGTGAATATCTAATAAATTTCTTTTGAAAATACTTTGTACCTGGTATGTGCAGTATTTATACAAGCGTACCTTTCAAACTTAGGAACAAGATATAAATTGTAGATTTTTTTTATTGGTAAAATCTTTCAGAATTAGTAGATAAATAATCGTATATACACCAATGACACAGTATTGTCATTTAAGCTTTGCACTAATGGAATCAGTCATCGTGAATAGTAAATAGTTTGGCTACTTCATTCAAATCATCATATTTTGTGCCTTTAGCAAGTACCTAAACAACGAATATACAAAAGATAAACGTATCTTTTAAAGTATGTGTATTTTACTAAATATGAATAAAAGAGAGCTTAATGTTTAATATATTTCATGGACTCACCTGCCTGGCGATAGACATCCGATTAAAAATATTCCAAAGAACTATTCCAACCACAATATCATCGCGTAAATAAAAAATGACTCCTTTTTCAAAGTCATCATAATTTGTAGGTTCCTCTGCTGTAGATTTTGAATCAACATTACGTATTGATTTATCATTTTCGTTTGAGCTTTGTGATTGCGTTGAATGTAACTTCTATGTTAGAAAGATACAAATTATTAGACTCGTCAAAACAAAACGTTGATGATTTATTACCTTTTCATTTGAGGACTTAGCGGTTTCATTTGAAGTATCGATGGCTGTTATCGAAGTATCAGTTTTTTCTGCTTTTACAAAAACTCCTACAGTTGGCAATGTAGAATCTACAATACCAATTGCTTCAAATCCAACTTCTGGTCCTAGGTCGGACCAAAACATTGACTGATGAAGATATGGTTTTCCTAATAAAAATATAAATCGATCAATTTCATTTATATCGATTCTTATGTTAATAAATGTTAATTTTAACCAACCTGCACCAGTCATATTTTCTCCCGCTAATCTTCCTGAAACTACAGCGTGATCGTGATGTTCTACTCTTCTTCTACCCAGTCTAATATCATAAAAACAAGCTGCATCTCCAGCAACCCAGAGGTTACTTCTTGCTTCCAATTCTGCATTAACAAGGAAGCCACCTATTTCAGGATCTGTTTCTAAATGCGAAACTTTCGCCAAATCAGTATTTGGTTCAACGCCTACCGCTACAATCACTTCATCAGCATCAATCTTTTCGTGTAAAATAAAAAAATAGAGAAAAAAGAAATATTTGTAGTGTTATTTGGATTCTTTATACGAAAATTTTTACGCGAAACAAAAACGTACAACGTTATTTCCTGAAAGAATGAGCGATAATTGTCCATTCTTGTAATAATAGTCTTCAACTTCAGAATTTGGAATACAATTAACACCTTCCAATGTTGCTTTTCTTGTTGCCCATTCACTTAAATATTGCGGTAATACTTGATCCATCATAAATTTCTCTTTATATACTTGATGTACTTTTTTATCTTCGGGTACTAAATAAAAACACAACTATTATTTCGATGCTAATTAAAACGTTGTGTACCACTATAAAAAAAAAAAAGAGTAATGAAAACGTACAATTACGAGCAAGTGAGCAAGCGAGTTCCGTTCCAAGAAATCCTCCACCAACTATTACTATATTTTTACATTTAGGATTATGCACATTATCTTCTAAATCAAGAAACTGTTCTTTTGTTCTAAACGTCCTAATTTTATCTTTAACCTCGTCTGGAAGTGACTCAAAAACTGGAAGATTTTTAGGCGATGCACCTATAAAAGATATTAGACGATAATAATTTTACTCTTGTTTTATATATTCTAAAAACAAATCGCTTACCAGTTGCAATTAGACATTTGTCGTATTTTATTTCATAACCATCATCCAACGTTACAATTTTATTTGAAACATCAATTTTTGTAACTTTCCAACCTGTAGCCACAGCCACCCCACCTTTTTCAGACTCAATCAAATGTTTAATTTTTGAATAAAATTCAGGTGGCTCGTAAAATATACTATAACGTAAACAAACAGGCGATAAAACACTTATAAATAATTATCTCACTAATAAATAAATAATTACCTTCTTTGAGCTCCATTCCACTGTTTAAAAAGTAACTGTGCACTTGTTTTCCTATCTGTGTTATACCACAATTCCTTAGATAACGGTGGTCTCATATATGGCAAATCTCCTTCTTCTGTAATTACTAAAACCTATAACAAATATTTACTTGTGCTACTTTTTTTTTGTTTTAATTAAATCAATTTATATTCAGAGACTATTGTAATTTACCTTAGCTCTAGGATCTCTAGATTTGATAGACCTAAATGCAGAAAATGCAGCTGTTCCTCCACCTATTAAAAGGTAAGGTACATGTTGAGGGAATGAACTAGAAGTTGGTGGTGATTTAATTTTATCAGTTCTTCTATGTCTCCTTGAATCCTTTTTATCTAAATATTTCACACAAAATTAATTTTGTAAGTTTTGAAAAGTTAAATGATTATTAAGTATAATTTAATGTATTCTTACCTACATCCTTTTGAGAATCTGATTTCTTAGAGGTAAACCAATTTGAGGAAGATATCTATAAGGTATGTTTGAACAAAGATGTTAAAGAAATAAAAAAAAGAAATCTACTACCTGATTTATATTAAAAATTTGGATCTGTGTTATTTTAAATATTACAAAAAATTAAAACAAAATGTTACAATATATTTTTATCATACCGCGTATATTGTAACTCCAGCAATAAGCAAAGTTGCTAATATCTTCCAATAAGGTGGTGGTGGAGGTGGTTTAGAGCTCTGAGAATCATCTGATTTTCCGCAAACTTCATAACAAGATGATGGACAAGATGCATTAGGAGATAATTCGCATAGAGGTATGTTTCTCTTTGGTTTTAAATACGTACTGTCAGGTACACATTCTTCCGGTTTTATGGTGGTGCCTGGAGGCTTATATGTTTTCTTGTCGCTCACATTGGAACTGAACCATGAATTATTAATGCTAACAATTCCTAAAACAAATAAAAGATCAAAAAACAATTATAGAACTGTAAAATACAAACAAAACATTAATATAAAAAATATTACATACATCTTATTAAAAAATTCAAATATATAAAAACAGTAGAAAGAATTTTATTAATGGTCAACAAAGGTAATATTTGAAGTAATGTAATCAGATTTGAGTTATGAGGTTATATCGCGTGGTGTATAGTTTCTACAGAATATATCACACATAAAGTTAAAGGAATATCAGTTAGAAGATAACATTATTTAAACATGTATATAGAATTAAGAAATATGATTATTAATTATGATTATAAAAATATGAAACGAAATATTAATTTAATATTTAATCGAAGAAAAAAATCAGTTCGAAAACAGAGGAAACATTTAAATAAATTAAATTATTTTTCAACATATAATTAAATGAATGCTTACCAATATATTTTAAAGGTCGGCAAAAACGATTAGCATGGGAATGCCTCGTAAGTTTTGGCAATTGTCCGATAACTCTACCACAGCTTAACATTTTTGACCGGCCAATTTTGGCCTTATGCAATATGGAGGTGGCGCGTGTGGCCGGTTTTGTTGTCCACGCGCACGACTGAAAGCCGCTGTACAGTTTTCCGATTACCCTTAACTAACGCGGGACACTCCATTACCAAGTTAATTGAATTTCATTGAATTTGAAACATTTCATTAGAAAAATGTTATGTACCACATTAGAAACCTAAGAAAATTTCTTAAAACCAGTATTTAATAACGAATGATAGCTACGGTGACTGCGCAATGACAATCATACAAGTTCAGTTTATTCAACAGTTTCAATCATATAGGATCTATCGGCATATACTCGGATATCGATAGATAAAACCATTGAAATCATTAGTCGCATTCAACTCGTGGAGTGGGTGGATTTTAGTGGGTATGCCAAGTATTAACACGTTCAAGAGTCCTCCATGGTCCCGCGCTATCCTGTTTAACGGACTGTGTATTTGATGATGAATTAAAAAAAAAACGGAAAAAAAAAGAAAATAAATCAGGATTATTCAAAAGATACCCTGACGGTTTAGGGCGCCACAATTTGCCCGCGAGATAAGCTTCAGGACAAGAGTGATAGAAATTCAATAAATTTAATTTATTGACTATTTCTTCAGCAACAAAGAACGTTCAGGTGAGACCATTTAATACTGCGACCCAAAAGTATAACCTTCGCCAAATTCAAGGCAATTCAAGGTGGACAACAAATGACAATGAGTCACATTTTCCAAAAAAGGTTCGAGTATACCTTGAAATTTTTAAGCTGTAACGTGTTCTTGTTGTTATGAACCGTTATGGTATAGCTAAAAATTATTATCAAATATACAATTTCATAATGAAACATATTCACATTTGTTTTATTTGTTATTAAAATCATTTGTATTATTGTTCTCCCCTTTGTTTCCAAACAGATGTTTCGTAGAGGACGCTGCAGTTTCGAAACTGAATGTCTACCTAACTTTACTGTTAAACGTCAACCTAAAAAGTTGTAAATGTATAAATTATAGCTGTTCGAAACAAAAACCAATTTTTGAACATGATTTACATATAAAGTTATTTATAAATTTTAAGTAAAAATATGCAGTAAATTATAATGAACACTGCAACATTTTGATAAAACGTCAAATTAGGTAAGACATTGTTTATTATTTACGCATTTTGGTTTTCATGTGAAAGTGTTAAATATAGCTGTTTGATTGCGTTGAAATCATAAACATAATGGAGTTTAAAAAATCAGTTATCAAGTAAAACAAATAAATTCACAAATTGTGCTGCAAGGTAAATCCTATTTTGTAAATAAATCAATATACACGTAATTACGTTTGAACAAAATATAAATTACGCATTAAAATGATTTAATGTAATTTATGAAAAATTTAGTTTATCTTTTAGTATCTTTTATGCTTATAATTACATTGTTCAAGCTATAAAAGTAAATATCACTTCCACTGCTATAAACTTAGTCCTGTGCTTTATAAAATAATATTTTATGCTAGTTGAATTTGATTCAATGTTCTATGTAATATAATGGAAAATTTTATAGAGTACCATTTAAAAAACAGGAGGCTATTTAAAAGAATTAAGGAAAAAGTATTTTCTAAATGTTTATTAACATTATGTGTTGCTTATTTGACACAGATAAATTTTAGATAAAATTTAGATAATATAAGACAAATTGTTATAAATAAAAATATGCTGTCAGTTCAATCAAGTAGAAAGGGTTATTCTTATATGTATCTTGTAAATGTTCTTTTTATAGCTAAAGTTTGACCTATTTTTCTTCAGTGACTAGTGCATTCAACTACCAGCTGCTTCTGAGTACAGATCATGCTACAACAAGATATTTGAATCAAACATCGATTATGCCAGATAGGTATACTTTTTATAGATGTTATATTCTAATTTTAGTTAAATTAGTTAAACCAGTGATCACATGAATTATTACATTTTATTATTGAAATATAAATACTATTTATTAAAAAAGTGTATATCGGCAATTTTACAGGTCAATATGAATGAAATATTTCATGGAAATCAAGAATTTTATTTAAAATGATAGTTTATAGGTGATATTATTTTATTATTATTTTGTAGTAGTTTCCAAATATTAAATTTTACTTAAATAATTATAATTATCGTTTATCTTAATTAAAGCAAATTTATATGTTGTTGCGTAAAATTGTTATTAATTTATTACAATTAATTAATATAGGAATCAAAAAATGGACAATGATGAGGAACAAAAATGCAACATTAATGAACCTGGTACATCTGCACCTTTAGATTGTCAATCTAATTCTAATCCTGATATAGAGGAAGAAAATACAAAGGGGTAGATTATATATTTTATTATTTTCTTTTGTCAAGAAGTATATTTAAATTTTTTACTAATATAACTTATAATAAAATAAATGTTACATAGGCAGAAGATATCAAATTTTATGATAGGGGGTTTAGTAGGAGCATCCCCACCAAAATTTGTTACTCTTGAGGAAATTATAAAAGCTGCAAATGGCATGAAAAACATGGCATTGGCGCACGAAATTGCGGTGGACAAAAATTTTCAGTTACAGAAACTTGAACCAGATGATGGTACATTTCACAGAAAAGTAAAAGAGATTATGCATAAAGCATTTTGGAACTTATTAGCTGAACAACTAGCAGAAGATCCTCCAAATTATACACAAGCATTGGTCTTATTACAAGAAATTAAAGAGGTAATATATAATTATACGCATATTTATACATTCTTCTTATTTATCTTGCCGTTTTGCAGACATTAGATGAATTAGTGTTGCCACATCATGCGAAAATTCGAGAAAACTTAAAAGAAGTACTTGATATAGATCTGATCAAACAACAAGCAGAAAAGGGTGTTTTAGATTTTCATCATTATGCGCAATACGTAATTTCAATAATGAGTAAAGTTTGTGCACCGGTAAGAGACGAAAAGATTAGAGAACTCGGTCAAAAGACAGATGTTATTGAAATATTTCGAGGCATAATGGACGTATTACAATTAATGCGACTTGATTTAGCGAATTTCACTATCACCATGATGAGACCAAATATAGTTGCTTCTAGTATCGAATACGAGAAAGCAAAATTTGCTGAATTTTTAAAAATTAATGGCAACGGTTTGCAATACACTGAAAAATGGATATTAAGTCATTTTGATCCAACAAAAGTTACAGGCAGTTCATCTGATATTAATGCTGTACGGCAGCTTACACATTCTCTTTTAACCGAAGCATATCTTGATCTTCTAGAGTGGGATTTTAATCCAGATGCAGAAGTATGTTTTAAAGAATAGAATTTTGCATAATTTTCCTTATATTAATTGATTAGTTTGGGTAATTTTATAAATTTGATTCTTTTTTTTAAGACTTTAATGCTGGACCAAGGTCGATTATTAGAGTTACGTGATAAGACCAGCAGATTAAGCATTATAGGATCGGCAATATTACTGGTAAACAACACAGTGGGTTCACCGGTTCATGGAGTGTCGAGTTTAAAAAATGAAATTAAACAACATCTTAACATACTGTTGGATTCTGTACATTCAAATAAGTATGCACATAAAGTATGCATATGATAAAATTATCATATGTTAATTTTACGCATATATATTGTTGCTAGGGATTTGCAAACCGTAATGCCGAATGTTTTATTGCAAATTAAAACGGACTTGAAAACAACATTGCAAGAAATTGGTGCTGAACCTTTATCTCCAGAAATGGAAACGTTATTAGAAGGACAAATATTAGATCTTATTAACCCAGATCATAAAATCAGACACCTTATAAGTAGGTATTGGATGTAAATTTATAATATCAATTTAATTAATTTATTCATTTTCCATGGTTTTTCAGGCTTGAGAATTCGGCAATTTTTGCAAAAAATAATACTTTCTCAATCTGCTGCTCCCCAGCATGTACCACCAGGGCTTTCATCGCTTCAAGAAGAATTAACAGCCATAGCGGCTCAGTTTTTAATACTTATTTCCCATAACCGAAGCGTATTCGGAGAATATTATCAAGAAATTGTTACCAATGCACTTCATAAAAAAGAAATGGAGGAGAATAAAGATACAAGCGGAGTTCATACCATGGAATTATAAAAAAAAAGTTGAAATCTTTAACTGATCATTACGAGGAAAGCATGTTACGTGTTCATTAAACAGTACATTAATTAAACCATAAGTGCTGTATATACATACATATATTTTAAAACAACAATTTTTATTTGATTGCATAAGTTAAATTTTGTAACGAAACGGAAAAAGTGTATTAAAAATACATAAACAAGAATGTTATGTAGGAAAGGTTCTAATACTGACATAAATTATATACGATAGAATTAATTACTTGGGTAAAAAGACCTGAAAAAACATATATTTATAAAATATATAAATAGTAATTGATTTATTTTTAGTTATGTAAGCATTATTTCATACATACGTTAATTATAATTCAACTTTCGCTAACTAGTGTTATAATTTGTTACGACTTACTTTCTATATTTGGTGCTTTAAAACATTCTTTTTATAAAATATGATACTCAATGCAATATTGAAAACTAAGATGTAATATATACTTGTATATAAATATGAAAATTAAAACAATTTCTACTAAAAGTTGATTATATTTATAAAATGGACTAAATTTATTTTACGAGATTGTATCCGAGTGCTGCAGCCAAGCACTAAAAATACAAAAATTTGCAATAGTATCTCCTATATACAAAATGTTCGATAACAGGTGGGAGAAAATTTGAGAAGTGATTCAAAGATCAAAGCAAGGTCAAAATAAAAAAATTAAAATGTAAAGCGCCTGAAAACGGCAACCTGCACAACACCGCGCAGGGCCGCACAGGCGCAGTGATGCGCAGGGTCGCGCAGGCGCAGTGATGCGCAGTAGTGATTATTAGAAATTAATGATCAGAAATACGACCACTTGAGTATGTACTACTAAGAAGTTATTCTAAAGGAGTTCTGTTCAATTCTACAAATTTTTTGATGTCTAATAAACAATACAGCATATAAGCAATAATATTTGCAATTGTACCGTATTGTATTATTGGAAAATATGTCATTAAACCTACTTTACTTGGTACTATACCCAAAACTTTATAAAAAATGGTATAGCGGATATCAAAAGAGTTAAAAAAAAATGGTAACTTGTTAAATAGCGTTATTCTGGTGTTTAACTAATAAAGTAGCGCAGAGTGCTCTGTCAAGAGCTTAAAATGAACTCGAGATTCTTATCAGCGATATCGATGATCAGAGTGGATAAACGAAAAGCTGTCAGTAAGTGATCACAATGATTATCGAGAGAATAACAGACGTAGCACGTTTCTAAAATTGTCTCCCGTATCGTTACTAGTTCGTGCACAAATTTTCAACTACCTTTTTTTTTATTAATCATCGCCATCGCAAACTCATTTTTGCGTGAACCCAAATCAAAGAGTTTGAACAATTAATAAAGTGATCAGATAAAACTAATCTGTATACGTGGATCGTTTCCACGTTTTTTTAAACCGGATATATGCAGAGAATAATGAAGGGATAATCGGAAAATTACATTGCACTGTGACGATTCGTGCAAAAATACTGTTGGATTATTAATATTGTAATAATAGGTATTAAACATATATCTATCAATGTTGTGCAATTTTACTGTTCAAGTAAACAATTTGTTAAAAGTTCTCTTCGGCTTCTTTTTTTTTAATTTCAAACCTAGTCGATTAATATCAAATAGTGCAAAATGTATGTTTACGTATATTTTAAAATATATATGTATGTACCTATAAACTTCAACGAACGATATTATATTGATGTTCCAATTAATTAAGGAAATTTGATTATCAATTGTAACGTTGCTACTTATACAAAAGATTCACGCGTAAAATAAACATCGAGATTAATACAGGTCTGTATAGGGGGATTTATCGACCGAGAATAATACGTTAGTCAGAGTTGCACGAATCGATAATCCATCAAGTTCTTCTGGTTTTTTTGATACCACGGAATTATAAGAAAGACGTGCCTTTTCATTTGTCAATGATCTTTATCTTTCAAGTTTGGGCAAACAATGCGATACACACGTGATATCTTTCTTTTACAAAATAATTCTTATAAATATTTCAAGTTTATTGATTGAAATTGCAGTACTGTTATTTTTGATCGACGTATCAAACATATCGATACGTTTGAAGGTTTTAATTATTATTAATATTAATATTATTTTACATTTTGATAAAACAAAATTTCATTTTGATTTACAGTTCTTCAAAAAACATGATCGTAAAAAAACAGTTACTACTACTGATTTATACGTTACAAATCATCTACGTGCTCGGCGAGGACAATTTAATTGATCCGAAAGAAAATGAGACGAATAGTTCGAGGAAAATTGTATCGTTAGATCGCATCGATTATTTTACGTCTCCTAAAATGAACGATACGTACCCGAAGACGGAAAATTTGGAAACCGAATCATTTCTGTGTAATACAACAGGTATGTTTATATCTTCTTGAGATATTCATCGCAAATATGTGAAGATAAATTTGTTACTTTTTTTTATAAACAGGATTAATATTTATCATGAAAGTATTTCTACATTTCACTTCTTCTTTGTTTATAGATCATAAGACGGTACAGAATTTAACGGTTGATTTTGTGAGTACCGAATGGATACTTTTATCCTGGCAACCTCCGTGTGAAAATCCGATAAACGAATCATTCACTTATTTAATTTATGTATGCTCGAATGAAAAATGCTTTCAAACAAATGAAAAAAATACACGATATAATGCCAGTAATTTAGATCCATGTACCGAATACGAATTTACCGTAAAAGTTGCTCAGACGCATCCGGAACTGGATGGGGTTAATGTGACGGCTAAAACGAATTACAACAGTAAAGTCGCATTTATTATTTATCATATAAATTTGCTTACGCAAAATTATTGAATTTAATATTTTATATATGATTAAACTTTATTCATTATGTAAAGGCAATTTTTTTTTTTTTTTAAATTTGTTTCTACTGAATTGATCAAGTATTATAAAAGGCGCCATTTTTAAAATCTTGAAATATTATACATATGTTTTAGTTACCGAAATCGGAGACGTTCAGGATTTGTTAGTACACACGACCACTAGTACAATTAATTTAAGTTGGAGAGCACCATCGAAATATCCGGAGTGTGTACAGAATTATTTGCTTACAATATGCTCTAACAAAACCTGTGACAGTCAGTATACTATACACAAGGAATATATTGCAAAAGATTTGGTTCCATGTACAAAGTATTCTGTTATAATTAGGGCTGTTTCGTACATAGTTAAATCTGATGGGCTCAATATTACATTAAAAACAAATTCACCAAGTACGTTAATAAATACGTATTATTATATATTGATAAGTAGTTATTGTTTTTTATCTAAAAAATAATATTAACCATTTTGAATAGAATCTAGTAAACCTCGGGACCCGACCGTGGAAGCCAGTGCAACTTCATTATTTATTCATTGGCAACCACCAGAAGTGGGGTCAATGTGTATTACACACTACCGTGTAACTATTAATCCGGAAACAACAACAACTATCTCAACTGAAACAAATATAACGATAAATAATTTACGCGCGTGTACTTCTTATTCTGTTTATATTAATCCAGTAGACCAAGACAATAACGATGGAGATATGGTCGTTATAAACACAAAAACAATACCAACCGGTAATGACTTTATCAGAAATATACTTGTTATGTTACATACTTTTCTTAGCAACTGAATGTTTTATTTTTCAGTATCAAGACCACCGATATTAAATAACAAAGAGTCATTTGTTACAATGAACACTATAATGCTATCGTGGAAAATTGAAAAAGGTAATAGTAGTTGCATTTTAACATCTCTAAGAGCCCTGTGTAATTATACATCGACCGCTGGACACGGTTACGAGATTACAAATGGACAAGTTGAAGTACCTATAAATTCTGGTATTCAGGATGAATTTCTTTTTATAAATTCACTGATCAAAGAAGTTAGCCCATTCACAACATACATATGTTGGGCGTATGTTATTAACGAAGCAGGCATTAGCGAATTAAGCAAATTAACAAGTTTTACAACATTCGAAGATAGTAAGTAAATGCATTGAAATTACAGGAGGTAAACATATAAGACTTATGATTGATCGGTTCAATTTTCTAAGTCATTGTTAAAACCAAAGAAATTAATAATAAGAACCCTAAAGTTGTATAATAATTTGAAATGTTTAATATTTCAGTACCATCTTCACCTATAGCCACTGTTAGAAATGTAACGTATTCACAGTTTGAAATAGCATGGGAAACACCGGCGTATCTACCAGGAAATCTACACGAATTTGAAATTGTAGTCGAATGGGAAATATGTTTTCCTATACCTGATTGGTGTACTTTAAAACCCTCAAGGAATTCCATACATTTAAATGGATCTACGTTTAATTTTGAATATTCTTCAGCAATACCATACACAAATTATACAATAAAAATGAAAGCAAGAACAACTGCTGGTTGGGGAAACTACAGTGATAATATAGTATTTCAAACACCAGCTGGAGGTGACTGTTTATCTAAATAAAATCACAACTATTAATATTTTAATAACATCAAATTATATGCACCGTTTGTAATCTCAGTTCCAGAAATGGTTTCCAACTTCTCGTACTTAATTAAGAACAACGAACACGATACAAATACATTAGATACTATTTTAAATTGGGGTTTTCCATGTTCCGTGAATGGAATAATAGAATATTTTAATGTATTTGTAAATGGAACTAGAACCAATTATGCTCCAGACTCTTTTACAAATAAACAATATATTCCGAATACCATTAGCAAAAATGATATAATTTCAATTAATTTAAAAGAACTGAAGGCAGAATATAATTATACTTTTGAAGTATCTGTTAAAGTTAAAGGAGTTCAAGATTTTGGTGAGCCTGCAAGACACACTGTTTTGTATCCTGCTGGAAGTATGTACATGAACTCAAATATTACAAGTCAATTATACTTAATATAGTAATTATATTTAATTGTAACTATATTCAATTATAGTAAATATATAATAAAACGTATTGCACCCTACACTTGTCTTGCTAAAATCTAATTTTACCTATTAGTTATGACTTATAAAATCTTTATATATTTTAGTTCCATCTCAACCTGATGAAGATTATATTAAATCTATAACTATAGATCCATCTAAAGCACAAAGATCTACTACATCAGCTACACTTTTACTTCCTTTATTTCCTGATATAAATGGCGATGCCGTTTATTATTCTATTATAGTATCAAGAATCGAGCGTAACACTGCATCAAATACTAGATTTAATTTGACAAATCATATATGGCCAAATATATCATCATGGGCTGAAGCTATGTTAAATGATTTTACAATACCTTACCAAGCTACCAGATTATGGTGGGATCCCTATCGTAGGTGATACATTTTTATAATAAGTTTATGAATTTATCTAACAGTACATAGATTATTATATATATATTTTTTCTTACAGCTAATTATGTTGCTGATTATGGTGACATGAAAGCAGTAAAATATACTATTGGGGAAGATACAAATTGTAAAGAATTTTCTTCAAATACCAATAAGAAAGTTTATTGTAATGGACCTCTCAAACCAAATACATGGTACCATGTTAGGATGCGAGCATTTACTCATGGTGGATATGCTGATTCTACAACCTTTGTAATAAAAACCAGTTAGTACTTTATGTTTTAAAACACTCTTATTATTCTTCAACCATCATTTTGTAGTAACTTTTACCTAATTACTTTATTTGTTAAAATTTATTTATTACATTGATATATTAAATATTTTATTGCATTATAGATGCTGAAATAAATGTTGGACTTGTTACTGGAATAATTTTTGGTATTTTATTCTTTGGAATCTCAACTACAGTGATGTTGTTAGTTCGTAAATATTCACCTCAAGTGTAAGTATAACATTTTTATACCAAGTTTCTTTACAGATAGTTAATACCAGATAAGATCATAAAATATGCTTGATAGAAGCATGAAAAATAAAAATCTATTTTTTAGAATAATACGGCGATTTTTACATCCCGATATGTCTGGATCACCAGTTCCTGCACCATTTTCAAAAAAAAAATTTATGGCCCGTTGCCAACAACTCATTGATAATCCTGGAAAATTAAGCAATGAGTTTCAATTGCTACAAACTCTCAGTGTTGACTTACAAATGCCAACTAATACTGCGTGTTTACAAGCGAATAAAAAGAAAAATAGATATTCTGATATACTTCCATGTAAATACCTACAATTTTGTAAAAAAGATATGGAAATATACTCATGCTTTACTAAGCCCATTTTACATTTTCAGATGATTTTTCGAGAGTAAAATTAGAAGTCATTGATAATGATCCCAATACTGATTACATTAATGCATCCTTTATCAAAGTAAGTAAACAAAACATTATTATAAGTGTTTGCTTAAATTTATATCAATTTCACATGCATTATTTTTAGGGATACAGCGGAGAAGATGAATACATAGCTTGTCAAGGTCCAAAAGAAGAAACTACATTTGATTTTTGGAGAATGATAGAGCAATATAATGTCAATATAATAGTTATGTTGACTGAATTAATTGAAAAAGGCAAAGTAAGATTTTTTTTAATACATATCATTAAAATTATAATTGAATAATAAAAATATTATTTCATAGGAAAAATGTTATCAATATTTTCCAATAATTAAAGAAACATTTAAATATGAAAATATGACTATAAGATGTACAAGTGAGTTAGAATATAGGTCTTACACACAAAGAACACTAGTCTTACAAAAGGTATCATATATATGTATATATAGATTATAACACTTATAATAATGCCCATTATTTCATTATACTTTAACTATAAACATATTATAGGAAAACAAAAAAAGAAATATAACACATTTACATTTTAAAGAATGGCCAGACCATGATGTTCCAGAAGGTTTTGACTCGATGATTAATTTTTGTCAAATTGTACGTCGTAATGTTTTAGCTAACAAAGGATATATTGTAGTTCACTGCAGGTGAAAATACAGTAAATTTTAATGTGACATTATAAGCATCCTACAGAGATATTGGTCTGTAATAAATTTTATTTCTTTATTCTGTTAATACAGTGCAGGAATTGGTAGAACTGGTACTTTAATAGCAATAGATATACTTTTACAACATATTCGAGATAATAGAAAATTAGATGTATTTGGAACAGTATATAGATTACGGCGCCATAGAATTAATATGGTACAGAAAGAAGTAAGAAAGTTAAAGATACTTTATATTCATATTTATATAAGTTATATTTTATTTACAATTTTTCATTAAATTTCAGAGTCAATATGCTTACATATATAATTGCATAAAACAAGTGTTAAAAAATCCCTACTGTTTAAAAACTTGTAAGTTTATTGTACCTGGTACTAAAAAAGATTGTTTAACATTCTTTTAAGTATAATTACTAAAATGATCATTTTTCAGATAAACCACCACCTATGGATCCATTTCATCAAGGTACTTCCAAAAAGAAATAAGACTGGTACCAAATTCAAATATAAAACTAGTCAGTAGCTTTGAGATGTATAATATAAAGATATGTAACAAAAAGTTTATATTATATGATTCAAAAAAAATTATATGCAATGTACATTACACAATTCCATTTATAAGTCCTTTTTTTTTATTTAGCAATATAAACTTAGTTATCACATATTCTCCCCAAGTTACAAACACATCAATACAAAATAATTATTTTTTATAAAATTCTATTAATAAAATAAATTTAATATCTATATTTTGTAGAATAATCTTTAGGTGAAACAACTAAACCCCTACCTTTTCTGGCACCTCTATAGACTGTTTCAATTATATCGATCATTTCCTGTTTATCTTCTAGTGTCCAGTTTATTTTGTTATTATTTCCAGTTCCCAAGTCAATCATTATATGTTTATTTCTAAAGAAGAACATGACTGTGCAAGGGTCATATAACTCATACCTAGAACAATTAAATTGACATATTCTTAAAACAATTTAAAACATTGTACTCTGCAATAAAAAAAAATATAACAATTAAGAAAACTTTCCTATTTTCCTAGCAAAATTATTTGAAGTAACATTAAGTTTGTTAAACTTACATTTTGTTAAAGTCTGGTACTTGCGTAATATCAACTAAATAAATAACAGCAAAGTTTTTTACTTTTTCAGCAATATTATAAAGAACTTCATCCATTTTCATACACATTGGGTCCCAGTCATGACCAAATCTAATAACCTAAAATGACACCATATATAAATGCTTATTAAAGATAAATATCGACGTTATGAAACATTCAAGAAAATTCGAAACATAAATTTAGCTTCAAACTTACAACTACTCTATCTTCTTCCGACAAAATTGCTTGATCTACTTGCCACCCATTGTGAAGATGTGACAGCATATAAGACATTGTGTTTGTTGTATATTAAAATCACGTTAGAAAAAAAATTAAACAATTTTATTTAATACAATTACTCTCTTCTTTAACTTCGATTGAAACACTTCTTTTATAACGTCAGGTAATCACTGTCTAATCACTAACACATTTATATATGTATATATTTAATTAGCAAAATTATTTCAAAATGATAAGTTATTTGTATAATATTTATTACACGATTAAATACATATATAACTATAAATTATAAATTACAATTTTTCTTATTTTCGTTTCATTCAAAACAATCAACACTATTACTGCGCCAATGTGTTTTGGTTTATAGTGCCCCCTAGTGCCAGAATCAAAATTTAATAAAAAATTACTAGTTATCAAATGTCTCTAGATAGTACATACCTATTTGTTTTTATAAATATTTTTATTTCATATTATATCGTATTCTCTTTTAGTTAATTAATCAATTAATTATAGTATTATTTATAATTTATTCGATTTTCTACCAAAATTTCATGCATTTATTTGAGTAATAAAAACAAGTATTGTATATTAGAAATATATAACTTTTTTAATTAAGTCCTGTTTTGTTTTGAAAAGCTTCATTTTAAATGTTTGAAACAATAAATGTTTTGTTAACAATGTAAACAAAGTTGATATATGTATTATATAGGTATTCACATGTTGAATTTGTTTCTTGGTTCGCACACAACTGATAGGAAGTGATACAAAGAAATGTCAACGTGTAATGTAATTTACATTTTTTATCTATACCGCTGCTCTTTCTTATAAAAATGCAAAGAAAGGTACAGTAAAAATACATACAAAAAAAGAATAAAATTTAGAAAAAACAAAATCATGGCAACGAAATAATAATAATAATTAAATATTTTGATTTGTGATATTTTATATACATTAGCATTTATTGTATACACGTATGTTCATATTTATAAAATAATAATATGTTATAAATTGTTAACGATATTATCAAATATTTATACAAAATAAATTTATTCGAAATTTGAAATTTTTCGTTTGACAACAATATTATAATTGTGTTGTATATTAACTTATGTGTTAAATTTCTGATTTACATTATATATTATATGAAATCTTTGATTGCAAATGATTTGTCAATTTAAAATTATGTTAAACATATGTTTTACATTTTGTTAACTATTAAATTATATCACATTAATATTTCATATATTTTAAATATTATCAATAAAACCTTTATTTTTCAGATAAGATGATTCGGTAGGATCTATTATTAATAATTTGTGTGTACAAAAACTATAGTTATGAATAAACCACAGCAACGTAAATATATTTTATGTTTATCATTAAAAATATTCTGCTTAATAATTTACTTAATACATTTTTGTTCATTTATTTTTTAGGAAACAATCAAGCTTTAAAATATATTAGTTTAATTACCCTTACTCTACAAAATGCCATAGTTGGACTTAGTATGCGATATGCACGTACAAGGTCAGGAGACATGTTTCTTTCATCAACTGGTATATACTTTATATTTTTGTAAATTAACATATTTTTCTATATGTAGTCATTATTTTCTAGTAATAATTATTTTTTTCAGCTGTTGTTATGGCAGAGGTTGTTAAGCTTATAACATGTTTAATATTGGTTCTTCTAGAAGAAGGAAACTTGCAAAAATTTTTTTATTCTTTAGAATCATCAATCATTAAACAACCTATTGATACTTTAAAAGTATGCGTGCCATCGCTTCTGTATATTATACAAAACAACCTTTTATATGTATCAGCATCTAATTTAGATGCAGCAACTTATCAGGTATAAGTAATAGATTTTATATTTCTATTCTTCTCTATTAATGGTATTCATTATTTTCATATGTATTATTTTTCAGGTGACATACCAACTAAAAATTTTAACAACAGCTTTTTTTGCTGTAGTGATACTGAAAAGGTCGTTAAGAAATACTCAGTGGGGAGCTTTAGTATTATTAATAATAGGAGTGGTGCTGGTACAACTAGCCCAAAGCTCAGGAACTACTTTACCGTCCGGTATAGAACAAAATCATTTAATTGGATTTTCAGCTGCTTTAAGTGCGTGCTTTTTATCGGGTTTTGCAGGGATATACTTTGAAAAAATATTAAAAGACTCAAATAAATCTGTATGGATGAGAAATGTACAGTTAAGTCTTCTGTCATTACCTTTTGGATTAATGACATGTTTCATAAATGATGGTGCAACACTGAAGAAACAAGGTTTTTTCTTTGGTTACGATTTGTTTGTTTATTATTTAGTTGTACTTCAAGCAGGTGGAGGTCTTATCGTTGCCATGGTAGTTAAATATGCTGATAATATACTTAAAGGTTTTGCTACATCTTTAGCTATTATAATTTCTTGTATAGCATCTATATATCTTTTTGATTTCAAGTTAACTTTACAGTTTTCTTTAGGTGCCGTTTTAGTAATATGTTCGATTTTTATGTACGGATATCAGCCAAAATCACCGTTTACAGATACACATTCTCCTACCAATAAGGTTTGATGTAAACTAACAGAGATTTATCTTTAAGATAGACGTGATACTACTGTATACAGACAATTTTTTAACATACTTATTTGACAATAATTTAATATAATTTCCATGTAAAATAGTTACTACCCGGTATGTACATCATATCACTTGCTTTATCAGTATTTCGTTATATTGCCTGCACAAAAATTTGAGTCTGTTTCATAACATACATAATAGCAGCGTAATACTGTGATGGCTCATGTTTCGAAATCTCAAACAATAATCTATTAATAGATCATCTATTATTATCATGAATGTATTATACATACATCTGAGTAAATATATATGTGATTAATATGAAAGTTAATTAAAAAGTATTTGAACACATTTTTACATTAAATTAACAAAGTATATATGTTAATATGTAAAAATATTCATAGTAGAATATATTGTGAACATTAAAGTACGTTTATATCAAAATACATATAAATAATACAATTTTGTTTCAACTTATATACATATATATATTTTTATACAATCTTACTCTTTTATTGTATATATACATAAGTATATGCATATAGTTCAAATTGTACTTAATTTTCAAAATATATCTTTCCATTTATATTATACTTAAATTTTAATAAATACATTTAAATGTATGCATGTTTACTATTTAAAAAATTCATTTATATTAATATATTTATAATAAGTAAAGGGTAAACACAAAATAATTTTTCTTAATTTCAGAATGACATTAAACCCTAAAATAAAATTTTGATTTTGGATAATGGGTACTGTGCAATATAGTCTTCCTTTGGTTAAAGGACGCTACAAAGGAACGGTCTCCCACCATCTGCCCGGTTTGCTCTTGTTCTTTACATTCAAAAGAAGAGGTGGGTAATCTTCTACTGTCATGCGTTCAACTTCCAGGACCGAAAGTGTGTGGTGGGAGATGTTTCTCTACACACTTCCCCTTAACCGAAGGAAACCAATGTCTCATGAGATTATTTAACAATTACAAACAAAATAACATGATCGATTTAAAGAAATTCATATTGCTGTATGATAAAATTTAATATTAAATAAATGAATGTTTATATATAATTAAAAAGTATGTAACAATCAAAATTTATGGAAAGTAGTTTACGCTGAAATCGTCGAATAATTGTTTCGATAAAAGAAACAAAAAACGGTGTTACAGAAATTATGTAATAAATGGTAGTACTGGAGGGAAATGAGACGATAATTTCATATAAGTTGGTAATCCTGTAAAATATCGTGAGTGCTGATCGTTCCAGAATAAGAAGCAGGAATTGCGATCTACGGCCGGTATATAAAAGTATCGATAACAATGAGTGAGCCTCAATCGAAGAAAGTCAAGATGACGAGCTCTTTAGCACAGTTAAAAGAAATCACAACAATTGTCGCCGACACCGGTGACTTTCAAGGTAAGTGTTGTAAATACAAATTTCTAATGAACAGTTTCAGTGTTCGTATAGATACGATCAAAGGTGAAGGTGACTGTCAGAAAGCGTGGCAAGAAACCGCTAATGGCGCACTCTTACTTTGTTGTTTGAAATGTTAAAAGTTATTTATTTAAAAAAAATATTTGTCCGCATCTATTTATTTGATAAAATTTTTATGTTGTAAATACATATACACACGCGTAAATTCAACCATCAATGTTCATTAAAGATATAATCCCGGTTTGAATTTAGATTACATTATGTGATACTGGAGGGGGAAATTACAAAATCTTCCGATCTTGCGATTGCGTTTTTACCACTTTTATAATAATTCTATTTTCATTTACGGAAAGTTTTCGAAAAAAAAATGATTTCACAATTAGTATTTTGTATTATTTGAAATTTTTTTTATATAATTATAAATATTTAGATAACAAAAGTTTAATGATGTGCGTATATTTTATGAAAATTTATTTAAATTTTAATACTTCGCTTATTTGAAGACGAAAAAATACGTTATTTACGAATATTACTAATTTGTTATTATTTAACAAATATTTACTAAGAAATATGTAAATATTACACTACAGTTTTTTTTTCTATATGTTTATATACTATTTCGCATAATTATTATAGTAGTTAAATGAAAAAATTTTTTTTCGTTTATCATGTAATATAATCATAAGTAATATAAATATCATAAGTATGCTTTGACCTATAGATGTCACAGATGACCCTTGAAATACATATAAATATGTTACAGTAAATTTAGTACGTATTAATACTAATCAGTAAATTTAATTAATTATATATAAACTTATGTTATTCGTTTTAATGGATAATTTAAATATTAATAAATTAACATTATTGTTTGAAGTATCTCTTAGTTAAACAATTTAATTTTAATTGTTTTCAGCTATGGAACAGTTTAAACCCATAGATGCAACTACAAATCCTTCTTTAATTCTTGCTGCAGCCAATCAAAAAAAATATGCTCATTTATTAGATAAAGCGGTGCAATATGGAAAAAAATTTGGATCGTAAGTATATTTGATATTTTTCAATATCAAAAGTATAATTTACATTTAAAGCCTCATTATTATTTACATTGATCTTCTTAATGAATTCTTTATCTTTTTATATGGGCATCAGTCATATTACATTATAGAGAAACTGCACTTTTAATACCCTTAATATTTCATTTTTGTCAATGTTAAAGAAAAAGTATACATTTTAAAATGAAATTACAAAAATTATACAATTATTTCCACTTGTAAACTGTATTTCAATGTATAGAGGTAGATACGTAGATGTAGAATTTTTACCATAGTTAAAATTAATTTAAGATATTGTAGGTATTATACAGAAAAAAATGATATTTTGCGAATAAAATATATGTACATATCAAAAAATGTCCAGGGATGAAAACAAACCTAACTAATAATGTAGAACAATTCTATCAAGATTAGTATTATAAATGGCAGTATGTTAAGATTTATAAAAAGAAAAATGAAAAGAAGATTATGAAGCAGAATGTATGAAAAGAAAAATAATTCTGTTCAAAGTGGTAATAGCGGTAATAATGAAATGAATGTAATAACATTGTTTTAAATCATTTCTTAAGTGAAATAAATTAAACATGAATCGATTTATTTGTTTCAGCACTCTAGCAGAACAAATTGAAGCAGCTTTAGATATCACATGTGTCCTTTTTGGTAAAGAAATTCTAAATATCATACCAGGTAGAGTTTCGACGGAAGTGGATGCTAGATTGTCTTTCAATAAAGAAGCTAGCATTGAAAAAGCAAAACGACTAATTGCTTTATACGAAGAACTTGGTGTAAATAAAGATCGTGTATTGATTAAGCTGGCTTCTACTTGGGAAGGAATTCAAGCAGCAAAGTAAGTTATATATATATATTTCTTTGTAGGCAATAAAATGTTTAAAACAATAAAAGAAAAAGATGTAAATTCATGCCTACGAAATATATTTTGATAGAGAATTGGAAGAAAAGTATGGAATTCACTGCAATTTGACATTGCTGTTTTCTTTTGCACAAGCAGTCGCGTGTGCAGAAGCAGGTGTGACTCTTATATCCCCATTCGTTGGCAGAATTTTAGATTGGTAAGATATTAAATAATTTAAATTATAATATAAAGTATCGTTTATAATAGAATATTTATCATTTGCAAAGCTTGACAAAGTATAATATATTTATAATATAGAAGTAATTTTTTAGGTATGTATCAAATACAGATAAAAAGTCTTATGAACCCAAAGAAGACCCAGGTGTTGTGTCTGTTACGAAAATTTATAATTATTATAAAAAGTTTGGATATAAAACCGTTGTTATGGGTGCTTCATTTAGAAACGTTGGTAAGTACTAAATGTTATAAACATTTGAAAAGAAAATTGTTATGGTACTAAAGTTATATAATTTTTATGTTAAGGTGAAATTAGGGAATTGGCTGGTTGTGATTTCTTGACTATAAGTCCCAAATTATTGGAAGAATTAGAAAAAAGTAATGAACCGATTCGCAAGGTACTTGCACCAGAATTAGCGAAAAAAAGTGATCTTCAAAAGATCAGTTTAAACGAAGCCAAATTTAGGTGGCTTCTAAATGAAGATCAAATGGCAACAGATAAATTAAGCGATGGTATTCGCAAATTTGCGGTAGATGTACGCAAATTGGAAAAATTATTACAAGAAAAAATACAATCTTAAATGTAAGCAAAACATCTCTGAATGTATTTTTGTAATAAATATTTTATTTTAAACAATAATATTAAAAATAATTATTTTAAGCAACGAAGTTTCATTGTATGATATATATCACTTTGTATATGTACAAAGTGTGAACAGTGTACAAAATTTATATAGAAATTATAACATTTGTAGTATTAAATAAAATTGGGATTTCTGAGGGAAACATAAAGTCTACTTATATTCTTTTTCTGTAGAATATATACCAATCTTTTTAGTGACAATTGGTTGGATATTAATTCCCTCTAATAATATTTTAGAATCATTTTCCTCCGTATCAATAATAAATTTTATATTCCTAAATAAAATAATATATCATTTATTTACCACCTCCTATGCAACGGTAATATAGTATAATACCTTATAAGGAGACTTCTTTTTTATTCACTATATATCAAGGTGCATTACAAAATGAGTTGAGCTATTATATAATGTAACGTAACACATTCAAACCATCATCTATTTTTCATATAATTACTTTTTAACGATTGAATCACGAAATCTAAGTTGGCATAATAAATTTTTTAGCTCGATTTGACGCGTTGAAAAATAAAACGGAAAAACGAATTTAACTCACGAAGTAAAAACTTTATTCGATAGATCACGAACGAATGTATATTCTATATTATGTAGATTAAATAAAATGCATAATGTGTACATACAAGAATTATAAATAAAATTTTGTAATAAATTGAAGAACAGTTTTAAAAGTAGGTATACGAAACAAATTTGAATAATCCTCGCGATAGTTTTCGATTAATCGAACTTAAGAATTCATTTCGATTAATCGAAATGATAAAATAACATTTATTGCTTTAGCTGTTACTAGGTGCACATTTTGTTCTCGAGTGTTTTTAAATAAATACAGTAAATAATTTATAATATATTGTAAAACATAACAAAATGCCAAAGAAAAAAACAGGACAAAGAAGAAAAGCTGAGAAACAAAAGTTAAGGCAAAAAGAAATTAGAGCAGCTAAGGATCAAATAAATTTAGCTAAATTTCCATGCAATGCAGTAATGGCAAGTAGTTACATACAATAAATTTCTAACATATTAATACATTTGTATATTTTATCTTATTTCCTAATTTATTTATATTTTTATAAATCTGTCGCAAAGGAATGTGACAAGTGTGGCAAGAAACAAAAAAGTAGAGCTTTTTGTTATTTTTGTCAAAATGTGCAACGTTTACCTATGTGTGCTCATTGTGGAAAAATAAAATGTATGTTAAAAACTGGAGATTGTGTGGTTCGTCATCCTGGTATATTTACTACTGGCTTAGGTATGGTGGTAAGTAAATGTATTTTATATACAGAAGAAAATGTTCTAAACATCATAATTATAAATGTTTAAATTGTAAACAGGGAGCTATATGTGATCATTGCGAAGCATGGGTTTGTCATGGAAGACGTTGTCTTACTACCCATGCATGTATATGCCCATTAATGGATGCGGTCTGTCAGGAATGCGAGAGGGGTGTATGGGATCATGGTGGTAGGATATTTCGATGTTCATTTTGTGATTGTTTTCTTTGTGAAGATGATCAATTTGAACATCAAGCATCGTGCCAAGTCTTAGAAGCAGAAAATTTTAAATGTAAGAATATAAAAAATGTGTTATATATTTGTTTAATATTAATATTTTGATAATTTCTTTTTTTTGTTATGAATAACTGATATTCTTAGGCCAATCCTGCAACCGTTTGGGGCAATATTCTTGCTTGAGGTGTAAAACATGTTATTGTGAAGATCATGTTAGAAGAAAAGGGTTTAAATATGACAAGAACAAACCTATACCTTGTCCTAAATGTGGCTTTGAAACATCTCAAACTAAAGATCTTAGCATGTCGAGTAAGTAATATTTAATTTTAGATTAATTATTTCATTGTAGTTTAATTTTTAAGTAATTATTTATATAAGCATATTTTATTTTATTGCAGCAAGAAGTCATAAATTTGGTAGGCAAAATCAAAGTGGAATGTATGAATCCGATGATGAAAGTGGATATAGCTGTTATGGTAAAAAAATTAATTGTTTAAACATTTTAGAAGTTGTTATATATGTATATATATATATATATTGTTGTTGTTATTATTATTTATTACAGGAAATCAATCTCAGTATCATGTTTCCGAAAATTATACTGGTTCTGATCAAGAAAATGAAGATGAAGAGGAGGATGATTACGACGGTGATGAGGACGAAGACGATGATGAAGATGATGAACAGGAAGTAGAAAATGAGTCATCAAGCGAAAACGAAGAAAATGAAAACAATACATTACCTAAATGTAATCATTAATAAAAGGAATCTACGAACAACAGAATATTTAAATTTTCATTTGTTATGTTTTTATATAATAAATAACATCTTCTTTCAATTTTTCATAAATTATAATTCGATGCATTTATACCTTACATGCATAAAATAAATTTTACTATTATATGTGTAGAACAAACATAACTAGGGATAGAAAAAACAATGATCTAACATTTAATCACGACACATGAAAATAATGTTACATTTATTATACATTGACTTTATGTAGAATAATTAAAAACTTTATAAAACAACGAATATAAATGTATCACATATGCAAATGTATGTTATACACGTAATGAGGTATATTCAGATGGAAATGCAAACGTATGAGAACCAAGGGCATTGACGCTTGGTAAAATTCCAGCGTTCGGTATAATGTTCCAAGATAACGTTAACGTTACATTTTTGTTTCCCCTAAAAGAATAGGTAAAAATTAATTACATTTACTTTATTTAACAGCATTTGTATGCTTCCATTATTACTTATTTCAAATTACCTTAAGCCATTACCATCATCCCAGAAATAATACTTTGTGTATATATTTTTAAAGTCAAGTACAGCATTATCTCCACGAAGTACTATTTTATCCCATAATACAACCTGAAGTAAGAAATATTTTATTCTTTAACATTAAATGCTAAAATCTATATTGCCATTACATGTTATACATTATTATATACAAACCTGATTAAAATCATTATTTTCTGTTTGATATTCAGCTGTGAGATATAAAAATAGCTGTTTAACATTCCAATTGAACAACGGGGTTAGATGTATATTTATGTAAGGAAATTATATATACTATGGTTAGCTTAGTTTTTAGGAAGTTTTTACTTCCTCATAATTAGATACATATAATATTTTCATATAATTTGTATAAAAAATATGTGAATGTAGAACATCTTTAATCAATACAAATTAGATTTAAAAATAAATGAAAATATTTTATACGAGTAATGCTTCAAATATATAAAATATGCTTGCAAATTTTTAAATTAATTTAAAAAAATTAAAAAGGATATCAGTTTGTAAGTCGAATGTTAAATATCCCAGATCATTCTTTTCTCTTGAAGCACTGTAATCTGGTACATTTTTTCTGTGAAAGAAAATATTATTAATTATTAAACATGTTATTAAGTATTTAAACTATATTTATTGTAATAGCTATAATATAATGATATAAATAATGATCTTAATCAATGTTTTTTCCATTATATATTTGTATACAAAGATTTCTTTATTAAGATAATTTCAAAGGACTTTTCTTTTGGGGCATAGACAGTACCTAAAAACAAACATATTTAGTCTGAAATTTCTGAATGCAACAATAAAAAAATAAAACAATAAGTAATTAACCTATGTCTGAAAATTGTAAATTAACAAATTCGATTTTATGAAAACATATAATAACAATGTAATTAAATAAATGAATCATACTTACACAGCTACTATAACAGTATTTAATGTTGCATTTGCTCTATAATCAATAAATACGGTAGATAGAAAACAACAAAACGTTAGACACGCTGCAACACTCAATGTATATGCTAAAATAGCATTACCACGCGTAAAAACTGTATGCATTATTATGTTTTAATACAGATAATACACAGGTAAAAATACGAATAATGCATCAAAATATCCTAACCAAAATCATCATCACCTCAATCACAGTTTTCAACGTCAGCAATTCGGATTCGGCACGAATGATTACACCGCTGGTGTTCAAAAATAAGCCGAATATTATACACAATGTGTTCATAAATAAATTTAACTACACAGTTGGCGGTATATTTAAATTATATAAATGCCCTGAATTTATTTATATTTCTTATAGAGGAAAGAATAAAATGAATTTTAATTATTGTATGCTGGATGCCACAAACGTCGTAAGAGCCACAAAGTAAGAATACCCTTACATCGTTCGTTTTACCCTTGATTACGAAATATGTAGAACCGATCAGAGCCAGATGCGCAGAATAAACGAAAACTCGTCGTGGAAATGAAATAAGTATATGTATGCATATATATGTATACATAATTTCAGTTTATGTTAGTTTATTTTTTCATCCGTAGCAACTTCAAGGAAGTGTAGATTAGTATACGATGGTATACGAAGATGTTTATGTAGAATAAGTGGTATATTGTTTGCGAAAAATAAGTAATTTGTCTTAAGAAATACATTAAATGCTTTGGATATGTCGCATTTGGTAAATATACAAACGTTAATAAAATTTTATACCTTTAAATTATCAATTTTAGTTTATCGTATATTATGAAAAAGGACAAGATTCGTTTCATAAAATTCTCCCGAATTGTTTGTTTTTAACATTAACTTATACTTTTTCAAATTTTAGTAATGTTATGGCGTTTACTTTCTATGCATAAATTATCTGTTAATCTGTTATTTCAGAGTAAAAAAGAATGGGTTGTGTCAATAGTCGGACAGATATTAATGATTTACATCCAAATATTTTTCAAGTGATGAACGTAGATGATTCAGGTAATTTAATTACACCTGGACGTTTAGAAGTTACAGAAAGTGACATAGTACTTTATCAACGTGGTAAACAGCCTATTAAGTGGCCATTGCGGTGTTTGCGTCGATATGGCTATGATGCAGAAATCTTCAGTTTTGAATCAGGTAGAAGATGTTCTACTGGACCAGGCATTTATGCTTTTAAATGCCGTAGAGCTGCACATTTATTTAATCTTGTGCAAACAAATATTCAGGTTTGTATTCTTATTTAAATAAAATATGATAGTCTCATTTTAAGACATATTGTAATAAATGATTAATATTTTATTAGAAAATGTAAACTTTTATAAATAAGTTATATTTTAAATAATATATGCTTCCAGGTTTGTAACAATAGCGGAGATGATACAATATCCAGAGAACTTCCAGTTGCTTCTCATCCTGGTCAAACAGTAACACGAGTGACAGTACCGGTTGAGCCTAATTATTTGGATCCAATACTAAGTAGGACTAATAATCGTACGGGTTCCAGATTTGCTCATAACCAACAAAATGGAGTTGGAAGATTAGATAGCATAGGAAGTAGCACTGGTCTTATATCGCCGCAAGGAAATATAAGTTCCCCTTCATCACCACCTGTGCTACCACCACCACCTCCACCACTCCCTCAACCACATCCGTCCTCGCTTTATGTTAACGAAGAAGTATTGTCTTCTTTACCATTAGAAATGGAGCATAATAATAATAAAAGCCTTAGAAGAGCAATACAAAGGTACTTTACATCCTAATTGTTTTTTATTATCGGTATTACTTAATTATATTAATAACTTTTTTACGCTTTTTTTTTCAGATCTTGTACAGTCAGTAATTCTATATCTAGTAGCGGTTCAGTATCGTTGGAACAATCATCTATCCATAAAAGTTCAGAAGTCACTTCACAGACAAAATCACCCCTTTCGGTAGCACCTTATATGAATGTAGATATTAATAGTGATATTAGTTCACTTTCTCCAACTCATAGCATTTCTGAAGCAACGCAATTTAAGAAAGACAAAAATGTAAACAATGAATGTGGACACGCCTATATGAATATAAGTCCTGGTCAAGAAAAAAGCGAATCTTTGAGTGGTAGACAACGACCTTCACCATTGCCATGCATTCAATCGGAAATAGAAGAAGGAGTAAGACATTGTTACGCTAATCTAGAACCAAGTGAAATCGAAAGCTTAAGGAAAAGATTTTCCGGGGTATCTGTAGCAGAAAAATCGCCTTTGCCTCCATCAACGCCTACAGGTGGTCCAATTAGGGAAGTAAATTATGCTGTATTAGATTTGGATACAAAGGATGTACCAACTACTTCACCGTTAGATGGTTCTTCAACTTTTACTGCATCCCCTCCAGAATCTCCAAATAAGTTACAAAAGGGATATGCAACGATAGATTTTAATAAAACAGCTGCTCTTTCTCATTCGGTTAATCCGAACCTTGTGAACGATAACGAAGGTTCAAGAAAAACGCGTCACAATTCTACAATTAGTGATTTAGCAGCTTCTGGTAGACGTAGTTCATCTGTAAGTGAATGATCAATTGTTTATTTCATGACTGTGCCTACGTAAGAAATATTAATAGCATTTTATAGGAAGTAACAAGGTTTTACTTGTATATTACAATTTAAACTTAAATTTAATAATATAAAACCAAAGAACAGACATTTAATTTATATATTTTTTTTGTAATATTGATCAAGCCTGATAAAATGTCAGTGTTATATAAAAATGTAATGTTAACCCTTAATTACCATGGCTTAGAAATATAAACATATAAAATACAAGATGTATTTTACATTGGTTTTTAACTTGTAAGTAGCATTTTTTTACCATTTTTAATTTTATCATTTTTTACGTATTCGTTAAAATATTTTTTATATTAAAAGATAATAAACAGTTATTTGAATAACGTATACATTTACACCTGATCCTACCATGGTATTTAAGGGTTAAATAACTCTTTATTTTTCATGAATTTTCTTACGTTTTATCGTTAATATAATAGCTCTTAGTTTAATATTTTATAAAATTTTATGATGTAGTTACTACATCACAGTATTTTTAAAAAGTAAGTCTTTTTTCAAAGTGCAGTTAGAATGCACAAAAGAAACATCTTTTTTATACGATATACAAATATGTTTATAGAAAATGATAGGTAAAATGACTTTTTACATTAAATATTAAGGAGGAATTGGAAGCTAAAGTGCCCTAGTTTTTCCTCTATCGTAGGAATTGATGAGGCTCAAATAGTCTAACTGAAGTAAGAGCATAAAGGAATATGATGTTGTAACATAAAAAAAGATGGTGATGATATACATACATACTACATATACAGTTAAATGACTATTTTTAAAGTAGTTATTTCAAATACAATTATGGCTATAAAATCGTAAATTTGGAGTGATTTTAAATAAATGGTAAATATAAATATAGAATATGTATTTAGATATGTATATACATGCATATATATGGACGTATAATTTTATGCTTTTTAATAAAAAATTTGCTATTTTAATGGAATATCGTTGCATCGTGTCTTTAGCTCGAATATATGTTATAATTATTTACTTTATATTTACATTAAACAATACATATACTTTAGACTTGACCAAAATATGTCTTATGTACAATTTAAAAAGAGACTTTAAATTATAGCAACAAGATATATTTACAATATGTGTTATGTAATAAATTATACATATATCTCTGTTTGGATAGATATAATCTTTAGAATTACTTCTTGTTAAGAAGAACGATGTGCAAAACTACTTTTTATTTGCACAAATAATTTTATTAAATCAAAGTAGTAAATGTTTATTTAAAACTATTTTGCACGTATTTTTAAAGTATCGGTACTATTTTACTAAAAACAATCGATTCAACGAATAATATTGCATCGATGATTTTATTTTTAAATACTATATCAATTGAGGCAATCTTTTCTTCCAATAGCTCCTAAAATGTTTATAAAGTGATAAATTTATAACAGATAAAAATCTTAGGTTTTTTTTGTAAATACAAAATATTTCTTTATTGGAAATATATTATAAATCAGTAAACACATTTATGCAATATTTTGCACATTTAAGATTTTATAAGAATATTTAGTGATTATTAAATATTAATAATTAATAATGATTGAATTAAACAAATTAATATTTTAAGATTTTGTTTAAATTAGGGATTTAATTTACATAAAATTTTATGTAAATGAAAGTGTATAAAAGAAATTGATATTGTATTTTAGATTAATAAGTTTAATTCACAAATAGATGAAATTTTATATTGTAATATAGATTTAATTAACTTCATATAAAATTATGTTTAAGAATTTAATTCAAATAAAATTTTATATGAATAGAAATATGAAAAAGATCAATTTATGATATTTCTTTTTAATCAGTGAGCTTAAATTTAAAATTGATTCATATAAGATTGTATTTAAATTATGTGAATTTGAATATCCTCCAAACAATGACTATTACTGGCAATTTTCAGTTTCGTTCATGAATATTTTAAACACTTGCGATTGTAAATTAAAGCATTTATTTGTAGTGTATTTATTTTTCGAGATTTTATATATTTAATGCTTTAAATTTGCACATCACCGCTCCGTTTTTTTTTTTTTAGATTAGATTGTAAATTAAAGTGTTGCAATGGTTTAATTTGGGCTGAAAACAAGAGTTTTGCGGTTCTGCTCTGCTAAGGGTGCTAGCGGATCAAGCTTAATCTGTGAAACTGAGATTAATTATTTTTAAAGATTATTAACTGTGTATAGATTTACTTACTAAAAATTCATTTAAACTAAATGCGTATTAAAATATTAAAAATAGGTAATACATGAAAGAAATATGAGATATAGTACAGAAAGCTTGTAGTAATGAATATCATTTTTTATTTTTTTTTTCTTCGCGTTGAAAAAGATTTATAAACATAAAATGAAAATCTTCACGAAATCATTTTTGATGGTAGTACAGGCTTGAAAATACTTCTCCTCTTCTCCGTACAATTTCCTCTTTCTCCCTTTACTACTAAATGATATTTAACAAATGTCCTGTTTTAAAAATTTTTTTCACGATTTCCCACCAAAACCACCCATTAAGTTTCCAAGTCCACCCGCTGCACCTTGTTGAAGTTGTTTCATTATATTTTGCAATCCTGGCATGCCACCTAAAAAATAAAGGAAAACGAATGGACGAATGGATTACATTATGTTAATGTTATTATTATTAGTACATTCAATGCCCGATCACGCGACATCGCGTGCCCAACCCTCCGGGTTTAAACGTTATGGCATAAAATCCAAAATTTACAACAATAATTTTTAAAATAATAAAATAATACTTACCCATTTGATGTAGAACTCTGGGATCCATCATTTTTGCCATTTGATGATTTAATTTTGCCATTTGCGTCGAGTTTACGTTCTTAGACATGTCTCCAGCTTTGAATAATCCTTTAATGCCGCCCATTTTCTTTACTACAGCTGCGAATTTCGTGTACTGCGTAATTAAATCTTTCACTTCTTTTTCGGTCACTCCAGATCCTTGTGCTACTCTTACTATTCTGCCTGGTTGTTTACTGAATAATTTTGCACCATCTCTGTTGTCTAATTCTAAAAAAAGGAATAATCAATTTAACACACTTTTGGTTTAAATATTATAGCATTTATAGAAATACACATGCGTAAGCAGAAGTTTTTGTGTAATATACAATCATATTAGTAACTAAAAAATACAAGGGGAAATAACCTGCATCATTCATGCTGTCCATAATGGTCATTAGACGTTTTAATCTGGCTACAGACTCTTGCTCTGTACCCTTTGACATAAAGTCTTGACTGAAGCCAGGAATCATTCCCTATTAAAAAAGAAGATATTTCATTTAAGTTAAGAATTAAGGAAATGTTATTTTTGAATTCTGTTTAGTTGAAATTGCATTCAACCTTTTCAAACTCAAACGAAAACTCATAAGAGTAATTAAAAAACAAAGAACAAGATGCATACACACAACTATTTAAAGAAAGTAAAACTTACCATTATTTGAGAAAACGGTCCCATTTTCATAATATTTTGGAATTGCTCATACATATCTCTCAAGGTAAACTGTCCATGTTTGATTTTCTCAAGTAATTCTTCATTGTCGTCGAGATTTAATTCATTTACTTTATCTATAAGACCCTCTATATCACCCATACCCAATAATTTACTAATGAACGGTTTTGTTTTGAAAGGTTCTAAATCATCTATGTGCTCTCCTGTTCCTACAAAGATTACTGGACTCTGTGTCGCAGCAACCCTATAAAAATATGCTTTCATGATATAAGGAATTAATAAATTAATTATAATAAAACAATTTTTACTTTAAAGAAAGGATTAATCTTTAATATTCTTATTAAAAAAAGATGCATCTACTTTTTATCATTGTTTCTCTCTTTCTTTCCGTTTATACAATTAATTTTTTTTTTTTTTTAAACAGCTATTTTTATATAATTTTAAAATATTTAAGATCTTTCTTTAATACAAATGTTAAAATGGTTTTAAAAAATAATATACGACTTACGCAGACAGGGCACCTCCACCTTTCGCATGTCCGTCGAGCTTTGTAATTATAATAGAACCAACATTAACACGTTCTTTAAAAGCTTTGGCTTGAGCTTCACAAGCTTGTCCTATTGTTGCATCCATTACGAAAATTATATTGTCTGGTTGCTAAAAGAAAAGTTATTTTATATTTTGTGCATAACATACGTTGAAGGTTTCATACAAATTTAATTTTCGAGCGCATGCATGCTCAAGAAATTGTATATGTACAGGCGCTCGAGTACGGCGACTTTGTTATGGGCCTATACTACTGCGTGCTTTCGCTCGGTGGTGGGGAGAGGCGGCCCCGTTCGGTGGTGGGGGAAGCATGGTATATAAACGCTGAAGCGGCTTTCCCGCTCTCAGACGACGCGCTAGCTTGTTATCGTACATACGTACGTTCGTGTAATAGTAATAATTATTAAATTACTTACAATTGCATTAGCTACTTGAAGCATTTCTTCAAACAGAGATTCTTCCTGCTTATGTCGACCACTGGTATCAACAATAATAATTTCATAACCTTCTTTTTTGAACATTTCTACACCATCTTGTGCTATTGCCACTGGGTCTACTTCTGTATAGCTAGGCAAAAAAAGTTTTCAACGTTCCTTTAATATAGCATTTAAGTTATCTAACATTATTATTCTGCATAAATATTAAATCATACAGATATTAATTATTAACGCAAAGGTAAATAAACAAATTTTTACTTACCTTCCATAAAATGGAATTCGTGCCTTCGTTGCATTTTGTTTTATCTGATCGTACGCACCCGCACGAAAAGTATCAGCACAAACCAAACAGGCCTTCCAATTCTTTTTTAAATAATGATAAGCAAGTTTTGTACAAGTAGTCGTTTTTCCCGAACCTTGTAAACCAACGAACATAATTATATTGGACCGTCCTTTTATCGGCTGATAAGCTTTTACTCCAGGATCAATCAACTATAACAGACATTCAAGCTAATGTGTTAAGAGATTTTATATAAATATCAGATCATCTTATTTACCTTTACAAGCTCTTTGAAAACAGCGCTTTGTATCATCCTCCTTTTATTAAGACCTCCAGCCATGTCATCAAAATCAATGACAAGGCGTACATTTTCCCTTAGTTTCTTGACAAGTCTAATATTAACATCTGCTTCAAGTAATGCTGCGCATATTTCTTTTAACATAGAATTTAAAACCTATAAACAAAATAAGGAAAATTTTACTTACACAAGCATAACAATCAAATTAGTTTATGAGTTTATACAATGTCAGAAATTGATTAACAGAGAAAGGAATTGGAAGGAAATAAACTTAAATTATAAGTGCAGATTTTTTCAAAAATATTTAATTTCACATCTTGAGTTTTAAACTAATTACCCAGGCATACTTATGTACAGGTAACTGTGATACACATTAATTTTGTTTTTTTATCAATTGTTTAATGTGTTGCTTATAAATATGTATTTTTATATTCATTGTGCCAATAATTTTCATAGTTTAGTGACTGTAGAGCATATAGATTTACAACATTACAAATATCTGAATATTGCAATTTCGTGCAATTATTATATATGTAGTCATAAAAATTTATTCTTTAATATTTTAGTTAAAATACATTTATATTACATAAATATAATTCTATAGTTGAATGTATAATACAACATAATATAAAATAATGATAAGAAATATTGAAATATTTCTACATTTTAAATATACATAAAAATTAGTGGTCAATGAACGCTTGTCTTGTTTTTTAACAAAATCAGTATCATGTACTTGAAAATTTAAAGAATTAAAGAATAATTTTATTCAACAAACAAGAAAAATGTTAAAAATAAAAAAATCTTAAAATGTGGGACGCAACATAAAATAACATATGCTACAAGTCTAATTGCTTATGTCAAAACGAGCTTTAAGGTTATGTTTTGAAAAAAATACTTACCTCTTCGTTAATTACGGTGGCATTGCTAAGTGATCGAAGTGCAGATGTTATTTTACGTCCTAAATCTGCGAGAACCATTTTGCCCTCACTAATTTACACGTAAAGAAAATGAAAAATTAAATATACACAATGGTTATCCAAATGTTATCCCAATTCACTATAATGACACATTCAGCTTTGAATGTAAAACCAAATTTAATATTTACGCTTATTTATTAAAAATTAAAAATGTTTTATTTTTAGATACAGAATTACTTTTTCGGAAGATACTTGACATTAGGATATTTTGTCTTTGACATACTACATAAACCACAAAAAAAGGTGAAAAGTATAGGTTCTGTTATGGTTAGGTTAAGTCATTGATAACAAACGAGAAATAGATTAACATCATGTATTTATAACATAAATTGGTACTTAAAGTTTCAGTCACACTTTACAATATTAATTAATATAAATAATAACGAATTTATATAAATAATAAAATTATTCTTCTATCTTTATCTATTATTAGCTTATATGAATCGTACTATTTAGGTCTTTTGAAAGTGGTATTATTAGTTTATATATCCTTAAATAATTATTAATTTATGGGTATTAACCTTTTAAATTCTTCGGTTACATTACTATACAATTTATATTTCGCGCGTTCGAAATTTTCAGAATTAGCTCCACAGGGGGAGTCACACGAACCACATTGTTATGCTATCACGTGAACTTGGCTGCATGACTGAACTAAAAATTATCTATCCTAAAATCCAAATGAAATTATATAATTTTTAATTAAAATCCGTCTCCGTTTCGCTATCCGGATGGACATTATCAGTGATTCCTGAGCTGCTTTCAGTAACGTATTTTATTCTTTTCTCTTCCATTTTTGCTTCTTCATTTTGTGTTTCTTTTTGGGCCAACTTTCTGTAATATTTTTATATTTAAACAGTATAGTACAAAAAAAAAATAACAAAGAGTGACTCGATTTTTAACCATACTTGTACTTATTTTTACGTAAGTGGTCTCTTATTTTTTTAAAAATCGTAGCGCATATTAATGTTAATAATGTTCCTAATAATCCTAATAAAATTGCCATCAGAACGGTATCAATTTGTACCCAAGGATCTTCTTCTTCTCGATAAGTTTGAATTGGTTCCAGCGTTACTGGATGACTGTGGAATTATAATAGTAATTGATGTTAGGGAGAAATGCATCGAAATAAAACTTGCTTTGAAGTACCAGTTATAATTGCTCGATAAGGGGATCAACAAAATATTTTTCCTACTTTATTGATAATAAAGTAGATATCTTGTATAATTAAATCATGTTGATACAATTCTGTAACTCATGTAAGTATGTACTTACGAAGGTTCCGTTTCCTCTTTACTAAGTTCATCAAACGCCTTCACCACTGCTCTACCCAGATCCTTTCCTAATTGCATAAATGCAGATTTACTTAACCAATCCGCTAGATCAGATCGATTTATTTGACGTAATCTGTGTGCAATAGCTTCATGGGTTTTGCCCTTCCCTTCTGCTGGAGAACTGTTCCAGTGCAACAGATGTCGGATGCAAGGAATCTCATCGTCTACGTTCCGTTCTGTCTCAGAAAATTATTAATGATTTTGTCAGATACGATGATAATTCGTGTATTGTTCGAAGAAGAAGAAGAGTTCTAAAATTACCAGCTGCTGCTAGCGTATTCGGCAATTCGTAAGTGGTGTAATGAAGTGCGGCTATTAGACGTCGACACTCGAAAGGGTTAAGCCTTGCAGCTAAATATTTCAGTTCGTCCAAATTAACATCCATCGTAGCAAGAACTTTGTACCGGGATAAAATAATAATAAAGTATAACCATTTGTGCATCATTAATAATTCTTTCATCATAAAGGTTAATGAAACATTGTATTATAAGGCGTGTGCAAACAAATATAAACGAGCAAACATTTATTGACAATCTTCAGGGGCTGTGCAGCAGTTTTTGTACATTCGCGATTAAATCAAGGTTTCCTAGAGAAAATGGCGGTACAAGGGAAGCACAAATTCTTAAAATCTTAATTTTAATAATTTAATATTATAGAATTTAATATATAACTAAGAAATATGAATAATAAGTATCAATTCAAATTTCCCCGCGTAAATGTTTACATGTAAGTAGTGGGGGCCATAGATCTAGTGATGCGCAGTCGCGGAGTGTGCGCAGGCGTGGAGTGTGCGCTTCTCGGGCAGTCATCTAATGGTCGCGGCGGCGCGGCGGCGTGCTTGTTTTCGTGTTGCAACGTAGCGAGTTTTCAGGCCCCAATCTTATGGCGTCGGAGAGGGGATCACGGTTTGGCGGTAAGTTGAGACTAGAGCTACTTATAAATTACTTGTGATTCGATCATGTTCGTTTTCAATCAAACTTAAGGCTAGAAATTATTATCATTTACTGTTTCTCATTTTTACAAAAACACCAACGCTGACAGGTTCGATTATCGATAAATGTTATAAAACCGTAGACGCTGTATAGAAAGAAAGATGGTATGTGTAAACGTTGAACAATAGCTTCATACAGTCGTTCATTAATTTACACGGTTCATCTGTGCGGTCTTTTCGTACTTTTCTTTCTCTTCTTCTTGTAACACTTATAACAACCTGTCGGTGGTGGTTCTTCCGGTTCTTTCGGCACAGCGACTATATTATTTTGCGTAGCTGCGTGCACCAGTTCGTACGATGGTCTCTTTCTTTTTGTATGTGGCTTTCGAACGAAATAGCTTCTAGATATATCTTCCGTTCCGATCGGTATCAATTTTCTGATCGAGAAATGATTTATTAACATTGGCGTCCATACTATTTTAAGCGCCGGTTTATAAAGCTATTTAGAATCTTTACCCTTTCTTCTTTTTCCCTCGTATTTTATTCCATAGATGTGCTAGTCTGTTTCTTATGAACAAAGTGCAGCAACAGGTTAAAAGTACAATCGTAACAAGAATGATTCCTACGGTTCTTAGCGACATCTTGATCGTAGTTTGTCCTGTACAAAATACAGAGCTTAATATTAGAGATCATCATGTGGCTAAGAAAAAATTTATTACCACTGATCTTCTCAATCGTCTGATTTGAGTATTGATTGGTCGTTTTGGTGACTTGTAAATCTTTCGGTTTGGATGTTGTCACTGTAATTCCTTCGTAGTCTCTAAAAAACGTTGAGCTTATAGAGAAACTAGAAAACTTATGTTACCCTTGCTCTCGAAGAACACTATCCATTTTTAGTGTCTACAGGATCAAAAGACAGTTAGAGTCGGTTGTGATACGACACGTTGAAAACATACTCAAAATAGTCAGTCGGCTCAACGTTGCGAATCACTTTCGGCGCTCTTGAACTTTTCATGTTGAATTCAGCAAGGCATGCAATCAAATCTCTTCTTCCAATTCGTTCCAGGAAGTTGTTTACAATTGCATACGTGTTTCTTGTAACTGTTCTTAATTGACAGATCCATTTCACGAGCCTTCGAAAGCAACTTTGTTCTCGTGTCAACTTTTGTATTTGTACATCTGACAGTTGTGCTGTTTTGAATTATATTCATCCTTACTCGGAACTGTTACTTATAGATGGTTTTTCTCAAAATTGAGAAAAGTTTCATTAATACAGAAACATTGATAATAGTTTCTTTTTGTGTTGAAAACGAATGGTTTGCCCTACGGTTGCCAGATAAAGGGTTCACCACTGTCGTCATATAATGTTCAACCAGTTCAATTTTTTTATTGTGCTATACCAACGGGGTGCCGAGCCGACGCTGCCGTCCCTGAGCCCGCGCGCTATACGCGCTCGGATTGGTCAATGTTTTTCGTTAATAATTCAAAAACAAAGCTTCAAACAACATTTTCGCAAAGGAAAATGTTGTTCAGAATCACCCCAGCTACCACCCCTTCACGGGACCAACGCGAGTTCTGGAACACCTTGTATAGTTCTATATGACGTCACTGGTAGCGCTTTTACCTGGCATTCTTGTTTATCTTGTTTATTAATAATATAATAAATTAGGTTAATATTATAAAATTTTAGTCACGATTGACCTCAGTCTCCCATGAAATATGGCTAACACAATTTACTTACAATGGGAATCTAAGAATACGAGTCTCACGCACTCCTCGGGTTTTAAGTTAGCCGCTAACAGTTGGAGCTGTGGTACATCTATTTCAGCGATAATCTATTATGATTGTAAATAAATTTAAATTACATAGCAAGTACTATTAGTTTATAATTCCGGTTAGCACGAGGAATATACAATTGATAATTATGTTAATCTTCATAAATATTAATTCTGAGAATAAACGTACTTGAGAGAAAATACAATTCAAATGCAGCGAAAAGAGAAACAATGCATTTGTGATAACAATTCTTAAGTTCATCGAGAGTTTCAGCGAACTGGAACAGCCATGTGTTGTTTTGATTTCATTAATTAATTACATCGTCTAATTTTTAATAATCCCCTGTAATTAAACAGCATTATTTTATTTCTTTTCGATGAAGACTTTGCAAGTATAAAAATGAAATAATGGTGTACCAATATATCTGAAAGGAATCGATCAAACCTCAAAAATAAAAGTACATTTGATACCTTAAACGACGACACAATTGGCAAAAAAATGTTACTGTCCCTTTGATTTGTTAAAATGCAAAAACAGCTTTACACTTTAAAATCTCTTTAACGTACAACTATATCTAACTTCGCACTTTGCAAAAATATATATACACATTTTTCGATGATACATCAATTTCTAAAGACTTTATATTTCAAAGGAATGCATTGAACACTGAATTGAAGATAAGTATCATGGCCGCCTGATAATCGACAGAATTCAAAGGACTGTCGGTTACAGATCTGCCAGATAACTTTCTGATTTTTACCAGCGAAATGTAATTTAATATTATACCTGTTCAGGTTAGAATGAAATTTGCATGCACGATTTATATTTTGATTGTCGTTTTTGCGGAAAATAAGGTGAGCTCTTACGAATATATATATATTGCAATATATACATTTATATTGCCTAAGAAGGTTAAATATTTTATCACGTGCAATGATTCTGCTGTACAATTGTCACATTTCATTTCTTATTCATTTTGTAAATATTTAAACAAGTTCCTCGTGAAAGATATTTACACTATTCGTATTATATCAGGAAAAATTTCTGGTACGATGTATCGCACACTTCGAGGAATCGGAACTTGTACATTTATCAGAGAATTTGAATCGTTTGGAATGTTTACAACTGGTGAAAGCTATGTATGATTTAACGCCAGCGAATATAGAAGATGAAAGGAGCAACTATGAGGTGTTATACCAAGGATCTAATCATTTATCGACCAAGTCGAAGGAATGTCTTGCCGAACTTGAACACTGGAATAATAATTTTCCAAGTAAAATTTTATTTATAAAATAATATAGATAATGAAACTAATATTAAATACAATATTAAATAAAAATTCGGGCTCTCTCCATGGTCCGCCGTCCGAGGGTTAATATTTTCATCATGCTAAATTTATATTTAATAACTAAAAGTTTGATTATTTTTTTTCTAAATTAGCCTGATTTTATCGCGAATGTACATCGTTTATTCAATACCATACTTTAATACTCTTTTAAAAATTTTAATAGAAAACGTTATTGTTTACTTTTAATTAATGGAACAAATATTAACGAAGGAATATCGACGAAGAATCCTTTTTACGTTACATAGCAAATACGAAACCCAATGGACGTTCTGCGATGGAAATGACGCTAAGGTGGTTGGGACGGCCTGATTTAGCGAAATACGTGAGAGAAAATCATAGAACGGTTAATTACATGGATACAGAGAATTACGATAAGGCCGACACGTTAGAATTTCCAGGACACAGGGTATCGAGGAGGCACACCCCTAAAAAGGACAAACATTCTTCGAAAACCGGAAAGAAGAAAAAGAAAACCAAGAAACGAGGTCATCGTGAACACCCTCAGAATTCTGGAAAAAAAGATAAGGGGCCTCAGAAAGCAGTCGCTGCCACAGCAGGACACGCTACCGCGTAATAATTTCTTACCCCTAATATTTCTCCGATTTCGATGATTTTACATGTTCGAAAATCAAAAACCTTTTCTACAATTTTTCTACAAAAAGTGGTAATTTAAGTTACAAAGTTTCCCGTTGAATTTTCCAGCCACCGAAGTCGCGAATTAAACAAGACAGACAATCAGTCACAGAACGAGAAAGATTACGTTGAACAGCACCGATCGATATGTTGTTCAATTCTGTGCGTTCTGTTTTTTCTAATCCTTTGTCTAGTCGCCGTCTACTTCCTTCATAGGCGAAATCGTTTGAAGGCACGTGGTACGAGATTCAAGTAATTATCGTAGATAAATTAAGGGTAATTTAAACGTATGATCCTTTTGTCTAAATATTTTTACGGTCTAAGTTAATTATTTTCAAACCTAATTACCTTACATCTTTTATTATCGAAAGACGTGTATTTTTTTACAGTTCTATAAATATAATTAGAATTTCCAACGGTGTTTCTAGTTGTTAGGTTTTATGTTTGGCTAAGGGTCAACAGGAGTGACACCAGCGCAATTAGCGCAATGATTTTAGCTGGTATAGGTTTTTTTCGCGATTCATATGGCAGGTGCCTGAGGTATCTCAAAGACTATCTAAGAAAGATTAAGATCAAGAGAGCGTAGTTTCTCAGTATAAGGCTTCAAAGAACAATTCGGATTTTGATTATCATTCCTGTTCACCCTTAAGGAACAGACTTAATTATTGTGTTGAATTATAAATGAACCTCGTTGCTATTTGTACACTTTATATTCAGATACGACAATTCTGTGAAAAAAGAAAATAAAGATACTCTTACCGATCGTTTGGAGTGGAACGACGAAACGGTATGTTCGTGCTCGGACGTCGAGGACGGTTATACGGGAAAATGTATGATGTGTGGTGGAAATTATCAAACATACCACACGATTCCTCGTCGAAATGATTCTCATGATTCTATGAAAGATTCAAAATCAATGCCCGTACAAAAGATACGAAAGAAGAGGAAGAGGCAACGATTTAGTTTTCTTCCGAGAAATTTTCACGATAGGAAAAGGGGAAAAGATCAGGAAGATCGGGATAGGAAGTGCGTAAAAAGGAAGAATCCTGGTACGATGAAACATGAAAATGTGCAAGATGCATCACAAATTTTTATAGATATAATTTTTTTCTTAATCAGAGTATTATATTAGAATAGCGTGACGCATCTTGTTACAGCATTATCGGTAATATACGAATTTCTTTTTACAAATTAAGGAAAACTTTGGAGAAATCTCTTATGAAGAAACGCGAAAAGGTTTCGAGTACTTGTTACGGAGACTACGAACAGTGTTTATGTTGCAAATGTAATTTAAGTTACACGGGTACGTATAAAATACAATGGTACACGTCTCGGTATACGTCTGCTTTGGAATACGTCCAATTCGAAATACGTTCTGTTTGGAATTTTGCAGTGAATTTTGCGTCATTTGTTTAAACGCTGTTTAAATTATTTTACAACCCCATTAATGTAGGTATAATATCAATAGGAGTTTTTTTTTTTTACATACCTATTCGGTATAAGTCCAAACATCAGGAACGGATAAAAGTCGTATACCGAGGTACCACTGTAATTTCAATTTCAATTAGCAATACTATAGTTTGGGAATAAGTTATAACGTTCCATGGAATATATACTTAAAGATTAACATTATTTGTTAATATAGAAAGGATGCTCCGCGAGAAACTGGAGGAAAGAAGAGAATTACATAAATTAAGAGCAAAGAAAAGAAAGGAAGAGAAAAGGAGAAAAAGAGAAATGCAAAAAGCAGAAAGGCATGCAAATGTGTGTTTTAAAGATGTATCTAAATGAATTACTATTTGGCTTTTTCTATTATTGTTTTAAAACGAACATTAAAGAAAACTTTTCAAAAATATTATCTGCAATGAATAAGATTTTTATAATTAAACTGTATTTTGTGATTTACAAAAACAGTAATTTACACAAGTTGTCTTGTGCTAATTCTGACTGATTTCTAATAGAATAGAATCAAACGAGTCTTTTTCCACAGCCTCTATTTTCCCTAGGAAAAAAATTGGCCGCAGTGAAAAGTGTTCCAGAATGAGTTGTTATCGCCATTGCTTTCACCGTTATCATTTGAAAATTGGTAGGAATACAATTTGTTCCTTAGAATTTTAGAATTGCTGCAATGTCATGCCTGAGTATCATACAGGAATCTGAATCATCGAAGGTCAGCGGTATGAGTCAAAGAATTGTATTCATAGATAAAAGAAGACTATTATTGAAAAAAGTCCAACAGTGTATTAAACGTAATCGATATTAGTATCGATTTCATAGTGCAAAGCGTGCTTCTATTAGTTTATCGATATTAGTTTATCTAATTGTAAATAAAAAATGCTTGATATTATTATCATTGACATCTAATCTATTATATATATACTGTCTAGGTAAAGACATAAGCAAGATAACAAGAAAATGTAGTAATTGTAGTCCAGCAATCAGAACTGCAGCCTGGGGTGCACATTGTGTAAGAAAAATGCAATTATCGCCCACGTACAAGCGATAAGTTGATACAACGTACTTATACAGGAGAAATGAAAATTCCTGATACTATACGTGCAGTGTCAGTCGAACCAGAAACAAGTATTAATTCCTTCGGACCAAGTGAAACGGTTGCTGAGGGTAAGTGATCGTTGGATATCTTTCATTGAAATTGTTATGATTTTTAGAAGTGATTATGTTTGCATGTGAAAGCAAGGACCATCCAAGCGACGGTTCTTGAAAAAAACGCAATTTTTAGGAATTATTTTTTTGAAACGAAGATATCAGTGTAAAATAAGTACTTATTTTTTTGAGTTGGTTCCACATTCCTGGAAATTATGTTTTCAAAAAAATACGAACAAATATTTAATATTAATATACCGGTATCAGTTCAACCAGAAACAATTATTAATGCCTTCAGACCAAGTGAAACAGTTGCTCCTGTTAAACCACCCCACTCGCTAAGGGTAAGTGATCAAATTAGAATTTGCCAGAATTTCCATCATTCGTCTAGATCTTCCGCGAGCAGTATACTTGCATACGAATAGTCTTCTATAGAGTTTTAGGATGATACTTGACCCCTCCACTTATTCCGGAATTCAGTACTTTTGATTGTATGCGAAAAGTACCAGCTCTGCCGACATGACACCATTGTTCAAGAAATATTATTGCATAACGTTCTTGTACATTGTCTAATTATATCCCAATAAGGTGGTCGCTGTTTAATTACATATTAACTGAGATATTTTTCTACCTGGATAGAAATATCATTTCAATAAAATCGACTCGATTCAAGGAAATCAAGAGCGATAATCTTATCTGATTTAAACAAAAGTGTAATAAGCAGTAAAAACTGGGATACAGTTTTTTTTCTTCCTGCCAGAAAGGCTGTGATAACTTTACTTATTAGTGATTAGGAATGAAGGAAACACAATTGTCCTGATAATCCAATTACAATGATTAATCTTCATGGAGAGAGGTCCGATTCTAATTTAATTTCGTATTACATATTATATTCATTTTCAAAATTTGTCACGGGTCTTTTGAATATTAATCTTCTAATATAATGAAACTTTTTTGTTTAAAAATTACATATTTAACTTTAGGTTAATATTCTAGTACATGTTTCGTAAGCTTATTATTTTTCAAGTAATATCAACGGGTTAAGAAATTACAACTTTTCTATCATTAAATATAATCTCATAATTCGAAAGAATAATATATAAATAAAAAAAGAATGAAAGAAAGATATTGATGGAAAATTATGAATAGAAGATAAGTATAGAAAAGTTTAATCGCTAAACAATAATATAAAGAATAAATGTATTCACATAATAGAGGGAAATGTTTCACTTCTGTTTGGTAAAACGAAAATAGCCTTTGAGATTCTTCTTTTTTCAATCATCTTAATGGTGCACTTTATAATATATATATACAATACTTGATTCTTTCGTAATCGTCATAGAGTTGCCCTTTCGAATTCGTGAAAATTGATTTTTCATGACGCGAACACTTGGTATATTTTCCCGAACGCTACGTCCAACGTTTTGCTCCACGCTTCGGATACTTCCGGTGTGAATTGTCTTCCCAACGCTTGGCCGAGAACTTGCAACACCACCCCTTTCAAATTCTACGTATGAAATATTTTTCGTTTATTAAAAACGACATTAGCTACATTTAAAGCTACATTTACAAATCGTACCTCAAATTCTTCTTTTGTTTGGCCACGTTTTTTATGCCTCTCGGCCAGGCTGGTTAGGCTTGCCTCCATTAATCCTGGGTCGTGCAACGAATCGATAACATTATTTAAGGCCGCAATTATGCTGGCACAATGAGCCTGAAACCTCTTATTATCCGGCAAGGCGTCTAATGGAATGTCCTTGAAAGCGGCAAAATGTTGCTGATACGCTGGATATTTTTTAAAGAATCTACAAGCAGTTAGTCGATCATCGAATTTTTATTCCGTTAAAGTAGAAGGTGATCAGAAACGTGTGGTTGAAAAATAAGCAGGTACATATCGATGTATTTCTGATTAGTTTGACGGTTCATCGAAATTGACGAAATTGATCGCTTAATTAGAGAGATAGAACGATCATTTATTTCGATTAATTGTCACGATAGAAGCTTCGCCGGGGTATTGATAACAGCTTATCTTAACATCGACGTGCAATGACTTAGTACTAGTTCTCATTTGCATGCAAGAGAACGGGCTTTCGAAACGTTTGCCTTGCATTTAAATGCGAGCACAAGGGAAAAATTAGAAAGACAAAGCAAAAATAAATTATCGTTTAATTTGATGACTTGTGATATTAATTTTAATAATTAAAAGAAAGTTTTAGAATTCCAGAATTTCTGGAAATAAATCCTGGTTACGCCCATGGTTAAAAGGAAATCTAACAAATTTGATTGAGAAGCAACTGAAATCGAATAGTCAAAGATCCACTACGCTATACAATTTATCTTTGACTCGCTCATTTTTATATTGTCAATTAAGATAAACGTACTTTATCATTTACTTGTTAGTTCCTATATTATCAATTAAGATAATTGCAATAACATTATGATACAACTAAGGTTATCAGTATACAGTTCATAATTTCGTCATTTCGGAAGCGTATCTTCTAATTACCTAGAAGCTTTCTAATTTAACACTGGAACTATCAAACGGGTCAAAACGACAGGTATTTTAGGTATTCTATTTTCATTTTGACTTTTGTTAAGATAAGGAACTATTTGTATACAGGGTGGTACAAACGGTGTCAGGGTGATTCTATGGTTCAAAATAAGAGGAAATTGCATAAGAGCAATTTCCTTTAAAAATTCTTGTTCCAATATATGAAACTCTTTTTTTTTTAAATATACATTTAACCTTAGGTTAATATCGTATATACATTATGTAGGTTTGAGTTATGATTGAGCCAGGCTCCTCTGTTCAGAGGTGAAAAGTCAATGCGCGTCTATAATTGTAACGTTAATGATCGATAATTACGATAACAAAGCATGCAACTGTTTTCCAAAAGAAATTAATTGAAATTAAAAAAAAAAAGGAAGAAAAAAGGATGAAACACTTACGTGGTCATCACAAGAACTCCAGAGCGTACTTCATCCTTTCTTATCACGGACCACGTGTTCTGCACTAATTTTTTCTGTTTCTCCGTCAGCCCGGTGGCCTGATCGATTCTATTATCGTCGCTCGAGATGCCGAGTAAACGTAGGAAAGTTCCCATATTTCGGTCTGGACAAAAATATCCTTCGGAGAAAGAAAACAACGTTTCGTAAGGAACCGAGTCGAAAATGACGTTGGTCGAAGAATCGATAAAACGAGAAATGGAAGAAATCGAAGATGTCAAGGTCTCGGTTGAATGGATCGATCCTAGCCGTATGGATCACGTCATGATATACGGTTATCAGGGAATAAGCGGTCGATTCGAGTAACTACAATTACCGTAATTCTGTATGATATATCACGTGGCGCGTAGTTGTCGTTTCAATTCGCTGAATCGCTGAATCGCTGAATCGCTGAATCGCTGAATCGCTGACACGGTTAGACCACGACCACGACTACTCTCGTTCTTCGAGCCCGACTGACGGCACACTGCCTATCTAATGCTATTTTAAATCCACCCCCTCCGCTTTATCGCCGCCACTAATGCCGCACGCGGTTAAATGATTAAAGGATTAAGCCTCTTTACACGATCAGCATCCAACTGGTTAAGTCGGTTAACCGATTCGACTGTTCGATGCTTTGGTCACTGAACTCCGTTTCTCAAACGCCAATCGTGTATTTCATTGTTCGATCCTTTCGAACCGGCGCGGCGCGGCGCGGCGCGGTGCGTCGCGGCGAAGATAATCCAAACGAATGGCCCTTTTATTCGTTCATTGAAAATTGTGTTATTTTCTTTCTAAATTACTTTTAATATTAATATCGTCAAAATCATCCTCTATACCGCCATCTCCGGATTGTATTGTTAATGTTTTAATAAAAGTAGTTTGATTAGCTTTCTTGGGCTAAAATTAAAATTACCCAGTTATCATCATTGGTATCTCTTTTCAGAAGTTAATAATGTTATTTTGATTGTCATTAGTGTCACTAATAGTTAAATGCAATATAATCGAATAATTAAAAAAAAAAAAAAAAGAAAACAGTTATTGTACATTGTATAAAATTAGTATAGAATTAAAAGGGGAAGTGAGGAGTATTCAAGGTATTCGTGATCGAAGTGTACTTATAATTCTGATCACGATTTCTTCCGCTGACGTTATTCTACGAATCGCAATCCTCATTATCTAAAACTCCCATAGGATTAGTATACACGCAAGATGTAAAAGGCCGTAGATCTCGAGACGCACACGATCAGGAAGCTTAGTCAGGGGAATAAGTATTCTTCTTTCATTCATGTTTCGTTAGACGAAACAATTTTACAAACAGTTTATTGAATTGCAAATTAGTGCGTTTATAAACAAAGTCCGAGGTTGACACAATAAATCATGGTCATGATATTTATTCTATTGCAATAAAACGTGCAACGATTGATAAATGTATGCGAAACAAACGTAGCTCGGTGTACACCTGGCAGGTGTTGAACTTGCAAAACTACTTTATATGAAATTCACGCATCGATGGTAGAAAAAGATACCAACTTTTTTTGCGTTCAGTTTTTTATAACTTACTATGAAAATATAATTTTTATACATCAATAGAATTCAATTTAAGGGTTACTGAAGCGACAGTAACTCCTCTGGCAGAGAAGAAATAAAAGACAAAAAAGTAATTCAATTTTTTCAGACGCAATTCTGAGAGAAACTTTATATAGTTATGATATTCATATTGATTTTTATTTTCTGCTAAGGGCTATGAATAATTTTTGTTTAATTACTTTTGTTGCAGGAAAGCGCAACAATGACTGAGAACGTTATAGAGCCAGTAGTAATTGAAGAGAAAGCCGTCGAAAAGGAAAAAACGGAAGAATGTAAATCAAGATTACATCTGAACCAAATAATAGCTAGTTTTATAGGTAAACCTTTTTCCTTACTGTATATTAGAAAAGTAACAAAACTATGTTCTTACGTTTTTATGTTTACATCATTTTCTACGTTGCCATCAAACAATTGAATCATCGAGTTTATTACTGCATAATTGTAGAACATTTAAAAAATTTATTTGGAGAAATCAAAATTTTCAGTTAAATAGATAACACTTCAAAGTAATTGAATTTGTATTTTCTGTTAAATTACATTCATTTTTGTTTTTGTTTTTTTCAAGCAACATTAACACTACTTTCCTGTGGACTATGTATCGGCTGGCCAACGATTTTCTTACACGGCAAAGAATCTGACGTTCCCTTAACTCCTGACAACAGAACATTAGTTGCCATTGCAGTATTAATAGGTGCCTGCGCTGGACCGATTCTTTCTGGCTTATTAATTGACCGGATTGGTAGAAAATGGTTCCTCTATATGACAACAACCCCAATTCTTGCTGGTTGGATACTTATTTTCTTTGCCAAAAAATGGCTCCTACTTTTCATGGGAAGGCTCGTCGCTGGACTGTCAGTTGGAGCTATATACACTGTCGTTCCTATATATACCGGAGAAATCACTGAACCAAAAGTTAGAGGTGCTGCCAGTGGAATAATGGCTGTAATGTTAAATTTGGGATACATGTTTACCTATGGCGTTGGTCCAATATTGGGCAGGAAGGTAATTTTTACAAATTTTAAAAACAGCCAAGAGTATTCCCGCGGTTATGACTATGTCGGTAAAACAGTGATGCGTGGTCACGCTCAAATGATAAAAATATTTTTTCTCAAGTCGCGAAAAATCCTTCGTGCAAGCATCATTTTTTTATCAAAACAGAACCTACTTCCAGTTAGTACTTATTAGTTTCCTATTTCAGTCCTAAAAATTTTTTTCAATATTTCTCAAGATATACTTTATTTATCCCTTTTTTAAAATTTTATATTTTCATTGTTTCAGAATCTGGCAGTGATTAATTTAATACCGGTGATAGTATTTGGCTTAACATTTGTGTGGATACCCGAGTCGCCGTACTATTATTTGAAGAAGCAGAAACAGAAAGATGCAGAGTTATCGTTAACATGGTTAAGAGGAAAACTTAACAACGAGAAAGAAATAGAAGAGATAAAAACTTTTATAAAAAGCGAAGAAAAAGGTGGCGTTAAGGAACTCGCAGTACCAACGAACAGGAAAGCATTTCTGATTTTGATGTTACTATTCGCGGGTCAACAGCTGTCCGGATTGCTAGCTATCGAATCGTACACCAGAGTTTTGCTCCCAAAAATCGATTTCGATGTAGATATTAGAGTCACACTTCTTATCATAAGCTCGCTAACTTTGGTAACAAGTTTAATAACGACGCTGGTCGTCGATAAGATTGGTAGAAAATTTGTTTTCCTAATATCCGCGTACGGTGCTACGATATGTCTTCTCGTAGTAGGAGTGTACTGTTACCTTAATGGAAAAGTAGCGAAGCTCAATGAGCTGACTTGGGTACCATTAATCGTTATTCTACTTCATAGCATCGTCTTTTCTTTTGGTTTAGGCTCAGTCCCGGCGATCATGTCGTCAGAACTCTTTCCAATGAACGTGAAAAGTTGGGCGATTACGTTTGCAAATATTTTCTCATTTCTATTAGCTTTGATAGTTGCTGGATGTTATGAATTAGTGATCGATGCATTTGGTTATTACATAATATTTTGGGCTCTTGGCATTCTCGAGCTCATAATAACGATTACTCTGACCGTCATTATGCCGGAAACGTCGCGCAAATCTTTCATAGAAATTCAACAGACGCTAAAGGGAAACTCTAACGTACCATCAGCAGATAAAACAAATTCGCCATAATTTAAAATGAAATGCAAACAACGCAATGAATAATGTTTTCGTTTGATTTTTTAACAACTTTTATTTTCAATTTACACAGAATACGTAACTAAACAAATTTATATAAACAGTATTACTTAAAGAGATTTTACGGTAATACAAATAAATGCGATATCAGCGTGAAAGTAAATATTAATTTAATCGAATGATTGAATTACGTATTCGTTTACGTTCTCTTGCTGTATGATTTGATGTTGCTTTTGTATCCATACCGAGAAAATAAAATTTTATTTAATTATTGTATCGACAAACGATACAAACATATTAAAGTTGCATTAAAATCGGAATACCTTTTTGCGATTTTAGATCACTTCCTGATGCGATTAATGAACTTAAAGTTTCCATATCTTCATCTTTGCGATTAATTTCTACTTTAGATGGGACGACTGCAGCAACGATGCGCATATTTTCAGTATTATCATTCTGCGTGTGAGCAAACAACTATTTACTTAGCTCAGTATTAAAATAAGTGTTAATAATATAATAAAAAAAAGAACTGTGATACACAGTTATACATAAGTAACGTCTTGATCAAATTCCAGCTCTGAAGATCTAAAAGGATCTTTCTCTGCTTTATACGGACTGTTGCTTATTCTCCTTGACCTATCTTCGCTTGATTTTCTTGACATTTGACCGAAACTCTCTTTTCTTCCAACTGAACATTTTAACGATTAATTAATTGTATAACACCATAGATGTATGTATCCGGTGGAGGAGGGCTGCACCCCATCCTTCGCCTCCCTCTCGCCGATTAAGTTCTATAATATTTCTTAACTAACCTATAATATCGCTCTCCGAACTATTCGATGCTAGTACCGTTCGTCTTTTACGGTGAACCTTTCTAGTTTCCGTAGTCTTATGATCGAAAAATAAGCGTTTAAACCTGTGTCCCGCGGAACCCTTTTGAAAATCTCTTAACATATCCGCTTCTACCGCTACCCAAACTGCTTTTCGATACTCCCAGTATCGTTTTTTATAAAGCCAATATTTTAAAGGAAAACCATATATCACTCGTGGCTCATTGCCGGTACACCAAGTGCAACACTATCGATATGATCAGGTTATACAATTTAAATGGAAATGAAAATTTCATACCATTTAACAGAAAGAAATTTTAACCACTTAATAGAGACTTTAGAGAAATCATATACCTTTTTTATCGTATCACTGGAATTTAACATTTTCGTAAATCTTTTTTCGTGTTCGTCCATACGTATTAACAGTATATTTGTTAAATTATGAAAATATTTCGTTTGCACCGAAACGCATTCCTCCGTCATAACATTCGGTAATTCCATAACCAATGTTTCCATTAAATCTCCCAGAAAATTCTACAAAGAAAACTTTATGTTACTATCTTCGTACTTCTATGTATGAAAAATAGGTATTAAACGAACTTCTAAATCTTTCAAGGTCAATCCCATATTTTTATGAACCATTGCAATGTATCCAAGAAGATATTCCCTTTGCGAAGGGTTATCATGATAATCCACAAACAGGGCACATAACATGTCACAAATAATAGAAAACTTTTTCTTAACTTTAGCTTCTTGAATAAATTCTGGAATCGATTCGTCTTCAAAGTATTTTGCATACTGCGGATGATTTTTAAAAATCCTGCCGATTAGTTTTACATGTATTAAATAATTCTCTCAATTTGTGAAGCATTTATAAATAATATTATAATCGTTTAATTACACGGTGCAAAAAGCAAACCCATAGTACGAGCTATCAGTTTCTATCACTTGCCAAATTCTTTTCATTGTTTCAAAATCTTTATAGTCAACTGGAGAAATTGCATCATGATCTTTTCGAACTCTTAAATGCATTAATAAACGATAGGGGATATTACCCATTTTTTATATTTTGAAAATATATGAATATTCAGAACTTCAATATCAAGTAGAAGACTGGACATGTCTTTGTTTTCAAAGGGTCATGAATTTGTGCCTTGAGAACGAACGCCATCTGCTTTATCCTAGTACAAGACCGAAAAATTATTAGAATAATTATTTGACAAACATATTTTGAAAAGACCGCCTAGAATCAAGTATTTTTAAAGTTCGACCGCTGCGCCATCTATACAAAAGCGGCGGAAACTACTCAATAATTTACCGACTTATCGACTGAACTTCCGAAAGTCGGTAATCGACCCTTGGAAGAAATGGAAGAAATAAAAGAAATGGGGTTCTCGGCTGAAACCCAGAAGAGGGATATAATCATAAATGTTATTCCCCATCGATGAGCTTATTTAATACGCAAAAAAAAATAAATGAAGCAAATTAAATAAAGTCTGGAAAAAAATTATACTGATTGCGCCCTCTTCATACGGACCTGATATTATCCGGGGTGTTAGGAACCCCGCTGCGCCAATGTCGCCCTCCGCGTACCGACCGGATAACATATTGGGGTACTAAGGACCCCTAATCACCGATAGCTATCTTTTTGCATACCAATAATATAGCATCCGGGGTGCCAGAGACCCCGAAGCACCAGTGACACTGTTTGCATACCGACATTTTGGCATCCGGGGTGTCAGGGACCCCGAAGCAGCGTTTACACTCTTTGCTTAACGACACTTCGGCATTCGGGGTATCTGAGACCCCGCGGTACCGGTGACGCTGTATACCGATATATGCAAACGGGGTGTCGGGGACCCCAAAGCAACTAGCGAAATATAAGACCTAAAAACGAACAAATCGTGAAACTCGCTTGTTCGGGATAGTGATGGGTACGATTTAATTCGATCCTGGGGTGTCTAGGACCCCGAAGCAACGTTTACTCTTTCTGTATATTGACATTATGCCATTCGGGGTGTCTGGGACCCCGCGGCACCAAAGATACACTGCATATCGACATTTTGGCATCTCGGGTATCAGGGACCCCGAAGCACCGATAATATTGTACATATCGACATTACGCCATCTGAGGTATTGGGGACCCCGCAGCACCGGTGATACTGGGGTATCAGGGACCCCGAAGCACCGATAATACTGTATGTACATATCGACATTACGGCATTTGGGGTATTGGGGACCCCGCCCCACCGGTGATACTGGGATGTTAGGGACCCCGAAGCACCTTCGATACTCTGCATATCGACATTATGGCATCAGGGGTGTCAGGGACCCCAATGCATCGGTGCGTACGAATCGAGTTTCTAATTAGTTTACCGACCATTAGTTCTTAAAAATATTTAATTTTACAATTGTAAGGATATACGAAGTGGAAATAGAAGATAATTATGTCGGCACGGAAAAATACTCAAGCTGGATTTCAGCCGGTAAAATTAAATACAAATTATATCTTTATTTACATTTTTATATTATTAACATTTGTATTTAACTTCTTGCTTTGTAGGACTCGGATATTTATGTTACATACGAAGATCAACAAAAAATTAATAAATTTGCAAGACAAAATGCTAAAATGGAAGATCTAAAAGAAGAATTGAAAATCAAACAGGTATACACGTATTTGTCATTAACAATTGATTCGTGCTAGTCGTGTAACCTTATTTGGTCATGTATACAATTTTACATACAACACATCATAATAATTTGTACAGAATGAATTAAAGAATTTAGAGGATGCTTGTGATGAAGTAGTCTTATTCGATGACGGGGCAAAAATACCATATTATATTGGTGAAGTTTTCATTTATGAAGATATGGAAAAGACACACGTATGAAATCTTTCATGTTATAATGCTTTCAATAATAAATTTAAAAGATTTAAAAAATGTTGTAAGATAAAAACAATACTTAATAAGATTGAGAAGTAAATAGCCACTTCTTTAATTAATTTTTACCAATTGCCAATGTTTTAGGAATATTTAGAACAACTAATGGAGAAAAAGCAAGCAGAAATTGATAATTTAGAAAGTAAATGTCGTGATTTAAAGAATATGATGAGTGAATTAAAAACCCAACTGTATGCAAAGTTTGGTAATCGCATAAATCTTGAAGCAGAAGAAGATTGATCTAGTCATGTAAATTTTTTGTATTCTGAAATAAAATTCTTATACTACTATTGACCTATACTTTTTCAAAACACATATGTATTATTTTACATATTTGCAATTTAAAAACAAATTATTTCACATGATATTTATACAAGATACACGAAAGTCAAATGTTTGCAGATGTTAATTCATTGTTACTGTATAATAAATATTTAATAAATTATACTTTTTTTCATAATGTTTTCTATAGTGTTATTTCACTTCTCCTACTATGTTATTTGTTAATAATAATTAATATAAAAATTCCAAAACATATGTTTGGTTTTGATTAACTCTGGTTTATACAAACACTACCAATCATATATAGATCTAATTAACTGAGGTACTTGAAACTTAACACTTCAGCAACTATACCATTATTACATTTGGATCGATGCCAAATTGTTCTTATTATAAACGGCTTAAATAGTTTAATTAAAAAAAATCGGTACCCAGTTTCATACTCATTAAACATTTTTTCATTTCATGTTTTGTAATGACATCAACAGTTTAACTATTACATCACAATTATTTTTAAACATAATATTTTATAATTAAGAAGAGTAATATAAAGAATTTTCAATGCATATCTGGCACAAAATTTACACTTTAATACATTTAATGAATGACTTGAAACTTAGTTACAGTCATACAATATCTGCTTCCCTCTATCATCTTACTTGAGGTAATTTTAGTTTCACCTCTTAGCTTTGCTTGAACTAGTACATAGTTAACTACTGCTCATTCAGTACATTCTTATCTGCTGTACCAGAATCATTCTTCTTCAACTCATTAAAGTGAACAATACACTTGTACAAATTAAATATATTATATATTTAGTTTCTATCATTTTTCTTTTATTATAAAAATATAAGAATATTTATTGTAAGATTATTCCAAAAGAAATGGACATAGCAAAGGAATTAATATTGAATTTAAAACAAAATAATAAATCACACGTGGGATATGGTTTACAGAAAGAATGTGAAGCACTAATTGGTCATGTTTTGCAAAACATGGTACAGTCCGAATTACCTGAATTAATTCCTGAAGTGAAACATGAACAGGATTCTATTCAGTATAGAGAAGAAGGTAATAAATATTTATTATACACTATATATTCCAGCACGTATTTATATCCAGCATTAAATTTATATGATAATAGGAAATCAACATTTTGTAATGGGTGATGATATTGAAGCTATAAAATGTTACACAATGAGTTTAGCATATGCAAATAATAAAGAACTTATGTCGTATGCTCATGCCAATCGATCGGCTGCTTTATACAGAAAACAAATGTACAAAGAATGTATAATAGACATTGATGCTGCATTGAATCTTGGCTATCCAGAAGAAAAAAGGGAAAAGTTAAAAGAGAGAGGAACCAAAGCTGTGGAAGAAATAAAAAAAAAATTACTGATTAAAAAGGATGATCATATTGATACAGAAAAATTGATGAACGCATGTTTATCAGAAAAGATAAGCGACAGTCCTAACGTTGTAAAATATCGAAATGGAAAGGAGGAAATTGGCAAAAAGATAAATAAAAATGTTAACGCTGACGAAAATAAACACGATTCAGTTAATGAAGAAAAAGAACCAAGATACTTAGCAGATGAAGGTCCATTAAAGTTAGCTTATGGTCCGGGTAAAGAGGCTCCAGCTGCTAGCGATGGTGTTAGCATTGCTTTCTCTGAAAAATACGGGCGTCATTTAGTAGCTACAAAAGAATTTAAGCCCGGTGATATAGTTACTATTGAAGATCCTTATGCATGTATTCTTTACGCACAATGGTAATCAAATTGTTAACATTATCATACGTAATGATGTATACTAATTCCATATATTACAGCTATTATACACATTGCCACCAATGTTTAGCAAGATGCTATAACTTAATTCCATGTACAAAATGTCCAGTAGCTCAGTACTGCTCAGAGACATGCAGGAAATTAGCTTGGGAAATGGCTCATCAGATAGAATGTCCAATTTTAGCAATAGTAGGAAACTTACTTAACGTTGATGAAGATAAAATACGAATGCTTACCAAAATCATCAGGTTTCTGATTGTAGTAACAGCAAAGGGTGAAAAAATTGAAGAACTGCTCGAAGACATGAAAATAGCTGAATCTAATCCAGGTAAAGAATAGATTTCATATCTTATGGCTAGAATAGAAAATATAAGAAAAGATTAAACTATATTTAAATAATATGAAAATAGTGATAAATTATGTGATAAAGAGCGAACTCTAACATACTGTTCATTTTCTAAAACATGCTTTTTGCAGATAATAGAACTGCAGGATTTACAGATGAAGGCATACTGGATAGTGCCAGTGCACGATCAGCTCTGAGTCTTGCTACTAATATGACAACAAGACCACTCATTGGAATCAGTGCTTTTGCATGTATCTCGTCTCTTGCAATTATGCTCCTAGCCACACAGACTAATTTCTTCTGCAAGAAATACGAAGTGAACCAATTAAAAAATATTGACAAGTTTCCTAAGATCAGATTCTGTGGCAGCCTTATGTTCCGTGCCTGTGTTATAATGTCTTCCAATTGTTTCTCAGTAATTTATTTAATAGATAATACATAGGACGTTATAGAAAATTCGATAATCAATAGAGATCCATATAGAACAATGTTACATTGCGTGACATTTATTTTCTAGGTACAACAAGACCCAGGAATTAAAACAGGTTCAGGATTATACGTAACGCATAGCTTGTACAATCATTCTTGTGCTCCGAATACATTTCGGCATTTTGAAGGGTTGACAATGATTACTCGCGCGTTACAGCCAATATCTCCTGGAGATCAAATATTCACAAATTATGGTGCTTCGTATGCGTACATGACAAGATCTGCAAGAAGAGAAAAAATAATGCAAGATTACTTCTTTGAATGTGATTGTACCGCGTGTACATTTGACTGGCCAACGTACAATACAATTCTTCGCAATCATATTGGTTCTATCAGTAAGAATAAGGAACTCGTGGAGAAATTGAAGCCTTATAAGCAACGATTAACGAAAAATATGTATGACATTGAAGCTGTGAAATCGGTCCTCCTTATATTGTTCAAAGTAGTGACCCAGCCATGCGAAGAAGTCGTACATGCGGAACAATACCTGAAGAGTTATTATTTAGGTAAATTTAAGTAAACTTGAAGTGAAGTTACTTACATTTATTTATATGTTTGTATGCTTTATTTATATGCTTCACTTACTTGCAAATACTAAATAGTATACTTACACCCTACAAACCACTTTCACCTAAATATTTCACTTTGTACACTGATTTACTTGCTGCTTATTAATGCTTTATAGCTGCTTCTATTAGTCTTTAGCTTATATTATTCTATGAAAATAATATGTTTAATTCTTCTGCTGCAATGGTATGTGAAAAGTGTGTGCATTAGATATTCCAATTTCAACTTCAATACTATAGATGAATTCTTTTGTTTTTAGATCCATAAAAGAGGCATCAATATTGTACTACGTTATTAATGAAAGACATGGAGTATTCCTAAAAACATTTTATTTAAGTTATACATGATATTTAGCTAATTCCTAAAAACGTGTGTATAGCTTTTTCCATGGGTTATACTTATATAATTGTTCAAACAAATTGAAATTCATGTAATAATGTAAATTTAAAAAACATGTAACATAGAAAATAAACTTTTTAATGCCTACTTTACTTAGAAAAGAAAACTTTTCAACTTAATAAGTGCAACCTCAATAATGCAATAAGGAAACGAATATTTTATATACCTTATATAATGTGTTGTAAAAATGAAATGCTTTATATCCATATCCATAGTATATTTTTATATTAGACAAAGTATATAAGACTTATAAGTTCGACCAAATCATTTTTACTAATCTAAATTAAAGATAGAAGCATATGTCACAATATGATCATTTGATGAGACTAATAAAAACTGTAAAAGCGATCAAAGCAATCGTAGCAATTTATTGAAATCACAATTTAATAAATTCTACAAATTAATCAAAGATTCGTATACGATTGCAATAAACAATGGAATTATATAATTAAATTACTGATCTCTAAGTCAATATGTTACGTATTGAAATATTTATCACAATAAACTAGATAGATCTCGATAAAGTAATAATATACTTTAAAATCTCTTTTAATTCTATAGCAATAAAAGCAAAGAAAAATAAAAGAAATATAGAAAACACACTCGAAATTGATTAGACATTACCGATCTTCTAAATCTCCTCCATTTATAATGCTACATTAAGTATACTAAGCTAAAATATTTTTATCCAACGAACGAAATGATAAAGAAATATGTATATATATAAACAGATATATCATTATACATATCCTTGCTAAATCATACAAACAAAATCTATAGAACTTATAAATCTTGATGAATTCCATGTTTAAAAGTGAATATTTTTAATACATAGAAAAAACATGCTAACACTTTATTAGTCAGAAATATCGGAATCATGTATTGTTCAATTCTGTTAGCAATATCCGTTTTTACTGAATATCCTTGCAAAATATTCATCTCATTCTTTATTAGACGAGTACGAATGCGAGAAAAATAAAGGAGAATCATGCATCTCCGATTTTCATTATATAATAAATAATGACAAACGAATTAAAATCGCCCGATATTTGAAAAAGCAGCAAACAGAGGTGTCGTGGTTGTAGCCGGTTGCTGATCGCCGATGCTTTTCAGCAAATTGCCTTGCAACAGACTGTCAAGTGCCTTTTGAACTGTCGGATCGTTTAGCAGAGGTGACGGTGAAACTCCCGTAGTAGTAGAAGTAGTTGTGGATGCTGTTGTGGCAGTTGATGCTGCTGGCATAACATGATGTACTCATGAAGTTAGCAATACCAGCAAGATATATATATATATATAAAAATATATATGTATATTCGAAGTTCGTTCGCTTTGATCACTGTGTCATACAACAATAAGCACAATTTCACTACACGCCCGATGAATTAAATAAAAAAAACCCAAAGCGTACGAAGTTCGTTTATGTTTAATCACTCCAATCCAATGTTTAAATCAAAATTTTACCTGAAATGATTTGTCTAAGAAATTCTTAGACAAAATACACATTTGTTTTTAGTTTTTTTAAACGTCGAATTATTCTGAAACTTCGTCAATAGAAATTTCTATACGCGATTGAAAAATTTCTTTGGACATGTTCATGAAATAGACACAAACAAATCCAAAAAAGAAACGTAAACGACAGGTGCTTCAGAATCTCTAAAATGCACCTATAAAATGACCTTTCCAAATATGCAAAATAATGCAACAGGTCGTATATTCGCATGAAAAACGCGATACACCTTGCATTCTCAATACTACTCTTTTTGAGTAAAACAGCGGTATTCTTATAAGAAAGAAAAGTAAATGTTCCAAGATATAATGGGCACATAACGCAATAAAATTACACTACTGAATATATGATGCATTTCTCTTTTTTAATTGATAACTAACTTCGGCAAAATTAATATCCATTAGATTTTAATGAAACTTATATTACCCCGAATTCATAAATCATGGTATAGAAATTTAACACGAAATTAGCGATGATATAATACTATGTACATGTTGTTTAAATTGAAAAAATAACGTCTTAAAAATATTACCTCCCCAAGTAGCTGGTGGAACAGGTGCCGGTGTCGATGTCGGAGCTGGTACCGGACTAGGTGTCGGTGCAGATGAACTTGTCTTATTACTATTTAGAATGTTAAGTATTCTAGACTGCAATTCAGCTTGTTTCGGGTCGCTAACTGTTATTGTAGTTGTCGCTGTAGGTAAATCTTTTACATCTCCTAATTCAACCTGCACTTGTTCTTCCCGTTTGATTTCAAGATATTTTATAACACGATCGTATTGTAATACTGTTAGTTGATGATTATCAGCTAACATATTTAAGAGAACTTGAATAGCATCAGGATGTCGCTCATTTGCGAACGGTGTGTTCAATGGAACTGATCGTCCGCCAGCTTTGTAATTAGCAAAATCACGTGATATTAAATTAATAGCATCATCGACGAGCATATTTCTATGTTCTATATGAAAAAATAAATATGTATTAATATCACAATTACTAGATTTTCATATGATTATTGAGACACATACCTTGGGGTAAACCATGAAGAATATTTAAAGTTAAGGAATGATGTTCTTGATTGATAGGTGTAACAACAACTGCATATAAACATCCACGACTCGCTATGTTTCCTAGAACTCTACTTAAAAGAACATCTTCATTTGGGAATAATAAATCGACCGTTAATCCGATTTTCTTTAACCTCATTTCAATACTTTCAGCATACTCCCTGTTTGAACAAAAATATTAATTAAGAGAAACATTTCATAATTGTACAAAAGCTATATTAGTTTTATACATACGTCAGTGCTTTGTTGACAACAATAATTTCACAATCATTTTTTTCAGTCACCACATTTGATGCGTTTGTGTTGCTATTAAACAAATATGATATTAAATGATGTTATACTATTTATAGCAAAAATATGGAAAAATAGACTGGTTTACTTACTTAAAACTCATACTCATATCCCTAGGACCAGAATTCTTGAAATCTTCATAACGATTATTAGTGTCATTAAACGAATCTCTACCAAAATTACTCCCTCTCAATCTATCACCCTGTTTGTGATCCCAATCCCGACCGCCTTTATCATCTAAACGACCGCCTCTATTAATAGGACTACGGTCTCTAAAATTATTTCCAACTGAATTGTCCCGATTTTTATTGCGATTTTTCGCACCCCTGCCTTTTGCTCTACCACCTCCGCCGCTATTCATACCACCACCACCACCACCTCCTCCTCCGCCTCCTCCGCCTCCACCGCTGCCGCCGCTTCCGCCTCCACCACCACCTCCGCCACCACCACTTTGACTGTGATTATTCTGATTATTTGCATTACGATTTTGATTTCCTCCAGGTCTATTCTGATTTCCACCTGGTCCAAATTGATTGCCACCTCTGTTTTGAGGAAACTGATCAGTGCCACTCCTGTTCTGATTATTTGGATTAAACTGATTATTCCCTTTATTTTGCATCATATTAAACTGATCATTCCCACTGTTTCGATTTTGATTTGCAAACTGATCATTTGCATTGTCCCTATTCTGATTACTATCATTAAACTGATCATTTCCACCGCTTCGATTTTGTATTGCATTCCCTTTTTGACTATCATTTAACTGTGGATCACAGCTGAAACTTTGATTCGGATTAAAATTTGAATTTCCACCATAGCTTTGATTTCCACTATTAAAAGAATCATTGCCAGGATTAAAATGATTGTTATTAGAATTGAACTGATTGTTAGGTCCTCCTAATTTTCCTGCACCCCCACCTCCTCCACTGGATTGATTGTCTTTCTTTGCAGGTCTAACATCTGTTCGAATAAATAAGAAATCTAGAATGTCATACATCTACGATAACAAATAGTTGATGAGAGAAGATAAATAAAAATACCTATTCTTCTGCCTTTGAACATAGCACCATCCTCATTTTGAATAGCTTTTTGAGCAGACTGTTCTTCTTCAAACTGAACAAAGCCAAAACCTCTATTTATCAATGAACCAACGACAGTTCCATATTTTGAAAAGTGTTCTTCCAATTCATGTTTGGTCATATCATCTGTTTGTAAATGACCCACAAATATACGGCTACTTACAGTAGCAGGGTCTTTCAAAAGTCTTACACTCATTTTCCAGTGATTTGCTTTTGAAAAGCAATCCTTCTTAAAAGTAAATATTTATAAAATAATGCACTAACCACATTCAAGTGATAAATACAACAGTGGTTGGATTACAATGCTGACGTTTACTTCTTGTATTTTACTTCATTCAGATAGATTATCATCCACAGGAGGATGATAACATTATACAGCGATAAACAGATTTTCTATACCCTGTTCGACTTCAAACAACAACTGAAAGTTGAAGGAATTACATATAATGGCGTGTATATGTAAGATTTATCCTTCAAGTGTGTTCTATTTTAATACTTGCAGAGATAACCATCAAACCTATTCTACCATTTCTAAACAATTCGCTATTCAACGAACAATGATGATGGAGCAAAAATTCGTTCCTTGCAAACACGCCTGAAGAGATTATACAAAAAAGAGACAACTCTCCACTGACAAATTCCTTGTTTCATTGAAACATCATATAGTATGTTAACTGTTCTAGATTTTCACAGGAAAACGCATGCATACTCATTGATAAATAAAATCATTTTCGATCTGAAAAAACGCATCGCACTTTGAATTTTCATCACGAGTACTGTGAACTACGAATTAGTGGTGACGGAAATACTTTTCAGCGCCATCTTGCCTCGTAACTTCTAATTCGTCAGTACCTGTGAATGGACTTGTCATAAGTGTTTTATGTTATTTTGCTTCTTATTTCGGTTAAAATTAGTGCATTAAATTTCCAGTATACATTACGGTGAGTATAACGATACACGTTAATCGACCAACAAAGTTACAGGAATGTAACGTCATTAATATGGAACTATAAGTAGTATAGTCTAGAATAAAAGAGTCCAAGTTCGACAACTCATTTCGACAGTTTAATATTTTTAGACGTGTTAATTGACAATGTGTCTTTTCATTCGTTCGTTTCTTTTGTACAGTTTTACGCTAACCAATATCTGAAGTAAATCGAACAAGTGCAGAATTACGAAGAAGTCACGCCCGAGCATGAGAAAGCACAGATAGAGTTTCGAAATTGACATATCACGTATTTTCACAGATTTAGCCTTGCACTTAAGTTGGTGTATGTATACCTATTGTGTTTGTTATATCTAAAAAATAGCTCATATATGTATTGTCTACGATCCGTGACATTGTTTTTTTAAATCTATTTGGAAGAAATCATTTTATATTCGTGTGGCATATGATTGTCATTTAATGCACGCACTTAAATACCTACCTATGCGATGTCCCTATATACATAGTTAATTTAAACTTTCAAACGCCACAAGGAAGTATGCAGTAATGATCTTTTTATGTATCATAAAAAAGTGATTTACGCAATTTAAAAAAAAAGCGGATAGCGTGTGTTCAATTATCACCTCTAATGTTTAAGGTTAAGAGTTGTAAAATAACAGCACACAAAATTTTTTTAAATACAATGTTTTCATTTTGAATTATCAAATCTTTATGATGTTATTTATTTCGGAGTTGTAGAAAATGAAGTACGAAAGAATGAATAGAAATCAATAGTTTGATAGATGTTAACAAACATATAATACCTTTTAAGTGTCTCAAAGAAACCATATAATGATAATCTTGAACCAATTTAAAGTAATTCTTTTAAAATTTTACCAGATTCAGAAAATTTTTGAGATCAACATATCAGTGTTATTTACTTTATAAGAAAAGTTGTATTATACATGAGCTATGATAAGATAAGATACAAACATAGTGGTGACATTAACTGGCAGATAATAAAGATTTCTTCACTTTTCAGTTTAATAACAAGGCTTTCTTGAGGACAAATAAATATCCTCCAATTCGTAAATGTAAGTAATTTTATTTTTTCTGATTGTTGCATGCAGCTTATTAATTTTAAAAACTAATAGTTTTAGTCAAATTTCTTTTCTTCTGATAAGGACTTTCTCTTTTCATTTCTTTTGTTAAACTGCTTGCAAGAGGTTTTACTATAAACAAAAAGTAGTTTCAATGATTTATTAAGATATTTTATATTTTCCAAATAATTACAATTTAAGCAATTTTAGTCAGTGCCGTATTGATGAAGTAAGTGTAATATTGCACAAAAACTGCAACTTTGATGTAATATCAAAATCTATTACCAAAGAGGCACTTCCTACGCTTAATTGTTTTTGGTACAAAATTCTAAACATCTTATTTAACTTTTTAATTAATTCAGAGTTATGTTTTGTTATAATTGCATTTACTTATAAAGGAATTGAGTAAGTTTATAAGTTTCTAATTTTCTTTTCTTTTACAAAGTTGCTTTTTATAAGGAAAAAAAGAAAGAATTTGTAACTAATAGAATATAGAATATAGTAATATTTTTTTTTTCAAAACTTTTTTGTATATCCTATATTTAAAACAACATTGTACATAGTTTTTAAAAGAAAGTACTTTTAGGTAAAGAAAAGTATTGTATATTGTATATGTATTAAACAAGAGTTGTGCCTATTTAGATTTGTAATAAAACTTAGTGATATTCTATATTGTTATACATGTGTACATATGTTAATGAACAAATTTATATGCTTGTAAAATATATTTTATTGAAATAATAAAGAATGCAGTATTCTGTGCAATATTTATTTGCATAATATTTTGCAAAATCATAAAAGTTACATATAAAATGCACTCAGTTGATCATGTAATCATTTATGCATTAAATAAGAAATTCATTCATCATCGACAGGTAAATGTAAGAAACCTTGCTTGTTTATTTAATGAAATATCTAATAGTCTAGGATTTTATTCTGATTTGAAAAGTGTTCTGGAGTTTTCTGTATTTGTGGACAAGAAGTAGCTTCATCAGCAACACCAGCCATATTTCATATGCCAACAATGGCTATGCAGAAGGTAAATTTTCTAACTGGATACAGTTAACAAAATAACAAATGTTATTACATTACTAATCGATTGTTAGAAAATGTTTCAAAGACAAATAATGTAGATACATGTTTTATGAATCACATAATAAATAATATACAGGGTGTTATTAAAAATTATTGTGGTAGAAGTATAGTGTTTAAGACAAATCTTAGAAGTTGCATTTACAATTTGAAAATAATTGAATCAACCAGAACCATTCTAAGAATACCATCCTGTATATACAAAAGGATACAATTATAGTTTTTAGTAATCTAATTTTTGCACATATTTGAAATCATTTATGTTTTATTTTTGCAAAATTATGTAACAGTAATAAGTTATGTACATTATGCAAGTCAGTATTGCATCAAATATTATTTTAAAAAATCTTCCTAACATTAAGTTTTCTTTTTTTCTGAAAAGATAAAACAATTCTTATTAGGAAACAATTAACGATTTCTGGTAAAAAGTTTTTTCTTAAAAAAGATTATTACAATAGTACAAATTACTGTTTAATGTCTCTGAATATATGTAATGTTAAATGCATTAGTTTGGTTAAATCTTTTGTATCTGGGGTATATACATAGGCACATCTCTAAAGAAATTAATCTGCTTTAAAGCTTTGTATACATACGTATCAAACATAAAAAAACAATTGGTTACATTTATTCAGTTTCATTAGTTTTATTATACTTTGTTTAGCATATAATTTGCAAATTATACAATAATATCATATGTAGAACAAGTGAATATCATTAAAAAGGTTTCTTTACTTTTATATCATATGCACTTTTAGTTTAAGTACTTTCATTCATTTTACTACTAACCAAATAGAAAGTAGGAATAATACATTAATTTGATGAAAAGTAGAGTGGCATACAAGTTTTATAATGAGTTGTCTGCTTTCTTACTAATGCATATTTAGTAGCATGGCTTTAGTATGAAATGGTTGCCCATATTTATTACCAGTTTTTCTTTAAATAAATTTTTTTTTGAAGTACATGTAGCAGAACTATGGTTTCAGCCACATTGGAAATTAGTAGCACGTATGAAATCTAATTGACTATGTATGATGATAAGTATGGGCTTCTAAAAGTTGTGCGAATATTACTACCTGCTTGTAATATACAGTGATAATCTTTTAGATGAGAAGACAAGGTCAGGACGTCATGCAGGTGAATTTGGCAGGTATTAGGCGAGATATTGTTAATCTCGCTCACAATTATAGTAATGCACAGGTAATTACTTTTTTTTTATTTTACCGCTTGATATAATTTTATTTCATTCTTCAATTAAAACTGTTGGGTATTCAAACAGAAAGCTGTACGAAAAGCCACCAGTAATGATCCTTGGGGTCCAAGTAGTACACTTATGGCAGAAATAGCTGATTTAACTTATAACGTTGTTGCTTTTACCGAAATTATGCAAATGTTATGGAAGCGATTAAACGATCATGGAAAAAATTGGCGGCACGTGTACAAAGCTTTAATCCTTTTAGAGTACCTTATTAAAACAGGCACAGAGAAAGTTGCACAGCAATGTAAAGAAAATATTTTTGCCATTCAAACTTTGAAAGGTAAATAACTCGGTGCTTTTCTTTATAAAAATTTACCAAAAACATTGATAATCTATTTTTTTTTCCTAGATTTCCAGTATATGGAAGGATCTAAGGATCAGGGGGTGTATGTCCGGGAGAAAGCGAAGCAACTAGTGGCCTTATTAAAAGATGATGAAAGACTAAGAAACGAAAGGGCTAGAGCACTGAAAGCAAAAGAGAGATTTGCACAATCAGTTAGTGGATTTGGTAGCGATGGATTAGATACTATGTCACCTGTTAGCAGTGATGTAAGTAAAGATTAATAACCATTTCAATGGTTATCTTATTTAAGATCATACTTCTTTCTCATGGTAGTTTCAGGATTGGGAACCGTGTCGTTTAGGATCTGAATCTACGGCTAGGCGTACAAGTAAACGTTGGTGCAACTTTTTTATATTACACTTTATTAATTTATTGATTTTGCGGTAATTAATAATAATGATAAACACATTACAGCCGAACTTGAAGCTGCAAGACCGCAAACGGTCGGGGAAGAAGAATTACAGCTACAATTAGCTCTTGCAATGTCTAGAGAAGAAGCCGAACAGGAAGAACAAAGAAGACGTAGCGATGATGTTAGATTACAATTAGCTCTTAGTCAAAGTCAACAAGATTTTAAGTTAGTAAAAATCATTTTAAAGTGAGTATCATCTGATCGAATTACTCGTCTAAAGATATGTATAAATTATAGAGCCCCGCAAACAGAGAAACAAAGTCATATGCTAGATTTACTGGATGTAAACTTGGAAGAAGCATGCGGGTATAATGTAAAAACTGATCCGTGGGGTATACCGATCACAGCACCTCCACCCAGACCTCAGGTATATAATGTTAAATAAAGTTCAATTTATGTGTTCGCTTATTGCATGATAACACAATATTCCACACACTTTGCATGTTAAACAACAGTCTTTGGATTTATCTCAGTTTTGTATATACAAGGTATGTCTATCTAACGTAGCAAATGTCGCAATAATGAAGCGTTATAAAACACCACAAAAATTTTTTAAAGTTGTTTTGTACTTAACATGTTTTTTTATTGTTCAGCAACAAAACGATCCATGGAGTGCTCCTACAACGAGTAGTACCTCGCCTGCAATCGATCCATGGACTCCTGTTCCACCGCAAAGACCAAGTAAAATTTGTTAAAAGGAATTTTGAACGATACAAAACATCGATTTTACCGTAATTAATTTATGATTCTGTTTCAGCTGCTGCAGTTGATCCGTGGCGAGCACCCCCTTCATCACCCGTGACGGTTACATCTTCACCTAGCACAGATCCTTGGTCTCCTCTACCTTCTGCTACTGCTACCGCTACTACCACTACTGAAGCTGATGCAAATAAGAAACAGGTAGATTATTCATCAGTCCTAAAAATTATTTATACCGTTTAAAAGAATATTTGAAATTATATTGTACTACACTTATTTATATTATCATCAAATTAATTTGATCATTGCAAAATTATCTAGGCTGATCGAGAAGGTATAACATCTACTTCTCCAGCTTTTAACAATTCCACTTTAACACAGAATATTGGTTTTGCGGCACAGTCGCCCCAAAATATAGGCTTTAATTTGCCTACCACTTCAAGTGCTACTTTCAATGCTACTAGCAATGGCTTCAATGGTACTGGGCCTAGTCTTAACAATTTCCCTCTTGGAAATCAAAATAGTTCTGCAGCCAGTCCGCTGAACGATTTAGATGAATTTGATATAATTACTAACAGAAATAAGCCTGGATCTAGTCTTCAAACAGCAAACAACGGTATTTATTTACTCTATTTGAGTATATTTCAACTACAATAAATAAATATTAATGTCCTATTTTTTTTTTTAAATGGGGCTACAGGAGATACGCTATCACCAGATCCATTCGATTTGGGAAGCATAGCCGATAATCTTCCTACGAGTACTGGAGCTGTTAAGAAAACACCGCAATCGTTCCTCGGAGAGAATTCTGCTCTTGTTAATCTTGATAATCTCGTCAGTACATCTACAATCAAACCAACAACACCTACACCCGCAGGTAATATCTTATTTATAATAATCTTCCATACGTCATTCAAAAGCAAAATGCAAATGGATAGAAGTACAAAATTATTCAAATTTTTAATCTAAAATTGCATCTAGTCCAATGAAAATAGATAATACGTCACGTTATTTGTAACACGTTTTGTCTGCAAAATAGCATTTCATTGGAAGTAAATTCGTAAGTATTTAAAAATTGATCAATAATTGCATGAGTGCATGATTCGAATATTTGACAAAATTATAGAAATTGTGTTCCCCGAATGAAACGTTCTTTTTCATCATGAAAAAGAAATGATGGTATCATTGACATTTATGTATATGATTTTCTGAAATTTTAATGACTATTATCTATTTAGTATTGGATGGCTTAAATGAAGGTTAAACAACTTTACAGCGGCCATCACATACTCAGCAAATCCGTTTGCGACGGCAACACCACCACCCCGTCCTACAATCAATCAGATTCGACAGGATCCTTGGGCAGCGAATACGACTACTACAGCAAATCCGTTCCTCTCGTAGCTTGGTGATCATTTGATAAATGTCAGTCGAAAATCAAGAGCACTGTGGTTTAAAAAAAGTATTCGAGGTTTTTAGCGGTAACCCTGTACGGTATAAGTTTCTTGCTCGTTATGAAATAACATTATTTCAAGATATAAACGAGAAACAAACGATAAACACTGTCTTGTTAAAACTAAGTATTTATTACGCTCGTTTTAGATTTTCAAGGTAACTAATTAAATTTCTTTTAAAACTGGTCAATGTAACAAACTAACGTCTATGATCTTAAAGCAGTGACAAGAATGGTGTGGGAAAAATACATCACGAGATAAATCTGTACAGATAAATTTTAAAAGAACGTATGTAATAGCAATATTTGCTTCTAAATAGTAACTAAAAAGTTTTCCAAACATTTCTATTCTTTTCTTAGAAGTGTTTGTGTCTACAATCATTTTAGTTATTCTTATTTTATTGCGCGTACTAATAAACGAATGGGGAACTGTCTTAAGAAAGCTAATATATAATAAATCAAATAATGAATGAAAGGAATACAAGTCGTATTTCAACTTCGAATGCTTGTACGCTCCCAAGGTATAACTAAATTTTATAAGGACTTTTTCCATATATAGTATATTTTTTAAGTACTGTTCGAATTGGTAATAAATCATTGAACAACACTTTTATTAGATTGTAGGGTATAAAGTAACATTGATGTTAAGATGATTTTCTTTGTTTTATATTCATGTACATGTTTTTCTACAGCTAATGAGATCGTGAGACTGTAATCGTAATTTGCAAAAATATATTATATCGAACAGGGTTCTTTAATTTATGTTATACGTTTATATATGACACGCAATTGATTGTGATTCGTGAAATATTCTTGTCATAGCATGCCTTTTATGACTAATATCCATCTTACGAGAAGAGATGTGTATATTAGCGATATGATAGGTCGTTTACTAACACTTCAGAATACTTGAAGATGGGACAATTGAGCAATTTTATGATCGCAAAAGTAATATATCAATCTTTAAAGCCATTACGGTAAATACCATATGTACAAGTTTAACTTCAGTTTGGAAATTTTATGCATTTAATTTGAATGGTTATTGAACATCGACTTCGTGCACTGTCAAGAACAAAGCGTAGCGTAAACTAATGTGCATTTTCTTATTAATTAAGAATTTAATCGAAGCGTTTTATTTTTTAACAGAAACATAATTTTTGATGGTAATTTTCCATTAGGACAGTGTCTTTATTCGTTCGACTGTTGGATTAAATGAACGATCATGATCTGATAATGAAAGGTAACGCGGAGAACCGCGTTACTTTCTTTATACACGAAACAATTTACGATTGTACCTTGATTTATAATTAAAAAAGAATTGTAAATATGTTACAGCATATCGTTCCCCAGTTGTCAAATAAGTTGCTTCTACAGCAATTCGGTTAAAATCTGAAGGGTTTTGTAACATTTTACCAATTGTTTCCTGTTTTTTTCAGGAAATATTACTCAGTTAATTATTGTATATTTTGTAAACATTTTTCAAGACTATAGTTGCAACCCTGTAAGACAGAAATGTGATTAACTATTTAACATTCTAATCATTGTATTGGTGACTTTTTTGAAGGATTAATTTATCGATAGTCGCAAATGCAAACTCGGCATTTCCATTTTAGAAATGTAAATGCATTTTACAGCTTTTATACGGAAGAAACTGTTTCCATATGTTTAACAATTGGCAAAGGGGAACTATATTTGTCTATTTGTTCTAAGTAAACCATATATGAATTGCACGATTAAAATTGTGTTAGGTAAATATTGCTTAAATAATTCCATTGTATTATTCTTCGTTAAATTAATAACTTTTCTTTCTTTATGCATTTTCAAACGTAATTGCTTATATATTTGAAATTGTATATTTAATGCGTATTTATCCAAATGTTCGCGAAATAATGAAGTTGGGTCTACATGATAGGCCTTCAATTTTCTCGTCAACTTCAATTTCAGATTACATTATAGACCGACAACGATCTATTCTTATTGCTTTTATAGAAGAAAAAAAAGAAGTATTGCATTCAATCGTTGTGCCTATCGATATACATGTAAACGTGTTATACCGTATGAAATTTGTTTCAGCTAACTAGATACATAAGATGCATTTTTTTTTTTTTATAAACGTATTAACGAAAAGCTATTTTTCTTTTTATGTAAATGTTGTAAATGCACGTTCTTCATTTTTACGCGAACAATGGAACACTGTTTAGTTTTTAGTTGGTGTAAGTGTAGAGAAAGTTTAAAGAACATTTATGAATGATTATATATTTTAGTAGAGTATATTATTATTATTATTATTATATAAATAAATGTAAAAATTTTTAATTTTTCTGATTAAATATTTAATTTGAAACGTCCTTGTATATTCTTTTTTGCAAAGATTCAAATGAACCTAACAATTGGAAATTATTTTATTCTAAAGGGATGCTTCGGTTGAAGAACTTATAGTAACTGGGGGTAGAAAATACGAGCGAACTTGACTATGTAATTGTGCTATTTCAGGGTCCTCCCTTTCTAGGGCCCTAAGTAATTGTGCAAATTGCACTGTACCTGTAACCAAATAATTAGAAAATGTTTATGATGAAAATTATGACTTTATAGTTAATGCTTTACCTTCTCTACCTTCTGGAAACCCATAGTTCTTAATTACATCCATTTGAATTTGTACAATAATGGGAAAAACAAACTGCATCATTTTGAGCATTTCATTCCCAGAATTTTCTTTGGCTTCTGCCAATTTCTGAATATTTTCTGGAGCATTTAATGCTGTCAAGACATCAGTTAAAACAGCTGAAAGACATTTTTTTCATCTTACATGTTTCTAAATAATCATTAAGGCTATAGCAAATTTAAGTTGTAAGTACCTTTTGCGATGTCTGGAGTAAAGGCAGGTATAGTAGTCATTGTAATAGGAGATTTTTACAAATTAAATATAGAAAAAATTAAACCCTCAATATTATTGGATAGGTTAAAGATATACAACCTTCTCTATATAGTATTTAGGATAATTTTAATGTTATTTCGTTTTGCCAAATGAAACATTCATTATGATTTTGTTTATAGCAAGACCATTAACATTTTTTAAATACCAATTTAAATCACTATTTGCAGAATGTGTCAAAACATGTATACCGCAGTTCACCAGAGTCCATAACTGCGACACGCAGGTTGGAAGATGGTGGGGGAACGCAGCGAGCTCTCTGCTAATCGCTTTCCACTTCGTTTGGGAGTATCGCCAATCAGGGCGAAGATGCGCACTAGAGATGCGCGAAGAACGAAAACTGGTGTTTTCGCAGTTATGGACTCTGGTGAACTGCGGTATAAACAATATGCACTGTCCAAGAGGGCGTTCGAGTTAAACTTGAGTGAAATGTCATTTTATTTCGTAATATGAGTTAAAAACGAACAAAAACTCCAAAATTATAGAAAGAAATATATGTGTCAGGATTCAATTTGAATCTAATGATTTCAAACCTATTTTATGAGCACAAAATATAATGTATGATTCCTAAATTTTATTAAAATAGTAATAGGTAAACAAAATTTCTGACCAGTGTTTCTCAAACAATTCATCTTCACATAACCTATTCATAAGAATAAGTTGTCAACAGACAATGAAATTGTAAATAGAGGACAATTTTTATCAAAGAACGGTAGGTAAACCAATAATCAACAAGTTACTGATAAGCAGAACAAACACTGTAGTTAAAATATTGTTAAAAACCATTGATAATAATATATAAGTACATAAAAAGATCTCTATAATGAATAGCACTCATGATCAAGCATTTTTACAAATTTTACAAGAAGAGAAAAATATAACAAACTTCTTAGATGCATTCTTTGGATTTTTGTACAGATGGTAAGTCAGTATTTTCATAAGTATACCTTCAATATTTTATTTATTTTTATTTAAAAAAACACAATTTATGATTTTATTACAGCACAGATTTTTATGTTGAATCTGGACCAGATCAAAAATTAGGTTTTCCACCTGGTACAATAGAGAAGCTTGTATTACACAGTTTAAGAAAATGGAAGAATATTTCCAAATTTGCCAGTGGAACAGACCCACCGAATACCCAAGAAGTTATTATCCAAAGTAATGATAAAGATCAAGATGAATCAATGACTATAGAAGAAGAGATTGTTGTTCCACAGGTGGATCATGAAGTAGAAATTGAAACAAGCAAAGAAAATCAAATCATAGGTATACCTACTCAGTTACTGGAAAGGGATAGATCATCCGACAGTTACAATGGGGCAATAAGGGAAAATTATACTTGGTCCCAAACTGTCAGCGACATAGATGTGTTAGTTCAACTTCCTAGTTGTATCAAAACTGCTAAAGACTTAAGAGTACACTTGGATTCAAAAGAAATTAAAATAGAGGCAAGGACATCGAGGGTTGAACAAAATCAAGAAGTAGAAGAATGCCGGTATTTTGTGTGGACCACAATATTCAGGGGTGAACTAAGTTTCAAAGTTAGAAAAGATGAGTCAGTATGGAGTATAGTACCTGGCCAATATATTAGTGTAAGTGAAAATGTTAAAATAATTATTAAAGAACAAAATAATTACCAAATTATTATTACAGATTCATCTTGAGAAAGCTTCTGAAAGATGGTGGGAAGCATTACTTGTTGGTGAACCAAAAATTGATTTGACTAAGATTGATTGTTCAAGGAATTTAGATGAGATGGGATCAGAAGAACAAATGAAAGTTCAAGAGCTAATGTGGAATCATCAACAAAAGCTTCTTGGTAAACCAACTTCTGAACAAATCGTAAGTACATAAAAAAAAATACCAAAATTACCGACGTAATAAGAATTTCTAATATTAAATTGTATGTACAGAAAATGGAGAAAGTACTAAGAAAGGCGTGGGACGCAAAAGGATCTCCTTTCGAGGGTACTCCATACGATCCTTCGATAATAAATTTCAATTGATCTATACGTATCTTATTTTTGATTAATTGTTATAACTAAATCAATCAAATTGTACATGGCTAATTCTATTTAATTGCGGTTAAACGTTAAAGATTTTAATTGATATATATATATCTGAATCTTAATTATTAACAAATTCATTTATTAAAACACATGGAGAATGTGTTTTGCAATAAATACATTATGTTAATATGTATATTTGTACAAACATAATTTCCTGTTTAATTCATTTCAATCATACACGTTCATTTCCACTTCGCGCATTTGTTCGATAACGGTTCCGTGCCTTTAAGCCCAGGCCAAACCGTGATACTTAAAATCCTATTATCCGTGAGAAAATTCCTGGCAGGTACCTGCATGTCCGTAATTTTACGAACCCGCAGGTACGCAGGTGTTTTCTCTCAGGTTCGCAGGTAGGTAATCCATTTCCACAAAGCGTTCAAAGGATAACCCACGCATTAAAGCTAATCAACGCGTTTGCAATGCTGTATCAAGGTTATCGTGCATAAAACGATAGCAGTAGCGCAGAAAGAGATCATAGAATGCAAGGAATTCCACGTTTTTCCATTGGCGTTTGCATCGGGTTTATCTCTCACCCTGTGGTGGGATTGTTTGGTAAAAGGAAGAAGGAAGGAATGCTTTATGGAAGCCAGATAGACAGCCACGGAGAACGTTGTTCTCATTTTCTGGAATTCCCTTGACTCTGGTGTCCCAACAAATTCCAGTCTTCTCATCAATTTTTCATTAAATTTCCATCAATCACCAGCATTGGGGTAACTAGGTAAGGACCAAGACGATTCTCCCCTCTATTGAAAAATTGGAATCTCTTCGTTATGTTCAAAGTGATTTGTGTATGCAGGCATTGAAATCACCCAGGTGAAGCTGGTAGACCCTGTTTAGTAAAAGATACTAAAAATGAAAAATCATTAGCTAAGGAGCAAGATCCTAGGAAGATGAAATTTTCTGATATTTTCATAAGAGTAGACTTTAAAGACGAGAAAATATGCGTTGAGCACCGCTGAAGGTAAAACACAGGTAATATACCTGCCTGAGGCTACATCCATCCCCACCTGGAGTCCGGTTCTCTCTCCTTGGTTGGTTCTCAGCTTTTCTCCGAGCTGAGTCGAGCCGTTAGTGTCGTTGTCGTAGGAGAGAATGGTAGTAATGTGTATCGCGGAGTATCGTGCACCCTGAAGGACGTTCGTCATCGTCGATCGAGTTCTTTTTTTTTTTTTTTCAAATTCGTCCTCTTCTTTGTCCGTCGACGAAAAAATTGAGGTTCAGCGATCGTGGAAGCTGGACCCGATTCGTGAACAGTTCGTGACCTGTTTCGTGAGGATCTTTTGTCACGGATGCTCGAGAAGCTCGGGGAAGACGACGACGACTACCTGTTGCCCTCCGTATCGTAGTAGCTGATAGTGGTGTGAGGTGAAGGTAACAGACGTAGGAAAAAAGGAGTCGAGGAGGAAAACTAAAGAAGAAGAAGAAGAAGAGGATACCAAGATGCCCTGTTCCGCGGTGACGCTGTCCCTCGCGACCATAACCGGTATCATTGCCACTGGCCTCCTAGCGATCGCCTTTTCCACGGACAACTGGCTCTACACCGAGGTCAAACGTGCCCAAATCCAGGTTCGTCGTTCGATTAATATATATTTTCATTTAATTTTTCTTAAGCTTCGATGGTACTCCGGTGGAGAACCTCCTTTTCAGAAGAGAATGCCACGTTGTTGGTTTTTGTAGGTGATAACCCCGTTATTTACCCGTATCAATCATGGCTTTTACACTTTTTTCCATTGCATTGTGAAAATTTATAGATTAACAGTTTTTCTAATATTCCATATAATATGATCTTCTTCTCTTCAGACATCCTTTAGGTGCAATGGTAACATTGACCTTTCCTGCCAATTTCTATGGGAAATTGATTTTTATTATCCGCCTCGTTGATGGAAAAGATATTTTCACAGTTGGAAAACTGGTTTCTTCGTGTCATTGATTGTGTCATCCCGGATATATTCAAAGATTAACCAGGATTCGAACAGGAAAATGTTACTGTTCAGGAATTTTTGTAACAAGAACAGGAGTGTGTCGAATATTTCTTAAATGTTGGGCAAAATATTTTAATTGGTGGAAGCTGACGCAAAAGAAACATCGTTCTTGAAACACGGTTTAATTAGTAACACGTTATATGGGTGAATTACGGTAAACGTGTTCGAAACCTCGTCGATTGCATGTTCAGTGTTCCATAGCTTGTTCCCTCAATTTTCTATTCCCCCCATTTCTTTTTTTTTAATTCTTTAAGAAACAAAGTTCGATTGAAAAAGTACATCTTTGAAAATATAAATAGACGATTGAACAAGGAAGAAACGGTTTCAAGAGACTATTCGTGGAGTAAGACCGGAAATGGAATCTCCTCGGCTTCCTTCGTCCTTGTCACGGGTGAACGTTCGGGTCGAAGGTCAAGTTCACCCTAGAGGGCCTTGAGAATCTTCTCTGTGGAAAAGATTCTCACGAAAGTTTCATGAAATATTCCAGGAGGAAGCCGAGCTGCATTTACAGCGGACGGTACCGTTCTTCCCTGCCATTCGACCCGACTTCCATTAAAGTCTTAATCCCCGCGAAATCCTTAATAAAAAAAAGAGCGTCGCTTTTTAACTCTTTAAGGCACACGATTTTAAAGAAACTAAAAACCCTATTTGCACAGAATCTTTTTTGGTCAACTGAATGAAAAACTTTAAATAAAATAATTTCGAGGTGGGTTAAAATATATCCCTTCGTGCATAAAAAGCTAAGCAAAAGGTGGAACAGTTTCTAACCCATCTAAAGAGTTAAGAGGATAAATTCGACTGCAGAATTGGATGGAATTCACGAAATACAAGGAATTACGAGATATCCGATTCGTGAGAATTCACGGATCGAAACATAGAAGCAAGATGATGGAATTTTACCACTAATCCTTTCGTTTCATTTCGGTTATTCCGTGTAGACTGTTTCGAACGATCGACATTCCGAGCCGCGCCCATTTTCAGCGCCCGTTTACTCGACGAGTTTTGCGTTTAGCGTTCGTGTAGTGCACCGGTGCAACGCAATCGTGTGTATGCACTGTCCACGATCTCCGCGTTTATGGGAATCCGACGGGGATCGTAGTCGAGATTTTTCTCTTAAACAGCGCCGCGATTTCGTTGCCGAGCTGCTTTCCTTCGACTCTTTATTTGGTTATGCTAAAAGAAAAACGATCCGAGTCGGTTCCAGCGGACAACATTCTTGCCGATTCAATAGCGAAACGGTTGGTAATAAGAAATTATTTCCAACCATCTCGCGCTGGGACCACTGTGGAAATGACCATTCGTGGTACGTGACGTTATAATAATAATAATCGAAGAGGTAACTCGAATCAGCTCTTCGATCGATTAACGATATTAAGGTTGTTGCTAATTGCCAAGCGTATTCTTGCTAGAATACTTGATCGTATGACGCAGTCAGCTTTGTTATTTTCACGAGGCTTGCGAGCGGGTTTACCTTGGAGATCGCAGCCGGGGAGCACCTATTAGAATAAAAATGCTGGCTCTCCCCATCTTCCATCGACCAACCAGAGAATCCATACGTACAGTTACGTTGCTTGCACCATCTCCCAACGAGTGAATGATTGCATTCTTCCAATGCGCAATGTCGGCGAATAATTATTATTTCTTCAATTCGTTGATTTCTTCTTGAAAATTTCCACTAGCCTGTTTAACCCGTTCGATATTGCCAATTGCTGGGTTAGGCTAAATCAGTGTACAGTCCGTTTACGAGTTCGTCGTGGATAACGCGATTAGAGCCGCTGGATAACACGAAGCAGGCCATCGGAACGCGTTGAAACAAAAGAATTCGCACGTCCACGGCTGGAAGACCTTGAATCCTGAGAATAAACCTTGCTTTTCGATGGTCCACTGCTCGTCAACATTCATGTGCCATTCACGGTCCGGTGCGTCAGGTAATGTCCGATGCGACCAACTCTGGATCGTAGCGTGACTGGACCGCTAGTGTAACTCGAACTTAATCGATCATCGTGCTAGCAACTTGTTATGGACCACTTTTTTCAAATTTTCCATTAAAAGGTAAAGAAAAAATGATTCGAAGTGTTGCATATCAATGTACAGCAATTTGCCACTCGTTCTCTTTCCTGCTTTTCATATTTCTTACTTAACAGCCTTGATGTAATAATTTCGTTCAACAGGAATAAAAAGGTTCGCTGCAACACGAATTTTTATTCGTTGCGAAACCGTTTGACCTCGACGGCGATACGTTTGTTCGTGACGAGGATTATAATATAATGGTTTAAAAAATGAAAAATACTTGACCCACTGCCTGGAGAAGGTAAAACGGTATTAAATTAATTTCATTAATTTTGAGAAATGAAAGACGACTATCACCTGTGTCCTCCCTTTTCTAAAGGAACAATGACAATCGAACGTTTAAACAAGCATTACGCTGCAAGAATAACAGATAGGTATTGCAAGAACGATCGGAATGTCGTTGTCCAACAATGAACCTTTACCCTGGTACGAGTTGCGCAAATTACATGTCTCCTAGCCATTCAAATGACACTGTCCTATTAGACGGCAAGTCTCATAGACAATCGCAGGCTCGATTTATCAGCTTATTTCCCGACGCGAGGCGATGTAACGCGTGGGCCAATGTTCGCCAAGTAAATGGATCATTGTTCGAAGGTGGCATGTTACGATTATTCTTTAATCGTGAGAATATGGACGACGTTACGTCAAAATCATTGAGTAATCGAGCAGCGCGAATCGCAGGCTAGCTTTCGTAAGAACCAGCTGAATTCGCTATTTTATGATAAATATTTGTAATTTAACGATACGAGCGACGGAGTCGTATGAAAATTTAAGCATCGCTCGGGAATCAGTGATGCAGAAAAACTGAAGGATTATTAAATAGTAATGATCATGGCAGGCATGGAGGTAAATGGGTTAACGACAGGCGAATCCTTTGACATTGCACAAGTTGATTGCAAATGGTATATAATTCGTAAGAGTGCACGCGTTCATTACGGGGACGGTGGGTAAGGTATAATGGTGGTTCCATTGAAGAAATCGTGACATAACCGAACCGGAAGATCGATTCGGGGCACAAAGGAACACATAGCGTACGGCACGTCCTTGCGACGAAAAGTATGCAACTGGTTACACCATACTGGGAGCCGAATTATTCGATATTTGTTCCTGAAACCTTTTCTTTCTATTTACACCTGTTCGATTTGCTCGATTATTGGAACAATCAAAAGGGCATAAAATTTGTCGTTCGACTGGAAACGTTGTGTAACGTTGAATTTATTCACGACGGTTGGTTCGCTGCGTAACAGTGTTGAAAAATCGGAATGAAAGTTGCCGGTCGCGTTTACAAAACCGAAATAATGTTCGTTACGAACGTGTTTCCGTGGTGAACGGTGAACACGTTCGTGATAAGGTGTATTAATTAATGCGTCCAGCTAGAAGGACATTGAACTCGGTACTTCTTTTAGAATCTTGATATCTTGAACTGGCCAGCGTTGAAAAAGAATCAGCAAGAGCAACTTGTCGGACGAAGTAACTTCGTACGCTTCCCTCTTGTTGCGATAATAAATAATTTATAAGAGGATACGAGCAATCTTTAATTATCGTATTAGATTGTTGCGAATCAATCGGACGATTTCAAAAGGTGATCGAGTCTTACAGCAATTATGCTATATCAATTTAAATCTTTGACCTGATCTATCTGCTGCAGATCAAGGATACTAATTTACTTTTTCTTATCATTTCTTTGGGTCGATTAAATCGAGTGGAAGTGGAAAAAAATGTGATTTTCTCCTGTCGTTAGAAACGTGACATTTTCCAATTTATGTCAAGATCGTATCGGAGTTAATTTTTCAAAGAAAACTTCTACCGTCCATTATCGACCCACGCGTTGACGCACGCCACCCACGCCGGAATTTCATTCTTTATCAGTCGCAAGGTTGTTAACCTTCTACGTAGTCGTCTACCATTCAGGTAACATATCAAATTTCCGTCTGAAGCTCTTGACATTCTTCCTTATCCTTGTCACCGTGCATTACCAAGGTGATAGCAACAAAGTTTGTCTATCTTTACCGAAGGAGATTCTAATCTTCTTTGTGTATTCTGTTAAATATAAGAGCAGCGTGTCAAATCGGGAAAGGAAAAGGAAGAAAGAGACAAAGACAGTTAATTAAAGCACTTTCATCGCGATATGTGACTACCAATTGTAAGGTTGTTCGATAGAGAAAGACACTTAATTACCGCGGGATATCGCGAATTGTTTCGATGCTTTACAAGCAATTGGCCGGCGGTGGAAGGAGACTCCGTTTCTAAACGCGTCGCGATTCCCATTGAGCGCGTTTTCCTTTCTATGTCAAAGAAACCGGCGAGCCTCGACGATGTTCCCGCGCTCGAGGCGAATGGCAGTGGCGAAACAACGATGTGAAAGCAGATTCGAACGACCTGGACGAGCCTCGATCGGCTTCTTCGGCTCTTTCTTTTCTTCTTCTCGCACGTGACAAACAATTAACCTCCGTAGAGGGTGTATTATATGAATTACAACTATCAATTGGTAGTGCTCGAAAATCGTCAACACATTATAAAACTTCCAATTTTTGAATTTGCTACTTTCAACTTTCGATCGATCGTTAAGACCATCAAAGTCATACGTTCTCCAGAAGGAATGCTGCAGGAGGCATGGGTGTTCATCAAGGTTACGATCTTGCAACATGCACACTGCAATTATCACTTTGTAATCAAGCAAGAACGTGGGACGTAAAATTTCTCAAGATTTTAGATTGCATTTTCTATGCATTTTCTTCCAATCAACATGCTCTCGCATAATCGCGTCCGAGCACGAAACGCCGTTTTCAAGTTAACCAAGAGAGAAAAAAGAATGTTTCCTGTGTGCACAGTTACCGAAGAAAAAGCACGAATTCTCTGATACGACGATTACAAATGATCGTGAGAAGATAAAAAAGATAAAAAATGAAAGAAAAATAAATACACCTATTCAACTGTAATTATTGTTGCATTAATATACTGATGGGCATCGTTAGAAGGTAGACCTTAAACACCTTGTGGAAAGGTTTCTTTCTGTTTTCGTGCGATTCGTAGATTTCCCGCACGATGTATTACACTTTCTACGAAACGGTGTATCAGAAAATCGGCTTGTTACTTACGTACTTTCTACAAAATGGCTCCTAGACGCGTCCTGGAAACTGATGTGACGTGGCCTCTGTTTCTCGAGTATCCTTCCAAGGAATTTCCGAGCTATGCAGATGATGTAAGAGGTTTTCGAGGACGAAGGTTCGAACGGTGTAACGCGTCTGCAATTAAAATGTACAAATTATCAGAACGTGAATAATTAGCATAGTAAAATTCGCGTAAGCGGATCGGCATAGTTAACGAACGAATAACAGCAGAAGTATCGTTTTTCATCGGTAGAGAAACGACAGTGAGGAAAGGAGAAATAGAAACTTGTTTCCATGTCGGAAAGTATCCATAAAAGGATTCTCATAGTTGGGCGACGATGCAGAAGAACGGTTTTGCTATCCATCGAGCTGACATGACTGTCGTAAGATGTAAAATTACATTTAATTTCGAGGGCGGTATGCGAAGTGTATCCCCGATCGCAAGAAAGTCCGGAACTCGAAACGACACGGCTGAGTAAACGCGTTCTCCAAGCCTCCTTCTAAGCCTTTTCAGCCGGCTTCGTTTCTTCAGGAAGTGCACCGGCGAGAACACGCTTAAAATTTGTAACGCGACTGCAATTTCCTTTCCTTCCGCAATTTCCTACGCGATATCGTAAGCACGATTCAATCGCAGGATACGCACGTAACTTCCGATGAAAATTGCTTGTCTATATCCTTCCAAACTTGGAGCTTGTAGGCGTTTAAGTGAAGGGTTTCGCCTTTAGTTCGGACCGGGGACCGCTAGGTGGCGGCGAGATGATCGGTGACAACGTTCTCGCAAGCGGTCGCCCGGCATTTCAACACAAAATGTGGCTCAACTACTTTTTTTCGTGATCTATCCAACGGTGTAGAGATCTTCAGGGTATTTGGGGCAGGGATCGTCAACAGACAATTTCCATTTTTCTATTTTCCAATTTGCAACTTTGAATTTTGAAACGTCGTATATCGAGTTGAAATTAGCATAATGGAAAGTATGATTAAGGCGTTTGAATCGAGTAGGTCAATCACCGGCGATACATTCTACAGAAGTCGAGGAATCGTCTGGGAACGTTTCACGAATAATTTCCTGTAATTTATTCGTCCAGCCTTTTTCCAGCTACTATGAAAGACGTTTGGTTGAATTCGTAGAAGGAATTGCGATTGTCGCTTTCTTACTTTCCAACGGTCATAATATTTCCATAAAACTACCATGACTAACGCTTCATCTGCATTCGAAAAAAGACCCTTCTCTCTATCCCATAGAATACAATAAAGACTGTTGTAAACGTAGAAAAAGTAAAAGGATCGTGTGAATCATTGAAAAAAATGATTTTGTTGCAGCAATATGCAGCCAAGCATGCCGAGCAGAGCCACTTGGTGGAGCAAATGAACACGAAATATTATTATTACACAAGGACGCAGGGTCTCTTCAGGATATGTTATCCCAAAGAGAGGCCGCCAACCGGTAAGCATAAAAAATTCTACCACGTATTAATTTTCTTAAGATGATTTTTCGAGGAAACTAGCCAAACGAGATCTTGAAAGTAGCCTGGCTATTTCTCAAGAGTTCCTGGTTCCTGATAAGCCTTTGGGAGACTTTCTACCTAACGATATCGTAATGTCGCGGGTTATCCGAGGCCCACGTAATAGGTTAAAAGTTAATAATCGACGGATCGGTTGCACGCAGGAGAAAGGAAACGAGAGAAGCGTACGCGATGCTTCGGTGATGTTTCTCCAGTTTGCTCGGACAATATTGACTCGGGTAGCTTTCGTGTTTCTGTCGCATCGGGAACAATGTATCTCGAGAGATATTTACATTTAAAAAGATAAAAATCCTCGTGCGATCGCGGAGAAATTGTTCTGCAAAACAATCGGAAGCGATCTAAACGTTGGCTTTGTCGTTGAAGCATGAATACTGGAATTACAGCTCGATTCTTTCGAGCATCCTGCTTTCTTCCGAGCGTTCTTTAAACGCGAAACCCAACGCCCCTTGTCGATTCTCCTAGACATTAATCGAATAACTGGACCGTTGCACCTGCGTTTCTAAATCTTTTCACTCGATCGGCCGATCGTCCTTTCGCGATTCGATCAACCTTCAAGAAATGAACACCTTCCTCAACGATCCTTGAATTCGCATTTTCTCACGGTGAGACGTACGTATAAATTATCTAAACATCGCCAGGGCGTAACGGGGATTCCAGTTTGCCCGGAAGTTTCGAGTTTCACGAACGAACCTGTATCCTTCAGGATCAAGAGCATTCCAGTCGCGCTAGGTTCAAAGATGCCGGGGCTAGAGTTTCCCTGGTGAGAAGAAAGAGTTGAATGAAGGGTTTTACCGGCGATACGGATCGAAAAATGAAACGTTGTCGAATAGAAAGTACTGAGAATTTCTCGTGGAACGAGAACAACGGTGGATGTTGTTCCCGTCGCGTCGTTTCAGAGCGGAAAACAATCGGAATGATCGATACAACCCGCGTACCGTTTTGTACCGTTCTTCGACCGCAAGTACCTTATCGGTGCCCAATGTTCCGTTCGTTTCCGGCGTTCCGTTTCCGGTTACATTTATCATACGTGATCGTCCGTGAGTACGAAGCGATGAAACGAGGAACTAGACGAAGAATTCGGGAAATTAGGTCTGATAACGTGACTTACGGCATATTTAAGGTGATCGCTATTGCATAGCGACAAATATTCACCGATATTCACCAGCTTCGGGCGGAATCGTGGCAGAAAATGGAGGTCAGACAGCTCGGCAAGGTATCTTGGATGGCCGGGTGAAAAATTTGAAAGAAACCAGTCCGACGACCGGTTTCGGAAGATTTTCTTCTTTTATTCGATTTTTCCGACGAAAAGTGTTGTATCGACGAAAACGAGTCGGTTCCTTTTCCCGTTTCGCCTAGTGTTAACCAGTCTATGTACAGTTAACTTTGAGTCAACGGTCTTCGTATGGCGCCTCATTTAGACGAAACTAGATTCGAAGAAGGTCGAGGAAACGCTTGTCACCGAGTGAATTTCAAACGTTTCAAACGGTACGGCGATTTGTACCAATCGTCAGGTGTGTTAAAAAAAAAAAATCACGCGTCGAGTAATCATTCATGTTTCATGCAGAAGTGAAAAAATTGCGGATTCGTTAGATCGCAATTAACAGGATTGCACTTTTCTTTGACGATGCCCCTAGAAAGCGTTGACGACGTTGGTAGAATTTATTTCTTTTCACCGATGTCTTTCGAAAGTAGTATTCCGTAGATTCGGAATGGCCAAGGAGTACCGTTGTCCATGAAAGACAAGCTGAAGAATGTAAGTACGTACGTGCACACGTGCCGTATACTTTGCAGCCGGCGATAGCTGCATTCTGGGTCGCGTGCTTTTCGGTACGCGTGTCCACCCTACCTCCAGGGTTGTCACCTTTTCAACTTCGACGTTTCTTCCGTTCGACAAATTGTATCACAAAATAGAAGTAACAAGTGATCTATCGAGCGGGAAATGTTAATTTCACTTGTCCAGGAAAAGATCAACGTAGCCGATATAAATGCAGTCTTGATAAAACGTTTTATCCTGGCATTCACGTGGTGCTACAAGAATCCAAAGCCAGTTGATTTTGCAATCAACCCATTAGACACGTGCGCGTTCGTACGCATTTTAATTAATCGAAATTAGAACGTCTCCTAGGCAGGCAAATTTCCATCGCCGTCCAATTAATTTGCCAACGACTGACGTTGTGAAAAGTCCCTGAATCGATTGCATCGATTTTCGCAATTAATTACCCAATCGGAATCAACCGGATAGAGTATTCGATTGTGAATATCCTCGATTTGGTATTAAATAATCCCTTTCCTTTAATTCATTGTTACAGTTCAAACGTATCTAAGTCCAGTGGAGACCCACTGTATGAATATTAATTACTTCATTCCGGATGAAGAAAATTTAACAAGAGGCTTCTCGGACGATGCTATGACCCGACTTCGTACGTAGAACCATTCGTGAAATGTTTATTAATACTGGTGGCTCCTTGATGGTTACTTTCACTCTTGCTTTCTACTATTCTTTTTTCTTCCAGACATGGGCAGATCTGTGATAGCTCTGTTTATAGTGGGATTCGTTGCGATCTTTACGGCATTCTGGACAGGTGTGGTGGGCTGTTGGAAGAGGTCACCAGGAAATATCACAGCCACCGCTATTTTAATGCTCTTAGCATGTTAGTGCTATCTGTACGATTAACATATAATGCTTCTTCCTTCAACGAGATAAATCAACGTATTTTCGGTAATTTAGGTTTGTTGAGCGCCAGTGGTATGGGACTTTGGCACGGGGTGGAGTATTATGAGAAAGAGAAGATCGTGGGAGAAGAGTATTACCAACAATGGAGCAACGTGAGTAACTTTTTCATCCATATTTGCTTTCTTTAATTAACACTAACAGATTCGTAATCTTATTAATGTTTCCACTTGAGTTTTCAGCGAGATGAGAAAATATAAATCGAAAGCTTAACTCTCTATCAAAAGGTTAATCCAAGACACTGGTTCATCTTTCTTCTCTCTAACAATTTCTCCACAGCAACTTTCAATTTATCCAAGCATCAACTTCGACCAAGACGTTTCAGAGGAAAAGGATCGAAACGGAGGTGGCTGAAAGAATTATTTTTAAACGTTCACAGAGCAATTTGCCCACAGGTTTTAAGGGACAACACGGTCCAGTGGTACGGCTGGTCATTTTACCTCGCCTGGCTGGGGGTGGCCGCGTGTTTCGGCACGATGCTGCTGTTCCTGATCGCGGCATCCTGTCTGCGACGGGAGCATGCCCGCGAACAGGCACAGAACGTTCAATACATAATGCCAGGTGACACGATACGATCAATGCAACGACCGGACTAACATTCCTCGTATCTTTTTTTCTTGTTTATGTCTGCCGGAACGCGACCAACTAGGTCCTGAAGGACAACTCGCTAATCTCGTACGACTGGTCGTACGTGGTCGCTTGGGTCGGCGTCGGTTGGTCGTTGGTCAGCGCGATCTTGTTTAGCGCCGCGGCGATTTGCTTGAGGGGCGAGAGAATGCGCGAGGAGGCGATGAACATGCAGTACCTCATGCCTGGTACATATTTAACACCTTTTGCTTGCGGCACGAACCGCGTTCAGTCCACGCAGACGCTTATTCCCTTGTTTGTTAAAATACTTGGAACGATGACTGAGGATTTCAGTAAATCTCACGTTAGCTAGTTACGATGATTGCTAAGTAATTCTGAAAAATTCTAAAGTGCTCGATGCTTAGGAATATCGTTTGCTCGATTATCCACGGACATTTGTATCCAGCAAATCTAACTACGATTTGCACGACAGATGTTTTCACTGAAAAAGGGTCTGCGTGTACATAACGCGTTCCACTAACTTTGAACATTGGGTCGACCCCGAAAACGACGATTTAGTTGTTCCACTAACTCGAATCGATTCGATGGATGATAGGAATCGAGAAAAAAAAAAACCGATTGATATAGAAGCAACGTAATCGATGATTTAACGAGCCCTCGGCGAATAGGATTATTACGTAAAATAGAAACCGGTGTCGGCTGTGATGTAAGATTACAAGAGCACGTTCGAGTGCAACAGAAAATAACTACGCTACCTAGAAAATATCTACGGTAAAATTGCAAATGGTAATTAAAATTAACGTTATCGATACGCATTTTCTTGATTAAACTATCGACGATAGAGAACAGCGTCAAAATCATCGCAGACCATAACGAAGTTAATTGGAATGAAACGTGAAAATCTCGTTAAGAAAGTTGGATCGCTTAAGACTTTCGAATTTTGCTTCTGTATCAACAAGTTCAATATTACAATTTCGACTGTAATATTATTATCACGTTGCCAGTAGAATTTCACCCCTGAATTGCGTTCGTTCAGAGTATAATTACACCCTGTAAACATTTAGTAATTACAGATATAACAGAATGAGTCCCAAACTAATCGATAATTGTGTTACATCGGGATATAAATTAAAAAAATACCCGCTTATTTAACATTTTAATTAAACGACGAAAAAGAAACTGGTCATTGTGTAAAAATAATACGTTGTACATACAAAAGTAGAATCGGGTAAAAAGTTGATCGATTGGAACATGATTAAGGGATAAAACCGTCGTGGGAAAAAGAATGTTCGATAATTCGTGTTCGTGAAACTCTTACTCGTTCGGCTCTGTTTCCATCATGGATTAAAGTCATTTTGTCACGCTCTAGTCCTGTAGGAAACTTTCTAGAGGGAACAATCTTCTTCGATGATCAATTACTTCCTTTAGCATCATGCTCGAAACACCTCAAAGTTTTTCTTCGTCATAAAAACCAATATCGTATAAAGTTTTTAACAAAGACGGTTAATTCTTTATTTAAAATTCTAGCACCGTAAAGAAATTCGCATTATCCTGGTAATTTTCACGAACAGAGGTGTACTAAGAATCGGAAACGTGCAAAGTCTACGGTATCTAGAGACGCGTTTTAAGTAGCCCCTTGGAAAGCGACACACTTGCCTAATTTTACTCTATTCTGCGAAGAAATATCCACGTTCGAGTATTCAACAGCCACGACGATCGATTGAATCTAATTACGTTTTATCGAACACACTTTGCCTTACAAAGAATAATCAATCTTCTCGATTATACCGAACGCCCGCCGAATAGAAACCGTTCCATTTATTTTCATTTTCCTCCGCCAACGAATCGAGTAATAATGTTTACGCGGAAGGAAACTGTTAACGATCGGGATTAGAGTAAAAAAAAACAACAACGCGTTCGAATGTCAAGGAAGTAAGTCGATTTCAAAGTTATCTTAATCCCTTCTTTTTTCTTTTTACACCTTGATAATTTTGTTCGACACGAATATGAATAATAATTAAAGCGTTTCACTCGTCTGTTAAAACTGGTATCGATGAAAGTTGTTTTTAGCCGTACATTATCCTTCCGCGTTTATAATTATTCAAAATTCCCGGTAAAAGTTGCGTTCGGATCGAGTCGGTAAAAGTCGGGCGGGAAGTCGCTCGAAGGGTGCGCACCTAACCTAGTCTACATAGGTTCGCGCCAAAAAATGTATACATTAATCTATACTTATCATTCATAATTGCAAAGAGCCCGAAAATAGTATTAATTTTATTATTACGAATAATAAAACTTTAATGGAGCGTACGTCCCTCGATAAATTCAAATTTACCGAACCGAGCCGAACACTTTCGGACATCCATACGAACGTGTCATTTGCATTACTATATAATTAATATCTATCTATTCCTGTTTTCAGTATATCCTCAAAAGCAACAATACGCATATGCAGGCTATCCAGCACCTGCGGCATATCCTGGACCATACTACCATGGATCGCAGTACGGGCCGTATAATTATTGAAAGGGTCCCGTGTCATCTCTGTCGATAAAGGAAAGTCTCGGAGCGCGGAGCGTGAAACGTGCTCGCACTGAATAAAACGAAATCTGGCAAACGACGTTTCCCAGGGGAACGATAAAAAACGCAACGAACGAGACACAAAACAAAGAGTCTGAAGCTAATCATAAATTCAAACGAGCCTGGGCGACAAGAGAAAAGAAGGAAAAAAGGATAAAGGATGACCTTGGACCCCGCCCTAGACATAATTTATCATTTTTTTTTAAATGCTACATTAAGGACATTCTTTGGTGCAAACTCGCGGATCCCACGGTCTCCGATATCCAAATTTCTCTGTCAACAGGTGTTCGTTTGAATAAAAGATTCAGTTCGAACTCGCAAAAGAGACAGTTGCTCAAAAAGTTCACGTATTAATATTTACTTAGAACTGAGATGACCTTATATACATATACATATGTATTTTTGTTCTTAAATCTAATATTTGTATTTGTATTACTCTTCGTACGTGCTGACCGTGCTAGGACAATAATAAATAGTTAATGGTAAATAGTAACAATAATGCGTATCGAGCGTGGGAGAGAATTGATCGTTTGTTGCACGTTTGATTTGGCTACGTGATCTTTCTCAGGGAAATGAAGAACGGTTTGACATTCAACATTTACCCGCTATATCGTAACGTCGAATTTTTGAATGTATCATGCGAACATGTATTGTATAAATCTCTCGTAGTGCCTTATCTTTGAGTACCTTATTTTTCTTTTAAGTTTACAACACTGCGTTATTGAATATATTTCCCTTCAGGAATTTGTTATACTTCGAAAGGGTACTTGAGCGATAAGGAGAAATCGGTATACGGTGTAAAAACTAAGCGAAACAAGAAGAAGTGTAAGGAAAAATTCGGCAGCATGGTGCAAGAGAAATATCCGTTAGTCACATCGATGTATGTAAAAATAGGTGCATTCGCAAATATCTCGTTTCATAATAACGATTCGCGTCATCGATTCACTAGACTTTCTAACGTCATAGATTCTCTATTCTATTTTTAATAACGTCGATTTATAAGATTTCTTATTACGGTACCTTTACGTATTAATTCTTCGAGTAAATAAAGTAAATCGGACTTTTAGTATAAGTATCAAATTTTGTTTCGAAACCATTTAATGTTCCCAGAAATAGGTACTATAAAAAACCTAACCCTTTATATACTACGAACGGTGCGACGTATCATTAAAAGTTGTTTAATATATTTGGTACGTTATAAACGAGTGAATTATTTTCGTTTACTTGCCTGTCAAATCCTTGTTGAACCCTTCTTGTGCGTTCACTGACACTACTGACGGTTATACTACATATTTTAAAAATTTTAAAAGACGCCAACCAATCGGTCTGTTTTGCTTATACCCTATGGCCATAGCCAATAGAAATTAAGCTCTGTTCTATCAATCACGTGGGCTTCGTTTCAAAATGGCGGCGAGATTTACAACTAAATACAATGAGCGCATCGCGGCTGCGTTCAGTTCAGTATAAGTTTTCCAGGGTGTACGATGATGTTCGATTTTCTTTTACAGATTTTTCTGATTTTTGTCGGGCGTTTTATAACCGACGCAAGTATTTCAACAGAAATGGGTTTTCGGAATCAAAAGGTATATAATGTAAAAAATCTGTTATTTTTCATTGTTCACACATTTTTATCAAGTACTTTCACTTATCCTTGGTTTATTCATCTTTAAATATCACCTTTCATACTGCATCTCATTGATCATCATTAACATACATTAGTTACAGTCATGAAATGATTCCAGTATTATCATACACCTGTTACACTGTCAAGAAGTCAGATACTGGAAATATCAGAATTGTCAAATGTCAATCACATGGATCAGATTTTAAGTAACATATGTACTGTGAGAATTGTTGGTACACCAGAGCATACAAGAGTGAAAAATGTAAGTTGATGGGTAAATACACTGCAAACTTATATAATTATAATAATTATTCATAGTACTTTTGATAAAATGAATGATTTAGATAAAAGATGCATAAACAAGATATGATGCAACGCGTACAGGGAATTCCCATTTGTTAATAAGGAAAAATTTGTTTCCAGTATATCAAAGAATCAATGAGAAATCTTAATTGGACAGTGGAAACTGATATTTTTGATGAACATACACCAACTTTTGGAACCTTACAATTTGAAAACATAATTGCAAAGTTGAATCCTAATGCTAAAAGATATTTAGCACTGGCCTGTCATTATGACTCCAAATATACTAGAGAAAGAAATTTTGTTGGTGCTACAGATAGTGCAGTACCATGTGCTCAAATGATTAATTTAGCTAAAGTTATGCAGAATCACTTAAATTCTATAAAACATGTAAGTATTTTGTTACCCACAATTGTTGTTTTACTCTTTGCAATGATAATTTTTTCTTTTCAGAATGACATTAGTTTAATGTTTATATTTTTTGATGGGGAAGAAGCTTTCAAGGAGTGGGGCCCGAAAGATTCTATATATGGAGCAAGACATTTAGCCAAAATATGGCATAATAACTATACTACTTACAAGGAAGACGAAAATATTTCCGAATTGGATAAACTTGTAAGTGTTTATAATAAAAATGTTAAAAATGCATAAATTATCAACATTACTTGTTGCAGGATGTACTAGTTCTTTTAGATTTGATAGGTGCACCAGATCCTACATTTTATAATTATTTTAGCAATACCGAAAAATGGTATTCTTTATTAATGGCTATTGAAACTAATTTAGCTGCATTAAAAGAATTCGAGTCATACTCTTATGGGCAACCTGCACAGAGATATTTTCAACCATATTCTGTGGAAGCACACATCGAAGATGACCATATTCCATTTTTACAGAGAGGTAAGCATTAATTTTTATACGCGTTTACAAGGTTTATGTGCTACCTTTTAATTATGAAATGTGTATTTCAGATATTCCTATTTTACACCTTATACCATACCCCTTTCCTAAGGTTTGGCATAAGCCAAGTGATCATTGTGATAATATAGACATAAAAACAACCGAAAATATTAATAAGATTTTAAGAATTTTTGTAGCATCCTATTTACACGTTGGTAAATAATTGATAGTGGGAAAATTCTTATGTTGTTACTAAAAGTTATATTTTTACCACGAATGACACAGTATTACATATGAACTAAAGGATATAATGTAAAGTGTTAGTTTACAGTGTTATTTTTTTAAAATAACGAAGCATGAAAACAGCATATTCTACTTAACTGCATTTACATTTTTGTAATGTACACGACTTTTGTAAGATAAATTATTTTCTATCAAACCAGGGTAATCCTTACTATATTTAAAAAGATTTATATGGACATTTATGTATATATTGAGGGCTAGAAAGTAATATATGTACCACAAAATTTAATATGAAATATATTCATTGTACGATAAGCGATGTAACTTTAATAGAAGAACCCAAGTACCGCAAGTAAGTAATCATAATTACAAAGTAAATGAATGTATGAAAATAAAAATTACTTGGGAGAGTATACTAGACAGGAAGTTGCTTGAACACGTGACTTCCTGATACATGTTTCGAATAAAGATTCGAATGAATAACTATTATAAAAATATTTTCTACAGAGTCGATCAAATCGTCTTTTATTGTACAGTATCAATGCAAAAAAATTTGTGGAGTATAGGTTCATGAAATTACTGGGAAATTGGAAAGAAATTTAAAATTACCAAGCAAAGCGCAATTATAAAATATAATTTTCGCGAGGCTAACGGTCAGTACTCGAATCAAGTGAAAGTGGGTATTGGTACGCCTGACCGAGGTCATTGTTCGTGCGGGCGCGTCTGACGAGGCTTTTCGTTCCGAACCCATCCGAATACAGTCGACTTTGGCCGAGGTTAGTTGATCATAATCGAAACATGTGATTGGTGGAAAGCCGACGCGACAACGAAAGACGCGAGTGACAGTTGTGGAATGACTTCACGCCTCTGTCGTGTATTTCAATGGTTTTACGTGATCATTCGTATCGTAAGTTAGTCAACGAGCCGGGCCATTGTGCAACCTGTCGCCTAAAATCGTTCTCGTGGTCGATCTAAACAATTTGCGCGAACATTGCTAAAAAAACACGTAGCGGCTGACGTATCTATTGGTCGAACAGCCTGGATTCAGTGAGTGAGCGAAAGAGAAAGAAATACGTGTGGTAAAGAAAAACAAGAAGGAAGGAAAGAGGATTCAACGTGAAAGACAGGGACTGACGCGTTGCAGGCGTATCTCGGACGTGTCCCCTCGAACACACCAACGAAATACGTATCGGTGGTACGCGCACGAGTTTTACCATTCATTCAAGAATGTTTTAATTACAAAAGGCGCGCGGTTTTACCGAGCCCTTCGTGACGACGTCGGGTCTAATTAGCACTTTGCGGTCCGCCGACGTCATACGACGTGGTCGCGCCTATTTTAATGTTGCGGTTCGTTGCACTGTGTCGTCATGATTTAGCTACATTGACTTTATCAATATACAAATATATCTTTGATTACATGTACTAAAATTTCAAACAAAAGGTTGCTTGGCAACAAATTTTATATCGATATTTTATATAATTAGAAAAACACATAAAGTCTGTCGACCGCAGACCGCAAAGTGTTAAACGTGTGGTGATGGTACTGCGAAGAGAGATAGAAAAAGAAAGGAAACAAGTCTGCTAGTGGACTCATCAGGAAGGTTACCTGGCAAGTTCGTGCCTGATACGCGGGATAGTTACCGCGTGGTCAAAAATTGTATATAGGGTGTCCTAATTTGGACAGGTTATGATAAGCAAAAAATTGTTCTTAGGGTCATATTTTTCGAGATATTTAGATAAAAATGATAAAAATCACCCTGTACGTAGAAATAGGTAGCTCCACGAGGACTTACAAGAAAACGTCGGTCTAGGTTTCGTTTTATGTCCCTCTAGTGGCGAGTGCGGGGAATATACCTTGACGGAGTTGTCTCGGTGTCTATATTATCGTGTTGCGTCGTTGTCGTCGTCTTCGTAAATAAATTTAGACGTAGTTGCAACGGTAGTATTGTTTAACCGAAACGAGACGCGTACTGCTCGAGCCACGACGTAGTTGTACACTTTGCATGGCCATGAAGGTTATGCCGCGTGTTGTCATTGAATCCCTAATCGTGTGACAAGGCTTCCGGTTCGTCGTATCGTAGTAATCGAAAAGGGTTATGCGTGTGAAAGGGTTCTAGCGTGACCATCCTAGAAGAGGGCTTACGAATTCTGGTCGCGTTCGTGTTCTGGACGGTCTGTTGACGTCACGTCGGGCTCACCATTTTAGCGAACACAATTTGAAAATGTAATTTTATTTCACGGTTAATATTACACAGTTACACTTTATCGTACGGAAAATATAACACTGTGAAAGGAGAGGTTAGAAGTCTCGCACGTGGTATTGTCCTGAAGATGTTTACAGAGCAAGCGATCGAACGCGATTGAGCATGAACGAACAAGGACAAGGCGTAGCGGTAAACATTGAACGCTTTTGATCTAGGATAGATATCGAGTAAAATATTTTAGGGATTGTTAAACATGCATTTTCTTTTTATTTCTTTAAGACGTGCGCCTTTAAAGGTTAATAATCAATTATCCTGTATTTATAGTCCCATATTTTCAGTTTGAAAAAACAGCCAATCAGAAGTAAGAATTCAAACGGGAAAGAGTAGGACCGAACGTCAGCGAACCTCACCGAACAGTACCGAACGCCGGCGCGAGTATCCGCTCGTGCTCAGTCGCGATCGCTCCCTTGATCTGTAAACACGTCGAACGACAGAGGGATCGACTGGCTTCGGGAGGTCCACGCCAGCGCCATCACTCGTTCTTCTTTGGTATTACTGCTCTGTTGGGCGACGGTGTCCGTCCGCCACAACCGTCTTTAATGGACGTGTCGCACCGCTCGAGGAAAGAACGCCGACAGAGATGTTGAAGTTTATCAGAGGGAAAGGCCAACAACCTACGGCCGAGCGACAGAAACTGCAAAAGGATCTTTTCGCCTTTCGAAAGGTAAGTCACGATTTTTATTCGCCCACACCCGACCGGCTAAACGAGCCGATATTTTCTTCCGCTTGTCTGCTCTTACGGAATCCTATTTTTCACGGACTACACGATCACGGAATAGATTAGATAGAATTTTATTCGAATACAATGTTATCGTGGATAGTATTTAAGAGATAGTATCGTTGCTGCCGTTTCTAGTGTAAGTGGAGCAACTTCGATGAAATCGTGAAAGAAGTGTTCTCTGTAGCGTGTTTTATTCATTGCAAAGGAAAGCGAAAGTGAGAATCAGAAGAAACAAGTTTTCATTTATGTCTAACAAGTTTATATACATAGTTTCTGTAGTTACACGATCTTTTTCTGTTTCATTCTTTTTATTCAATAAATTTTGATTTTATCCCCTTTCCTTAGCTAACTCTCTTTAGCGTGCTACTAATATTTTAACAATAAAAAAATACAATAATCACGTTTGAAATAGATGAATTCAAGAGTGAAAAAAACGGTTAGAAGGGTTAGTTTTACAACATCCTGTCTGGTGTAAATGTTGATCGACTCGTTTTCTTTTATTTGTAGATTCATTATTTATTAATCAACAAGTTGACAATTGAATGTTTATTCTGTTACTACCTCAGATAATAATCTGTTACTTGGTGATATCACGATGTTGACACGCCATGCGTTTTACGGAACACGTCTTCTTTTTACGTGTACGAGGCTCGATTGCTTTACAGATAAATCTTGTCTCGGATAAATGTTAAAAAGACAGTGAATATCGTGTTTCAAGGAGAACCATAAATACATATATACCGTGATATAATTTACATGCATAATCGAAACACAAAAACTTGGGCCGAATTAAATGGCGATAAAATACTAATTCATCGTCGATTTCGACTTATCGAACGAGTACGATTAATACGAAATGTATCTCGATTCGTTGTTCTTAAATATTGCTACTTTCCTCATTATCGAGTAGACAATTTTAAAATTGATAAAAAAAATTTCGCAAGCACGATCGCCAGCGATAAAACCCTCGGCGTCGATTTGTCGATTCAAATCGAGTATTGCGAAATACATTCGATCGATCGAAGGTGTACACCTTTGAGGTTACTTTCGTACCGGAATATTAAGATTCTAAAATTGCTTTCGCGGAGAACATGATATAAGCGTGTGTATTAAGAATGAACGGCACAGAATCAACAGGTCGATACCCGATCGTAATCGATACCGAAAGTCTAGAATACGTTGGGTGGCTGAGAGACGCGATGCGGAGTCAGGATTATTGTGGTTACGCGGTGCGGTGCGGTGGCGTTTCTTTAGCGGTTCTGTCTCCTCGGCTGGCTGTCATCGTCACCGACCATCGCGAAACCTTATCGTGGTTTAATTCTCCGGCTGGTGGATTCAAAGTTTGACGACACGGATTGCGAAAACAGTCGGGTTAGAAATCAGGTCGTCCCCTGGTATCGATCGAATGAAACACAGGTTTTTCGAATCCCGCCGAATCCTTTATCTAGTGAATAATCCTGTTCCCCCCGTTCCCTATGTTCAGCCGCGTTCTACGTGACACGCGGGAATGCACGGATTCGACATAGACAATGGAAACGTTTCGTTGGTCATAAGCGTGCGTTACTTCCACTTGGTTAGAAAATGGAATAGGAAATGTAGGTTAATCTATGTGTTAGGCAATTACAAGTAGAAGTAGCGTGCACGTTAAGATGTACGAGTTGGAGAGGAAAAAAAAAAAGTAGAAAGCCCTCCGGTGTGTGGAGGGTGCTTGTTGCCTTAATTGAAACGGTCACGTTTACGCAAACACGATCCGTGGTCCCGCTATAGTCTGAAAAGATTTATATAAAAAAAAAAAAAAGAGACGAATGACATTCGATTACATCATTGATTGTCACTGTCGTTTGACTAGGAAGAGGCGTGGAGTATCTGTTGAAAGAAATTAATCAAAGAAAATTGCTCATAACGATCCTAATTTGGTGATCAATTATCAGAGTTAATTGCGTATCGCGGCAAACGTTTCACGGTTTCTTTTTCCATGAATCTGAAAAACACTTAGTATAAGTAGGTTTGTTCTTGGCTTATTTCGACAATAAACTCTCCGTGAGTTTGTCATCAGTCCCTATTGATAACTCCACAAACGTCTTGTGCGACAAGAAAAAAGAAATACGAAGGAAGATTATCGATTTTCTGTGCAAATAGAAACACGATAAGATGCCCAGCCCTTTTTACGTTTGCTTTAATATACGTGTAAAGAATGTACCGTTAGATTCGCCTGACGCGGTACAGCGTACTAGCGCGCAACAGGATTACTCCGAAAGTTTAATTATAAATTAATATTGAATGAATTTTGTATAAATTCCAGTTATTGTACCACGTATGAAATAAGTAACGGGTTCTTATAATACTCTAGAAAAGTATGTACAACAGCGGCATAAAATATTCACCGTCGAGGAACTGTCGCAGTGGGTTATCGATCGGGGAGCAATTTTTAACGTTCCTCTGTTAAAGTTTCGTAATTAATAAAAGAAAGAAAATCGCATGAAATTCTTATTTATAAATTCGTGATTAATAAAACGATGCATCACTTTATAAACGGATAGTATTTAAATTTATAAGTATGATAGATAGAGATATCGTTTGATCGATGTTCGCGTATAATTTCAGTCCAGGTTAGGCTGATCGAGATTAAAGTTAATCTAGATCGGATTAAACCTTACCGAGAAATATTGTTTGTTTCGCTCGTAATACGGGTTCATTCTCGCGCATCTTCTTGCTTTAATTCCTGCGATCAGGCCTCCTGAAACTCGGAAGCGGTGACACCCTTTCTCATGGAAATTACCTGGGCCAAGGTCTCACCCTCTGCCTGTCCTACCGACCGACACCCGTTTTTCTAATCGCGTGCTGGAAACGTGCACCAAATCGATATTATTGGCAGCCCTAAATCCCGGGGTTATACACTAGCCTTACCTACCAAGGATTTTTAAGTTCAGGTAGAAAGGCGTGCTACCAGAACTCTCAACTTCTTCAACGCATCACCTGTTTTAGAACGCTACGATATTTTAATACAGTGTACTTTAGGGATGTGCGGGTACCCGATATTACGGGCTCGGTCGGGCTCGGAAAAAATCGGGCGGGTTCGGGCAGGTGTCCGATACATGCGTGCTGTCGGGTAGCCCGACTATTTCGGGTCAGGTCGGATAAAGTCGGGGAGATTCGGACGAGTTCCCGCGGGCCGCGGCCCGACTCTCGTGTGCTTGTTAATGCTTGCAAATAAATTCGTTAGAAGTATTATTTTTCCACATAAAACAGATTTTGCACATGCTTAATGCAAGTATTAACAAGTACATAAGAATTACGCTGCGAATCTGCCCAACTTTATCCGACCTGACCCGAAACAGTCGGGCTACCCAACTGCGCGTCCACCCGAGCCCGCCCGATGTTTTCCGAACCGACCCGAATAGCCGGGCACATCACTTATTTCTCTTACTGTATCTATCTAGACAAAAATTCAATTGTGTACAAGAATACGCTATACCGTAATCTCTGGACTCAAGTACTTCAGTCATATCGGTGTTTCAGTTACGAAACTGAATCGAATCATCCATTTCAAGGTCCCGATATTACGCTGGGCTTAACGTAAAATGTATACGCGTATTAATGGAAAACATGATTGTGACGTAGGCAATGATTTAAGAACGTTTCAGAATAATGGGTGTAATAAATGCGTTATAGATTGACGACGCACGTGGTGTGTCAGCTGCATATGCACATAGGATTCTGTAAACGAGATGCATAACCGATCTCATTGGAACACGTTGATCGATGAAACCGCTCGATTAACGGGATTGACAAAATCTGACTCATCGATGACTAATCGAGCCGGCTTTCGCTTAAAATTCTTCTGGCCTCGTCGAGGCAGAAGTTACGTCGAGAAAGTCGGAAACTCTTGTCGCTGATAATTACCGTTAATTGCATTCAAAACGAGCCGAAGAAAGGGAGGATCTATTATGACACATATTCCTTGTTTCTACTTTTAACTTCAAACGTATATATACGCCCCCGCCAAATTTTCGACGACGCATATATACGTCCTCGTCCAATTTTTCAATTACGTATATATACTTCATGGACGAAAAAAAATGAAATACCGTTAATTTCGTCAAGTCGCGTATCAAGAATGAAATTTTTCGCCTTCTCGTACGCGCGATGCAACAACAGTCCAGATAACGGTCACTATTTTTAGTGTCTTTCACGTATAAATAGTCTGCTGATTACGACGGGACAGTGTGCAATGATTATACGATCGAGACGGAACATCGAAGTCGGTTTATGAATCAAGCCGGTTGATCCATTAAGGGGGAAGTTGCTTGTAAAGCTTAGAAAATGGTACTCTTCGAAATTCTTCTTTGATCCAGTTCAACGAAATCAGAAATAACAATGAACATTTCGCTTTCATTGATTAAATGTTTCCATATCGCAGTGTTAATAACGTTCGCTAAACGCTTCTCAAGATTACGAAGTCATCCAGCTAAGATAATACCATTAGCCATATTACGGTTAAGTGGAAAGTATACCACGGCTAATAGTATTATAATTACCGTGGCTAATAGTTCGGCTAACAATAATGGTTTCCTCCTTTGCAGACGGTGCAGCATGGGTTCCCAAACAAACCTACAGCCCTGGCATGGGATCCAAGCTTGCGGCTGATGATCATCGGTACGGCATCCGGCGCCATCAAGGTGTATCCTTTTTCTACCCTGCTCTTTATTTCTTTTTTATTTCTTAAATATTCGCATTTAGAATTTAACCAAATACTCGACTATTAAAATTTCAGTAAGATTCAAATTTTAACTTAGAATAGATAAACCAACGAAAATTATTATAATATTTCTTTCTAAAAATATCAAAAATTTGGATCAAAGAGGGTTAATCACGGACGAAGGGAGAAGGAGAATATACTTGATCGAGGTTGCTTTCTTCTGATCACCTTCGCAGTTAATTTTAGATCCAAGATATTCGATATTTCGCGATACCCATGTCTATTCTTCTCGCGTCGAGGGTCAGACAGTAGATTTCATTGAAGAAAACTGATTCTCGTCAGACGGTTATGTAGGACATTTTTTACTTTGCAAATCGAATATAGGTCGCATCGATTGCGACAGAGAAATTGAAGACATCTTTTGAAACAAATTCTGAAAAGAATAGATGTTTTCAATTTTTTCTTTTTTTTACACGAAAATGATTTTTATCATCTTGCATACTGAAGTTTCCCAAGAGGAAGGAAAACGAATGGTAAGAATGCATTTGAAAGTTTAATCAGTTAAGCGAAGGTATACCCGTCTCATTTTCCGAGAAACACAAACCAGTGTCCCCTTGTTTTATTCGAATTTTCCATCCCGATCAAACGCCACGTTGCCACGCAGAGTTCTTCTCTCATATTTTTCTAACTAATAAAAATCTCAGCAAAACGCTTGTATAATCATGTTTGCGAAGCTTTGGGCTTTAAATTGACGTATCATAAGCATTATTTTTTAACAATTTTATGTCATGAAATTGGATTAGTCGATTAATAGAAAAACGTGATGAGAGTCATTAAACTTGTCTCATCGGGCACGACAAAAATGATTCGTTATAGTTATTTTTACACCGTTAATCGATTCCTGCAACGCGTTTAAAAAATGCTAATTACGAAGCGTACGCATAAGGCGTAAGCTTCTCTGTTATATGGTTCGTCGACATTACCTTCTTGTTTTATTCAACGCGAAGCTCGATCGCAGATGTTCCAACGTCTACGTAATCAAACGATCATTATTATCATTTGGTAAGACAGATAATAAATGTTCTTCGCCGCGACTCCGTGAAAACATTGTTTGTATTTGATATTAGTAAGATAGAGTGATCCGATAAAGCTCTGCATTTATCTTTCGATTGAAAATTTATTTTTGCTTCAATTTTTATATTTGAAATTATTTACACGATTTGCGTCGAGGTATTTTCGGAGAATTTGATGACTATGCAAAAAGATAGTCACAACGTATTCCATGGCCCGAATATAATCGTTTTCTGTCAGCGGATTAAGTCGGTCATTTTCGAAACAAGAGCACCGTATGTTCCTTCTCCGTTGAGCTAGAAAACGTGCACATCCAAGTTTTTTTAGAATCAACGATTCTCGTACCTTCGCGTTTCTCTGCTTTTCCTTGACTGACATATCGCAGATTCGGCAGGCCAGGTGTCGAGTTCTATGGTCAACACTCGATCGAGAGCGGGGAGAATGCAGTGACGAAGATCGTCGCGTTGCCTAACGAGGTAAGCTTTTTAATTAATTAAATTCTATTTGATTAACCGGAGATTAATCGAGGAACTCGGTCGAGTTTTCTACGTCGTTCCAGCTTTTTACCGGTACACATTGTAATCAAAGGGTCGGGAGGTACGAAGTTGGAGTTGTATTAAAAGTCACACGCGCTGCGCGGGTGCAACGCGACACCCGGCGGGTTCGTTGCATAACTGTGCGGCGACACGCGCAACGCTCTTTTGCACGCGTGCACGAATTAATAACACGTAAATCCACGTTGCACTTTGATAAACGCCGAGAAGCTGTTTAAACGCTGCATTATTTCGAAAATTTGAAAAAAGGAAAACATCTTTCAAAGAAAACGTAACTCCCTCCGTACACGAATTCCGGTAACGAGAACCACTAGAGTGCGGAGCAGACAAACGGGAGTGAAGAGGTCTCGAGAGATAATTAATTACCGGTGCGGAAAAAAACGGGGAGAGTAATAGGGAAAAAGTGGTGTATAATTAAGAGGAAAACAACGTTGAATTACTTCATCGTCGCGGTCGGGAATAATGAATTTTCTCACATTCATTTACCATATTACCATTTCTGGATAGTTCTGTTTTTTCGATTCAATGACACTCGAAATCTTTCAATGAACAGCCGTGGCGTTGTTGATTTTTAAATAGAATCTAGAATCGTAACGTTGCTCGTTACGAGGTATGAATTCTCGTTATCGCGATCATTTTTCAAACGGATCCTAAAACCGATAAGATATCATAGTTCTACAATTATAATCTTACCATATCGAATCTCAATTTTTTTTTATCGTTTTAATTACGTATAATAAAGTTATAGGTGTGTACTATTTGAAAAATGAACAAATGTTTTCGCGTTAACAGGGTCGCGTGGTCTCGTTATGCGACGACAATTCCCTCCACCTTTGGGAGATCAACGAGAGTTCCGTGGTGGAAACGAAATCTCTTTCGTTGGAGGGAAAACTGAAGAAAATCTCGGCGATGTGCTTGGAGTCGAGCGGTGAACATCTGCTACTGGGAACGGAAGGCGGTAATATTTATCTACTGAACCTGAAAACCTTCTCGATGCCTGATAACATCATCTACCAGGATGTTGTGATGCAAAAGTAAGAACATCTGCTTTCCCCTGTGTACACGTCGAGTACAGTTGAACTAGTTGAAAGAATTTCTATATTTAGTTTCTGATAACTATCAAAGTTGATAAGAGCAACTTCTATATGAATTCGGGAGAAGTTGGCTTAAATTCAAGATAACGAGTCAATTTCACATAGACCATGCCAGACAATGGGCTTTCAACATGAAATCGCGTGTACGATTTTCTAATTATTGATAAAGAAAGAATCTCCACCTTGACCCGCGTTGCGAGTCAACGATTCGTCGATTCACGTGACCGTGACGTTATTGATGTTGTATGACAGTGTACCAGATGATTACAAGAAGAATCCAGGAGCGGTCGAGGCGATAGCGGAACAACCAGGTCATCCGGACAATATTCTGATAGGTTACAATCGTGGTTTAATGGTTCTGTGGAACAAAGCAACTCCTGGAGCTCAACAGGTGAGCCTTCGCGTTGTCATTCTTTCATATATCTGTTCTTTTACAGATGGCCTATGTATACAGAAAACTACAAGTGTGGCAGATGTAATAACACGCTTACAGAACAATACAAAAAAAAAAACACACACACACTTGCTTCAGTTACATTTACATGGGGCTACGCCATTAATCCATCGGTACACAATACTATACTTAATGCAGTTTCTTTTTTTTACTTTTTAATAAGGTGACATAATGAGTAAAACAGAAACGCTTGATGTAACATAATACCTTCTCCTTGCTGATTCCTAAAGTTATCTAACAAGGGAGTATCGTTAGGTGTTCGAATTTGGATATTTGTCTTAAAACGAGCTATTATCGAATGTTGTATGAGAGAAAGAATATCACGTGTTCGAAATGGTTTGGGGTGCCGATGGGTTAACAACGTACTTACATTGTGGAGATGGTTCTCGTTCTGATTGTCGTTTGTGTCTTTGGTGGTTTTGGCGAACGTGTACGTGCAGCTGATGGGTTTGTTTTCGCGTGCGCAGACATTCGTCTCCACGCAACAGCTGGAATCTGTCCACTGGATCTCCGAGAATCGTTTCGTTTCCTCGCACAACGATGGATCGTACGCGTTTTGGAGTCCGATCAGTGACACAATGGTAGACTCGAACACACCCTACGGTCCATTCCCGTGTAAAGCTGTCACTAAGATCCTCGTCTATGAGACCGATGAGTAAGTAAGAATTCAGGTGTCTGTTAATTTTATACCGTTAAACCGACAAGCGGTAACAAATTGACGAATACTTTGTTACAGGCACGGCGAACTTATTTTATTTTCGGGTGGAATGCAACGTGCCAGTTACGGTGACCGTCACACGATCACCGTAATGACGAAGAAAAAACAGGTGGTCTTTGATTTCACGTCGAAAGTCATCGACTTCTTCACCGTGTTCCCGAAGCAAGAGGATGGTAAGGAGATACCCGAGGATGGCCCGGAAGCGTTAATAGTATTGGCCGAAGAAGAGGTGGTAGCCATTGATTTAATTAATCCCGAATGGAAAATGATGGCCTTACCTTACTTGGTATCCCTCCATGCGAGTGCGGTGAATGTCATATCTGTTTATAACATCGAATAAATTATACTGTAAACAATATCTCATATACTTGTTAATGCTTAGGTCACTTGTTCGCAACACGTTCCAAACGTGCCGGAAGAGCTATGGGACAGCATCGTGGCAGCTGGAAAAGCGCAGACGGAGCATTTGTATTCGGAGAAACCGTGGCCTATAGACGGTGGTATTATTATTAATCAGAAATCTGGAAACGAGAAGCCGAAAGGTAGAGAAATGTTGCTTACCGGCCACGAGGATGGAACCGTGAGATTTTGGAACGCTTCTGACGTCGCGTTGACGCCTCTGTACAAATACAATTCCTCTATATTGTTCACCGGCGAGCATTTGGACGTGCTCGAGCAACCGCCGGAGGACGACGAGAACGAATGGCCACCTTTTAGAAAAGTTGGAACGTTCGATCCCTACTCGGACGATCCTCGGTTAGCTGTTAAAAAGGTTTTACTCTGCCCTTTGTCCTCGACGTTAGTGGTCGCTGGCACGGCTGGCCACGTGATCACAGCCACCATATCGTCCGAGCCAACGAACAAAGAAATCAAAGCCATCACTATGAACATTGTCAACGATCGCGATGGATTCGTATGGAAAGGTCACGATCATTTGCCAGTAAGAACGACCAGCATATCCTTCGCGGTTGGTTTTCAACCGCAAAGTCTTCTTCAATTATATCCACCGGCTGCGGTTACCGCGCTGGCAATACACAGTGAATGGGGATTACTCGCTGCTGGTACGGCACATGGTTTAGCAGTTTTCGATTATACAAGGGCGAAGGCTGTTACCGTCAAGTGCACGCTCAATCCGAATGGTATTTCTCCCTAGCAATTTGTATTAATCAAACGAATCATCGTTATTTCATCGACTTTGTATAATTTTACAGATCTTTCCGGAGCGGGCGACACGCCTATTTCGAGAAGAAAATCGTTCAAAAAATCGTTGAGAGAATCTTTCAGGAGATTAAGGAAAGGAAGATCGCAGCGTAGAGCGACGACTGCTAGTAGCCCGACGAGAAATGCTACGGAAAAGAAGAAAGATGTGTGAGTATTATTTTAAGCGTGACAGCTACAGGACTTTGATTTTACCCATTGAAACTTTATCGAATAAATAATTATTTAAAAGTTCCAGTGTTGCTTCCTCGCCGATCGGTGACCTCTCGCCGGTAGAGCTGAAACCTGTGGAAAGACAAGTAGAAGCAAGACCAGTGGATGACGCATTGGGCTCGATGGTTCGATGTTTATATTTTGCTAGGAGTTATATTATAAGCAGTGGGTATTCTCTCGTGCATTATGAACATATTTCCATACAAATACAGTTAACATTTCTTATTTGTCTAGTGCAAAATACAACCCCTACACTTTGGGCGGGTACCAATAACGGTACGGTGTATGTATTCACGTTAGCGATTCCTGCGGGGGTTCGAAGAACGGAAGAGGATGTAAATTGTACATTAGGGAAAGAGATTCAATTAAAGCACAGAGCACCGGTGATCGCCATAACGATTCTCGACGGATCCAGCGTTCCTTTACCGGAACCGTTCGAAGCCGAGAAAGGTGTCAGTCCTGGTCCTGATATGGCGTCACCGCACAGAGTTGTTATCGCCAGCGAGGAACAGTTCAAAATCTTTAATCTTCCATCCTTGAAACCATATTGTAAATACAAACTTACCGCGCACGAGGGTTCGCGTGTAAGAAAAACAGGTTTTGCAAAATTCTCGTGCCCGGTTGAGCCTGCAGGTACGCACGAAGAAACCTGTTTATTATGCCTGACCAATCTCGGTGATTGTTTACTGCTTAGCATCCCAGAATTGAGAAGGCAGCTTAACGCAGCGGCCATTAAAAGGGAAGACATCAAGTAAGTTATTCGTTTAATCCAATTATAATCTGCATATTTTTATAATCCGTCAAATGATCGGAATCACGTTATTTATTTATACAGCGGTATCTCATCGTTGACTTTCACAAAAGCTGGCGAAGCTTTGTACCTTCATTCAAGCTCGGAAATTCAACGAATTTCATTGTCGACCAGTAAAGTGACGAAGGCAAATTGTGCCCTGAATTTACCGCCAAATGCTAGATCCTACCCGGAGGCTAACAACGAGGAGACGCAAGAGCAAGGAGTCGTCGAAGGAGCTGCGGAAACGGAAGGGGAGACAACGCAAGGAAGCCAGCAGCCGACCACGGTACAGAGGACGATCGTAGAAAACGGTGTAGTGGGTTCCAGTGAGTATATCGCGTATTCTTTGTGATCATTTAAATTATAAAAACGTTAAACAAAACGTTACGATAGGACACTGTAACTAAATTATACGTGGCTGCTTAGCATATCTTGTTAACCTGTGTACATTATGAATGTTGCTTCGCTATAATCATTTGTGATTCATTAAACAAAGCTAGCAAAGCTAAATTGTAATTTAACGCCAATTAACGTCATCGAAAACGATAAGCAATCTCCTTAACCCTTTAGTACCGGTTCTTGAATACATGTATTTTAGCCGACGGTGAAGAATCGCCGAAAGAATCACCTTCTTTGCAACCAGCCGCGAGCACGAACGATGTAAACGGAGAGGATGATCGTCAAGATTTGAGTTCTATCGGAGACATCACAATTGATAGCGTGAAGGATCATTTACTGTAAGTTAAAGGTGCCACAACTGTGCTCCCAGCTTCTTATTGTTTTATTTCATGTGCTTTATTTCGCTTGTTTCGAAAATTTATTTGCTAAAAGTAATTTGAAATGTATCAAATATGTTACCTTATTTCATTAATTTACTTTGCTGTGCTAATCGATGTGCGTTTTTTTTTTTTTTTTTTCTTCTTTCATGTACTTGCCATTGTTTGGCAGTAACAGTTCACTTTTCAGAAATGCAACGTCCTCCGAAGAACTTCATAATCGTCTTGCAGGACTTAAAATGGAAGTGACTTCTCGAACTTCTGAAATTTCTACACAGAACCAATCCTTAGTGGTAAAGACCACCACCGTTGTTTCACAAACAACCAACACTACCACTGCTAGTAAGTAAACGATCGAAAATTATCTATCGCACGGATTTAAGATTCGCTTAAAGAAAAGGATAATCATTGTTTTCTCGTGCAAAATATAAAATGGTGTATTTAAATCCTGCAAGACGGCTATGAAGTTCTTTGGAAGACGTTGCATGCCTGAAAAGTGAACTATTACTGCCAAAGTAGTACATAAAACTATATGTAATTATTTATTTTGCATTAATGAAATAATATTGTGTCCTCATCATACATAATCCTCTTTCGTTGTCTAACAATAAGTTGGACCGAAGAAAATGTATCTTGCACTAGAAAACCGTAATTATCCTTCTCTTTCAGCAAAAATACCGCCAATGGAGAAGTTGAAACAAGTCAAGCAAACGAGACACAACAAACGAACAGTGAGTGAAATCATAGCTGATTTCAAATCAGTTTAAATAATAATATTAAGATCAAGACAATCAATGTGTTACGTTCATTTTTTCTATAATTATATTTTTATATTCTTCTTTTTTTTAGGGTATATTCAATATTTCCATAATCGAAGATTGTAAATACTTTATTTCATTCATTTGCTTAAATATCTTGTGTTTGTCTGTCGTTGCTTTGTAATTTCTCTTCATCTTCTCTTTATACCTTTGATAGTACTCTTTTGTTATTGTTTCGTTTTTGCTATTTTTGTTGTTGCACAGGCACTACGGTAGAGAGAGAGATACGGAGCGGTACTGAGACTACAACGACACACGCTACCATCACTATACCTCCAAACGTCGAGGTCAGCAAACGGCATTGAGTGTAATTGCATTACCTGGTGTCGGATCTTACCTCGATAATTAAGACTATATCATTAACGCTTAGCATATTTTTTCTATGCTATTTAATGTATGATGAAAAAGATTCTAAAATATCTATCTGATTAGAATTAAACATCCAAGAGATAACTCTTAACATTTCATAGTTGTCTCGCTTGAATGCCATTAACAGATTTCTACGATTAACAAATTTGAATACAAAAGATATATATTTGGTATAAGTAATTATCACGTATAGAGAGTAAAGAAGGTAATATGTAGCAATTGTTCCACGCTAAAAATAATCAGCATGCATTTGGGTTGTAAGTTTAATCTAATAATTTATTACTGATCACTCAAGGCCTATATACTGTGGTATAATAAATTAGCTGTATTACTTTGTAACATTAAACATACATGTAACATGTTACAATATTTTGTTTCAGATCAGTGACATTCTGCAATAACCACCCGAAGATCCGGTTAGAGAAAGTCTTAAATCTATGTTACGTAAAGCTAAATCTAGATTTTTACATGGTATTTATGTAAGAATGGGATTCAGTAAGACACTCCACGCATTCTTAAAGAAATATTTACATTAAAAAAGAAAATATAATAATACAGACATAATCTAACGTAGAACTGCCAACGTTCGCGGTATCACGCGCACATCGATTCGAATCTTTCGCCTCTCTCATTGTCTTGCCTGAAAATCACTGGCAATCGAAGTTTCAAAAGTACTAATACTTTACAATACCTATTAATTAATAGATCGTTACATCACTGATCCTACTATAATGACTTTTTCTTTTTTTTTTTTTTTACAAAAAGAAAAACGAAAACGAATAAAAATATACAATATTTTTATCGAAAAACATAAATAGACTGAACGCATGAAAGAAGCATATCCGTTGTTTCTTTTGCATTTAATTGACGCCATTCGCGCGAAATCGAACAAAGTTTTTTCATCGTTTCGTCGTTTGTCTCTCAAGACTACGCATTAAGTGTTGAAAATAAAAATGTGTCAATTTCTTATTCATTGATGCGATTGTGAGGCCTTTGTAGATAGATTTTAATCTTCCTCTAATTTCGTAATTTCCTATGAATTTGTTCTATTTTTTTTTTTTTTTTTTTTTTACTTTGATCAACCGCGGAAAATATGTTTCTATTATGCGGTGGTTATCTTTAAACGAATGTTATACAAGGCGTTCCAAGGATATTGAGTATTATGCACAGTTTTTATATAAGGATGTAATTCCAAGTACAAAAATTTTAACTATCTTGACCATATTAAAGAATTTGCATTTTTAATTAGAGTTTTATTTGCATTTAACCATTGGAAGTCCATTTTATAACGTCTTGGGAGAACTAGCATTTCTACTGTGCTTTTTGGACCGCCCTGTACCGTTAATTTTATTATAATTGTAAACTATATTAACAAGGTGAAGTCAACGCGTTAAATAAGATACAATTGTACGAAAACAAACGTGCTTCTGCTATTGTAAAATTATTGATTTTTTACCTTGATAAAATATTACACACTGTATTTGGCGAATATTTAAAACCTGTCCCGTTCTTACTTTTCTTTTGGGTATTAATCCCGATGAGATATGTTTAAATTATCTGCAAACAGTGATTCATATTTTGTTTTGTTAGGATTCATGCAATATCTAAATTTCCCCAGTTATCTTGTTTATCATGTGCTTTATTTATACAGAGTGAATCACATAGGGACTACCTAAAAATGTGGCTGCCGTTCACTCAATATCGCGTGCCCGATCGTAAATATTTAAATATTGCGGCACACAGCGACAGACTCGTTTCTCGGATCGGGTGACAAATATTAAATAAGTAAAATTTATAGTATTAAATAGGTAGTAAAACAAAGAATTTGATAATTAAAAAAAAATATACGTATATGCAACGTTTCGATACCGATGGATTGTCTTTTCATATTTGAAAATAGGAATATCGATTAATCGAAAGGGAGAACCGGAAATACTATCGAGTTTTGATTTAAGCAGTGTTCACCAGATGACGCAGAAGTTTTTCAGGCGTGTCGAAATCGTAGCTCGCGCTTGCGTCTGTATGTCTTCATCGTGTTCCGTCGTTGTGGTGGTCACGGTCGAGAGTTAGTGAGTATGCCACAAGTAGAATAGTAGTTTTTATCGAGTAAACGCGTCGTAGAAAGTGAGCGAAAGTGAATAATCAGAGTGCGATGATAAATTCGTACGTATGGATGATCGATTATTTGATCGAAAGTTTGTAAAAAAGGTGTGTTTGACGAGTTAAAAAGGTGGCCCGAGAAAGTGGGATCCGTGATTGGTGAATTTTAGACGGCCATAATTGTGCGCCATTCGGTCTACGGTGCAGATCCGCGCAGCGAAAGGGCAGATGCCCTTACGCGGTTCGTGTTCCCATTGGTGGGTACGCGTTCGTCTATCCGGATCGACATACTTAACAAGATCCGGTAGTATTTATCGTGGAGTATTTGGATATTTGTTAAATTCAAGAAATATAAGGACGATCGTTCAGCCGCCCCCTTTGGGAGGCAACTCTTTTCGTAGTCATCTCGATAGACTGTACGATCTCTGTGTGGCAGCAACAGTAGCTAGAGGGAATCGCAGCGCCGTCAACAACACGGCGACAACGAGAACGACAGCAGCGCCATCAGCGCAACCGCCATCGCAGCGAGAAGAAACAGTATTCCTTCGAGGAGAGAAAGAAGAAATGCCTGTAGGTTCGCGAACGTTTACGCGACCAAAGATGGAGGCTTCATCCAGTTTGTAACACGGCGGCCAGGTCACGTTTAAAGTTCAACAACGGAGCCCTCGAGCGCTCCTCGAGTCGGCTGCCTAAAGTCTCCTTTGCCCCGTGCTACTTTTCTTCGTAAGCCCCGCGAGGCTGGAGGATGGAGCTACGCGTTGGGAATAAGTACCGGCTCGGACGGAAAATCGGGAGCGGTTCCTTCGGCGACATTTATCTAGGTAAACGTTTTTTTTCTTCTCTTTACATATCACGTTTACCTTTTACTTACACATTCCCCACTCCCCGCTATCCACCCACCTACCCACGGGCAGTTACATATTTGCCTTACGACGCGTATCAACGCGCCAACTCCCCCGTGCATACTCATGTTTTTTTTTTTCTTCTCTTTTTTTCTACAACTGCGTAACTGTCTCTCTGGCATTTTTCTGTCGTTCGTTTTTTAGGCACCAACATCTCCACCGGCGAGGAAGTCGCCATCAAATTAGAATGTATAAAAACGCGGCATCCGCAGTTGCACATAGAATCGAAGTTCTACAAGATGATGCAAGGTGGTGGTAAGTATAGTTTCCTTGATTATTTATCGGTCATTTTGAAACTTGTTGTTCTTAGAGAACTGTCAAAATTTTGTGTTTCTTGGACAGCTGGTTGCTCTGGCCACTGAACCTTCTTTCTCCCTTTCTCTCTCTGCCCCTCCCCTTCCCTTTTCCTATGTTACTCCATTCTTCCCCTCCCCTCATTCACTGTTCTTTGTGACAACATAACATGGAACTTTACCGTTTTACTGATTATACACTCGTACGTCAACTTTGTTTGTTTAATAATTTCATTTGCGATGAATATTATGTAAATATTATGTATGAATTGACCTTATGTTTCATTTTTTCCTGATATTATTAATTAGTGATGTTTCATTTATCGTATGTATCGTTAATGTTCACACAGTTGAGAATGGAATTGTCTATGAATCTTACAAAAGTTGTATCGTAGTAGCATTATGTGATCAGCAGAAAATATTATAATATTTCAGTTGGTATACCTACCATAAAATGGTGTGGTTCAGAAGGTGACTACAATGTAATGGTAATGGAGTTGCTTGGCCCATCGCTGGAGGATCTGTTTAATTTTTGTTCAAGAAGATTTTCCTTGAAAACAGTGTTGCTTCTGGCTGATCAATTGGTAAATATTAATCCTTATCCGTATGATATTCAAATCATTGTTATGGTGTCCATTGTAACTTGTGTCCTTGGATGAAAAAATCAAAACAGAAGATTAAAAATGTAATATTATCTTGCTCTTATTTAACAGCATTGAATGAGATCTTTGATTCTGTTTCTATGGTATTATAATTACAAAGCGTACACTGTAATGTTCAAAGTTCACATTGTGATTATATGCAACTATTTGTCATTCTGTTTTCTGTTACTGGAATAAATTACAATACAAGTTATGTTCTTATCAGCCAGCAACCGAGTCGGCTGATAAGAAAGCTTTTATGATCTCAATAAAAACAGTGTGTTAGGAGAAAGTAAAGCTTACCGAATAAAGCGTTGCTCGCAAAGAAAACGTCTCCAACAAAGAACTTAAAGAAAATATCAAAGTGTATTCCTCAAATATTCTCCTTCTCAAACATTTTTTATCAGTTATGAATGCTAATTACTAGGTAGTTTCCATGGTCTAATTAACTATTTCTTTTTATTAAAAGTGCACTGATAAAATTGTAACTATTATTTTTTTTCTGATCTCACAGATATGTCGAACGGATTACATTCACAGTCGCAATTTTATACACCGAGATATCAAGCCAGACAATTTTTTGATGGGACTAGGAAAGAAGGGAAATTTAGTGTATATTATAGACTTTGGGTTGGCTAAAAAGTATCGCGACGGCCGTACTCACAAACACATACCGTATCGAGAAAACAAGAATTTGACGGGAACGGCCAGGTTTGTTGATCAACGTATATTGATCATTTGATCTTCTTGAACAATCATTACAACATCTTAAACAATTAATTTGTGTACCAACAGATACGCGAGTATCAATACACATTTGGGAATTGAACAATCACGGCGAGATGACCTTGAATCCTTAGGGTATGTTCTTATGTACTTTAACAGAGGTAGCTTACCTTGGCAAGGCTTGAAAGCAGCGACTAAAAGACAAAAGTACGAGCGTATATCTGAAAAGAAAATGTCCACGCCCGTCGAGGAATTGTGCAAGGGTTACCCTGGTAAATTTTCCTTTACTGCAGAAATGCGTTTCATTTTTATATCGTTCCTTTCTGTTGAGGTGTAAAACTCTTATTATTGTAGTAGAGTTCGCCTCGTACCTAAGGTATTGCCGAGGATTGAGATTCGAAGAGAGGCCGGATTATTCGTACCTACGGCAACTATTCCGGACATTGTTCCACGGTGAGGGTTTCACTTACGATTACGTGTTCGATTGGAACATGTTGAAGTTCGGTAACGTCAGGCAGCAAACGTTGTCGTCGACGCAACAGGCACCGATGCAGTCGCAACACACGAACGCGGCCCTGCCTTCTGGGACCAATAACGATCAGGAACATCGATCTAGGTTGGTGTACGGACGACAGACAGAATAAGCGAGGATATACCGCAAAATCTTTCGGCTAACCAAATTAGACGTGAAAATGTTTGCGATCTCATCTTCACCAAGCCGTCTTTTCATGCGTATAAATAGCATGGTCATTTTATTACTCGGTGCGTTCTATTCTTGGCGGCTTGGGTCAATGAATCGGGAAATGGTCGTGTTTAACAACACGCATGACCAAATATACTTCTCTTCTTCAATTTTAATATAAATTGCATTCGTTTATTTAAATGTTGAGTCGTTTATCCTTTAAGTTTCCCATTTTCTTATCGTCGGTCACCCGTTGTCAACTGATCAATCTGAATTTCCAGGCCCTACACACGGCAGTGTTTGGCAAACGCATCAGTGGGAACGGTGGGCCCGACCGTGGGAGGAACAGCGACGAATCTACGAAGCCTGCGACAGAAACGCGAGGCGATAGACGCTCTTCGCGATCAGGACAATCAGGACAAGAGCGATCTTCAAGGTAAAGCACAGTTCTACCCAAAATTATCTTCTATCCAGCAGCAGGTTATAACTGAGCGAAACAAGCAGCTCGTGGTCGGCTATTCCCAGCCGGGTGTCAATGAAACCCCACGTCCCGTTAATCCCTGTCAGTTTAGTACGTTCAAGTCGTCACCGGTACGAACAACACCGGACGTAGCCTCCCTGGACATTGGGGGTCTTAATTTAGGACACCGCGAGCCGTGTTCGAACCGGGCCGAATTGAATTGTAGCATGTCCCGTGATTATTCAGCGAACAGGCCGATAGAGGGTAGTCCAAATGCGTCCTTTCGTCAGCTAGACAAACAGAGTTATTTTTTTCAATCGTACAAAACCGAGACTGACATAGATCGCGAGATGATGATGTTCGATCGTAGTGTACTTGATGAGAAAAAAATTGATTACGCGGACGAGGAGGTTGCGGCAGCATCCGGTGGTTCGTTGAATTGTTTCGGTGGCCTGGAGAAAGAGAAAGGCTGCAACGATCACGACGAGAAGAAACAAAAATCTTCCATGGCTGTCGGTCGACACCATGCCGCCACCCACGATACACGTCGCGATTCGGGAAACGTAGAATTCTTGGAGAAAGAGGGCGAGATCTTCAAGATAAGCAGCAGCGAGTTGCTGCAAGAATCCTCCGGCAAGAAGAAAAGAAATTTCTCTTTTAATAACAAAGAGAAAAATCATAGAAGCCTGGAATCGTTGGAGAGAAGCATAGACTTGTCGGTGATGGATTGTAAGAGTCTCGATCTGTTATCGGAGGAACAACCGAAAACGTTTTACCACGGCAATCAGAGGAGCCTCGATTCTTCTCAGAAATCGAAGAAATCGATGGACTCGTCGGTTAATAAAACACGAAAACGACCGAATTTCTTTCAACGTGTACGAAGAAGCTGGCATTTTTTACTCATGCAGCGCAGAATCAGGCAACGAAATAAATACGAGAGGCCGCCGAGCGGTCGTGAGAAGTGCGAGTATTTTTTGCAGAGATTACATAAGAACGATTTCATCGAGCGCCTCTCGAGTTTGCCGATCAATCCTCCTCGGGTTCAGACGAGCGTCGATTTTTTCCCTGAACGGGATACGAGTAAAGACCAGGTGATTCTGACCGACGTAAATGACGACAAAGAGTTTACCGTACAATTGGAGAACAGTACGTTTCGCGTGAACGACGAAGAAAAGGATTTGCCTGACGAAAACACGAATATGTTGACAAGAGAGAACGAGGCAGAGGGGTGCTCGTTAACAGGTGAAAATGATGTCTCGCTAAAGACACAGGAAATCGTTGACAATGAAAAGAAAGAACAGTTCATGGAATGGGTAGTCACGATAGCGAACTTGGACGCTTTGAGCCATGGTACGCACTCGAACGATTCTATAGGCTGTGGTATACTACACGGTACCCTTGGCATTCTGAAAAGTATACTTTTCGATATTTTCCTTTGCATTTGCATTTAAGTTCGTATCTGTATCGCAGTTTATATTTATGAACGTTTTCTTACATTAGAGCAAGGTTTATTACTGATGCTTTTCGTGTGTTGTTATGCCAGGATGTTTTCTTTTCCTTTGCCATTGTTAGGCTCTCAGTGATCAATATATTGAACACGCGTTACCAATACATTTGTATAGATTCAGATATCTTCTGACAATTGATCCTTTTCATACAAGTTTTCTTGTCGCGTTTGTTTCCCTACAAATTCTATCACTGCCATTCATAATCCTTGTCAACCTATAGAATTCTGAATTTTTATATGAAATATGTATTTAAACTTGTAGATTCATTAGTATCGTTTTGGAATGTTTGTTTTTTTTTTTTTTTTTTTTTTTTTTTAAACAAGTAGCTAGGTAAGGTTTGAAGATGCCTTCAGATTTGTTCGACCGATTAAATCTGCAAAAGCGAACAGAACAGAAAGAACCAAAGTGCAATGGGTGGTGGCATAACAATGTATACTGTCGATCGAGCTTTCGACGTTTCGAATTTGTAATCGTGGTACATGGAAGAAAAAGAAACTCTGTTAGCTAACGAGATACGCATTTTGCAAGTATATTTTCATATAATCGTGTTACGAAATATTACCAAATACCTAATTACACGCGTCGTGTTTGCACAACGTGATAATTTATAAAAAAAAAAAAAAAAGATCCCTGAGGAAGCGGTAGCTGCTGTGAGTATGACCAGGCGAATGATAGAAAAGGGTAACACGATTGGATTTTTCATAATCTTTAAAGATCTTTTCATATAAAAAGAGTGAATAGTTTTTCAGGTCTCCCAGTGAAGAGACAGGCACCTTCTGATGGTTTTTCTATCACAGGGTTCTTTTTTAACCCTTTGCGGACGGACATGGGCAAATTTTTACTACTCTGGATGATATTGAAGTATTCTAATACGTCTCAACTATTGAGCCAACTTACAAAAGTAAAGGAATTTATGGTTCAGAAACTTTCATTCGCAAAGGGTTAAATTATCGCGCCTCGAGGTCGCCGGAAATCCAAGCAAGAATCGCACCAGGATTTCCGTCACGTTCGAAACAAAATCCACGCGCAATTTTTCTACGAACACTCACGAGCAAGCAAGTTTCTACCGTAATTTTTATACCGTCAAGAGAGAGAGAGAGAGAGAGAGAGAGTGAGTGCTAGATTTGTAAGATAATTTTTTTTTTCTTCGTTTCATTCATATTATACAATATTTTCACGAGTGCATTGTTCGCAATGCACTCGTGAAAATATTGTACACGTACATTAATATGTCGTTGTCTAGAGAAGCTCGAAACGCACAACATAATCGTTTATCTATCATCATAGTCTCAGAGTTCTCGTTGATGCTGTGGATCAAACGTTTTCAACGTATTATCCAATTGTATTTGAACCTTGTATCAAATGATTGTAACGCGAACTCTGGGGCTTGTGAGTTTTGCACCGAATTTGCATCATAATTAGCTAGCTTTATCAGATATACAGGGTGTCCCATGTAAGTGTCACCGTGGTAAATTTTCTTCCAACTACTGATCATTTGTGACTGGTCTTTATTTGTATCTATGTTTTCTTTTTTTCATTATACAAATTTTGTTTTGTGTAATGTTCTTAACTATTTTCTTGGCATACAAGAGTCGCATCGTTTCCTGTGCTCGTGTAAAATAAGAAAGACAATTTGAATGTAATATTGATTTCTAGTTCTCTTGGTATATGAAGTGAGACACCCTGTAATCGTCATGTTTGTTTATTTAATCGTTTCACCGTTCCGATCGTTTCGAATTACATTGTAATTATCCTGAGCGTATATCGTTGCGCTCATTCGCTGTTCTTTCATTTTCGATCCTCTCAAGATCCTCTTCTTCGGTTCGTCTCGATTGTCTCATTAATGGTCCAAAGTGTGTTCATATTTTTGTTTCATATTAACACGTTGAATACCGTGGGGATAAGAATAATACTTAATAATTTTTATGAAATCACGGGTGTTCCTTTCGACTGGGATTCAACGTGTCGATAAAATTGAAACGCGTATCTGTAACCAGTGTTTCTATTATTTTGTCCAACCATTGTAGTTCTTTGTTCTGAAATCTGAATCTCGAGGATGTTTCTTTCGTTTTGATTTTTTTTTTTTTTTTTTTTCTTTCCTGAAACACGTTGGATCCTGAGCATCGTCGTTACTTTTCCTTTCATCACATATTTTCCTGTGTTTCTTTCATGGAGTTTCTCACGGTTACCCAATCAATATTTGTAATCATTCTGTTTTTATTGATAGTGACGACGATGATGATGATGATAAAGAGAAAGTAGTAAATAAATGTTTTTCCATTCAAGGACTTGTCTCTTTATTTATTTCACCACACGACATTGTTGATTATCCTTGTCAAAATTCTTTTCTCACTTGGCTTGAATGGAAAAACCAAATCGATGCACGTACCTTTATTTTTTTCTTTTCATAACAGAAAAAGAAAATACTACGATGATTTTTTTTTTTATTGATATCGCATCATCTCTCTTCACAAAGACGCATCATTTTTGTCTTGATCGACTTCTTTATTTCAAGATTGAATATTTTTTCCATTTCAATTGCCAAGCGTGAAAAATCATTCATCGTTCCTGTCTACGTCTCGCATCATAGGATCATTCGTCGTGATTCCTGTATCATATTTGTAGATCGTACAATCATTGTAGTCTTTGGAAAAGAAGAAGAAAATTGCATTCTCACTGAACAAAATTCATAGCTTCATCTTTGAATGAGAATCAGTTATAAAAAATGTATAAATTAACATAGAATAGTGGTTTCCTTAAAAATGATTAATTAATTCTTCAAGAACAAAGAAGTAACGTTACATGCGAATCATCGTTTAATACCAAAACGTATTCCACGCGAGGTGGTTAGATAATTTGACTAGATCCAACGGTGTCCTCTAATATATTAACTCTCTTCTGGTCATGGTTGTTGGATAAACGAGCCACTGTCTCTCGAAACTCGTTCTCTTTCTTTAGCGCAATATATTCGTGTAGCAATAGTCATCTAAGAAGCGTTGCTTTTGTAACGTGACCGGTTGATACCGTCTTCGACCGTGTTCTCTAGTTTCTTATACCGACACGATTGCGAATGCGTTTGTTCTCTTCCAGGGAGAACCGTGTGTTGCTCAACTCTTTTCACTTCTCAAATTAATTGCAACGTTCAATTGTTCTCATGGATTGTGTATATGAGAACAATGCGGTAGGATTCAGGGATGAGAAGTTTCCCGAGTATCTAGGTAGAGGTCCTTTTTATATAGGATGGGAAAGTGAATGAAATTATTTATCATAAGTCCGTGCGGTTAGCTGACAGAATGATTATCAATAAATTAGGGAGAAAAAGATAAAAATTATTATAAATTCTGCGAGAGGATAAGAGTGTCTAGTTCAGTGGCAATGACGCATTTCTTTTCTACTGATATATTTCAGCATCGGGAGCCGGTTTGCAGGAACGAAGGGTCAGCATGAGGTTGCATCGCAGGGATGCAGCTGCAGGGGAAATGCAGCCGAAGACCAAGTGAGTTTGCTATTATCACGCCAAATATCACCGTGGATTGCATCCAAGTATAACTTGCTCTGCTATCACTCTACTAGGAGGTATTTTTCATTTCTGAATTAAACGATTGACTGGTGTATAACTAATTAGTATTTGCAGGTTTTATGTATCAAAGAGCTGGTTACACTTGGTGCTTTCATGATAAATTATGCATGGAACATTGCACATCGTATTGGAATTCAATTCACGAGATCTCTTGATCGACATCAGATCACCACGTCACAGTTCCTCATCGTTACTCGATGATAAAAATCATTGCTTACCGCAGACACAATCGTATAGAAGATAATTGTAAAAACAAATTACGATATTTTTTCCATTTAGTATTGAGAACGATGTGTGATTTGTTATAAAGATTCTGTTGCTCGCGAATTAGATCTCGGTGGATAGTTGTTTAGTTTTTGCATTCGGCTGTAATTTGGCGGGTTCACTATTATTTTGGTAGATTTTGGTGTCTTGATACCGTGGCATGGTTCTCTCTCGATCGTTACCGATCAGGGGAGAAATTGAGAGAGGAGAGAGGGTGTGCACTTTTTTGTCCTTTGGAAAGAATGCTTATTCACTCCTAGCAGATCTAGCAAGCTTCGAATCATCTGTCCTAAACGATCAAATTATTGGCAACTTTTGGGTAACTTTAATGACTCGATGATAGTTATGAAAATCTGTAAAATCCTAACATACTTGGTGATCCTATATCTTACGGAATCAATGGCTTTTGTAATTTTATTTTGTAAATTATGTTTGGAAATTCTTTCCAAACGCGACCATCAGACTTGATTGCTTGCTATCGGGATGCACTGGGATTTCTTTTTTTTTTTTTTTTTATACTATTAAAATACTTCTTCATATTAGATTGTTGCATATTCGATTTAATGAAAATTTGAATCAACTAAACGCAGCACGTTTTAATTAACAAAGTTAGAGACCTGGAAAATTAATCATTTCATCTGCAACAACCTAATGTTCCTTTTGCCCAAAGAAGAAACTCCTTTATTTTTCTTACTGTACTTCAATTTGTTTACTCCTTCTCGACTGTGTTACAAACAATGATCCTGATTTATACCGTACGTTCTTTTGTGTTTCAATTTTCAACACGTGTCGCGAATAGGAGCGTAACGAAGGAGAAAGAGAGAGGGAAGGGAAGCCGGATGATGATTACGAAATTCTGCTTGGCAACTGGCATACTTACATGGTTTCATCGTTCAACCGCGTGATCATCGAGCAATTGTTTATTAAAATCATTTTCTTCTCTCGTTTCTTTTGCAGTATAATTTGATGAATCTTCCTCTTTTCTTCTTTTTTCCATTTCTCAATTACCTTTCCTTCTTTCTACCGTGACGAGGACACAATTGAAACCCGTAGTTAAAATTAACAAATTAAAGCAAAGAGCAAGAAAAAAAATCCGGCATCGAGACTCGTTAGAATACATCCCGCTTTACGTTCTTTCGTTGACTTTTTTTTTCCAGGTAACCGAAAGCTAAGACACTAAATGCTAAGTCGCAAATGTAGGCAAAGAGGGGGCGAAAATAATCTCCTGTGCCACGGTAGCGGACACCGGCGAAAAATCTAAAAAAAAAAAAACAAAAAACAAAAAAAACACAAAAACTGTGAAATCGTTGTTGGGGAAAACAAAAATATGCACATATATTCGCCTCGCAAAACAAAAAATATATATATATATCATCCTTCTCTCTGAACCTCGTCTGCTCTCGAGCCTCTTTGCTTTCATCTTGCCATCTGTCGCTACGTTTGTCTTATATCGTCCTAAAAATGGTTCGATTCATGTCTCCAAGTTTGTCTCTTTCTCTCGAATTTTCTCTTTGAACGAGCGACCAGTATCGTCGCCCCCCTAAAAAAAAAAAAAAAATAACAAGACGCTCCTTTTTTGCACGCGATAATTGTCGAGAAATAAAAACTGACGCCGAGACGAGAAAGACGATGACAATTAATCGTGTTTGAATATAAGAAAGACACAAAGAGAATGGACACTCGAGTAGCAAACGTTTCGGTGGAACGAGGTACGAAGCGAAGGAGAGACAGAAAAAAAAAACCCCGATAAGGAATAAAGAAAGAATTAAGAGAGAAGGAGAGGTCAATGTGGTTAGGTTCACATTCACGCTAATAGTTGGTGTATTTTGTGGGTGTTTTGTCTTGAGAAAATACAATCGCCCCTATTCACAATTTTGGGCAGGCTGGGAAGAGTTCAGCAGAAATGAACCACCAATGGCAATAGCAGACTCGTCGCCATCTTCATCGGATTCACCATGTTTTCCACCACTTCTATCATCTTGGATGCTGCTATTTCATGGTCCGCGCTATGATGGATGGATCGATGATATCCAGAGATGTACCATACCTAAAGGACTTTATTTTCATGAGATTGATACTCCACTTTGTGAATGTCTGGTGGGTCTGGAACGTCCACCAAGATCGGAATTATTTCAATGACTAGAAGGTTCATATTGATCTGGAACTCTTTAAGATATCAAGGCGACTCGATGCTATGATCCGTCTCGTCAGAGCCCCTGAAGATTGATGGAAGCTAAGGAGGACTGAGGCTACAAGAAGCACCAAGGTGATCCAAGGATCTCAGTGAATAGAGCAATAGCTAAGAAACTTTTATTGATTTGAAATTTTTTGGAAATATCATCTGAGACTCTGAAGATTGGTAAGGTGATCCAAAGGTCTCAGTAGTGAAACTTCCTGATGGGTCATGGAAGACGCTATACCATGATCCGTCTTGTCAGAGCCCCTGAAGATTGATGGAAGCTAAGGAGGACTGAGGCTGCAAGAAGCACCAAGGTGATCCAAGGATCTCAGTGAATAGAGCAATAGCTAAGAAACTTTTATTGATTTGAAATTTTTTGGAAATATCATCTGAGTCTCTGAAGATTGATAAGATGATCCAAAGGTCTCAGCAGTGAAACTTCCTGATGGGTCATGGAAGACGCTATACCATGATCCGTCTCATCAGAGTTACAAGAATTATTGGGTGATCAAAACATTTAAGTGGAGAATGATTAGACCTAGCTGAAGTAGCTCCTCGTTACAAGAAGCACAAAGGTGGTTGAACGAAGCAATTTATGGAGGGGTCCAATTTGATCGTGTGCTTGAAAGAAGAATCAACGAAGGAGACTAGCTTCTCGAAAGTGTGCGGTACGACCATCCATTTAGTGCTGGACAGACGCAACAACCGCGCTGCAGGAGAATCCTTACGATGGTTTAATTAGTAGAGCGATGGTTCTTGTGGTGTATTCGACTAAGGACGCTGTTCAAAATGGCGCTTGGTATCGTTACCAGCGGTTCACATCATCATTAGCATAGCAATCGGGAGTGCGTGACATTGATGGCCTTTTGTAGTCCTCGTTGAACTTTAGTGCCCTATGTTTCGAGCCACGTATTCTTCGGAAATCGATATCGTATTCGTATTTTTTCAAAAGTTAAGACGAGAGAAGCTGTACAGTATCCATGTCCCTGTTTCGACACTTGTGGACCCCTGTAGCGACGTGCTCTTCGAAAGTCGATGAAATCTCAGACTCGTGTTTCTTCGAAACTTTCGCGCGAAGATGGAACTCTTCTCCATTATTTTCCCAAAAACTGTTCGGATTTTTTTTTTCTTTTTTCGAAATCACGAGTTAGCTCGAACCGCGGGAAATTCAAACGACGTTGAAACGCGCGCGATTGTTTAAACCCGTTCAACTTCAACTCTCTCGCCCACTAAAAAACCATCGTTTGTACATATATATAGACAAAATCATCATCGACGGCTGGACGACGGGTGTCGGGCGTCGAAAGTCGGGCACGCGCGAAACCGCGAGCTTCTTCAAGCGGACAAAGCCGCTAAGTTGAAGACGAACCGTTCCTTGCACCTACCGATTCCCTTCGAGCCGAACCTGAAGAAAACCAGTCAGAGTCAGGCTCCTTTGCGCTAACACTCCGACCTCGACGACTTCCCAATAAGTACAACCGTCTTCATCTTCCCTAAGCGAATAAAAAAAAAACAAAAAAAAAAAAACTAAAAGAGAATCAGACGACTCAAACCGCGTAGCTTGTAAGTTAAGACGAAAAGATGATAAAATTCACACGGTTGTGCTGTTTCGTATCGTATGTAAGAGAAACACCATCATCAGACGCAATATATTGATCGAGCCAGGGGCGTGTTTAGAGTCGCAAGATCGTCGAAAGTTAATCAACATTTTAAAATGAAAATCGTTTTTGTTAGTATTTTAATTTTGTTTTTCTAGATAAGTTTTATTCTGTACAGAGAAAAATTTGGAGATATATTTTACAAGTTTCGACCCTCTAAATAAGACTTCTAGATTCCGTCCCTGGATCGAGCGTACTGTACCAGCGCGACCTTGGGTTTTCCATCGCGTACAAATTCGATCGTAAATCAATTTATTCATTAACATACCACGTCTCTTCCTCTCCCTCTATGCTTCTCCTTTTTTATTTTTATTTTTTTTTTTTATTATACATGATTATTGAGATATTGAAGCAAGAGTCGAGCCACTTGATTTTGATTCTGTTCGCAGATGACATTATACAGTCCGTACCTGAACCGACGTGTGAAAATTGTAAGATCGAAAATGTGGAATAAAATTTGTTTGCATATGACATCATTTTTATTTTCAGATTAGTTTGGGTATTTGATTTTGCAATTCATAGAGATGCAAAACAGGAGATATGGAAAAAATGAAAAATGTATGTTTATGGAGTACACTTCACTGTACGCTGACACAGTTGACCTCAATGTGAAAATATTTCTCTTCTTATTGAGTAATCGTGCGATAAGAGGATACAACAAAATTAGAATATTAATTTCATTCACTTTGAAATATTAGTTTCCACTTACAAAATTAATATATTTATTAATGTCACATGAAATTTTTATAAGTTCATATAATAAGTCAAAAAAAAAAAAAGAGTATTTCATTCCACATTTTCTATATCCATATTTACGCGTGAAATATCTTCAGGAGAGTATCAGCGATGAACAGTATCAAAATTCATTTTCCTCATTTATTCTGTGTCTAGTATGTGGGTGCGAGTGTTCCCTGTCCCGTATCTTTGCATCTGATCTTTAAGCGTGTGTATCTGTGAAATTATGTGTGGTCAGATCGAGGGAAAGGAGAGAGAGAGAGGTTGTTATTTCTCGTCGAAATCGTGGTCCCAGAATATAAACATTTCTTTCTTTATTGTAAATGTTCGAACTTTTTGATTACTCGTTCTGGAAATTAATACCTCGACGACCACCATGGACGACGAGAACGAAGAATTTCATTTTTAGCGTAACAATTGCCTTGACTCTTCAAATTTTGTTGAGTGAGTTAAATTAGAGTAAGAGGGAAGAGAGGATAAACGGATGAATGTCTGAGAAATGTTGTTTTGTAGAGAAAAAAAAAAAAAAAAAAAAACGAAAGCGTTGAGAAGAGATCGATATTAATAATCAATATCAGTTCCAATTTCAGGTCCATGAAGTAATATCGAAACGATCGACACATCCTGTTAACCCGTTCTCCTTCTCTTCCCTTGATTATCGTGTTGTATAAAGTATCGTGGACGCGTTGCATACAAACAAACATAAAATCTGAAAAACAAAAAAACGTGATATAAAAAAAAAGGTTATATATATTATACAAATATATATTATACCGACACGTGTTTTTCTATGTATTTTTTTCATAGGATATTAATAATGCTATTATTATTATTATTACTATTTACCAATTAACTATTACTATTAAACTATTACCATTACTACCGCTGCTGCTGTTGCTGCTCTAATCGCTAATCACACTATTTACTATTGTTGTGACTTGTATAAAGATACTCGATCGTAATGATCTACTCGAGAAGGTTCAATATAGATCTCCTTTGACGATCAAGGAAATGAAATCGTACGATCTTTGCGTATCACGATCTCCTTCATTTTTTGTTTCTATGTTCTTCGATTTATCACTAATGCGGATATAAGTGGATTGGGTGAGAATCGTAGATTCTTTATGCAAAACGAAAACGAAAAGTCCTTTACCGTTTTGTAAATAGTGACCTATTTTACGAGATATAAGGGATTACTGATCAGCTGTTCGACTTCGTGGGCGCCATCTTGAAAACCCGTACTCCGGAAGTCGGATGAGCAATCTTTAATCGCTTGTATCTTGAAAACGAAGCTACGGATTGAAAAATTGTCAAAAATTTTAGGTGAATTCTAATAACCTTTAGTTGCGTAAAAAAAAAAATTGTAAAAAAGTAGTTATTGAATTCTACGATTCTACGAAGGTGAGGAAAACTTTCCGATTACGAAACATTATGGAAAACGACGCACGGTCACGAAGGATTGACATAAATATTTTATTCATACGGTGAATGATGTCGAAACTTGCGTCGATAAGACCTCAACGATACATTCGAACTCACGTTGATATTATTTAGCAATGTCGCTAGTGATTATTCTTTAACAAATATTTTATGATGATTCTTATTACTCTTAAGATTTCGTGTTAATTTTATGTAAGTTGATACTTGTTACGACATGTAATATTTAGATATCGATGATTGTTGTTTAATATTAACGTTTCGACCTCTTCTATCGTTGAGTTCTTTATATTTCTCGTTTAATTCGCGTCATCTTTTTTCTTCGAAAGTTTTACTCGAATCAGACTTCGTTGAACGTAGAGGAAACAAACACTGCCAGCGACGAACGGAAGTCTTACACCCACTACTGAAAGATACGCAGAGAATTATTCAATTAGACGATTCTTTCTCTCGTATCGTCCCTATTTTAACCTCTTGCACTTTGAAATCAGCTTTTCTTTTAAGAATTACGTTAGTTACGTTAGAAATTGTAGTGCAAAAGGTTAATATAATGGCATACCTTCTCCAAGTGATCATTACGATTTTCTTTTTTCAATGAAACTTAATTTGCGCCACGCGAACCGCGTCGAATCTTCAAAAATGATCAAATTTGAAATAAAAAATGAATACTTGTCCTTGTTTATCGTTGCGTGCAAACGAAAAGTGAGAGAGAAAGCTATAAATTTAAGTATGTTACCTTGAAATATTATGGACGTGTGTATAGAACAAGATAGTTTTGCAAAAATGTGTCGATCGAAGGATTCGACAAAAATCTAAGATAGAATTGAATTTAAAAGAAAGAAAGAAAAGAAAATGATCTCGCGCGATTGATTTTGCTCGGCCTAGTGAAGCTTCTTCTTCTTCTTTTTCTTCTTCTTCGTCTTAATCATCTTCTTGAGACTAAAGGAGCCTATCGAGAAGCACGAGACTTCTTGAACGCAGAGAGAAGAATCGTGAAAAGAAATGAGAGAACATATTGTAAATTGTGGTATCCGGGTCAGAGGCGTCACGACGATCACGGCATCGAGGTATATATATGTATAATTCGCGATTAACACGTTGACTGCCACGGGGTCACTGATGATCGATGCTATGAATTCACTTCGGTCAAATAAACTAAAAGATATACTGAATATATATCATCCTGCAGTGATTCGAAATATTTAATTGAAGCAATAAATTAAAGAATTAATTTTTTAATATCTTTAGTAATCCATGTATCTACTGTGACAGTCAACGTGATTTAATTCTTTGCAGTCGAAAGCTGTTGAAAAATTAACTGTTCCAGTCATTTTTGGCTATGAAATTGCTATAAAATCGATTGGTATTGGTCGTGTTGCAGACTGCAAAGGGTTAGACTTGTATTTTAATAAATATCTATGCTAATCGAAGTTTGTATATGTATATACAATTACTGTATCCAAGGGAGAACTACTGTAAAATGATAATGTTGAGCGTGTCTGTGAATGTGTACATGGCGTTAAGTGTATTTGATCTTTGATCCTCTTCGAATCGTTTGATCACGATCAGCTGAAATGCCTGAAGAAACGAAGTAACATCGACAGAAAAGACGAGAGTATTTATAAGTTGTCTTCGTGTGCTGTACACCCGCTTGCAACGTAGTCTTTCCTTAGTCGAGAGAAAGTTCAGAGGGAGGAGCCTTCTACAACCACGCCTTCAATCTTGGCGTATTGTAATTTTCTACGTGAGAGAAGGGGGCGTGGCTAAACGGCCGACGGGAGCCGAACATGGCCGAAGTTGAAGCACGAGTGAAGGAAGGGCGTGGTAGTAGGAAGCTCCTCCCCTTTAATCAAGATTAGTCGACGTTGCAGGCGACTGTACACTATTAGAAAAGTGAAGCGTTTGCAAATGGTCGTTGAAATATCTCTTTTTATTCCGTTGGTAGTTTTCGTTGCAGTCTAGTATAAATTCCTCATTACCATATACACACACACAAACAAACACACGTACACACAAAACTGTCTCTTGCCATCTTCGAGAACCGGTCGTTTCTCTAGAATTCACGTTTTCTTTCTTTGTAGGTTGATGAAAAGCACGAGCGGCTAACCGAACAGACGGTAGCGGGTCTACCCACGGATTTAATCGTCGAGTTAATTCCGTTGGCGAGAAGAATCTCTTTTAGCCAGGCCGACCATGAAACACAAACACGAATTCCCTGCCTTCCTTTTTTACGATCCTTTGCCTTCCCTTCGTGGAATCTGTTCTCGCCATGTGTAACACACATTCGTCGATGCTTTTCTTTCTTTAACCCTTTCGTTGCGAGAAAACAGCTGACATTTGAGATTTCTTATCACGAATAACGTAAAAATGTGCAATAGAGTTCGGTTACAGGATGATTCATAAATGGCGTGGTAATAATTCAGGGGGATGAACGTACACATATATACATGTTGTTTGAACATAATCACGTTGTACATGTTGTAGTTTCTGTAAAATAGTCGTTTTCGTTATGGTAGTCAGTGTGCTATTGAACTAAGTTTTTCAGAAACATCATTTTAATTAACGCATTGACTACTATAGCACCGAGTACTTTATCGAATACTTTACAACCGATAGATTAGATTAAAATAATGAATTAAGTTTTTCTAATCTTGCGTTACTCAGAAACTATAATGTATACGACGTACGTACGTTCGAATAACATTTTGTTTACTTGTTTTTTTAGTGTGTAGATTCACCGCCTAAAGGATAATGCCGTACAAGTACGGCGTTCACAAGTGACGAGCGGTTTTCCATGACGTATATATACGTCGCACGCAGCGAAATGGGTTAAACGCGTCGTATAAGATCTCCAAGGATGGCAAGAGATCACCGATCGAAAAAGGAAGATTAGCCCTGCGCTAAAAACCAATCTGCATTCGTCGAAATTCAGATCGACCGATGATTAAGAACAAGAGCGGACGAGAAAGTAAAAGAAAAAGAAAATATTCATTTATCCATTATTTTAATGTAACGAGATCGCTGCTGGAGTATCGATCCACTGGTGATATCCATTTTCGTTTCTATAATTTCCAACTGACAATTCATTTTCTTGCCACGATCTGCGGCATCCTCAGTGGATCGAGTATCCTTACAGCAGGATATTCAAGCTTTCATCTATCTCCCATATTTTCTTTTCATGCTTTTAGGGGTTCGTCAACTCCCAACTGAAGTGCAATTGTAAAAAAATTAACGTGGAACCAAAATAGTTTGGTTGTTCTGTGTTGTTTTGCGAAGCCAACAATGTTAATCATTTTTGTTATAGATTCGGATGGCAACGTAGGCTTCTCTTGATTAAAGAGAAAGATAGCGTTTTTAAAGAATTCTCTTAACTTTAATTCTTCTTAATTAAAGAGAAGCCCAAGTTGCACTGAAACCGTACGATGAATAAATAAATGCGAGCGTGTATCAACAACGACAGAGACGCGATTTCTCTCAGCGAGGAAATAATCAAAAATTCTATAGGCAGCTAATCGATAAGCGATCGAACGCGAAGAGAAGAATAGCGCAAAGGTGTATTGAACAGATATGGTACGTTTCATACGTGTTATCGATTTTAATACTTGTACTCTATCGAATCGTAGGATATACATATACATAATAGTGATTCTTAATCTGCGACGTAATATCGTGTATATTTTGAAATAAAACGAGAGACGCGGTTTGTAATTAATTTTTGATAAACAGAAGAAGCGACACGACGACAACACATCTCCTAAACGGAGGAGCAAGAAAAATAGCGCAATCAGGATCAATATAATTCTATGTTTCTTTTCTTTTTTATTATTATTATTATTACTATTATTCTTTTCTTTAGCGAGATGATTAAGAATCGCTGGCGTAAAGGGTTCATTTGAGAAGAAAAAAAGAATGCTTCACACGCAGCTGATTGATAGCGAGAGATTCGTACGTGAATCGAATGAAACGCAAGAGAAAAAAAAAAAAACAAATGTGTGTTTGATGATCAATGTTTCGAAACGTCTCCTTCGCGCAGACAGCCTGATTTCGCGTTTTTCTCCGTCACTTTATGTTCACCGTAGGGATAATGTAATTAACGATTATAGGAGCTGAAACGAACGTTTGTTTTTAGACCGGAACGAACAACGACAGGCGAATCGTGAAACGAGAATACGTGATAAAATATTTTAGAGAAAAAAAGGGAAAGAGATGAAAGGAAGTATCTTTCTAGAGGAACGTTAAGTCGTTTCACGGTGTTTCCTGCCGTTTGCTCGCCGAATTCTAGTTAAATAATAACAGAAAGTTTTGAAAAAAAGAAAAAAAAAAGAAGAAGAAACGAAGCGTTTTTTAAATTAAACGAGATAAACGAGTAATCGTGTTCGTCTTTCTCTTTTGACTTATCCTGAATTTAGATTTAACAAGTGTTTATCATTTCTTTCGTTATCTTTCTTTTTTTTTTATATATATATATATATATATTTCTTCAAAGAGAGGATAGTGATTGAAATACAGTTTCCTCTCGATGGATCTTGAATTTGATGAAAGAAAAAAAAGTATTTTTTATTTAATAAAATTTTTGTATTTAATACCGTTTATCTCTATACCATGGTATCTTGGATATTTGGTTCATCTGTTATTAAACTGTCCCTTCTAAAAAACAGAATTACGATTAGTTTTTAAGATTTTCATTCAAATCATACTCGACATACATTTCACGAATTACATTGCTAAAAATCCACCATCCACAGGTAAGGTGACTCCATTGATCATAGAGCTGCGATTGCTCAACAGATACACGACTGCATCCACCACTTCGCTTACCTCTGCAAGTATAATTAAAAAAAAATTATTATCACTGAAGTATTTGAACGCTTTTTTCCAGGATTCAACGAGTACTCACCGCCGAACCGACCCAGAGGTATTTTACTTAACATGGTTCGTGCTTTGTCTGGGTCACTCCAGCCTAGTTTTCCCATTTCTGTCATGATCACCGTAGGATTCACCGTGTTCACTCGAATATTGTACGGACCAAGTTCAAGGGCCATCGTTCTGAAAAATAAGTTTCATTTCACTTTTTCTTTCTTTCATTAATATTTTCAATTGATACCCAGACTTTGTACTCTGCCAGTAATATGTACAATATTAATTACAGATGTATTTTGTTAATGTAAAAAATATTCAAAGCAATAAGTTCTGTTTTACTTAGACAACATGTCAACAGCTCCCTTGGAAGAGCAATAGACAGCGTGGTCTTTCAAAGCTGCCTGGCTAGCCTGAGAAGATATGTTGACGATGCTACCAGGAACCTTCCTCTCGATCATGTTTCTAGCGACCACCTGGGAAACATTCATGATAGCTTTCACGTTTACAGCGAAAGTTGAATCGAAATCTTCCGGTGTGGCATCTAAGAAAGGCTTCAAATGAGCGACACCGGCATTGTTCACCAAGAGATCGATGGGTAAGACGCTTTGTACAGCTCTCTTGGTAGCGTCCCAGTCGCGAAGATCGACACAGACGCTTTGAATACGTGGATCTTCTGCGCACAATTTCTCCAGGTTCTTTTTCGTCTTTGACAATGCTATTACTTGGGCTTTGTATTGAGAGAGACGAAGAGCGATGTCCCTGCCAATGCCTGCAAGTCAATGTTAACGATTAACTCGTTAAACCGGTCATTTTTCTATCTATCAGTGTCCCCTCTGGGGAAGCAACAGTATGAACGTAAGTACTACAATCCGCGTCAAATATTTTCCATCGTAGTTCAATTTCAGATAACCATTATCATGACTTATGTTCAAATTAAAGTAAACAGTTCTCAGTCAATAGGGAAGCTTTCATTTAGAGAAAAGTTTCCATAGAGTTCGCGTTATTGAAATTACAAATTAAAAAAGCAACGCTGGTATGGGTCAGTTATCTAACATACCTTGTCCGGCGCCTGTTACGAGTACCCGTTTCCCTTCGAAATTAATGTTCATGGTTGCGAATATGTAACTAATGACTGCGTAATTTTCCTCTTTAAATTATTCCGTTTGACCTCAGCAATGACCGTCGACTGTGAATACTGATATCAGCACTAACTATCCTCTAAAGCAGAGATGACTGTTCGGAGCCGGCAGTTCCCCACTCCGTGTACAAGTTGTAGAAAGCTTTATCCCTTACACTTGTCTTTAATTAAAGGAGAATAATATAAAGAATAATTATATTTATCATAGAACTATATGAAGTCATTTAAATACGGCTCTAATCTATGCAAATTGAAAAATAAAATATTTTTAAAAATCAACAGTCGGTAAACTGATTTTAAAAATTCGGCCGTAATGACATCTATACAAAAACGGCGCAAACTACTCAACAGGTTACCGATCGATTTTCTAAGAGTAAACGCTAGCGCTGTCTATTGAGCAGTTTGCGCCGTTTTTGTAACTATTTTATAAGTGATTTAATTTTGCAATTAAATTGTAATTAACGTTTTAACTTGCGAATCAATTGTAAAATCTAAAAGCAAACACTCTTAGCCTTATCTTTTCGATATCCAAAGATTGTTGCACCTTAGTGCGAAGCGGGTAATTATATTCTTCATAATGAACCTTCTGGCGATAGAGCCGCAAAAGAACCATCATTTGAATGCATATCTGTCAAATTGATAAATGTGTAAGAGTTTTAGAAGTTATAGAAACAAAGAGGATTTTATTTTATATTTGTCAAAGTGTTGACAAGTAAGATGAACAAGTTTCTGAAAGTATTTTATCAATTGCACTAGTTCAAAACTTTTTAATGGGTATATATTAATATCTTTTGAGATCTAACCTTAAGATAACGTTCCGTTTCAAGAACACTCTTGAAAGTAGTGTATTATACGCAGAATATTACATGAATCCGCAAAATAAATAAGTTTCCTTGTTTTGAAGGTTAGTTTGTAAATAAGACGCAATGAACAAATTTTGAAAAGTATTTTATGGATTAATGCAAATTATCATCATTTTGTGCAGGCAACATCAATAACAAAAAGGATAAAGTGAATTTTTGAATGATCACTACACTTATGAAAACAATGGCATCTGAAGTTTTCCTAGGAAGTGGTGGAACCTTTCATCGTGCCTTGATGTTTATGATTAAACTTGGATGGCAATCAAGATTTCGTCTACCTATGCTTTTAATCATTGTGTTTGTTGCCATGGATTATAGGCTTCAGTTGGAGATGGAGTTTGAAAATAATCCAGAGCAACATAATCATTTGTGATTAAGGATTTATCACTTTGCTTTAGAATATGTGATCAAAGAAAGTTGCTAGGCTATCATAAAACATATGAAAAGATATTTTTAACTGTCTATATAATTAGGAATTTAGGGATAAAAAGGGTATTGTTGAGATTTTTATTCAATTCTGTTATATCTTTTAATTGTTGTAGACTGATATTGTTTCAGGATTGCATAGGCTAAGAAAATAATTGGCTAATATTAATCAGTCTTAATTAAAAGACAGATTATGAATTATATATAAGTATTAAGTTGAATAGTTTATAATACATTTCACAATTTACTCATTTATAGCAACAGGTTTTAAATCATCTACTGTGGTTGTATTTTCATGTTAAGTTATACATTTGAGATTGATAGTTACATAGATGAAATGTGAAAATGTGATTGAAGGAAAGAACAAAGTACAGTCAATCGAATTCCTTAGGGTTACAACTATTATCATAAATTAAGTTATTGTAAGTATCTGTGTAAATTATGTGAATACATGTATATTTTTGCTATTAATGCATATATGTATAGATGTATGTTTAGAATCCGAAAAAATGTTAGTACATCTAAAGGGCTTGAACGCTTCTAGAAGGCTGGTGATAGACTGACACAGTTCTTATTCCACTGATTTAGTTGAAGCATAATGTTTTATCCCAATTATCTACAGCAACAATTTTTTTAAGGTATTGGCAATTATATGATAGTTTAGTAAAGAGAAAGGGACGAAGGGTAATAAAAACCAATAAAACCTGTAAATCATATATGTAGATGTAAAATAGGTAAGACATGTCAAAATATCATTACTTATTATAAACAATTTATGATAACAGTTCTTTATCATAATGCAACTTGGTATTTTAATTGTTAAGTGTTAAAATTATCGGTTAATAATGCAATCTACATTGCAGATAATTTCTAAACGTTTGTAGAGATTATCAATTGTTTATCGCATATAAACAGTTGTGCTCGATGTTATTAAACGAATAAAGAGAAAAATTATTTTTATAAAGTGCTTTCTCTCTTTCTTCTTTCTAGTCTTGAGCCAACATTGAAGAATAACTAAAGCATCAGTCCATGCAATTGTGATTCCTGTCTATAAATAAAAGAAGCATAAGACAGAATTTAATAAAATTTATTGTGATTTAAATCTCTCAGCTGCAAGGGAACTTTAAATTTAAAATCTACGAATTTCGAATCTATAATCCGATATTTGAAATTTAAAATTTTTTTGAAATTGACTGAATCTTGATTCTCACGTTTGAATTTGAAATTCGAATTTTTTCGAATCCTACTGCCTCGCAACATTTTACTTTCAAATGTTGAGGTTGTTTATTTGTTAATTTCCTAGAAAAAATCGTCAATATTATTGCGTCGTAACGTCTCGTGTATACGTATTTCGAAAATAATCACAACCCCTTTCAAGGGACGAAACCCTTTCGTAACCGAAATGATATTTTGTTGGCTTCTTGACGAATATAAAAGATCTCTCTGTAGCCAGAGTAACGTTAGTACAGCGTTGCTTCTTGAACATTTTTCATCCTCGTCGAGCATAGTACCTAGAAATAAATATTTACCATGTAAGTGGTCCATTTTCTTCTTCTCTTTCACGATCTCTTGAAACATGTTTGCCTGTATTTCGGCGAACATGTCGTATCATTGTAAAGAATTTAATAGTATAATTAAATACTTATTAGTTTGTTAGTAACACTTTATAACTTAATAGTAACTAAGGATTAAAACATGTCATCAAGCTGAATCTTGTTCATATTGATGTATATTATTCTTAATCAAAAGCTTGTTAATTAATTTTTAAGTAGTCGATAAATAGGCTAGCAGTCGGTAAGGAATTAACTGACGCTAGATGACCAACTTGTTGATCTGAAGCAGGCAATTTAAAGGAACATATTGAGTTAAACGTTTTGTTTTATTCAAAGGACATCAAACTTTGTCTGCCTGCTTGTTCTCATCTCAAGCTTAAACTTTGCGACAAGGATCTCCTCGAGGACGGTCGAATCAGGGGATCTAATGAATAGCATTCAGAGTCCTGTGATGATGACCCACAGTTATCCCAACATGGTAATCAATCACCAGGATATTTCATGAATTATAATATTAAATAACAGCGTTTGATTTTCATTTCAGATTAAAACGATGCAGGAGAAACTAGACGATGGTGGAGAGAGGTTTTGCCAGATCGAATACCAAGTTGTAAGTTTCATTTATTCATTTAACAAATCATTTTATTAATAATAACAATTGTTTGTAATTTTTCAGACCAGAAAGAGATCAGGAAAGTGTATGCAAATAAGCAATGGAATAACCGGATGTATTTCTGGAGAATACATAGATCCTTTCCATCCTGATTGCTTTTAAGCTTAAGTCAATATTATAAATCTAAGAATAATTCATCACGAAAGTTGTCATTCTCTATTGTAACATGTTTGTCAATAAAGTATATGCTGTCACAACCCCACGTTAATTAAATATAATTAGTTGATGGTGGTGACCTAGTGTACAACCTGGATGTATCAAAGACTCCACTTCCCATCCAAGGGTTAAACTACTTCACCTACCAAATGTGACAGGAAACAGATAGCACAGATTCAAGATATTGCTTCTTTACCCCCCTCGAATGTCAATGAAACACCCACGAATGTCTGGCCGGAGCTAGATTAATTTAGACGTTTCACCCTGAAGAGACGATTCCTAGATTGGATGCGTCTTGTGCTCATGAAGAATAGTGGCCGCATTTCCGGTCTACGTGACGGGACCAAGAAATTCATTCACTGTTAAATCTTTTTAAAATCACGTGGTAGGTAGAAACATGGTGGGGTTGTTTCTATAAAGTCTTCAGGAGATCGAACATCAGCTTCTTCAGGATCTGCTCTCACCATGGACAGAGTTCGAAGGTTCCTCAGTTTTTGGCTGATTCTACTTTTCTCTGATTATTTGCGACTGGTCGATGGGAAGTTTGTTGCCGAAGACTTTGGTGAGATTATTTTTGGAACTCTCTATTAATAAATTACAATATTAATTAAAAATTTTCATCAATTGCAGAACGAAACTTGATTGCACTTTCAAAGGTAATTAATTACATTCATCATAGACCCCATCAGATGAACGCTGATGTAACTTTATCCATCACCATCGTTGAAGGTAAAACAATTATCCTAATTTGTTATCTATTAATAAAATAAATAAATTTTCCAACAGCTAACATTGCCAATACACTTTTACATAAAAATGCCCAGTATCTCGGAACTGAATACCAAAAAATGCTGATGACAATTTTAAAAATGTCTGACTCGACTAGAAGATACCTGTTGAACAATATCGTTCCAGTAAACAGGGACGTACAATTACGTGAGTATTTTCTAAATACAAATAGAATAGTTTCTAATTATTATTCAAATTTTCATTACAGTACACGAGACGTTAAATAATCCAGTTTTATGGATGCGACCGATATCTTGGAAAGAGGGTGTCCTGAAAAGAAGGAGAGTCAGTTCTTCTTTAAATGATCAAGATATACGAGAGTTGATAATGCAGGGGACGCCGAAAGAAGAGGAGAGCGATCGATGTCTCTCTGATATTATTCGGAATAAATCGAATCTGGGTTACACGATTCCGGAGCTATGCGTAGATATACTGATGGGACCTGGTACCAGCAGGGGATACCCTCTCACCCATAGATTACTGATCGTTCAAGTTGCTAAAGCGGTTCGTCACACTAGAAATTTGTATTCCCTATCTTCAAGATGAATTTTGAATACCTACATTTCAGATGAATTGCGATCAAGCTTTACCTGTTTCGTCTTCTGAATTGACACAGTATTATTGTTCCAAGATTCTTCAGGATCTGACTGACATCCAGGCTGTTGGATTTCCTTACCATACACCTGATTTGATGATGGAACAAGGTAAGACAAAATCGGTACTAATAACGTGTACTCCGTTTAATTATCTTTTTGATGGATAAAGTTCTTCTCTGCGGTATGGAGGGATTTCTCGAGTTCACCGATGATCACTATGACGGTTTAGTGAGGAATTGGTCTCATCCCAGTGGCTGTTACAGTTCCTTTGGGTATGTATTAAAAAGAAAACGTAGTTTTTCTAGGATCAGAAAACAATAAAAGATAATTTCTCTATTTTAGAAACAAATTTTTCGACAACCACATCCACGTGTCTCGAAGATCCTCAGTCCAAACCGATTACGGTTGCGACAGCCACGCAACTGGTCTCGCGGCTGCAACCCTGTCTCTGTTTATTCGTGAGAACGTGGAGAACGCATTTAATTAAAATCACCAAACAAGCACACCTGTAAGATCAATCGTATACGTATTAAAGAAGGTATAAGAAAACAATCAATTACAAACAATAATAATTTATTTCGCGTCGCGTGTAACAATAGTCAGAAGACGAGGGTCATTTAAATAAATAAAATCAGTCGTTAACCTTGCGTGGGAGAGACTGTTTCTCCGTATGATGAGGCAACGCGTATATTTTTGCATACGCTTTACGTTTTCGTGTATCCTTGAAAATGGTATCTATTCTCGTACCATCCGTAGATCAGCCTTACCTTTTCGATATCGGTCACGGCAGTGTAGATCGGCTTACAATAATTAACTTCACATTCGTAACGATGATAAACATTCTAAATTCTACAAGTATGAAATTTCTCGCTCTTGTTAAATGCTATTACAGAACATGATTAATCGTTTAAAGGTGTTGCCACGTGCTTTGGTGCTTGATTACGTTGATCGAACCCCGGAGCGATTCATCTCAAAAAAGTAATTAAACTGTTTCGCGCGTAGGCGTCAGCCACTTGAGTGTTTAAAGCTCGTCCCGCATCGGTGTACCATCAGAAATAACTTCCATTCTAACATCATAGTATTGCTACCCTGCCTATTGGCTAAATATTTATCATCCTACGCGTGTCTTCTGGAGAACAGTCTAATTCCTCTGCAGATGTGAAACCTCTCGGTCGTTCTTTCCTCGTGAGGTCATCGATTCATTTCGGCGTTCTTCAAGGTCGTCGGTAGCTGTACGGTCTTCCATAAGGACCCATCCTGTTGTTCACTTTGTCGTATCTGAGTTGCTGGAAGTAGCTGTAGACGACAAACCATAGGTACGTATAGACCACTGTGGAAAATGATAATAATTAGGAATTTCGAGTGTACTAGAGATTTCAGACGACGAAAAGCTACTCACCGACAGCAACGAGACCAAGGACGAGCCATAGGACGCCGTTTATTACTTCATGATTCACGAAGAACATGATGGATGTGTACAGAACGCTGACCAATAGGCCAACTGCTAAGATTATTCCTAGGACCACCCATGGTATCATCATAAACGTATTTTTCTGTAAAAATAATTCCAATTTATAGCGTTTATCGAATTGATTATACCGAATGATCTTACCTTAAGAACCCCTACTATAAGTAACGTTGAGATCAGGATCGTCATGCATAAGTTTATCGCGAAAATGATTCTGACGATGTTCTTGTCCAACACGTCGATCAGTATCGTCTTCCATTCTACGTTCAATGTGAAGATAAGGACTAGTGAGATGATCGAGAGGATCTGAAATAGATCATGTAATTGAAGGATTCTTAAATTTTTAACGCTCAGAATTACCTTAGTTCGTGGTTATTAATAAATTAATTTATTAAGAAATATTAATCATATTAGTGATACTCACTATGCCACATATTCCAGTGAACAATGTGCCCGCCTTCAGCGAGTAACACCTGCAACACGATGTCAGCTGCATCCTGAAAAAACAAGTAGAAAAATTATTGAAATAACGCTCTTAATTTAGATCCAGCCATAGAATTTAGATCACCGGTAGAATTAGAAACGTAGCCGCGGTTGCGTATTTTTAAAACCGATCAAAGATCAATTTCCTGATTCTTCTTATTGTTAGAGTCTCTAACATGTTTGCTGTCATCAGGGATATTATGCTAATTTATTTTTTGTTTTAAAACAGGTACGAAGATGAATACCATCTTGACGACGATTGTGGAATTTGGAAATTCCACTGAATCCAGTTGAAAGGTAAAAATCAAGGAAAAGCAGCGATGACACAATGCGACGAGGAGAAATTTGACTATACGGGCAAAGTTTAATTTGCGACACGTCGAGAATACAGGGAATATGGGTCATTGGCACAGGTAGCCGGTCTATTTTAACACTTTTAGCGGCATCGGTTTGCTGTTTCGTTGCTGACCTTCCTTTCCGCGTTTATTATTCTTCCAGTCACTCGTATCCGGAGGAAAACCCTCTGCTTCGACTAGGGATCCAAGAAACTTAAATTTTTCTTCGAAGAAGAAAGGTGGAACATGGCTAATGGAATAAAAATAGAGACCGATCATCGCGTGTTTCTAGCATTAGCTGTTGAAAGGAAATGACGCGAGGAGAGATGAGGTAAAAGTGACATTAAATCGTATTACACAATCGAACACGTAAGCTGTTAATATGGAAGAACAGTTTGCATATTCATTTCTTCCCAAGATATTTTTTCATCGAAGAATTTTTATTTTTTATTTTCTAATGGAAGAATAGTACTTGGTTTGACAAATAAATTTCACCACCAAGAGATCAGGCATGTTTTGAATAGAAACGATTAGGATCAATGGGAAGGAAAGAAGATCACCATGAGATGGTTTGATACGCGTGACCGTGACTTCGATGGCGAGTCACGAGGTTCTTTCAGCCCCATAAGGAAACGCATCTCCGTTGCCGCGATTTCTCTGGTTTACCTCGTGCAAAAAGGAAACCCGCCTATGAAGAACCAGTCGGTTGACATTGGCCACCGGTCGCGTTAGAACCTACCGATCCGTGATTTATTCGAGCATTAACTGGCACACAGGACACGACCTACCAGCACGGAATCGATTCTCCCATTGATTCGTCGTTCGAACAATGGATATATCGAGAGATGTTTCTTCGTAGATCGTTCTTACCCTTCGAATTTTTATTTCGAGGAATATGGGAAAGGGTAACCCTTTCGCGGTGAAGTAAAATGAAATTGGTAATTGCGAGTTAGGGAAGAGATACTATAGAATCTGTTATTGGAATTCTCTGTGAATCGCGAGAAAAATCCATCTCGTGGAAAACAACCTCTCGAGGTCAAGCCTGATCTCTTGATGACGCAACGCGTTTTTTATTCCGCAAAGAACGCGGTATAAGCAAACCGACAAAGCGTATTGCGAGTACACGCATGCATTCGAATCATCCGGAACTAACTTTGAACGATAAACATCGAATCGGTATGTTTGCGACTGAAAGTTTTCCACGACTTTTCCCCTTTGACACCGACCCGTCGATTTACCTAAGCTGACCTAATTCTGTGTCATCGCCGTTTATAGCTTGTTGCGTGCGAAATTTTATTCTGCAACTGTTTGCTGAATTCGCACGACTCGCGTGACAGAGTTACCGTCCGTCATTTCTTTTTTTACGCTTTACGATCCTGATGACGGAATCAAGGATCATCCGTGTTGATTTCGATCGAAGATCCGCGCGTGGCTCGATTTGACCCTCGTCGGCAAGAAGTTTCAAGTTTCATTCAGTTACTCTGTTTTCATGGATTAAAAAGTCCGTGGTAATTGATGATTCTAAACGATTAGAATTGAAGAAACGAGGAAAGACGAAAAAGGCGCGAAGTTAATGGCGCGGGTCGAAGGCGAGTCGAATTGCATCGGACTCGGGTTCGTGTTAAATTTAGGCGGACCACGTGTGGTAAACAGTGAGTAAAAAGAAAAGGGAAAAGAAAAATAGAAAACCACTTGATACGCGTGTTTACGAGGCGCCTGTTCGTTCAATTATTCTTGACCCAGATCCACCCATTAATCGGAAGCAAGGAAAGGGCGCTGTCCTTCCGCGAAGGCGATATCCGTTCCTTCGTCATAAGCGATCGATCGCCATCGAACTTCTGGCCGATGATAAGATAGCGAATTTAATTAAGTTAACTATTTAATGTAATAAAATTCCTTGAATAGCAAGGTAAAAAGGAAGGAAATGTGACTCAAACACCGCTCCGTATATAGCCAGAACAAAGATCACGTGCTCGTTTGTTGCCCACGCATTGAAGCAATTCGCGTTTGAAAGTCGTCATCAGAATTTCTGATTCAGATCTTTATCGCGACCTTTATTTGTGCAGCATCCGTCGCTGACTGAGTCAGGTGTACTTGTCAACGAAGGTGCGCTGAATATCAATATAACATCAGTGTTTTACTCTTTCGTAATCGATTTCCGTGTCGAAGGAAACTGAAAGAATAACCTCGTTCCATAAGATTTCAAGCAACGTCGTAGCTTTTCAAGAAATTCTTCGGTATTTGTCTTTCTGCCATTTGAATGATGACACCTGTTTTCATCTGGCAATTATTCTATTGCGCACTTTTGTTATGATGTATTTTCACGGTTTGCTCGTGAACACAAGCCTGGCCTCCTTTTACTTTCCACGACGACCACCTCCGTGAGCATCTTCGTACAACCGCGTGCATAGATAGTTTTGTTTTAATTAAGAGGGAGAGCAACCCTTTGGGAAGTTTTTTTTCGCTACTCGCTCGACGGGAGGCGTGGCCGAATCGCCGACGCAAGCCGAACTGTGCCGAGACCGAACGAGTGGTGGGGGATCTTTAGCTAGAAGAAATCATCGATGCTCGCAGTTGTACATTTCATCTACAACCTTTGTACCGATTAATATTCATCGATATTCGCATTTAATTATGCAAGTTTGGTAGCCTTTTAATTCAAAAAGCTGAATAAAGAAATCTGATGAAATAATTCCGACTCGCGCGCTTCGTTACGAAATGAATATTCAAGTGCATCGCATTAATCGCGCGATATCCCCCGTCAATAGTGCTCGTCTTTTGATTTCTTCAGTTATCAAAGTTCACTTGACGTTTTTTTTTTTCCTCGTTTCTCAACAACAAGTAAAAATTTCAGCAAGAAGAGTATAGATAACTGATAAAATGGCAAAGTTTGCTGATAAACTAAAGAATTTAAATGACAAAGCAGCGAATAGTTTATGCAAATAGACGTAGCGGTGTATGATATTGAAGAAAATGTATTACTGAATACGTCGTAGATATTTTATTCGAAAGAATTGGAGAAAATTTTTCCTCTTTTCGTTACTGTTTTCTTTTCTTTACTTTCATCGTGGAAGGCTTGTTATCTTAACGCGTTTCTCAAGAAGCCAGAAGGAATTTTTAACGTTATTTGCACATCGTGCACCGTTCACGGTAAATATACAGACACGAACGGAGCAGAAATTTTTGTCACGCGTCCTCGAAGACATTACGATGCACTTTCTTTATAGTACAAGCAAATTGAAGAAATTGCCACGGACGATTACACAATTCCACGCGATTACCATCAATTACCAAGGTAACGAATAGTATTCCTGATGAACACTCGAGACTTGGTCAAGTTTTCCAACAGAACAAAATAAACTATTTTCATATACAGCGTATTTTTTGCGAGCTATTTCAATTCTTTTCAAAAAATGATCCATCAAAATATCATTTTGACTTACTCACTTTCAACAGTTATGTCGGTGTCTTCTCGAAGAAGCACTCGCGAGTTGCAAGAAGAGGATTGCAAACGGAAGAATTTTTGATCGGATAAAAAGAAGATTGAATGAATAATTGGGTAGTGCGAATCGCAACGAAATTACGCTCGAGGTCCACCGCGCGGTCCGCTCGCAATAGGAGATGGTCAGAAACTGTGCCAAGAACAGCACGGCGTCGCGGCAGACCGCGAAGCTGTACACCTACCAAGCGTACACCTACACCGCTGGCTAACCAACACAAACCGAAGAAACCGACGCGAAGATCCGCTCCTCTCCGCTTCCACTTCTGCCGATCTACGCTTCCTCGAGATTTTTCTTTCGATCGAAAATGACGAACAACTGACGTACAGATGAAGAAGAGACGAAGAGACGAAGAGAAACACAGAGGCTTTGAAGATGGATCTTCGAGATGGTATTTAGGAGATGCTTAGAACATTAGTAAAGGTAGCGGTGCCATTCGTGGAAAATTAATTAAATTAGCAATGGTATTAGAAAACAAATGGAGAAACGGTATGCAAGAAAGGAAAGTAGAAAATAAAAATGTCCAGCAGGCACACAGGAACTGCATTTAATTAAGCGCATTAAGCTCGTTGAGCGGTGCAATAAACAGCGGACTAAGAGGTCATTCGATTGAACCAAGCAGTGCAGTAAATCAACGAATTTGTTTAAAATACATCCTTTATTCGACATATACAGAAATCACAATCAAACGAGGAATCGAAGGTGAATGTACGATGAGATCATCATCGTCGTCATTCGAATAGTGAAAATTACTTAAAAAGGATAAACACGGATATAACACGAAATGAAACAAAACTAAACAATATTTTCTTGTTAATTAGACATTTTCAAACCGAAGAAAACAAAGACATATTTGTATCACGAATGAACTTAAAATACGAATGTTAAAGGAAATTAATCGAGAAATGATATTCAACTATTTAAACTGTCTTCAAATTCTTCCATTGATGATGCATGTAAATCAGAAATCGTACGCTTTGACGTATCTGAAATTTTACTGTACGTAGAATCAAAGCTGTCCGTATTCTGGAAGTTTGGTTCAGGAACTCTAGCTGCCGATTGCTTCTTTTCTGTTGAACTTTCGGCTTCTTCGACTATTTCTTCAACAGTTGTTTCACTTTTTAATCTCTTCTTCTCTTCTTCCTTTTTCTCATCATTTTCTAGAATTTCTTCCTTATCCGGTCCATCTTTATCGATCTTTATTTCAGGATAATTCAACTGATTATCAACAGACAATTTCGTTTCTTCGTTATGTTCGAGGAGAGATTTTGTCGAGCTACAATCATCTGCCTCTTCGAACCTAAAAGTTTTGATTTCTTCTTCAGCTGCGCGGAATTCGCGAAGTCTTTCATTAGTTGTTTGAAAGATATTTTGTCTGGAAGTTTCTGTATCTCTGATTGCACTTGCAATCGAAGATAAATTCGACTGAGTTTTCTCTTCGTCAGAGTTTAAGAACGACGGAATTTTAACGTTTTTTGAGATGTGCTCGCTTAGGGACAACATCGCTTCTTCAACTTCTTTCTCGATCTCTTCTGAATCATTTGTAAACTCTATAATATTTGAAGAATATTGTTCCCGCATTCTGAAGTCTGCTTCCATATCAAAGTTCACGATTTCTTTTAGCGAATCGTCTTCTTCTTCTTCTTTTTCTTCAATTTTTTCAAGGAGCTTCATGGTCGATACCGGTGCCGCGTGAATTTCGAATGGGTTCAAAGTTGACGTAGAGCTTGAAATTTCAGCTGAGAATATTTTTCGGCACCAAAATTGAACGTAAAACAAGCATCCTATCATCCAGAATAAAAATATGGTTAATGGAGATACTCTCTCTAACACAGTGATCTCCTCCTCTTCGTCGTCTTGATTGTTCTGAATGTACGTTATATTTTCAATTTCGTTACTTTCTTCAGTGTCTTCTAATTCTTCGATTTTTTCAATTAGTATTATTTTTTCTTCTTCGTCTTTGAAATCAATTGGCTGGGCATTTCTATCAGGTAATTCGGTTTCTTCTAATTCCATGCTCTCTTCCATTAATATCGTGTCATTGATATTGAACAATTGAAAACCCTTGATAATTTCTTCAACATTTCCTAACATAGCTCCTTCTTCGTTTACAATTGTTTCTTCTTCTTCAAATTTCACATTTTCTTCACTCTCTGTCTCGCTTGCTGTCTCTTCTGATTCAAAATATTTGATTGTTCGATACATTCCATATGCAGCTTCGTCCGAAGAAATGCTTTTAGATTTACCAAAATCTTCTTCGATCTCCTTTTCAGATTCCTCCTCTAAATAAACATTCTTTTCCTCGTGTTTCAGCTTTCCAGACCCGGACGAATATTCCAGCTTCGCGAAGAAAACCGACTGTTCGACATTCTTCGTCTCTTCACATTCTAACTTTACATCTTTCAGCTTTTCTTCTTCTGGTCCACTCAAGCACAACAATCCAGTGGGTCTAATTCCTGCATCTCTGATCATTGGATTCAGTTCTTCGTGATCCACGTCCGAAGCAATCAAAGAATCTGACCAGTTAATAACAATAGGAAACTTGATATCCGTGAAAACATCCTCCTTGATGAATCTCAACGTTTGATCATCTTCTAAATCTTCCTCGCTCTCTTCTTCAGTCGTATCATTCTCTTCTTCAATCGTATCATTCTCTTCGCCATCGTCCCCTCTGAGAAGATCCTGAAGAACACTTAATCCAGGATCATCGACGTTGTCCAAAGTGATATTACCGATGTTCAAGTTCCTCAGGAACTGACCAACGATCGAGAAAACGTCATTCGAGTGTTCCTCGTCTACGGTGGTGATGAGCAAGTCACAATTTTCTGCTTGCTCGTCGAAATCTTGAGACTCGCGAAAAATAGCCGGGATAGCTTCTTCGAGGTTGCCGTGATCGTGGGAGATCAGCGGAAGTTCGTCAACGACATCGTTGCTTAGTTGAACGAAACCGTCGTCTAATGGATCTAAGTGTGTTTCGTTCATGATGTTGTTTACGTTCAACGTGTCTGCGGCGAAGTCCAAAACGGAGTCCATGGATTGATAGGAGAACGCGGTGTGAAGTAACCTTGAAGTGGCATCGTCAACGATGTCACGTTGACGTGGGTTTTTACTTTTAGGTGTATTTTGGTTGCTCAAAACGACGCCGTGAACCAGGTAGCTCACGTCGATGTTCCTGGTGAAGTCTGTGTAATTGGTTGTTCTTCTGGTACCATCGTTGTTTTGCAAATTAGTTGTATTGCTGTTGATTTCTTCAGGTACTGATCTAATTTCATTCTGTTTCAGTGGTAATGATTCTTCATGGACTTTGGGTACTTCTGTTGGGTCTTTTGTGGAATCTTCAGGATCCAAGATTGCCTGAGGTTGATTCATAACAGGTAAATCATCTGTAAAAATATCAGAGATTGTTAGAATGAATTTATATTTCATAATATTAACTTCCTACCTTTTTCAGCTTCCTGGGTTTCCTCCAATTGGCTGATGGTACTTGAAGACCACGTAGACACTACGTCCTGGTTCACACTGGACTTTATCGTCAACAACAAACTATCTTGCTGAGGTTTGGAATCCTTAGTACCTGTAAAGTATTCGAATGAAATATAACAATTATCGATTATCGTCACTCTGAAAGTTCTATTGCCAAATTCTTCAAACTTTCAGCGTGACCAAGGTATTCGTACAACCTTTGCCAGATTCGATCAACGGCTGTACTCCGGATGAATTAGTCAGGTATTTAAATTCATCTCTTATGTCCTCCTTGGCCTGTGTTCTTTCCAGCTCGCGACCGTTTTGCATGCCTTCCAACTTCTTACTCGACGAGGCTGAGACAACCTCTTCGTCACCCATCTGCTTAGGTTTACTGTACTTGCTCAGTTGTTTCCTGGTATCTGTTTCAGCTGAACTCTTCCTCAGACTGTGCTTCTCGATACTGAACAATCTATCCAAAATCTTATCTGTAACCCTGTTCATCTTGGTGTGACCCTGCTGCAACTTCGAGCAGGTGTATACTTCGTTAGAAAGTTGAAGGACCTTGCCACTTTCATTGACCACCTTTGACGAGGTGGCAACAGACGATGGTTTAAGATCCACCGATGCATCAGCAGATAGATTCTCTTTGTTCAGGTACTCTTCAGATATCAATTTTTTATCTACACCGAGTTTCTTCTTAGAGTTACTCTTCCTGGGACGCAGTCGGTGCTTAGACTCTTCATGAAGCACGTTTAAGGTGGTTTTACTCGGAGGTATCTTCCTCTTTGCATCCAACTGTTTCTTGTCCATTACCAAAGTGACCTCGTTGTAAGCCTTCAAGGCTCTCATTTCTTTGTCATTCGAAGATTCTACCCGGCTCTTAGTCTTCGGCTTCTTCGTCTCCTGCAGCTTCCTAATCATAGGAGTTATCTTTGGAAGCATACTCGATGACAACTCTTTCTTAACTTTCTTAGGACAAATAGGTGGTTTCCTTTTATTTGCAGAGCCATTGAAATTCGAAGGGCGAGCCACCTGGGCCAAGTTCACCGTGTCAAAAGTGTCCACTTTAGGTTTAGAACTACTTTTTCGACGATCCTCTCTCCTGGACTCTAAAGATGGCGAACATTTAGCTTCCAATTGCTGCATCTTACATTCACACACGCTTTTGTCTGACGAAGATAACGACGATTTCGACTGGTTAGACTGTTTTATTACTTTATCACTCTGAGAGTTTGCAAAATATCGTGTTTTTATTTTATTATTCTGATGATCATTCATGGACGAGATGCTACTTTGATCCTTCAAGTATTTACGTTTCAAGGTAATTTTCTTACGGTTCTTCGAGTCTGTGATGATGTTGATTTTCGATGAAGAATTAACAGAGTCTGTCTGAGTGTAAGAGTTCTTTATCGGATTTGTCGGGCTGAATTTACATAGTTTTTTGGGAATTTTCTCCAGAGATCGTTCGGTCACTTGAGTCTTTTGGGACGTTAGGTTTTCAGAGTGGAAGGTATTCACTGAAGATACGTGTACTGTGCTCTTGAATCTGAAACGGTGAGAAATTTGACGGAATTTTAATTTTTAATTAAATATTAAATGGTCTTTAATATTTTGGTAAAATATTGGTACAGTAAAAATGAATCATATGACTTTTGCAATACCTATTTGTCTTTTCGCAATCCTTTACTGGCGAAGAAACGTTTCTCAATGCTCGAACAGTACTTTGATTAATTTCATCGTCCTGTTGTAAGAGAGTCTCGAGGTTCGATTGACCATCAAACGGATTCCACTTCTTCTTTTCTAATTGCTGAAGTACACATTGCAATTCGGAATTGTTGGCGAAATCCTGTTCATAGCAACCATCGAACACCTTCATAGAATCTTTGTAGAACCTCGGAATGTTCGTATCACCGAACGAATATTCCGGTATATTTACCCTTAATCTATTTTCCCTGACTTCTGGTTTGTAGGAATTATTCTTCTCGGTTGAATTTATGTCTACAAATTTATTACAATTTTATGATTAACAAAAACTTTGCAATACTTTGATATATAATTAAAAAAACAGAAAGATACCAGTGAGAACAGGAGATTTTATTGGAATCATCGACTTTAGTACTTCGTTTGCACTCTTCAGTTTCACCTTACTTTTTTCCAAATCAATTGTTGTTAACATTTCATAATTTTCCACCGGATTTGCAATCTTCATATCCTTTACCACTTCTGAAAGATTTTGCACTCCAATTGAAATATTTTGATCTGGACCACACCGATTTTTATCCTTAGTTCGTTCAATTGATTTCTCATCTATATACGATCCTTTTAAACAAGGATCTTCATTAAAACTGATGAATAAACGCTTTACAGCATCCGTTATTTCTCGAACTTCTTGTTTTAAATTCTCATGTTCCAATATTTTCGCGTAATTTATCAATAGACTTTCATTTGGAACTTGAACTTCTTCCTTCAGTTTCTCTTCTAAAATCGATTCTTTTGAATTTACCTCATTTCCGAGATTCATCGACGATTGCAGATCATTTTTCAATAAATTTTTCAGCATCAGAGCACCATCATTCTGATTCATAAGATCGTCTGATTCTAAATTTTCTTTTATTCTTCCTGTATCTCGACTTTCATTTGGAGTAGAAGTTTTCAACATAAAGTTATCAGGCAAACAACAGTGTGCTCTTCCATCTTTGAAAACATTGTCGTCCACCGAACAGTCACAATTGAACAAAGATTGAAACTTTATAAGATTGCAATCATTTTCTACGTTTTTCGTTTCTGGTTTCATGTTGCTTAGCCGTGGACAGTTTCTTTTTTGTGTAGAAGAACTGTTTGCTTCGACATCTTTCGAGGAAAACGAACATTTTTCATTCTGCTTCGTTTCGTTTTTTTGTAAACTGTTAATTTCTTCTTTTTCCTCATTAGATGAAGGTTCTGTTGCATCTACTTTTATTGGATTATCCAATTTTGGTGTATCTATTTTTCCTGAATTATTTAATTTTGGTTCATCTACTTTTATTGGATTATCCAATTTTAGTGTATTTATTTCTCCTGAATTATTCAACTTTGGTTCATCTACTTTTTTTGAATTATTCAATTTTGGTTCATCTACTTTTCCTGGATTATTCAATTTTCGTGTATCTATTTCTCCTGGATTATTCAATTTTAGTTCATCTACTTTTCCTGAATTATTCAACTCTGATCTCTCAATAGGATTTTCTGTTACTTCCGGTAGAGTTTCGACGATGGTTTCCGTTGGGGCCTCTGATGGCAATGGAACTTCTTCGATCTAAATTGAAAATAATAAATTTTTAAAGATTTTAAAATATTTATTACCAAAAAAATATGAAAATTAACATAATTCAATAATTTAATACCACAAGTGAATCTTCAACCAGCTCCTCATTATTTGGCCTGAAGAAAGACTCCTGATCTTCATAATCCTTGGTTAACATATAAAATTTTTTCAATGCGAATTTCCTTGCTTTGAAAAGTTTATCGTCCACTTCGGTCAGCCTTTTATAATCTTCTCTTTCTTTTTTACCAGCACGGGCATCGATAATATCTTGTTCAGTGATACCAAGGATCATTATCGTTTTCTCTGCTGGTGTTAAATCGTTATCATCGAGGATTCGTGAAATAGTATCCTGCGAATTAAAAGTGTCGTAACTTTCGTACGATAGCAAGGTGGTCAACGATCTGGTTCTGTATTTCGAATCGGCGATTTTCATGCATAAGCGATTGGTAACGAAGTTTGTGTCACTTTTTAAGGTCCTTTTTAACTTCCTTAATTTCTCCGCGTATCGTAGTTCTAAGAAGAGACAGGAATTGGAATACCAATTGTACGAGGCGAGAACTGAAAGGGAAGGCCCAAAAAAAATTGTTAAAAATTGCCGACATTAATGAGATATAATATTAATTACTTACTTAAAGGTACAAGTTTAACGATTATGAACTCCAAGAATATGGCGAGAGAGAACCTCTTGTCGTACCAATACAAAAGACAAACAGCAAGTACGATCACCTCTAGTACTACATTTTTGAAAAAACTAAGGATCAACCATGGTAATAATAAACAAGGTCGGCTCCACGTGATTATTGGATAAATATTCGTCAAGTAGGTGAACGTGTAGATGTGGGCGATAATTATTCGTATGATTACGATCCATGATAAAACTACAAAATTTTCATGTCGAAAATTAATGTTAATTTTATTATTACGTAAAATATAAAAAAAAAAAATTGCTAACCAGATTTGATCCTGTCCTCGCCAATAGTGCTAAGAATAAGCGTGCTATACGACAGAGATATATTTTGTATTTGTTCGAGTTCGTTCGTCCATTTAAGAGGGCTCCAATCGAGCGTGCTGTTAATCTAGAAATTTTTAACAAACAATATTAAATTAATTATTAACCTTCGAAGAACGAAGGTTATAAAAGGTTAGAAGCGAAAGAATACAGTAAATCTGACTCAAAATGAAAAGTATCATGAAAATAATTGATCGAAGGTTCTTACTAATCCTATGATATTCATTATCAAACGTTCGGTTCTGAAGGAAAGACCCAAGAATCGCGCAAGAAAGCTAGGCATTAGGAACACGAAACTTTCGAAGAAGCCGGAAGGCCAGCGAGTCGTTGTTTCCACTATAGCCGATCATCCTCGACTTAGTCTATTGATTTGAACAATTCTCAATCAGTAAAACCTTCAATTTAACGAACCACACGTGAATTTAAATAAACGTTCTCTGTCGACACAGCCACGTTAATTTTGACGAGTTTAACTTCTTCACCAGAATTTCGTTACGGACGCCTTCGGTGAAACAATCGACTGATATCGTGAAACAAATGACGAGAGGAAATGGAACGTTACGTTGGATAGAATATTCCTATGAATACGAATACCATAGCAGGATAAAAAGAATTTAATTTTAATTTAGGGCAGGGCCGTCACATAAAAAATCACATAAAAAAGTAGCTGAAATAAAATTTATAAAATTAACATTAAAGCTTGTATAACTAATTTAGATTAATATTCAAGCAAACATTACTCTTCTTGCGTTCTTATAGGGGCCCTGATCGATGGATCCAGTGAAATGTAAGAATGATGGTGAACACTAAGAGATGCAATTGCATGGGATGCATCACGTCCTCGATTCGCGCTACTTGAAACCGTACGTGCGTGACCTACGGTAACTTGGCGAACCCTTCTGCGAATATTGAGAGGAACGGTTCTCTTCACAGAGATCATTCATCTTTTAACCTACTGATTCGAACAAGTGCACGATTCTTTACCTCCGACCGGACGAGTTAAATGCCTACGCGTCGATGCACTTCCTAATTAGCTACACTTAACACCATCTTAAATTACCACAGAATTATAACATAAAGAGAAGACGATGTCCGGATGTGCTAAGAAATTAAAATATGTAACAAATTTCAATTAATTATAATGAAAAATTTAACAGTACCCCTGTACAAAGGAGAATACAAGCGTATATGTAAATCGGGTTGCATAGCGTCAGGTGCTAAAAAGTAGAGTACAAAGTAATTTTATTCGTGAGATCCTGCATCTCATTAGGAACTATGCAGGACCTTATTGAGCTGTATTCCACCTAATTATTTTACAAAAACATTACACATCATCGAACATGCTTTCTCCTAAGGAAAGAAAGTTCCTACATTACAATATTTATCTAAATCATCGATGGTATATTTATTTAATGCTACACTTTCTCTTATTGCATAATTCTTGTATGTACATATTTCTCATTGTTAAATAACTCGAGGTAGCCTGAACACTCAATCACAACATCGATTCACATTTGTCTCGAAGAATCAAAGAGACTGTTCTTCAGCATCCCTGTCCCATTTTCCCAATACAAAACCAATCCAGAGACATCTTCAGCATGTCTCGTCGTAACCGTGTTCAGAACTAAACACCACGTGATTAGGATCGCATACAGTATCCTTGATAGCTTCTTTGGCATTAGCCTTGAACACTCTGTAATTAACCTTGCTGCTATCCACGCTTCCATAAAGATACGTGGCCAGTCTGTTAGAAAGTAACCAGACATTTTGATCGTATTCATGATCGACCTTGATATCGTTTGGAAAGACTAAAGATAAATTACTGGTGCCAATGACACCAAGGTTCTGAGGGATATATTCCTTCCTGGTGTCCCAGCACCAGACAGAGTCTCTGGTGACCATGTTGAAGAACATCACACCGTTCCTGTCTACCACAGACCCTGAAGAATGGCCGTAGTCCTTGGCTCTGGGTCTGCCAATGGGCATGAAGTAATCCGTGTTGTCTTCGACCGTTTTCTTGTCCCTCAGGATAGATGTGGAGACCGCAAACTCGCGGAAACTGGACATGGGATGGAAAAACAAGGTCCTGTCGTTGTGGATGTCCACAGGACTCAAAGCGATTCCGAAGATACCGTCTGTCCATTGGAATTTCACACCATGGAGCTCGTATTTGGAGGCCAAGGGATCTGGGTAGAAATAGTGGTGTTGAAATCTGAAGGAGGAGTCCTTGAAGAAGTCGTAGACTAGTAGTCCGTATCTGAAGACATCGGAGGCGTAGGCCACTGCTGAATTACAGTCTTCATTCCTGATGTCAACGACGATGTTTGTGTATAAAGAATCTTCTTTCACTTGATCTTCCGGTAGAATGTACTTCCTGATTAAAGTGTCTGTGTTCAGATCGAAGATGAAGATGGCCGGAGGACAGACTTGTTTCCCACCCATTGCTACGTCCACCTTGCCGGAGTCCAGCACCCAGAGGCGATCACACTCGTCGACTTGGACCCTGAAGACCGATGTTAAACCCTCGCAGTTACCTGAAAATTGTACTAACATAATTTTTTTTCTGTTCCAGGCCCAGGATAAATCGAAGCTTCAAATCACCTGGCTGATGCCATCCCCAGTTCGGATAGGGTCTCAACTTTGGACTCTTCGTCTTCGAGTTCTTAGGAACATAGGCCAACGTAACTGGAATTCCATCTTTCCATTTTGGAAGCGTGATGAAGACCTTGTTCTTCCAAATCTCAAGGCCAAGAGGTAGATTATTCTCCGCGATGAAATCTCCGACGAAGATGGCCGAATCCCTAGCCTCGATACTGTCGTACGTATAATCGATAGTGGACCAAGCAAAAATCTACGAAAAATAACAGAATCTTATATATTCTGTTTTCTGTGTTTAAATAGTCGAATTTTAATTTTGAAAATTTACTAGCTCCATGGCAGGACCAACGTAATCATCCTCCACTTGTCCTCGACCAGGGTCATAGTTCAGTCCATGAGTTTCAAGCTGATTCAACAATTGAGGATCGTTCTTGAACATGTTCAAATTCCTTCCAGATGGTCTTGGACGAAATTTACTTCTGTCGAAGTTGCTTAGAAAATACTCGCTCGAATCTGGCGTCGAACCGTACAGATGATTGTTGTATTCAGGAGTGGTGGACAACGTGTCCAATACATTTTCCTCTGGTTTAGGCGAGATGCAAGTTATGTGACCGGGAAGTTCGTCGTGACTCGATATCAGAGTCTTGTAATTCTTTAGAGACTGTTGAAAAGAGGGTAGAGTCAATTTCGTAATAGAGAAAGTTCGATACAATTTCATGACTTAAAGGTATCACGAAATGGTACCTATGATATATTAAATTCAAGCTTAAAGTTTAAATTTCAAATGAAAAAAAAGGTGAGTTCGTACTGATCGATAAGTCGGAGGTACACTTTTCTCTGTAGATGTTTCAAGATCACGTGAAAGCGCATTGCTACCAGGCTGAATGGCAAACTGCTGCAAACCGAGAAGGCACATGGATAGTAACCATGGCTTAACGTTCCCCATACCTGCAAAGAACGGAGATTTCAATGCGTGTGTAGGAACGACCTTCGATGACCGATTTCTCAACTGGAAGTTCACGTTGACCCGGTTATCCTGATTGCATTACCAATACGTAACTATTCGAAGCTGTCTCGATTTGATAATCATTTGATTATGAAATCAATATTAACACTTTGACTGCCACGTTAAAACGTTATCTTCAAAATACTTCATTATATTTTAATCCACAATTTCAAGTATCTAATACGAGTATTTCTAATCAATTATTTAAAGAATTCCTAATAATACGAGTGATGGAATCTTATTGAAATTCAAGCGTCACCCATACATGGGTGACGCGGCAGTCAAAGTGTTAAATAACTTTTATAATTTTATAATTCTTTTAGAAAGTAAGAACGATTTCATTCACCGTGAAATTGCACGATGAAAATTATAATTAAGCGTTAATCGTGTTAAAACGGACACCTTACGTCACCGTTCGTAACAGATCGTAATAGCCATCAATTAAACACAGTAGGCGCGGATCTATCCAGGAAGAAACGGTGAATTTAAAAGGAAAGCGAATACGATCGCGGTAATTGAGATGATTCTGTGGTTCGATGACTTTCAAGGTAAGCAGTGTCACTTAACGATACTTTCCCCTGAGAAAAGCATGAAAATCGACCTACTATTTCATCAATGAAACTCAACGAAACGTGTCCTTCGCTCATGGAACACAATTAAATTTGATAACAACACTAATTAATTTTACAATAAATTTTAACACTAATTGTACTGTTCACCGATTCAACCATATCAAATCACCACAAAACAAATAACAAGAAGGATAATTAAACTTTTCATTGAATTTCTTTGAACCCAGTACCTGGAAGAGTATTTCTCAAGGTGACCCACTGACTTTAAACAACCTTCTTTCGCACCAGGGAAAAGAAACCTTAAGAAGTGGAAACTGTTAGGAAGAACGCGAGAGATGACGATCAAATGAAGATGTTCCGTTCGGGATGAGAGCGTGGATGATACCCGACTGCCATATTCACTATCCGGGTCATAAGTGTGTCTAGGTGTACTACGAATGGAGAGAATGGCGAATCCCTTCTCTCGAAGAAGATTTTCCCTCTCGTCCGTATTACGAGACTCTCCTCCGCTGTATAGGTCATTGGCGGCGAGTTCATGGGAGCTCGTGAAATCAAGGAACAGGTAACCACCTACTCTTTCTATCGACTATATCCAAATATGACACGCTAAACGATGGACTCTATACGTTCCCACGACTAACAGATATATTCATTGATGCTCCCATCGATATTTGGAACACAAAATTCTATTTCTCTTCTTAAGGTTTAATCTTGTAAAATTTTACATATTTTTCTGTACCAAATATTCCAGGATTTCGATAGAGTTACGAAAACGCTTCATTAGCGTTTCAGTTTCATTTTTAATGAGAGAAGAAAGTTTTAGTACTTGCTCCATATGGAGATCACATAGATCTGAATATCTAACAAAGGAATAAATTGGAGCACGTTAGAGTCATCGTTGCAACGTACTAAATGCTAATGTATTTTATTCTTTCAATTATTCGATTATATTAAAGTCTGTACTGCCCAGTCACGATGACCCCCCCTAACCGCATAACTTTGTAAATGCGTTAAAGGCTATTCGACCGCTGATGGCATTTTAGAATGCAAGGATCTTCTGCCTGTACTCAATTATCCTAGCTCTACTGCAAAGTTTAACCGGCTATTGTCGCGAATAACAAATCCATGCCATTACGTTTGCACAATGCAAGAGTATCGAATGTCTTCTTTGTCTTTCCTTGGGATCAGAATATCGACCCGTGTAGCATACCAAGTCTCTAAACTAGAATTTCTTATATAATTCCATAAATAATTCTTCCTTAACTTGTTAACAGTTATGAATACTTAATGTCTATGAGTAAATTGGAAGAGCCTATATATGAAAGTGAATACGCTAATTTGAGTTAATAACAGGTTACAGGTGAACATAACTGGTTTATCGTTCGCGCGGATGTTTTAATTAATTGAAACATCGGGTAATTACTGTTCTACGAAAGCGTAAATTATACTGTAACATGCTAGAGCTGTCTTCGCTGGTGTTTCCCATAAAATTTCTTCCGCGAACTCGTGCTACTCGCGCCGATGCGATGCGCTCGATATTTCGAGCTAGTTTTAAGCAACCGTTTGGTCTCGACGTTACGAAACGGGCTACCTATTCGGTAGAATGCATCGTTACGCCAGCATTAATTCTCGTGAGAACCCTGACGTTTCTTCGATCGATGCCGTGAAGAAGAAACGAGGAAAAGAGCGTAGAAACGATACACCGACGGAGATAAATTCGATATGAAAGAAATTGAAATTCCACGGTGATTGACTACTCTTATTTGAGCCACAAGCATTTCACGCTTGCTTAATACATTTGTAGATGATGTCGCGATATGTGTATTAATAATGATGACGCACCGCATGCGTCTCGTACTTGTTCATCGGAAAGGAATTCCAACTCTTCCAGTTATTAATCAGAGTTATAATTAAGTTTATTACCGATGGCCATAAAGATACAGGTTCGGTGACATTTTAACGATGGAATTCGCGAAAGAAAAGAAACTTTCGTTGCACAATACTAAATTAGCGACACTTATTGTTGCTGCATCGAAAAAACGTCGAAACAATTATATGCGTACATTTTTCCGGTAAACAATTTCGCTTTACAACAACTGGAAACAGTGTAACTTTGACCATTCGTGGTCATTGTTTCCGCACGACGAAGCTCGTTTCAATTTTACGATCTAAAGTATTCCGGATGAAGCCGAATTTTAGCAATACTTACCATCGTTAGAAGAACTATATTTCCCATGTACCTTCCAATTAACGCATTCATGTTGGCGCTTTGAATTAGAATTGTCCCAGGTGTAAGCGAATTGATTGCTAGGAGAGACATAAGCATAATTATTCGTCTGTTTAGGAGTGTCTGAGGATATCCAACAATTGTCTGGCAAGACAAGTGTTCCTGGCTTCGATTCGATACCTTTCCTTTTTCGCATCGTTGAACGCCTACGAGAATGGACAGAAAAATCATTCGTACAACTCAATTAAACGATACAATTGGGTCACCGAGAAAAGGACGTAGAAAAAACTTGGAATGTGGCGGTAACTGCGTTACGCTACCGTTCATGGTACAACTTTTTAATACAGTGAGTAAACTTGTCTGTTTATTTTAGAGAGAAAAAGTTATGTACTGGTGGAATGTTACAATTTATGCTTCATTACTAGTTCCCTTTTTCGGCAACAAATTCGTTGCGGCTTTGCGGCATAAAGACTTACGAAATAAAGTAATGCTTTTAATCGATCCACATATACGGAACCTGCATCGCGCGCAGTGCGCGCTGCACTACCGGCCGCGAACTTTGAATCATCCTTATATACCATGTGCAACGCCTCCGCCAATACCGTCTGCGCATGCGCAGTGGCGAATGCATAAGAATGCGCTCTATTCAAATTCGTTAACGAATACCCAATGCACATTTAAATAGAAAAGTACGTAACATAACTTCCTGAATGTTATCTAGATGCTAGATTGGAACGAAGGTTCATGAACAGGAACAGACTCGTTTTGTATTATAATCATGTACTTTTTAATTTCCTTATATCTTCCGGTATTTCAATTATAAAAATCATAAACTTACTATCTTCATATTTTCAAAATCTTCTCATATTAACCCATTAACTGCCAAATTTTTATTTAACATTTTATTTAATATAATCCTATTGCAAGTGATCAAAAAATTTGGGGATCGTGGTAGCAAATGGGTTAACGACCTTCTCATGGTCAACAAACTGACCGAAAATCCATAGAATAATTTATAATACTAAAATCACTGTCTCGTCTCATTGACTTCGTAAATGATCCGAGACTGAATTCATCATAAATGCACTTTCCACCAGCGTTATACTTCCTTTAATCGTATCCTTACGGTTGAAAAGGCTTATTGCATAACTAATTCGTTCATTTACCTTAACAATTTGTATTCCTTCATCCCTTATGGGCAGAAGAATCTTCACTTTCCGTAGCAACTTTCCTTAGTTCTATGTAAAACTTGTATCGCTAAATCCCGCCAGAAATAGGAAAAATGATTTTTATTTAAAAATGTTCTATTTTATGTACGTTTGTACTATTTCAAAACATTTGACTGGATAAAGAAGTACTGGCTTTTGTGTTTGATGAGTACCGTTGTCTAACGTACAGAACCGTTCGTGATTACTTTATCTCGCGAACTGACACTGAAGGATCGATCGTCCGACTGAAATTGGTTCGGTCGAACCGAGAAAGCGGAAAGTAATGTTTTTCTGCGCCCACCCCTTCTCATTTCATTATTTATTTTACATAAACAAACGGTTATCGAGGAATCTAACCTGATTATCGATCATGTAACTCCATCGAGATCCTTGTCTCGCCAAAAACGATATACCGTAACTGTCTTGTATGTTCTTTTTAAATTTCCTCGATTTCAGTTCCTATTGATTCCTATGTTGAAATTCCCTACGATTTCTAAAAGTTATCGAATGTAATTAATAATTTCACTTCATTAAACTGAAGCTTTTTGACATGTTGCAAAATTTTTTGATGGATTTAGATGTATATCTAATTTTAAAAAAAAAATTGTGTAAATTGAATTTTTTTGACATGTTGCAAAATTTTTTAATGGATTTAGATGTATATCTAATTTAAAAAAATAAATTGTGTAAATTGAATTTGATGGATTTAATATCGATCTTATGTAATTAGGTAATTTCACTTTCGATATTTTGTATTGAACATTTTGGATTTTGAAATTTAAATAGGGTGTTCGATTAGGGGTGGCAGTCTTTCAAGGGAGTGATAGGTGGAGTGATTCTGAACAACTTTTTCCTTTACCAAAATGCTCGTCGAGGCTTAGTTTTTGAATTATTAATGAAAAACACCCGAGTAAGCAGGGTAGACAGCGCGCAGGCGCAGCCAGGGGAGAGACAGTGCGCAGGCGCAGCCACGTGAGTGTCAGCTACGAACCGACGCGACGCGCCGAGTAGTTTGTCCGTGGCCACGGTCGAGTGCGCTTGTGGTAGTCGTCACTCCCGCGGCTGTTTGTGAACCTACATGCTATGCGCGCTGTAATTATGTAATAATTTACAAATTAAACCTTATCAAGCATTTTGATCAAGAATAAAATTATCCCAATTAATAGTATTGAAAATTTTCCAAGGATTAAGACATCTACTGTTTTTTTAAAATATATTTTTCACTAAATATTTTTTACACTCTGCATCAGAAATACAAACTAATAGTATCGATAACGTTCTGGTTGGCAACGAGTGTTCTGGATTAAAGTAAACACGTCTCCTTTCAATATTCGGAAATTAATCTGGTTGAAATTTATACTTCCAGTCGCGATTTTTTGGTATCTATTAGTCATCGCATATAATTCTTCTCTTCCGGCACAGCTCTTAACTTTCAAACCGCTGGTGAATTGGAGATTCTCTTCATTAAGGGCAACCACATCCTGTAATCAAATTAACAAACAATTAATTCGATTAAACAATAATAAACATAGATTGTTAATAGTACTAACAATGTTTGGTCTTCTAAGTTGCCTGTATTCGTTCCAGCAACCGATGGAAGTATTATTGACAAGTCCAAAGAACAGAATTCCAGTGTCTGACATTGCTTTAGCACTCGATTGAGTCCACAAAATATTTTTGTACCTAAAATTAATTAGATGTTAAAGAAAAATTAATTAGCATTTTGTACCGTTGATTAAGGTCTTACTCTTTGAACCACACGTCAATCCCCCCTGATTCAACGATGGACCGAGTGTTAACGCTGTCCAAATTAAAGCTGGACATTGGACTGTAGTAAATATTCCCGGAAATAGGGGATAAGGCCATTCCTACAGGACCATCTTGCAATGTGAAACTTTCTTTTTGAATCGTGTAAACCGTGGCTTTCGGATCGTAATCCAAAGCAGTCGATGTTATTCGACGGAAAGATGAACCATCGTAGAATATTAAACCGTGGCCTTCGACGTCTGATATATAGACCTGTAAATATTATTTCCCATAAACGGCTCGATAAATCATTATTCACGGCTTGAAATCGTTATAACACTTACAAATGTTTTCTGGCAGCCACGTCCGAAAGTTTGAACGACTGGTGTTACTAAGAGACCTTGTCCCGTCGTTGTGTTCATCGCGATGTTATCAGGTATTGTGACCCTTTTTATCAATTTTGAAGTTGGCAAATAGAAGACGAGCAATTTCGCAGGACATATTCTGTCCGAGCCCTTTACTCCTGTGTCCAGGACCCATAGTCTATCGCACCTGTCGATCTGAGTATCGTTTCGATTAAAATTGATTAATTGATCGTTTACAAAAATTATTTTCCCACTTACCGCAACTCTGTAAACGCTTATAATATTGTTGCAACTGCTAGTACTAGCCCAACTCCAATCAGGGTATGGGGTGAGTAGTGGACCACCCTTACCCACTTCCTTCGATACGGTGTTCAAAGATGAGGGCACACCTTCGTCTCTGATGACGGTGACGAAAGTTTTACCATTCCATCGATCAACATCTATGGGAAAGCAATTTTTGTAATTGTATTCGCCGGAGTTTATGGCAGACTGTTTCTGTTCTTCACTGTCGTATTTGTAATCCATGTACTTCCATTCCTTTATCACTTTCATAGCTTCTTTCTTTGAAACTGCAACTGCATTTTGGAAAGAAACTGCAGCGAAACATAATAGCAGCAACCAGGACGCCTTCATGTTTCTGGATTAAATTGTTCGAGTGAAAGCAAAGCGTTATTTATTTAGAAAATAAATCACTTTATGAGATTTATACACTATCTACGAATTGTATTTTTGTTTGTTCTCAATAGAAGAAATGTGCAGTTGATTTTTTAAGGAAAGAAGTCAAACAAATGAATGAGCAACGCATGCATGAGTTCAGGCAATAAATACAAGTAGCAATAATGACCTTCTGTATTTAGACCAGATAATACTAAAACGAGATAAGTATAGGAGGAAAAATAAAACGTTTACTTTTTCCTCGGGACTGGCAGGACTAAGCTTTTAGTGTATTTAAAATGCGTCAGGTAATTGCCTAACGAACGTTGATAACGTTCTGTGAAACGTAGAAGCGCAACGTATGTAAATCATTTAATCCTATTGCACGAGTGTTTCAAGGCAAACATTGCAATGTTTACATTGAAATAGATGCACATTATTTTTCGCTAATAATGTCATAGAAAAATTAATAAAATTAGAAGTAAATGAATTATGAATCGCAATAATTGTAATAAAGTATAATATCTTTTTCCAAATCGCAGTAGTTTTAAAATATTTTAGGTTGAAACACTAAAAGCTTTTCAAAGATAACAAAAGATAGGCACTTGAAAATGTATTATTACAGAGAAACTACTTTCCCAGAAATGTTTGATTTCAGTAATTATGCTTTTCTAGCAAATTTCATTCTTATTTCGAGTTTTATCAAATTAGGAAGGAATGTGAAATAAATAGAACAGAATTAACGTTAGATTCGCTGGTATTTAAACTTTTATTTACATTAATGAATATCTTAAACTGTTAACTATAATCAATTATATTTTAATTAGGAACTAGTCATTCTTCACACACAACAATAAATAATGACAGCCAAATTTTTAATACAATCTTAGAATACTATTAATTTAACACTAATTCAGCACCACGAGTAGTAACCTGTTCCAAATTTTTTAATTTCATAAATTAACAAGGTCTATAAATAATAGATAAGGTGTTAATAATGATTTTCGAAGTAGTTTCGCGAATAGAAAGACCTGGAATAATTATTAGCGAAAATCGAGTATCTCCACCAGAAATTCTCGAAATCATTTTTAAAAAACTGCTCGTGGTGCCAGGATGTTCATTTCGGAAATTGAAAACCTCTACTATCCAAAGCAGACACGTCACATTTGGTACCACGAACCAGTTCGTCCACGAAACCAGCTTGAATTATAAAGTTCGTTTCATTACTATGTAACGAACCACTCATGTATTTTTGAAAGGACGCTGAGAGGACCCATAATTCTTGTTTTCCTTTCTTCGAGATGATGATCTGGAAAGTTTTCGATTTTCTAATTTAATATAACAATTCTTTTTCAGATAACTCAGAATCAAGTGGCGTTCGTACCTTCAAACCTGATGGAAATTGCAATGTTTCCGAATCGGTAACAAGTATCTCGTTATTAGGACCTCCATAATTAGGAAAATGCTTGCTGTTCCAACAACCGATCGCTAGATCAGATAGAAGACCAAAGAAAAGTACTCCACCACGATCCATAGCCTGAGCCACCGATTGCGATGCTCGTTCTCCTTCATACGCGATGAACGACCTCGCTGCAGCCTCGGGATTGTCACGAAACAGTGTATAATTCCTACGTTTAACGCAAATGAAGTATAATTTTAAACTGCTAACCTTTGAAAATGAAATCATTGAAAATTGTTATTCACCTAATTACAGAAGTAGACACCCGTGACTCGACCCTGCTGGCCAGAGAATGAAAATAAAGTATCCTGTCGTCGTTTCGAAGGGGACCCACCGCCAGACCCAGGATCCCATCCATAAGATCGAACGTCACATCCTTGATATTGAAAGTACCGTGAGGTGGGTATGGATAAAACAAATTGTTGTTGATCTTCCAAGATCGCGAATTACGATGATCGTAGACGATCAATGCGAATCCGGTCACATCGGCGATGTAAGCAAACGTGTCTTTGCAGTCGTGTTCCGGATTGCGAACGTCGACAGCCACGGTTACGTGCAAAGAATCTTCTTTGTAATGATCACGAGGAAAGGTATAGCGAGTGATCAGCGTGCCTTTGCGTAAGGAAAACACGTGTAATTTTGGTGGGCAGACTTTTGTCTCCTCCACTACTCCGGTGTCGAGGACCCATAAACGATCGCATTGGTCTATCTAAGTAAAAAAATATTTTTTGTTAACCATAATTCAATGTTTGAAAATGCATTTACAAGATACTACAAGTCCCTAGGTGAAAAATAACAAAGTAGTTATTGAAAGTAGCTTTGCAGATAACTTATCGCTTACTTCGTTTCCACTGAAATTCTACTACATGAGTAATAATAGGAATTTCCGCACATACGATAGAAGGGTGATTAGTAATCGGGTATTGCCCATGAAAATAACAATAATTCTCGTTGTCATTGTTCTGTCACAGTTTAATCTAATCATTTAGGAAAAGGTTTCGAGTACCTGCATTCTGTAGACACTGGTGATCATATCACAGTTCCCTATGGCGTTGTACTCCCAATTTGGAAAGGGTGCGATTAAAGGGTTGCCATCTGTAGATACCTTGTCAGTAACGTAGCCCAAAGTCACTGGCACCCCTTTTTGAAATCTTGGAATTGCGACGAACACCGTCGACTGGTGCCCTTGAATATTATTTCAGTTGCAAAATTTTACTTTGTTGACACAATAGAGGCTAGAAATTATTCAATAATTTTATTCACCTCCATTGTAGACGTCAACGTCGATGGGCACTGGTGCGCCGGGTATGAACTCTCCATTCTTAATTGCCACTTCTTTGGCAAACTGGTTTGGAAATAAAAATTCCAAAGCCTTCCAAGAGTATATAATCTTCAGCTTTTCATGCGCTCTTGCATCAAAGATTATCAAGAATAAAATCGTCCAGCAAAGCCTCATTTTCGAATGAAATCGCAATAGAGTTATTATTTCCATGTGATTCGACGATTATTCGCCGAGAAAATGATACCTAGATGCGTTCTCTGTAATTGTTAAAATTAGAAATCTTAGCAGACGCTATTGTACAGAATCTTGTCATTGTGAAGCTTGTTTTCCAATTTGAAGGATCTTATCTCTCTTGAGTCATGATTTTTAAAAAGACACCTCTGTTTCGACAAAAGAGATATTTTATAATAAAACAGCGATTAAAGAAGAGATGATGAATTACAAACGTTCAGGTGTTTGCTGAACAATAAATGCTCAAGAGTGTGATATTCAAATTTTGTCATTGAACATTGTGTCAATGGATTGCGTAATGTTCACCAGACGTTCATTCTTATTTTCTTAAGAAAAATTACTGGATTATTTACGTTAATTAAGAATTTATATTAACCCATGGATCAATTTTACAAATTTCTTTTTAAATTTCACTTGGAACAAGCATCTCAAAGTGACCCAAATTTCTCCAAGTAAATGAGTCCCTCGCAAATCACAAAAGACTATTTAAATCGTCGATCGTTCGGCACAGCTTAACACCGTTTTCTCGCGATCGTGATATCATTTCGGTGTCACCTGGCTCTTTCTCTCCTTAAAACTTTCACCACTTAGGGAAAAACCCCGATAAGCATTACCATCTAACCGACTTCGATCCACGAAATTCGATCATTAATGCTTCCTGAAATCATGATCGACCTCGAAAGGTTGCCAATCATCAGACAACGAAACTTGTTGTTTAATAACTGGATAATCCCTGTGTGATAATTGTGCTGAAAAACTTTGTACCACTCAGCACACGCGATCTTGATAAACGTTCACTTTCGAAGGTTTTTTACAACATTTCCATTGTCTCAGAAGGTTAATTTCTTTTCTAAGAGAAAATCTAACGCACACTTTTTAAGTCTCTTTAAAGTAATGCTAACTCTATTCAAAGTTTATCTTCCACGTTTGAATTGCACAAAATTTGAATTTTAATCAATGACCACCGTGACATTGGTACTTAAAATAAATTTCATTCCAACTTTCAGTAATCATCTTACATAATAATATTAAAATCTCAGATGTTTGATAAAAAGTTCCCAATATCAGTGCTACTCTACTTACCCGTCTTACGACCACAACATTTCCATTGATTCGAATGATACGAAATGATTTTCAAACAGTTTTTATGTTTCACGTTTTAGAGAGATAAAAGAAACGGAGCAGAACGTTGCTTCCCTCGCAGCGTTCGAGGATCGACTGAAGAGACAACGATTCTCGTGGAGCAACGATCCCAGTTAATCATCTCTTCGGTGAATTCCAGTAGGTCGAGCAAGTTTCCTCGAATATCGTGGTCTTTTCTGGTCATGGCCATCAAACAGGTTTGTTAGTTCGTATAATTACAACGAGTTTACCGATTATTTTGTTTGATTTTGATAAGAAGCAGGCCCCCCATAAGACGATTTTGCGTCTAAGAATGCAAGAAGAATAATGTTTACTTGAATATTAATCTAAATTAGTTATACAAGCTTTAATGTTAATTTTATGAATTTTATTTGAGCTACTTTTTTTTATATCATATATGTGAAGAGGCCCTTTTTAGAAGTTCGCCTCAGACCCCCGAAATTTCAGGGCCGGCCCTGATAAGAAATAGAAGTTTCCAGTTTTTAAATTTAGTGTGGAATTTTTTAATTTGCAAACTTAGGAACAAAAACAAGGTAAGATATTAAAAAAGGTGTTGGGTATTTTTCCAAATCGAAGGAGTTAAATTTGACCCATGACGGTCGTGCTGTTAAATAACTTGAGTTGATCGATTGTTTACATGGATTATTATTCCACAATCAATACGCGTCAAACGCTTTTGATTGTGATTGCATAATTGCATCTGCATACGTAATACTTATCAATTAGAGATGAGCGAACCTTGAGATGACGAGTGTCATCAGATCGTAAAAATTTCCCTCTGTTTGATGCTAAATATTCAGAGAATCACTTTCGATAAATTTACATATTTCTTTATTTTTTGAAAATTTAAATCGCATAGATTATCGACGATCCATAAATATTTTTAAGAAATTGGTATTTAAATGTAGAGGTAATTTCTTGTATAATGTAAAATAGGTATAAATATTGTAATACTGATTTTTATTTTACCTATCGCCCCTGAGTTTTTAATTAGAACCCTAATGTGTTGTTATAAAAATTTAAGGGAAACGACGATTGAGTGTACGAATTAAGAATCGCGTGTTTCAATGGAAGTTGCACAGGCGTTAGCCTCATGATTCGTATGTTGATATCGCGGACGTTGACCTCTTTTCGGAAGAACTTCTGGAACCTGGTGCTCATTATCCAAAAATTACCTTTATCGTGATCAGCCCATCGAATTTCCGCCACGAATTGCAGCTTCTCTGGACTGTATGCCAAGATTCTGAAAAAGAATCAGAATCGTTAGCTCTATGATTCTAGGACTGATCGCAAAATGATAGGAATACCTTTGTCGATTGGTTTGCGGTTGCCAGGCAGCAATTGCCACTTCGGTTAATGGTGAAAAGAGAATTGTATCATCTCGAGGGTCGACGACCAACGCGAGACCTTGACTCGATTTTCTCCCTACCAAGGTCACTGGTAATTGTTCTCCAAATGCTGGAGGACCAGCTTGAAGGGCAGTGCTTGGTACGCTGAACAGACGATCCGTCGCCAGGGGTTGGTAATAAACCAACCCCTGTTTTGCGGAAAAAGCTAAGCCGACCACCCCATCCATCAGTTCAAACGTGTCACTGCCAATCTAGGGAAAAATATTTACATCGATCAAAAAAGAAACTCGGTAATTTCATAATCGTTATATCACTAGGAAACTAGTGAATTAATATTCTCTTCCTATCTTGATCAAACATTTAAAATTCCATTCCGCATAATAAAAAGAAAATATCATTGCTTGTATCGAGCGATGACTTCCCACAAATTTTCACAGTGCGTGAAACGATCTATTCACCGTGAAATTCCTCGAAATTTTCTGGATAATAAAACAGGCATTAGCAAGAAACGATATCGAGGCGCGAATTACAAAGCTTGAACTAACCGCGTAAATACAGGGTCTACCATTTATCTCGCAACCCATGCGCGCGTAAATTGATCGCTAAAATTCGAGTGATGTAAAAACCGTACAGTTAAGAATTATTGAAGAATTAACCGTACACTTAATTGAGCTGATTTAATTGCTCGTATAAATCAATTTAGCTTACACACAGTATTCCATCTAATTAGAAATAAATACTTGCTTAATTAAAAAACTGTTTGCCTTATAAATCTTACCCTGTACATGGAATAATCTGGATGTGGATACATGGAGGCGTGCATCACTCGCCAACTCCTATCAGTAGCTCCATCAAATACCAATATACCTGAAGAAAAATGTTGCATTAAAAATGAAATTGGGCATGAAAATTTATAATTAGAAATTTCGAAACACAAACCAGGTCCTACGGTGTCGCTCATATAAATAAACACATCGTCACAGGTGGTTGCTGATACATCGTCGATGATCAGATTCGTCAGTAACGTGTTGGGCCTTAGTACCTGAAGAGAAAAATATAATATTTTCAATTAGAGTAACTGAAAGTGCATTAATTATAAATAGAATCTATAAAGAAATTACCTCTCGTGGAAAGGTGTACTGTCGCACCAATTGGTCAGTTTGCAAGTCGAACACCATAATTTTCGGCATACAAACCGGCATGAAGTCATCGATCGACGTCATTACACCACTATCCAGCACCCACAATCTATTACACCTGTCTAGCCTCGATCTGTAGACAGAGATCAGCTTCGAACAATTCAAGTCTCCCTTTCCAGCGCTGTGCCAGTCCCATGATGGATACGCTTGAAGTTGCGGGCTACTTTCTAGCGGAAGATTCCTCGGGATATAGTTCAAGGTCGATGGTACCCCAGCTCTTAACCTTGGAATGGTGACGAAGATCTTATCCCAACCGATTTCAATCCCAGTAGGTACTACGTTTTCGGGACGATATTGATTTAGAAATCCTCGATCGTAGGGTAGGGCGAAGTCCATCAGAGGCCATTGAGCTATGGTTTGGAGAACCTCTGCGGAGGAAAACCCTGATAGGAGGACGAAAACTAAGATCCTGTGAAGAATAATTATTATTTTAATTAATTTCCATGAATTATGACCATAGGTGTTTCTGTAACTCCAGGAATTACCGACATAAGTTGCATACTTTCGTGTTACCACCTACTTGCACCTAATTATTATTTATGATGCAAGAGATATTTCAAGAATCTTTTCACAGTGATATTTACGACTATACTCGAAAGCGATAGATCTTAAAGTGTACATGTTACAGCCTTCATGCTCTGAATTTCTGGCGAGGTTTTCTTACACGATCGATGATCGCAATGCGCGCGAAACAATGATGTTGATTTTGAATTCATTAACAAGGCATTTCTCAAGTTATATTCCACGGAAGAATGATAATCTTTCATTTTACAATTCAAACAAGGATTATGGTATTATTGGAAAAGCTTTCCCTCGAACTTGATCTTGAACGAATCGGATGTTTCCGTCTTGGCGGTGAATATATTACAAGAATTATGCAAATACGAGGCTGCGTCTAGTGCGAACTCACGTGCAATGCAGTCTTAAAGAAAAGCATTCCTTTCTTGGAATTAATAATTCGATTTATAATACGAATTCACTGTTGCAAGAAAATTCAGTACTCAAAGGGTTGAATCACCTGCACTCGAACTAACACCTTTTCAAATATTTCAAAGCGGTGCAACTGTTACAAAATTAAAATAAAAAAAAAAAAAGAAGCACCAACCTCATGATGCGAAGATTATAGGAATTGATTTGTAGAAACACAGAGTAGTTCTGGAAAGAGCTCGAAGTAAAACTGCAAGTCTATAGACCGAGCGTGTATCAGGTCCCGGTGTCTGAACAACGACTGGTCTAATTTTCTTACCTCGAGTCAGATCCTAGGCGTTTGGAGACAGGAGGCAACCACAAAGCACAAATCAACACATTGTGCAACCATACACGTTTGTACGCCCGTCTACTTACGTCGATCGATCCTTCACACCCATAACTCCAGGTGGGTGCGATTTCGAGAAAAGGTTACGATCCATCGTGGCATTGGATCATTAGATCTCCTGTGATCTTTGGTAATTAGGTATATAAACTTTCAGAAATTACAAGTTTAGATATATATAAATTTTTATTATTTCTAAATTTTTGTACAAAATGGGAACTAGCTCAAAGGGTTAATATTCTTATAAATTTTAAATTTGGATACAAGTCCTTAATAAAGATATTGTTCCCGTCCCATTTATTTCAAGTATTACGAAAGTAGTGGTACTATCGTGATTAAACAATGTCCAAAAACGTAGGTTGTACCTATAGCACTGGGTGCGGTTCTTTAGTTCCGGGGACTTTCGATCGGGGTTACGTATCAAGGACTTCCACATAACATTTACTAACAGCTTAGTTCGTACAATTGCGATTTTCTTTCGCATACCGGTCACAACTGTGTAATTGTGATTTTAATCACGTATTCGTGACTTTATTATACGCTTAATTTAATTTCGTGAATTAGAAATATCAATTTTTGAATAGTTCCATTTTAAATTTGAAAAACATAAATGTTCTATAAAACGTGGAAACCTGTTGAAATCTGAAAAAATAGGAGAGATTCTGGGTGAAGAAAATATCAAGATCAAAGAAAATTATAGAGTAGAAAATGCATTGCGTAAATGCAATACTGGTCTGGTGGAGAATAAAGCGTTTTAGGCTTGTGTAATCTGGTCGACTTGAAATACCATGAGAATTACGGGGTCTATGGGGGTCGCTGACACTCCCACGGAAGAACGGAAGTAACGAAATCTCCTTGTTTTCCGCCCTCTATGATTGATCATGCGAAAGATAGCGAATATTAAACGATTAATAACGAAGATCATTTGTCACCTGATAGCATTGTTCAATAAAAATTCCGATGAAATACTCAGAATTGCAAATTTCAATTTCCTCGAATTTATTTGATCGATGAATACCATTGAACAGTAGCAAGTATATGTACGTCCACGAGGGTACTATATTAGATAACGAGTCGTCGGGTTAAATCCGTTTGTTGACCATTGAAAAACGGTAGTTGCAGCACAGCTGCGAGGGTAACAGTAGATGATGAATGAGTAGAATGAACAGAGAATGCCAGTCACGTGTCTTTTCTGCAGAATCATTCGGTTCTTTCCTGCAGCCATGAATGAGAAAATTATTCTAAAATAAGCTATTAAATTCAGATATACGAAAAATTGTGACGTCAGGAAAATACGAAGAATTCGGCCAAGTTTTTTCAGCCGATAGCGAAACTGTTAAATCATCGATAGAAGAAGAAGAACGCAATGAAAGATTGCGGTTTGCGTACCCTCGCAAGAAACCATTTCTATTGTCACGTTATTTGGACATGTTCGTTTGAAATATTCACCAAAGGAACGAGAAAAACAGGGAAAAATTCAACATGCGGACTGCAAGGTTGTTAAGAACTCTTACGTAATATCATTCAACGACCACTGATGTGTTTTCATGCCGAATTCATTTTCTCCCTCCGCCGTTGCGTACAAGTCCGGCTTGGAAAGTCAGCTTGTAACCGCTCGACCGTGCACTGCATTATTGTACATGCTGTTCTAAAAGTAACGGTCATAGGAAAACCAAAGAAAAAAATAATTTATTAGTTGTAGTCTGCCAGACTCGTCAGCGGAGTTAATGACAGACGATCCCCGCTTTTCGGAACACATATATGTATATTTGAACTACATGCCAGGCGACCGCTAGCGAGAACACTGATCATCTCGTCGCCACCTAGCGGTCCCCAGTCCGAACCAAAGGCGTCCGGGGAGACGAAACCCTCTCCTCCCTCACTAAACGCCTACACAGTCGTTAATCGTTCTTTCAAAATAAATTATTGAAAATTTTACAGAATTTGAATGGCGCACAAAAATTGTTCCTTATTTCAAGTTTGCAAGAGGCTTGGCTATGTCCATAAAGAGATTGGATTACAAGTCCCTTTCCTAGTTTCTACTGCTCTCTCCTTCGTTTCTTCAAGTTCTCCAATTTATCCAGCCGGTTTTTACCAATCCAGGATTACCTGATATAGCTACGTTAGATTCTAATCACTTTCTCATTTTCGCTAACAAACTATAGCCTATACATCTTACCATCAGCGTATAATTGCCGCATAATTCGAAACGAGATATGATTAATTGCCGTGTAATTAATCTTACTGTTAAAATAAAAAAAAAAAGAACAGTCCATTTATTGTATAATGTTTCAACGGTACTCGACCGTGCTAAGGATTGCCCGATTGTTATCGTTATCGGAGAACAATTGTAATTAACAAAACATAATCGTCCACCGTGTTAAACTCGCACCTTCTGATCAAGATTTCGAAAAGCTCCGTGGTGTAACAAAATGTTGTCGTTCGAAAATTGATCCGATCGAATAGTCTCTTACAAAGTGACTACACGAATAATCGCGCGGTCAAAAATGGACGTGTTCGCACGCATGCTTTTCAACATTTTATCAGATCTTTCAAAGGAAACGTTTGACAGAGAGAAAGTTATCGAACCTAAAGAATTTAAATATTTTCTGGATATTCATAATTTTCAAGGTTTGTTTTCACGCCTTAAATATAAACCCTCTACGCTAAAATTCTTGGGGAAACATCGAGCGTATCGTCCGGAACGACAAACAACAGTTACGCAGCGTTAATTGATTGGATGTTGATTAAAAAAAAAAAAATTCCATTATTGACTAATCAAATTTCATTAGTTAATTACCCGAGTTCATCGATCATGTTACGCGTTTACCCGAGCGTTCAGATTTTATCAAAATAAATATATGGCGTTTTCGACTGAATTTATTACACACGCGTATTAACTGTTATAAACGATAATTAATGCGAAAATAAAAAAGAAACATCGTGCGAATAGATATCGCATAGCGTAACAATATATCGTCGCACTTTCACTGATCGGAATCGCATTGAATCAGGAACCAAATTCGATACCGTATATCAATTTTCATGGAAAGCTCCTTTCGCGATGCAACAAACGGGAAAAGTGTTCGAAAATTATACCATTTGTGTAATTCAACCCGAATAGTGGAAGAAGCGAAAGGAACGTTGAATTAAGTATTCAACTATTTTCTTTACTATTACTATTTTATTATTCATATAAACATTAACGATTTACAAGTACCATTACACACCATTGTATGTTCTAACTGTTTTGAAACAGTTTCAGGACAACTAATCTCGATCAAACTGGCCGCCGAACGGAGTGATTGTAGGAGAGAAAGGTTTCCTTTTCTTTTTTTTCAGCAAAGTTCTTCTGTACCGCTGCATTGGCAGTGCAGGATACATGACCAACATCACGAAACGATTTGCATCTTGATTTATAGGCTAGTTTGACGCACTGGCGTAGAAATATCCGACTAAAACAGCCCGTAATTAACTGACATGCTGTTATAAAAATATCCTACTTTGCCAGTTTGCCATTTCTACCGTTGTAATTTCATTTCGAAATGACAATTGCTAGTATACCCTGAAGTGCAAAATACATTATAAAACTAAAGGAATTTCTGATTTAGTTTTCTACCATTTTCTCTTGTAAATTTATTTTCAATTTTGTTAACTTTATATTTATTCTCATTTTCTAAATTTCGTATCGTTGCGTTAGATCGCAATGTGCCATCATGAGTGACGATATTGCTAAATTCTCAAAACTTTAAGCGTACGCTCTAATGAAATAAATAACACCCCGTCATAGAAGGAGAAGGAATAAATAAGAAAGTCTATACATTGGTATGCTCAAAAGTCAATTAATTCATCAAGAATACACTAAAAAGAACGTTCACTTAATTACATGAGATTAAGGGCTTGATTGGCACCGCATCCCACGGTGTCCTGCATGTAATCAGGGAAATTCGACTCCAGAACCCTCATCCTTCCTCTCTTATAATCAGCCACCACGTGAGTAGCCAGGAAACATTCGTTACTGGTATAAACCAATTGGAAACATTGCGGATTGAATTGGGCAGTCGCGTCCCATCTGTAGATGTCCGGCTCACCTTCGTACCGGAAGAAAAGAGCGCTGCCATTGTCCGTGCCTAAGAAGATCATCTTCTTTGCTTTTTGTCCAAGATCGTGGATTCTTCCGTTTGCCGAACCGTTTCGAAGATGTTCCGTTCTCACTGAGAACATACGACTGCTGCTTAGGTAGGTGAACACTAAGCAAGTACTTCCGTCTGAGCGTCGAAGAAGTGCCAGGTACAAGACGTCCCTTCTGGTGCAGCCTATAGTGACGGCTTGGGGTAAAACGACGCGGTAACCACGACCGGAAGTAACATCGTACACGAGGATCGCCCTTGACGCGGCGTCGGATACGTAGATGAAGACCCTGCCGTCTGGGCTGTAGTCCGCTACCACGTATTGCAATCGAGATGTGGACGTGGTCAGACCGGTGAGTTCTACCGTCTTAACCAGCTAGAAGAAACGAAGGTAAGTTAATATTATTCTTTGGGGTCGTTAGAGTAAATTGTTAATGGAGGAGTAGTACTTAATTGGGTGGTGTAATTATAATAGAATTCAAGTAGGAAGAATCTGAAGATATTAGTAATGATGGCACTTACCTTGCCAGTGCTGACATTGATAGCGAGCACCTTGGGTGGACAATTGCGTAGAGGTTGGTCCAAAGTGTTCACCACCCCCGTATCCAACACCCAGAGAATATTCCTAGGATCCAAATACAAATCAACGACGTTCTGCAAAGCGGTGCACGTTCCTTCTTCCTGAAGAGACCAGCAAGGGTATGGTACCAGTGTTGCTTCACAACTTGCTTCATCCTTTTGGATTTTCGCCAAGGTTGCTGGCACTCCTGGCTTGTACCTGAATTAAAAATCGATTAAATTTGTTTATTGATAGAGGATGTTTATTATAATATACCTGGGTAAAGCTACAATAGCGTCGTCGTTGAAAATGGCAGCTCTGGTAGCTATCACATTCTTAGGAATGTATCGTCCACTGCTTTTGAACATGTTCTTCGTGGTTGGACATGGCCACTGGAAGGTTCCAGCTGTCCATTGAACGTTACTATTCAATGTTATATCAAATGTTGCTACAACGTCAACCACCAAGAGGCTGACTATCAACGCGGATGCGGAGAGAAATTTTTCTTTAAAAAACATTTTCGAGGAGACTGTTGAAGACTGATCTCGACTCAACTGATAATTCTTTAAAATTACGCCAGTTATATACGAGGTAACCATCGATTGCAAAACGTGTATATTTATCAAAATATTTCATGTTTCGGCAGGAACGATTTTCATCCTTCCGCGTTCCGCTACTCATTAGCGTTGTTTCATTTATTTCGTTTCCGGATCATTCATTGATAAAAAATGTTTATTAATTTATATTATTCAACTGATTTTTAATTGAATAAAGTTTAAATACTGCGTATGAGGGAAAATTGAAAGCAGCTTACAATTACACTTTCTTAATGCAAAATACGTGTAGTTTATTTGCCAAATTACATATAATTTATTATGTTACAGAGAAAAGATTTGTTGATTATTAATAAATGATTTCTAGTGTGAAACTTCACGAATTCTTTAATTGTTTAGTAAACGTTCGTGCAGGAAGCGCTTCCTTGTTGATCCAAAGGTCTCGTCCGGACGGAAGTGTTGCGAAAAACGGAAGAGATTTCATCGTAAACATAGCGAATGTGCACGAACGAGTAATCGTTGAATTATCGTCATCTCACGTGTGTATATAAGCATAAGATCGAATTTAAGGCGAGCATATTCGGGTGTCCACCTCCACAAGAATCTCGTAAGTGTCTCGTTATTCAAATTGTCTTATTCGTTAAATTCTTAATTATTTCTTTATCCACAGCCTCCAGGCATCCACTCCGAACGACAGGATGAAGAGACTGTGCATCACCCTATGTCTAATGGTCTTAGTGAAAGACTCACTGTTGACCTACACCACTCAAGACGTGTCGCAATCGTTGGTCCTCTCAGGACAGAGCTTAAATTGGCCTTGTCAAAGTACAAAAAATATTTATGAAACGAGTGGACGGTACATCGCTAGAAACGTAATCGCCACGAGGGCACAGGTGTACAAGGACGAGGCTATCCTGGCCCTGCCACGTTACAAACCAGGTGTACCCTTCACTCTTGGTGTTCTATCCTTGAAATCGAGCGACTGTGCACCGAAGATAACTCCTTTCCCTTGCTGGGCGATCCAGGAAGAAGGAAACTGTCAAGCGTTGCAAAGCGCCGTCGATATTGCCCTGGACATGCAGGGCATCCTTTGGGTTCTCGATGTTGGCATCGTCAACACTCTGGAGCAACCTGTGCGCAGATGTCCTCCTAAGGTGGTAGGAGTAAACGCAAACAGTGGAAAGGTATATCACTTGTCAGATTGAAATTATAAATCAGAGGAATTGCACGTCGAATGGTAAATTTCATGGAATTCCAGGTTGTCAAAGTAATCGACTTAAGCTCCTTGGCTGACACATCCTCTCGTCTGCAATACATGGCTGTCGACTACGCAGCCGATGGCCAGGTATACGTATACGTTTCCGACGCTGGTACCAGGGCCATCATCGTCTACAACGTGACAGCTGACAGTGGATATCGCGTGGTCCTTCCTTCTGCCGTCACTTCCGGCATGGACAAACCGGACGCGCTATACCTGGCGCTCGTAAGGAAAAGCTGTGGTACCCAGGTGCTTTACTTCACCTACCTGGGTTCCAGCAGGATGTTCGCCATCAAAGCTAGCAATCTGAGAACCGGAAATGCTAATGGATCCATAGTGGACATTGGTGGGAAGAAGAATAAAATTGTACTACTGGGTACCGATAATGGTTCGGCTATCTTCTTTAGAATAAAGGGTGAGTTTCAAGTTTTTTGTGATCATTTTTCGATGAATGAAAGTTAATCAATTGGTTCTCCAGGTGATTCGAACGTATACATGTGGAACTCGGAGACTCCCTTCGTCTCGGACAACTTCCTGTTGGTGCAGAAGGCTGGCGATTGTAGATTACCGACCGGGGTCATTCCTGGTTACAAAGGACTCATGTGGGTGATTGAAAGTAACTTCCAGGATTATATTGATAACGCTGTCAGTTGTTCAGGTGCATCGGTGTCGCTGCATCCTCTGGTGAACTCTTGCGAGGAATATTGAAATGAACCTTTCGGTTGGATATTGTAAACTCCAATTGTCATGTACAAAGTTTGATTTCCCTTCGAGGAAGATTCAACCTGGACAAATCAACCAGTGTTAGATACTATTCTTCGACGATCATTCGATGAGTTCGTTGGATGAAACACATCGTGCATAATAAATTCACTCGTAACTAACGGAGTTTTATTGTTTCCCTTTATTTTTTAAGTATTTAATCATGGTATCAGGTTTATAGCCATTGGTGTTACAAGATATCCCTAAGGCGCTGAATGACTTAATCGTTGCATAATTACCTATATCTTTTCGCAATAATCATTACTCAACGTATACGCATGAAAACGCAACTACCAGTTCGTTAGTCCTTGCAAATCATCGACGTCGATCTCGTTCCAGATAGATATCGTGCGCTGAAATGAGCCTTATATAATACTGTTTGATGGATTAACTCTTTAATTAACCATGTATGGACAGGTTCGATTAATTACCAAACAGGATGATTAAGTATTTGTAATATGTATTAAAACGTACAAAAGGAAAATTAAATAATTAATCGTTCTATTAAACTGGATTTTCCACTAATGATACATGATTTGATGATTACATCACGACGAATGATTGATAGTTAAAAAATTGAAGGATTCAGTTTAAAAAATAGGATATTTTAAGATTTTAATGGTTCGCGATTTGAGGTGCAATTTCGATGGTGTTTCTAAGGTAAATGGGCACTCTGAATTTATTAAACCCCATAAATTCTTCTGGCTGTCCATTGCATAATCGGTTATACAGGGACAATGTTCATCCTGCACAAGAATCGTATGGTATTCGGCCTGCAAACAAAAGCAAAGAATTTTATATCCTATACAGCGAAAGAGAAATAAAAGTGGAATTACTTTGAGGGGAAGCTTCGTGTCCCAACGAACACTGGCTTTTTCTGAGGACATGAAATAATGAAGACCATCCTTGAAGTCGCAGATCAGCCCTGAGGAAGCTCCCATTTTGGTACCGTGCCAAACAACCGTGACATTTCGTGATTTCTGGTAAGTCGTGGTACAAAATAACCATTCTGAGCTTTGTTCAAAAATATATTTACAGATTGAAGTTTTTCTACTTACATCGTCGAATGGAGAAACATTCTGCTCGTTCCACAATTCTTCTAAATTTATACTGAATAAATGAAGAGTATTGGAACCACTCAAATACAACGCCGAATTCTTTCTAGATATAGCGATGTCGGTACTGACAACTCGTGGAACTTCCGGTCCATGAATCATCATTATCCGCCACCACCTTTCCTCCTCTGAAACAGAATTCTTATTGAAACTGAATTTGAAACTTCATTTTCGACGATTTATTATACCAGGTATGAACGCTATGATTGATTCATCTCCCGGATCTCCCAAATACGCTTTACTTCCGGAAGAATCAACGGCGAGGGCTCGTAAATTTTTCGTTGGGACGTTCAGTAAGTCCGTAGATGACACCTGTTAAAACAGTTTATATAATTTATGATTTATGATAATAAAAATAATTTATGAAAAAATTTTCTCATCAAGTTTATCTCTTACCAACTGATTATTTCGTCTCAAATTATAAATGATGATTCTAGCCGAACAATCATGGTTCTGAGGTACTTCAAGCAACCATAAACGTCCACGAGTATCGATATCCAATTCCACGATGGATCTGAGACATCCATCGTTTATTAGTTTATTATGCAAATTAGATGAGAATAGTTTGCTACGTTTTACCACTGGAAAATTAGATTCAGGCCAAATCGCTTCGTACAGAGTTGGTCTGTTTACCAAAGTTTCGTTTCTTTCCGTTCTAAAATGTCAATTTGAAATCTTTTCATATATTTTTCCTTTCACATTGCAGAATAAATTGTCATTGCACACTTTTACGATACCTTGATATAGATAAGAAGGCGCGATTTCTCCAGACAGCAAATTTCCCAATAAAAATGTCTTTCGGCAGGTTCACAGCTCCAAAGTCCCAACAAGTGGATATTCGTGGAAGAAAAACGAAAACAAAGAATAATGTTATTTTGATACAAGTAACAGCAATCCGGTGAACAATCATGGTAAAAATTGTCAGGACAAAGGTTTTTGAAATTTTGCAGATCGTTTTCAAAGTACTGTCAGTGTAAGCTAAAGTATTTTGTAACTGACGAATCAGCAGTCTATGAAATTCCAGGTCATAATTTTTATACGTGTGCATTTGATTAGCGAAGCAATAATTTTATATAAAGATCATCGTTTCAAATTCGTGCGCGATAAAACAGTCGATAACGTCGGTATTTTAGATCGTATGATAAAACAGCAGTATCGTAACAACAGTCGATAAGAGATTCTGCTATACCGACATGTCGGTAATGGTAATAGTTGAGACCTACGCGAACAGATGGCGCGTTAATCGCGATTAAAGCGCATGTCCGATTAGCCATTGCGTGTATTCTATGCTCGAAGCGTGATGGAATCGTGGAAGCCCGTAATAAAGGCAAATGGCCGCCGTAGTGTACGAGAGCGGGTTGATTCGTATGACGTTTTTTCCGCGGCCAGTTTCTGACGTACGGCATGTAAAAGACGCGCGGATCGATCGTTAGTGTATAATCGTGATGTGAACGGCAGGCGGAAACACAAACGGTGTTCCCGTTGGCCGGCGATGGACGGTGAGAAGGCCAGTGCTGTGATGAAATCGGTGTCGGAGGGTGAGCTGGGCGTGGAAGAGGTTAAATTATCAGAGTCAAAAACACGAGATCCTGCCTCGCGATTAAAGCGTACGTTCACGTTGCCAAGGAATCCGTTTCAAAGTGCCACGAGGATGTCACGACGACGTCCTAAACAGAATCGCGACTCGAAAGACAGTAGCGGTACGACCAGCGCCAAAGAGAGAAACAATATGCAGCAACATCAGCAGCAAGTGGACACCATGCAACAAAATATGGGCCGATTGCACGGCAGTCAAAGTTACCCGGACAGGCCGGGTGTTAAGAAGGTATTTCGAAGACCATCCTGGAAGAAGTTCATCAACAAGATGGTACAGCACATGTCGAACGTGGCTACTCAGAGTCACAAAACATCTCACAGGGACGATCTCGGGTCCAGTGCCGGGGACATAAGGGTGCCACCACCTAGACCAGCTCATATACCACCGGACAGAGTGCCAGGAGTTATTGGTTTACGGAATCACGGTAACACGTGTTTTATGAACGCCGTGCTACAGTGTCTCTCTCACACGGACATACTCGCTGAGTATTTCGTGCTGGACCAATACAAGGTCGATCTATCGAGAAGAAACAAACTGAACTCGAAGAAGTATGGAACCAAAGGTGAGATTACAGAACAATTAGCCCTTCTGCTGAAAGCTATATGGAGCTGTCAGTACGATCCGGAGATGAGCACCGCGTTTAAGAGCGTCGTCGACAAATACGGTAGTCAGTACCGAGGGAATCTCCAGCACGACGCTCAAGAGTTCTTGCTCTGGCTATTGGACAAAGTGCACGAGGACTTGAATCAAGCGACCAAGAAAAAATACAAGATCATCAAGGTGAGAGATAAGATATTTCGTTCGATTTTTAAGGTTAAGTGTAGCGCAGCATCTTTCGCGCTGTATGTGTAACAAGCCGGTATATAATCATTCACGGCAATTGATTACATAATAAAGATAATCGTTTTCTTAAGATAGACTTTTCGAATTCTACGGATCGATAAAATATTGAGAAATTTTACATTTTTTTTTATGCTTCTCTCGCGGCGCGAAGACGACCGTTTATGTAAACACAACCTTGAATAAATTTTATTTATTACTTGGAGAAACACTGGAGGCTAGCCGATCGCACGGTCGCGATCAGGCCTTAACCTAAATTTATTTCACGTTCGAAATCTGTACGTGCCGCGCTTTCTGAACGGAACCATTGAAATCTCAAGGGATTCACGGGAAAGTGAACATTCCAGTAGAAACAAAGAACAAGTAGAGATCACTTTTTCTAAGCCATTGAATTCACGCTGAATTCATTTATTACATTATCGAGGTAGATTTAACACGTGTCGTGTGATCAATTATCTTTTAATTGCTGTTGAAGATATATGTAACAATGCGATACCGTATCGATAAGACGTTGCACGTGTCTTCATTTTGTAAGCTTTCGATAATTCACCTAAAATAGAAATATTTCCTGAAACGTAGACAGACTATTGCATTTTCCGGCTATAAATAGTCTTCACTCAATAAGCGCGAACTTGACTAGTGGATCGTTTTTTATCTCGCATAGAGAGATAGGAAAATAAGAGGAGACAAATTTTAGTTCGCTGATTCACTGAACGTGATGCTCAGGGTCGGCTCAAGTACCGAGCCCTGCGGTTGGGAACTTCCGTATTTTCAAATAGAAACATAGTAATACATTATCTGTTTTCAACAAGCTAAAGTGTCCTAGAGCCAACCCTTTTTCGGCTATTTCCGGTCAGACCGGAAGTTGCAAAAAAAAATGTTTTCAATAACTCTTACCATTTGACCTGTACAAAAGTGACAGAAAGTCTAAATACTATAACCCTCTTATCAAGATTTTCAATCTTAGAAACTAGTTGGCTAATAATATTGATTTTTGCCCCGGGCCCCGTGAACTCTGCCGTCGGTCATGGTGATGCTCGAATGATAAATGATGTAATAAGAAAAAGTGCGTTGCGTGCGCGCCTACCGTGGTTAATCTATTCCATGAATATTTGAAACGACATTCGCGATGCGTGTGATCGTTATTGATGACATTTTTTCGTTTCATCTTCGATCATTGTTTGAGCTCGGTGCATTTGTGGACGCTGCATTCGCCTAGCTCGTTTACAACGGCGAGGCCGCGATTACATGAATGGTGTGAGGTAAGAGAGGCGAAGAAAAATGACTGCAAACAGAATCGTGAATCATCCCGTTCGTTGAACAAAAGGCAAACAGTTCGCAGCCAGGACAAGTGTGAAAGGCTAAGAAAGCTGGAACAAAGCCTGAAAGAATTTCTATGCTTTTTTCTCTCTCTTATCGTCCTCGCTGTCGTTAATACCAGATTAATCGTTCCACAGTATTTATTAACGCGCGTCTTTACCATCGGCCGATATACAACACCGTTCTTTCGTAAGAAAAAAATATTTCTATGATTCACGTAGGAGAATTTTAAAAGTGTTTTAAATCCACTTTTTTCTTATTTCTCCTAGGAAATATTTTCATAAACGCGATAAAGAAGAGAATATGTAAACGGATGACTAACAACTGATTCATACACGTTTCAATTCATTCTTACGTAATATATGCAACTAACAATTTTAACAACCACTTAATGCAAATTGTAAATTTAGCACGATTACCATAGATGTTACCTAATGAATACACCTGCGTTTAACCGTGCTTTGAATTGCATAATATTCATTTCTTAATTATTCACGCGGAGTTTTATTTATAGTCGCATTTTTAAACAGTTGACGCATGTATACTTGCACGAATAATCGTGTTTTTGACCGAAGTGAAAACCTTTGTGAAATTATTTCCTACGCTTCTCGCTTCTGCTGTGACTAACAACCTTAATGGTTAACTCGGTAAAATTTAATCGTCGATTATTTAACCGTGGAATTTCTTTTTATCGGACGTATAAACTTTCTATTTTACCCTAACAATTTTCTTTCAAGAAAATATTTCCCTTTTCCAACTTTCTTATCTCCTATGGCACGTTCATCTTTTTTTCTTTTTCTTGCCTTCCTCCACCGAGGTCCCAAGCGTCGGTATTTGAAGCATTTGACACATTTACCATAACTTGTTACCGTCTTCTCTCTCCTTCGTACAGTCGCGGGATCTTGCTTCTTTCTATCTTATCAGCCATTTCTTGCGTTTGTCAAACATCAGATAAGGTGGCGATCTTTGGAGAACGAGTCAATAAGTATAATCCAGATCAGGAACAACAATGTCCGACGTATCGCTTCTGTAGCTTGTTAACTCGTGCCACTTTTTCGTGACCAGTTCTTTTTTTCTCTTTTCTCGAATGCCCTTCGTCAGTCGCGTTGACCGACTTCGACGAAACCGGTCATTGAAACGCCTTGAAAAATTCGAAGACGTTCTTTCGGGAAACGTTTACGCCTCCTCTCGTAGAAAGTAGCTGCATCGTCCGTTCAGCCATGCGTGCCGCCACTTATTTTCTATACTTAGGAAGGATAGTTACTTTTCGGTCACGGGATATCGCATTTGCAATTTCTTCCGTTAACAATAGACGCGCCTCTATGTCTGTACGCATCGATGCGATTTCCAGAATCGACAGTTACGAAAGTGTCCCAGACAGAGCTTCTGAAAATGCATGGAGCCACTCGAGCACGTGCTAAACGACGCTGCCATCTATCGTTGACCTTGCGCGATAAGATCCTTACTTCTCGTCCTTTTTTTTAAATTGGGATCCTCGTTGAACTCGCAATATTACTCAACATAAATTAAACCGTAATGAAACTACTTTACATACTTCATTAACACAGAGAAATATAACTGTTTGAAACACTGTGCGTGCAAATAGAACACTTGCGCCGACGTAAACGATTTGTTCTGCCGGTATTTGCATAATTAAATACATCGTTAACTCGTGCCAGGTAACGAGTATACGTGTATCCCGACGTTGAAATCTTTTAATCGAGCAAAATATCTTAATTATCATTAACGAGTTTCTCCTATAAAGAGAACTCCCCTTGGGTTCTAATCAGATTTCATAGATGATGCGTTATGGTTTTCAGCGTAGACTACGCATAAATTCACCATGAATTACGTGGAAGCAAGTTTATCGGTAGCAGATACGATTATATGCCCGTTTACGCGTGGCGAGTCAATTCCATTCTTTGTTAAATGATTTCTTGCTGGAGGCGTCCGTAAGCAAACACCGCGTGTCCACAGTCGATCATTTTACCATTCTCATTACCGATGCCTATCTCTTATCGTTCTTTCCTTTATTACGCGTTCGTTCGTAACCAGGCCGAATAGAATTTACCAACGTCCTTCGTCGGTGGTTTCTTGCGTGTACTATTAAACAGTAGACGAAGATTATTGAAACAGGTAGGATTAAAATTGGAAAGACCACCGTAACGCCACGCCACGCCATGAAACGTTACCTTCGCCGCGACCTTGTGCACGTGCAACGCGATGCGCGTTTTTATGTCGCGAGAGGTCGTTTCGCTCTGACGATTGGGAAATTAAATCTGTTGGAAAATTAATGCGTCTTAACGTGAAAATTATTATTCCAAAGTACTATATTTTTTATACGATGTTTATTTTGAATAACATGAATATTCAGCGATTATTTTCTCACTGGTCAGATTTTATATTAAAATGGAATATTTGATAAAGATTAATAAAATACATGGAAGCTTTGTAAAGTCAAACGGGCGATTGAAATTTTGATCACTTTTCGAGGCACTCGTCGTTGGCGCCAAAATACACGTTTCTCCATAAATAACCCCGTATATTTTTATGTTTCTTTTTAGAATTGAAACAGGTGCGAGTATCGACGCGTACAGTGCCATCATAAATCATTCGAGAAACGTTTAGTTTGCTTGATCGAGTTTGACATTGAAAAATTTGCCAACGAGCTTCAACTTTGAAACCTGAGAGAGCACACTTTCGGTCCGACACGGATTACCAGTGCTGTTATTTTGCTTCTTGCTACGTTTTGACAAATGTTTCTGTAATAAATCATTCTGTCCGACGACGAATTATTTACATTCTAAACGAATCGACTTTATTTTACATTGATAAAAATGTTCATAATATTTAGTTGCTTTTGTGAACGTTCGAAGGGTTATTCTCATTCCGATCATTCCAGTTAGCGTACAGTTAAATACGGTGGTAGTAGACAAAACCAGCAGTACCGTAACAAGAATTGACCTTGAATGGGGCCACGAAACAGTCATCGTTCTCCACGTTAGCGGTCACTGTAACTTTTTATCCCTCCCTTGATCGATCGTTTTCTTTTTCCTTCGGATTAATCGTTATCGGGGTTTTATTTCATCGAAAATTGCGTAATTAAGTTTCATTAGATTTCCAAAGGCTTGTAGTGTCAAAACAAGGAATGGAGTGTTTTTATTATCTCTTTATTTACAAGCTCGTATCGAGTTCCGATTTCTCGGTTATGCTCTTAATTACAAAGTCCCGTTTCTATGACGACCTTCGCGTATTGTTACGCATGCTGAATCGTAATACTAAATTAATTACTATTTCTCTGCTCGTCTAATTATCACCAACTGCACGTAGCCAGATGACCCTGGTGCAGTCTTTACTTATTACCGCGTGCAATTAACGAGAACTGGTGTACGCAATAAAAGGCAGTAAAAATAATAATTGTTAAATGTGATAATGAAGATTTACTTTCCACTGAATATTGCGCCAGAATATTGAATCCGTTTGTATCGAACTTCCAATAGTGACCAATTTAATCTCGTTATATCGATTGTTTACCAGTACTGGTTAAAGTCGAAACATCGAATTTACTTGCACGTTCAGTCGGTAACAATCAGTATTTACATATGTATTGAAAGACTTGATCTACTGAAACATATTTCAGCGAATCAGGGTCGGCTCTAGGCCTAGGTAGACTAGGCGGCTGCCCCATAAGACGATTTTGCATCTAAGAATGCAAGAAGAGTAATGTTTACTTTAATATTAATCGATTAAATGTAAATCTAAAGTAATTATACAAGTTTTAATATTAATTTTATAAATTTTATTTGAACTACTTTTTTTGTGTCACATATGTGTACTCTTACAATCGTTTGTTAATTTTTGTTAAAAATACATAGTAAAGATTATTTGCGTTAATTTTAAGACGTTCGTTGAATGATGACCACTTGATTAGCGCCAGAGTCGGTCGCCGTGGGGTTTTAGTCAATAGGAATCTAACACTCCCCCGCCGCCTTCCCCCAGGGGACGGTGGGGGGTCTTATACAAGATTTCCCCACGTTAAAAAAAAAATCCTTTACATCTATGCTTTCCTTACATTACTGCATCCCTTACATCTCTGCATTCCTTACATCACTGCATCCCTTACATCTCTGCACTCCTTACATCACTGCATCCTTTTACATCCTTGCATCCTTTTACATCCTTGCGTCCTTTTACATCCGTGGGTCCTTTTACATCCTTGCATCCTTATACATCCTTGCATCCTTTTACATCCTTGCATCCTTGTACATCCTTGCATCCCATCATAACATCTCCTGGCAGTAAAAAAGGAACTAAATTTTGCAAAAACTTTGGCCCCCTAGCGGCAAAAATGTGAACTAAAATTTCAATGTCGAATCAGCGCCACCTGGTTTCGGAAAAAGGAACTAAACCTGGGACCGTTTCTGGCCCTCTGGCGGCAAAAATGCGAACTAAATTCTCGATGTCGAATCAGCGCCATCTGGTTTCGGAAAAAGGAACTAAACCTTGCACCCATTCTGGCCCTCTGGCGGCAAAAATGTGAACTAAATTCTCGATGTCGAATCAGCGCCATCTGGTTTCGGAAAAAGGAACTAAACCTTGGACCCTTTCTGGCCCTCTGGCGGCAAAAATGTGAACTAAATTTTCGGCCTCGAATCAGCGCCATCTGGTTTCGGAAAAAGGAACTAAACCTTGGACCATTTCTGGCCCTCTGGCGGCAAAAATGTGGACTAAATTTTCGACCTCGAATCAGCGCCATCTGGTTTCGGAAAAAGGAACTAAACCTTGGTCCATTTCTGGCCCTCTGGCGGCAAAAATGTGAACTAAATTTCAGACCTCGAATCAGCGCCCCCTGGCGGCAAAAATAGGAACTAAATTTTTCCAAACATTTAAATTTAATATTATTTTTCACGAGACTTTACTTACCTTTACTTACCTTTACTTACCTTTACTCGAATCAGGGTCCATAAGTATTTTATTTATAATATATTTATTGTAAGGGTTGAAAGGATACAGGGATATAAAGGGTACAGAGATGTAAGGGATGCCGAGGTATAAGGAATGCCGGCATATACGAGATGCAGGAATATAGGGAATGTAGTGATATAAGGGATGCAGACATGTAAGGAATGCAGTGATAAAGGGTTGGGCCTCGTGAGGCCCTTAAAGACAAAAAAATAATAAATAGCTATGAAGGTTGAGCCGAGGCCCATGAAAAGGGATAAAATAATAAATGACTTGGGAGTGTGGTCCACGCGAGGCCTGAAAATAGGGGTATACATTAGAAAAATGATAAAGACGACAATAAATGCATTCATAAGGTTACTGACCAACTGAGCAAACTTACCCAACCATTATTACCGGTACACGTGTACCAACGTGACATTGACCAATTGCGAAGTCCTGAATTGTAGCGTGAGTCGTTACAACCTGTAAGCATCGAAAATTACTTCCGGCAACCGGATCGGTGATACATCCTGTGAACAGCTCAGCAGTTATCACGTTTCGAGTACACGTGAAGAACGATCGTTTGCGCTAAATAATTAAGCCTACGTTTCGCGGGGGAGAAATCATTTTCTCTTAACTTCCTTTTCCTACGTCGTTGTAACGACATCTGTGCGAGGAACTCGAATATCTTCGGAGAAAGTCTATATTGTATATACTTCATTGAAGTGTTGGAAGCAAAGAGGAAACATTAATCGTTACACTTTTTTCTCCTGCGTGAAAGTTAACGATCGTACGTGTTTCGTGTGGTAAAAAAAAATGTAATTCGAAGGTCATGAAAACACAAGTTTCGTGATCTGATTAAGGGAAGCCTTCTATGCCGAACGAGCCACCGGTGTCCGGGGAATCCGCTGATCAGAAAGGGGACATAGGGAAAAACACGCAAGGCTTAATGTCTCGTATCTCTGAAAAAATACTCTCGACCAGACTAATTAAATTATCATTGAAAAAATTTCCAGTCATTCCTCAGCACTAAGTAAACACGCAAATATGAAGCGTACGCGTTTAATATCCGGTATCGAATGAAATATAGATTGCAGGATACATTTAAATATGTTTGCACGTACATTTCTCATCGGTTATCTCTGCGTCGCTGGTTACGACATTGTTCCCGATGTTACGGAATGTTTCAAAAGGTAGAAACACGTGAATTTTCGCAGACGAACGACAATTGTCTGGCGTTGATTAGTACATTCCACTTGCGTCTGGTTGCTCTATCAGACCTATTGCGAAATCCAGGATAAACACATCATAGACGGTAGCGGAGTTGCCGGTAGACGGTTATTATTAGACGACATGTGTTATAAATGATCTCCTCTGTGTGTCTTTGATAAACTGATTCTGCGAGCGTCGCGGCTTTCAATCATGCTGGTTAAAAAGAAAATAAATACAAAATTCAGTCGCGACACTAGCGGCATTTATTATATGTTCGAGATCACTGATTGTACTTCATTTTAACACTAATTAGTTTAACAAAATGTGCATCGTTATTTGCATTCTCATAAAACGTAATCGATGCTCTCTTACGATTCTCCAGATAAAGATTAAGCGTTTCGTCATCGGCTTTGCCATTTTTAATATCTTACGATAACAGCCGAGTATTTTCCTAGATGTTAAAATTCTATGACATCGAAGTTTTACGAAAATATTCGCTGTGAAAGTTTCAATATTTTCATTGTAAAAATCTACTAATTAGAAACTACGTACGTACTTCGAATTCCGTGATTCCACGGTGCATTCCAGAAATTCTGAAATGGCTGTAAAAAGGTGGCCGGTGAACCGTGTGTAACAAAGAAAAATAATGGTTCACGCGTTAGAAAGTTTCTCCGTTTTCTCTCGGAATGTCTACTCAGCTGGTTCGCCTTAAAATTAGATCACGGTATCTGGCACAATTATATCTGATAAGAAACGTTTCGAGCGTTTACAAATATTTCGAATCATTCGGATTAGTAATCTGAAAATTTTCCTTGTTTACAGAATTCCTTCGGAAGACCCGACGATATCGTGGCGGCTGAAACGTTGGCGAATCATGTCCGTTGCAATAATTCCTTCGTGCACGCTGTGTTCCAAGCGCAATTTCGCTCTAGTCTCACCTGTCCGAGATGTCACCGACAATCGAACACGTTCGATCCTTTTCTCTGCGTGTCGGTACCGGTGCCGCAAAATCATCGACAGATGAACCTTTTCGTAAACGTGCTTTACACGTCGCAGCAGCCGAGGCAAGTAAAGATCGGTGTGAGCGTGAATCAGGCAGCCAATGTTAGAGAACTCCGTGAGATTCTGGCCAGCGACACTGGAATCGATGAGAATCACATGTTGCTCACTGAAATCCACGACGAGGGATTCCATAGGTATTTAACGAACATTTACTATTTATTTATTCGATTAGGAAACACTTACAAGTATATTCATCTTTCGTAGGACTTTCTCAGATTGCCAACCTTTATCTGTGATCACAGAGAACGACCCACTGTATTGTATAGAACTGCCACAATTAAAGGAACCCGCGGAACAAGCATACATCCTGTTAGTATGGATCAACGTTCTTGCGAAAGGAGATTTAAGGCAGCGATTTGGCAGTCCTTACACTATGCAGGTGTCCAGGGAAACATCCTACGAAGATTTACAAAAGCTTCTGTTAAAGGAGATGCACAGTGTTCTAGCTGACGATGTTCTTACGTCCAGTCAAAGTCCTGGATTGTTCAACATTCGTGTAGCTGACCCGGCAGCGACACCCATCCAAGACGAACACCCATGCATAGATCCTTGCGTGGAGCATCCTCTTTATACCGAACAAATTGAACAAGCGCTTGCTCTCTGCGCCGACGATTCCGGCCCGCAACACGTGAAATTGATTCTGGAATGGGACGAAGCTACCAAGTGCAATATTATTCAGGACGACACCGATCAGATCGAGGAACACGCGAGCGTGAAACAATTGAAGACTAACTCGGAGTTGGGAGGTGCTGTTACCCTTGAGGAATGCTTCGATCTTTATACGAGGGCCGAGATATTAGGAGCAGAGGACGCGTGGCACTGTCCGTACTGTAATAAAAAGCAAGAAGTTGTGAAGAAACTGGGACTCTGGTCTTTACCCGATATCCTGGTTATTCACTTAAAGAGATTCCGACAGCAGTCTAAACAAAGATCCACGTCTAAATTGACGATGTTAGTGGATTTTCCTTTGTACGGTTTCGATATGACTCCTCATCTCGCTCATAACGGAGTTCAGACGCATAACAACGTGGGTAGTTTAGGTGGATTGGGTTGGTCACCTTGGAAGAAACCTAGACCCCGTCAACAGAATATTCCAAAGTACGACGAGAACGTTTACGATCTCTACGCGATTTGCAATCATCATGGTCAAGATTTACAGGGCGGTCATTACACCGCTTTCTGTCGAAACCCTTATGACACTCAGTGGTACTGTTTCGACGATACTAGAGTGGAAGCAGTGAATGATACAAATTTAATAACAAACGCTGCGTACATGTTGTTTTATCAACGAAGGGGCTTAACGAATAATTCGGGAAATTCTTCGGCCGCGTCCACTAGTTCGGCCGGATCCGGGCTCGACCATTGGGTCTCGAAAATGCCGCCATTTTATTTCAATAACAAGACCAACAGCAATGCCACGAACAATAATCAAAGTAAATCGCAAGAGGTATTGTGCCAGGATAAGATCGTGGAAGAGAAGAACATGACGAACTTCAATAGAGGGTGCCGTAATTATGCCACCTTGCAGCCGAAGAAGAGGAACGTTGCGACTGAAACGGATATCGGGCAAATTGATCATTACTCGGACGACGAAGCCCCTTGCAGAAGGGAATGGGTAAGCTTAGAGGCGATCACGTGTACTGTTGTAAATTAATAGTGTATACTGTGTTTCTACTTTCCATGTTTATTTTTCTAGGCTTCGCCTAAACCGGTACGAAAAATGTCGTCCATCACGTTAACACCGCACGTACCACCGCCACCGTCAACGGTAATTCATAGCGCCAGCAGTGATCCAGACACAACGATAATACACGAATCGACATTGTAACACACAATTTAAGCCAGACTTATTCTGGCTCGAGCAACGCTCAATGTATAGTGCCTGGAATAGGGTGTATAAACGGTCGAATTAGTAATTAGTAAAAGACAATTATTCGTGAAACTTAGGTCCGTTCGTGTAGATGGTAATCGGAAATCTTTCTCTGAACTCTAAATTTATATACATATATAAATGTTTTCTTTACCGGCCGTGTAAAAATATCGAGTTTTTCTTATTTCCGTTTTCTTAATATTTATAAAAATGAAAGGAAAAATTGTGAACTCGATGAGTGTTTATTGAGAATGTAAGCGAAATTCGAGGCATTAGTGATTTTTGTATTTATAACGTGTTTATATACAAATTGCGTGAATTGTATTGTACATTGTAGCTATTAGATGACTTTTTAAGGAGAAGACAAATACTATATTCAGTATCAGGAACTAAGAATCCCTCATTACGAATCCTCTATTGTTAAATACTTATAGATCTTCAATGCAATAGGTAATTAAAGTCTACATGTGTCCAACAAGAATGTATAAGTGTGTCAAAGAAATTTTCATGCGACTTGTTAGTTTATTATTAGTCGCCCGTTGTCGCATTACAATGAAACTATGACAATAAGTGAATTCTGCGTGTAGCAGGGCTCACGTGTTAGAGTAACTTCATTTACAAGAATAATTCTTGTATGGACACATCGTGTAGCCGCTATGACCATTGCTTTGAATCTATGCTTAACTATATAATATTTATATTGTATTTGTATCATCCACTAGTGGCCTTAACTCAATAATTAATATTGATATGTCATTTGCAAATCATAATAAGCATACTTTATTATTACTTCAACAAGTGTTTTATTATTGATGATCGACGTTGAGGTTGTAAAAGCTACCGAGTTGTAATACGGGGATATCAATTGCTCTTTTGAGTCTCAAACGGCGACCAACAAAATTAATATACCTAATTTTATTCTATAGTCTTGTTCTTCCTGCATTGGCGTGACTGAATTTTATCGGTTCAGAAAGGAAAGTGTATCGACAGTGTGACTCTCCTATATTGTGAACACACTTTTCAACAATCTGTAACTTTTCATTTTATCAAATACTCTAATCTCACAGTTACAATGATCATTCCACTTAAATAAACATGTTTAATAGAAAGTGATGGAAAGCATGAAAGTGAAATAGATTTATATATATACGTATATGCACACATATAATTAGCGAGTGAAAGATATATTTAAGTTATTTTAAAATTAACATTTATTACTAGTCACACGTATCGTGGGCGGAGAGGTAGCAAGAAGAGAATGCATGAGACAGATTATAAATGAGTGATGATTGTATAAGATAAGGCGCCTAGAGGTCAAATAACGTGAGATATACTTTGGTATATGCTCGTTTTAAAATGGTGTTTCTACATAGTTGGTTCCTGTAATGTGGTTAAGTAAAAGTAAGGTCGGGTGCCATGACAATCACGAAAGAAGTAATACTCACGCGTTTCGAATATTTTTTTCTACACGGTTATCTGATATGATTGTACTTCTCAAATTTGATAATTGGAATCATTAGCAGCCAATATAAAACGTAGTTTTCAAATTAGTCATTAATTTTCTATAACATACTCCAGTTGTTAGATTTGAAGCTAATAGAAGATATCACGTCAAGTAGCCGTGTACTTGAATGAAAAATAAGAGATTTTACTTCATGGCACTTAACGCATTGTACGATGGAATGAATGTACAAATTGTATGTGAAAAACACTGATTGTGAGGAGAGAACTATCACCGCTACCCCCTTTATCAACATATTATATATGATTTTAGAAGTTGCGCATTCACGCTAATCGACTGAGGGATATACTATTAATTAATCATATTATCGCTGCTATTTTGTTGGAATAAATAGAGAATGTATATATAGATAAAATGTCATTCCACTTTATGCACGCTGCGCTATGATTCTTGTACTTCTCGTTTATTGAAGTAATATCGTCAAAGCTTTGTCACTTTTAAAAATATATAGAGCAACTATATCGCTTCTTACGATTCTTTTTAAAAAAAGCCAGCGTATCCTTTGAACATTTCAATAATATGGAAGTATGTAATTGTTCGCTAGTCTTACAAGGAAATTGTCAGATGTGGTCATAGCCAGTTTAATGAAAGGTTCTTCTTCTTAATATTTTATCGCCTATAAAAACTGTTGAAATTGGTTAGAACAAAGATGGAAATTGTAAGGAAAGCTTACAAAAGATAAAGTTATCAAGCTCACGCGATCTTATTTTAATCAATCAGTTCATGGATCATAGAAGATAGATAAGTAGGTAAAGAAAGATGAGTTTGAAACAAAACATTGTATAATATTCAAATCTAATGTAAAAAGTTTATAAATAATTAGCGATAAAGCGTAATATACAGAGATTTGTCAATAAAAATATTCATACATGAAGTATTTGGAATATAGTAATTTAAAAATAATGATTATGTATTTGAATATTATTTACATTAAAATTCGATTACAAAACAAGTGTTTTTCAATAAATGCTTGCTGCCTAAAGAGTTATTAACATAATTGTTTGTGGAAGTTGTATTCATACACTTGCATCTTAAAAAAACCGCTGTAAATTACGTACTTTTAAAATTCGATCCCTAGCGCCATCTATGCACAAACGGTGCAAACTACTCGACGACTTATCGACCGCTCCCGGATAGTCGGTAACTTGCCCACTTATCGGTCGATCCTCCCACCGTCGGTAAGTTGTCGAGTAGTTTGTGCCGCTTGTGCATGCTTGTACTTTTACATCATACTGCCTTACGCCTTTACATCCCCCTTTTAGTCGCCTCTTACGACAGGCAGGGGTTACCATGGCCGTATTCTGATCCCCCCGAGCCACAGGGGGTGCTGTCTCTCTGTATCAAAGCCTACTTTCGCGAGCCTAATAAACAGATTTTGCGATAACTTAAGGATTGCAGGAATGTAAGGGATACTGAGATGGCCTTGGCCTATAATGATGAATAAAATTATATAAAGAATTGGAAAAAGTAAAATAAATGGGGTCCTCGGCTGAGACCCAGAAGAGGGATATAATCATAAATGTTATTCCTCTTCGATGAGCTCATCTAATAAGCAAAAAGAAATAAATTAAATAAACTCCGGAAAAAATTTTACTGTTTGTGCCCTCTTCATACGGACCTGATATTATTCGGGGGTGTTAGGGACCCCGCTGCGCCAATGCTTTGCATACCAATAATATAGCATCCGGGGTGCCAGGGACCCCGAAGCACCAGCGACTATCTCTGCATATCGACATATCATCTTGGGGTGTCAGGAACCCCGTAGCAGCGGTGACACTGTTTGCATACCGGCATTTTGGCATCTGGGGTGTCAGGGACCCCAAAGCACCGGTGACACTGTTTGCATACCGGCAATTTGGCATTGGGGTGTCAGGGACCCCGAAGCACCGGTGACACTGTTTGCATACCGGCAATTTGGCATTGGGGTGTCAGGGACCCCAAAGCACCGGTGACACTCTTTGCTTATCGACACTACGGCATTCGGGGTATCTGAGACCCCGAGGTACCGGTGATGCTGGATACCGATATTATACCACCGGGGTGTCAGGGACCCCAAAGCAAATAGCGAAATATAAGACCTAAAAACGAACAAATCGTGAAACTCACTTGTTCGGAATAGTGATGGGTACGACCGGATCTAGCGAAATATAAGACCTAAAAACGAACAAATCGTGAAACTCACTTGTTCGAGGTAGTGATGGGTACGACCGGATCTGTGGCGCATGCGCACTACAATTATTTATTATAAAACAAACTTGTAAATAATTAAAAAATTATCCATTCACAAACAATGAAAATGATATATTTGTAAATCACAAACGATTACCAATCAATTACAGTTATCAGATGTCACAAAATCTGTTTATTATAAAGAATTACTAAATAGTTTCAGCTCACATCATGATTAAAGTAAAATTGCTAATTACAAAAGAACTAATTTGTTACAAACGTTAAAAATAGACTCACAATCAATCATAAACGATTTACAAACGAAATACACTAAGAAAAATTATAAATAATCATATTTTATTATTCCTTCCGGCTAGCTTCATGTAGGTCACTGGCTTGAGGGTGTAATTCTTTTTCACGTTTTCAGTGTGTTTCAGTGTTTCAGTGGTTTTCAGTTACTGACTGTTTTTGTGGCTGAGGTTTTGAGTTATTCTTCGGAATAAATCATTAAATAAATATGATGAATGCGGTACGATTTGTTTGTCAGCGAAATGTTCGCCAAATTCGTCAGTTCCATAAATGGTAGAAATTAACAACTTATAAATATATAATTTCATGAAACGTGATTACATAACCTCACTTTTACGTACACTGTCGAATCGTTTATTTTAAAGAACACTGAGCAACAATATTAACGCTTTTGTTGACAACTTTTTTAGCATTGTTCAGCACACAGAGGTAGAAGCAACTACTGTTAGTACACCTGCAGAATCCAGTTATGTTTCTACAAATACAGATAAGAAACCAGAAGTTAGTTCTAAGATAGAACAAATTGCTAGTCAGATTGTTGCCTTAAATCTTATAGAAGTGGCACAATTAAGCGATTTGCTAAAAAAGAGGTTAAACTTACCGGATGCACCTATGATGCCTATGGGTGCTTTTGTTGGTGCACCTAAAGCTGAAGTACATATCCTGGCTGTAATAGAAAAATGTTTTAAGTAGCAAAGATACATACAGTTTTCATTTTAGGAAGAAGAGGAAGAACCTCAACAAGTACAAACCATATTTACTGTTAAATTAAAAGCTTTTAAGGATGATCAAAAGGTTGCTTTAATCAAAGAAATGAAGACTATACTACCAGACTGTAATCTTGTACAGGTAATAAATCTGTTCATGCAATGTTTGCAATATTTTTGTTAAATATAACTGAGATGTTCTAATATATTGTTTCTGCTGTATAGGCTAAGAAATTTGTTGAAAGTGCACCAGTAGTGGTCAGAGCTGATATTCCAAAAGAAGAAGCAGAAAAGCTGAAGGAGGCTATTGAAAAAGTGGGTGGTGAAGTTGAAATTGTATAATTATCTTGTACAAATATACATTGAAAATTTTACTAAAGTGGTCTGATAGCATTTTTATAATAAAATAATTCCTATAATAATTAGTTAAAAATCTCTTACTATAGGCATATATGTTTCTGTAATGTTCATTGTATCACCTCTTGCATTTTTATCATAAACAAGAGTCTAAACATAAAAATTATATTATAAATTATGTATATAAAAACGATGAATAAAGTGATTTTTAATGTTACTTTGTTAATTTCATTCGACCAAACCATAAGAAAATTACTATATGCTATCAACAAATATTTTTTCTATAATTTAATATTTGTAAGCGATCTATGGTATATTATAGACACAGGTGCGTCGATAAGCCGATTCATATGCAAAATATATGTTGAATTAATCAACGAATTGAATAACTGGCGCTGCGATAACGGGCGTATCGATAAAATAAGGGCCGTATCGGTTAATTTGATTACTGTTTCCTTTTTTTTTTCATATACAATAGCGAAAAAGAACATTGCCAAATGGAAAACATTTTTGAAATGAAAACCACTCCAGGTACATTTAATTATAGAAAATCTATTTCTGGTTAGGGAAGAGAAATAATGGGGAAATTTTTTTTTCATTGGTCGACGGATGTAAACGGAACTCGATGCGACGGTACTGCGCCACGACTACTGCCACGATGGCCGAGGAGACTGACACAAACGATAAAGCGGCGATGGAAAGTATAGCGCAAAATATACTCGAGGTTTGTGTCAGCCGTGATCAGGACAGTGCTTAATAACGTAATAGTAGCTTTCGAAGTGTCGAAAGAAATTGAAGTATCAGTGACACCTCGTTATCCCGGTTTTTTTCGATCATTTTGACAGGTCAGTACCGGAGGTGGGTCTGCGTCGAACGAAGTATCCGCATTAGAGTTTCAAGCATCGCAAGTGATTTCGAGGCTCGAGGAAGCTGTCGAGAGGGCAGCCGACGGTGGCGGTACTACTTGGAATAATCCTTCTGGATTTCTTTCGCAATCAAAAACAACTGATGAGATATTAACTTTAATTCAGGTAAATACAACACTAGCAGAAGCCATTGATCAATCGCTATTGGTTCCTTCCGTTCGATCCGTTTCGTGATTGGCTCTTACTTTTATAATATCTGTAAACTACTCGTCACGTGGTTGTACGATCTCTCGCGAATCAGTTGCTAGTTTTTAAAGAATTAAAAATTGGCGGTTATTTTAAAATGAAGGCAAACTAAAGAAAAAAAGATACAAAACTTAATCAGGAATTGATTCGCAGGACTTGGTAATTCACGAAGATGCCCCTCAACCAGTGGAAGATGGTTCAACGGAAACAGCACCGAGCCAAGTGACTACATTACCAACGTTAACAGAGCCAGCAAAATTGGCATTGATCGCGCACACCGTTTCTGCTTACGCTTTAGCACTTCCAAAATCGCACGCTCAAAGATTAGCTGGTCGATTAGCTGCTGATACAACAAGATGGCTAAGTCATATTTTTCGTTTTGTCGACTGTGCTGCCTCGTTTCACGAGGATCACTTGGAAGGATTGGTCAGAGTAACCAGGTTGGCCCTCCACCGAAAATATCCGCGATACATGGAAGAAGGTTTCACAGCGCTGGCTGCTTCCCCTCCTTTAATTTACAGTTCTGTAGCCGCGCCTTTAGGTGTGGTTCAGCACCTCTGCAGACAAGTATGGAACTTTTGATCCAGCATACAGAACGTTATTTATTAATATCTGACTATATTACCCTTCTGTTTAACAGCTTTCGCTGCCACTTCATTGCGTAAGGCCGATCCCCCATAATACAATGTTTGGATCACGGTACAGCATGGACGTGTCCGCTTTGGAACGACGACTGGCAGAAGACACACAGTCGAATAACGTGACACCGCTTCTCGTATTAGCAGAAGCTGGTTCGGTACTAACGGGACATTGCGACAATATCGCTAGGCTGCGCGCAATTTGCGATAAGTATAACGTGTGGCTCCATCTCAGAGGACACTCACTGGCTGCATTAGCATTGAATAACTCTGCTAAAGATCTGGTGCGTCCATATTACGTTAAAAACCTTAGTTCGTTTATGATCCTTGAATACGTATGGTAAGGATGTGTTTGACTTTCAGCCTTCTAAGATCGCGGACAGTATTACATTGCCTCTTGGTGTGTGGCTTGGTATACCATCTTTGCCAGTGGTTGTATCCTTTTAAGTAAATGCTCGTTTAAACAAATATTTGTACGTTATTTCCTTAATAAATTCATACAGACATTGTACAGATTAACAGATACGAAAGGTGGTCGGCCAACTCCAAGAGATACCACTCTGTCTTTGGTGTCTGGTTTGATGACTGATTCATTGTCAAGACGGTTACCGACTTTACCATTGTGGGCCACTTTGCAAGTATTAGGTAGAGATGGTGTATATAACAGGTTAAAGAGGTGCTTTTTGGCGGTGGAAGAATTGTACAACAAAATTAAGAAATTTTCTTGCATAAGGATATTGGTAATTCGTCAGATACTTAGTATACCACTTTATTTTCAAGTTCCAACTTGATTCGTTTAATTGATTTTTCAGAGTCAACCACCTGGAGGTGAAACAGGGTCTTACACGATAAATGAGCTTCTAACAAATCCTGTTAATAATCCGCAATTATTTGAAACGGTGGCCAGCGCTTTAGTGTTTCAATTTGTACCTGCAGACAGAGATCCTCAAGCATCGGAACGCGTTCCGCCCTATTACGACAAACTAAATTCCTGGCTTGGACAAATCCTTCAGAGAGATATCGAGAATGTACAAATAGAACTGTGCGAAATAGAACATCACGGCGTGGCGATTCGCATTTGTCCTCTGGAAAATCCGGAACAACCTCCTTCGTCCGAGGACATTGATAACGTGGTAGCTTGCCTCGAGCAACAGATAGTAAGTCTGTTCAAATGCGACAGCTACACGTATTGATTAAGCATTTTTTCAAACTAATCATTATAATTTGTTTAACAGGAAATACTACTAGCCACGGTCGAACACAAAGCAACGTTTGTACGATTAGTTTCAGAGAATGATTCATTGCATTTAGTAGAGATGCCTGGTTGGGCAGGCCTTGGTGGAGTACGTTACGCTCCTCCCACTTGGATTCACGTTATGACCGACCAAGCGAAAGAGGAATTGAACCGATTAAACACACAGCTGGTCGAAGCTTTACGAAACACAGATGCGGCGTTTTCTCTAGGAGAAGGAGCCGATGGTTTAGCTTGCGTACGATTTGGAATGGTTACGCAAGACACAGGTAACCCATTGCATGCTCTAAATGCTTTCGAGTTTACAACTTTCACTTACGAGTTTCTTCGCTGATCCGTGTAATCGTGTCTTTAGAAAAACAAACCATAATTACACAAAAAATGAAATTCTCTTTACAGACGTGGCTGAGTTATTGTCTCTAGTATTGCAAGTAGGCCAAGAAGTGGAGGCCAGCTCTAAATTATTGGATACTATATCAGAGGTGGTTAAAAGAGGTATCGAAGCAGCGCAGACAGATTTGGAGAGAGAAAACGCGGAAAAATTATGGCAAGAGGGTATTCTTAGACACGTTCCAGTGGTTGGAACTTTTGTCAATTGGTGGAGTCCTCCTTCAAAGGAGACTGGAGTTCGTGGACGTAGTCTAAATCTACAAGCTGGTATATATTCTGCTTTTGACTAAAGTATCGTTTTATTTCGATCACTACCTAACGCTGTGATGCTTTCGTTTGTTACATTTAGGGGTGGTTGAGAGCACAGAGAATATTTACAAGTATCATATGCAACTGCAACCTAATTCTACAGTGATCAATGGATCCGGTGCTAGAACTCCACCTCAGCCTCTGGTGCAAACACCAGTTGGTGCTGGTAGTCAAAGTCACAGTCGTTCATCGAGTCATTCTAGCTTGCAAAGCGGCAAAAGTGTCTCTGTGATCACAAATGCAGTGTCCCACCCACAGGTGAAAGAGGAGTCTAGCCAGGTGAAGTCGTAGTGATTATTCAACGTTATCGACCGATGGTAAATTGTGTTCAAGTCCATAGACTTGGCAAAGAAACGACGCTCTAGGTGAAAGAAATGTTTCTCGTGGAAGATACTTTTTACAGTCACAGAGCAAAGTAAAACAGTAGCATCCAAAAAGTGTATGTCAAAGAGCTTGATAATTTGATCGAGATAACGACGTACACGCAACGCTTTATATCGTTCTTTCCTCAATAAAATATTTTATGTTATTTTTTTATCCTATTAAGTAAACCATACTTCTTTTCTTCACCTATTGTTTTCGCTTTCTCTTCAAGATCTGTTGTTGAAAACTTCTTACACGGTCTAGAAAATGTGGCTTGTGTACTTATCAGACAATGATAACGTGTAAAAATGTATTTGATAACAAGTAATAATAGTTATCGTTTATCAAAGTATTTCTAATAGAGCACAATGATCAGAAATACATCTTGTTGTTACTTTCTTAATGCAACTTTAGAAGTTGCATTTAGTTAATTCAATGAGTATCAAGTATATAATACAATACTAAAGTAAATACAGTAGAATAATTAAGTTCTTACTGACAATATTTTACACGACTTTATATGCACATACATCCTGAATAAATTTTTCAACCAGATTTTCGTTATATTTGTCAGTTTTTATTTTCCAAATAATGCTTCTATTCGTCTAAGCGATCCTAAGGGAATTTTATTCTATTCCAAAGCACAATGTATACGTCTAAGCATGAAGAAACACAAAATCGTGATTGCTTCGAATATTTAGAAAAGAAAAATTGCGCCTGTTAACATTTCTTCGTAAATGCTAAGCTTTTTTAAGATTAAATACCAGTCCAATAAAATGCATCAAAAAATAAAAAATGAAAAAAAAAAAATTGGAACAATGTTCCATCGTTTAAAAGATTACCAAAGAGACACCTACTTAATTTAGAGCGACTCGAATTGTTACTATGTAATAATTGTATAATTTCTGGTGAACGATGAGTTCCGACGAATTTAAAACAAAGTACATAACGAAACGTTCGTATTACCATAATACCCAGTAAATTGTTGATAGATACATTGAATGAAAAGAAATTAAACTGTATGTATATTTATGTACTAAATTGTTGTAATAAAGTATTGCAAGAGAATAAATCATTCAAGAATAAGCTTACCTTATTTTTTTCTATATCATCAACATAAAAAATGAATTATAAAGGACAGAAAACTGTAGATCTTACGGTTTTTTTATTTTTCTTTTCATTAATATTCGTGTTACCATTACAATAAGAGGAATTAAGTCTGGAATATGGCAATTAGACGTAATCGCAATGCACAAAAAACGATATCGATTAACGAGTTTCGTTTATATATATATATATATGCCTCTCGGAGAATTTTCTTTACAATACACGCTTGAAGTGCTTCACTTCTAGCGTACAAAAACACCATAGAAATATCTTAAACTTACGTAAAGTCTCGTTAGCCTCTGCACACTTTGTAACTGAAACTCTTTCGTACACCGAGAGAGAAGAAACGTAAATGAAAAAGGAAGAAACACTTATCGCGAATTAACTATAAAAGGCCTATGGATTTCTATTTAAATTTGTCGAACGGATGCGCTTACCGTGGTACACGTCAAATTATCGTAACCTCATTCGATTGGCGCGAACCGTTCGATAGATCGAGTCGAGTCGAATCGGTTCGATTAGTTGCGGTGTAGAGTTCGATACAAAATGCTTACAAATTCAAACGCTATCTTATTCAAATATAAATTATAATGAAATATTTAACTATTTGCTTTGAAGGAATTTATAATTAAGTAGGAACCACGTATACGATAATAGATGCACTTGAAATTTGTGCATAAACGACAAGTAATATTAATTAAATAAAATTGTGTAGGCCAGAACGATGCACTAGTTTAATTATTTTTGCATCCTATATTCGTACTCTATATTTTCACTATATCAACGTTCTTGAAAAATAATTGATTCTCTCTCGCTCTTTCTTTCCTCTTGCATTTCTTACATATATGCTCTCTCTCCCTTTCATAAATCATCACACATTTATTGTATCAAAATGATGCGAAAACAAAATGCGGTTGTACTCGTCGGAAAAAAAATGTGTTTCTCAATTTTCTATTCGTGCAGACTCCTCGATATCTTTTCCTAATCCTACCATCGACGGGTAATTATGGATTGGATAAAAAAGTTACCAAGAGTACAATTTTCTTCGAAGAAACAACGAATCGTTCGTCCACGTGTTGGGGAAAAAATTGAGCCGCGTGGAAAAACTGAATTTGGCAAGAGATCCATCGTTAAAACCCGAATAACGTTGAACGTATACGAAAAGAAAAACCTTTGTTTCTACTGACTAGGATGTTTCTCCTTTTCGATATAATCAAAGGGGTTAATTCGATCTTACATTTAATTAATTTAACGTCTAGATCTATGGTGTCGCTAGTCCTATGCGCTACGATCCTTCTCTTTCATTTCGTTAATAAATATTACAAATATGTACAATGGATAAGAACGCTTTTTATATCTAATCATGCTTCGGCTACCTACACCGTTTCCATGCTTATCGAACAGAAAATTTCCTAGATGCAATTTCTTTAATTAAATAAGAAACTGTATTTTTATACGTAACCTTCAACTAAAATAGCTGGCCTTTCGTATCAGGAAGGTTGCCTAGAAAAAATTGTAACAGTTCAATTCAAGTTATATATCACACTTACATTTTCCGTATTTCTTTCCTCTCACATTTACTCGACGATCTATAAATCTATTTACACGCGTTCTAGCTGAATAGGATGCGGAATATAAAGTCGTCCGCTGTTTTCGTTGCAGATATCATCATTGATCGCGAACGATCTCGTTTCAGGCTTCAACAGAGACCGTACAGGAAGACTTTGCGCTCCGCAAATAATTCAATCTTGATTTTTATCGCTCGTAGAACGCCCAAGTTTTTCAGAAAGTTTCCCTCCTTCATATTTCTCGAGGACTTTGTAAAAAAAAAAACCACAATGATTACCGCCTCGAAATGCTTTCTGGATACTTAAGACGATTATAAAACTTTTGTCTCGTATAAAAAAATGAAAAATGACCCGGATCCACGCGCAACGTTCGCGCTTTCACCGTGTTTGTACTTAAAACGTATGTTCGCCTGAATATTGGCAAAATTACTTCTTCTTCTTTTTTTTTAGTCCGTAATCGATTATTGTTGCTTTTATTTCGTAGAAATCATCGGACAATCGACGTCTTGCTACGAATTTTAAATATTAACGTTGATAAATATATATGTATATATATACACGTAAATATAAAATGAAGATCAGTAACTAATAATACCTTAATCATTCCTGTATTTACCATTAATTATTACTGATCCACTTTTTATACGTTCACTGTACCTCTTTATTTCATACGGTAACTTCTTAATATCAATATTGTATACCTCTATACTTGAAACGCTGTTCGGAAAAAATCAATGGAAAATCTCCTCAAGCGTTTACTCGATAAAACGTATAAAAAAGTATATAAAAATTCAACGGTACGTTACTTGTGTGTTCGTGTAAAAAAGTCGTTCCAAAGATAGAGAATCATCTACAGATCGGTAGGACAACACCGTCGATTTTTACGAAACAAGATACTAGGTAAATGTAAGAAAGTTGATTAGAATGATCGAAAGAGAAAATAGTAGGCCGCGAGCAATTAACTGGACCAAGTTGATTCGGCGAATCTGTAGACGATTAAACGTAAAACCTTGTGTAATAATTATTGTTCTAAGATGTAACTTCGTATCTTTCTTACATGGTAATTTGTTGTTGCGTGCTATACTTCTTGTGCTTCTTCGTATGTTGCATTCGAAAACGAAATACCCTCAGGCTGCGAGTAACTAACAAGTAATAAATACGACGATCTTTCCCTAAAATTTCTCGCTCTCGTTAACGTATCATTCGTTCCATTTGCTCGAGAAGCAACGATCATTTACAGAGATAGGCTAACGTAGAATAATAATCACTGTACACGATATACAAGTACAAAAACGTCGGATATACAAGATCTCTCTGCTCCGAGTGTTTGAACAATGAAATGACGAGAAACGATGGGTCAATTATCTGTGAAAATTTTCCCACAACACAGTTCCATATTATAATATAGCGTTAATTCTAAATTACACTTCGGCTATCGATGTAAATGAATCCTCTTCAACATCATCTTCAAACCCGTCACGAGTTTTTATCATCCTTCTTTCAAACTCTTTGATTCCAAGATCTTTTGCCCCCGTTACTTATTACTCACATTACTCTCGTTGACCTTCTCAATTCTATTCATTCAAGTATCTTTATACTTCAAGGTGTTGCAGTGACAATTGGTTCATCCATTTGCTTATAAAAGCGATGAAAAATGTGCAAACATACGCTGCTGTGAAAAGTTGATTCACGTTCATTCACTATCATCATTGTTCTTTCTTTAAAGTTCTCGAAAAGATTGCGAATACAACGCGTCAAAAGACACTTCGATCTTCTGATCGTGTTAATAAAACTACACGACTTTCATGAGCTTATGTTCAAACGTGTAAATGTTACCTCGTATTCGAAGCTCTTATCAAAAGTTACCAAACGATTGAGCCATCTCCAGTGTATTGTATAAAACAAGAATGCATATTAAAATACGCATGGTGTTTATCAAATGGTTAAAAACGTTCAATTGTTTTCCAAAAAGGAATCCTTGAGAGTGATGATATTTGCGCGTTTTCCTGTACACGTGATTCTTAATTCTTTCCGGTTTAAAATAATTTTCTTATCAACTTTCTCGTGGAGACGAGTATATACGTAAAATCTTATCCCTTGGAAAGAGCAAAGAATCGCGACATACGTACGTGTTTATAGCGAACACTGGTTCAGGACAAATACAAAGGTCCCTGTGGTCCACGGCTAGGGTTTACGATCGATGATGGCAGTTTACACGAGTTCGATGTTCGAAATTATAATTCCGTGACGGCGTACAAATTTGGATCGCTGCCCTGTACTTGGCTCAAAGTTGCCACCGTCGATTTGTTATCTTGCCTATCCTGCCTATCTTGCCTCGATTGCGCACGATTGTACGTGCCGTACATGTTTGGCACGGCGTTGTTCTGCGCGGTGCCGTTGAATTGATTCCTAGTGAAATTCCTGTCCAACGTGCGCACCTGGTCCTGCATCTGATCCTGTATGCGAATATTAGGCGCTTTGTTTCTCACTAAAGAACGAAATTGATTCATATTGGTCTGCGAACGGGACTCGAACTCCCAGGTAGGCTGGCTGCTGGGATTCGGTGGCAATGGTCGATTCTGATTCCAAGCTGGGGTCGGACCTCTCTTCAGATTCGCTAAATTCTTTGGGTCTAAAGTCTGTGTTTTGCGAGAATCTTGGAACGTGGCCAAGTGAGCAGGTCCGTGAGAATTGTGAGACAGGGTACCGGTGAACGAGGCCACGCTTGGGGTCCAAGGTGGTTCTCTACCTGTAACATAACGGAGAGACACGTTTTGTTAGAAATTTCGTTCTTCAAGGGATAAGCGTAAGAGAAGGAGCCTCCAACCAGGTTACTGTAATATAAAATTGAAATTACCGGGCCCTGCGGGGGCGTGCCCTCAGTAAAAATCACTGGACTCGAGTGTCTTGCACTGTTTGCTCAAAGTCGCGTACTGGCCAGGTTGATCTCCGAGTCCAGAACGGTGCTCAGCTCGTCCACCTGTCGACTGCTGATTATGCTGAGACGATTTGTGATCCCCGCCTCCTCCGCTCCCGTTAATACCCCCACCTCTGTAAAGATCAAATCGAAACGAACAAAGTTGCAGCATTATCTTTCTCTCGGACGGTTTTACTTCATTTCTATTCTATTCGTGGGGGACTGTTTTGGAACGTTTCTTTGTTCCTAAAATAATCTAAACAACGAACGAACGCCATGAAACACGGAAACACGGACATAAAGCGTACTATCGCTAATATTTTCATAAAGAGAACTCAATTTCTCGCTTTTAAACACCGATCACAAAGAACAATCGGAGCGTTTGAAAGTATATCTATGATTATCCAAATAATCTATCAAGTCATGATGCTGTAAAAATATCAAAGAGAAAAACGAATTTACTGTACAGTTATTGTCAAGTTAAATAACAGATAAATTATCAATTACAAATCAATGATGTTTCTCTGACAATAAAATGGAAGATCAACAACTGTACTGCTACATTCGTTTGTTATTGCCACGGGAGCGTTGTACACGATTAAAGCGACACTTAAACCTAATGCAATATTTATCAAAACGAACAACAAAGTGATTGTGACTGAATCAGTCCAACACGCTGATACACACGAGAAATGAACGAATTGTAAAATGTTGAATGAAACAATACACCGTCTATATATAAAGCGAACAGTCAGATAAAGATTTGATGCAATAACGATTACATATTCCTTGTATTCATACTTGAAACGTTTATATCTCCTCACATCAAGTCTTCAGTTAGCTGGTAAGTATGAAAAGGGACCTGAAAATCCTTCAAAAATCTGTGTTATCTATACAAAAAATTAACAAAGTTTCTCTAACAAAGAAGAAATCGAATCCCTTTTCAACGATACCGTGAAATTAGTTTAAGAAAATCTCGTTTGTTCAATCTCCATCGTACGAAACAAACATTATTAAATGATATATTACGTTTGGCAGGAAGTTTAGTTTAGTTGCCAAATAGGAAAAGTTTAATCGTTTAACTTAGAAACAAGCCAGCTTGTATAACTTGAACGATCACGGTAACGTGGATTATCCTGTAAAAAGCTTTCCACGATTAAACTGAATTTAAATCGTTCGAGTTCATACGATAAAGACGAACGCGTACGGCTAAGAGAAAATGAAAACCGAAGAAAATCTCATGCACAAACTTTAACATGCTCTCGTGCAGCTGACGTGCTCGAGCAGTCGCAGTAGCGTAGGACGGCGGGGGCGGCGTTAGCAAGAGAGGCTGCTTAATGGTATTTTGAGTGCCATGAGCATTCGGATAAAATACAGAAGGGGCTGTAGGCGGGTACGACCCTTGGCCTCGAAGGGTCCTTGCTGCTATCGCCTGCGAAGCTGCCGATGGTGGTAGATACGGGTCCTGCTCGTCGACTTGGTGGTAATCTCTTCTAGAACAAATTCCTCGTTAATCGCATTCCGCTCGTTTTGCGATTAACTAACTACCTTTCGCTGTGGAATTTCACCTCTTTTTTTTGTTTTTTTTTCATTGAAGCACAGTTAACAAAAACAAAGACAATCTTCTGATGAATACATAGAGATGTAAGACGTCCACAGTGAAAGGCTCGACGCAACTCGAACGAGTTGGACAACTCGCTCACCGTTTTCGAATGTAGATCCAGGTATGAGAGTCCACCCAAACTAACACCGTGAAGAACAGACCTGCTGCTAAGCTCGCCAATAGCATGAAGGTCAATCCATACCTGTTAAATTGAAATCACTGTTAGCAGCAATGACCGGTAAGAGCGAGCCCTGATCAAGAAATACTCACAATCCTAAGTGACATAAGCTTTTCGCGGCATGAACGTATTGCTTGTGAAAGGGTTTACAGTCGAGCAACGTGGCTAAACCGGACATCAGTTTGCTCACGGTGTTGACGTCGAATAAAAGGCTGTTCAACTTTGGTTGCAATTGTTTATCCTTGTACAATTCTAACGCCAACCTGGTCACTGTGTTCAGGTTTTTGCTCATTTCACTGATCGCTGTCTGACCGTCTCGCAGTCTCTGTGTAAACGGATTGCTACGCGTATTCTCGCAATGCGTATAATAGGAAAGAACCTCCGAAGCTAACGTAGACGGTACCGCCCTGGTCAAGTAACCGTCCGGCGATACGCATAGATCACCTAAGGCCACTGAAGTCGCAAGGTACAACGATGCCATCAGCCAGGAGACTATCACCGCGAACAAACCGAACACGGAGAACCTGTAACCGAAGATTAGTGGTTTTTAGCGAATATTTATTGTGAAAAGAAGAAACGTGTAACACGTACGTTATAAGAACGCATCTGGAATGTCGTGCGACACCGACGAGTAGCACCACGCAAAGAACTAGAAGTGCGCTCAACACTGCCATGGTGACCGGCCACCTTAATTGCTCTATCTTCTCTCCCATTCCGATCGCTCCAGCCAGGCTGATCCCCGTCAACGGTTTCCTCATTTCGATGCTTTTATTCACGGCGATGCTCGTGTTCTGTTTCATGCTTTGTAAAGCGGCTAACAATAATTCGATCATCGTTTTATTGCTGACCGGATCGTCGAATTCATCCCTTAACGCGGTCAACTGTGGTTCCACCTTCTTCTTCAGCGTGTTCTCGATGGTGTCAGTCTTGAAAAAGAACAATCATTTTAAGTAAAATATCTGGGGGGTAGTTAAAGTTTATCAAAAATAACGAAAGCTATTCGAAAGTAATAAACAGATTTCCAGAATAAAAAGTCAAACAACTTTTCATTTTTTATTCAACAATGAATTTCTACGCGGTGCAAGGGGATTATTCGTTTTTCGAGCTCTTCAAACACCAAATGAATCCTCTCTAACGGCCTTCGGTTAAATTAAATCCGTCAAATGAAGATGTTTAATTAAAAAAAGAAAGAAAGAAACGAAAGGCTCCTTGGTGACGGAAAACCGGATTATTTATCGCAAGATGAATCCCGTCTTCTTTTTAGCTTATTTTCATTACGGTTGTCCGCGGAAACTCCTCGCCATTCTTGACCCAAATTAGCGGGCGCAGTCTAAGGACACGTTTGAGCAGAGAGAAAAAAAAAAAAAAAACTAGAGCGCGAACTAATTAGCAGCAAAATGCAGTGCTACGTTTCAACTTCTTTGATCCACTAATCTTGGATCTGATGACTTATATACTCTGCCAAGTTCCGGGAAGTAGATTGTTCAAAGAAACACGATCCCGTGAACCAACCTGATTCCGTACACCCATCAGGATACCATCGACGTTCTTTGCGGCTGCCACCAATTGCACCAAACCGTTGTGAACATCGTCGTTACCGTATAGTCCGACGGCAACAGCTCCGCAGCAAAGCAACGCCAGGATGGCCAGTGAAAACTTCAGCAGGGTTATCGACCTCTTGGGGCGCGGCTTCCGGTCACAGCATCTCGTTACCAGGTATACCAGCAACACTAGCAACGTCAGGATTAACCAGGCTGCAGGGATACTTCCAAGTATCCCGAGGCTCTGTTAATTAAAGTTTAACGTTAATTATTCCTGTGTATCTTCGACGAACATACCATACCTCCCTACATTTCCATTTTATTAGCCAACACTAAGATTGAAAATCTTGATAAGGGGGCTATGGCCAAACGGTAAGAGTTATCGAAAAAATTCTTGGGCCATTGTGTTTAGTGGGTCAAAATCTCAACAAATGGCCGCAAAAATATTTCTTTTTGCCACTTCCGGTCTGACCGGAAAGTCGTACTATAAGGAGAATAATCATTTGCTGATATCGATAAAGTTTATGTAAATAAAAGTGATAAAGGTCCACTTCCGGGGTGCTATAAATATGACGGCTGAGCCAATAGTTGATTCTATTGTAAGTTTTAAACAACTCCTTACCTTCATTTCTTTCGTTACATTCGGAAGTATGATGGTCTTAATTAAATCTAAAATCGTCGTTGGTAGTCTTTGCCTTCGTTTTTTTTCCAAATTTTATGCGAACCTTAATGGTACCTACCCAGCCAGGTTACGCAAACTTTCCGCTCGCTTTCTAATTAATGCTTATTTGTAGCTACCGTTCACGCGGGGCGCGTCTTCTCGCGACTGGTACCGTTAATTAAGGTTAAAGCCGAGTTTCCTAGTAGATAAAAATCCCGTCTGATGCGATAGATAAACCGGAGAGAGAGAAGCTGCTGGGGAGATGCTATCATCTTATGAACAGTATGAAAAAAAAAAGAAAGATTCGAACGAACTTGAACGAGTATTTCCAGTAACAGTGACGACAGGAGGCGATGCTTTTCCCGATTAAACGTCTAATTTATTATGTTTCCTGGATCTCTGGCGAACGTTGAACCGAATCCGGATGCTTTGATTAATTGGACCACCAGTACCACGCGATCGAAACTAATTACAGGTGAAATCTGTTTGTTAATTGCCACCAGCTTCTGTCTACAGGACGAGATAATAATTTATGCCAATTATACCTACTTATTTTCTCAAATTAACATTCAAATACAGCCGCTTACGTAATGACCATCTTGTCGAGTAGAAACGCTATAAGAAGTCCAAGCGCAAAGGCTTAGACGTCCCACGTATTTAGCGAACGGCGTGCTAATTAATCGGTGACAAGGAGGACGTCGAAGGGGATATCGGATCCGTGTCTCGCGAAACTTGTCACACGTGCTGTGACTCACAGCGTGATTCACAGCCGTGTTTACAGTCCAGAATAATCACAGACCGAAGGAAGTGTCGTTATCTTTGCTTCTGTGACGGCGCTTCCTGCTCTCGCCGCTAGATGGACGTCATCTTAACTCCTTTCTCGCTAGTCCTCACCTAACTATCCATTACTCGTTAATTTTTTTTTTCTTCTTAAGATCCCTGTAACGGTGTTAACACATTTGTTCATTTTCACTGTACTAGCCAAGGTGTTAAAATTACTTGAAAATTCAATCTCCTATTCCGTTTCACCAACGAAACGGACGTGTTTCAAAGGTGTTTCTCTGTTAACGTGGTCCGTGCTGATGGAAAATTTGATTTTTCCATCGTGGTACTGGAAGACCTGCATGCCACGGGGTCAACCACCCTTGGCTCGCGTGCCACCCAGTGGTACTCGCTAAATCGACCGGTGTACCTACCTATTGCATTCATTATTTACACGACGTCAATAAAGTTTCCCTTCAACTTTCTGATTTCATATGTTGCAAAGTTCAACGATCATTCTCCTTACCGAATTAAGTTTCATTGTTTCTCTATTTTTAATTATCGCCAGTCACTAGTCACCCTGACGAGAGTGAACGCGTTGAATTCTGGTCGAAATTCAAAGCCTGAATCGTGTCTAGACAGGAATTCTCTGTTTACAAAATGCATAGACGAAGACGGTCGTTGCATATGCCGCGGACCAAGAACGGGAATAAATCCGGAAGAGTGCTCGAGATGGTGGGAGAGAGAGAAAGAGTGTGAGAAGTAGGGAGGAAGAAAAAGAGTACGACTCAAACTTCATGGGGTTCACGTGTCGTAGGGGGTAGCATGTAAAATCGCAAATGGATTCTCTTTCGAGGCTCGAGAAGCTCTGAAAGAGCAAATACACCGCTACGTCCCCTACTCTTTTGCATCGCTCAGAAAACGCGTTACTCCTTTTTCTCCTGCTTTCCTCTGCGCCACGAAACATTCACGAGTATTCGTGAAAATTTTCGTCAAGCGAAAGCATCGTTCCTTTCCACGCTGGATCATTTATTTCCTCTTGTATACGTTTCGTATTTCCTGTTCGAATACCAGAAACATTTGAAACCCATAAATTTATCCATCACAGCCTTTAAGTGGTACACGGGCTTGGTCCGTACATTAAATACGGTATGAGTCACTTCTCTACCATTTTCCTCCTTCAACAAATTTCCCAGATCATCCTTTCGCTATTCCGAGAGAAAGGAAAAACCTACTTTTCAAAGAGATACTTGAATATACTCTAGATTTCAGTTGATGGCGAAAACAAAAAAACGTGGTCGTGCTCGTTTGAAAGGATTCGAATGCATTTATTTTTGAGGAGTTGTGCAGGAAAGGGATTGTTTGTCTCCCCTGAAACAATAATCGGCGGAATTAGCGTTGAACGTTCGTTGCAAATCGGCTTTAATCGGAAAACCCTGCTTTCGTTTGTACCAGATTAAACACGTTCTTTACAGAAACGAGAGACTTATCTCGTTGAAAGGTTAATCAAAGTTTCGTTCCCCTTTTGAAATCCTTGAAAAATTCATTTACCGCGCGAGTTTTCATTGTAAATTACCTTTCTGCTATTCTCTTCTACCGTAAACATTTCGGTACACGGCGCGTAAAAGGAAAAAAATGTGAAATTATTAATTGCAAAAATGTTTGCCTCGAAAAATGAAACAGGGTAATGTACGATGACGTAGAATTTCGTTGAAATATATGATAAAGCTTCGACCACGTTGCCGGTATAAAGTAGGTGCGTCATAAAACATAAATCATATTAACAAACGATGCCTCGTGTTTGCGCTATTGTGCAAACATTGCGATGAAAATAAAAAGAGCGTAAATTTTAATTACTAGACGCGGCTAGCGAGAGCAACCGGAATTACACGGAAAGAAGAAGAATATTGTAATTTATGTAGGAGACTAATCTATGTGAGATTAATCACGGTACCTTAGAGGGTTCATCTGAATCGTTAACACCCCTATTTACACGTGCGTTAATTTAAACCTGTATAGTATGGTAATTCTTTAAATTGCGACGGCATAATTAACTCGTGTCATATTAGCTGCTTGTTGTTCTAATCTGAAAATAGAACGAACGAGAAACTGTTAGCAGCAGGGTCGTTGTACTGGTGCTTTTCTCCAATTTCGTTAAAGACGTTCGAGATACCTTTGGAAGGAAAATCCTGTTAAGCAAACTCTCTTTTAGGCTAGCTCAATGTCACGCTCTAAAGCTCGCATATGAACGGAGATATCTATTCTAATAAAACTAATTTACATTTTGCGTTAAAGAATCGAAACGAATTATTAGAGAAGGATGGGAAATGGAGGAAGAAGAAAATGAGAGTTAATGAATAGCCGAATCGAAGGTTAGAAAAGAAACGACGACAGATAGGACAAAACGGAATCTCACGATTTAATTACCCGAGCGGTGTCGTTGCAGCGGCCGCGTCGTGAAATATTTTCAAGCAGCAGAAACAATAGCTGGGGACCCAATTACCGGGTCTCGTGTTGCGTCGAGGGTGCTCAGACAGGCGTTTCCTCAAGGCTTCTCCTTCGGCGACTACCTCTGCACCCTACCGACGCGTGCAAGAGAAACGTGTGCGCACGTCGTTTGAAAATTTTCCACGCCTTTCCTCGTCGCCGATATACGTAAATTTCTTCTTAACGAGCACCCGAGCCATCGAGTTAAATAATCATCTTTTACGACTTTTCATTTCTTCCGCTACGATGAACAGGAACTTTGGTCACACGTATTCTAGCGAGAAAAACGGCTAGAAGTAAAGCGTATAAAGCGTGGCCGCAAATGGAGATTACAAGGGAACGTGTAATAAAGAGAGAAAGAAAAAGTTAAACAGACCGAGGATAAAGGGAGAAACGAGGCATCTACCGGTTGTCGGAGACGGAAAAAGGAATAAGTGACGGACAAAAGTGGAAGCGAAGAAAAACTGTATAACAGAAGCAGTAGCGCGGGAGAAACTGTTTTCTCTGAAGTAATTGAAAGCGCATGAATAAGAAATATGAATAAGAAGAAAGTAGAACAGGAAAGAGGAAGCGGTCGTCTGTACGCGCTAATGGAACGGCGTGAGACCGAGGACCCGATTGGTATCGATGCTCGCTAATTGGCAAATAGACGCCATTTGCGGAAACTACCTCAGGATAACTGCCTTCGATTCTAAAAAAAACTGCAATATAACATCTGAGACAATTTTCGAAGAGAATTAACAAAAAGGCTATCCATACGAGCGTCATTAATCTTACTAAAACACGTGCTGTACTTCTCCCATTCCCCTCTCGGTGTTCCGCACCTGCTCGATAATTACAAGAAGACCATTTGCGCTGATGGAAAAATAAAAAGATTAACATTGCTCGGTAGCGGTGTGTACTTTTTCAAGCACGATTCTAAACGAACGGCGATCGAAAACAACGAGATCTATCTGGATTCTATAGTAAGTAATAAGTTGCCGTGCACTCGACATCTACAACGAAAGACGTTGCCTTGGGCGATCGTGCTTCTCTCGTTAAGAACTAAGAGAAGCACGATGCTGTTGGAGAACGGGGTAAGAGGTGAACACAGCTAAGAGGGGGATATCATGCTTCTAGCGATGGGCAGAGACTTATGTCGAAAATATTGTTCCACAATATTCAATTAAGTATGTAAGAATTGTAGGCGTTTAGTGGAGGAGGAGAAGGTTTCGTCTCTCTGGACGCCTTTAGTTCGGGTTGGGGACTGGTAGGTGGCGGCGAGATGATCAGTGTTCTCGCTGGCGGTTCATAGGGGAAGTTCCCCTAGTACCGGACATTAGCTATATCTAAAAGAACTGAAATGTGATAAAACTGTTTCCACCGTCAAAATAAAGGAGAGTATAAAAGAAACGTTTGACGGTTAAAACAATTTTGTCACGTTTCAGTTCTTTTAGATATAGTTAATGCTCGATATTAGGGGAACTCCCCCTATATACAGGTTTTTCGAATTGCGGTATGATTGGTGTCTGGGACAGGGATCTGACAGGGAGTATGACGGACGATCTCGAGATGGAAACATCTTTTTCTTCCATCTACTACAGAATCTATTTTCTTAGAAATTCTTGAAATTTGAATTACTCGGGAAAATCTAATCTAGAACCTCATCCTCGCATACAAAAGACGCAAAGACGAGCGATGGGTTTCGCGCTTCCTTTTAACTCGAGGAAGTTTAATATCGAACATGCAATTTGGAGTATCGTTAGAAGCCGACTGAAAGTGTCTTGAGCCCATCGCTAGTTAGCGGTCTGACGTTTCGAGCCCGTTAAAGCCCACACGTTGCCCTGGGCGCATTATACGAAAGCCTTTGTGCATTGTTTGAGCTTTCCCGGACCATTGTGCTTTCCAGTTACACACAGCTTGGATTCTCCTGCGCTCCTGGCATCCAGCTGCGGTTCTACCTCGTCCTGTTTCCTTCTCCTATCTTATCCCTCTCTCCCTCATTTACGCTACTTTGCTACGAAGAATCCGTACGATTCTTCGTTGCCTTCTGGACAGTCGCTAGGAACCTACAGGAATACGTACTTTAAACCGGAAGAGAAGTACACGCGTGCCTTGGCGTTTGGGACACTCTCATTCTTCCAACCAGCTCACCGTGACTTTAACCGTTTTCCTCCGATGTCGAGGAAGAAGCGACGAAGAAATGGAACGAACGCGTTATCTCCGAGATAATTAGACGTTTCGCTTACCTCTAAGTAGATTTCAGAATGTGGATTGAAGGTGTTGTTGACCGAGTGGAGCGAGACGTTGAGGTGCGGCAGGCTATGGAAGACCCTAGCGAGCGGAGGTACCGTGTACTGTTCCGGAAGCTGCTGACCGCCCGCCATTTTGGAGAACCCTTGTCTGCCGAAAACCCCGTTGAAGAGCGCCTCCTACTCGTCAAGACATGCTACGAGGCCTGGAACAGAAAGAGAAGCTGAATGGGTTAAAAATTGCTTCGAGCTTTTAACGTTCCAGTTTCTCGACTCGAGAGAAAATATATTTTCCACAAATAATATCACAGATAATACGTAATAATAATTTATTTCAACACACTCCAAGTCAAGGAGCAATAAGTTATAAAGAAAGAAAAAAAAATTGAAGATAGCAGTTAAAAGAGGGCGCGTGTTCTGGTCGGCTATCGTCATAGACAAGAACGAAACGGAGCAGCTGGCAGAGATTTCATTAATTAAGCGCTCGTTGCTTCCACAACGCCGCTTCGAGCGTAATTGAATCAGCCCTGGTAAAGCGTTTCGTAGCATAGTCCTATCAAACAAAGATTAAACCGCATCGGGAGCTAGTTCGATTCGAAACTAACCGCTAGATTCGTACCCGAATTAGAAGATCCTCCCTTTTTTTTGGCATTCGTTGAATTGCACGCTAAATCGGATAATCGTTTCCGATTAAATATAACTCGAACGCTATCATCGTGTTTTTTCATTTCCAAAACATTTATTTTCTGCGAAACATAGTTTCTAAAGAAGTGGCAATTAGAAAAATTTGAAAATTATCCAACTGGAATGATTCTCCTCGTTCGCGAGCGTTAAAACGATCCCGAAGAAAGAGACAGGGAATTTTTTACTTTGCACTCTGGACCAATTCATTGTCCTGGTCGTTGGAATTATAAATGCTGAACGGCAAGAGCACGGATAACTCAAACCCCCGAAAAAAGAAGGGAAGAAAAACATGAGAGATGGAGGAGAAGGGAAGTTAGGACCATTCTTGAACTTGCTGGCGAAGAGCGTGGGAAAAAAGATCTGTTGGCGTTATGCTGCCTTGAAAACTACGTTTACACCTGGTCCTGGCTTTCTTGACACAGTATCCTCGGTTCCTGTTCAAACGTTTCTCCGCCTAACCCCTCGTAATTTCTCTATTATCCCAGGATTTTCAAAGTTTATGCTCACCGTTGAATCGTACATAACACGATACGGATAAAAGTGTGACAGAGAAAAGGAAGATCGAGTGGTATAACAGGAGTCTTAACTTCTTACTACAATCCTATACTTCATGTTTTCCAGATAAAAATGACGTAATTTATGATCCCACCGTAACTACGAAGAAGAAAAGAATTTCAAGTTATTACGGCAATCACAGTTGTTACTATAAAGGTAGCGCAGCACTTTGGTGCTTCCCATACGCTACAAAGGTATCCAACCTCTCAAGTATGAAATTCCTTGGGATCCGTCAGCTTGACTCACGGGAACAAGTGCATTCTCCTTCTCAGGTGCTTGCATATTCCGGCAAGATCGGTTATACGGGCTTTGAATAACTTTCAAACTATTTCTGCCTCTGCCAACCTAATTATTCCAAGAGATTCCATCGGTAAGCATAATTGTACCGCGAGTACACGTGCAAAGTCATGGGATGTCGATGATACCTGCTTGTTGCATGCGTACTCGCGTGATTTCACAGGAAATCGCTCTTCGAAAGATAATTGCACAGGTTCTTTTCTTTGTGATAATTAATCATTTTTAAACGGTTGATTAGATGAAACTTTGGAATGATATCAAACTAGTTTATAACAGATAGTTGCTTTCTAATCTTTTTTAGTAAGCACGGTGTGATAACGGTACACGATAACACGCGATACGCGCGTTTATCTCTGCACGCGTTTATCTGTTAATGCAATTGCCAGGTAAGGATAGGTATGTATATTTATCCTGCTCGTGGAATTCGTGCAATTCGTGCGATTTTAATTCCTGTAGCAATGTTTCTCGAAATGAAATCATACTCGATCTTAAGAATACGTTTTATTTCTTGCAACGATGATTAAATAATTCGTAATCCTTTCGAAAGAAAGAAATCGTATAAAATTCTATTGCAATTCTATTAGAAAAAGCGGACAAGCAAATGTATAATTTTTCCTACGAAAATTGTTAAAATGACGGCGGCTCGCGTAGCAGTTTTCCTTATCTTAAACACCCTCGGTTCTAGTATCAGGGACATAATTAACGTTAAAAGCTCGTTGCAAACGAAGCCCGATGCTAAGTGCGAGCAAAACGTCGAGCCACGACGAGCTGTCGATACTTATCTTCCTGGAATTGTAACGAAACTTTCCTGCGTTCTAAGACAATGAGAAAACTTTCGCGAATGAACTCCTCTTTCCATCTTATTCAATTTTTTATTTTTTTATTTTTTTTTTTTTTTTCAAGACGGTGGGTGAAGCGGAGGATGTTCGAAATTTTTCCAGCAAACTTTTACGCGCGCACAGCTGAACCTGCGGATGCTGATCGCCTCATCATACATGCAACTCGCGTTAAATTTTAAAAGAATTATTTAAAAGAAGATATAATTAGCCTTCGTTCTGGCAGAAAAATTTCATATATTATCTGAAAGTTACACGAGTGGATGAAGAATGAAACGTCGCCGGGTTCTAAGCAGAAATTGTACAGGCTGGTGAAACACGACGAAAGAAACAAAGATGTTAACCCCTTTGGCGTATATCGGTCGAACGTTGCCCTGGCAAACAATGAGAAATTTCAGCGGAAGTTACCTACGAGAGACGGGGCTTTGTCGAGCTTTCAATTATTGAAACACAAAGAGCTCGCTAACTCCAAAACTGGGATGGTTCTACCGAGAGAATAGTCTGCTTCGAACTTGTCTCATGAATGTAATGATTTTAATGCTGTTGCTTCGACAATAAAAAAAAAAAAAAGAAATCAAATTTCATGCAATACATTTCTTAGAAATTACACTCCTTTTCTTCTTACCATTTTATTCCCGTTCGAACGCGGTTCACTTTTCATTCGATTAAAAGTTGACGACAAAACGGTCACGCATCGTCGGTCCCGAGGATAAATTTTTATTTTCCACGATACCGAAACGGTATCGTTTCGCTGGAAAATTTCATCGTAGTTTTGTTTTACGACGAGGTGCACGCGGAACAAGTCACGACTGTTTTTTAAGCGAGACTTTTTCGAATGCACCACTGGGAAAAAGGTCGAAAGAGAGCGAGAGAGAGAATAAAACGTCAGCGTATCCGTGTTTCGAAAGGTAGAACATTTCTTTGTTGTATTTTTTTATTTTTTACGAAGGAACTTTGTTGAACAAAGTTCGGTTCGGTTCTGCCATAGCTCGACCCGTAAAGCTTCAGTTATGGCGAACCTATTCAAAGTTGGATACAATGAGGACCGAGAGAGGCGTGCGTCTACCAGGATACAGGAGGATCATGTTAAAAGGCTGAGTTAAACGATAAATTCGAGACGGTGGAGACACTACTGGGTTAATCTGAATTAGACAGAGAAATCCTTGTTACGCTTGAGAAACCGCTGAAACGACGTTAACCCTTTACCTTACAATTCATGTTACAGTACAGATAGGATGAAAAAGGATTAACAGTTGAGACTGATAATGACTGATAAAGTAATATCTCGGCTATCAATTTCGTATGAATCAATAAGACGCGTAATCGATGGAGAATCGATAGTTGACAGTGTTTCGATCGATCAGATCGAAGAATCGATAACGAAGTGAAATATCGAACGTACGGCAAGGCGTGGCATAAAGGAACCCGAGGGAGTTAACTGTGAGCGCAGAAATCGATCGGCGGAAGTCGTTGCTTCCTATCCCTATCTCTCTCTCTCTCTCGCTCTCTCTCGTACACACTTGCTTTTGCTCTCTATATTGCACGCTCGTTTCCTCTTCGACGTATTGCTGACATTGTATCGGATGACGTATACCGACAGGAATTACTCGCTGCGATTCATTCAAAATCAGCAGCGAGTTAACAAGCAACGAAAATATAAAATTTATTATTTTTTAGGATAAACTTCCGTGGCGGCAAATTTAAATTCATGAATAAATAAATAAATAAATAATAAAATATCGTCGAAGAATAGTGAAAATTTGATAAAAAATGTAGCCTGGTATCAAAACGAAATTACATTGGAGCCGAGAAAAATTGCCGCGACGCTATTATCCGCGTTACAAAGTTAAACCGCGCGTCCATTGCAAAAGATTCAAAACGCTGAAGCTCCCCAGCAAAGGATCCCTTTGATGTTTTCCTTTTTATTTCGCGCTCTCGCTACCATCGTTCTCACCAAGAAAAATTTCATCCCTGAATACCACGATTCTTTCATTTAGAACCCGTGTGTGATACTTTTCGTGATTCCATTTTTTCCTCAACAATTCTGAAGAGAAATTTTCAGAGGTCAACGATTATTCTTATCTTCAGAGATTGTTAAGTTCCATAATGTATCGACGGTAAACTTTGAGAGGAGAAACGAATAGCAGATAATACATGGGCTATCAAATTTGCATTTAAAACCAAGCTTGAAATATCACCCCGTTTCTTCGATACTATTTTCTTGGCAGAGGTGTAGTCTAGAAGCGAAGAGCGTTTAAATCTTCAAAGAGATCTTATTCGAAGAGGAATAAGTCTCTTTCAATTCTTCATATTAGAAAAGGTCCAGGAGGAGGAGGAGGCCTGGCCGTGGTTCGAGGAACCAATAATGTCGTTCAAGGAATGGTTACGGAATGCAAATACTGAATCGAGGTCCTCGAGGAGAACGCGGTACGTTCCGGGGTATCGATGAAAATTGCCAAGCCTCGAAACAATAGATCCATTCGACGGAGATCGGTTGTCGTAGTAAAATTTTAGCCCGTATGCAAATACGATTCGTCGCGTGACGCACTCGCGAATAATCAGCAATTCGACAACGGGTTATCAGTGAAACTGGCTAAGAAATTCCTTGATAGGTACAATTCAATTAACGGTGATTTTCCATGGTCATTGTATACAATTTAGAGAAAAAATAAAGTAATAAATATTCCAAATTCGACCTCTTAATTGCATAGATATACTCTTTAATTTTATTGAAATTTAATTTTTGAAAAAAGCTAAAGTATCGAATATCGGGATTTGAAAGGTGATATCGGTGAAAACGATTCAGAATTTTAACCCCTTCGCGCACGATCCAA